TCACCCACACTCATCGGTCAAGTGGCGAGAGGGCGACCGGGGTGATCGAGGCGATGCGCTGACCGAGCACGTGTCCGACCGAGTACGCTCGAGCGATGCATCGACGTAAGCTAGCACGCTGCTGAAAGTGACCGCGCCCTCTTAGGTCGCAGTTTTAGTTGTATCGTGTTGAAGATGGCAGCGTTGGACTTGCTGTTAACCGTTTTGTGCGACGTCGCACCGTGCCCACCTCAGTCGGGTTGAGGTGACACGTCGAGCTGTAGTTGAGAGAAATCGAGTTGCATCTTGCGGATCGAATGGCGCATGTGAGCGATGTGAAAGCATGTGACGTCGAGCTGTGGTGTGGTGCGATCAGTGCCGTGCCAAGTCTAGTGGTGCGAGTGGTGCGAGTGAGTGGGGAGAGGGAAAGGAGCGTTGGCGCGCGCGAATGAAGTTGAGCCAATTAATCAGCTGATCAAGCGCGCGAGATTTCAAAGCCATGTATCTAAAACCGCAGTTTTTGACTGTATTGCCGCCATGTGGTGAATGTACCAGTACACTGTTGAGTCTATCCAAGCCGCCTGTAGTATCGTCGTCCCGATCAGACGTCATGTACGAACATTTCTGCATTTGCTGGACCATCAAAATCGCGCTACAGCCCGAGTACGATTTTTGTCGAGTTTCTCCGTGATGCTGAGCGGTTCATGTAGTATTTAAAAACGAGTGGGCGAGCATGACACTTCTTCTACAGAGCCGGCAAGAACAGACCGCTTCGATCTGACCTGCACACAAACTAAGTCTACCGCGCGAGGCAGCGCCGCCAGCCCGACGATTTCCGACGACGATTTCCGAATGGGAATCTCGTTTCGGATCCCATCTCGGTTCAGCGCTCTGGGCTCAGGGGTAGCCCACAGAGTTGCGCGCCTCAAAATATCAAGGGCATCTTTGCCAGGGTCAGCCTCAAGTGCGCGGAGAGCTGGCGGGCAGCTGGCGGGAGGATTTGGCATTCGGTATTTGATTAGTGTCTACTATATAGTCAGGCCGTCATTGCGAGGTCCGAGCAGATTCCTACTTCGCACGTGGTGGCAAGGGGATGAGCACGGTTGGGGGCGAGATCGAGCTCGAGAGGTTGGTCTGTTCCGTCATTCAGTCGGTCGATAGTCGGATCAAAGGTCGATGATGGGTGCGAACCTTCGGACGGGCATCGTTCGATCTGACGATTTCCTTTCGGTGTAAACTTTCTCGCCTGGAATAATGCAGGGATATGTGGTCGTACGCAGAGAACGATCCACTTAGCATCGTCAGTGAAAAGGCTCCGAGTCGATCGTCGCCGACCCGAGAACCAACTAAGGATCGACTCATTCTCGCTGCTCCATCCTGCTCAATCTCAAAACACTCTAATCTCAAAACAAAACTTGTCGATAAGTGTTCAGCGCTGGATTGCGGTGTTGATGCCGTATTTTCATCGGGAGCGTTCTCCAAGATCAATGAGCGAAAGTTATGCCGCAGCACATGATCTAGTTCGATCTGGTCCTTTCGAACGGGTCACTGCTGCAGGCCAAATGTCTTGAAGCATGCCATAATTGAATTTGCATCACTACGATCGAAAGGTCTATCACGAGATGACCACTGCGTTGAAGTCAATTTCGACTTCTGATCAGGACTTGAAAAGTCGCGTGAGGACTCGAGGGTCCTCTCGATCGCGCAAACTCGGCTCCTTTACTTTTCGCGGGTCGATCGGTCAATGATCCTCCGACGCTCGAGGCAAGGACCTTCTGAATTCAATTTCTCAACCTTGACGGATGATTCCATGGGGTGCTTTGCGGTCCCAGAGCAGACTTTCAGTCGTGATCGCCGGTGAGGCATACGGGTCGCACAGGTTCGACTTTGCGTGAAAACCGAGGAACGTTTCGGTGTCGAATCACGGCATACGCCCGCAAGCAGCTCCCGTACACACACGATTCAGTTGCTACAGACGGAAAGAGCCTATATAAGATGGCTAGGGATGCAATCACAGGGTGGAAGCCAACTCCGAATGGACCACGGCGGGATGCCATCAGCTCGGTCGGCGTAAGCGAGGAGGACAATCGATCCAGTGACTTCGCAGAGATCACTGCAATATACTCAGATGTCCAGTTCTGGTGCTGGATTAGATACAAGAACATTCCATTTGGGTCCTTCCCGGAAGGACCACATCGGAGGCCGCAGGAAAATCCGGCAGGAAGATCCGACGGTTCTCAGACACGCACATATGAGCTCAAAGACCACATGGTATTGCATCAAGGCGCACATACGGAGATATTTGCACATCGAAAATGCAGGGAAGAAACGTCGCTCGAGCAGTTGGGCAAAGAGTCGAGGTGGTCCGTCGTTCTCAATTTCGAGGCGAGCCGGCCGGGCGCTAGGTCACCCACAAGAGTTCGGATGGTTGGAGAAGCCTCCTCGCACAGGACATCGGCAAATATCGAGTCTTGGGTGGCGGAGACAGCAGCGGCAAAGATGAGAGCCTGCATACTCGTCGACGTGCGATCTGTCGCACCAAGCTGAGTTTTGAGGTCGGGGCCGATGGAGAGGAGATCAGCGTCGAGCAGAGCAAGTCCTGCCGAAAAAGTCTGGATCCTCAAGTGGAGAGGCGACGACCATTCTTCCGGGAGACGGACTGAAAACAGTTGCGAGCAGTTCGGAGTCCAAAGAGTCGAGTTGAGCGCAGTTGGGAAACTAAGGCCTGGTGGAGCAATTCAATCGTCAAACATGAGCGATAGTGCACACACTTGCAACACGAGATGTGGAGGGAGAGGACTTCAGGTTGAGGGCATGCACTGACCTTTCGGACGTTTGCGCGCTTAGTGACTCCCAAACGAGTTCGTCGACACATGCGAGGTGAGTGCATGAACAGGCGAGGCGAGAGAGGATGGAGAACTGTGCGTCGCTGAGCGCTGTCCACGACCGAATCACCAGAGTCTGTACGAACGTGCATGTCGCAGAGGTGGGATGGCGATCGCACATATCCAGCTGGCCTAGCGAATTGCCGAGGTCGATTGAGAGTGCGAAGGATCGTCACGGCGCGAAGCCTGATTCGAGCGCCGAGTGGTCCGGAGAAGCCCGAGTCCTGACTGTATGGCTCACCGTGCACAACGGAGGATGGTCTTCGAGGAAGAGGTGGAGGAACGAGGTGGCATGTTGTGGCATGCTGTGGCAAATCTCGAGGGCTTTGCCGGAAAGTCGATTGGTCGGTGCGATCGACGAGGTGGAAAACCCCGTGTCCAAGTCCGGTCAACTTGAACGGCAAGGAGACGAGCGGGAATGTGGGATGTTGAGGTGCAATGGGTGAAACGTAGACGCTCTGTGATTTCGGACGGATGACTCGACGAGCTGGATCACGAGGGCGGGCAGGTGAGTGATTCGCGGGGCAGCCGACATGGGGTGATACTGCTTGAGGCGCAATGCGGATCTCCCATCTCGACGCAATCGTGCTTGAGACTCGTCATGGGATGTATCGAGGAAGGGTGATTTGCAACTCGAATGTAGGGCGTGCGAGGGAAGCTCCATTCGACTGAGCGCTCCCCTTGCAGGTCTTCCGTGATCAACGATCTGCAGTACGCGGTGACACAGCATATCTTCGTCTCATCAGCAAGGAGTGCGAGTCGCAAGTGAGAGCTAAGATCGAAACAGCTCACTGGGGGCGGTCTGAGCGAGTCATCGGAGGTGGAGCAGTTCCGGTCGCGATGGCTCAAGTGAGCAATCGACATAGCCCGGACGCAACTGTGGGTATCTTGGAGCTTGTTATCGAGTCGTTCCAATTGGGGAGGGTGAGGGTGTTGCAGTTGCTAAACGGTGTCATGCTTGCCTTAGCCGGCTCCAGGTGACACGCCAAGTGCCGGGTCGAGTAGGGTCGAGCCGCATGTACCGGGCAAGTGACGTTTCACCATGGCAGCAAGGCGTTGCGTCGCCGTGTCTTCGTGCAGTGAGAGGAAAAGTCGAGCCGAGTCGAATGGTGCGAGGGATCGGCGGATATCGAGTCTTGGGTGGCGGATGCAGCAGCGGCAAAGTTGAGAGCTTGCACGCTCCTCGAATCTGTCGCACCGAGTTGAGTTTTGAGGTCAGGGCCGATCGAGAGGAGATCGAGGTCGAGCAAAGCAAGTTTCGCCAGAAGGGCCTCAATTCTCAATCGGAAAGGGTCGACGATCATTCATCCATGAGCTAGAAACGGTTTCGAGCGAGTCGGAGTTTAAAGAGTCGAGTTAAGCGCAGGCCGAAATCCATGACCTGGTGGAGCGAAAGAAAAGTCAAACATAAGCAAGAGGGCACAGATTTGCCACACGCGGTGTGGAGGAAGGGAAAGCCTTCAGGTTAAAGGCACTCACTGACCTTTCGGACGTTGCTCGTGTTGTGACTGCCAAACGAGTTCGTCCCAAGCGAGGTGACAAGCGAAGCGAGAAGGGATGGAGCACCGTGCGATGCTGATCGCGGTCCATGACCGCATGACCAGGGCTGCTGAAGCGGGTACGAACGCGCATCTTGCAGAGGTGGGATGATGATCGCACGAATAAAGCTAGTCGAGCGAGTCGCCGAGTTGGATTGAGAATGCGAAGGACCGTCACGGTCCGAGGCGGAAATCGAGCGGCGACTCGGGACTTTATGTTTCAACGTGCGCAACGTAGGATGGAGTTCGAGTAAGTTGCAAAGCAATGAGGAGTGTGCCGTGGAACATCTCGAGAGTTTTGCCGGGAAGTCGATCGGTCGGAGTGATCGACGAGGTTGAAAGCCAGTGTGCAAGGACGGTCGAGATGTTTGCAACGACGAGTCGGGACATAGACAGTCTGTGGTTTTGGGTGGATGACTCGACGAGGAGGATGAGGGCGCGGGAGGTTGCGTGAATCGCGGCGCGGTCGAGACGGGGTGCAAGTGCTTGAGCCAATGAAGGTGTCGATCTGGACATCGACGAAATCAGTCGAATTGTGCAACAGATGTTCCGACAAGCCCCGAGCTTGCCGCGTCGATGAGACCCGTCGATCGAGATGTTAGGGCCAGTGATCGCATGCGAGTGGTCGCTCGACGTTGACGACGCGGGTGAACGATGTGGGGGTGGCGGAGGTGATCGTGACAGGTCGACAGTGGCGTTCGGGGCCGGGCAACGAAAATCGAGTGATGTGTGCCTCGATTCCAGGCCACAGGAAGGGCGGTGATCTTTCGATGGTGCTGATGAGGGATGTGCAGACTGTGGTCGAACAAGTCACAGAGTGATTCGGTGCGAAGCTCAGGTGCCAGCGAGTCGGCCAACGCGCGATCTAAACTAGAGTGATGCGCAGCAAACCCGACCATGAGGTGAGCGAATATAGTTCCCGCTGAATACTATCTGAATGAAGAGCTCACCACACGCATCAATCGAGTAGTGAGGGGGCGATCGGGGTGATCGAAGCGATGCGCTGACCGAGCACGTGTCCGACCGAGAACGCTCGAGCGATGCATCGACGTGGATTAAATTCCCACGCTCCTGAACGAACGATCCCTCGCGCCGAGTTTTTTTGAGGTCGGGGGCGATGGAGAGGAAGTCGAGGCCGAGCAAAGCAAGTTCGCCAGAAAAGTCTGGACGCTGAGTCATCAGTGAGAGCTAGAAACGGTTTCGAGCGAGTCGGAGTCTAAAGAGCCGAGTTGAGCGCAGGCGGAAATCCGAGACCTGGTGGAGCGAATGAAATGTTCAACATGAGCAAGAGTGCACATACTTGAAACACGAGGTGTGAAGGAAGGAGCGGCCTTTAGGTTGAAGGTATGCACTGACCTTTCGGACGTTTGCTTGCTAAGTAAATGCCAAACGAGTTTGTCGACACCAAGCGAGGGGAGATGGAACACCGTGCGTTGTTGAGCGCAATCCATGACCGCATGTGCAGAGTTGATGAAGCATTTACGAACGTGCAAGTCGGCGAGGTGGGATGGTACGTATCAGGCTGGTCGAGCGAATCGCCGAGGTTGATTGAGAGTACGAAGGATCGTCACGGTCCGACGCCGAAATTGAGCGGCGAGTGGTCCGGAGAAGCCCGAGTCGGGACTTTATGCTTCGACGTGCACCACGTAATAAGGAGTTCGAGTAAGATGTGAAGCAATGAGGAGGTGTTACGTGGCACATCTTGGGAGCTTTGCCCTGAAGTCGATCGGGCGGAGCGATCGACGAGGTTGAAAGTCAGCGTGCAAGTCCGGTCGAATTAAACGGCAAGAAAGACGAGCGGGCATGTGGGATGTTGAGGTGCCATGAGGTGAAACGTAGCGCTCTGTGGTTTGGACAAATGACTCGACGAGCCGGATCACGAGGGCCGGCGATTGAGTGAGTCGCGGCAGGGTCGAGACGGGGTCGAGACTGGGTGATAGTGCTTGAGGCAATGCGGGTCTCCCATCTCGACATCGACGCACTCGTGCTTCAAACTGGTGGCGAGAGGTACCGAGGGATGGTGATCTGCGGGCTCGAATGCTGGGCGTGCGAGCTTGTAAGCATCGCTGCGAAGTTCCGTTCGAAGGAGCGCTCCTAGTCCGGGTCGTTCTTGACCAACAATCTACACTGTGCAGTGACGCGACAAATCTTGATCGCATCAGCAAAGAGTGCAAGTCGCAAGCGAGAGCTCCGACTGGATGGCTCACTGTGTACTGTGGGCGGTCTGAGCCCGTCGTCGGTGGTCGGGCACGTGCTCCGGTCGCTAGGCTCAAGTGGGCAATCAACACAGCCTGGACGCAGCTGTATATATCCATGAGCTCGGTATCGAGTCGTTGAAGGCCGATTGGCGATGATGAGGGTGTTGCAGTTGCTGAAGACGCGTCGTCGCTTGCCTCAGCCGGCTCCAGGTGACCCGTCACGTGCCGGGTCGAGTAAGGTCGAGCCGCTCATACCGGGCAAGTGACGTTTCAACGTGACGGCAAGATGTTGCGTCGTCGTGTGTTTGTGTCGTCGTGTGTTTGTGTCGTCGTGTGTTTGTGCACTGAGAGGAAAAGACGAGTCGAGTCGAGTGGTGCGAGCGATCGGCGAATGTCGAGTCTTGGGCGGCGGAGGCAGCAGCGGCAAAGATGAGAGCTTGCACGCTCGTCAACGAGCGATCTGAGTTTTGAGGTCAGGGCCGATAGAGAGGAGATCGAGGTCGAGCAAGGTAAGCTTCGCCGGAAAAGTATCGATCCTCAAGTGGAAAGAGTCGACAATCATTCATTCGTGAGAGCCGAGAACGGATTCGAGCGAGTTGGAGTTTAAAGAATCGACTTAAGCGCAGGTCGGTATCTGAGACCTGGTGGAGCGAAAGAAAAGTCAAACATAAGCAAGAGTACACACACTTTCAACACGACGTGTGAAGAGAGGTAAGGACTTTAGGTTGAAGGGCCGCACTGACCTTTCGGATGTTTGCTCGCTTTGTGACTGCCAAACGAGTTCGTCGACGACCAGCGAGGTGAGTGCACGAAGCGAAGCGAGGGAGCGCCATGCGACGCCGATCGCAGTCCATCACCGCATGACCAGGGTTGCTGAAGCGTGTACGAATGTTCGACTTGCAGAGGTGGGATGGTGGTCGCCCGTATCAAGCTCGTCAAATGAATCGCCGAGATCGAATGTGAGTGCGCAGGATCGTCACGGTCCAACGCCGGAAACGAGCGCTGAATGGTGCAGAGAAGCCCGAGGCGTGACTGTATGGTTCACCGTGCGCAACGTAGAATGAAATTTGAGTAAAATGTGAACCGATGAGGCATTACGCGGCAAACATCGAGAGTTTCGCAGGAAGGTCGATTGGATGGTGCGATCGACGAGGTTGAAAGCCAGCGTGCAAGGCCGATCGAGTTTGATGTTGACCAGGGCGAGCGGGCATGGGAGATTTAGCACGAGATGAGACTTGGTGTAGTGGCTTTGAACGGATGACTCGCCGAGCTGGATGACGAGCGCGGGAGTTTGACTGATTCGCGGCGGGGTCGAGACGGGTGAAAGTGCTTGAGCCGATGAAGGTCTCGGTCTGGACATCGACGAAATCAGTCGAGTCATGAGATGTTCCGACAGCTCCCGAGCTTGCCGCGTCAATGAGACCCGTTGATTCGATCAAGAAAGAGACGTGAGGGATTGCATTCGTGTGATGGGTTGACGTTACGATGTGGGGGTGGCGGAGGAGATTGGCGTAGGTCGCAGTGCGTTCGGAGTGGAGCGACGAGAATCAATTCGAGACCTCAGCAAAGTTGAGCGCCTCTTCGATGGTGCTGATGAGGGATGCGCAGAGTATGGTCTTACAAGTCACAGAGCGGTTCGGTGCGAAGCTCGGTTGCCAGCGGGTCGGCCAACGCGCGATCTGAACTAGAGTGATGAGCAGCAAAGATAAACATGAAGTGAGCAAATGGGGCAAGAGCTGAGTACTATTTGAATGAAGAGCTCACCACACTCATCGGTCGACTAGCGAGTGGGCGATCGGGGTGATCGAGCCGGTGCAATGACCGAGCACGTGTGCGACCCAGGACACTCGAGCGATGCATCGACGCAAGGCTAGCACGCTGCTGAAAGTGACCACGCCCTTTCAGATCAACCTGTTCAGCGTATCTTGCTGAAGATGACGATGTTGGAGTCGTTGATATTCATGTCGTGCGACGTCGCACCGTGCCCACCTCAGTCGGCTTGAGGTGACACGTCGAGCTGTAGTTGAGAGAAATCGAGTTGCATCTTGCTGATTGAATGGCGCATGCGAGCGATGTGAAAGCATGTGACGTCGAGCTGTGGCGTGGTGCGATCCGTGCCGAGTCCGAGTCGTGTCAAGTGGTGCGAGTGGTGCGAGTGAGTGGGGAGAGGGAAAGGAGCGTTGGCGCGCGCGAACGTGAAGTCGAGCCTATACATGCAGTGGGGTTGCAGTACAGACACGAGATCTGCGGTACAGACATGATAATTTCGAATCATCATGAGTACTAAAATACACATGCTATCATGTTCTCCTTGCAGATTCAAAGTAATTCTACTCATATAATTGTTCAACAGCATCAGTTTTATCTGATATTATGGACCTAAAATCAAGGGACGGACATGTCCGTCCCGCAGACCGCCGTGTCCGCAACCGCGACCGACAAGTGGACGGACATGGGTTACGGTACGGACACGAGATCTGCGGTACGGACATGGCAATTTCGAATCATCATAAGTACTAAAATACACATGCTATCATGTTCTCCTTGCAGATTCAAAGTGATTCTACTCATATAATTGTTCGGATCTAGATGTGTACCTAAAATCAAGTGGACGGACATGTCTGAACATTTGTTCTGGCCCAAGGACTAGGGGCAGTGGACCGCGCGCGCCAAAGTCTTCAAGGCCACAACAACTAGTGTAATTGAATATACTCAAAGCACAATGCCATATTAGCACAGATTAAGCATGTACACACCAGTTGGGATCGGGACAGATTCACAATAAACTTATCTACGTCTACAAGTCCTCAAGTCTGTGGTGCCTCAGCTCCAGCGATACCCGAAGCCCGAAATGGGAAACCCATTTCGGAGATCGCGAGCGCCGGTGGCCGAAGGCGGAGAGTGCCGCTGCCCCCACCCCTCTCTCCAATACCACAGGATGCTCGCGCGAGCTTCTTTTCAAGCGCCTCGCAGGAGTCTGTGGCATGTGGTATTTCTTTGCAAGCGAGGCGCGGGAGTCTGTGGTAGGGAGTCTGTCGTATCTGACAGGCCGGGCGCGGGCGTGTCGAATAGCACAAGATGCTCGCGCGAGCTTCTTTGCAAGGCAGGCGCAGGAGTCTGTGGTATCTGACAGGCTGGGCGCGGATATCACATAGCACAAGATGCTCGCGCGAGCTTCTTTGCAGGCTAGGCGCGGGCTTGTCAAATGGCACAGGGTGCTCGTGCGAGCTTCTTTGCAAGGGTCTCTCGGGAGTCTGTGGTATGTGGTATGTGGGAATTGCCCATATATATAGGTTCCCAACGATCGAGTCATACTGGGCTGGGAGCGACCGAACGAGCATGCCTGCAAACAACCAATGCGGAAGCGGAGCTCCGAGGTTCTGAAAATCGGTCATGGCAATCTTGACCTTGTTGACGAATTCTTTAAATGGGATATCCCCAGCGTAGGGTTGTGCCAGAGTATTGAGGAGGTCCATAGTATGACTCGGGCGACCGTGAGAGTGGAGGCCTCGGAGGGTGTCCCACATCTCGTACGCCGAGGTGAGATGTATCAGGTGAGACATCTGCTCCTCAGAGATCGAATTGGCGATGTATTTGCATGCCAAGTCGTTGCGGCGGATGGCCCGTTCGCGATATTCCGCGACCTTGTCCGCAACTTGAACGCTGGTGAGCCTGGGCAATTCGTCCGAGTGCGCAGAACCAGAGCCCCCCCCCCCCCCCCCCCCCCCCCAAGCCCGCTAAAGCCGGGGGAGGCTGGTTCAAGTGGCGCGACGGACGCCGTTGGATGTGCGATAACGAGCGTGGACCGATAGTCCGCGACAAGGGAGTCGATGGATTGGTTGACGACATCCCATAGTTTGTCGGCTCGAAGATTGATAAACGCACGTTGTGACCAGCTCTTGTACCCTTGTGTGTCCTTGAGGTACAAGCGATTGCCCGACCCGTTAGAGAAGTCGGATTCGCTCGTTGAGCTCATAAGGGGTGGGATCGGTGAGCTATCGTGGAGGTCGTTCACCGCCAAACCGGTTTGGAGTGCGGCCAGTACTCGTGGGATCATCTCGTGTACCACGGATGAAGCCCGCACGTCGGGATCGGGATCGGGATCGGGATCATGCGGCCGATCTTGTCTTTCTATTCGATCCATACGACGGGCGTAGTAGAAGCGACGGGCGAACCGATCGCCGGAAAAGGTGTGTGCAGTGGTCCAAATAGTAGTCGACGAGCACCTGACCCAGAAAACGCGCGAGATCGTGCGTTAGAAAGTGTTGTGAGCGGTTGGGGGAACGAGGAAAGGGAAAAGGAGAGCGTTCCGAGTCACTGACGCTCTGCGTGGCAACCGCACATCGTCGGGCTCACAAAAAGGGGGTTCAGAGCGCGCCGTGCGATCGAGCGGAGCGTTCGCCACCACTCGCCGCCGCTCGGGGTTGCGGTTGCGTCCTAGGTCGTACCGGCTCGGCCCCATCATCGGTGTCGAGTTTACCTTTTTCACGGTAGTGCTTCGAGGTGAACGACCAATTCGGACCAACCCTCATTTACCATTAGCACTTGCTCACATCATCTAGCATCATCACCCCGAGTCTTGGCCATTCTTGCTCAAGTTAGGAAATCAGTTCAGATCGTCGCACGAGTCGCCTTCGTTCTCTCGTTCAAAAGGTCTGCCGATGCTTATTCGCGAATCGACTCGTCGATCTCATTGCAATCGACCCCCCAAAAAAAAACCCAAAGTACTGCACACACAAAAAATTATCGTCACGACCTCGTGACCTCGCTCATGCGGACTGGGCCTTCCTGAAGAATTCTGTCACGTCCGTCGCCGAAAAGTCCAACCCGACCTTGTCGTCCTGCCAAAGTGGAAAAAGGTCCGATCAGAAAACAATACTCTCACCAACCCAACGAACACCGAGTCCTCACCCCCAAGAACGTACCGAATAACATCTCTCCAACAGTGCCCTCCACCCCCCGGACATCCTCAACATTTCGTCCTCGCACGCCTTCCAAACCGTCTTGAGCACCTCGGAATGCTGCGCCGCCTGATGCGTAACTTCCCCTCCAAAATGCTTATCGACGCGCTTGTACAACCCATCGACGGCTTTCCTAACGTCCTTAGCGCGTAAGTCACTCAGCGCTCGCCGGACGGCGGCTTTGGTGTAGGCCGAGTGGAGGGAGACTTCGTTCGGTGGTGTCGTGCGCAGTAGTTGTTCGAGGCCGGTGAAAAAGTCCTGTGGGGCCCAATTTGGCAAGTGACGAGTCAAATATCGACCCCGATCGCAGCGATCACGTATAGGCTGCACGATTAATGAACCCACCAAAGCGCGAGCCAGAGGTCGTCGCAGGATGAGGCGGATGTAGGCATCCAGATTCTGCGTGTACTTCTCCTTCGCTTGCCCGACGAACGGTTCGAGCGCGAGCACGCGCTGCTGCTTCGAGAAGACGGCGATGATGTGGTGCATATTTTCTATTCGATGCGGTCAACAACTAGTCGTCAGTCACACCCCCCGAGCTCGACGCTCGTGCCAAAAATCCGAACTCACCAATGAGAATGACATGATAATTCAATTGATCCTTGCCTTCCCCACCCTGACCCTCGCCATCCATCTTGGCCATCTGCTGCAAACAATCCATCATCGTACTCGTGACGCTCTCGTAATGTCCATCCACCACATCCCTGATCGGCAAATCATCACAGCCTTCGAGTTGGGCCTCGATGCGTGCGACGAAGATGGGGAACACGCGCACGAAGGGTACGACGCCTTTGCGCTTTTTGAGCGTGAGCTTGGTTTGTTCGATCCCTTTGATTTGTTCCTTCTGCTCGTCGTCGCAGGATCCACGTGAGGTCAGTGGTGCGCCCCATTGGATCGTAAAGGATGAAACGAACGTACGATCTGCCGCTCGAGCGACGAGATGGATTTCGAATGCTGGCGCTGGAACAGCCGCAACAAGAACTCGATCCTCTCCGCCTCGCATTGCAAGATGAACCGATCGAGCGTCGCAATGATCCCGACAATTTGCCTGTTCAACAAACACAAACGTCTTAAATTAGCGCACCAATCCTCTTCCTCTTTGCTCAATCGAAGAGAAACTCACATCGGATCCATCCTCAACACCCCCTCGATCCATTCCTTCAACTCGTTCTCCAAGAACTTGCACACCAACTCCATCGAGCCCTTGATATCCTTCATCTTGCCAAAGTTGGCGTTCAAATGCTGCGTAGCCGCTCTTCGGAAAAAGGTCTCGAGCATCATGTAGTCGGCAAAAGTGATGGAGGCTTCGAGGGAGTTGACGTGCAGGAAGTCGGCGAGGAAGCCTTGTTCGCGTTGGACGTGGGGCACGATTTGTTCTAGTGCTCGACCAAACGCCTGCCAGAATCGCAGCATGGATTCAGCAAATGCATTTCTCTCCAACAACATAGGAATTGCATCCTCTCGCTGTCGCTCGCACTCACCTCACTAGCGCTCATCTTTGCCTCCTTACTACCCTCACTATCCTCCCTCTTCCTACCCCCATCAGCCACACTTCGAACGAGCGTCCCAGGCCTCCTTATCGAATGCTGCCTCAACGTCGGCGATTCCTTGCTCGCGAAGTGCATCGCTTCCAATTCATCTTCGGGGGTCTTGCGAATCCCCGCCTTGAAGGACGCGAGAAGTTCTTGGATTTCGGAACGGTAAAGATCGGACATGACGCAGTGGTAGGTCTGCATCAAAGATCCCGAATCTTCAATACCCACGACCACGGACCGACAACGAACGGCCGCGCGCGCCTCGGGCCCGCTCGAAGAAACGTACCGAACAAATCTCCTCGTACCGCTCGAATTCAATCTCCTTGACGAAAAGCATGATGCCGCAATACCTGCCCAAGAACTCTTCCAACTGTTCATGCGCCGGCAAGGTCCCGTCCTTTTTCATCTTGGGGTCCTTGGGATGCAGCACGCCATCGACTTGGAACTTGAACATGATGGTGAGAAAGTCCAAGACCCTCTTTGAGAATCTGGTCGCGGTCGCGCGGTATTCGGCGACCCGTTCGGACGCGACGAGCATCTCCGTATCCCGCGTCGACAAGAGGGCTTTGTACAACGACACGGCCGCTCTCTCGAGCCTCTCGATTCCGGAGGTCGATTCGAGTGATTCCTGGGCCAGGGCGGCGAGGTCTTCTTCGGGGATGTGGATCGTCGACATGAGCTTGTCGATCTCGGATAAGAGTTGACGTTGGTTCGAAGTCTGGACTTGCAAACCTCGGTTCTGGGACTCGATGTGCGCAATATCGTCCGTCATCAACTGCGAGAGAAAAAATAAAAAATAAAAAAAATAACACACTCCAAGTGAGTCACTTCATTCAAGAAAACACCCTGAATACCCCCACACACTCGGTTCGAGTGACCCACATTCAACTGCGTCTTGTACATGCCCATCGTCAACTCCATGACCTCCAACTCGGCCAAGGTCTGATCCAAACATTTGACGACGTCCTCGACGCGATCGTCGGATTCCATAATCGCATGAATCGACGCCGCTTCCAAAGCCTTCAATTCGCCAATGAGCCGTTTCTCAATCTCGTCGGCCCTCGCAGCACCTTGTCTTCGAACCGAAGAAGACCCAAAGGAGGTTCCGTCGCCGGAGGATATGCCGATCCCCGCTCCTCTCCATTCGAAACCCTCCAACATCTCCTCAACGTTCATCAAAACGGTCTCATCATCAACCATCTCATCCGCCGTCTTGAGCTTCTTGACGCCGACCGTACCCGGCATCTTGGACGGACCCGCACCTCCAATCCCCTCGACCTTCCCGACGCCCGCAAAGTGTAAACTCGTCGACGAACCGGGCACCGCCGGTGTCCCAGGCGAACTACTGTTGGGCCCTCCCTCCGCTCCGATCGGCTGATTGGCCCTAACGGCCGAAATCTTCAACCCCTGCGCCGCCGCGACGGATCGCTTCCTCTCTCCCAACCTAGCCCTGATCTCCAACTTTTGCGAACTCGCTTTCGCCGCTGCCGCCGCCGACGACGACGCGCTGACGACGGACATGGAGTTCGTCGAAGCTGACATCGGGGGTGCTTGACCGCTTGGTCTTCGTAGATTGGACGCGTTCGTACCTATCGGTATTGTAGTAGGTGGTCCATTCGAAGAAGAAGAGGGGGAGGGGGAAGTAACGAGGGGGTTTCTCGTCGAAGGGGAGGAAGGTCTTCTCGGCGTTGGAGCGAGTGCACCGAACGAATTTTGGAAAGTGGGAATCGAGTTCAAAGTGGTGGATGAATTCGGTGGTTGTAGATTACCCATGGGTGGTGGTGGTGGTGGTGGAGGAGGGGCGGCGTCGATTCGGTAATTGGATTGGATTGATGGATCTCTTGAGCGTGGACCTTGGTTCGGTGCGGGACCGGATCCGCCGAGGGGAGAGGAGGTGTTGGAAGGAACCATCATCATCGCTGCTTGGACGGGGGGCATCGGAAGGGGGGAGGCGTGGTTTTGTGGGACGGGTCGCCTCCCGCTTCCGTTCGAGACGCTCGAAGCCGATGATCCGGGTCGATGGAAGTCGTGGCCCGGACTGGGGCCGGAAGGCGTTCGCGTCCGCGGGCTCATAGCTAACGGTTGTGAAGCGCCTCCGAGATGAGGCGAGGCGGGGAAGGTGGAGGGTTGCGCGTTGTCGACTGCGAATCCGAGCAAGACCAGATCGGGTTGACCTCGACCTGCAGCGAACGGCGCATGTCGAGAGGTGTGAGTGAGCTGCTCGTGGGACAGTCAACGAGTCAAAGCGCGCAGCTTCACCGTTCATGAACCTCCTCCAACATCGCACGACGGTGACGAGAAAGGCGGCCTGTTGGGACGAGGGCATGTTGGTCTTGTATCGGTAGGCTTTACCGGCGATGGTGAGGACGAATTCGAGCGGCTGGGGGAGGGGAGGGGAGCGTAGCTTCTGTGGTCAGTTGAGGCCCGGAGCGCATGTGGGGGGAGCGAAGACGAAGACGAAGACTGACCTGCGGATTCGGGTATCCGTCGACCATACGCTGAGCACCCAAGCTGCACGATCAGCCTCACCGTTGAATTCGAAGTATACCCTTTCGACTGGCTCATGGCTCACCTTTGCGACCTCGACCTGAGTGAGCTGCTCGAGCGGCCAGGTCTTGCCGATCGAGAAGGTGCCGTTCGAGTTCTGTTTCGCCTTGTGCAACCTGAGTCGGCCATCCCTCGCGGCTGGTGGAGCGGTGAAAACAAAAGACGAGGGGTCAGCGAGGTGGGTTGCTCTGCATGCCGAGGCTCGGTTGTTGTATGGGGACGGACCGGAGAGGATGAGGAAGCGCGCTTTGATCGGGGGTGGTTGACCCGGCTGGGCGTTGATGGGTGGGACGACCTCCCACGTCGGACAATACGCGACATAACGATCATTCGCTGCGGCCCAAGGAGGTCTCATCAGTCTCGCTGAACGGCCCAGTCCGACAGCGTCGTCTCTCTCCCGGGCCAAGCTCACGTGGCGCGCTCGATCCGGGCGGAGGCGTGAACAGTGAGCCGATGATCGCTCGTGAATGGTCGTGCGTGGCCATGCTTTTGCCCCGAGGGGGAAGGGGGGATCTTACCGGCCGAGTCTGTGCGGTTGGTCGTGCAGAGTGGAAAAGAAGGGGGCGGGCTAGTATCAGAGCTTGGAGCGAGAGTTGAACCGGTGAGCGTGTCACAGGTCACGCGCGCTAATAAGGCACTGCGAGTCAATGGAGCATTAGTCCAGAGGGGCAGCTCATTACAAATGATCCCCGGGCCGCGCTCGACATTACAAGTCCAATCGGCCAAGACCGCGACCGTGACTGTCTATGCCATTCACCACCCACCCACCCACCCTCCACACCTTGTCGCACCATGTCCTCCACCCGCTCCAACCCGACCTACGCCAGCACGCCTTCGCATCTCCTCGACGCGCTCAAACAACTCTCCACATGCGAAGCAAGTCGATCCGTTCCTCTGCTCTGCTCCCGCTCGTCCAACTCGCCGCGCACGACCCCTAACCCACACACACCTTGCCCCCCCCCCCCCGCCCCCCTCCCCTCCTGGCTCTTCTCCTGCCACCCGCACGACCTCGCAGATCTCGGACGCGCTCGTCAAGCTGCAGATCCCCTCCGGAGGCCACGTACCCGACCTACAACCGTTCGGGGCTAACCCCACCTCAGCAAAGGACAGACTCGTCGGTGAAGTGTTTACCGTCCAGGTCCGTTTCGCCGGTACAGTTCCCCAGAATCGACCCTAGCTCCAGACCGAGGCATAGCTCTGATCTGGCTCACCCCAATCGAACATAGATGGTCGATGCGAACGACTCACAGGCGCCCAAGCTGGACGGAGGACACTTTGTAGGTACTCTCTCTTCCCCGAGTCGACGCGGTCCGAAAGAGCAGCAGCAGCAGCAGCTCATCTCCCCCTCCCTCCCGTCTCCTCAATCACAGGTCGACCAGGCCCTTCCAGGCAGTATCGTCTTCATTTCCTCGCCTCATCGTAAGCCCTCGGATAGTATCCACCAGCGCCTTTGGACCTCCCTTCCTGACTGACTCGCGCCTGACGACGAGCAGACATCAAGTCCGCTTCCCTCGGTGGCCTCCTCGCCGCCGGTCTGCACGTCAAAGGTGTGCAAGCCGTCTTCATCGATGGGAGGTGTAGGGATCTACCAGAGATCCGAACCCTGGGGATGCCTGTCAGTCTTTTCGAGTGCAACCCTATATACTCTGCCGCAACTCGGATCGACCCCCCACCCCCACCCCCACCCCCACTTGCACTAACCCCTCTCCTCGGCATGTAAAAAATAGGTCTGGGCGAGCTCTCACTCGACTCTAGGTCAATCACCCTTCACCCGACCTTCGACGATCCAACAACCGCTGACGATCACCCACCCCCACTGGCCCGCTCTGACCATCTCCCCGCACGACGTCTTGATCGCCGATCTCGACGGCGTCGTCGTCGTACCCTCCGCCAAAGTAGAGCAAGTGGTCGAGTTGGCGATCAAAGCCAAGCAAGTCGATCAAAACTGTATGAACGATATCCTCGAGGGGAAAGGGATCGCAGAAACTTTCGCCAAGCATCGAGGCAAGACGGGGAAGCATTAGCGTGGACGCGGGAGCTTCGTAAAGCGTAAGAGGTGGTATTGGTTTGACCTTTGCTTTGCGACTGCAATTGCACTTTATCCCCCACCCTCTAAAACTGATACAAGATCGAACCGGGCCTCGATAACTTTTCCCTCTCCCTCTCCTCTTCCTCACTAGGTACGTTGACCCCACCGACTGCGCTGACCAAACCTTCCTTCCTTCCCCTCTCCCTCTCCTCCCTTTCAAGATCCTTCCTCCCCCTCTCGAGCTTGTACTCTTCCACTTCCCTCTCCCCTTCCTTAACACCTCTCCACTCCCTCCCCCTCGCACGACTCTGAACCCTACTCCTCTGCGCCTCAACGAACCGACCCCTCAACCTAATCTGTACTTTCTGCCACTGTTCCTCCGTCAAAGGAACGACCTCGAACGCATTCATCGTCTTAACCCTCTTCTCAAACAACGCACTTCTTCCTCCTCCTCCTCCTCCAGCTGCTACTGCTACTCGTTCATTCCGCGCACTCAACCCCAAAGCCAACGTCATCGGTAATCCCATCAATCGTAAAGCTTTATCCTTCTCACTCAAACCACCCATCCCATCCCCATCCCATCCCCATCCCCGCCGAACCTACTAAACCGATACGCGTATTCTCGATCGGGGAGGGGAAGGAAGAGGGTGAGAAAGAGGGCGAGTTGGCGGAGGTTCGTATTCCCGTGGTTGATTGGAGTGTGGCGATGAGGTTGGGGGAAGGGAGTAGGTATAAGAAGATGAGGATGAGCGCTTGCGCGATTTCTATAAATGACACGAGAGGGGGGGGGGGGGGTTTAGTTTCGACTCTTTGACCCGACCAATGGACGAGAGGAGAGAATTTGATCAAAACGTACCAGTATGATCCTCGACCTGACCGATCGCCCAACCCTCTTCCAAAACGACCTCTTCCCCTTGCCCTTCCCACAACACCTTGGCCAACCAGACCAACCCCTCCGCACAAACCGAGGCAGGCCAACTCAACCCGACCGTCGTCCTACCCAAATCGACCCCGAGCACGAACACCAATTTCGCGAATCGTTTACCCGTGCCGAGCGAAAGACACAATCTCACGATCGCGGTGAACAAGTCGGTTTGGGGTAAGTTCTCGGTGAGGGTTGGATCGAGCGATCGATGGAGGTTAAAGTTGAAGGAAAGGGATTGGAGCAAGAGACGTTCGATCGCGATCAATCGCGGACGATGAGCTTCGAGTGCCTGTGATCAAGTCGAAAGAAAAAAAAGAAAGGGGGGGAGAGATTCGTTTGAGCGAGAGAAGGTAAAGGTGTCGTTAGGACCCGGACGCGCAACTGACTTGGGGGTCCCCTTCGCCTAGGCCGTTCCCCCCTTGAACGATCTGGTTGACTTGCGATCCGGCGATTTGAATCTCGCGTAGCTTTTTGAGCGTGTCGTGTAGCTTGGAAGCGACGAGTAGAGCGGCCAAGCTGACATCCTGATGATGGATGAAGAGAGGTATTGGAAGATATGAGGGAATTTGTACGCCTAACCCTAGTAGTAGTAGTAGTAGGATGCGACGTACCTGGTAGGCGAAATCCTTGAGCGGATGATGAAGATGGAATCTATGCCAACACGATTGAGCAGTCGCGATCGTCCTCCTCGGACTAGAAATCGCCCATGATCATCATCCTCCATCAGCTTTGGGAGATGGTGCCACTCGCGACAGAGAGCTTCTCTCCACTCACAAACCCAACCTCATGCCGACCCTCTCGATGAAGCCGATCGCCACCTGTCGCATCTGCTGGATCCTGACCAAGCTCATCTGCTTGCGTTCCCAACTGCCTTCTCCGACGGGTACGCGCATGTAGGCTTGCAACTGAATGAGTTCGAGCACTTCGGAGGGGGCGTAGTACGGTCGGAATCGTTGCGTTCGAGAGAGCGGGCGCGCAAGGGGGGTGGTGGCCATGGCGGTTGGAGTGGGTACGGGTGCGGGTGCGGGTGCGGGTGGGGCGGGGTGGGAAAGGGTGGCTGCCATCGCTGCACGAGTGCGAGGGTCGTGAAAGCAAGAGACAGTGAGTGGGGGCAGGGAGTGAGGCTGACCCAGGCTGGACCAGGCGGGCGGGTCGGCGACGCTAACGGTCTTGCAATTATCGAATACTAATCGCCACTGGTCGAGTCTAGTGCCGCAATTCGACACGCGGCGCGCTCTCTCACTCGCTCTCCCCTTCTCGCTCTCCCCTGTCATTGCTCATTCTTGCTACACGGCCACCTCAATACGCCCAACCACACCTCCATCCCCAAGCGCCAGGATGGGCTCCCCCTCCTCGACCTCGACCTCGCTCGCAGGAAGCTGCAGTTCGCTGCCGACCCTCCACGAATCGACGACGCTCCCTCCTCGAGAACGGATGGACGTCGTCGCTTATTACGCCGAGCTGTTGGCGAGCGATGATGTGAGCGCACACTTTGGCGATCATCACCGGGCGCGCCCAAGATCTCGCGAAAAGCTGACTCGCTTCCCCCTATCCTGCCCCCCCCCCCCCTCCCCTATCCTGGCCCCCCTATCCTGGCCCCCCAGTCCCTAAGCATGCCCATAGCAGCGATCGAAACCCTAGCCCAACTCATCTCCCGATCCGACTCTTCGACGACCACGACCGAGCTCTTCTCCCTCTTGGACCAAGCCTCGACCCGTTTAGCTCGAGCGAGTTTCAACCCCATCTCCTTGACCTGCGGAACGTCCTTGTTCGTAAGTGCGCAAACCGTTTCACTCGAATTCCAATCGCTCCCATCTCATCTCATCACTAAACCCACCTCCTTCCCCCGGGTCCCAGCTGCGCTTCCTCACCCTCCAACGACCCTCCCCCGATACGTCCTTCCAAGAATTCAAAGCCGAACTCGTCGCCCGCGCCCGCGAATTCGTCCACGAATCGGGGCGGTGTCGTCAGTTGATTTCGGGCGGTATGAATGAGTTTGTTCGAGATGGCGCGGTGAGTTTGATTCCGGAATGAAGATGAAGATGGGGGGTAGCCACATGGGGAGTGGGCTACTGATTGATCATATCGCGGGGGGGGGGGTTACGGGTCGCGCAGAATATTCTCATTCACAGCTACAGTGTAAGCTTTGATCGCGCACCAGCTGTACGACTTTTCAAGAGGGAGCCTGTACCCAATCTCTAAGCGTCTAATATCATTACAGCGAGTCGTCGTCCAAGCCCTGCTCCACGCCGCGCAGCAACAAAAAAAGTGCTTCCAAGTCTACGTCACCGAGTCGAGGCCCGTAGGTCCCGAATCCCCCCCTTCTTCCAACACTCCCATCCTCACACCACTAACACCCCCCACCCTTGCTCACCTTGCCCTAAAAAAGTTCGGCCTCGGATTGAAAACCCAAGCGATCCTCGAGCGAGCCGGAATCCCCTGTATCGTCGTGCTCGATTCGAGCGTGGCGTACATCATGCCCAAGTGCGATTTGGTCATCGTGGGCGCCGAGGCGGTGTAAGTGCCCCCCCCCCCCCCCCCCCCCCCCCTTTTGTTTTGCAGTGGTGTGTGGGAAGAGCGTAAAAAAGTTTCAGCAACTGATGCTTGCTTTTTTTGTTTTGTTTTGGTTGGGGTGGGGTGGGGGTGCGCAGTTGCGAGAGTGGCGGATTGGTCAATTTCGTACGTCGTCGGAGGAGCAGAAGGAAGGGGGAAACGCTCGATGACTCCTATCCCATCTTTATCAACAAAGATACCTTGCAACTGACTTCATCCGAAAAATATTTCTAGATCGGGGGCTACCAAGTCGCCGTCGTCGCCAAAGCCATGGGAAAGCCTCTGTACGGTAAGTCACGTCACACTCAAAGACTCATCTCATGTCCCACGATTCTACCTATCCATCATCGAAACCTTCGCCACGAACGACACTCGGTCCCCTTCGTACAACACACCTACTTCTCCTTCTAATTTCCTTCCCTCCCTTCCGACGTTCCGGCGGAAACGCCAAGGCTTTCGCCCTCGGAACCGAGAAGATGAGGTCGTACGACTGGATTCAATCCAAGGACTAAAGGTCTTTCTGAACCCTCCCTTCGAATTCCCGTGATCGATCGTCATCACCACTTTCGAGACGTAGGAAAAAAGGGAGAAGCTCCTTTCCCATCCATTCGGACTGGAAAAGTCTGAAGGCGTGTCTCGAACGCTGTCATCGGAGAAGGAAAGCATCTTCTGAACGTCCCACGCGCGCGCGCGCGCGGGTCGGAGGGGGGGACCTTCCCGAATGGGAAAGCTGAGGACCGTGCGCACGTTTGTGTCGGATTGCTGTCGTCCTCGGTACGGCGGGGGTAATGAAGAGGGGCGCGATGATAGGGGGGGGGCGGCGCTGATGTAACGGCCCCCGTATTGGTGATGGGATCGTGTGACTGACTCCTGAAAACTCCTTATCGATGATTCCCCTCTCGCGCACCCCCGACTTTCGACCCCTTTTTTCGCTGTTCAAAACCAACCCGATCCCGACTTCGAAACCCCCACAGCCCTCGCCGAATCGTTCAAATTCACTCGGCTATTGTAAGCCTCCTCGTTCATTATAATTTCGTTCTCCTCCCCAACTCGTCTGACCTTACCCCATCTTGGCCCCGCGCCCTCTCCCCCACACAGCCCCTTGTCGCAATACGACCTCCCAACAAGTTTACCGAACCCACCGCTCACGTTCCCCGACCTCACGACCACCTCCCCATCCATACCGCACGCACGTGAATCCACCACCACCACCACAACAACAACAACAGCCTCGGACTCCACAGTCGACCCCTCCCCCTCCTCCCAGAAACGCCGCACCCGCACCTCCGAAGCTACAAGTCGCTCGACCGCGCTCCCTCCGACCCCTTCAAGACCGATGATCGACAGCGCAATGCCCCAAGCCCTAGAAATGACGGACCAGATGGTAAGGAACAACCCTACGTTGGATTATACGACTCCGGATTTGGTACGTTCCCTTCCTTTTTTCAACTTTTGAGATCCCAAGCCGTGTTTTTTTTTGACCTCGATTTGACGCGCTATCGGACCTCGACCTTTTAGATCACGTTGATCATCTCGGATTTGGGCTGCTTGACGCCTTCGGTAAGTTTTGATCATTCATTTCTGTAAGTTCGGAGTCGTATGGGATCGATGATTGACCGAATACCCCCCCCCCCCCCCCCCCCCCCTCTTTTTGATGTTGTAAAAGGGCGTCTCGGACGCTTTATTGTCGATCTTTGGAGGGACGTAATAGGGTTTACATCTATAGATGAACGCCAGTGTTTAGGGGGGATAGAGGGTTGAATCTTTCCTGCAACTCTTTATAATCGTTCTTATGATCGTACTACTTGCGTCGAGTTCGTCCCCACCCCCCCCGAGTCTTGCCTCTTAAAAACACTCACAGCGATCGGTCCGCTTCTCCGCTTTGGTCGTCGACCACTGCATGAACCATGGAAAACCTGTTCAAAAGCTTCTCGCACAGAGACAGAGGTACGAATTGCCCCAAAAAGGCCTCGTTCTCTCCGCCTCCGCCACGAACGACCCATCAAAGTCATCTCATTCGTATGATTCTGACTTGAATTTACGCTCAACGCTCATCAACTCGCTAAAAATAAAAAATAACAGGCGAACGCACCAACCGCACGAAAAGGTCAACGAAGCCCCCAAAAGTCCTGCAGTGAGTAGTAGTGTGCGCTGACGTGCTGACGTCCGGACGTGCCGACGGTGACCGTCGATGGCCACCCCGGGTGCCTTGCGCGGCGCTCACTACACTTCTCTTGACCGCGACTCTCTTTTTTGAACCAAAGCCAGGACTTTGAATCGATTGCTGAAAAAAGGGCAATCCAAAGAAGACGAAAAACTGACTTGGGGGAAAAAGGGGAGACGGGTCCTACGAAAAAAAAATGACATGGCACAAATAGTAGAACCTCGAATCGATTGAAAATAAAATCATCCACACGGCGCAGGGGTGTGTCGAAAGGCAGCCCACAACGGTGAGCTTGGAACGGTTGATCGACGGTTACAAATCGACGGGCGAGCGTTCGAGGCGACGGCCAAGTTGGATGTCTCTTTGCTCATATGCTTTCGGGTCAACATCCCGGGAAGGCTAACGCAATTTGCAAGTTACGGGAGTTTGATCAGCGACGATACAATGATGTGCGTGCCCGGAATGGCAGGCTACGTGGTGTGTAGCCGTGTGGCTGTGTGCTATCAAACGGACTCACATTTCAAAGGTTTGTCAGGAAAGAGGTTCGCGCACGTAGTGCAGCGTCTGACCATGTCGTCCTGGATGTTTTTCTTCCATCTTGGGGCCGTCACTGTCACTGCGGGACGCCGGATTAGACAGTGCGTAAGCTACCTTGAACACCACTAACACCACATGTCGATTTCAGGGAAGCAACCGACCTTCCTGGAGGCAGGTCTCGTATTTGATGTACCAAATTTCATTTTCACAAAGGCACTTTGAGGCGTATTCGTGAATCGAAGCGGGAGGATGACGAGCGGCCTGAGCGAGGCGTGTACAGTTATAATGATGTCCGACGTTCTGCTCGGCGGCCAAAGCCAAGGCGGTCAGTGGAGTCAGTCCAAATGACAAGCGAGTTCGGAAGGACCGCCAGAAGAACGCCAGCACGCACGGAGCTGTCGGCATAGATTTTACAAGTCGAGTCGAAGCTTGCTAGCGCTGAGGGGAACTGGATCGCGAGCCCGACTGCGATGAGTCCAACGAGGTGGAAGCGGACCATGTTTCGTGCGTTGGTTTGGAGGTTCAAGTGGGACTTTGACGAGTGGAGATTCAGTTATGAGAGCACGCAGGAAAGGGGAGGAAACAGACGAGCGTGGCCCGCGGTGGCACGGATTCAGGACAACAGGGGAAGAGGGCCAATTCGAGGCGATTTGGACGTCGCCCGGGCCAGGGTTTTGCCACGTTCAGGGGCTGGCGACTAGCCAAGCTGTTTCAGAGCAGGTACATATCTAGGATCGTCGTGATCGCACCGGTCGACCGTTCGGAGCTTCCAGTATAAGATATCCGTGGCTCCTAGGCAGTGTCGCTGGGTCGGGCGGGTGATGCACAGACCTAGTGAATCAGACGACGCGGGCCAGGTGACTAAAACAGCTCTGCCTTGAGACAGTTCCGGCGGCATATGTGGCAGGTGACACAGAGGAATTCCACTAATCATTATAAAGATCCCAAGCCATCTGATTCGATGCCGAGCTTGGCGTCCGTTGGACCGCTGGGGTAGAGCGGGGAATTTTCCTCGCACGCACAGCCCTGGCGGCGTCGACCCCTTTAGCATCGACCATTTCCAAGACACCGAGGCGCTCGAGTCTCGTCCGAGTCTCACCTGAGCGTGTCTGACCTAGGTCTTCAAAATGCTTGGTCCACCTACCGTCTTGGACGATTAGACCGATTTTGCAATGGATTGAAGAAGAAAACCTCCCGAAACCATTCCCACCCAGCGTAGTTCCACTAGCGCTTGGGCCTCGGGCGGACGGGGACCTTTTACTCATACTAAGGTTCGGCGACGCGCGGACGACCTCACCACCGTAACCGTTGACCCGCTGCAATGTGACGTACTTTGCTGCAACAGCTGCGGGACTGTTCAGTACATAACGGAAATCGAGTGGTTGAATCCGGGAGAGGACCGCGGGAGGCCGATCAAATGTACATAGCCTTCATTTCATGTCACTGAACTACTTTTTGTTCTCTGGGAGCCTGATGATGGGCTCAGACCCGTCATCGAGACTCGCGTCGAGTGTCGCAACATAGCGAAAAACACCCCCTGAAATGGGATGATCCCAGGATCATCTCGAGATCGGGCCCCCGATTTGAGATCGGCGCACCGATTTCAAATGCATTTAAATTCGTGCGCCGATTTGAAATGCGCTTCAAATCCTCGCGGGATCGAACCATCAAGGGTCCGCATTAGATCTGATCTGATCTAAATGTGGGCGTAGTCCACAACCGTGCGAAGAATGCGGGCGAAGCCCGCAGTCGAGCCCTAGTCTGATCTAAACAGTTTCAGATCAGAATTGACGCGCCGCGGGGCGGCGACGAGTCCCTGAACCTCTCAAGCGCGGCGCGGTCGAGTTTAACATCGAAAGGGCATTCATCTCAATTATATACCAGTTGGTAAAAATGAGCTATGTACTAGAAAGCGAGTAGATTGGTCAGGCGCCCAAGTGTCCGAAGCCCGCGAGGCCGATTTCGTCTTCGTCCGAGTCGGCGCTGCTATTGTCGCTGTCCGACTTGATCTTTTTGGCTGCAAAAGGGGGAGGCGCCGCCGGGGGTGAAGAAAGGTCATGTCAGGTTGACTTATGACCTAGTGTTAGGCGCATCGGTGTCTCCACTTACCCTTATTAGTTAGGTCAGCAAAGTCCAATTCGAACTCGGCCTCGTACGCAGACCTCTTCACAGGCGAATGAATGGCCGATGAATTTTGAGGCGTGCCCTGGTATCGTGGTGCCGAGGAGGTCTCAGTATATATATATTTTCCAAAAAAAAACATATGGTTCAAGAGTAAGAGACCATGCTGATGGGGGCCCACCGCTGCACTCACCGATCCGCTGGCAGCAGGCTGAGGTGCACTGGCAAGTCGACCATGGATACGGGCTGCCACCGGGGTCAATTGATAGCGTCCAATCCATTGCTCTTTTCTCTTGTCCTCGTACACATGGATCTGTACGTTGCACATAATCCCACACACATCCTCTGGTTGCAGACTTGTGTGTGCGTATTTTTGTCGATTCGGGTCGTCTGCGAAGGAAACCGGGAAGGGCGTCGGCGCGGCTAGCTCCGTCGGTTTTCCTTGAAAGCGGAGCTGCAACAGCTCCTTCCAAAATTGTAAATATTCCCTTTCCTTTGCCGGATCCTCACTATCCGTCCCCAGCCAAGGAGGGATAGAGGCCTTGATGCTGGCAGGGAAGGGGATGTCGCGGCCAAAGACGTGATTCAAACAGCTGCAGAGGATGCCATTGTGAAACCAGTGTCAGTTGGGCCCCTTCTGCGGGAACTTAGTAGGTGAGGAAAACGCGCACTCACTCTTTTGTGGTCACCACACGGTGGTGGATGTATGCACTATTTGAGTTGCGCCCAAATGGCGATGCCAATTCCGCAAGTTCTAAAGTAGCCGATGGGAAGCAGCAGCAGAATCAGCACCCTGCTCGCACGCCCAACACCGCCTAAGTTCAGCAAGCGGCCCACCTTGAAGATTCTTGGGAAGTTTCCAGTGCTGATGAAGGGCTTGAGACACCCCTCCTTGGAGCCAGTTTCGAAACTTTACGACCTCCGAGTCGGACTCGAACAGCTCCAGTCGACTCTCCCGGTCGAGATCTTCAGGCCTGACGCAATCTCGCTCAAGGCGCCATTGCTGGCTGTTCAGGGGCATATATAGAAGTTTGCGGCATCTTGGTTAGCGCTAGCGTAGATGTCCAGTAACACGTGGCTTCGCTTACTTCTTTGGCACGATTACCCCTGCAGGATCAAGGGTTCGGATTCGGCCTACAAGCCATATGTTGGCGACTTGACCGGCCGCCGTAGCCAGTGCGACTTCGCCGTAGTTCCCCGGTTTCTGTAGACGAACGAAATCGGCAACCGAGCGATGATCGACGATGTTGGCTAAGGTCGTCAGGGAGGCGTTGTAGACCTCGACAATGTTCTGAACGTCTTCGTGGGTGAGGGAAGTTCGCTCGTAATCTAGAGCGTCGTATGATGTTGGCAGTCGGTCGGTCAGAGAGGGGGTCGGAGACATTGCTTGTCGCGGAAGAGGTAGATGAAGGTGGCGTGGTGACAAGTAGGGAGAAAGAGATGAAGAGACACCGAGGTTTTGAGGACAGCCAAAGATGCTCACGGAGTCGACCCTTAACCATCCTTTGGACCATAGTAACTGTGTAGTACGACTGGCTGCTCTCGAGCTCGAGGGCCAACTTGTGTCGTTAACCTGATCTCATCAAACTCATCAAGTGTATTCAGCTGAGAAGGCGCTTCAAATGTTTGAAGGTGAACAAGGTGCGACAAAGTAGACATGTTGGCTCGAAAAGCGTGCAACTGGGCACAATCAGCAGCAGAATTTGACTCGAGTTCGGGGATCTGGATCAAGACAGGCTAAATCCGGGTGGTAGGTCTGGCCAGTGTCAGGTCCGGATGCTGTAGGTCTGGCTACTAGGTCCGCGCTCCTAAGATGACAAGAAGATTGCAGAGTCTGACAAGCCCACAAGTGTAGAGTGTGCAGGGTGGGTCGGGCCGTGTGCGAGTGACGAATGACAAGGCGAAGCTTCGAAAGCGACGTGGCTCGAAGGGCGTGAAACCTGTGCTATTCTTAGTTCTTGCCCTCCCGCCCCGTTATGGCAACCGGCCCCCCCTCGCCCCCCTATGCTTTATGACGAGGTCCAAGGAGTCTCAAGGACCAAGAGCGACCCCGCCGCCGGGTCCGTGACTCCGTGGTCCCTGTCTCCTGAGTCTCCTGATCCCTGAGCTAGGCCGAACAACGCCGCGCGCGTTTTCATAAAGTGCGGGGAAGCTGTGCCTGAGGACTGAGGGGCCGAATTCTGAGACACTTTGAGATTTTGACCAATTCTGGGCTGGAACCGCCCAATTTTCGAAACGAAACCTTCAGCTCTTTCAGAGCTTCAGGGATAGAACTGCAGTACAGTCAGACCTGAGAAAATTTATATCGCCCAATCTTATACCTGTCAAAATTTATGGACTTTTCAATCTCCCGACTTTTTTGGCTGACAGAACCTGTCCAATCTTATACCTTATAATTTATGGGTTTACAGGTCAAATTATAAGATAAGAGAGAGCCGGAAATGAGCGATTGATCAGGAAATGGCCTCTCCCTCGGCGTTCTTGTTGACGAGCCGCCTGCTGGAAGAGTCCGAAATGCCCCGAAACAGCCGAGAAGCGAGCACAGGAGAGCAAAGGCGGCGGTTGACAATTTTACGAACAAGTACGACCCAAGTGATTTCTTCAACATGGACGAAACCGGTCTCTTCCACGCTATGCGTCCGTCTACGGGCCTTGCTCGGAACGGTCGAAATGGTGTCAAGATGAATAAGACTCGCATCATTGCGAGACATGAGGCGTGGAACGACATCCGCCCCGAGACGATTGCCAACTGCTGGCGCCACGCTCAAATCTTGTCTGATCGCAAGAACAAAGGATCGACCGACCATACACCTCTTCCCAACAGTCGCAGGCCTCTCAATGGCGATCGCGGCATCATCAACGCGATGAACGCTCTGAAGACGGCGAACGATGAGCTGGTCGAAAAGGGCATAGTTACGAGCAACGAGAAGATGAGTATCCACTTTCTCGTCGATGTGGAGGAGGAGAACCTTGCTGGTGGGGCTGAAATGACCGATCAGGAGATTGTGGACCTGGTCATTGCCAAAGAGTTGAAGGAGAATTGCGAGGGAGAAGGAGGAGAGGAGGAAGGGGAGATAGAGCTCCGACCGGCGGAGCGAACGACGCTGCAGGAGGCAATCTCAGCGCTTGATGTTTTCCTTAGGTTTGCTATGAATGGATACTCAGGTCCAACGTATTTGATTTCTTTTGAGGACGAGGCTAGGAGGATTCGCAGGACTCTTGTTGCCGAGCAGGATGCCGCGAGGATTCAGACGACAATGACTTCGTATTTCCAGCGTTAGTAGGTCAAGATATTTTTTCTTGGAGCTTTCAAAACTTGTTAGATGTCATCATGCCTCAGTAGAGGCCCCACATTGGCTGCAATTCAGTAATTCGGGCCTTCTGAATTTCCTCCCCCTCAAAAGTCAATGTATCGACTCAAACGATGCACGAGAATTCTTGATTTGATGTAGGAAGCTCAAAAACGGAGTTTCAGGTCATAATGTAGTGATCTGAAGCCGCAATCTCCGTCTTAATTTATGGGAAAATCCGTCCACCGAAAATATAAATTTTCTCAGGTCTGACTGTAGTGAACAGCCCCCATCTCGATGGGACGATGCGCCGGTCGTTCCCTCAGAATCGCGTCTCCTGTGTCGGCTACATGCGGGTCTGGCCAAGACATGCGTCGGTACAGGGCTTCGTTGGTCCCTTTTTTCCCTCGCAGGAAGGTCTCGGCCAGCCAACGCATTCATAGCCCCATACCCTGGGTCCAATTCGGCAGCCACTCGGTCTGCGCAGCTTCTTAGAAATTCTCAGATTGACCGAGCCTTGATGCGAAACCCTCGGAACCGCAGGATCTTCACAGTAAGAGTGGTTTGATACAAAAAAAGAACCAAACATAAATAGGTGCACTTAGCGTAGCCAAATGACACCCGTTTTCTCTCTTGTCGCTCCCTAGACAACGGTGCCCGCAGAGTTGACGCTTGCCTCGATGAGGAGATTTTCGGTCCGGGCACAGCGCCAACTTTCTCTCTCCCCTCCCGACCGACCGACCGAGGCACTTCATCCTCAACTCGAGGCTCGACGCGCGCGCCGGCTCGGTTTGGGTCGGTTCCGAAGCAAACTTTATCGCCGACGGCCCTGAACTGGACGATCCCGTACCGGGCTCTGCAAGACGTCATGTTGTCCAACCCCTTCATCCAGTCATCACCATTGTCGAGTACAAGTAATTCCAACATCCGCTTAAGGGTGTATGGTTAAATTTCATCACCTAGTCCAAAATAAAATCGAGACAATTTTTTGAGTTCGGTGCGAGAGCAGAACGAAGAGAAGGAAACGTAGAAGACTAAAAATCGACGCCGAATGCGCTCTAGCCCGCGTTTCAGGCGCTTGCGCTTGGACCTTTCCCTCTTTTGGACGGGCAGCCACCTCCCTCCACCTGCAACTGAAGCCAAGCTAAAGCCGATTCTAGTACAAAGTCCAAAATGAGCTAGTGAAAGGGGGTTTAGAAGAGGTAAATGTAGCGGATGAGATTGATGGTTAGGTTTGTGGCGGTAACAGCCTTTCTGCTCGGGCCGTGAGTTGGTGCGGCGTCGAACATCGAAGCACCAGTTCACTCGGCCCTCAACGCTCGGACTTTGTGATTGCGTTCACCCTCGCCTTTGCCACATCCGACCGGCACGTATTTTCGGATGTAATTGTCTTCAGAATTTAAAAGTTCAAACAAATGCAGCCAGAGTGCGAGTAGAGCAATCGTAAAATGATGCCTGCATCGTCCATGGACTGCAGCGGCCAGCTCCGAATTATGGGACGTCTCGGAACTTTGAACCTCGGCTGCTTGAACGGGGTTGATGGCGCGCTTCATTTGATGGCACAGTTGATCACCTGGGCACCTGGTCATATAACGAGATGATGCATGATGCATCATCAGCTGCAGAGGTGATTATGGAAGCTTTTCCCCGGACGTCAGTTGCACATCGGTGCGTGCGACAGGAACCAAGCTCGGGTGATTGCTTGCCTGCGCCGGGCGAGAGGGGGTCTGCGCCTGGACCACTTCACAGCAAGCTGCGACCAGTACGGGCAAATGTAACGTTTCATTATTTGCTGTGCAATCTCGACCGGCTACTTCGGGCTGTAAATACTGTAATCAGCTGTGAGCATTTGCTATTTAGGCGGCGGCTACAGAAAGCTACAGAAATTTGAAGGCAAAACTCTTTGCGACCGAGCATGAAGAGGCGCATCAATCGCCAATCGCCGAAAGGGGCAAGGCTGCCTCGGGAGAGAGGGTGAGGTTCTTCGGAAGCCGGTATATGCGACAATTTGAAACGCAATCAGCGCGCGCAATTTCGAAGCCCATGAAAAAACATTTGTAATCGCGCTCACCAGTTCAGATGTGTTTCTGAATTCGGCGCTTCAAGTCGTGGGCAGCGATTTGAGATTTGAAATGCGTTCAGAATCGCCCGGGTCATACGGTTTTGGGGGGATCTTTTTTGCGGAGCCATCGGCCGGGAAGAATCAGCTAGTCAGTGCCTCAAATCCAGAACGTGCTCGCGAGACATGTCGCACCACCCAGACCCTGAGAACAGGCCTCGAGCAAAGGACTCATTACAGAATTGGCGCAGCAGCTTTCGTTACCAATTACTGCAGATTGTAATTGATCATTTATTCGACGGGCGTGCACGGAACCCGCGTCTCAGCTGTCTTCTCTCCTTCCGCTTTGAGCAATTGTCGCAATCCCGGCCCGGCCGATGTTCTCCTAGGGGGTTCCGAACCTCGATGGCCAGCGGACTGGATCTTCGACATTGATTGACTGGCGATAGGAATACGTAATTCGAACAGAGAACCGAATTCGAGATTGTCGATTCCCCCTTCAACTGGTGGCGCCAAGGCTCTCCATCTTTCGGCAAAATCAGCTGACCTCGATAAACCTGGCCGGCTGCGGTAAGTAATCTGTAGCGCGCCGATGGCCTCGACGTCGCAGGAGCCCTTCTCTCTTTTTTTCTCGTCGGCTTCGATTGATTGGGTTTGGAAATACTCCATTCACTAGGCTCGGGGCTCTGAACGATGAGTCCGTGAGCCACCGAAGCCGCGATTTTGACGGGGTGGAATCGTACCTTGGGAGCCTCATTATCGCTCGTGCTCGTGAGGCCAGCTGATGATAATGCGACGACCCGGTCCCCAGATTTTCAAGCACCGGAGCGAAGCTCGATTCAATGATTACTAGGCCCCGCGCGCGTACCTTCCAACTCGGGACATTTTCAATTGTGCGCTGCGGCGCGTGGCCGTGTCGCCCAGGGGCGGTTGTGTCGACTTCATTTCGACGTTAAGGTTCGGCTTGGAAGGAGTCGGGGTACCAAGGTCTGGGGCGAGCCTGTGTGCCTGGAGGTACAAATTTCCCCCTGCTGGCCAAGTGTGTGTGCACCTTGGAAGCAGTCGAGACCCTGCCGTGGCGTCCTCGATCCAGGTGCACTCCGAGTTGCGCTATCCACCTCGGCTCTCCCTCCTCCTCCATCTTGCCCATCGCGCTACCGTCATCGCCCACCCCCGGCCTCTTGTTCGTTTCTTGTTCGTTTTATCTTACTTTCAACCAGGCTTGTTTCGACATTCGATCCTTTGAGTCAACTACACCCATTTGTGACCACAGCGAGCGAATTGGCAGCAGCTCGCCAACGGAGCACCGGAGGCCCACCTTCGCGCAACCCTATTGCCTTCTCCTGACGACCAATCTTCATAAACATCTATCTTTTATCGACATGGAGGTCTCCTCGTCTTCGATGACTCGTCGTCACCCGGCATCGCTCTTGCCACGATTTATGCACGACCCTGCATTGCTCGAGCTTATTCGCACCTCGGTTACTTCCGAGATGGTATGTGAGTCGGCCCTTTCCGCGGGATCCTCGGGCACTGTGTTGGCTTCGGCGCGAGTGCGCGGATCCGCCAGGCGCTGGGCTCGCCGATCACCCGTGTGGCGTGCAATCATCATGTCTGAGGCCGCGACTGACTTTCTTTCTTTTTTCATTTCGCTCCTTACAGCCTACATTGCCGACAAGGCTTGCGAGGTTATCGGATGCGCCCCTGTCCCTGTCTCGCGCGGCCTCCCCTCCCCTCCGACGACGCCGATCCGGTCAAACTTTTCCAATCCCGCTTCGACTTCGTCCTCGACTACACCCGCAGGCGTCGAAATTCCTTCCCTCACCGCCTTAATCGCGACCCTTGTACAAAAGTCGAACGTCCAGGTCCCGACGCTGTTGTGCACGCTCGTGTACCTCGATCGACTACGCTCGCGCCTGCCCAAGGTCGCGCACGGCATGGAATCGACTCGGCATCGCGTCTTCCTGGCCACGCTCATCGTCGCAGCAAAGTACCTCAATGGTAAGTCCGACGTGCCTAGTCTTCCCGAGCGTCGGGTAGCATGCGCTGTCAGGGCGTGCGTACCCCCCTTGGCTCCGGGATGTCTCGTCGCCCATTCAGCCGGTTCAGCGGTGTCTCAGATGGAGTGGGACGCTGACGCGTCCTGCCTTTGCAAAAAACCTTGCAATCACCGCCTCTTCTGAAACACATAGATTCCTCGCCGAAGAACAAGCACTGGCAGAGGTGAGTGTTTCTTGTTTTTTGGCATAAAGAAAAGTCTTGTACATCTCGCTGATCATGCCGGTCCAATGTTGTCGCCCTGCTGCAGATACGCCGCGATCTTCCCCATCGCCGAGGTCAACCTGATGGAGCGTCAGCTATTATTCCTGCTCGACTTTGACCTTCGCACCGATGAACAAGAGGTTAGTTTGTTCACACCATTCTGTCTCAGTTTATTGTGTGCCCCTCCGGGATGGGCGATCGGCCAGACGGCTGCCCCCCACGTTCATTTCATTCTGAAACCCGGGACCGGCCGATCGCTGGCGACGGCGGCGCGCGCGCCCGCAGGGCGGCCTCCGGATCGGCGCGGCAAGGCTCGGGATCGGCACCTGGCACTGACCACGATGTCTCGCTTTGTGGCTTCATCTAAACAGCTCTGCAATCACTTTGCCCCCTTCTTGAGTCATTTCACTCCCGTTGCATCGGCTTTTGCGGACCCTTCCGCGTCGACCTCGACCCCTGTACGCGCCAAGGCCATCGGACGCAATGCCGCGCCTCACTCCCCGACGGCCTCGCCGATCACCCACAAGCAATCCCCTACTCTTCGTCGGTTGTCTCGTAGCCCGATTCAAAACCAACAGTCACAGTACTATGAATGTCGAAGCTCCAATTTGTCGTTCAAGGTATCACCTTCCGACTCGGAGTCGTCGGCGTCGACATGTTCGCCCGAGACGCCGATCGACGAGCTGCCTTCTTTTCCTCTGCACTCCATTTCGATGGAACCAGCACGGCGGTCGTCATTCGCCAAGATGTTTGAAGCTGGCAAGGAAGTGCTTGGGTTCGCACAATCGGCGGCAATTTCGACAACATACACGAAGCCGACATACTACTCGTCCATCCCTTCAATGCGATACACCAACACCGATGGGATCGAGGTGATGCAGTATTGATCCTGCCACCTCTGTTTCATTCTCGGGGGTGTCATGTGCAAACTTTTTGCCACGCCATTGCAAAGTCTTTTTTTTTCATATCATCTCAATCATCTTCCTTCACGAGCCTTCGTGTCCCCCTGTATCATCCCCTTGTGCCTTTTTAGAGATCGTGGCAGTGCGCCCAGTATCCGATCGAGTGCCTCATGTAGCTACTTTCACGTCCTAGCTTTATACCCTTAGCTTGTAGCAATAACAGTTCGAAGTCGTACAGCCATAACCCTAGAGAAAAGTTCGTCCTTGAAAAATTCGTGCTAGACCTCATTCTGTCTAGCGCCCTCACGTCGCTCGACTTGCGCCAGAGGCTCGGGTTCGCTTACCCTTCCGCAGGTAAGTCACCTGACCTGAACCCCATCCCCCCCAACGATGCCCTCAACGACGCCCCTCCCGCAAAAGAAGTACCGATCCTCTGGTGGCGAAACCGTTCGTCGGGCCAAGAAGCAGCGCTTCAACCCCGTGCCACGACCTTCGTCGAATGCGACTCATCACAACGGTGCAAGAGGAAGTAAGGGGAAGGGACGGGCGACGACGGTCGCTGCGAAGTCGTCGCCCGTGAATGCGCGGACGACGCAGTCGGACGAGGAGGATGAGGATGCGTTAGACGGCGAAGAAGATGTCAAAATAGATGTTGCGGAAGCAACAGTGGCTCCTCTGAAGAAACGCAAGGTGACAGGGGGGACGGGCAAGAAGGGCAAGAAGTTTGTCGAGTCGCAGGTGAGTGCAAGACACACGTTCTAGGCGACCGGACGACCGCTCTGTAACCATGATCTGATTCGTAGTACCATATCCATCAAAGAGTGATCTTCTTTCGCTGGTACATTCCATAACGGGGGCTCATGAGATCAAGAAGAAGAGCAAGGTGCAGAAAGTGGTCAGTCCACGCAGCTCGGACCGAATACGAGCCAGACCCTGATGCAAAGCCTCACCGAAAACAGAAGAAGCCAAAGGCCCCATCTGTCGAAGCTCAAAAAGCTCAAGAACGAGCCAACAAGAAGCAAGCGCAACTGGTACGCTCATGACCTCGTCGGTCTGTCGGGGCGTCTCGGCGACTGACTTCTCCTTGCTTGAGTTGGTCTCCACAGGAAGCCGCAAAAGCCATCGTTGCCGCTCGTACCAAAGCCAAGAAGGATCAGGCCAAAGCAGCAGAAGAGATGGCCAACTCGGAGCTCCAGGATGGGAGGAAACGGGTGTCGTTCGCTTAGATCCTCCCGTAGATCAAGGAAGGTTCATCTTTTTGTCCACCAGTAGCACGACGTCGCAAACAATGTTGTAATCTATTTCGATATTTCACCCGTTAGATGATATCACTGTCTATGGCTCTAATGCGTGTGTGTGTTTGAGAGGATCCTAGATGTCCCGGTTTTCGACATGTCTATAACCCTTTCGTCAGATCCGGTGCCTCACTCCCTGGCGTCGCCGCTTCGTCATGCAACTCCTCTTTGATCAACTTGAACCCAACCGTCTCCTCCATGCCTTTGACCAAGACCATCTCATCCCCCACTTCGGGCCTCTTGGCGACCGCCCCCGGCTGTGCACCGATGATCTCCGCGGCCCTTCTCGGCAATCCATCATCCGCCCTCTCGATCTCCCTCAAGAACTCCAAGACAGGCTTCGAGATCCACCTTCTGGGTCGGAAGAAGCCTTCGAACCAACCGAGATGACCACCGTGTTTCGTGCTCGCAAAGATGAGATTGGGGTTCGATTGCGCGAGTTGGTCCGGAACGGTGGCGCTCGCCACGATCGGATCGTCTTTGGCGGAGAACGTGAGAGTGGGTACAGCGATCCCAGAAGCGTTTTGGTTCGCCGATGCCCATCGGTAATAGTGAACTCCCGATCGCTGCGTACCGATCGCAGAAGGGTCAGCGACTCGCTCACCTTGGCAACGCTCCTAAACCTTCAGAGCATACTCACGAATCCGAATACAGGGCCGGTGAAGAGTGAATCGAACTCGTACCTGTACGAGGAACACATGCTGCTCTCAGTGACGTGCGCTTGGAAGACTGCCTACCGCGAGGGGGCTGAGATGCCAATGACCTACAATGTCTGGTAAGGGTTGCCATAGATCGCCTCCCAGTCGACCTCTTCAAGAGGCTCGAACAGGGCCTGATGCGGTTTGAGGATCCTCCTCAAGTTCGCAGCCATCGCCCTCGAATAGATCAACCTCAACCATGAACTCGACAGCACGACGTGGCCATCGACGAAATCCCATGGAGCGCCGAGGACAAGACCGGCTTTCAACGCGGTCCGCTCGCCTTCGAGACCGAGGTATTTGGCCAGCTGGTTCGCGCCCAGCGAGAAACCGATTCCGTACAGTGGGGCTTGGGGTGCGAGACGTCCCAAGAAAGCAAGAGCGCACCGCAAATCGTCGGTCGTGCCCCCGCTGTAAAGTTTTGCGCTCGTGACGGGTGTTCCAGCGCAACCTCGAGAGTTGACGACTAGACCTCGCCATCCCAGTCCACCTTGGTCCTTGGGTTTGGTGACTCGCGTCAAGACGTCCCGGACGTAGGATTCGTGCGAGCCTCCGGTGAGACCGTGGCAGACGACAAGGATTGGCTGGTTCTCGATGATGGGCGAGTCGGCACTGATGGGCGGAGTGATGTCGAGGCACAACGTTCCTCCATCGGGCACACGGATTGTATGCCTCGAGTAGATGAGGTGATCGCTGTGGATTCCGATTCGAACCGAAGACAAAGACATCGCGACGGAAGCGGGCAAGCAGAGGAGCCGAGGAAAAATGCCGAAGGAGAAGGAAAAATGATCAGCGTTCGGCAAAGTGAAACATTTGCACATGCGGCAGTGTGGTACTGACTAGTCAAACTTGGCGATCGTGCACCAGATTGTCGCCAGATGACCACTGCGAAGATGCGCATCAGCCCCAAAGATCAGCTTGCTGCGACGCGCCAGCAGCTCGAACTACGGCTACGTCGATGTGCGATCAGCGGCGGGCTGCGAGCTCACCTGCTGAGCCAAGCCGTAGGCGTGTACCAGCCTCCGTCGCCGCTGAGACTCTTGCACCGCTTGATCACCTCGTCCAAACCGGTTTTGATCTTGTCTCCCGTCTTTGGATCGATCCTGACGAGCACCCGCGGTGACGGATGATGGACGATCTCGACCCGACCCGACAGGCCGACGAGCGCCAGGGCGCGGAGGTACAACAGCCTCAACCGCGAGAACATCTTGGCAGAGGCCCCAGTAGCTGCGAATCCACGCCACCAAGCTCTCGAAAATGCAACGTGGGTATCGTGCGGTCAACGCGTGCCGGTAGAACAGTGTGAAGAATCGACGTGGCGCCTAGGCGCTGCGAACGAATGCACCGCACTCCCGCGCCCACACGCGCCTACACGCGCACGCTGACGTCGCCGAAACCCGATCGGGGACAGGCGCGTTCGACGCGTGCCCACACTTGGTGAGAAGCTGAGACTCGATCGTCGACCCCTGACCGTCTTCGGCGTTTGCACAAGAGGGTTTGGTTTCTCTTTCAAGCGCTGAAAGCAGGGAGGTTGTGAGGTTTTTTGTCCTTCCACTCGGTAACACCGACAGCTACTGGAAGAGTTTCCTGCGGTAAGAGGTCTATTAAAGGGTTACGATCATTGATCTTCGACAAGCTTCGCAGTTCTAGCTCGCAACCGATCGGGAGGCCTGGATGAAATCCCAGCGTTGCTCCTCCAAAGTCCATGAAGCGCCCTTGAGCGCTTCCGCGGGCAGTCGGCGAGAGGCCGTTGAATTTTCTGCTCGTCGGCCTCGTCGCCATCAAACCTTGGCTTGTTTCCTGGATCTTGGAACCAAAGATGTCCCTCTTTCAAACCTTATAGCTCTTCAGCGTTCACATTCATAGACTCCCGGCGAGATCGTCGGGACATGAGATTACCAGTTCCCACGATGGAGTCAGATCCTGACCGAGACAAGCAGGTGCACAGCGCTGATTCCCGCTGACTCCAATTCGGTCGCACATTCGGCGACTCCGCCGTAAGTGCTCGTTGCAGTAACTATGCCCCTTTACTTCGGTCAACCCTTGTATGACTACTCTCTACTGATCACGCACACCTACCTTGAAAAATTAGATGCTTAGCGGGGGTTCACCTAAGCCCTGTATGTATGGTAATTGCAGCGGAAGAGGCTGCGCTCGCCGCGCTCTTCTCGGCCGACGGTGACAAGATCGACGAGGAGGTCATCGGCATCCCGACGATCCCGTCACGTGCGGTCGTGCCGATTTGACTAACACCTCAAGCATGCCTCCAGGTAGAAGTGACATATATAATATTCATAATAGGCGCCGTGATTACGTGGACGGTAATAAGGTCAGGATCCCCTACATGGCTTCAATGTCCAACCCGACTGCCTCGTCAAGGGCCCCGCCGAGAGGGGCCGTTTCGCCGATTGCGAAACAAACTTCATGAGGTTGACTTTCCAAAGACTACCGGCTGCTGTGATGAAGCACTAGAGCTAAGACTCAAGATGCCGTCCCTCTGATCATTTCCGAGCTATTTTCGACTGCACCGAAATCTTCGTCTCCTACGCACACGAGCGGCGGTTCGATTGGACAGTCAGTTGCAAAGGTGACAACGAAATGATTCAAGTTGCACTGAGGGGCTTTTTCGCCTGGTTTTTCCAGGCGCGCGGCTGGAAATACCAGGCGCCTGGAAATACCAGCGGCTTGGGTAATACCCTCGTGAGGTGGTAATACCCGACCCACTGGTATTTCCAGCCGCGCGGGTATTACCACTTCACGAGGGCTATTACCCAAGCCGCTGGTTTTTCTGTCGGTTGGGTATTAACCTTCTCAGATGGTATTTCCACCCGAAAAGTCTCAATAGGGGCTCTTGTGCGAGCACGACCGGGCGCAATTAGCATTAGGTTTTTTGTAATGGGTGTCACCTTCGTAGTACTAATGCTCATATTCGAATTTACTAATGCTCATTTTCGATGCTCATATTCGAATTTACTAATGCTCATATTCGAATTGTAGTTTCTCAATGCAGGGTTTCTACTGGTATTATGATCTAGATACACTACAAAGCAGCAAACTGAGTGTCCACGTCCGTCACAGGCTCGTCCCATTCGTCTGGATTGTCAGATTGATCAAGATCTAAACCGCCCGAAGCTCCGGCTGCGGCTCCTCTTGCCCGTTTCTTATACCCTTTAGTCGGCTCTAATTTTTCCTCTTCCTCCTTCTCTTCCTCTACCCGAGACTGCTCTTCCTCGCTTTCTTCTCTGCGGCGGACCCACCTGGTGATGGTCTTCTGGTTGATGCGAGATGATTGTTTAGCGTTCGCCTCCTTCGTCGATGTTGTTAGACCGCGGGCTGCGGGACTTGAAATCGCCCCTGCATTCGGTGTCTGCATGCCGAGCGTCTGCACGAGAGCTGGCTTGCTGGGACTGTTGCGATGTTGATGCTTGCGGCGCTCGCTTCGGGGGCATGGACAAGAGCACCCGATTCCTATTCCCCGGCACTTCTTCCTCACTGAGATCGTCTGGGTCCTGGTCAGATTCGGAGTAGACAGGCTCGCTTGCCTGAAGCACATCAAAATATTATCAGAGCCCCGGGCCTTTCAGTCTTGTCAATCGGTAGTAGTGACTAACCTTGAGAGCAGATCCTACGCCTAGCTCGTTGCGCAATCTTGTGATGCCCGCCCTGGAAAGCCGTCCCATGATTCCCGCCAACCGACAGGCCTCACGGTCGTACTGCAGTCTATACGCGGCTCGGACATTCGCCAACACATCAATAACAAGTTCTTCATAGAGCCAGTCGCCCGATACGAATCTGAACGAGAGTGACGAGTGAGTGCCCGAGCAAGCGCACGCTCCGTACAAGACTGGCAGATTCCGCGCAACTCACATATTTGACGATATCTCGTTGTTTTGCAGGTCCAAGACGTCCCCACACAGTAGTGTTGCTTTGCGTTTTGGCTTGAATGAGCCTGAACGCGTCCTTGAGGTTGAATTCCTTAGGCGTGTGGTACTCTGGAGTCCACGTCTGGTTGACCTCGGCATGCCGACTGATGGGGTCAGGTGTGGTGATTCCTGCCTTTACTAGTGCATCCCGTAGAACCGACTGCTCGAAGGACATCACACAGATGGTGAGCACTGAGGAGTCAGATCGACGAGATGGCGTCGCGCCCCGATCGTTGAGCCGCCGGTACTCACGCGAACTTGATTCGCCCGCGGAGACAAGCATACTCGCGCAAGCTCATAGAACCCTTGTCTGTTCGTACGAAAAGACCATCACCATCAACGTTGTTCTGGTTAAAAAAAATAGGATGAAAATAAGAAGACAGGTAGCCGCAGTGGGCCGATGGTGAAGGACGGCGGCGGGGTTGAAAAAGAACACGTCAGCAAATTCCCTCAACTGTGGCGGTGCAGACGCAGACCGCGAAGATTTCAGCTCTCTGTACACACGTGGACGTCGTTCATGCGGTGGTTCGTTCTCCTGGTCCATCCTTGTTGTACGTCTTGCCGTGGTCGACGATGTTCGTGTCATGGTAGGAAGACGTAGGCGGGGAGGGTTGAGTTTCGACGTGGGCACAAGTGGATCGAAGGCGAAAGGTAGGAAGCGCCCCCGAACGACCGGGCAGCGCTCGGCAGGCGCCCCGCGCGCGCGCCGGCAGCGCCGCCCCCTGCCCGCGCCCGCCCCCCGGGCAGCGCGGATAGTGCCCGCGCGACCCTGATCCTATCCCGGATAGCACGTACTCGCCCGGACTACGACGCTGGCCGAATTGCGCCACTCCTTGACCGGTCTCGGAGGTGAAGGGGACGGCAGCGGGGATGCTGTTCGCGGGGTAAGCGTTGTCGAGCAGATCAGCATATGTGATGGGCGGACTACTGGTCAGGACCATGAGCCACCGAGCCGAGAAGCTTGGAAAAAGAGCGCTGTGAGCCCGGCAAGGGGACCGCGGTGAGACGTCGTAGGGAAGCCTTGATCTGCCTCGATCGTCACGTGGTGCCTCCGAGACCTCGTCATCGGCCGTCATTGGCTGTCGTCGATGTCATCGGCGGCGGGGCCGGCGGTAAGAGATTTTAAGTCACGTGAGGTTGCTCTCGATCGTACATCTGAGCTTTGAGAATCGATCGCACTGGCTCACTGGACTCTTTGGCGTGGGTGAGCAGAGCACTGCATCAATTCAAATCTTTGCAAAACATCGAGTTCGCCGAGACATGCCCGAGGGCCCGAGCATCAACTTGAATTGAGCAACTTGCGGGCGAGCTGACTCGGAGATTCGGTGCTGCCGAGCACGGCCGTGCAGCCTCCAAACCGAGGTGCTCACTGTGACTCTACGCTCGCGCCCGCGACGGCCTCCCTCTCTCCGCTGAGCGCTCTCTCCCTCAGCCCGCTCCATTCTATTATTATAGACGCTGAACTCGTCGGTGGGCGATGCTCGAGGTCAGCTACGCGAATTCATCCGCGCTCTCGACGAAGCATTACAAGCTCGTCAACGATCTGGAGCATGCTCAATCCGACGAGGTCAGTCATCTCCTCCTGTCCCTCCCCTTTCAAACCTCAGCTGTAGGCTATAGATAGAGAACCGTTTAACTGACCCCCTTCGGCACGTGACCTTGATTCTTTGAACGCTCGTACGGTCGGACGTGGGGGTTCATGCGCAGGAGACGCTGAGGATCGTGGTGAGATGTTTAAGGGAGATCAAAGCGAGCTGGAAGAAGGGATCGAACCTCAAACCTGTACGTCCCCCTCCCGTTCTTCCCCTCGTCGTCGTCGTCGTCATCGTCGTCGTCCGATCACGTCACGTGTGGGCGCTTCTCAAACTCCCCCCGGGTTGTCACCTTCAACAGTCGACGATGACGCACGACCTCCTCCTCGTTCTCTATTGCTATGAGACGATTCAAAGCTTGGAACGAGCGCCATTGACGGGGGAGGAGAAGGGGTGTTTGGATTGGGAGGTGTGGTTGATTGGGGCGGTGCAGTTGGCGGGGAGAGGGGTGGGGACGGCGGAGGAGGAGAGAGGGGTTGGTGAGTTCAGTTTGGCGGTAAGGAAACAGAGGCGATATTTGGTTAGGTGCTGATCAGTTCATTCTTGGGGGGGAGATGTAGGGTATCGCGTTTGTGATGCGTTGTTCCCTCCAGGACGCGCAAAGGGAAATGATGGGACCCCACATGATGATGATCAAGATGCTCAGCATCCTCTCAAGCTCTTGCTCGTCAATACCATAAGAGCGGCACGCCTAGCTCGCACCACATCCACTCTTTGAGAGAAGTTACTTCAAAATCTGACGCCGCCTCCTCTCACCCCCCACGTGCAGGACCTCTTCACACCCCTTTCCTCCCCGCGAGCCGAAGCGAGTTGGGTCTTGGGTCTTCGAGCGGCTGCTTCGGACCGTATCGCAGGACCAGAATTGGTACCTGCGATCGCGGGGAGGGTCGTTGAATTATTGGGAGGTGAGGACGGGATCAAGTAAGTAATACAAGACCCCCCCCTTAAGAAGGAATTTGGTTCACTGAGCAAAACCCTTTCGTTGCCTCGCGCAGTTCTTCGATTCGTCGATTGGCCCTCGAAGCGATACAGAACTTGCTCGAGGTTGGACCGAATGCACGACTACTCGAAAGGACGAGGAAGATCATTCACCATTCGTTGATGCAGTTCTCACCTTCGAAGGGGAATATAATGGAAGAGGTCTCGGAGAAAGTCAAAGGTAAACGCCGAGCCGTTCTCGAGACCGATCACGAACCGGAAAGCGTGGGGTCAAAGAAGACGATCGGATCGACGAGGGGCAAAGAACTTGATCCGAAACTCGTGTTGGCATTCGTACGAGCGACGAGGAGACGGACTAAAGGCGGTCTGTACCCCATCTCCGGAGGGGAGCAAGAAGGAGGGGCGATCATGGAGGCTTGTTTGGGAATATTAGGCAAGGTGGTAGATCCCCCGTCAGAGGGAGAAGGAGCGGGTTGGGACGACAAGGCTTTCGAATGTGGGGGGTTGAAGTGCGTTTGGTTGGCTCTAGGGGTCTTGGAGAGGGTTGTGGAGGAACTTAGGGAGGGGGTCGTCGCGGAGGAGATGATGGGGAGGATCACGTGGGAGGTCGTGAAAGTTGCCAAATGGGCCGAAGGGGGTAGGAAAGGCGTTAGGGATGGTGAGTGAGAGTCGGTCCATTGCGAAGCACTTGTGGAAGTCGATGCTGATTTCCAACACCTTGCACTCCCTAAAGCACTCTTCCTGACACTCAGCGAACTTTTATCCCTCCTTCCCCCATCCAACCTCCCCACCCCGTCGGACCTCGACTCCCTCCTAACGCCCGTCGCACGCTCACTTCAAGCCCCTTCCACGAACTCTCGTCTATTCGCCCTCCGAGCGCTCTCCCTCCTCCCAACAAGTCTGTGGTCAACTCTCTCGGACGAATCGAAAGGCTGGGGTCCACAAGCTTGGTCCGCCATTATACGTGGATTGGACGACGCTGATGCGCAGGTGAGGAAATCGACTGTGAGGGTGTTGGGGAAAGTTGAGGGGGATTTGGTAGGGATGTATTGGGTTCGGGTCGTGGAGGGCGTTAGAGGGGCTGCTGCGGGAGAGGATGGAAAGGCGGTTGGGCTAGGTGTCGAGAGGTTGATGGAGGTGGTTGAAGTGACCAAGAAGGGTGGGGAGGAATGGGCAGGGGCGATTATGGAACTTGTTCGACTGGTTTCGGGGTTGGGGGGAGTGAATGGGCCGATGGGGGAGATCGTCCTCCCTACGATCGAGAGGTTCACGTATACTTCGGACAAGAGGACGAGACATGAGATCGCCAAAGCACTGTTGGAGGGGCAAGAGGTTTGGTCTGGCCAGATTACGCTGGCGTTGATCCTCGCTGCCGTTGTTCATGCACTTGCTTCACCATCGTCATCAGAGGAAGGGGACGAAGATCGAGCGATCATGGACGCGTCAAAGAAGATGCTCGCTCTCCTAGACCAAGACCTCCCCCTCGCTTTAGAACTTCAAGAACCTTTCCTCGTCGCCCTTTTGCGCCTCTCTGGGTCCATCGTCGACCGTCAAGTCATGAAGGAGCTTCATTCGTTGGTTCAAGGGTGCGGAGAGCGAAGGGCGACGTTCGCAACGAGACCTCTGTTCGAGACGCTTGAAATGGGCTTGCAAGAAGGATCGGTAGAAAGGGGGGTGGTGAGGAGGATGAGTGGGAGTAAGAGGTATGAGGGATTGACGTTGCCTGCTTGGGAGGGGGTTTTCAGGGGGTTGGTGAGGAAGGCTCGGAGGGAGGAAGGGAGGGGCGAAGAACGATTTTCGACTTCCTCGCCTGCACGGACGAACGCGACCCAGGCTGGTAGTACACCCCTCAAATATGACCCTTACACCACCTCCAGCGCAAACTCACATCCCTCGACCCACACCCTAAACCTTTCCGAATCCTCAACGACCACCTCTCTCGCCGAGCAAATCGGCATTTCTCCTCGCGCCTTGGCCAGGGAACGCCAAGATCTTCTCCGTGATCGTGTTGAACGAGGTGGCAAGGGAGGAATGGGGGAAAGTCTGATGTTTGACGTGTAACGGCAAACGCAGAGAGACGAAGGAAGAGAGGTGTGGGCGAGGGACGATGGGCATCCGTTTGGGACGGGCTGAGAGGAGTTGGTATTAGACGATGGAATCAGTCCGACATTTCCTCATGCGGGAGAAAGATTGATGCCTGCTGGTAGGCTTCGTTTTGACTCTCAGACAAGAGTGTAACGCTTTCGGGTCGTGGAGAGAACGGTCGCTGATTTTTTTGAAGCGGGAAAGGGATGAATTTATGAACAACATTAATTCGAAAGGAGCAAGAAGGGTAGAATTTATGACATAATTGGCTTGCAAGCGCTATTGTTACTTGTAATTTGAAAAGTGGTCCAACGAGGAGGTGGTGGTTGGGCAAGGACTTGTGCTTCGTAGCCTCAACCGGGCGGTCATCGTCATTGTCTCCCCTCTCCTCTCCGCTACCTCCGCTCTCCCCACCACCCGATCTCTTCCCCCCACCCAACCTAACCATGTCAAACCAATTCTCCACCCAATTCTCCACCGCCAACTCGTCCAGCACCTCCTCAACCTCCCTCGCCACGCTCCTTCACCGAGCGGACCAACTCTCCACCTCGTTCAACTCGCACCACCGCCATTCGCTCAACAACGTCGAGGCGATCCAATCCGCGCACGTGCAGTTGCAGAACCTGTTGAGTATGCCTACTGGGGGGATGGTGACGAGGAGTAGACCGGGGGGTGGGTTGAGGGAACGTGGGATAGTCAAGGTACGCTCCGGGTAAAATTGAGGAAGCTCCTGCTGAGCTATTCCGAGACGTTGGGGAGGTCCGGTCCGGAGTGACATAGCTGTTACCAGAGCAAAAAAAAAAAAACTGATCATAAAACTCCCACCCCCTCACTCAGGTTCAAGAAACGGTAGAGGAAGCGCTTTCCTACCTGCGCGAAGACCTCTCCAAAATGGAAACTGACGTGGAGCACCTCTCCGCGCTCCTCTTCGAAGCCGACGTCTGGCTCGCGGATCCTACAACAGCGTTGAAACACGGGTTGAATCCCAAGGAGGCGTTGAATCATGTGGGAGGGTTATTTGGGAGTTATCAGGCGGAATTGAGTGAGTGGGTGCTGCGAGCGAAAAGGGAGGCGTAAAAGGATAACAGAGAATGACCGAGCTGACGACTTTTTCGATGTCACGTGCTCTCCCTATTCGTTCCATGTGATCCTTGGCACAGTCCGATTACGGTAATTCCACCAGTTCAGAATTCTCTTCATCCTTCACAACCACTGATTCATCCTTTTCCCCGTCGGTCACCTCCCCTCCCCGCCTACTGAATCCATCCCCTCCTCCCCTCTACCCGAACTCAAGAGAACTCCTCGCCGATTTCACCTGCGAAGAAATCACCGTCGACGACTTCGCGTCCGAATGGAAAGTCATGAAAGAAGTGGACGCGGGGGCCGAAGCTGAATTGTCGGATTTGGTGGATGTGTTGGGCAAGTGGGCGGCGGGCGCTTCGGGTGGTGGGGGTGGCGGGGACTTGTTTGAGAGTTCTGCGAAGGGGACGGGGACGGGGATCGGAGGGGAGGATGAGGAGATGAGTTAGGATCTGTTCTAGGTCGGGTTGTCTTGGGAGCGTGTTGTATCGTTATTGCATGAATCTTGCATTGATAGGGGCCTTCAGGGTTCAGGTCTGAGTTTTGCCCCGTGGAAAAAGTCTCGTCGCCGAAACTACCCCTTTCCCGAGCCCGAAAGAGCTACGTCTCTAGCTCAAGCCAAACAATGCATTTGCAAATTGCACAACGACACCCCACCGTCGAGCGAACCCACATCTAGCCTTCCCATTCAAACTCTTGGCCCCCAATCAACGCATCTCTCAAACGCCTCGACGAAGCCTAGCAAACCTATCCGATCCTCCTCTCCGAACCCTTCAACGGCCTCACAATCCAAATCCAACACACCTACCACCTCCCCGCTCGCATCCCGAACGGGTAAAACAATCTCGGATTGTGTGACCGCGTCGCAAGCGATATGCCCTGGTCTTTCATGGACGTTAGGAACGAGTTGGACGGTTTGGGAGAGGAAGGCGGAGGCGCAGACGCCTGGGGTGCGACTCGTTAAGGGGACGAAGGAGCAGGCTGGTCGACCGTGGAAGGGACCTAGGAAGAGTTTGGTTGGCGGGGAGTCGGTGGTACGGTGGTGTGGGATTAGGTGGGTGGGGAGGAGGTAAAAACCTGTGAGGTTTGGGGAGCGATCCGGGGTTAGTGATGATCGCGTCAAGTGCTGATTTGGAGGATAGCTGAGGGTGAACTCGATTTGTGAACGTACCACACCAATTGACCCTCTTTCCCGGCTCGGTCCCCCACTTTTGAGGGTGATTCTCAAACAGTCCAAAGAGCAAGGACGAAGCGTTCGCACAACACGTCACGAGCGCGCTCTCCCCCGATCCTGGGGAAGAGGTCGCGAGCAGGGCTTGAAGGGTCGTGGTGGCGTGTTGGTAGAATTCGGAGAGGGTCAGGTTCGCTGTAAGAGAGTTCGCGAAGCGGGTGGGTCGGGCAGGGAGTCCCGGCGATGAGGTGATCCAACGGGGGTTTCGCAACGCGCTCAGTCAGCGAAGCGGTCCCGTGCCAGTGAGAGAATCTGGGTGGCACTCACGTGGTAAAGCAAGCGAATCAGCATGCGTCATGATGTCTTAACTTGGTCGAGCATCCGGCGATCACAGGTCACAGTGGTGAAACACAAAGCCAGTGTCCTGGTGTTAGGTAGTCGGCGTTGAGCGCACTCGAAGGTTTGCTTCGGCGATTCCGTGCGCACGGTCCTTGGATTCAGAGGTGGGGCCCGGGCGAACCGGCCTCTTGGGGTGAAAATCCTCTCCGACCCGCTTGATCTGAATCTGAGACACGGATCGGGATTTGCCGGACCTTCAACACTTGAGTTCTTCTGGAGACTGTTTGTAGTAAATTGTGGGCAGAGGGTAGCGAGTTTTCTGACAGCGAAACTGCTCGACTTTCTGACACGCGGTAGTAGTATAGTACGTGTCCAGGACTCACTCCAAGTGGCCGCACTGGCAGCACAGCTCGCTTCACGGGAACTTCAGTTCACCTACCATAAACCTAGGTGCTGAAATTGAGTCTTCATCCGAGTTTCAAATCCAAGCGTTCAGATGGTGGAACGCGCACCTCGACCTCAGAGTCCGAAAGACCGGTGATCCGCCGGGGCGGGCCGGGCTTGATTATGATCATGAAATGGCCCCAGCGGTCGGCGTGCGGCCCAGCCCGCGATCCGCCCAGCCTTCCGAACTCCGAAGCTAGCCAATTGGCCTCGCGCCCCTCCTGTCGGCCTTGGCTCTGATGTAATCCAACCATTTCAAAGAAAAGCCGACTCAAGTTTCGCTCGTAGACTGCCGTAACACCGCTGTCGCGCATCCAATCAGCTCCTACCGCGCTTTGGCCCTCGCCCCAGAGGCTCCACCGCCCATCGGTTCTCGTTCTACCCGTTGTCTTAACGACTTGACTTGGTTGCTTCCCTTCCGGCCACATCTACCTCAAATTCGCGCTGTCTCTCGCTACGACGACGTCAGCCTGCAGCGACAACGCTCTGTCAATTTCGACTGGGACCATCACGACCTCGGTGTAGCTCTGTCATCGAGGATTGAGCTGAGCAACGGCAGCTGATCGTAGCGCGCCTTCTCCCGCTCTCCCGCTCTCCCGCTCTTTCTCGAGGCGCGACGGTTGTTCTTTCCGCCCCGCTCTCGTACGATCAGGGCCGACGAGCGTATACGTGCGTTCTCGTGACCGCCGCTGGCCGAGCGATGGACTGGCAACAGCAATGTCCATGGCCGCCGCAGTCGCACCATCCACAACAGCAACAGCAGAACCTGCAGCAGCAACCACCACAAGCACAGCAGTCGAACGAACCAATGTACAGCTACATCCCGGATTCGGACGAGCCTCAACGACCACATCAGCAGCAGCAGCAGCAGCAGCAGCCGTACCGGCCCAGTCTACCACCTCGATCACATTCGACGAGCTACTTGAAGTCGGGCTCCGGCGAAGCGCTGTCGCACTCGCACTCGCACTCGCACTCGCACTCACTGTCGCATGCGCATTCGCCGAACGCGCACGCTAGCACTAATAGCAGCAGTTGCAACACAACATCTTCCTCATCCTACACCCCATCCACATCAACGAGCTATATCCGGGAATCGAGGTCGGGTGAATTCGATGCCCCGCGGACGTGCGACAGCGTTTGGATCCATTCCGAGGTCAGTCGCAAGGTCTCAGTTGGATTCAAGCGGGTCAATAGCGCAGGGGGCGTGCGTGTGGCGGTCGCGTGGCGAGTGGCCGCGGGGCGATGGCCCAGACTCGGTTTCGTCGTCGGCCAGGCGGGCCATGCGCCGCGCGCACGGACAAGAGGCGTTCGAGTCCCCTTTGGGTCGATTAACGAGACGTCGGCGCGTCTGTGCTGAATCTCCCTTTTTTCCTCTTCGCTCCTACACAGCATCGAGACTTGTCGACGAGGTACACCAAGGCACTCGAGGATTTGGCCACCTCTAGGAGCGATGTGATTCGTCTGACTACAGAGCTTGCCTCGGTACATGGTCCGTTCAATTTTCCACTTCATTTTTTTGACTTTGCGAGCGCGAGCGTCCGCGCGCGTATGGTTTACTTCCATGAGGGTCCCGCCGCAGACAAGATCAACCTCCGAGAGGCTGACTCCCAACTCCCTTTACCTTCTTCTTCGGGCCAAACTCCCGCGCCACTCCTACTTGATCTTTCTTACCCACCTATCCTTCATTCTTCGTCGTGAGCAGCTCGGATATCTTCACTCGCATCGCCATCTCCTTCCGCGCCACCTTCGCCGGTCCTGCAACATGTACCCGTGTTCGCACCACCCCGAGCCCCGCCCGCGCCTTCCCCGGCCGCCCCCTCTCCGGCCTCGGTCACAACTCCTATTTCGCCCAACGATCCGTTCGCCGCGATGAAAGCTTCGTTCGCAGGACGACCAAGTCCGGTCTCAACCACCAGCATCAGTAACACCCCACCGTCTAGGCGTGATTCGGAGCTTCCGTCGCCGATCGAATTCTCGTCCTCGCACTCCCCCATCCCCCTATCGGCTTCCCGAGGCTCTGGCGGCGGATCCGGTCGAGCAAGATATTACAACGCGCCGACGTTACCCTCGCAACCTCCGGACCCGAACGTCGTGAATCAATACCTCGCCGAGCTGGGTAGCTGGTCGCGCCCTCGGTACGACTACACTCAACTGATGCACGTCCACAACTATAGCAACGACGCGGCCGTCAAATCGAACTTGCGCACCGAGATGGTCGACCTCGAGGGTATTTGCCCCACTCCTGCACAATGGAAGCTCTGGATCGTGGCTCGATTGACGATCGTGAAGGACCTGTTGGATCCGGGTAAGAGTTGGAAGAACCAACGCGATCAGGACAAGAGGTTGGCCGTGCAGATCGTCGAGAAAAGGTTCCCTGCTTTGGCGTTGTGCGAACCCGATCGATGTTGGAAGGCCGCGATCTTCTTGCAGAGACGTTTGGACGAGGCGATCAAGACGGGGCATGAGACGGAGAGGAGGAAGGGCGCGAATAGTGTGAATAATACCCTGGGGACGACGACTACATCTGCGCCGACATTTCAGGGGATGCAGGCGATCGGACAGTGGGATGGGAAGAATGAGGCGGGTAGGACACATGAGGAGGGGGGTTGGTCGATGATGATGAACATATGAAGAGACGGTGTGGCGAGTTCCCTCAACTTGACTTCCTCGGTCGTCGATAGTGTATCATACTCAAGCATCTGATCTTAGGATTCGTCGGGGGTGCTTTCCAAAAGCAACAATATTTGCACCCCCCAAAACAAACACTTTCTCGTCGTATTACTTTTTCCAAAGCAGTGTAGTAGCTAATACCAGTACTATAGCAAGTATTTATCTCTTTCTTTCCCACCCAAAGTTCGTTATGTACCGAGAGGTTGGGGTCGAGAGCCACTTCGCTCGTGTAAGTGACGAAGATCGGTTCGCCGGCACGGAACTACGTACGCCAGGCCAAACCGCGACCAGCAGCTAGTAGCAATGTGCATCCAGTGAAGCCGATGTTTGTGGTATCATTGCACAGCATCTACGGGAATTACGAACGCCTGCGACAGTCTATAAGCGACAGCTAGCTACTAGTCGAAGTGCAAGAATGGACTTTTGAGCGTTAGGTGTAATTCCACCCTGACCGATGGTTGTCGTCCACCGGCCGTCCTCTGAACGACGCTTGTCCCGCCGGAGCTCGCGCGCTCACAGTGTTATATATCCGTTCGCGGCCCGTGCCTTGAAGAAGCGCTAAAGAGCGATCCGTCCGCTCGTCGTCACAAATTCAGCCCAGTGATTGGGCAATGTTACGTTCGTCTTCATCGGGTATGAGAGTTTGAGAACGTTAATCGCTGTCCCCTGACCGACGCTTTCCTTTCCCCGCCGGAGCTCGCGCGGCGCTCAGGCTGTGCTTTCCGTTCGCGATTTTTAGAAGCGCTAAAGAGCGATCCGTCCGCTCATCGTCATAAAATTGGCTCATTGGGTGGGCGATCTTACATTCGTTTTCATCGGATATTAGAGTTTGAGAACGTTGATCGCTGTCCCCTGACCAACGCTTTTCCCGCCGGAGCTCGCGCGCTCACTGTGTGCTCTCCGTTCGCGATTTCAAGAAGCGCTAAAGAGCGCTCCGTCCGCTCATCGTCATAAAGTTGGCCCATTGGGTGGGCAACTTTTTCGTTCGTTTTCATCGGATGTTAGAGTGTTGATCGCTGCGGAAGATGTTCTATCTGTGTAGATCAAGCAGCCCCTGACCCCTTCCCCTGAACGGCTGTGTGTTCGCGAGCTCGCCGGATCGCCCCGAGCGTCTTGAAGATGTTGGTGGGGAGAGGGTCCTAGATCTCAGTATTAAACGACTCTGATGAAGATACATCCTCTCTTCCTTCCTTTCACATCACTCTACCCATCCAGCCCAAACCTCTCCAAGATCCACATTCCCCTTTCTCCGCCGAACTTCGCTCCCTGCTCTTTCCCACCCCACCGCCTCAAGGATGTTGGCACCCTTGCTCCTTCCCCTGGTACTCCTCCCCACCCTAGTCCGGAGCGAGGTCATGACCCCCGTACCCCTCTTCGATAGTTCGCACGCGACCGAGGGTCGGCCTTTTTCCGCTTCGCTCGATTCAACAAAAGATGGGGCTGCCGCTTCGGCAAGCTCATTGGCTTCGCTCGTTTTGCAAAGTAAGGAAAATGTCGTTTGGGCCGGTCCTAAAGGTACGTCAAACATTTGAAGCTTGGTGCATGAATGTGAAGTTGAATCGGGCATCGTTATCTTACGATACGCTCTGCTCTTTCTTGGACCACTAGACGAACACGGGATGGCGACTTTTGCGACGATGGAGTTGGACAGTCACGACACTGAAAAGGTACGACAAGAGCGCATCTTGACCCCGCGCTCTGAATGGGCGTGACCACGCGCTGAACAAGTTCACTTCTGCCACTCTACAACATAGATTATAAACATGCAGCGCTTCTCCAAGTTCTTGGACAACGTCAAATGCGGTCCCACGAGCACGACTCTCACTTTCACGAGCTCTGACGATTTTACGGCCGCCGTTACAGCCTGGTCATGGGTCAACGACCACGACAAACACGTCATGCACGTCCTTGCCAACTGGAAAGGATGCCTTACCCCCCAAGGCAATCTTCAACCCTACCACTTCGACAAGATGACGAGCGACGCGACGAGCAAGACGATCACCCTCCAGGGAGGTCCTAAGGATTGGAGTTTGGCTGCGCATACGTTCGTGCTAGAGTTTGGTGGAGGCGCATCTGGTGTTCCCGACACAACTTCGGATGGGGATACGAATACTATTGAAGGCTCGACCTCAAATTCAAGCTCGAACGCGACTCTTTCCAAACGATCGCAGACAATCGAAGGAGAGGCACCCTCTCTCAACGGTAGTACCACCGATTTGACCACCAATAAAACCAATGGCGTCAGCTTCAAGGACTCGAAATGGGGTTTCCTTAAAAAGCACTTCCGTCACCTAGGGGACTACAATGGGCATAAGCCTTACGACATCGACATTCATTCCGACATCAGCGGAAAAATCAAACCCCCTGGCATCACGAGGGCGGGGGCCGTCTTCGCGGCCCAAGCAACCTGCACCGACTGCCACCTCTTTGGTCGGATGGACTTTGACTTGATCGCCAAGGTGGAGAACTGGCATCCGGTCGAGATGGGCATCTATGCCACCGCACGAGGCGTACGCGCTCAAGCAAATTGGAATTTAGCCGCCATGGTCAGTGTTGGCTTCACATGCTGCTCCCATCATTGCCGTTCCACAACTGACCGTTTTCGGTTGTTTACGTGTACCATACCCAACCTGCAGGCCGAATTGGCTCAAACGCTCGAGATCATGCAAGCGGGCATCTCGCTCGCTCTCGCCGGGTTCAGCTTCAGCATCCCCCACATCCTCCACATGGGCCTGTACGCCGAAGGCGGCTACGGGATCCGTCTCGAAAATGTGCACGGTGAGGTCGGCATCAAGAGCACAGTGACGGGTCACGTCAACGAGGGTGCGGTAGGCCACATGGACGTGCTGAAACGAAAGGGGAGCAACACCAACTACGGGGTCACGATGACTCCCGGGAAGGTTGATTTTTTTGGTTCGGGCCATGGAACGGTCATTGGCCATGCGATGGGTGGAATTGGGATCGGCGTTTCCTTGTTCAAGGCGGGTGAGTGCGAGGAGCCTTAGTTGATCAAGTCGACCTTCCCAACCGACCGATCTTGTCACCACGCGCTGACGATTGTTCCAAATCTCGTATCTGAACCCCTGTATCTAGAGTACGACGCGGTGCTGCACATGAAAGTTCCCAGTGTCGGTTTCACGCTCAGCGTCGACCAGGCTGGTCAGGGCGAATGCGGCAAACAGATGCACAGACCCACGGCGAGTATCCAACCGTTCATCGACATCTACATCGACTTCCGCCTCGGGGGCAAAGGAGCGGCGGACAACATCAATACTCCTATCGGCGTCGCTGACCCCAAGTCGCCCAAGTCTCCCAAAATTAAAGGGAGGTCGACCAAGCATGGTTCGCACATGCTCAACACCGATCCGGCAGAGTACGATGCGATCAGGGCCAAGAAGGTCAAGGAGCTGGCTAGGTCGGCGATCATGTCCGGGTCGACATGGAGGAGGAATAAGTCGAACTCGACCGCGACTGCATCCCGCACGTTCTCGCCCATGGGGCCTTCAGGGTCGGATTCCGAGAACTTGGACAAGTCGTCCGCTTCGGGCACCGACGCGTCCTCGTCCTCGCCCTCGCTTCGCCATGCCGGCGATAAGCGCTGGTTAGGTGCCGCCGTGAAGAAGGCGCTGGGCAAAGTTTGGGACTGGACGCTCTACTACCACAAGTACCCCGTCGGCCACATCATGTGCTTCCCGATTGGCCATGGTCAAAGTTCGGATAAGCAGGACTCGTTGCAGACATCGCTGATGGATAAGGGGCGAGTTACTAGGGTCGTGCGGCGCGGAAAGGGGAGCTCGTTGGTTGCCCCTGTCGAGGTCGAGCGCCTCTCACTTGGCCCGGCCACTGACGGGCCCAAGGGTCTGAACCCTACCAATGGTACTTTTGCTCCCGCTGTACAAGGCGACCATCTCGGAGTATGACACTAGAGCTTTGTATCTTGATCTGGCTTTGCTTTCATCTCCATTCTGCTTCGACTTTCAAACTTCCAATTCAGCTGGCCGGCCGGCATTTATTAGTCGATGCAATTCTACGCGATACTATTTAGTTGTGTCCTGGCCGTGGTCTCAGTGTGGTCAATCTTCAGCGACGGTTCAGCGACGGTGAGTCCGAGCTTGACTTGAGATGTTCGGTTTTGTTCGGTTTCGGAGAGCTCGACGTCCGAGGGTGTGCGACGGTCGGCAGCTGTCGGAGGCTGTCGGCAGCGAGCAGTGATTTATACTCGAGGCGCGTCGCGCTCGCTCTCGCCTTTGCTCTTCCCCGCACACACTCTCGCTCATCGCCTACCTTTCGCGATGGCGACGACGACTCCCTCTTCAGCCCCGGCAGCCGTCAAAGTGCTCGTCACAGGTCCGCCCACCAAGCTCAGCACCTACTTTAGCAAGCTCGCGACGCTGCAAGCCAAGCACTCGTTCGACCTCGTGCTCGCTCTCGACCTCTTCTCCGGCCTCCCAGACGATGATCTCGATCTGGCGCAGTTGATGGCTGGGGTGATTGAGGTGCCCAAGGATGTGCAACTGTATGCGATCAGTGGTGGGAAAGGAGCGGTGCCGAACAAGGTCAGGGAGGCCGTCAAGGGAGGCGGTCAGGTGACGGAGAGGCTGAGCTTTCTTGGTTAGTCGGTTGAAGCGGTTTGGCATCGTGTCGGGTACGGCTGCGGATTGGGTTCACTGATCGTACTTGGAGCTGGCCAACAGGAAAGACGGGTGTGTTGACGCTGGCTTCGGGGCTGAGGCTCGCGACGTTCGCTGGCTCGTACGAGCCGGAACTGTTCAAGGCGACCGAGCAGGACCCGGATGCAGACGTGCGTTAATTGAGACCGAGCACGGATAAGAGATCGTACCAAATACTGATATGCAAAACAACCATAGCTCGTCGATCCCTTGTCAGCGGCTCACTTCACCTCGACCGATCTCGAATCGTTGCGCTCGTTGCTCAGCCCGGCGCAACGACCCAACTCGTCCCTGCCTCCCAAACCGATCCCAGCCCCCGACATCCTCCTCACCACATCCCTCCCCGCGTCCCTCCCTCTCCTCTCGGCCTTGGCTTTACCCGCGACGGCGAAGGGTCAGCCTTTTTCGTCAGAGTTGGACGAGGTCGTGAGGATGTCCCGGCCGAGGTACCACTTCATTGGTGGGACGGGCGTCTTTTGGGAGCGAGAACCTTTCCAGTGGAATGATGGGAGTAGGCAGGTGTGCAGGAGTATCTGCTTAGGAGAGATGGGTGCCAAGGGGAAGGAGAGGGTCAGTCAGCTTGGGGGCTGGGCTGGCTTGGAATCTTTCATTTGCATCCTGGAACCGACGAGAACTGACACGGCTAGCCGTGCCCTACAGGCCTTCTACGCATTCTCGATCGTGCCTGGAGGACCTCCACCGAACCCTCTTCCCACGAGTATGACCCCCTCACCGTATTCCCTCGACTCGTCCCAGTCGAAACGAGGCACCAAACGACCGGCCGGATCGCTCGATCAGAACAACGGCACCAACGAGTACGGCGTGCCGAATTACATTTTCGGTGCTGGAGGCAAGAATGGGAACAACAAGAGGGGGAGGAATGGTGCCGACGGTGGGGAGCGAAGACCGCCACCGTGAGTAGTGCCAAGCTCCAAGCAAGGGTGTTCCGGATGGAGCGACTCGGGAGCTCATCTACCTGCCACGCATACATCTCGCGACTCACAGGGAGCATTACACGTGCAACATTTGCGAACAAAAGGGGCATTGGATTCAGGACTGCCCTGAAAAGGTCGAACGGGACGCTCAACGGGCTGCCGCGAGGGCCGGCGTGGGAGGAGGCTCGAAGAAGCCGATCCAGCGTGAGTGCGGTTGTTTTTTTCAGCTCGCTTTGCGGTGATTCGACAAGCTGATGGTGGTTCAAATTTACAGCGGACGAGTGCTGGTTCTGTCTGTCCAACCCGAAAGTGACGAAGCACCTTATCGCTTCGATCGGGAGCGAGACGTACTTGACCCTTCCCAAGGGGCAACTGTGTCCTACGGGACCGAATGGCGAACCGAATGAGAAGAGTCCTGTTCCTGGCGGGGGACATGTGTTGATCATACCCGTGCGTAAGACTACTTTTGACTTCCGACTTTGCAATGAGCTCACCTCTTCAACTGGTCCACCCTTCAGATCGCGCATTACCCGACCTTACTCTCGGTCCCTGCAGACCAAGCCGTCCCCATCGTCGCCGAGATCGAACGTTACAAGTCGGCGCTCAAGACTTGTTATGCCGCGTTTGGAGCGAGTCCCGTCGCTTTCGAGGTCGGACGCTTAAGTGGCAAGGGAGGGCACGCGCATATTCAGGTGAGTAGGAGGCGATCAAGGTCTTATGGGCTTTGACTTGCGGCTGAGTAGCTGTCACCTCTCCTCCCTTGGCTTTAGATTTGCCCGATCCCGAATGCCCTCCTCGACAAAGTCGAACAAGTCTTTATCGACCAAGGCCAAAAACAAAACGTCATTTTCAAAGAAGCCTCATCCTCATCCCTCTCCTCCGAAGGTTTGAAGAAACTCGGCATCTCGGACAACTACTTCCGCGTCGATTTACCGAACGGTAAAACGCTCGTGCATTCGATCGAACAAGGCGCGAGGTTCGGTTTACAGTTTGGGAGGGAGGCCTTGGCGGTTTTGATGGAGTTGCCCGAAAGGGCGGATTGGAAGGCTTGTTCCAAGAATGAACAACTGGAGAAGAAGGAATGTATTGCTTTCAAAAAGGCGTTCAAGAACTTTGATCCGATGGAATGAGAACAGAATTTGGGTCGTCAAGTCCTAATTTTACGCACGCTCAAAGACTCGATGGCTGTTGATGAAGCTACAGTCGACCGTCGGAACGGAGGAGGGTTTCTTTAGGGTGAAAGAGCCCTTTGAATAGCAGTTCCAAGGCGAAACTGTCCGATGGGGACGAAAGTGCATCAACTGGCACCAGCCAGAGTACATGTATTCGCTGCATCAAAGACGGTACATTTACTCGTTGCATCCCTCGTTCTTGTGCTGAGATACTGGCAGACTTCGCGATCGGTAGCAAGCAGAAAGCGAGATTGTCTTTCCTTTGCCTGTCATCGCCGTTTCCAATTTAGGCTTTGGCCGCCCGGTCTCGAATTTTGGCAAGAGAGCGGTTGTCTACGCAAGAAGTGGTTCATCGTTGCGAACTTTCTTGTTCAAACTGTGAGAGCATACGGCGAAGGCCCGATCGATGATGGTCGGGTCGTAGTGGGCGAAACATCGAGGAGCCATCCGAGTCGGAGACGACGGACCCGCCTGGCTCGCGATGGGTGATTCGGATGTCAGCGGTCGGGGTGGTCTCGCAGATGTAACGACTCTCGGTACCTTAGCTCGGCCCTGAAAACGCATTGGAGGATCTCGCCATAGGTCGTTGGAGAAAGAGTGGGACCGGCCATAACCTGCCGACGAGCTTGAGCGTCCCGACTCCCGAGCGAGAATCACGTCGAGGCTTGAAGTTCGAGGACTCAGGCCTCAGGGGCCAGCTCGCAGCCTAACTCGAGGCACAGCGCACGGTTGGGCGCGAGGTCAAAACGGGCGCGATTGCCATTTGGCGCGTGCGAGTGGGCGCGTTCGAGTGGGCGACCACGCGACGCGTCCAAGCCAAGGGCGGCCAGCGATGACTTGTGGCCGAGCTCAGCGCTCCTTCTCCCTTCACTCACCCCGTCACTCTCACCCCTTCACCACACCCCATCCCGAAATCATGTCTGACCTCACTGTTGGTGTCATCAGGTGAGTCACATCGGTACTCGGGGTGATCTGATCGGGCCGTAGGCAGCGCGCTGACACAGCGCAACTCGACGCGACTCCTTCGACCATGGCCTTGTCATTACCATGTCCGCGACCGAGAACAGAGAACTGTACGAGGGACCTGAAGGTGCCAACACCATGCCGTACGCGCCCGTCGTGCAGGTGCTCTCGATCAAGAAGATCGTCAGCCCCAATGGCCCGGATCGTCATCGGTGAGAGCGCGACTTGGGCCAACGCAGTCACTCGAGGGGGGGGGGGGTGGGGGTGCAGGGCGATTTGCCAGCCATGGAGATGTCATACGTCCGATACTGACTCGTCCGATAACTACTCATAGCCTCATCCTGTCGGACGGTCAATGCTTTGCGCAGTCCATGCTGGCGACGCAGCTGAACCACCTCGTCGACGGCGACGAGAACGCACCGATCCGTAAGCATTCGGTCCTTCGTCTCGTCCAGGTAGCGTGCAACGCCGTGCAAGGTCGTCGCATCATCATCTGCCTCGACGTCGAAGCCGTTGCGCACCCGTCGACCAAGATCGGGACCCCAGAAGACGTGACCAAGTTCATCGAGAACAACCCCCATGCGGGTGGCGCGCCAGTCCAAGCCGCTGCTGCTGCTGCCTCGACGACGGCGAACGCGAGTGTCGGTGCTGGGAGGGGGGGATCGAATGCTAGTAGCACAAGTGCGGCCAAGAACGTACCTGCTGCCAAGCCCGCTGCCGGGGGTCGTCGAGGCGGGGCCGAACCCGTCATCTACCCCATCGAGAGTCTCAGCCCGTACCAGAACAAGTGAGTCCCAGAGGACCTCGGGGTCTCATGCGCAGACATTTGATCTCTAAACATCATTTCTGATAGGTGGACTATCAAGGCTCGAGTTACGGTCAAATCGGATGTTCGCCATTGGAGCAACCAGCGAGGCGACGGAAAGCTCTTCAGCGTCAACTTGCTCGACGAGACGGTCAGTGCAGAGGACATGCGCAGATGGTTTAGATTTGGTGAACACTAGTCTGATGATGCCATTGCATTTGGTGCTCATTGCAGGGAGAGATCAAGGCCACTGGGTTCAACGAAGCCGTGGATAATCTGTACGACGTTTTCGAAGTCGGCAAGGTTTACTACGTCTCCAAGGCGCGAGTCAACATTGCCAAAAAGCAGTTCTCGAATTTGTCAAACGAGTACGAGATCGCGTTCGAACGTGACACGATCGTCGAGTTGTGCGAGGACCAGGATGCCGCTCCTCAGGTCAAGTACAACTTTGTCGAACTCGCTGGCCTCGGCGATTGCCCCAAGGACTCCACCGTCGACGTGCTCGGTATCGTCAAGGACAATGGCGACCTGTCCGAGATCACCGCCAAGGCGACGAACAAGCAGATCAAGAAGCGAGAATTGACCATTGTCGATCGATCGGGCTACTCGGTGCGCGTCACGCTGTGGGGCCGATCGGCCGAGACATGGAAGGATACCGACAACGGCGTATTTGCGTTCAAGGGTGCCAAAGTTGGAGACTTCGGTGGCCGAACATTGAGCATGGGTGGGCAGTCGACGATCACCGAGGATCCCGACGTCGAGGCGGCGCACGCCCTGCGAGGCTGGTTCGACACCGAAGGACATTCGAACGAGTTTACGTCGTACAACTCGTCGATGGCGACGTCCGGTGCGGCGACGTTCAAGAAGGACGAGTTCAAGACGCTCGACGAGGTCATCAACTCGGGCATTGGAATGCAGTCGGAGAAACCCGAGTACTTTGCGACGCGCGCGACCATCACCTTCATCAAGAGCGACAACCTCTCATACCCGGCTTGCCCGACCGAGAAGTGCAACAAAAAGATGACGATGGAGGACGAGTCGCAGTGGAGGTGCGAGAAGTGCAACAGAACGTACGAGAAGCCCGAGTACCGGTGAGTCGTGCGCTCCCCGTCCAACCAAGCAGTTGACTGATGAGAACTTGTGAACCTGCAGCTACATCGTCTCGATTGCGGTCAACGACTTCACGAACCAGATCTGGCTCTCTGGCTTCAACGAGATGGGCCTGCAGCTCTTTGGCCGAACGGCGAACGAGATGCAGCAACTCAGGGAAGAGAACGAGGACGAATTCCCAATCGTGATCAACAAGGCGCTCGGGACCATGTACAACTTCTCCGTCAAGGCCAAGGCCGACTCGTTCAATGATCAGCTCAAGGTCAGGTACCAGTTGCAAAAAGCGGCACCGGTCAACTGGGTTGAGGACGCCAAGATTCTCGCCGAGCAGATCCAGGCCATGTCCGTGTAGATCATGATCCACTTCGCTTCGTCTTTTTCTTTCGGTTTGGCATTCAGGGGATCTTGTGCTGGACGCCTTCCGTCTCTCGTCGCTGATGCTTTTTCGGAACTTGTAATAAACAACGCGTGCAACTTCATCCGTTTATAATTGAAGCAGTCTAACACCAATTCGATCAGACCATCTCGACCTCATGTATCGATGATTCCGGGGCAGAGCCAAGGGTCGCTTTCCGATCTTCGGACCGAGTCTGCGGCATCGTCGGCGCCGGCATCTTCTCCGAACGCTTTTCGTCCGACTTGGCATTCGAAACCATGACGCTCGTCGATACGTCGATACTAACACCCACCAAAGGTTTCTGACCATACGCGGTCGTGACACTCGTCGTTCTCGTCGTCATTGTCGTCGTAGGTGGCAGAGGTAAGTAAGCCGCGAAACGACGCAACCTTTTCGGCAGAGCATTCGATCCATCGCCGAGTGATCGGAAGAGGATGAGGATGGCGACGAGGAAGGATAGGACGGAATTGATCCAGGCGCCGATCAGAGCTATATCTTGCACTTGACCTGAGTTGAGGATGATGGAGACGGGAGTGGCGGCGAGACTGTAAGATAAGAAGGTGTTGGAGAGGAGCATGAGGGAGATCAAGGTGGAAACAAGGAGGCGGTTCTTGGTGGCCCATTCGACGAGGGAGGCTTGGACGCTGTGGAGGGACCCGGTAGAGGCGTGTCAGCTTGCTGCGAGTAGTCAAAAGAACAGGACAAATCAAATTGCGCCCACATGAGGTGACTCCTCAGATCAACATCGGCTGTCGCGCCGTAGTCACGGGGAGAAACCGTGGGTGACGCTTGATTGTCGTCTTCCGGCTTTCTCGGTGAGAACGGGGCGAGAGGGAGGCCGACTCTCTGACGGAGGTCCCGCGCTTGATTCCGCAGATGGTTGATTTCGACGACGGCGGCTGTGATATAGAGCTACGTAGGAAAAGAGTCAAACCCATGGTAAGCTACTGCGAAGGAGGAGTGAAGTAGCAGCTGAGAGGAAGAGGAACAACGAACCATCGATGTGATGCACAGCACGGATCCTATATAGCTGTTGGTGACTTTTCTCCAGAGCGAGAGGCTTCGTATACTGGCAACGAGTGGACCGAGAGATTTAAGACTTCCTTCGAGGTTGGAGAAGACCATAGGTTGACCGGGTACCCAAGCTGACGAGAGCTTGCCGAGCGAAGTGCTGGTCACGTTTGCATTTATGAGAACGACATCCAGAGAACGCTTGAGGATCGCGAGCAAAGTGAAGGAGGGAACAAGGGTGATCAGAGCGAACATAAAAGGGAGTGACTGGTATAAAATTGAAGTGATGTGGGGATCGTCGTGATGCGAGCCGAATTTGCGAATGTAGGAACTTCCAAATGTGGCCCACACTTCCGTCACCTGACCGGCAGAGAGGGCGAGGGGTAGAGCATCCTGAAAACTAAGGTACCATGAAGGATATGAGGATCCGGAAACGATTCTGCTTGTTATGGCTAGCTCGACGAAGCTCACTGCCGAGAAGGGGAATTCGATGAGGAGGAGAGAAGTGACGTTAGCCCCGTCCACTTGCACTCGTTCGGAAAATAATAGAATTCTTGACAATATTTTGTAGACTCACAGCAATGGTAGACGAAAGCCCAAAAACTGTTGTGGACCGAAATGTTGGGCATCGTGATTCTCGAGTCGATTCGGTGAAACAGCCAAAAGCGCCCTTGGCGCAGGCGAAGCACAATGCTGAGCAGAGTGAGCACGACCGCAACGGAAAACAGCCCAACGAGTGTCCATAATTGCGCCATGAAGGCCGGGCCTTTCTTCGGGTAGATCGCTTCGCGAATGGCTTCAACGGCGATTTTGTAAGGATCCCTGTCCTCAAGAATCGCTTGGAGGATGGGCGCGCCGTCTGCTCCGGCCGAGGCCCGAGCGCAATGTGTCAACGCCTCCGTCCGGTGAGCCAGCAGCTGCCGTGCCCCTCCCCTGCTCCTAAGGATACTCACATCTTTGTATCCACTTTTCCGAGTCCGCTGGCGCCATTGTCTGGTTGAGCAGCTTTGCAATCGCTTGTAGCGAATCCATTGCTGCGACGTGGAAGAGTCGAGCAGGTAAAGTACTGGAAAGAGGTAAAAAGGGAAAAAGGGGGCTACTTTGAGGGTAGGAGGTGGCGGCTGGGCGGCTCTGGGCAATCGATACCAGCCGCTCGAACAGGGGAGGGAGGAGGACCACGTGAAGCGGCTGAGCGTTGGAAGGTGTGATCTGTCTGATGAGGTGGAAGGAGAGAGAAGAAGAACAAGAAGGGAGGAGGAAGCTCAAAGTTGGGGCATACATTAAGAGTGGGAGATCAAGCAAAAGACTTTGCGTCACAAGACGGCGGGGCAAGGCCCGAGCCAAGCCCGCGGAGACCGCTGCGCCTTATAGCGACTTTTTCAGTTAAGCGTGAGCATGGGCCTCGTAGAGGCATGTCAACATCACATCGGAATTTGGTCACTGATCCCCACGAATATCTTTTCGACGGGCTCCGGCCAGAACTCGCGGTGATTCGCATTTCCACGACTGACCTTACAGAAACAGGGTTTCTCGAAGCACATTACAAGCTGGTCGTTTGTCACCACGTCGGCGTTTGTGGGCAGATCCAGCTTCGGCGCATTGCGTCTCACCATCATCTCGGCCGCAAGATCCTAGAGAGGCGAAAACACTCAGCTCAATTTCATTGATTTTCCCCAGACAACTTGGGCTCGTCCCAGACAATGTCGACGTGATTCCAGCAGCCACAGCTCCTGAGCGCCTATTTGGAGGAGGCACACGGACCTCCCGGCTGGCCGGGTCGGAACCGAACCCGGCTCAGACACCTTGGGTACTACTACTAGGAGGCTCTCGTGCCTTGAGGTGAGTACTAGTTTCGAGTAATACGAGTACCATCCGATGGGCTCGCTCATTGCACAATAAACGTTCTAGTGTTGAAACATGAATCAACTGACCCGCCGCCGGTTGAAAAGAGTTACCATGGCGTGCCCAGTGCGGAAGTGACGAGCGTCCAGGCTTAACGGCCGACTTGCTCGACATACGGCTGGTGTACGAAAACGGGGAGTAGATAGTACTCGATTGTGCTCACGCTTTCGCTGCCAAGGCTCGTGGGATCAAGCAGGCTGGTACGCACCCCATCTTTTCTGTCGGTTAGGCGCTCACCCTGTGCCGCTTTCAGGTGGCGCTTCAGATCCTCATCGCCAAAAGGGCTCGCTTCGGGATTATTTGGGGCACACCTTGCTTTGTTGTCGGCGAAATGGGTAAGCAATCGACGTCTCCCGGCTTGGAATAACCAGTGGCCTTCCGATGCAAGCCAAGGTCTGCGCATTGACGACGGGTGGTGCTGGTTCCTCGATCATCCTCGAGGGGCGATCGCACTTGCTCGCTGCTTCGTCCCGACGATCGAATTTGCCTCGTCGATGCAGAGGCAGTGTTCAATCGAGCCCAAAGCTAGGTCCATCACATCTCCTTCGCCCGAGTGTACCTTGAATATTCATCAACGTGAAATATGTGGTAACGTGGCACTCCAGCGCTCTCCGATCGTCAACGACTCCGTGTCGCGTGGCATAAGTAACGACCCGCCGAGCTCTTTACTCTACCTAGTAAAAAAAAAGGTCGATCCGCGACCCATGTTCCTAAAATCGCAGTTTTTGTCTGTGTTACGGCCCGGAAGGCCGCAAGTGATGGATGTACCTGTACACTATTGGGTCTGCCGCACCTGCCTGTGGTATCGGCACCTCGACCAGAAGTCATGTACGACCCTTTCTGCATTTTCTGGACCATAAAAGTCGACCTACAGCCCGACTACGATTTTTGTCGATTTTTGACATGGTGGGGAACTATTGAGCTGTTTGTGTAGGATTTAATGTATAGCAAGCGCGTGGGTTTGCATGACGCTTCTTCTACAGAGCTCAGGCGTGGTCTCGCTGTCGTTGACGCGCGGACGCGGGCGCGGCTACGCTGCGCGATGCCCCGACGATCACGTGACGTGTTTTTTGCATCCCGACACCGGTTTTAGGGACTCAACAACAACATGACGTTCAGGCGGGCGCTGTGAATACTCCCGCGCTACTCTCTCCAATTTTCGCCTTTTCCCTCCCACTCTCATCGAATTTTCGTGACAACCGCGCCAAGTCTTTGGCGCGAGCCTGTCGTACGATAGCGTACCGTCGTACTGCTCGAGGTTGCTCGAGGGCCCGCTGCTCGACTCTCCTCTTCGTCCCGCTCCCATCAACAGAATCAGCTCCCCGCGCGTCATGGCAACAACCCAACCAATCTTGGTATTGCGACCCGTATAAGCGTCCGCCGTACAGCTTTGTAGAACGGACAGCGTGGTCAGCGCGATGGCCCGATGGCCGAACCGACGCTGAGCTACTGCTGAGCTCGCCCCACCACCACCTCTTCCCGCGCAGAGCAAGTGCACAGGCCTTGAATCGCGCTCAAACCACTCAAGCCCCACGTTCCCATCCGCGACTACCTCGGCCCCAGATGACCGTGTGTACCCACTGCAAGGCTCGACACTGGGAGTGCGAAAGGACAAAGTCGACCGGACAGTTCAGCACGTGCTGCTCGCAGGGCAAGGTACAGACAGCTACCTCCCTCTTTCCGGCCTAATCCCGACTTTCAACAGCTACTTGAAGGCTCGGATAGCGGTCAGTTGCTCCATCCAACGACATTCGTCTGTAGTAGACCCACATGCTGAACTGTGCGACCCATCTACACAGAAGCTAAGGCATTCCGGCGTTCCGCGAGAATGCCCGGTCGTACAACAACGCGCTGTCGTTCACTTCGCTCGCTGCCCACTTTGACCAGATACGACTCGGCACTTTAGGACCCCCGTGTTCGCGTGTTCGGTCACCTCTATCATCGACTCGGTGCCCTGATCCCCGCCGTGAATCAACGCCCAGCCTTTGCTCAGACATGGCTCATCGACCCGGTCGAGGCCACCGACACTCGACTTGGACCCGACGGCGCAGACAGTCGCATACAAAGATCTACTTTGACCAAGCTCGACTCCATGTTGGGCACCGGACATCGCTTTGTGAGGGAGTTCGCATCGGCCAAAGCCCGCGCAGGTTGGGGTACGGCCAAAGAATGGGTCCTGCGCCTCTGTCTAACACCTGGCCGGGACCGACGCACCCACGACCTTCCTACGTGGAGCACGGAAATGGCGATGCCTATCTGCGATTCCGACACCAACATGTGAGGTCGTGGACCGCAAGACCTTATTCTTCAGGCGCACGGTGATCAATGTCCCGACGATCGGCCCAAGTACCAAGTTGTTAGCTTGCTCCATCCGTCTGCGATGCCTCTCCGTTCCCCACTCCTATTCCCTGCAGGAGAAGATAACTGCCTCCCCAACATTCCTCTTTGCAGTTCCAACCAAGCTGGGTCACCCTTCGCCGACAAAGAGGATGAAGACGAGGAGGAAGGGGACGAAGAGAATGGTGATGGTGAACCTAAGCGCCTTCGGCTCTTTCTCGGATGTTCCATTTTGTTAAGGCGCACGCACAGACTGACATGTAACGTTTTAACACCTAGGACGAAGCTCAAATAAAGGGGGTCGAAGTGGCGAGTCTCGCGTTCACAATTATTTGCGTACTACTTGCACAAACGCGACGAGTACTTCTCAATCCCGCATTGCACCCAACGTGCCTTCCTGGCGTTCGTGATGACGGATACTCCCACGTCGAGACCGATCGACTCAACTTACCTCCAGTTGCATCAAGAAAACCTCCGCCTCACCACGGGCCAAGGTATCATCACCTTGACCCCGGATCAAATTGGATGTTCGGTGATTTTAAGCTCAACGTTCAAGAATAGATCGCGCGAGAACACGCAGCATTACCAAGATGCGATGGCGTGCGCCGTCAAATATGGAAAGCCTTCGCTATTCATCACGGTGACGTGCAACCCCGAATGGCCGGAAATCAAGGCTGCACTGGGACCGAACGACCAAGCATGCAACCGACCGGATCTCATTGCACGAGTGTTTGAAGCCAAGTTGAACCGACTCTGCGACGACGTTTTTGGCAACAAGCAACGGGCAGGCTGTTTGGGCGATGAATGGCAAACTGTTTCTTTGCTGTACTTTATAGTGTGTTTTCTTAGCCTCTGTTGAAATCATGTAGACTGTTCGATTCTCCTGCTATTTGAATCTCACCCTCCCGTTAATTTAACGGGTTCCCACTGGTGTTGACTTATTATTTCGCCGAGGTCTGGCTTTGGGAGACCGGGAACATATTCCGGACCAGTATTTTTTTGTTTGTTTTATCTTATCATTTTATGAAATGCTTCTTGGAGCCAAGCTTCCTCCTTCGTTCGTATTTCCCGGCGCCTCGGACTCAACTACACTGGACTCCGTGTCCCGCGCTGTCTGTCGCCATACGCGAATGGCCGACGTGGGGACCAGGCAGCGGCTGGCGGCGGTCGATGATCTCTTCCTCGGCCCATATCCTTGCATCGTATGATCGTCAATCGCGGACTTTCTCGTGCCGGCTTGTCACATCTACTGTCGTATTCGATACCCTCCAGTATATCTCCATATCGTCCCCTCTCCGCTGCAGTCGACACTTGTTCCACAGCTCGGACCCCCACTTCAGGCTCACCGCTGATCAAGACTATGGGCTCAATCGCCGCGGCCAGCGAGGCCAAATCACCTGTTTCGAACCGCACAAGTCAACGGTATGATCTCCGCAGCCTATCATCGTCGTGGTCGATCCAACGGGATGCCGCAACACCCACCTCTTCCGTTCCAGCGTTCGCTCGTTTCACCCCCGCAATCGAAGTCTCCCCCAACGACGCGGGGAAGTACCGACTCGTAACCCTCTCCAACGGACTCAAAGCCCTCCTCGTCTCCGATCCAACGACGGACAAGGCCGCGTGTGCATTGAGCGTCAACATCGGCCACTTGTCCGATCCGGACGACCTACCCGGTCTAGCGCATTATTGCGAACATCTCCTCTTCCTCGGTACGGAGCAATTCCCCGACGAAGCCGAATACAAACGCTACCTTTCGACGAACAATGGTTACTCGAATGCTTACACCTCTATGGAGGAGACGTTGTACCATTTCGATTGCTCGACCGAGGCCCTGGAAGGTGCACTGAAGAGGCATGCTAGGTTTTTCCAGAACCCTCTCTTCGATGCAAGTTGTACGGAGAGGGAGGTCAATGCCGTCGATGCAGAGTTTAGGAGGAACTTGCAACTCGATACCAGAAGGTTGTTCCAACTTGGGAAGGCGACGAGCTCGAGTGAGGGGAAGGGGACGGTGTATTGGAAGTTTGGGACGGGGAGTAAAGAGACGTTGTGGGATGAGCCGAAGCGACGTGGGGTTGATACGAGGGAACGGCTTTTGGAGTGGTATTCCGAGCATTACTCGGCGAATCTGATGAGTTTGGCTGTGTGTGGGAACCGTCAGTCTGCTGTATCTGTCGGTCAAAGGTGATCTCACTTGTTGCTTATCGCGTCTGAGGCTTCTTCGATCGAATGACAGAATCGCTCGACGACCTCGAGATGATGGTCTCGCGGGAGTATTCCGGCATTCCGAACCTCAATGCCCAACACAACATCTTTGACACCCCCGTTCTAAAAGAAGAGCAACTCAAGGTCCGTTGCTTGTCTGAGCGCTAGAAGTCGACGACCGATGCCGACCGGACTCATTTGTGCACACAGACTCTGATCAGCTACCGGACCATCAAGGATACGCCGCAACTTCGGATCGAGTTTCCTTCACCCGATTCCAGGGCGCACTGGTCCAGCAAGGTACGTGGTGAGGTCTTCAGTCTCAAGGTTGAAATTTTGACTGATCGAAAGAGTGAACGACTCCTTGCGGTACAGCCTTCGAGTTTCCTTTCCCACTACGTCGGCCACGAAGGACCGGGATCAATTCTCGCCGAGTTGAAACGACGCGGATGGGCAACTTCGCTCTCTGCTGGAGGTGGCAATGGTGCAGCCGGTTTCGACTTTTTCCGCATCAATGTCGGCCTGACCGCAGTTGGATTAACGAACTACAAGGCCGTCATCAGCTTGGTCTTTGAATACCTCGACATCTTGGCCTCAACGACTCCGCAACGATGGGCTTTCGACGAGATGATGAAACTGGGCCAAATCGGTTGGCGATGGAAAGAGAATGGTCAACCGACCGCGCTCGTCAAGAGCTTGGCTTCGAGAATGGCGAAAACGCTTTACCCTCCGGAGAAGATCTTGAGTGGACCTTGGTACGCGACCAAGTTTGATGGGGAGTTGTTCAAGACGTATGCGCGGAGGTTGAGGATGGAGAAGTGTAGGATCTTCCTTGGGAGTCGGGAGGTGGTGGGAGGGAGGGAATGGGATCAGAAAGAACGGTATTATGGGACTGAGTACAGAATCGATCGATTGGATGATCTTAGGTTCGAGGTGAGTATTGGTCAGAATGCTGAGAACGACGAGTATCACTCTAAAGACTGGGGTGTCTTCGCCTGTCCCATACAGATGAAACCGATCTCGGAGGGCAAGTTGGCACTTCCGAAACCGAACCCTTTCATTCCGAAAAACGTCGAACTGGTGACCAAGACGCCTGCAGCTGAGGTGCGTCGCTGGCTTCCTCGTGCAGATCCACAGATAGATTCGCACTGACCTCCTCAATGGGTGATCCTGCAGCCTGCCAAGCGACCGACTCTGGTTCGGCAAAGCTCGACGAGTCGCGTCTTCCACAAGAAGGACGACCGTTGGTGCATTCCACGCGCGAACGCTTATTTCTTGCTCAAGACGTGCGCCAACATCTACCGAGTACCCTCGATCGAATGCTCCAATCTGCTGACTTCGATTCTACGCTCCCTACTATGATCAGGCCGGTCGCCGACGAATCCCCGAGCTCAGCGATGAAGACCCAACTGGTGACTCAACTCGTCGAAGAAACGCTCGCCGAATACTCGTACGACGCGTCCCTCGCCGGACTCTCCTACAACGTCGGGTCAGCACCCCAAGGTCTCGAAATCTACGTCTGGGGATACTCGGACAAGCTACCTTTGTTACTTCAAGTCGTTTTGAAGAAGCTGAAAGGGCTGGATTTGGAAGGAGAGGGAATGAAGGGCCTTTTTCATTTGGTGATGGAGAGGTTGAAGAAGGCGTATAAGAACGCGAGGTTGGAGAACCCGTCTACTTTGGCGGATGCGCAGTTGAGATGGTTGACGAGGGAGACGTATTGGACGTTTGAGCAGAGGTTGGAGGCGCTGAAAGGTGCGTCTTGACTGGGGGATAAGTTCTGCTGTGCGAGTGGGCTGACGGGAGGCTGACGAGATTCCCTGACAGCTCTCACACCGGAGCAAGTCCAACCCCACATCGAGGCCATGTTAGCCCAAGTCCGAATCGAAGCTTTGATCCACGGAAACCTCACAGCGGACCAGGCCATCGCCCTGACCAACACCGTCGAAACGACGCTCCTACGCTCCCCACCCTCCTCCCCTCCATCCGAAGACGAACACCATCGAGCCCTCGTCCTTCCCAAGCCTTGCAACCTCCTCTATCGCTCCAAGGTCTTATCTTTGGAGAATGTGAATTCCGCAGCGTCGGTGTATTATCAAATTGGGCATGCGAGGGATGAGAAGACTTGGGTGACGTTGGCGATGTTCGCGCAGATTGCGAAAGTACCGATCTTTTCGACGGTCAGTTCGAACCACGTTATGCGCATCACCGAAAAAAGGAAAGCTGATCTTGCCGATGTGGACGCCCCCAGCTCCGAACCAAAGAACAGTTGGGTTACATCGTTTCCTCCTCCACCTGGTCGCTCTACTCCCTCACCGGTTTTCGCATCATAGTTCAATCCGAGCGTTCACCCGAATACCTCGACTCACGAATCGAAGCTTTTTGGTCCACGTTCGAAGACGTGTTGATCCAAATGACGGAAGAGGCGTTCGGGAAGCAGAAGCAAAGCTTGATGGATAAAAAAAGGGAGAAGGTCAAGAACCTGGGTGGGGAGAGTGCGAGGTATTGGGATGAAATTCAGGAAGGCACCCTGGATTTCGAAAGACGTGAGTCCGCTTCCGAATCTGACTTTTGATCGAGAGGGTTTCTCCTTGCAGGATGAGGGATTGACCTCTCCGAGTCCGGTTCGAACGGCTTCGCAGGTGAACGACAGGCTCTACTCGTTTCAACGTTGACCCGCGCGGATCTCGTCGATTTCTTCAATGCCTACATACGCCCCAGTGCTCCAAAACTGTCGAAGCTCTCGATACTGATGAGGTCGCAGAGACTTCAATACGATGCGCTGAAAGCGCTTGAGGAGGTCTTACCCGGTGGGGAGGAGAAGGTCAAGGCGTTGCTCGAGTCGAAGCCGACGTTGGGACAACTCGAAGCAGGGGTTCAGGCGCTTTATCCCGAGGGTCAGGGGATTCCTCAGAGGGTCAAAGAGGAATTGGAGAAGGTGGGTCGACTTCCTGAATTGGACGGAGAAGGGGTGAAGGAATTATTCGAGCAAGAGATCGTTGAGTGGAGGAAGGGGTTGGAGAAGGCTGAGAGGCTGGGGCCGAGGGAGGATCACCGTTCTGATTTGGAGGTGACGAGTAAGCTCTAGAAATGTGCGCTCTTTTATAAGCTGTGACTACGCGATATAAGTATGATGTAGGTATATACTGTTGCACATTTCAGGTTGAGCGTTCAATTTGATACGGAAACGAGCTTGGACGCCGGACGACCCGAAGGAGCCGAATGGTGACTCGGCGGAGTGAGGAGGGCCTCGATTGTTAAGGAAAGGTCGTTTTGGTGGGTTTGGAGGAGGGCAGTGGCGACTTCTGGAGTGAGATCGAATTCTTTGGTCTACGAAATCAAAAGCATGGGGGTTTAGGCTGGTGAGGATCCGCACCTGCGTCCGAGAAACGTACCAGAACGGCAACGAGTTCTTCATCGACTTGCACCTCGCTCTTCTCCCTGGCGCCGCCATCCACTTTCTTCTCCTCTGTTGTTCCCTCTGTTGTAGTTGTCGTAGCCTCCGACTTTTTCTCCCCTTCCCCACCCTCCCCAGCAGCTGCAGTCTTATCAAAGCTCGCCGGCTCTGGATCAAGGATCACGTTGCGCACGCCGTCTTCGAACGCGGCTTGGTCATACCTGCAGTAGCAGGACATAAAGGGTAGCATGAGCTTTCGGAATAGATCCCCCGCATGTGTGTTGCCGTGCCCGTACCCTATCCTCTGTATCCCTCCACCGCTGGACAGCATGGACGACTGATTATCGACCCAATATTCTACCACGTTAAAACATTCCATCAGCATCATCCACCGCTCCCATAACACTACTCCAATCCCCCTACTCACGCGTAACACTAGGTCTGCCACCCGGTCCTGACCTGCTCCCTACAACAGGGTTGGGAATCGCCTGAGCCGCTTGGGCATGTTGAGCTGCTGCTGCTGCTGCTGCTGCTGCTGCTGCGGTGGCGGCGCGTTCGGCGGCGAGTTTCTTTTGTTTGGCTGCGGTCTGTGGGGAGGTGTGTAAAGAGTGAGTGGGTCGGTCGTGGGCCTTTGCGGGCAGGGGCAGGAGCTACGGGGAAGCGCAGGAAGGGGGAAGACTGACGGCTTTGGCTTTGGCTTTGGCTTTCAGCATGTTGCGTCTAACTGATGCGCGAGGCGGCGATGTGTGAACTTGTGCTGTTGAAGTCTTGACAAAGGTTGGGGGGTCCGTTTCGGAGCGCTGCAGGGGATGGGTGTGTGGGAACAGCAAGAATGCGAAACGACAACGGCTGACGCTCCTTACGCGCCTTACATGGTCCGAGCGGCTCGAGCTCTGCTTGTCGCCCTCGATTTGACGATCAAGACTGTGGAGATCGCTCTTACTAGCTTACATCTCGAAGGTCAAGTGAAACATCCCAGGTTTCCCCACGACGTGCTCTTGAAACGACTCCCAAGAGCCAAGCTCACGTTCACTAACGAATCCTTTCATGATTGCATTGCACCCTACTTCTTCGTCCCTTCGGCCCCACTCGCCGTCGTTCCCCCGCCTCCCCATTTCTCAACAACTTGGTCAACCTCTCCATCAGCGCCGTATTCCTCGTCGTCGCCGGCGCTGCCGCCCTCGACTTTAATCGAAACGCGGTCGGGTCCGTCGCCTTCCTCTCGTTCTCCAAGAAGTTCCTCCGATCCTCGAACGCCCTGTGCTGCGCCCCGGACCGCGATTGCGAGCCCGTGAACGTGCGTGGTTGAGGAAGGTCCGAAAGGCGTTGAGGGGTGTAGGGTGCACCACCTGAAGGGTAGGCCGAAGGCGGAGCCTGACCCGAGTATTCGGGCGAGCCGATCAACGGTCGATTCAGGGCAGTTCCTTGAGGTACCTCGACGCTGAATTTGACCGAACCGCTCCCCAAAGCTTGCGGTTCGATAGTCGAACTGGACGAATCGAATTCGACGTGACCGGGTCGGAGCCGCGCGGGTAACATCTTGTTGGCGTAGACGTTCGTATTGACCAAGGCGCGCACTTTGAATTGCGCTCGACCGGGGACGTTGGACCGGTCGCCCTGCGCGTCGGGGTAGAAGTTCGTGATCGAGGCTCCGCTGGTGTACCGCAGGTTCAGAGCGGAGAGTTGACCCAGTACGGTCGAGAGCGTGACATCGTTGCTGTTTCGCGAGCTTTGGTAACCGTCCGGGCTCTTCGCAGGGCCGAGTAAACGACCGGGCACCGTCGGTGCGAGCTGGGCTTCGAGTCGTGTAGGCTTCGAGTAGCGCAGACCCAACAACGGGTGGATGTTGGATTCGAGCGAGGCCTTGGATCGTTTCACCACCTCGGGTTGCAGTGCGATGAAGCGCTCGAGCAAGAGCTCGAGGTGCACTCGGTTCGATTGCGCGTGGGCGTACAGATCCACTGGCGGTTCCGACTCGACGATGGCCTGCACCTCATCCGGTGTCATGTCGTCGTTGAGCTTGCCCGACGTTCGCACGAGGTCGAGTTTGATAAAGTCCATGAACTGCTGGGTGCGACCGCCGAGCGAGTCGAGCAGCTTCTCGAACGCTCGATCCGAGAGGGCGAAGAAATTGGGCGCTTTGGGCGTATCTTTACGAGCTGCGAGTTGGTCGACCGGAGTGATCGCACCCTGTGTACCAAACGAGGCGGGGACGAAGCGACTCTGCAACGGCAAGGCCCCGATCGAGTTCGCACTCGAATCCGCCTCGCCGGTCCACGACGCGGACGAAGACGACGATGACGATGGGTTGTGGTATTCTACGACGGGGATCCCGGTCGCGTCGATCTTCCTGACGTAGGCGGTCTCCCTGACCGCCGGACGCCATTCGGTCCTCCGGTTCGAGTCGTCGAGGCGTTGCACGCTGACCCACGCATCGCGCTTGTTCGACGCTGAACCGATCGCCGCACGAGGGAGAGGACGCTTGAACCCGAACTGGGCACGGGACTTTTGCGCCGAATGGGCGACGTAGACTTGCTCGATCGAAGGTTGGTACGACGCGAGCTTGGAACGGCGGAGCAGGGCCGAGTAGGACGACGACGCCGCGCTCGACGAGGCGGCCGCCATCGCTGCCGTTTACAAACTTGATCTGGTGCGAATAGCGGAGGAGCGTATGACCCTACGTTTGACCCAAGTGCTGTGGGTGGAGAGCTGGCGCCGAGAGCGAAGTGGGCGACAGGAGCAGAGCCCAAGTTGAGTCCTGCCCGTCTTCAGCAGGGTTGCGACGGGCGCGTTTGCGAGATGCGCCGCCCAGCCTCGCCCAGCAGGCCAGCGCCAGCCCTGGGCCAAAGTCAGCCAGCCCCGAGCGGCAAAGCCGGCCAATCAAACCTGGCGTTGACTCGGACAAAGTCCTACAACCGGCAGAGTCCATGAACAAGGCATGTCGAATGGAAGCCCAAAGTGAGTGAAAATCTTCAGACTTGAACTCCAGTCCACATCACAATGCAGAAAAACGCCACTTCAGTCTCTGTTGCAGATTCGCAACGATCGGCAGCGCTCTCGGCCCCGATTCAGGGGTCGAAGAAGCTCTCCACGCGCCAACGAGGCTCGTCACACTGGCTACCGGGCATTTGAGCTGGCTCAGGTAGATGATCATTGTTTCGTGGCCCTAGTTTAATCCAGAAAAACACTTTCGTCATCGCTGCCTCTGCATCAGTAGTGCGACTGGCGGCGTCGGTCATTGAAAAATTCATCCTGCTCCTACACCTCGAGTCACTTACCACAGCGGGGCCCAATCTTGGACTATGTTTCTTTCACTCCTTCCAATATGCTACACCACCCCATTATCTCAGTGCACCTCTTCCTGCGAAGCTCACTGTCGCTGGGTACGATCACGTGATTCGAGATCACTTCGAAGGTCGGACTAATTGTGGCGCGCGTTGTCGAACCAGCAAAATCTTTGTTTTATCCCACTCAGCGGCTGCGCGGCGACGAATGGAGTGACCAAAGGCAATTATTCACTGACGCGCTCGTTTCTTGGGAGAAGAGAAAATTTCATGTTGTTCAAGTATAAGGTATATGATTTCAAATCACATGGGTTCAATTCCCATTACTTATGAAACCTCAAGGTCAACGACTCCTCTCGCATTTGCGCGTCATGTCGAGGTCACGTTTTTTTGGACCATCGACTCATGCGACCTTGCAGAGACCTACGATCCAGGGTGACCTGTCTACATCAAGATGCCACCTTGACTATAGAATTACCTGTACATCTGCACCATCGAAGAAGTGCGTATAACCCTTTTTGGTCGCGTCATGGTGAGCGCCGTCCCGCCTGCTGCGCCAATATGCTCGGCGAACGGCTCTGTTTTTCAAACCACATTCTCAAAAACACGCGCGGCTCTCAGCTCGACTCGGCTCGAATTTCGGGTTTCTTTGGGATACATTTCTCGATTCGTCGCTTTCCATCCTTCTGCTCACTCCTTTGCTTACAACAACGGACGTTTCTTCTTCCACTCCTACGAGATCCAACTTTTCTACTCGCTTGCAGCAACCCACCTTCGTCGAAACCTCGTCGACCCCCACTCGCTCCTCTCCGCCTCCCCTCCACCTCCCCCGGACTCACACGACCCGATCCGCTCAACGCCGCTCGACTCTCGATCGCGCCGCGCCGCGTCCTTCCTTGCTCCGCGCGCCGCCCCTGGTCGTCGTCATTCGCTGAGGCCCCCTTTCTCGCGCGACCCTTTTTTGAAACCTGTCCCCTTCGGCTTGTCGTGCACGCCCCTTCGCCTGACTCCGCCCCTCTCGGTTTCGCTTCCTCGCTCTATTACTTCCGACCCGAGCCGACCACCGACACTGCAGTCGCAGCAGCACCTTCGTTTCGTCACGATGCAGCACGCCCAGATCCCCGAGGCGCACGTCATGAAGCGGTTGGTCAAACGCCAACGCGCCGACGCGACCACGACACGAGCCCGAGCCGCCGCGACCACCACTCGCCGTCGAGCTACGACCGCCGCCGCAGACACCACTCGCAGCAGGGCCGCCGCTGCTGCCACCACTGGGCCCGCTACGACATCGGGTGAGTTCTGTTGCTTGACTACTTGGTTGCGCACCTGGATGAGATTGGGCTTTCCTTGACTGCGAAACATGGCTCCGCGTTCGATGAGGCGACGACGGCCTTCGGTCGGGCCGGGGGGGGGGGGGTGCCTTCCTCGTGAATCGCAACGGCCCCGCCGCGCCTGAACTCAGCTCGGAGCTCGCAAGCCGCATCTCCTTCAGCGCGAATGTCACACACATTTCGCACACACCCCTGTCTCCGATTGACTCGATCGTGAAACATGTGATTGTGTGATTGTTGATCTTGATACTGACTCTGTAACCCTTTTCTTGTTTTTTTTAATTTGCCTTTCCTTGCAGCTCGAGGTGCGTTACATTTGCTTGGGTTGACATTCCATTGCTTGATATCCTGCTCCCTTTCTCGAACCGCCTTCGCCGCGTGCCTCGACTCGACGCGGCGCGCGCGTGTTGACTGTTTGCGCGTGAGCGCGCCGAGCCGGGCGGGAGCGACGCGTGCGGGGTCGGGGCCGACCGCTAGCGCATTCCGCAATCATACAGAGCTCCTAAAGCTGACACCGCATTTGCCTGCCTGTGCACTCCATCAACACTTTGCAGTTGCCACAACGGGTGCCAATGCTGCTTCATCGGTGAGCAGCGAGATATGACGACTGGCCCCATGCCCTCCGGCGATGACCACTATTTTGACTCGCTCTGGCCAAATTCGCAGCGCTCCGCCGCAGCTGTGGTCACGACCCGATCCGTCGCCGCATCCAACGCAACCAAGGCAGCCGGTACCTCATTGGGGTCGACCTCGACCGCATCGAGTGACGCTGCTGCAACCACGTCGGCAGTCGCGAGCACCGGCACCATGTCGCACGTCGGCCTCATTGTGGGCGTCGCCGTCGCCGGTATCGCCGCGCTCGCCGTCGTCTTTGGTCTCATCTTTTTCTACCGCCGCCGAAGGAACAACCGCAACAACGCCGGCGCTTCGGCCTTCTCGAATGACAACAACCACGGTTTCAAGAAGCACGTCAATGATGACAACGAGCTCTTTGGCAACTCGGCCGAATCGGCAGAGAAGAACGGCTTTGCCGCTGGTTTCGGTGCGCCGAAGAACAACTCCAAACTCCACGACGACGGTCGAGGATCGTGGGATGCCCCGTCCTACTCGTCGCACGGCAACAGCAATCCCAACAGTAACGGCTACAACGCGCATCTGCAGCAACACCAGCAATCGACGACCATGGGCCACCAGGCGCCCTCGACAATGAACCTGCTTGACGACTACAAGCGAGTCGAACAACGCGAAATGCAGCAACACCTCGAGATGCAGCAAAAGCAACCGGAACACGCCTTTGCCGTCTCCCCCCAGGTCGCCGCCGCCGCTGCCGCTGCCAAGCCCTCCGCGAACCCCTTCGGTGGCGAGCAACAGGGTCAAGGCGCGGTTCACATCGTCAAGCGTACTTTCGAGCCCACGTTGAGCGACGAGCTCGTCCTTTTGGTGAGTGGCATCTCTTCTTCAATCGCTGGGTAATCTGAAGTTAAGCCTCAGTCGACTGATCCTGGTGCATTCGCTGTCTCTTCCGCAGCCCGGTGACAGTGTTCAGCTCTTGGTCCGATACGATGATGGATGGGCATTGGGCATCAACTTGGATGCCAAGGGCCCGCCCGGCAAAGGTGTCTTCCCCTTCGACTGCCTCGGCGAGGTCACTTCCGCCCCCTCGCAAAGCGGTCCCCAACAGCTCCACACGATCGTCGAAGGCTCCCCCGAGACATCGTTCGCCGACAATAGCAACCACAACAACAACAACAGCAACAACGACAACCAACACGAATCGCAGACAGATCTTTCGTACGGTGCCGCTGCTCCCTCGAACGCCTCGTCCAAACTTGCTGCGTCTGCGCCCCAGTTGCCCAACCTCGCGCGGTCCGATTCCCCCTTGACATTCCCTTCCTCGCAAGGCCCGTCGACAAATCAGGTCCCTTTGATCCAGATCTCGGATGCGCAAAACGGGACGATGTCGTCCTTCCTCGACACAACACCAACCGAGAGGCGCATGTCGACCAGCTCGTTGCCGACAAGCCTCCAACCCGGTGGGCAATCCCCCGAAGCCGACCGAGAGGACGGCAGCAACCGAAGCGGCGACAAGGGGCGAAGAACGAGCTCATTGGTCGCCAGCCGCGACGCCGACTTGTTCCTCGCGCTCGGCGAGGTCTTGGACCGAACGCATTGATCTCGTTCCAAACTCGATTTTTTGATGGCTTCTCCTCGATCGTGCTGTCGAGGGTCGCCCGAGTATATAGAGAGAAGCCCCTGATTCTTTCGTTTGTTGACGATTTCTACCGCTTTCGCTATTCTCGACGCGTCCTTGTTTCGCTTGGTGTTTTCCGTCCTCGTTAGGATCGAGCTCTTTCTTGTTTCTGTTCTTTATGCTTGCTCGGCGAAACGACCTGCCTCTGTATACCCTCTCTTACTTTCGCTCTTCCTATGACGTTCGCTTCCCTCACTAGTGTCCCTCTCTCTCCTCCCTCTTGATTTCATTGAATCTCGGCGCTGTTCTCATCGGGTCCTCAGAGAGCACTATGTTTCAAGCACCCTATCTTTCTACGTTGTCGATTCTTATGTGAAATTACAGGATGTCGAACAGCGAATCTTGGGGGGTTTGTGTGCAATCTGTGGACGTCTTGGGGAGGCTTGAAATTGAGGAAAGCGACGCAAGCGCCTCTCGGACGTCTCCTCTGAGGCGCGTTCGACTCCTGCAAGTCATTTTACTTCTTCTTCCCTTCGTATCCTCGCCCTTTTCTATTCTCACCCTTCGTGTTCTTGCCCTTTAGTCAATACCCATTTCCATTGCTTCGATTCGCATTATTTTATAGCCATAACGCGCGTCCCGGAGGAGACCTGCGACTTGACGTCTAAAAAAAAACACGCGATGCAGGCAATGGAACTGGGTATCGACGACGGGCAAGGAGACTGGGACAGGAGCAGTATCGGCGAGTTGATGGCGTGCTTGATATGAGCGATGAGAATAGAGCTTGCGGGATCGATTCGGAGTCCTACCCTACCCCACACCACTGGCCTCAGCTGGCCAGTTACCTGAGTGTGCTTCAAGAACGCCTTGATACAATTAGACTGTTATTGGAATCTGTTTATTAGATCAATGACAATAATAAAACCAAGTGCAACAACACCATCGTCAGAAGTTCTTTCCTGAATTACTAATGAAACGCGGAACAGCCTCCTGCCAGTGGGGCATATGCAGTGGTGGTGTTCGAGTTGGTCAGTCAAGGGAGACGAGGTGAGGTGAGGAGGTAGGGTAATGAGGTCGGCGAGTGGTGCTACTACTTTTTGAGGTGACGGGTGTTGGGGAGGTGAACTTCATGGGAGGCGAACCCGACGTCCTGGGGTGGGCCTGTATTATGTATCGCGGGGCTTGCGCGGCCCTCGCGTCGCGGGCCCCCGCCCTCGGCGACGCCACCTGCGGCCAGGAAACAGATCGACAGGAGGCGCGAGGGAGCACCGAGGCGGCTAACGGGCCAAACAGGCCGAAAGAGGAGTCAGTTTTTAGCTCTCCCCCAACAGGGCCCAACTCCCACCCTTTGCCGCGGCTAGCAACATGTTCAGGTGAGCCTTCTTATTGAGAGGGATGAAGATGCGGTGTCTGATGAACCGATTTTCAGCTACATAAATAGCACCGATCGGGCGCGCTCAGAATCCTCAGTGCTGCGCCGACCGAAGTATGTAACGGGCTCATGCTCTCGGCCATACAGGACGGATGAGCAATAGGTACCCGTGCCACTTGAGAGCCAAGGTCGAGTGAGTCGGATCGGACGCAGACTGTTTTCACCGTTTTCATGTCCGCCTGGCCTGCGCTGACGGGTCTTCTCCTACTTGGGTGTGCAGCCACGCTTTGAAGCTCATTGCCGACGAGGGTCTCGTTCACGGGGATGAAGGCGCGCGGAATGTTCTGCTTCGACCAGACGGTCGGATCTGCGTCATCGATTGGGGTGAGGCGCAATGGAGATGATCAAGTCGCCAAAAATCTACCCTTTGTTCATGTTGATGTTACAAAGTTGTATGATCACGCTGAATGTCGATTACCATCGTGCTCGAACAAAATCGTCCCAGACAACTCACTTCTAAAGTCACTCGTCGCCAGCACTAAGGTGGCTTCGAAGTGAAGCAGCTTAGAGTACATGAGCGATTTCTCGTACGCCTGCAGCAGGGTTTACGAGGGATTAAACCAACCTCACTCTAAGCATCGATCGGGCACGGGCACCCACTGCTCATCCGTCTCGTATGGCTGAGAGCATCAACCCGTACTTCGTTCGGCTCGGCGCTACGGGCTCGGCGGGCACCCGATCGGTACTTTTTCACTGATCTTCCGTATACGGGACACGGCATCTTCAAACGCCCACGGACAAAAGCGGGCTTGCTTTTAACATGTAGTTAGCCGATCTGATGAGGGTGGGAGTTGGGAGGAAAGCTGAGAGACTGACTCCGTGTACTTTACCTTACTTTTTCGGCTTGTTCGGTCCGTGCTCCTACTACGCACTGCCTCAATCTCTTTTGGGTACCTCAGTGTGTCCCCGGGACCAACTTCGTACGTCCTGATCGGTGACCTCCACACGTGCATCGACAACACCGACGAGGGTGTCCGGCTTCGTGCTTCGTTTCTCGTTTCTCGTTTTCGTCGCCCTAGCGTCCCTTATGGAGAAGCAAAATGGCTTCGAGATCGAACGCGACCCCGTGTGAGGATCTGCATATCTGCAAGGCGTTCGGGAGACGAGGGACAAGAAAGGCCACGGTTGCAATCTGAAAGGTCGTAAACAAGAAAGAAAAAAAAAAAAGGTAAAGAAAACAAAACCTCAGCTTCCACCCCTCAAAAAAAAATGGCCAAGGTACTGAAAAAAGGTAAAGGTATGAAAAGAGGGAGGAGGGAGGGCGATGAAGTAGATCGTCGACCGGTCCGCACGCGATCTCCCCCGATATGAGAATAGAGGTTGTTTGGGAGGCGTCACGACGAAAGAGTTGGCGTCAAAAAAGAGAGTACGAAGAATCATCACACCCACGTCATCCCCTATGCGCCGTTCGTCTGACTCTGCTGCGCCTTGCTCGCGGACGACTCCTTGAGCGCCAACAACTGCTTGGACCTGAACGCCTCGTAATGGATCTGCGCCGTCGTCTCAATCAGGTCCTGCAGATGCGTACGGGTCAAAAAGTTGCGCAGGTAGTTGAATTCGCAGTGTTGCTCGTTCTCGACGTTGATCACGCCCCATCGGTTCTTGCGCCCTCGTACGGGTTTGCCGTCGATGATGACGTTGCGTTCCGAACCGACGACGGCGAAGGGGATCATGTTCTGTGCAGTTACTCCAACATCAATAATGGATCGACATCTCTCGAGTCATCATCACATTTGTTGGCAACGCACCCGAATCGCCTCGTTGAGCTTCCTCTCCTCGTGGTCATCATCATCATTGTCGAAGGGGTAGGCACGGATGTTGTGGTGGGCCAACTCGGCGCGAATCTGGTCAGGTATGGAAGGAGTTTGGAGGTGAGTAATCATCTTTGGCTGAAAGATCATTCGCCCTGCCCGGTCCAAAACTGACCCTCTGCTTGAACAGTTCCCTTTCCTCGAGCGTCAACGAGTCACTCTTGGCAATGACGGGGACGACGTTGACAACCTCGGACAACTTTTTCATCACGGTGATGTCGATCGCCTTGAGCGCATGGCCCGTCGGTGCGATGAAGTAGAGGCAACAGTGGATGCGGGTGTCGACGATGTACTTGTCGCGCATCGCGGTCAGCTCCTTGCGCAGGTACGCCGAGTGCTGGTCCTTGATGTACTTGATGATCGGGTCCCAGCTGTGCGGCCATGTCCAACGGAAAGGCGTCAGAATTCGCTTGTGACCTAGCGTCGTGCGCATACACGCACCATCCCTCGTTGTTGATCAAATCCCCATAGCCAGGCGTATCGACGATGTTCAAACGCAACTTGACATTGTTCTCCTGAACGACTGTACAAGTCACCGGTTCGCATAACATCAGCCTCTCTGCTACATCACTCGCGCACTCTCCACCAGGCTCAGCTCACTATGGGACACGGCCTGGATCTCGGTCGTCTGTCGCACGGGTTCGTCCGGCTCGAAGCGCCCCTTGGTGTCGATCAGGTGGGATGCAAAGATGGTGTTGATCAGGGTCGACTTGCCGAGTCCGGTTTGGCCTGCAGATACACAGGGAGGTAGGTGATGTGATGGGCAGGCGGATCGAAGTCGGGCGAGAGGAGAGGTGAGGAATGAGTCGGGGTAAGCAGTGTTACATCGAGCATCCTGTATTATCCCCAATCCTATCGAGTCCATGTGGCATGCCGCACGTGCCCCAGAGCACGGGAGCGTAAGGGAGAATAAGGGAGGAGGTCCGAGCGGGGGGCGAGCGACGGAGGTGTGATGCGCCTACTGCAACCCCTCTGAGCCTCTACACCCCTTCCCGTAGGATCCCTATGCCTGCTCATGTGCACGTTCAACTCAAAGAGGTGAAGTGCCTGGTCCACGCACCAACGGCAATGACGTTGAATTGAAAGCCGCGCTGTGAGACACACGTCACAAGTCGTCAGCTCCCATGCGCGCCTCCCCCAATCCAATCCAGTTCTAACGAGGTCGGTCCCGACTGACCTTGAGCAACTTGTGTTCAATCTGGCGAGTGATGGAATCGAACCCGACACTGACGGTGATTCCCGCAGCGCAAGGCACGGGCAGGATTCGACCAAGCGAGCCGATGATGGGGGGGGGGGGGGGACGGCGTGAGCGGCGTGTCAGTCAAGCTACGAGGCAGGCAGGTCACACCAGACTGCAGCGAAGGGGGCGGCACAGTTGTGCACTGACTAGGAGTTGAGTCGGGTAATGTCGGCCGAGACTTGGGGGGCAACATCGACGAGTGCCATTTTGGGGTATGCGGGATGGGAGGGATGATGGGATGATGGTGCAGTGGGAGAAAGGCAGGCGGAAGCGCGGTCATGATGAGCACCGCAACGCCGGTGGGTATTGCCGAGACGGTAATAATCGGCGCTGTGACTTACCAATAGACTCGGAAAAGCTAGTTTCAGTTCAAGACGGGTTCAACTGCACTGAGAGGCAAGCCCAATTATCCGAGCTCAGCACGATCTACTGCATTCCCGGGCCAAAGACCCATCCAACCTCCGACTTTACGGACGCCCAAACTCCTGCGCAGGTTGGCAGCGAAGCCTGGCTTGCCCACCCCTTCCCCCAATCGACGAGGAGGACACGACCCAATCCTCCCTTCGAATGACCTGTTCTCTTGGCCAACTCACGAGGCAGAGCCCATCACCCTCGGTCTCCACTCTGCGATTGCTCGATGAGGTTCAACTCAGTCTTGTGTGCATCAAAATATTCGTCGGCGTCGACCGTAGCTCTTTTTAGAACCCTGAAGCCCAGGCACGAGATACGTAAGTATGAGAGCCGAAGATGATGGTAAAGATAGTTCAAGAAAAGAAAGGAAGGCTATGGAAGCGCGCGAGAGACTGCCGATGCCCATCCACTTGTGAAGGTTTCATCGACTGGTCGAATCGAGCATTGGTCCTCATAAACCACCTTCGAATGGCCCAGCTCGATATGGAACAGGCGATGGCGGCCGTCGTTTTGGGATCTCTGCGCTCGTGCAGCTGATGCTGACGACATTCATTCCCCACCTGGAGCAGTCGCCTTGACTGTTCTCAATCGACGTGGACGATACCGATTAGGCGATGGCAGCCTTGCCTCACCCCAATCGATCAAAGCAAGCGAGCCGTCCGGGCGGCGAAGGATGTTTGCTGCTCGCTCATCTCCATGGTAGAGCCCTGCGGAGGCGACCTGTGCGAACGCAGCGCTGAGCACGAGCAGGACGAAGCCAAGATGTGCGCAGATCAGATGCAGAAACGGTCGGTCGAAAACGCAACACTGTCTCACTCACTCGGTCTCGGCTTTCAGTTCTGCATCAGCCTCCCATTCGATCTTTCTCAGTTGTTCGCCAGCGTGGTCGAACACAAAGATGTAAGCAGTTCCCGCCGGCCCGCTCCTGTAGAGCCCGTGGAACTTGGGGAAGAAGGCCTGCGTGGCCAGAGGGAGCGAGGGCACGATATGGGTGTAGACAAAGTACTCGCGAGCAATCGAGGGGGCGTATTTGTCCAAGACGACCTTGGCCACGAGCCGAGCTTCTGGAGCATTCGTTGCTCCGCTTCGAGGACTGGTGGCGTGAGCAGCAGCAGCGCCGATTGGAGTCCATCGAGCGGACCACACCGTACTAGTGCGACCGTGCCCAATTCGTTGGAGCAGGTCAAGTCGAAGTTCGAGCGGCACAGGTGCGGTCCTGTTCCAGGGTACCGGTACGGCTTGACCTGGCCAATCATCATCATCGCCGGACAAGAATAGCTTGATCTGCAAACAGTTCAACATCGTACTTAGGGAGCATCTTCAAAGAACAGTCTCCCGTAGATGTTGAGATGGCTTACGTCGCTGCAGTCGAGCTCAACCGGGGAAGCGAGCATGCGTGATTCGGCGAAGCCTTCCGCGTCGCAGATGATCTGTTACAAGCCTTGCCAGCCTAGTCAGGACCCAGCGAACGCGGCGCCCGCCCTTCCTGGCGAACTCACCGATCCCTTTGGGATGTGTCGCAGCGAGACCGAGGTGACACTCCCATTTAAGAATGGCAGCGACGCGTTGCCCGGGTCCATCTCCGAGTGTTCGGAAGCTGGCCGGTCGACGGGATCGGCTTCGTCTTGGAGCGGCCCGCATCCGTCCAGAGTTCGAGGGTGAGGGTAGTCTCGCCCTCGAGCGTGATCGCGGATCCTCTGCGTGATGGCTTCGGAAGGGCCGGGGACGGCGAAACTTGGGTGGCAAGAGAGCAGGAGCGCGACGAGTACAGCGAGGAACGGTCGGCTGACCGCAACCGGGTCATCTGGCCGGAGAACGAACGAGTCCAAGGCGCCGTACAAGAGGAACGTTTGCCCATCGATGACCACTGGCCGCGGCAGAGCTCGTTCAAGATCAGCTAAGCGCTCGTCGGAGGCCTCTTGTGAACAAACTCTGGCCGGTCCGAAGAGGCCAGGAAGCGGGGCTGACCAAGCTCAGCAAGAACGAAGTAGGGGGTCGCGTAAAACAGGCCGAAGCGTCCGACAGCAGCGGACAGGATATGTAGTGACATCTACCAGAACATGACGAACGTTGGCGAGGGCGGTTAGTGAGTGAAACGTACACCAGTTGCCCCTGCTCTCGCGCCCGTTCTCGCCTACTTGTGCCATCATCGCCGAAACTCCTTCCAGCGTCTGGTCTTGGCCCTCAGCATCGACAATGCGCATGTCGATGGGCTCCCAGTCGTCGGGACCAACAGGCGATCTTGCTCCCTCACCAGTGTTCGCGATTCGCTCGCGCCCATAGAGTGGCCTCAGCGCTTCAACCCTTGTTGATTCGACGATCAGGTTGACAGAACTCTCCAAGACGGGCCACTCGCCCTCTCGATTGTACTTGCCGACGCCAACGTTCCAAGCTTCCTCTGCTGGTTGACCGATGCAATCCGTCAGGGATGAATTCACGACCAGCGTGGAATTGCCGAGGAACTCCTGCAGGATTGGCTTGACCACGAGTTTCAGAATACCGCTCAAGTCCCCCCCGTAACCTCGACGCGATTGTTGAGGGTCGAGTATGTGGTTGCGATATTCGCGGACACTGCTCGTGGATGCACTCGGTAAAGTGGTCGCTCGCGCAATACCCTCTCTGACCAGGCCGCTTTCAAGCGTGGACAGTGCTCGATCGATGATGGTTGGATCGCAAACTGCAAACGCCAAGGGATGCTCGGGGAGTTTCTCGCCAGGAGAGCGCCGCATGACGTAAACTGGCGGTGGTGGCAGTTCGGCCGGTAACGATGTCGAGCTCGCGGGGCGGCTCATCCTCCAGCAGGGCGGGAAGACGCTGTGCAGCAAGTCATTGAAGGTTGAGAAGTGAAAATCGCTTAGTTCGTCCATGGTGAAAGGTGACGAGTGCTGCAAGGGTGTTGAAGCCATGGCCCCAACTGTGGGGCAAGGATGACAGGATGTGCCCGGCGCATGCACGAAGAGCAAACCCCTCCACGTGACGCTTGATGACCCGCCGTCGCCGTAATAGCCCGCCCTAGCCCGCCCTAGCCCGCCCTAGCCCGCCGTGGTTCGAAAAGCCGTCGGCCCGCTTCGGCCCGTCGCGCGTCGTGCGCCTCGCTAGATGAGCGCTGGCTGCCAAGCCTCCGCACCTGACCTCAGGGGCTCCTAACGACGATTACTCTGCTCCGTCTGCCACGGTGCTACCCTCATCGAACTCTCCACCCGGCTGTGAATTGCAAGGCCTAACAGACCCAGAACCAGTTTTATCCCACCTGCTCCTTGACGATGCGCTCTGCGGCAGCGTGACTCCGGGGGCGCACAGCACTGCACCGCCGTAGGTCATCAGTGCGCGATTGAGGCAGATCAGGGGTAGGCGCCCCTAGCCCGGGTAAACTACTACCGCAGCTAATCGGGCTTTGAGACCTAGGACCTATAGGGAAAAAAATTGGATAACATCATCTTTCATGACCAAGCTGGGCCTTTGTCTTTGCCGAGGGCGTGCGAATTCCCACATGCCAAGTCTGTTGCTCGTCCGCTCTGCCGCGATAGCTCCTCCGGGTTGCTTTCCTCCCCAACCCACGTCTCGCACAGAGTCTCAAGCTCCCGCCCCAACTATCATCCAGCTCATTGGCTTATTCAGCTTTGGCGACCTACACAACTACACAGGTGGCGCAAGGGACTACGTGATTGTCCCCACCACGACTACCACCACCACCCCTCTGAAGGAGGAGGCACCTGATGAGCCCGACCGGCCTGAGCAGCCTCTCGTCTGCGCGTGCGCGGTATACGATGCGACCATCGTGACACGCGCAGAAGCTGCCTTGTATCAAGGTTTTCTACAAAAAGGGATCCCTCATGACACCCCTCTTCCTCTGAATGCAAGAGCTTCCCTCCGCACTGCTTTCAAAGGTCTCTCACCCGACCCCGTCATGCTTGGTCAAGAGGCTGAGGTTCAAGCGCACCTCGACGCTCTCGTCGGTAACGTCACCGCTCCGATCCTACAACGAATCCTTAGCAGTCATCTCAGCGTTCAATGCCGCGACCCCCCGTTGTACATCGACCAAAGAGGCGACAAGGACTTCCAAGTCGGCTCCGGTGGCTATAACGCGGCGCAGCGATACTACTTTAACGTCGACAACACGGTGTGTGCGGAGGTCAAGATCGCCGATAACTTCGTCGACCTCAACCATAACGCCCAAGACAGTGAACGGCGTCGTGTTCCCAGCTTTTGACGCAAGGGAAGCGATCGATATGCGTGTTATCGCAAGGCACTGGCCCACCCGCGGAAGGCTCGAGGGATGTTCCGCCGTGTGCGCGACAGTGAGTCATTAGGCTGACTGCAGTCTGACACACATGGCGGAACATCCCTCGAGCCTTCCGCGGGTGGGCCAGTGCCTTGCGATAACACGCATATCGATCGCTTCCCTTGCGTCAAAAGCTGGGAACACGACGCCGTTCACTGTCTTGGTGGTATGGTTGAGGTTGACGAAGTTATCGGCGGTCTTGACCTCCGCACAAAGCGTGTTGTCGACGTTAAAGTAGTATCGCTGCGCCGCGTTATAGCCACCGGAGCCGACTTGGAAGTCCTTGTCGCCTCTTTGGTCGATGTACAACGGGGGGTCGCGGCATTGAACGCTGAGATGATGGACAAGAACTTGTTGCAGGGACGGAGCGGCGAGAGCGTCTAGGTGCGTCTGAACCTCGGCCTCTCGACCAAGCATGACGGGGTCCGGCGAGAGACCTTTGAATGCAGTACGTAGGGAGGATCTTGCATCAACAGGGAGAGGGGTATCACGAGTGATCCCTTTCTGTAGAAAACCTTGATCCAAGGCAGCTTCTGCGCGTGTCACGATGGTCGCATCGTATACCGCGCACGCGCAGACGAGAGGCTGCTCAGGCCGGTCGGGCTCATCAGGTGCTTGCTCCTTCAGAGGGGCGGTGGTGGTAGTCGTGGTGGGGACAATCACGTAGTCCTTGCGCCACCGGTGTAGTTGCGCAAAAGGCGAACGGTTCCACCCAACGCCGAGCGGCCGAGTAGTCCGGGTTGGCAGAATTTAGCAGTCGGTCAGTGCTGCTGCCGGACTGCTACGAGCAAGATCACGAGATAGAGTCTCTTCACAATCATTGTGTTATCAGAACTACAATTTACAATTTTATCGCCCACGGTCCGAGGCGCACGTGAGCCTCGCCGGCCTGCTCGGAATTCGAACTCCTAGGCTCGGATCGAACGATTGATTGTCTGTCGATTCTGCATTGCGATAAGGCTACTAGGACATGATAGGAAGAACAACATGGATGATGGCACTGAATCACGAGTCTCAGATTTGAACAATCGACCGATAGCCCTAACACTTCACATAGAGGAGCCAGATCCTTCTCTGACCTCTCAGTTCCCAAGGAGCGACATCCCCTTCCTCCGAATGAGGGCCACTTGGTTCGCCAGCCCAACCGCCAACGCTCCATCGCCGAAAATGGTCACTATAGGTCGTGCTCGAGAAAAGGGGAGGTTTCTTAACGTTTCCGACTCGAAGCGGACCGAGGGCGTTGCGTGGTCCACATTCCGACGAAGCTGAGCCGCAGTCGAGCTTTGCGTCGCGGGGGTGTGATTACCCCGTCGAAGAGGGGTGTTGCATGCGTTATATTCGCCCATCGAAACTGATACCGATTCGGATCGAGCGAGTAGACTGTCCAATTCGCTGTTGCCTTCTTGTGCGCCGATCTGCAAGCCGACGCTCCACACGGCCCAGCTCAGAGGACCCACTCCTAATGTCGAAGCCGAGGACTCGTCCTGCCGCTGCCGTCGTAAGCCAATGACGGATCGGTCGACGAGATCCCACCCTCCTCGCTGATCGTTCGCACATCGACTGGCTTCGATCGCATGCAGACGACACGTCGCTGGGGTCGAGCTGTCGACGCTGAGGCCCGAGGCCGCATTGAATAGGGGGACATCCGCTGGCGACGATGACGGGATCGACGAGTCGTCCAGAGCAGAGAAAATGTCTTGCGCTCCTGGAGAGGAAGTGTCGGCCGTCGTATCACCCGTCGAAGCCGTAAGGGCCAAAGCCAATCCATCCGAGGAGCTCGAGTCCATCGACGAGCCGTTGCCTGACTTGGGTTTGGTGTCCTCGGCGTCCGCGAGGTCAACTGCGAAAGGCAAACTAGGTCTAGGGCCCTGCACCGAGGCCCTCCTCGACTCTGCTCGTCCACTTCCCATAGCAAGAGCAGCTTCTCGGGCCTCGAGGCTCGCCTGACTGGGTCGTCGAAGTGACTTCTTAGGCGTGCGCTTAGCCGAGACGGTCCCGCCGTACAGCGATCCTTGCGACGAGTTCCGTGTGATCGCCGACGATACGGCCGCTCGACTGGCGATGCCGAACACACCCGAACAGGACGAACAACCCGAAGGTGGCGGTGAAAAAGTGCGGTCGACGAAGACGGTCGAGGTCGTCGAGGCGACGACGTAGAAGCCGTCGGAGATGGCGTGACCGCATTGCGCACACTTGTCACCATTCGCCTTGGCGCCAGGAGCGAGCCGGATCTGACGTACTGGTCCGTTGAGTTCGAGGGTGAGGAGAGCCACGGGCGTGGACGCAGCATCGGTGCTCGGTATCTCTGACTCCTCGGGTAGAAGATGAACCGCGAGAGATCCGCCGAGAAAGCCTAAGCAGACCACGTTCCTGACCATCTTCAGCGCCCCGAGGCCCACCTCGAATCGACCAAACGCGACGGCTGTAACAGTGTCCCCTTCTTGAGGGAGTCGAACGTTCCAGATCGTTTCCCACGGTGCGGTAGCATCTTTCGATCTGGACGTCGACCGCAAGAGCTGAAATTGACCGCTCGAGGGAAAAAATTGAGCCAAGACTGGCCACGCCGTCGCTGAGCTGGCTCGAGGTGGTGCGACGACGAGTTGTCGAATGCGGGGCAGACGACCCAGCGCACTGGGTAGATCTGATGTCTCGGGCACTGGTTGTGGACCTAGAATGACGGTCGAAAGACGCGTGACACAATCCCAAGCGATCACAGCTCCGCTCTGGTGGATCGAGATGAAAGCGTAGCGAATATCAGACCCCTGACTCGTGCGTGGGGGAGCACTCTGGCCCAGATCATTCGGCGATGATGCGGGAGCGGCGAACAAACCAGTCGCTGGACCAAATACCGCGTTCGAGTCCCCATCAGCCGAGGAAAAGTCGATCAACAGTCTCCTCTCAAGTTCCCAGACGAGGATCCGGCCCGTCATGGTCGCGGCGGCGCAGAACCTCGTGGTGGAGTCAAGAGCGAGGGCGACGAGTGACGGGGGTTCCGCAGCGAGAGGGATCTCGAGGAAGCTTGTGGTCGTCGTCGGTGATTGCTTCACCGACCGCCATAGGTAGACTCGTTCCTCTAGAGCAGACCAGGTGACGATCGCGTCCGCACTAGAAGCAACGAGCTCGATGTCGGATGCATCGAGCCCGGTGTGTAGGGTGGTCACAGAGACATTGGCTTCTGGTACTGCCTTTTTCAACAAGCGCCCCGCCTCTTTCCGTTCTTGCCTCTGCTGTTTCGAGATCAAGCGTTGGATCTGGAGCAGTTCGGCGTCCTTGAGCAAGTAGAGCAGCAAGAGGTAGAGCACCATCAGCGTTACCGCGATCGGCGCAATGACGATGCCAGCGGTGATCCACCATGGGGTCGACACAATCGCCGCGCCAGCGATGGACGCGCTCTCAGGTGCGACCATCCCATCGTCGAAGAAGCGCACGATCGAAGCCGGCTCAACGTAGACGTGGATTGCCGAGCTTGCGTTGGCGGGGTTGATCAGGCGCCAAAAGGCCGCCCCAGCTTCAGGCACCACTTCTCCGAGCCGCGACGTTTCGCCTCGTTGACCGAGTTGGAGCGAGCGCGCAATCTCCCTCGAAAGAGATGGGGCCAAAAGCGGGCGATGGGAAGCCAATGCCGTCTCGGAACAGAACGCCGGGAGGAAGTGGTCGGGTCCATAGCTGGAGATAATCAGGATGGGGGATTAGTCTCGGCTCCATTCCTTACATCAGCGAACGACTCACAAGAGGTAGAGATTGAAGTCAATGAGAAACAGCAACAAGAAGGTCGTCATCGCGGCAGGTCGATCCAAGACGGTCCTCTTTGCCCGTGCAAACGCCTTCGCAAACATACCGTGAGGCGCGTGTGCGGCATCTTTGGACGCAAAGGCATGCACCTCGTGGTCGCCCGCCTCGGAAGGGGTCGGCGGCTGTTGCCGAGCAGACGACAGTGTGCCGCGCAGCAAGTCTGCGAGCTCGAGCCGCTGCAGATCGATGCTCAAGATGGTCGCGAAGAAAGTGAGCTCGAGGAAAAAGTCGACGATGAGGACGACGATGATGACGAGGATGATCTCTCTCATAACCTGTCAATCCGCAACGTCGTGAGCAGAGCGTTCAGACGGTCCGGTAACAAGGTGTAACTGACCTGAATGTTGATAAAGTATCGCATCAACGCGCAGATACTCAACTCGTATGCCAGTACCATCGATGCAGCTGGACCCTCTTCGGCCAAGGCCGCGGCGATCCTCTCCGGCACCGACAGTCGGATGTTGGTTTTAGCGACGGCATGCGTCCACAGCAGCATGTTGTCGACGCCACAGACGAGAACGAGGAACGCGCACAAATTCCACGGAACAAGAGCAAACGACCAGTTGAACAACCAGCACACGGAAAGCGACATGATCCCCGATGCCGTCAACTCGACCGTGCCAGTCAGGATCAGACCGCTCGGGGAGTTGACCTGGGGAAGCCGGCGGATGGCGCGGGTGACGTAGATGAAGACGGCGAGGTAGGACAAGGCGTAAATGATATCCTCCAAAAGACGGGGATTTTCTGGGACGCTCAAGCGAGGCAAATGCTATGGGTTACGTCACTACCGTGTCAGTGTCGAGCTGCGGCCCAATCTGCAAGTCACCGAGTTGAGGCTCACCTTGAGCGTCACCCGCTTGCCCGGCCCTTTACCTTCGACAACGATACCGACTTGCTCTCTGTTCGTCTTCCACCCTTTGCCACCTACAACGTCGCCCACGGCGCGCTTCCACGTCGCTCGAGCCCGGGACCTTGCTTTTTCCTCCGCGACCGACCCGACACCTTGCAAGGTCAGAGGGGATTCGGCCGAGGAATGGTTCGATGCGTCTTCGAGATAGAAGGTGATGGCAAGGTGGTGCGCATGTTTGGCCAAGCCCTGTGCAGCGGCCACTTGTCCCCTGTCAGCTAACTCGGATCTCGCCCGCCGACCTTCAGAACAGCATTCACCTTGCGATTCCTTCCGATGCCCACGAGGGTGTTGGGATTGGTGAGTGGAACCATCCTAGCTTGTTGATTAGATTCGAGGTTCTTGAGCATGTCGACATTTGGGCTCGGTCCCGAGATGGTGTTGTGCACATCCGGATCGGCCAACAATGCCTGTTCCGAGTCCCACCACTCGACGGGGCTGGCGACGGCGCAACGCCCTCGGTGGTCTCGAATGCAGCTCAAACCGGGGACCTGGCCGTCTAGTAGCCTTCGTTCCAACTCGTTTTGCAGCTGCATGGCCCTGTGCAGTGTCGCTTTGGTCAATGCGCCGACGCCGGCGCCGGCACTGCTCGACCTCCGGAGCCCGACCCCCGGACCTCCCTGAGCGGAGCCAGCCCCAGCTTCGCGATCGACGGACGAGACGAGCAGCTGTTCCATACGCACGATCTTGGCCTCGACGTTCCTCCATTGGTAGTAGCGCACGAAGCGGTCCCAGCACACCTCGTCCTCGCTCGCGATGATGCCCTGGCGTCGCAGGCCTTCCAATTCCCAGACGAATTCTCCGCGACCTCGGCGTGCGATCGGGGAGCTCGCAAGCGGGACCGGACCGGTCGGCGAGAAGTAGAGGAGCAGGGCCGGACAGAGCAGCGAGCAGATGAGGAGGCCGGAGACGAGCAAGGCCGGGATCTGGTAGGACGAGATGAACCACCCGAACGAGGCGAACAAGCGACGGCAGAGGGACGAGGCCCACGAGGTGATGATGAGCAGCAGCGATAGCGCCGGCAAGGCGTCTTCGTCTTGGCTGCGGTGCGAGTGCAGGCGCAGCCGGTCCGAGGCCGCCGTTGACTTGGGGAGTGGCTGGGTGAACCGAGGCGGGTTTGCAGATGAGATTGAGTTCGACGTAGATGAAGATGAGGCCGTCGCACCGCCGGGACCAAGCAGAGGGGTGGCACCGACGCCGACACCGCCAGCTGCTTCGGCTTTGGGGCCGAGTCGAGCACGAGCCCGCAGCGACGATGACGCCGACGACGCCGACGCCGACGTCGAACCGTCCATTACGGAGGCGTGCAGACGATGGCGAGGTGGCGATGGAGTAGAGTAGGAGGGCTGTCTCAACCACTTTGGGTCGTGGCTGGGGTCGTCATCCCGGGCAGCAGCGGCTCCGAGGCTCGAAGACTACGAGGCGTGCTCCCAAGCCAAGTTCAGCCTATCGCCGATCGCCTTCTATCGCCTTCTGCATGTTGCCTTCTCGAGTTGCTGCGTGGTGCACAACCCTGCGGTCTCCAGGCCGCCTTTCGAAATAACTCGCTCTGAAATGGATGCTGAGACTCGGACCAAAGGAAACACCTCATGGGATTTGCTAGCTTTCCGAAAACTCCTTTGCGATTATAAGATTCATTTCATTACTCGCTCGAGATACGGAAATCGATCAGCGCCTAACTCCGCCGGGTCCGAAGTCGCACCGGCCACCCTGGCCGACCGTGCCTGGCTCGGGCTCCACATCCCGAGTCTGGCCATGCGCTGTACGCGCCGTCGCTTCACGTTGCCACTCCTGCACCGCACACCACCCCACTGACATGGCCGCGACAACAACAACAGGTGGGGCATTACATGTCCATCGATGCCTTGCTCCACTGATGGTGTACTCGTCTCTCTCAGACCCCGAGCACGTCCGCTGCATGCGACTCGCACTGGACGAGGCCAGCAAGTGCGAGCCGACATCCACCGCCTTCTGTGTCGGTACGTGGTCTGAGCTTCATCGCTGTACAAAGCAGATACTTATCTCACTTTCAATGCTTCTCCAACTCCAGGATGCGTGATCACCGCGCCCTCGTCGGACGGATCGTACTCAACGATCGCGATGGGCTACTCACGCGAACTCGAGGGCAACACTCACGCCGAACAGATCGCATTGACCAAACTGGCATCTACATCAACCTACTCTTCGGGGTTACCTCCCTCTACCAGACTCTATACGACGATGGAGCCTTGCTCCTTGCGCCTCTCGGGCAACCTGCCTTGCGTCGACCGGATATTGCAGACCTCGATACGGCAAATCTACGTCGCCGTCCTCGAGCCCGACGACTTTGTGCAAGACGTACAGGGGGTTCAGAAGCTACTGAATGCAGGGAGACAAGTGGTTGTCGTCGAGGATCCGGGCTTGAAGGAAGAATGTCTCCGAGTAGCTAGACGAGGCCACCTTTCCAACGGCGCGGCGGCTCCGGATGCACTCGTGTCGGCTGCAAAATGACGTCGCGCCGGGTTTAGCTTTCGCCGCCGCCCATTCGGGACGTCGGGATGGCCCTCAAATTAAGGCCTCAATACTACTACGGGCAGCTCGTCCGTCCGCAGTTGCGCCGAATTCGTCGTCCTTCAAAGGGACTCATAGATCGGCTGTATTATTACACCATCTTGTGCGAGCACGCTGCGTATATGACAAAATGATCCCATGGCCATTGAATCCGTCGAAATCTCTGAGAAGATGACCGGTGCATACATTACATTTTGCCTTACGCCTCTCCGAGGTTGGTTTCAGACCAGAGATTCTCCTCCTTCAAAGAGTGATCAGTGTGCCGTGACGGGCGCGCAGATCATCGTTCTTTTCTTCGAAGTGATCGACGACGATAGCCGCGGCGCCGAGCGGATCCGAGACGACTCAAAAATGCGTGGCTCGCACCCTGTGCCGTTGACGTAGAGACAGGCACCGGGCTTGAAGTTTGGACACCTGGTCTCCCCAGATACCTTGCAAGAATCGGCATCTGCTTTCACCAGCGAACACACCTAGCACCTAGGTAGAACAACAAGAACAGCGTGAAAGTTTTGAGCTAAGAAAGATGCGCGAGGCGCGGGGGACCGGCATCTGAATTTCAAGGAGTTTCACACAAAAGTGGCAACCCTTCGAGTGGCCTAGAGTTGACCGGCTGTAGACGGGCCCTCCGTGAACATGCCATCTGGCCAGCGAGCGGGGATCGAGTTAGTTAGCATAATCAGGTACTGTGGGATTTTCCCGTGTGCACACCGAGGCGGGTACCACACGAACGCAGCCGAGCTCGCAACTTTTGCTGAGGGCAGATCGAACCACCAGCGGCTGATCGCCTTGATCGTTCTGTGCCTTTCCAACTTAATCGATATCGTGCGCTTCGACACATCAGGCAAGTTCCTGAGTGGAGCATGACGACGCGTGCACACCGAAGCCCTACGGTCAAATGTTGCAGTCAATGTGTGGAAGTTGCATAGAAGGGACCGAGGAACTAGTGCGCTGCAGTTGTGCCCTTCCTGATGCGCCGTGGGGAAGCTGGGGTTTGTAGGGACCAAACAATTGTTATATTAATACTAGGTTCGGCGGCGCGCTCCGCGCGCCACCTCCCACCGTAACCGTTGACCCGTTGCAAGACGATCAAATGTAGAGAGTCTTCATTTCAATGATGAACTACTTTTTTGTTCTCTGGGAGCCCGATGATGGGCTCAGACCGTCGTCGAGACCCGCGTCGAGTGTGGAGCAACGCCATCCCGGCGATGTTGAGACTCTGAAGGTACTCGATCGAGAATAGTCATTCGTCTTCGTTTTCGACCGAATCCGCGCTGTAGAACGTTTGAGCGTCACCCGGCAGCAGGTCGAGCACCATGTCGTTGATCTGACCCACCTGCGAATTTTTGGGCGCCAGAATTGCTCGATCTCGGAAGTATTCGATTTTTTCGCCTATTGACATATTGTCCAGTTCGAGCGCGGGGACGGGATAAACGTGTCTGATCAACCCGGATGTGTTCCTCGTGGTCGCCGGCAAGAGAAGCTCACGTGGGAGCGCGATAGAGTCTTCTGTTTCGTTCGCCGACCCGTCTCCAACTCCTAAGAGCCAAACTGCAAAGCCCTGTGCCTTTGCCCGTTCCGTTTCGGTCGTGCGATCTGCAGCGGCCAGAAGACGCATGTTTGTCTGCGCTCGCACCGTGCCATTGTTAGTATAGGGTCTAAAAGTCAGGCAAGGACTACTACTTACAGAGAGATGCAGCACCTCAACTTCCCCCCAGAAGTCAGCATTCATGATGCAAGCGTCGACAATTTGTGCAGGCGATGGCTTGGGAATAACGGGAAGGCATTGCTTCGGATCCCCTGTGATGTTACAGTCCAACCGGTCAGTTAGTCATGCTGCCCTGCGCTTTGGTTTTCAAAGATTGGCACACATCTGCCAACACGACGGTCACTCCACCGAACCGAGCCGTTGAGGATCTGACACGGGATGGTGAGCCGCAATTCACGGAACCAGAGCCTGTTTTTTGCGTGATTCATTTATTACAACTATCAGTATTCTTGCTGTTGTCCATCTGTAGCAACGACAGTGAAGACTCACATTTAGTGTCCCATGGACCCGGATTCTCAACCGTACGAAGTCAATCCTTCCGCTGTATTTTCCCGTGGCCTTTGACTTCCAACATGACTGCACATATGTCCCCACCCTTAAAATGGTGCGTACAGCTCAGCATGCCCGTCAACGTTTACGGGTAGCGGTGTAGCGTAAGACTTTGCTAATTTTCGGCCATTGTAGCTTCCTTCGCAAGCGTTGTTGTAGAACATGTGGTATTTGTGGGCATCAATGTCGTTTTCCCAGGCAGGCCACGGTGGGTTTTAATGTATTAATCCATATATTCCAGCTAGTCTTGTTTAAAGACAGAATCTAACAAATTGCTAGATCCGCTGGACCACCATATTCATGTCACGTAGGCCGTCACCTTGCTGTCACCAGGACCGATGCCCCCCATTCCAGGGCTTACATCAGTCTTTCCCTCGTCCAGCTCAGCGCCCACCCTCAAAGGCAGGTGGGGAATGCCGCCACCACCGCCTCTGTCACTAATGCGAATTCCTTTGCAGTGCCCACCACTTCCTCATTCTCGCCGCCCATAACCGTCCGGCTCCCTTTATAAGCTCGTGATGCCATGTCCGATCCAGCCGCGTCCGAGATCGCTCATCGAGGGCCCAGTAGATGTCAGGTTTTGGGATCATCGGCATCGCATACCACCATAGATGTCCCGTTACTAGCCCTGCAGCGAAATTGGAAAGCTCGTATACTTGTGCTCCCGTCCATTCGTGGTGTCTCATCTCCAGTTCCCTACGCGTCATCTGAAACAAGTCCTGTCCAATTCTTTCCCGCAGTCCACGACCTGCCTCGCACTCCCTGAAAACATGTTTCTCTGTCTCCTCTGCCAATCCACAAATAGTACACAAAGACGATGTACCGAATCGTTCTGAGCATCGCGAGGCGGTGGGAAGGATGTGTGCCCGCAGCTGGAGTTGTGTTTGCGCTGCGTACGTCGAAATTGCGCGAAGGTAAGGATACCGTCCTGCGGAATGAGCGACTTGGAGTAGCAATTGAACGTCGTTACCGATCTTCTGGGGCAGCGATTTGATTTGCCATGCTTCTTGTAGGTCGTAGATTTTCTTGATCACATCACCCTCTATCCAAGCAGTTTGCTCGCCAAGGGATGCCTGGATTGTCCATTGTGGGAGTGCAAAATCCGGGAAAAGCACGAAGAAGTCAGGTTGAGTGTGTGCCGATTTCGCCGCCTCATCTGCTCGAGTGTTTGCACGCGATGCTTCGTCTCCGCCACCCGGATGGGCTTTAACGTGCCGTATTTGTATCGAATCACTCGTTCTCAGCAGGTGTTCGAGCCAAGTGTAGTGTGCAAATGCGGCCCTCGGTTTCTTTGGTGCAACTTGATCTTTCTTCAGATTCTCAGCGAATTTGACGGAGGTAAGGTGATCTGCGACAACCTGAATTGCTGACCCAAAATGTGAGGTCTCTAAGTGTGAGGTCAGTGCCGCTATGATCAGGGCTGTCACCTCTGCCTGCATGATAGTCGCGCCCGCCGGTAGTGCCGCACGAGCCGCCGAGTATGGCCCTACAACCGCTGCCGCCGCAGATGTGAGTCCTGTGGGTAACACGATGAGTGAGCCATCCGTAGCCCAAATATTCTGGTCTTGTTGGCCTCGAAAATTTATCAGGGAAAGGAGTGTGATTTTGATCTGCTGCTCGGCGTCGTTTTGTCGCTGTGCTCGCGTCTTCAACAACCTAACCGGCCCGTCCGCCAGTAAAGTTTCATCAAAGCGATTAGACCATTGTCGCACCAATCTCGTGTTCGGGTGCAGCCATCCAGCAAAGAGGTCGGGTCTATCGCGCTGTGGGCCTCTCCGTAGCACTTGGAGGTCCGTCAGGCCTGCTGGAAGCGCCGCCATGGCTTTTTGTAGTTGCGGTTCGTTTCGTTTGGCCCCTCCGCTTTTGGAGGTATGCATGTTCCGCACTAATACCTGAGTCGGTGCGATTCGACTGGTCGGTTTCGAGTACTCGGAGGTTCCCGCAGTGTTGTAGCGCACCTAGTGCCGTATTCCAGATCTGAGGAACCATCTGCTGCGAGTGCTTGAAAGACAGGGGCTTAGGGTTCAGGAGCGGCGATATACAGCCATGGTGTTGGCATTGTAGATCGGCCAGCGTTATTCTTGCCATCTGTGCGAAAGCTGGAATATGATGGTTCAGGTCTCGTAGTAGTCCATCGACTGCCATAGCCCCGTTCAGTCGCCACAGACTAGTAAGCTCGAATCCAAATTTAGCGACGGGGAGGGTGACCAACTTAGTGCTCGGTGTGAAAACCCATCCATAGTACTCTTTGATCCGCATTGCTATAAGCTGGTCTAGCTTAAGGGCATCGTCCGGTCGGATAGGACATAAAGCCAGTCGTGGCCTCAGCCTGCTAATTAGTTGTTGTTCGATGAATCGTCGTAATGCCGAGAGCGGGAGTCGCCTCGTTGGCGTGTTCGGGAACCCGATTGATCGCACAATACTTTCCAGCTGAGTGTATTGTCGGTCCGGCGCAGCGAACGGTGTTTTGAGAAAAATGTGTGCTGGGTCGACAGTGACCTGTCGTCTCCCATGAGGAGTGGCAACTTGGACTGTCCCTTGTGTATCAGACTGGTTGCCGAGGCCCATTATGATGGCTCGAGTCTTTGTACCCCAGTCGGTTTGGGCTCCGTAGGCTTCCTGGAAATGCTCCATGTAGAGAGTCATCGCTGCCAGCGTCCTTTCACTCTTGGCCAGTAGTATGGTGTCGTCCATCGCAGATACCTGAGTAATCTTGAGGGTCAGTTCATCCGCTTGTGTATGGTTGTTTGAGCGTGCCCTGTTCTGTGTTGTGATGAGTAGTGGGTCCTCGAACGCTTGTTTGTCCAGCCAGTAAGAGCCCATAGCCATGGCCAAGGAGAAACGAAGAGGATTCGGGGGATCCCCTTGTTTCATCTGCCCGTCCACTTCGAAAGGTTCCGCGAGGCCGTACGGTGTCTTGACGATAAAAGCGCCGTGTGCCAATCGGGCTCGGTCAAAAGCTTCTGCGTTTGGGCCAAAGCCGAAAAAATGGTAGGCGTCATACCCAGCTTCTGGTCTGAGCAGGTCGAAGCCCTTCTTTTGGTCTCGTACTAGCCCGTAGATTGGAGTTTTGGCCCGGAACGCCCAGGCTTCTAGGTTCGCTAGGAAACTTGTGAGGTCGCGCTGTTGTACACCGCTCTGGACGGCCACCTGTGTTTCTGGAATCATGTGGTGTTTCATTGCGTAAGCTTGCGCCTGACGTGTAAACCATCCAGCCGCTGTGACCGCCAAGAAATTGCCAAAACAGAACGCTCGGTAATTACTCAGTTGGGAAGACAGTCCGCGATTTTTGAACATCGGAAGCAGATAGTGGTTGCGCAGCTTGTCGAAGTAGTTGTGCACCAGTACATAGTGCAGGAGTGCCAGAACAACAGACATCGCTTGGTCTCCAAGTATCGTTACTGTCCATTTCTCCCATCGGTCCGGACCGGGGGATGGTTCCTTATTGCCTTTGCCGAGGAGCGCCCGGAGGTCGCTGAGCATCAGGGGCCTAGGCCAGACAAATGGGTCGCGTTGCGTAGCCTCCCGAAACTTCCAGGAACTTTCCGTATTCATCCAAGGTTTGTCTGTCGGAGCATTGTCATCCTCTTTTTGGAATAAAGCGCTAAAATACTGCTTACACGTGTTCCGTACCTCTGTGGGGTCAGCGGTAAGATTTCCATCCACAGTTTCTACCGCACGTGGTTGTATCAGTGACGTACGTGGTATCAGGATTTTCTTCACTGAACCTCCGTTGATGACATTCTGTATCCGAAAATTATCAGACCTCTGTGCCAGTTCTTTACGCTCCCGCTTCTCTTGTGCGTGTATTCTTTTGCAGAGTTGGCGGCACCAGACAGTCGCGGTTTCTAACACTTCATCCTCGGGGGGTACCACACTGCTCTGCCTGTTTCTTGTTGGAGACGTTGCAATGTCGCCGTTTCTAGGTCGGTATGGAGCTCCTCGAACCATCTTCTTGTGTCCGGTTTGTTTCTCAATATATGAATGGAGTTAGTCTTGAGTGCGTATATATAGCGATTCATATGGTGACGGTCCTGACTCAATTGTCGTAACTCTGGCGATCCGACAAACTCGCGTTTCCCGACCGCTGGCGATCTTCGTTCGCCGAATATTTGGAGGGAAGTGTTTACTATTAGATTGGAAAATTCATCGTAAGTCGCATTCCAAGCCTCTTGTGAGGCTACTGTTCCATCCTTGGCAACTCGATTCAAAGACTGCGAATTAGCAACGCCCTCTTCCATCTCTTGCCGAAATTTTGGTCGAGTGTCGCTATTCCGCGGCGGAACTTTAACCCTCCGAGGTCCATCGTCGCTCGCCTCCTCAATTGTCGCACAGAGACCCAGGAACCATAGTCTGCAATGAATTGGTCTGTGATCAGTGGCCATAACCTGACGCAACGTATGGATATCCGCATTCCCCGCCCGCACTGACGTTGCGAGACGGTCTATGATGCTGATGGTTTGCGCTTCCCCGTATGCCTTATGTGTCCAATTTTCCGCGAGTGAAACCGACTCCATTTCATTCCACACATCGTGGCCGTTGGTCTGGCGTAAGAAGCGGCAGTATTCTACCGCGGTGGGTCTGAGTCGTGGGAAAACCATTGCTGTGGTCTCGCGAGCGTCGAGCACTGCATTGAAGTCACCCACTATGGCCCAGTTCGGTGGTCCTGTTCGTATGAGGTCCTGGAGGGCCGCCCAAAAAGTGTTGATCACATTACCGTCACCTTCCGCATTGCGTGCGTATCCTCCATGTGGGCAGTAGGCGGATATGATCCGGATTGGCACCATCCTTGCTCCTCCTTGACTTCGAATCAATACGTCCGCAGCTGCTACCCGTCCTGCCAGCGGTCCATTGGTAAAAGTATAGGAAGCCAGTAGCGGCAGATTGTTGCGAATGAGAAGGAGCGTCCCCCATTTCATGACGGAACCCACCCGGATTGATGGGGTGAGGACCGGTTGGAAACCCCCAGTATTGAGAGGAAGCTGCGTGTCAGTTCTGAATTTGAGCTCAGTAAAACTGATGACATGGTGTTCTGAGTGTAGCAGATTATTCTGGACTTGTTGGAGCTTGATGGGATCTGCGATTCCATTTATGTTGAGGCTGGCAATTGATATTGGCGTTGCTGCGTAGGCCAACTTATTGTTCAAAACGATAGCGAGGAAAACGGTGAGGCATTTCGCCGGTGCTGGTATGGTGGTACTAAAAATCGTCATTGCAAGTAGACCATACGTGCTGAGTTTGCTATACACCCCAGGGTGGTGGCGGAGGTGCCAACTTCGGAGTTCGGTCTCGACCTTCACGAATCCTGCGGTGGTGATTGTATCATCAGGCGAGCGGTGTTGGAGAACCTGCCACCAGTCACTTACTATAGACATTCCTTCATGCTCGCTGCGACTCTGTGGCTGGGGGCTTGTCGTGTGCATGTCACCTTCTTGATTGTGTCGTCCGCGCTTGCTCGGCGAGCCTCCGGATTCTTCACGTTCGTCCATCGCGTTATCTGCGGCACCGCTCGCATTGTTGCCATTGGGGATGGTTGGACCGTCATGGGCCAGTTGCTGCAGGTATACGGGACTTGCTTGTCGGAGCGCCAGGGTGACTTGGTGTTGCATTTGCTGGTATGCCGCCTGTGCGTCGCACACCATCCTTCGTGCCTCTTGAACTTCTTGCGCGAGTTCTTGGTATTCCTGACTGTCCTTGGGATGATTACTGAATAGGAGCTCCATCCTGAGATTGCTGAGTTGGGTACTGGCGGTCATCACAGCGAATTGCGCTTGACCTGACGCTTGTACGCCCGATAGAGATGAAAAGAGCGCTTGATTGCTCATTGTAAGGCGCCGCTCCGCTTACGCCTCACGACCCTGCGGCCTCACGCTTGCCCTCGCGCGCGGCGCCGCCGCGTCTCTTGACCTTAGTCCTTTTAGTAGTCTTTCTTCGCCTGCGAATTACACCGTTTGATCCTTTCTGTTTGGACTCGGAATCAGTGAGGCTCGAGAGCGATCTCGTGCCTTTCACTCATGTGGAGCGCATGCATCATTTGCCGAGTTTCTTGCGCGATCTGTTCGTTCCTTCGCTTGTCCTCCGCATACGTTGTGGCGAGGGTCTGGAAGACGTCCTGAATCATGTCGATCCGATTTTCGATGTGTCGAGCACTTTCGGCGATAGCCCCTTGCGACTCCGACGTGGCCTTATTGAATCGGGCAGAGATAGCATCAGCGCGCTCGTTGTTTAGGCAGACCTTGATGACTACACGTTCGTCGCCATCATGCCAACTCGTGCCGAATCTGTCGTGGGCCGGCAGAAAAGGTACCATCTGCACGATGTGTGTTGCCAGGGCGGATGTGGACACTGAAAACCGAAAGACCGCTTTTTGGTGCTGGCCCGGGCCGGTAGCCGGCTCGTAGTCCGTCGTCACAATTGTGCCTTTGGGTCGCGTAATGGGATCCTGGGGGTACTCGGCGGCATCCTTAAGGCAGCTCATCAGGTACGAGGCCACACTCTGGGGGTCCCTGTTCGATTTGGCCCATAAGACGACGATTGCGAAGGGCTCTCGCATCCCTCGCGTTTTCACGATGCGTTTGAAAACCCTGGTGATGGTTTGTTCGACCAGCAGTGGTTCCGTAGTCACTTGTGGCGTCAAACGAGACGTGGGTCACATTGGGATGTTGACCTTTGCACTGAGGGTAGACCGGTCCTTCGTGGCTGTGATCTTTTCCACCATAAAAGCACTCGCCATACGAACCGCGACCAGGACCTTGCATTGATCGCCGCGTGTACCTGAATCGTTGGTGACCGAAATGCACGACTCGGCGGGGACGTTCTTCATGTCTTCGAAGTGTTTGTCCAAATGCGCTTTTATCGCCTTTCGAATTGCTTCTTCCGGGGCTCGCTCGATGGTGTCGTAGCTCTCCTTGCCGGAATGCTTTACGGAATCAAAAGCTAGACGGACCCATCGTACTTCGTCGTTCTCCTTCACGTCGGTGAAATGAGCGAAAAGACGAGGCCAACGGTGATTGTTTTCGTCGACTAGCTCGGATTCGAACGAGGAAGGGTCTGGACGTTTGGAAGTCTGGGCTGTCAGAGGCTGTTGTAGTGAACAGGAGAGGGTCGGCGTTCTTTTGTCCCACTCACAGTACGGCTTGCTGTCGTTATTCAGAAAACTGAAGATCTTGCTGGTGAATTCAATTTCGTCCTTGGGCCCGATGATCTCAAAATAATCCGTGTTTAGGGCCTTGTATCTTGATTGGGCAGGGTCCGACAGCCCGGTGAGGTTAAGGACTTCGTGCGACTGAAAGAAAACTGGCTGCTCATTGACGCTAATGCCGGCTTGGACAAGTAGGTGTTCAATGGTCCCTTCCGCCGTCAGTTTTGCGATGTTATCAGAAGTAGCAGGAAGGTTAGAGATGACGAGTCGATGTGCCAGGGGTTGGGTAGTCCGAATGGCTCTGAAGTCGGTTTCTACGTAGGGTCTGGGGACCATCGTGTCGTATAAGCGGTTGTTGTGTGGGAGGGGGCAAGGGAGAGGTGAAAGGAGTATGGGGTTCAAATTGCACCGGACGGATGGAGTATGAAACGCTTGGGCTTCCCAGGGGGCACTCGATGACGTGCTCAGGGGTGGAGAAAATGGGCCGTTATTTGTTACCAGGCATTGAACGGGTGGGAAATTAAGCGCTCGGGCTTTACAAGAGGTGATCAATGACGTGCTCAGGTTCGGTGTCAGACAGGGGTAGCTTCTCCTAGTTAAGTGAGTCGCGCGCTGATTCAAGGAGCAGGTCTTGGGCTCAGCGCCCGAGGCGGTCCCTTGTGGAGCGAGGGCGTGTGTGGCAGGTCTCAGAACGCCTGCTCCGCGATACAAGTATGTTATGATCGTGCTGGATGACCTACAAACCCAGAAAGAGGACGTTGTCGACTTCCAGTCGAGGTGTGGTGCGGGGCTCTGTGATTTATCTAGGGTGTGGGAATCGTCAGGCAACCAGGTGGTATGGAGCCGCCGGATAGCAGTGAGTTGGTGTTTGTACGGGTCATGAAGCAGGTCAGATGCGCGTTCCGTCCGGCGAAGGTATCGTAGAAAATATGTCTGGGTGGTACTCTCGGCCTCGAAGAGGCATCTAAGGGGTCTCCTATCCTGTCCTTCGGGCAGCGCTGGCAACAGTAGTCCTCGATAGTGAACATAGAATGTCACAAGAAAGGAATGAGGGTATGTTAGGACGTGCGTGTGTATGTATATGTAAGCGGGTAGGGTAGGGTTGGGTAGTTTGAGGTGCGCATAGCGTCCGTGCAGTACTCGTCGTTTTAGGAGGAGCGCTTCGAAGGCTAGCAAGGGTGCATAAAGCAAATGATCAATGGAAGAGAGACGGTTCATAGATTGGCTAGTGGTTATGTAATAAGGTGGAGTCAGATAGCACTCGCCACCTCTGGGCAAGGTTCTGTCTGCACCGCTAATCGATTGGTGGGTTTCCCCGTCCCTTTGCCAAGGTCGGCAAGGGGGTTGAGGTGGTGCTACGGCACTAGGCCATATGCGATAGAACGGTGAACAGGTCCTATAGAGGACGGTCGAATGCTGCTGAGGAGATGTCAGCGTGTTGTTGGGTGGTGAATAGCGCGGGCGCTGGGGCTGGGCTGGGGTGGACGGGATCACCGCGTTGGTTGCAAGGACACGTGTCGCGAGACGCCTAATGTGCATGTCGTTGTCGTGGTCGTAAGGTAAGGTCGGCAAGCCATGACACGCTGGCGGGGCCCCTAACGGCGGAATTGGCGCACTGGCCGACACTACCCGAGGTCTGGAACTGCTTCAAAGCGTAGACGAACGAATCTCAAGCCCGGAGATGAATTGTCGTACAGGAGACGGGACGTGAGAGTTTGCAGATGACATCTCGGCTCAGGCAGGAGCTGGATGATTGAAGGAACTATGCTACAATGTGGTAGACACGCAAAACAGGTCATCGCAGTCTGCTTCAGGAAGCAGAGTCACGTGCTCTTCAATGGAACCTCGGCGAACGTAGACGAAACGGACTGTCGCTGGCCGACCCGTGCTGAAAAAGCGCTAGCTAGCTGGGACGCGCTGGACCGAGAGCTGCCTATGACGTCACACCACATGGTTCCTGTTCTTTGTCTCCCTGGTTTGTCTTTCGTTCTCTGACGTTCTTTGACGTTCTTTAGCCACACAGTTCTTTTTAGATAGTTTAAGGATATTAGGATCAGCATAATCGGTAATAAGGTCAAGAAATCTTCGGAAAAGTCGGAAGGGATGTATTTAAGCACACTGGCCTAGCAGTAAGGTGAGAGTCGTCGAGCAACAGAATCGACCACACCCACTGGGAAACAAAACCCCTTGGGTGGTGTCGCACAGATAAGAGGCGACCCTGACACGCTTGGATAATATGTCAATATATTGCTGTTTCATCCCACTGGTATTCCCGATTATGATTAGTTACTAGTTGTTGATATTAGACGCCTCGCGCGCGCTCCCTTAGCGCTTATCTTCTTTCTCCAACTATCTTTACTATCATCATCGGCTCTCGTACTTACGTACTTCATTCCTCGGCTTCAGCTCGTGAAAGGTTATGAGCCCACCTAGCCTATCAGCGGCGGGCGACCTCGACATCCACGGTGACATGGCACCAACACCTCCACCACCGTCATCAACGTCGTACCATACCAACGACGTCGCCTCCGTTACCTCCGTCACGCTCACTAAAGAGCAATTCGACGAGCTGATCAGGAACCAGCGCCCCGCACGGGACGACGACGCATTCTCCATGCGTCAGCTCCTACCCCCAGCCAACCCTCCGGTCTTCCCTGACGACTCGAAACTCACGGAGGACAACTACATTGACTGGGACCTGACCATGTCGGTCACCTTCGCCCGCGAAGTCTGCGCATACCTGCGCAAGGGCACGCACGACCCCTCGTGGCCTCTCGCCTTACGCGGCCCGCGCGCTAGCGGGATCGCTCACCATCACCACGAAGGCCACCATCGGCCCAATCGTTCAGACGGGCGGCTCGGCGCACGAATGCTGGCTCGCCCTCGCCGCACGCTATGCTCCCAGCGATGCCCAAGCGTACTCGGCGCTGATCAGGGACTATTTTAGCATGCCACCATGCCCGCCCACTTGGGCTGGTTTCAACGCATGGACGAATCGAGCCATGGTTCTCGTCAACCACCTTCGAATGGCCCAGCTAGACCTTGAACAGGCCATCGCGGCCCGGGCCCTTGACGACTTGCCGCACGTCTTCGATGGCTGGCGCACGACGTTCTACGCGATGAACGTTCACGACAACAAGCTGCCGCGCGTCGATGGAGACTGTCGCTCGGACGTTGCGCAACGAGTCGAACCCGGCCCTCGTAGCGAAAGCTGTCGCGCCGACCACAAGCGCTGCTCCCGGCAAAAAGGGGAAATGGGATCGGTCTGGTCCTGCCCCGAGCAACTGCCTGGCTTGCGGTCAAGGCAAACACTGGCTCGACAAGTGTCCGGACTCACGCAAGCGGGCCAAATACATCGAGCTCAGGAACGCCATGAAGGCACTCAAAGGTGCATCACCATCGACTACGACCACGTTAGTGGCCGCCGCGGAAGTGTCCAAGGATCAAGACTTGTCTTACTTTTCTTCTGCCATGTTCGTCAACATCGGACAACCTGACGTCCTTCTGCTGGACTCGGTGTCGGCGTGCCATGTCGTCAACAACGCGTCTTTCTTTGATGGTCCCCTTTCACCTACCCAGCAAGTCCTGCAAGGTCTAGGGGGAACGGTGAGGGCTTCGGGAATCGGCTCGGTCAAGCTCGTCTCCGATAATGGTACTGAGTTCACCCTCAACGACGTGATCTACGCTCCCGAGAGCCCTGCCAACCTCATCTCGGTCTGGGCCTTCGATAGCAAAGGTGTTCGCATCACCTTCGAACACGGACATGTCGAGCTCTGCACGCCGCAAGGGTGCATCGCCACGGCATCAGCCATCGCGTCCCGCATTTACAAACTCAATGCTTCAGTCCGCGCTGGCAGCAAAGGTGCGCTACCCTCGCTCGTCTCCACCAAGTCCACTAGGCTACCTTTACTTACCCTTCACCGCCGCTACGGCCACACCTCTGTCCAGACACTTAAAAAACTGGCGGCCTCCGGCCAGGTGGAGGGTTTGGATTGGCCCTATAGTGACTTCGAGTGTGTAGACTTCTCATGCAACGCCTGCCTTGCCTCCAAAGCCCATTGTTTGCCTTTCCCCTCTTCGTCGTCGCATGCTGCGGAACCACTCGCATTGGTGCACTCGGACGTCTTATCTTTCCCCAAGGAATCCTTAGGCCATAAGTGGTACCTCGTCACGTTCATCGACGACTTCTCGAGGAAGACTTGGGTTTACCCCATCGGGCACAAGAGCGAGGTCCTTCAGACATTCAAGGATTGGCTTCTGGAGATCGAAAACGCCACGGGTCGCAGGGTCAAAACACTTCGCTCGGACAACGGGGGCGAGTATGTCTCTACCGCTTTCAACGGCTATTGCGTGGCCCGCGGAATTCGTCGCGAATTGACCATACCGTACACACCCAAGCAAAACGGTCGGGCGGAGCAAGCCAACCGGTCGATCGTCGAGGGCACCCTGGCACTACTGTCTCACTCGGGACTCCCACGATCGTGCTGGGACGAGGCTGCCATGTGTTACATTCACGCCAAGAACCTCTTGCCTCACACGGCCCTTGGTGGAGCCATCCCAAACGGTCGTTGGTCGGGCCACACACCAGGCGTAGGGGGTCTTCGGGCATTCGGTTGTCGCGCTTGGACCACCGTGCCGGCTCACCGACGGGACAAGCTCGACCCAAAAGGGATTCCTCTGGTCTTCGTCGGGTACAATCGACACGCGAAATCCTACCGTCTTCTTGACCCTTCCTCCATGCGTGTGAGTCTGGGCCGCAATGTGACATTCGTAGAAACCGAGTTCCCCTTCGCGATCGCGCCCACCCAAGTGACGCAGCCGTCCATCCCGGGTTACGCCCCCCAGCCTCCACCCGTCGAAGCTCCAACACCTGTCGAGCCTCCCCCACGGCCACCGGCCCCAACGCCTGTCGAGGCACCCGCGTCGCCCGAATCGACCAGCTCGGCCGACAACGACGATGCCTCATCGACCACGAGCACAACGACGGAGTCAGCCGTGACCCTGCCGCAACCACCTCCGGATCCAGCTCCACTCGCCAAAGTCAAGCCGACTTGGGAGTACGGCGACGTCACCAAGGTTGGTCCCGATCCAGGGAAGTACGGTGAAGTCGACGCTCGAAACATCATTGATGGCCCCCGGACTCACCGCCAACCTGTTCCCACCATGATCACGCGGGAACAGCCGGTCGAAGACCCCGACGGACCCACCGCCTCTTTCAAGAGCCTGCTCCTTGCCTTCGCATCCACCAAGGCCAGCTTCGCGGATCATGACTTGTCGGTTGTTCGCGATCCGGCAAATTGGGGCGACGTCGTTCGATCGGGACAAGAGGATGTTTGGGGCGCTCCGGCACAGGATGAATTCGATTCGCTTCTGAACGATTACGAGGTCTTCCAAATCGTCGAATCCTGTGAGCTCCCCGCGGGTGAGATCCTCCTGCGGTCAGGCTGGGTGTTCCGGACTAAACGCAACCAGCATGGCGACATCACCGATCACGGATGTGCCCAACGCCCTGGCCTTGATTTCGAGAAGACCTACGCCCCTGTCGTCAAATTCACGTCCATTCGAGCCCTCATCGCACTCGCCGCGGCCAACGGCTATCACGTCCATCAGGCCGACGTCAACAAGGCGTACTTACACGGCAAACTTGACAAGCCTCTCTACATGCGCGTCCCTCAGGGCATCAACCTGCCCGGCAAGATCCTCAAGCTGTCCAAATCCATCTACGGCCTTCGCCAGGCTGGCACCATCTGGAACGCCGAGATCGACTCGACTCTGCGGTCCCTCGGATACGTCCCCACCAGGTCTGACATCTGTATCTACCGCCGCGAACACAATGGGCACTCACACTATATTGCCTTGTACGTCGACGACTTGCTTTTGGTTGGTCCCTCTACCGCCGAAATCGAGCGGGTGCTGGACGTGCTGGAACTCGCATACGGCATCAAACGTCTCGGACCTGCCAAATATATTCTAGGCATCCAAGTCAAACGTGGACAAGACGGCTCTATCACGCTCTCACAAGAGCGCTACCTTCGGGACATCCTTGCCAGGTTCCAATTCACCGATGCCAAGCCGGCAAGTATTCCAATGCAGCCAGGTGTCGTCCTTGACTTCGAGGACTTGGCGGCCACTCCTCAGGATCGTACGCGCTACTTGCAGGCCATCGGTTCGTTGATGTACGCCGCAGTTGGAACTCGTCCGGACCTCGCCTTCGTGGTCAGCTACCTCGCTCGCTTCTCCCAGCAGCCTGGCCCGGAGCATTGGACAGCCATCAAGCAGGTCCTCCGTTACATCAAAGGCACGCTGGACTTGGGCCTCACCTATCGCAAGACCAGCCAACCACTCCGTGGCTACTCGGATGCGAACTGGGGAGCCTGTCTAACGACCTCACGATCGACCATGGGCTACGCGTTCATCTTGTCCGGAGCCGCTATTGCTTGGTGCTCCAAACGCGAGCACAGGGTGGCCAAGTCCACTACCGACGCAGAGTACCTCTCTCTTTCGTACACAAGCGGTGATGCCATCCACCTGAGCGAACTCCTGGCTGAACTTGGCGCTCCGGTCTCCGGTCCAGTCGTACTCTACGGGGACAACCAAGGTTCGCTGGCTCTTGCGCAGCACCCGACCAACCATCAGGGGTCTCGTCATGTTCGCATCTCGGAACATTGCGTCCGCGAGAGGGTAGCTGAGAAGGAGATCGAGGTCCGCTACATCGCCACCGGCGACATGATTGCCGATATTTTCACCAAAGCCTTGGGTCCCAAGTCGTTCATGTTCCATCGGGAGAATTTGGGTTTGCGAGGTGCAGTGGTATGACAGCACGGGGGGGTGTCAATATATTGCTGTGTCATCCCACTGGTATTCCCGATTATGATTAGTTACTAGTTGTTGATATTAGATGCCTCGCACGTCTCAAGCCAGCCTCGCGCGCGCTCCCTTAGCGCTTATCTTCTTTCTCCAACTATCTTTACTATCATCATCGGCTCTCGTACTTACGTACTTCGTTCCTCGGCTTCAGCTCGTGAAATAATAGACGCCCGGTACCTAGGTCGATTTTGCCCCTGTCACTATTTGGTAACAAATCTCGGACCCTCGCTCGCTTATCATTTTCATTGTCATTTGTTCTTTCCCAAGAGTAGAACAACTCCTGAAGAGGGTGTTGATGGAACGGTAAAGGAGAAATATCAACGCACCGCGGGGCGGCGGGGCAGGCGCGAGGTTCCTTCTCGAAAAGCCTGACCAAATACATCCCAGCTGTTCTGTAAGAGGCCAGATCGGTGTACAACGAGGATGAGCATGTGCCGAGGGCATCCCCATCTCCACATTGTATTCTCAGTGAAGCCTGTTACCTGCTAAAAATCCAGCTTGCATTTGGTGGGCTGCGCAGCCTCTGGTCCAAAAACTACACCAGGTGCGCACGACATTTCTGTCATTTCTGGCCCGGATACACATTTATCATTAGCACTTCGCGGCTGGAGCCCGTTGATTAGGTTCCGTGATTTTCAGCTCTAGTTGAGCTTTATCACTGCGGGACGCTCTCATGGTTAGGTCTCAGAGATAGTATGCAGCAAATATTGGTATCTACCCAAGCTTGTAGCTCTTTGCGCCTCGGTAGCGGTTGGGATTGTCACATGATCGGTACATTGCTTTCATTTTCATGCGGCGCCACGCACCCGCACGGGCCGCCCGGGCGGTCTTGCGGTATCCAGTTTTGTCCTTCCTGTTGAAGCCAGCCTTCACGTCAGAACTGCAAAAACATATGTTCGAGTTCTGTCCCCGACCGGTCTTCAGATCCTATACCTAGAGGGGTGGCCTAAGGCAAGTTACATTAATCACAACATTTTCTGGGACACCCTACGTTGTCACTTAGTAATCCGTCACTGACGCGTCACGAACGCTCCGTCGCGTTTTCCGTCGGTGGTTCGGTGGGTATTCTAGACCTTCCACCCTCTTAGCTTGGCGGCCATCGGCATCAACGCTCTCCGGCGTGCGCGGGAACCGCGACGAAGGCGAATCCGGGCGCCGATATCCCAGAAGCGAACGAGAAGTGCGCCAAGCCTTTTGCGCCAAACGCCGACCGGCCGGCGCGATCTACACGACGACGTCAAAAATTGCCGCCCACGTCAAAAATAGCACATCGGACATCTTTCTGCGTGCCTGTGTCTACGGGGCAGAGTCGCACAATGAGCGATGCCGACCCGGGATCAACTGGCTGCTTGTTCAAGCATTTGTCATGGGCAGTTTATACAGGTGGCTCACGTCGCTCTCGTCGACGCAGGGCGCCAGTGTGGCGCTGAATGAGGCCGTCAGAAGCAACCGCCACCTCGATCGCGCGCCAACCATGCACAATGCGCCTCCAGCTTTCTGCACCTCGCACCGACGCACGTATCTAGTGCATTTCGGTGACTACACCCGACCTTCCCCCGTTTCACGGGTATTAATACTGCGTATCCGATGCACACAGACCTGCTACCTACACCTTAGCTTGCCCCCTCCCCTCCCTCTCCCCTTCTCCGGCTCCCGACCGCCTTTCCTCCTGCGATCCGGATCCCGAAGCTGCGCTGCCAACGATTCGATCTCGGAAGTCACCTCAATCCCGGCTGTCGCGCGTTACAGGTGCGCTGGCGACTCCGTCCCCTCTTCATGACTCCCCCAATAGCCATCGGTTCGACGCGTCGTCGTCGTTCCAAGTCATGTATCGCCTGTCGTGTAGCCAAGCTGCGCTGCGAGGGCCTCGACGAGGAGCAATTGCACCAGCTCGAGAGCAACCCGGCGTTGTGCGACCTCGTCTGCCACCGCTGCGAGCGGCGGAGCATACCGTGTACCTGGGCGCCGAGTCGACGACCCGGCCGTCCTCGCAGACTGAACGCGCCGCCGCCCATTGACGAGAGCTCAGAGCACCTAGGTGCTGGCAGTGATGTGGCCAGCGGCCACGTCGGCGATTCCTTCCGCGTCATCCGGTCTACTTCCCACCTACCTGCCGCAAGTTCTACTGTGACCAGTACCAGTCACGGTGCCTGGCAGTCGCCTTCAGTAGCGCTTCCGGCCTGGCAACCGTCAAGATCGGCTGCTCCCGCGCGTTTCGTCTCATTGCCGGCCCGGCTACAGACCTACACTTTCGCTCCGAACGACGAGGCATCATCCTCCAGCTACCGACCGTCCTCCTCTGGTACTTCGACTCCTTCATCAGCCACCTCTGCATTGCCGTCGCCGGTGGGGCAATCGGGTCACTCGCTACAGTTCTTGGAGCACCTCGGGCAGCTCTACCTCAGCCAAGTGCACGGCTACATTCCCGTATTGCCGAACCTGCTCCCCGACCTCTCGCTCCGACTCCAAGTCGCGTCGCCGAGCTTGGTCGTCGCACTCGAGGCATATCTGATACCATGGGCTCGCTCATCACCATCACCACCTCCACCTCCCAACACTCGCTACCCGAATTCGGATGATCAGCTCGTCGCCATCTTCCACATCCATCGGGCGTACGCCAACGGGGACCTCGATGCCGCGCGCACCGCTCTACGCACCGCCGCCGGTACCACGCTGTCTCGTGCTCGAGCGGCACATATGACATCATTGGGTCGACCGTTAGAGCTCGATCAAGAAGGGTGGATACTGTGGGAGCTCGAGTTACAGGTGGGGACGGCGTTGTGCGAAGACGAGAGGCTGCTCGACATCGTGCGGCCCGACACCGAGGTGAGTCGCTCTTTTCGGTTCTGTCCTCTTGCGAACGCTGGCGGCGCGTAGTATGTTAATGCAGGATCACTGATTCAATCGTGGGATGTGTCACTCTTTCTGTCCTTTACAGGACCATTCTGCGACTTCACTGCATCGTCAAGCGCTCTTGCACCTCTGGCACTGCTCCTGGCCTGTCTCGGCTTGGACGTCATTCCCGCTGCCGCCTGCGCCGCCGGGCTCCGCGGGCGGGACAGCACAGGGGCCACTCGGCCCCGCTCGACCTTCGCCCGTTTCGACGCGAGCGATAGAGCTGTGTTCGCGCGCGTTCGAACTCTACAACCTCGCCCATGCCATTCTCGTCCCTGCTTCACCCCAAATGCTCGCTTCGGATCGTTTCTCTGCCAGTTCACAAGCCGAAGCGGCGTTGAACGCGTCCATCATCGCGAGCACGTGCGTGATCCTCGTTCTGTCCGGGCCGCTCTCCCCGGAAGCATTGCACAACATCCAACGAGGCAACTCGACCCACTCTCTCGTCTTTACCGCGTCGAACCAAATCATCGCATGTTTGAGACGACTCATCAACGACGCGAACATCACCGTCCCTCCCGCACCGACCTCACCTTTGTACAACCATTCGCCTTTCCTGATCCCTCATCTCTGGATGGCCGCGAGGGGTCTCTTGATCGCCTCTCAGGACGCGAGGGTGTGCGATCGACGTTCTTTTGACGAGGGAATAGGCGTGATCGAGACGGTGTTGAGTTGTTGGGCCGAACGTTGGCCCGAAGCGAGGAGGGTCCTCGAAGAGGTCGGCAACATCCAAAACGCCGCGATGCCGGTGTGAAGAGATCGAATCCAACAAGAAGGACATTCAAGAAGAGATTGTCAACAAGTCACATACCAATCGGTGCAGGAAGGGGAATAGGTACCACCGTCCCCTTTCTTTTGGCTCCTTGCATTATTTTTTTGATAGTCTCATTCCGCAACATACCTATAGACAAGACGATATACAAGTCCACTGTGATGTAAGAATGAGTCTACTGCTTCTCGTCTCTCCTCAAACATCTTGCTCGCTTGTGGGATGAGCAAGTTTCGAGAAGGACATTCGAATTTGATTACGAAGCTACGACATGAATGAAGGACAAATAAAAGGGCGAAAGGGATAAACGAGATATTCCACAGCCGTCTACTGCAACAAATGATCCCTGTAATGCTTCTGGCTGTTGGCGCGAATCCCCCTCACGAACTCCTGCTTGGCCCTCTGGCGCAACTCGGCAAACTCGCGCGTCCCCTTGCCGGCCCACTTGGCCTCACCCTTGTTCCTCGCTTTGATGACATCACCATTGCCGCCTGCTCCTGCACCCTTGGCAGGGATGAGCGCAGCGTCGGCCAAGCGAGGAGCGAACTTGCCTCCTTGCCCACGCGCCGAACCGTCCTGATCGTTGACAAGTCGTAACAAAGCTTGCGACGAAGGCGAGGGTTTGTACGCTTTGCTCGGTTGCGAATGAGGCGCCGGGTCGAACGGAGTCGTGCCGTTGAGGTAGGGCAGAGGGTTCTGCTTGTGGATGTAGCGATGCGCTCGATGGCCGATCCTCACGCCCGAGGGGAGGACCAACTCGTAAGTCGAATCGCCATACGTGATCTCTGAATCGGGGAGGTCGTCGTCGTCGGAATCGTCCGAATCGTCGTCGCTGGCGGACTCGTAAACGACTTCCATCTCGGCGTCCTCGTCCCCGTTCGTCTGACCTTCCTCCTCGATATCCTCCCACCCTTCCGCCTTTTGTTGCTCCAACTTGGCCCTTCGCTTGGCTTCCTTCCTGTCGAGCTTCTTCTGGAAATCGGGGTACGAGGACCTAAAGTCGTAGAAATCGGCCAATTCCAATTTCTCGTCCTCGGTCGAGTACCTCAACTTGCAATGCCCCTTGGACTGCATGTGAGCCCTCACAGCCTCCACACCTTTACTAGCCCTCTTGGCCAACTCTTCCAAAGACAAACCCGTCGATTCGTCGAGGTTGATGTTGCCTCCATAGCCTTTGCCGCAATTGATGCACACGTTCCAAGTACCGACTTCTTCACCGAGACGACGCAAGAGCCCTTCGAGGTCGACGACATACTCCTGTTCGGGGATCACGAACGAATGTTGGTGACGCATGTGCGCAACGTTCTCGGTCGTAGAGGGCGAGGTGTGGGGGCAGAAGAGACACGTCGTAGGGGCGATCGGAGGCGCGGTTTGAATGCGTCTGGCGACGAGGAGATCGAGTTTGGGATCGCCCGATGATTCAAAGGGGACTTCCTTTCCATCCGCAGTGGGTTCGACCACGGCAGTCGATGTGGATGGAACGGGAGCTTGGTCCATAGCGATATCGGTCTGAGCTGGGGCCTGACTCGATTCGTCGACGATGGTGGGCGTGGAGAGCGACTTGGCGTTGACCTGACTCGCGAGACGAAAGACGTTCTCCTTGTGCTTTTTGGATCCGAGATGTACTTCTTGGGTAGCCAGGGTGGCGAAAGTTTTCCTGCAAGACCCGGACGTTACATCAGTCTACGGTGGCGTCGAATGCGCCAATTCGCACGCCGTTCCGGAGACTCACTTGCAAGCCTTGCAGTGGAGCCTCTGTTCCTCCTGCTCGTCCTCCGAAGCAGCAGCTTCCGCAAGCTTGGTGCTGCCGATCTTGTCATCAAAGACCTGCTGCGTGACGGGGGGCAAGCCGGCGACGCGTCGTTTCGAGTTGTAACGGTGCAAATCGGATTGATAATGCTCGCGTTGCGAAGCCGCGTCGACGAACGCGAGCGAGCACGACAGGCACGTGTACGGGTGGGTCGAGGACGTGTCTTGCATTGTGGGTCGAGTGAGTGATCGAGGTCGTGGTCGTGGTCGAGGTCGAGGTGAGATGAGGGTGTGGGCGCGGGCGTGTGTGCCGAGGCCGGTGTGAAGTGGAGGGTGGCAAAAGGGGTTGCGTTGCCGCTGGGTGGACCGCGTGCGCTGGGCGCTGCGAAGGTCCGGTGGTCGGTTCGGTGCGGTTCGGTGTTTGTTCGCTGCGAGTGCGTGCGCGCGCCGGCCCAAATTTGCGCGCGGTAGTATACGGCGTCAATAAATGAGTCAAGCTCGTCTGCGAGAGGAGGCACGTGCATCCGTTTCCACGCGGTGAACTGGAATTTATGACTTTCAAACTTAAAAACGCGAGGATGGCCAGACTCGAGAGAGAGAGAGCGTTCGTCGTTTCCTCCTGAAGCTCTCGTCCATTCCGAGCGCTGCAGCTGAACTCGCACCAACAACGCCACTTGAGTGCACCCAGGCAAGAATGGAAACACCTTCGATCAAGCTCGTAGACGCGACCGTTGCTGCCCCATCGGGCTGGCACCCCCAATCATGGCGCTCCAAGCAAGTGGCCCAGGACGTCGTCTATGACGTCGCACCGACCCCTATCAGCGAGACGGACGCACCCGTGCCCGATCCTGTGCTTTACAAACCCAAGAAATCCCTGTCGGCTGTGGTGGACAACTTGTCCGTTCTTCCTCCCCTGGTGTCGGCTGTAGAGGTGAGCTCCCAGTGACGACTCGCGCGCGCGAAGTACGTCCGTAGTCCGGTTCTCGGTGCGAAGTCCCATTTCCGACCGTCGAAATCAAAGCCGGACCGACGGACCGAACGAGGAGGCGTAGCAGCAGCAGCTGATCACACCCTCGACATGCTCAACAGATCGAACGACTCAAAGCCCAATTGGCAAAAGTAGCCAAGGGGGACGCGTTCCTGCTTCAGGGTGGTGATTGTGCTGGTCAGTCATCCCGTTCGGAAACCGGCTCCACATGCACACCAGAGCGAGCGAGGATGGATGGGCTCATTCACCTCTCATGACGCTTACAGAGCTCTTCGATTACTGCACCTCGGAAAAGATCGAGCATCGCCTCTCGCTGCTTCTGTCCATGTCGCTCATCCTGATTTGTGAGTCACCCACGCGGCCAAGAGCTCGTTCGGACGTTTTGACTCATCACCTTTTTCCGACAGGGGGCATGAGGAAACCTGTCGTGCGAATCGCCAGGATGGGTGGACAGGTCGGTCTCAAACGCAATGTCTTTGTCAAGGTTCATCATTGACAGTGGGTTTCTTTTTGCTGTAGTACGCCAAACCGAGGTCAAAGCAGACCGAAGTTGTTGACGGCAAGGAAATTCCCTCCTTTCGGTCAGTCCGCTCTGCTCTTCTGCGTGTCCTACTTCAGCGCCTCACTCATTCTTAACGCTTTATATTGCGGTACTCAGCGGGCATAATGTCAATGGTATCTCACCCGACGATCGTCTCCCCGATCCCGAGCGTCTCCTCTCCGCCTACTTCCACTCCGCCGCCACCGTGAACCACGTCAGAGCACTCCTCGCCTCAGGCTTCGCCTCCCTACTCAACGCGAATGGTGAAGACGTACCTTGGTCATTACCCCTCTCGCACGTGCGCTCGCCGGATTTGTTGAAGAGTTACGAACGCATCGTCGCCGAGTTGAGCTCCGCGCTCGAATTCCTCGGTGTTGTCGGTGGTGATCGAGTGGGCAAAAACGGACTAAATGGCGCGCTCGAGAGTGTGGATATCTTCATGAGTCACGAGGTAGGTCTTGATACGCATTTCATGTGTTCAGTCCCTGTACTGATAGACCAAGCTTTCGGACAGGCCCTGATGCTCGAATACGAATCAGCGTTGACGCGCGAGCTCTACGTCCCCTCATTCGCGAGGACAAAGCCCGGAGAAAAAGCGTACTACTGCACTAGCGCGTGGGTTCGAGATGTCTCTTTGTCGGAGTTGATGTTTGTACTGATACTCGCTCGCCCGGTAACCGATCCTAGGCATTTTATCGTGGGTCGCTTCTCCCGACGGCATCTCCAGCGCCGGCGAATTAACCTACCCTGAGCTTACCGTCACGACTCTCATGCTTGTACCTGCCTCCAGTGGATCGGTGATCGCACACGGCAAATTGATGGCGCACATGTAGAGTAGGCCTATTCCCTCTTCTGTTTCTTCATGTCGTCGTCGGCCCCTAAACGTGAACTGACGATATCTGTACCATGTTCGCAGATTCTTCCGAGGTTCGTCCTCCGACCGGACCAGACGTGTGGGACCATTTCACTCTCACTGACTCGGATGGCGAGAGGGTTGAACAGGTCTTCGCAACCCGGTCGGTATCAAAGTGGGACCTACTTCCGAACCGGCTGAACTCGTGCGCTTGCTCGGTATCGTCGACCCCGATAAGGAGCCGGGTCGAGTGACGCTTATCACTCGTTATGGAGCCAATTTGGTCGATCAGAAGTTGCCTGCCCATATTGAGGCCGTCAGTGCTTCGGGTCATCCTGGTATGTAGAATTCCTACGGATGAACAGGCGGTGCTGAGCCCACTGGCTGAGTTGAAACGGCTCTGAACTTCCACAGTGGTTTGGTGCTGCGACCCCATGCACGGCAACACCCGTTCTGCCGCTGGTGGCATCAAAACCCGAGCGATGCACGACATCGTCTCGGAGATCTCGTCGGCTCTAAGGATCCACCAATCCATGGGCTCGAACCTCGGTGGTATCCACCTCGAGTTGACGGGTGATATCCAACAGGATGGCCAGTCCGTCACCGAATGCACGGGTGGGAGTATGGAATTGGGTGAGCATCAATTGGCGTTGAGGTTCGAGAGTTTCTGTGATCGTGAGTCGTCGTGTGTAAGACGTTCGAGGGGCGTGGTCTGCGCGAATCGAAAGCTGATCTTTCCTTCTTGTTCGGCTTCAGCTCGACTCAACTTTGAGCAATCTTTGGGTACGTATTTTCCATTCGCATTGCGGTTCTTCACCCAACACTAATCAGCCTTTTCCGTCTTCCCTCATCTTAGACGTCGCCTTCATGCTATCGCAAGCGGGCAACCCGTCGCGCGGTAGGGTCGACCTCCAGATCTTGAAAGGGCTGACCGAGTCGAGGCCGTCGAGTGTATCGCCGCGGCGATGAAAGGGAGGTGGAAAGTTGTGTCGAAAGGAGAGAACACATTTGAGGAAAATTGATATCATATGATCGTACTGGTTGCCTAGATTGAAACGAACTCGGTACGATTTGGAGGAGAGCCTTACACTGGCATCGAATGGGGAGGGCTTCGAAGAAACGGATCCCCCTTATGACGAAAAAAAAAAAGTATGGGGGCGGTTGCGAAACGCACAGCCCGGCCATTCTGAGCGACAATTTTAGCCACGCAGGCCAGCAGAAGAGTTGGCTGTGCTTGCTGCTGATTTCTGGCCCAGACTATGACGTCAATCTCCTCGCGTGATATGGCGGCGCGCGCGGCGGCGGCGTCCGGGGAGGTGATTTGTAGGCGCCTGATCAGCTGCCTGAGTCCTGACCTTGCCCTGCGCCTACGCAGCCACGCGTGACGCTAGGCCACGCTTGGGATCGGCTGCGCTGACTCTCGCGGACTGAACGGGGGAATTCTCGCACGTCACGGCTCCATTTGGCTTTTGTCTCTTGGCCTTCTGCCACTCACATCCAAACGCGCACACACCCGTCCAGCTTTCTTGCTCAGCCTCTTTTCTCACCCAAAACCCAAAACTTACCATCAACCATGGTGTCCGAAGGAACTGTCAGGCTTGTGCATGCTCCCCTTCTTGGCCTGGTACGTCGTTGTCCTCGTCGTCGGCCCTTGTTCCATGTCGCCAGTTCAGCACGTGCCATCGATCAACTTCCGTGCTCGCGCACAAAGGATACCAAGCGCCCTCCGATCCTCGAAGTGCACACTACTAACTTGTACTCTGATGCAATCAGATCACCTTGATTGGTATCGTCACGCTCGCCATGTCCGCATCGCTGGTGGCGCACTACAACTCGCACGGTTACCCCAACATCTCCTGTGAGTGTCTTTCGATGGCACCCGTCAGCTTCGACACTCTACTTTGCACTCGAGGGAAATGGAATCCGCAGCTTGTAGCAGAACCAAGACGAGCTGACCCGTGCCGAACGTTTCCGTACCTTCCTTCTTGGGCCTTAATATCAGACCGTGACCGAATCCGCATCATCCTCGCCGGTTCGATCTGGTCCTTTTTCGTGTCGGGTGAGTGGACGCTACGGGTATCGAAATTCCTCGACCTATTTGGTTCTGACTTTCTCGTTCGTGGCCTCTCTCCAGTCTTCCTCGTGGTCGGTGTCGCTGTCAAGCCTGACAACGTCCTCTTCGGAATCTTTGCCCACATCATTGGTCTTGCCATTGCTTTCGTGAGGACGATTTCGCAAGCATCAGCGTTTCTACACGACGTTTGGCTTTGCTGATGCTCCATTCCGCCCTTTACTCCCAGATCCTCCTCTTGATCGGTGTCGCGTCGCTCACCGCCTTGACGGACAAGCTGCACTGCTCCGGCATCGAGAACTTCTCGCGCTGCAAGGTCGTCAAGGGTCTGGTCGGCGTCACCTGGACCCAGACCGTGCTCCTCTTCATCGCGCTCATCTTCGTCTTCGCCCTTGGCGTTAAGGCTCGCTCGGGTGGGGGTATGAGGAGGTCGACTTTGGTCAACGCTTAAGCTATCTGCGTTGTCGGACCTTCAAGAAGGATCGCCTTCTCCACCACTTCGCCATCTTGGTTGTTTCACCACCTTTGATTCGCTTGCTGGCGCAGTCGCGCTTGCTGCTCTCTTGATCAAGCTTCTCTTCCTATCAAAGGGGGGGTCTAGACCTCGATTTTACCCTTCCTACCGAATCACTTCATCATATAAATATTACACCCTTAATTCATCTGCATCATATTGAAGTTTGAAACTACTCGTTGTTCACGTGTCATTGGATCGTCCGGACTGGGATGTCGAGACCGATCGCGAGTCTTGGCGAACATGTGGAATGGTACGACTGCGAATGGGGTGTATGAAGACGCTATTCTCCTGGTTATCTGAGGTGGGTTCGAGTCGCGATTGTTCACACTTGATGACTTGACTGAAAGTCGGCAGCGGTTCGATAGGGGCCTAGCGATCTGATCAGGCATGCCGGCAATGAGCGCCGAATGCGATCGCACCCTCTCCCTCTTGCACGCGTCTTCATAGGCCACTTGCTCTTCGATCACCCATGATCGAGCTCAGCTTATCTCCCTTCGTTGCTTAAGATGGTGGGGACACTTCTTGATCCTCTTCTCTCGCCCATCGGCTCCTGCGGTCGTTACGAGGAGTTCGCAATTATTGCTCGTACTTCCCCCCTCCCCCGACGGCAGCTGTGAGCTTTCGTTCCGCGCGCCCCCTTCACTGTTTTCTGGTGGGCTCAATTCTGTATCGCTCATCGTGTTCGCCATTTTTTTTTTCATCGTTCTCTCTCGTCCCAACATCATCATCAAACTGAATAGTTAGGTCAGAGGTTTTGCGTTGATTGGGCCATCTCTCGTCGTCGTAGGCTTTGTGCGTTTTGGTTTCAGGTAGGAGTCAAATCAGCTTTCGTGGTGGGTCCATTCCGAATCAATTCTGGGTTTAAAAAAACCGACAACGCCAAAACAGATCGCTTTGATCATTCATCATAACATCACAACAATACAATTCTTACGAAAACCATCTGCCCCATCATTTCCCAACTTGATTCGTCCCCAACGCCCTCGCCAACACGAACCACACCCACGATCGAGGCAACCTCTCCAAAACCCAAAACAGGAACGCCTTCCCTCCGGCGGTGTAGTAGGTCGCGGGCTTGGGTCCGAGAGATCGAGTGACGATACCCTGGGCTAATTTCGAGGCGGGCATGGTATGATCTGGGTTTTTTTTGTTTTTTTTTTGTTTGTTTGGTCGAGGAGAAGGAGGGAGGGGCTCAATTCGAGTCGAGTTTTTTTTTGGGAGTTTGGAAGGTGATAATGAGCCAAACTTACCGGCTCGTTGGGACATCGCCGCTCGATCCATGATGCGTTGCGCGACGGAATGGTACAATGAATCTGATCATCCAACAATTAAATAAAATAAAATCAGTCCCCAAACTTTCCACAAAAGAAAAAAACACTCCACGCTCTCCCCTCTGCGTCCCGATCGTACCTTGAGGTAAATCGAAGCTATCGGCCTGCTTCTTGCCGAACCCACTCGTGATCGCTCCCGGAGCGACGAGCATGACGTTGATGCCTAAGCCTTGGACTTCCATGCGCAACACCTCGGACCAGGCGTGGATGGCCGCTTTGGAAGTGGCGTAAACGCCGGCCCAGGGGGTGGGGATCACACCTGTTTTCGTGTAACGAAAGGGGGGGGGGCGAGATTGGCTTAACAAACTTTTTTTGGGGGGGGGGGGGGAAAGGGGCAGGCTAGGACGAACCGACGATCGAACCAATGTTGATGATCAAACCGGACTTTTTCTTCGCCATGTGGGGGACGACCAGTTGGGCCAAACGCATGGGAGCAAAGAGGTTGGTGTCGAAGACGGCCTGGGTGGAATGGGAAGGGAAGAGGTGGGCATTAGCGCGCAGGACACTTTTTGAGCGCGCGCGCGAATTTTTTGAGGTGAATTTTCTGACTTTGGCTTGATCGACAGGGAAGTCCATCAACGCTCCGGTACCTCCTGCTCCAGCGTTGTTGACTAGATAGACGATCGAGCACGCAAGAACCCCCCAAGTCAGTCTAAGCCTTCATCCCTCAACCCACCCTCCGTCTCCAAGACGGCTTCGAAAACTCGAGCCTCACCAAGAATATCAATCCTCCCGACCTTATCGACGACCTCCTGCACCGCCTTCTTACAATCCTCTTCGTTCAAAACGTCGAGTTGGATCCTGTCGACTGAAGAAGGGAGATTCTCCATCGCTGAAAGACGACGGGCTGTTGCGAACACGTGACATCCGGCGCGGGCGTAGGCTTGGCAGAGGGCGTTGCTGGTGGGGGAAAAAGGGAAAGGTGGGGAAAGGTTGAGGGAGGAGGTGGGTATGACATGATTTGGGAAGGATCAGGTAAGGATCGCTGGGATAGGCTACGAGCTTGACCGCTTTCTATACGGGGGTGCCATCGTGAACGGTGACGTGCTCGAAGGAACTCACCCAATACCACCTTCACTGCAACCTGTGATGAGCACGATCTTGGGCGCCATCTGAAAGGATGTAAGGTATGGACTGTGGGTAAGGGTGAGGTTGCGTAGCGCGAGGAAGTGAGGTGGTCGGGCAGTCGCCCGCTGGCGTCACGGAACTCGAGATAGCCGACGAGCCGGCAGCCTCAGGGCCCGGGGGAAACGGTGTTCGCTCTGGTGTGCATCGACAAATGACCGCAAAATTCAGAGTAAAATTCGCCGTGCTCACTTTACAAAGAATTCTGGGACATATGGGTTCAGACACAGAGTGAAAAATTGGTCAACAAAGCCCATAAGTCAGGAGTGATTACCGATCATGATATCGGAGTACTAATCGCAATTGACCGCCATTGACCGCCATTGACCGCGGCGCACGAGTGCCGGAGCCATCAGCCTTCGCCTTCTCCGCGCTCATACATGGCCTTCCACGTGCGAGCATGAACCTCTCTACACCGCCGTATCGCCGCTCGAGGCAGTCGTCCGGCACCTCGTCCTCGCTCGCGACGCCCTCGACCCCGAGCCATGGTCCCTCACACGATCTGTCGAGCTCGCAGTCGTCGTTGCATCCGCTCGGCTCGTCGTCCAAGCGACGCTTTGCAGCTCCTCCACGCGACAGGGGGCAAGTAGCGACACCTGTCGGCAAGTTTCTCGCTCGGGAGGGGCTCCAACGAACACCAGGCCAGAGTCCACGACGGGTTCGACAGCGCAGTTTGGCAGAAAAGTAGGGCGCACAGCCGCGACGACGTCATCCAACTCGAGGCTGCTGCTCGTCAGCCGTGCGCACTCGGAGCTGACACCCTGTTCGTGTGTGTGTGTGCTGTGACAGAGCGATCGACTGGCCATCGAATGCGATCCTTTCCATGTCGACCTCGTGGGAACTGCTCTCGTTCGACGCCGCCGGGATTCCGCTCGGCATCGGATTGAACGTGCTTCACCTCGTGCTCCGACTGCCGAGTTTCGCGAGCGTGCTCCCGAGATGGATCACCCGCTCTTCGTCGGTCAGGTCCTCGAGGTTCCTCGCCCATCCGAGCGATTTCAAGACGGCCGAACAACGCCTGCGGGCGCTCAGGCTGCAGGCGATGCAGAGTCAGAGGCTGAGCTGGGGCTGGCTCGTACGTCAGGCGTCGGACAGCACGGACTTGGATCAAATTCTGCCAAAGGGGTGCTGATCAGATCTGGCTGCCTTGCTGCAGGCGACGATCCTTTCGATAGTGTTGGTCGCCATCTCACTTGGCAATGCGGCCTACCTCTTCACGCGGCGGCGCAAGTACCACCTCATGCTCCGAAAGGTCTGATCACGTCGCTCTCTTTTCTAAGCGCTCCGACGACCTGACTCGCCCTTCCTTTCCTCTCACCGTGCCGCCGCAGGACCCACTGGCCTCTCCCAACGCTCGCTCAACAACGCTGGACTTTCAAGCCCCTCCAAACGCCCCCACTCGTCCTACACGGCGAAGCTTCTTCTCCTTCCTCAAAGGTCTCCTCTTTGCCAAGTCGAAAGCCAGCGACGACGACGGCACCGACGAGCCCAAATCGTTCGAAGTGCAAGAGCTCGACGTCTGGACGCCGGACTACGTCAAATGGTCCCTTCTCATCTTTTCGTGCGTTCATGTCCAGGAACCCTCCTTCGTACTCGGTCCGTGTTGGCTGATGTTCAACGACATCGCGAATACCCTAGTTTTTACCCACCACCTTTGGCGGTCTTGTACCATTTCCTCACGCCCTATAACCTCATCCCGTTTGCACTCGTAGGTGCATTGGTCGTAATGCAGGTAACTTAACCAACCCCCCCCCCCTCTCATCCTCCGAATCCACCTCCTAACCCCCCTCTCCCACTCGCACAGACGACGCTCCTCATCCATTCGTACACCCACCTCCTCTCCGATCGACAAACGGTGCAATCCGAACTCATGCACGAATACAACGCGCGCTTCGTCCACCCTCGTCTGTTTGTACAAAAGTATGATAAAGCGACGACCACGATCGATCCCGAGTTCGAGGGTTTCAGGACGGAGTATAGGAGGCGTACTTTGGGGTCCGATAGTGGGATCGGGTTGGAGGAGGGGAGTGTGCGCAGTGCGGGGAGCTCGAGAATTGGTTTGGGGGGGAGTGGGAGGAAGAAGAGGATGGGTAGTGTAGGACTTGGTCGGAGGGAGCGGTATGAACCGGAGGAGGAGGAGGAGGAGCAAGAGGAAGAAGAACCGAGTGATCCTGAGGATCAAGTCGTTGAAAACCACACGTACCGCGTCGAGCACTTGAAGGCAAGTGGAAGGAAATTGGTCAGTGCGTCGACCTCGACGTCGAGTTTGACGAACACAGCAACGTCTTCTGGTAGTGGTGGCAGGAGAGGTAGGAAGAGTGTTGGGTATGGGTTATAGATTTTGGTAAGTTGCGTAGAACAGTGTATTACATGTTTTTGCATACGTCGAAAGGAAGCTACATGATTGTTTTTCGTTAAGAGGACAGCCGAGGACAAGGAAAGTGGTGAGGAAACTCGGACGAGCAAAGAAGGCCTTTCATGCTTTTCCCGGTTTGGGCAGCATCGCGCAATCTGATCCGAAGAAAGAAGAGTGCTTAAGTCGAGTTCCCTTCTCACTCGGAAGGAAAAAAGGCTGGAGCAGGACTGACAATCGTGATGCCCTCGGGGTTTGAGGGCCCAGTAGGGGAACTGGCGAACGACGCTCCCACCGCCGTTGATGGAGAAGGTCGCCACGAAGACCATCAATTGTGTACCTCCCTGTCCAGTTCAGTGAGCATATAAAGTTTTTAAGTCCACAATCGTATTGGAGCGGGAAGTAAGAGTTACGATACAGGTGGTACTTACATCGAGAGCGGCGGCGACGAGGTAGTTGTACTTTCGGAAGAAGGTGGGATGGCGTGTGCGCAGGTAGAACTGCGAAAAGATGGCGACCATAAAGTACGACATTATGCTTGAAGTGATACCGGACTGAACCGAATGAGAAGATGAGTCGGGACACTTGCTCGGGTGGTTTCGGGGTGTAGGATAAGAGAGCTTACAGAGAGCAGCCCGATGGCCGAGCAGAGCGCGGGAGTGATGACTCGGTTGAGGCCGAGTTTGGGATAGTAGCGATGTGCGACCCAGAGGGGGATGGGGACGAACATTCCAATGACTGGGAGACACAAAAGGAGTGTCAGAAACTGATCTGAAACGGTAGAGGCATCGTCGAGTGGTTTCTCGGACTGACCGAGTGCCATGGGAACGATGAAGTATTTGTTGCCTGAAAAGAATGAAAGGTGGGTGAGCTCGTGAGCTCCGATTGTAAATGAAGTTGGGCCAACATTTGGATGTACCTGGACCATACTGTAATGGGATTGATCAAATTTGATCAGTAAAGAGTCCCACAGAAGACACGCACACCGGAGGTAAGAACAACTGACCATTTCCTTTCCGAGCGCTCCCCAGCTATTCGATCAAAGATTACCTCGAGTTAGTTGTCACATCACTTCGAGGGCCTGCTCAGATTTTAAGCTTACGTGACTGCCTATAACACGATCGATTTCCGATGGACATGTCAGTTTGGGCTCCTGTATACTGCCGCGCCACCTGCCCCCGGGGCTTACCTGCGCGTTGAAAGCTTGGACACTCGAGCCGGTCCATTGACTGGTGCCTTCGACGGTGAGCAACGTCGCGAAATGCGTCGTCACGATCCAATGCATCTGTAGTCCAAAAGGGTTGGCTTTAGTGCTTGCGACCGATGACGCTTGAAAGGCCAGGAACTGACAATCCCGTATTGGCAGATCGATCCGACGAAGGTCCCGAAGAATTGCACCAACTGGTGGATTACAACACATTGGGGTTAGTCCTGTGCACATCCGAACTTAGACTTCCTCAGTGCGGGCTAATAGACTTACGAACATTGCACGAGGTGGGATCTGAACACAGGGAGGGGGTGAACACTGTGATTAGTGTTCCTTACCCAAACTTGCGCAGATCCGAGTCGGTTTTACCTTTGTGTACTGTGATGAAGGTACAATAAATACGAATTAGAATCAATCCTTTACTATGTCTTTATGGATTCCGATGATGACTTACTTGGCCAAACTGAAATCTCGAAAGGAAGAGTGGAACCGCACAGACCAAGATCAGCATCTCACTCCTGCAGAGTGGGTTGATGCCCAAAGCAGCTCACCTTGAGAGTCTTGGTCATCACGGCGCCTTGTGCGACACTGTGACTACTATAGAGCTAAAGGAGTGAAGCGAACGCCTGGGTAAGTCTGGACTGTCCTGGGAGATGGTGCTGAGCGGATGAGAACTTACTCGGAAGTAGAGATTTGCTCGAGCGTTGTGCGGGACCAGTTCAGCGCCGAGCCTAAGTAGAAGCAACGCCTCAATCAGCCGTTAGACATGAACCCATAGATTTGAAGTGCTTACATTTGAGTCAGAGCACCAGCCGTGTTGCCAAAACCGGTAATCGACTGCAATAGCACGACGACTGCGCAATCTTTCCTATGTCAGATCTATAGGCCCAAAGCGTTCGAAGATAGTCTTTCTGGGCTTACCAGGCAGGTATGCTGCGGCGAATATAAAGGCGATGACGAGGGCCCACCAAGGAAGACCGGTATTCGACAAGTACAGAGGAATGAGGGCGAGGATGAAGGAGACGCCGACGGTGGCTATATACCACCAGGCCGGGCATTCGGGGTCTTAGTGCGAAGAGAGATATAAATTATCAGTTCTTCGAGAACTATAAGCATTGCGATGGGAGAAGCGAAAACGTCGCAAGACTTACAGACTTGCATCTTGAGATAATGTGCGTCATCTTGAAGCTTGCCACGCCACTTTGTCCACGCCTCGATGATTCTCGGGTGGTACCACCTAGTGTCAAACATAGTGAGTCTCGCATACAGCAGCTTCCTCCCGTCACATCAACTCACAAAATCACATGAACGATTGACGCTGTAATACTAAGGTTGGTACCGATGTTGTAAACTGCAGACAAGCGAACCCGAATCAGTGTCTCGTGAATCACTATGAAAATGCTATGAGATAGCTCGTCCGAGGTTATTACGCACCAGCACGCGTCCAAGTAAATGAAGGGAGACCTGTCGTTATACGGAGAATCAAGACGAGAGAATGTGAGTGGACTTCATGTTTTCAAGACCGCATGAGTGCGCCTACCTTGTATTGCCAGTGCGGTTTTGTTGAGCTGGTGATCTTCATCTAAGATGAGGCTTTGATTGTACAGGGTCCCGTTCTGCAATCATACAAGACGTGTTCGGACTCAATGGGTTTGGTTTATGAACATAGGGTCCATCGGCGTCGTTGCCGTGCGCACTCACCCCGTAGAAAAGCGTGCTTCCCAGCATAGGAAGCTGGCGCGAGTTCCAGACATTGCCGTAGCTGAAACAATGAGCGGAGGTTACGGTCAGAAACGATTTCAAACATAAGGATCGAGCGCAACTCACTATCCTGCAATTGACACGACAGCGGCTAGGATCACACCGGCGCCTTGAGAAACGGTTGTGCCCCAAGGCAGGAACAAAGGCACTGTGATCATGTACCAACGCAATGGGATCAGATCTGTGGCTTTAATCAGAGCTATATTCGCAATGAACGTACCCGAAGTGATCGAAAGCCAGTCAAAACTGATGGAGAATAGTCCAAGACCTTCCGCTCCCGTCGTACCGCCGAAGAGACGGGTAAAGTTGGTGCTCGTACGGTTCGCGAGACTGCGCGCAAGCCAAGGCGCAAGGGCAAGGAAGGGGTAATGAGTTCAAGCGTGTGAATGAAGCAGACCAAACTTCAGTTCTCTCACTCACCAAAATACGCTGATACCAGTCAATGTGAGCGCAATGACCTGAGGGAACCATTCCCATGCAAAAGTCGTGCCGAGAACCTGTTGGAGAAGGAAGAGAATTTGTAGCCGAATCTGGTGAGCTCTCCTCTCTTCTACGAGTAACAGCCGGCGTCCTTCCGCTCACAATCCAGAAGACCTTGTATCGGCGTTTTTGGACGGAAAGATCACCGTCACGACTGGGTAAGGTTCGGAAAGACGTCAGCTCTCTGCTCAAACCGTAAGAAGCGATGTGATTTTGCGCAGCAGGCTCCCCTCGCCAGCGGCTCTCGATTGAGCGAGCCCGCGCTCTTTCCTCAGATACGCTACACATCTTTATTCAACTCACTGTAAAGTGTCCACAAGTGACACGGTAGGGATTAAGGACGGCCAGACGGCGTACGTCGGGTACACGACCACGGATCGGAACAGTCCAGCCATGCCATAACCGCAGAATTGCGAAGCTGTGAGCAACAAGGTTGTTTATAAAGGAAGAATCAGCTCGAGGCGTTGGTGTAGTTTTCCTCGCGTCTTTGCTCACCAATCAAAGTCATAAGCGCTAGTGAATCCTTTTGCGAGACGTTGTCTGCAGAAGCATGCCCGGAATCAGTGTTACATCTCGAGCGATCCCCATCCTCACAAGCAGAACTCACAGTACAACCTCTCAGCGGCAAACGCGGGGAGCGCAAGTGCTCCCGCAGCTCCAGCTCCGACCATGACGGTGATACAGACATGTTCCTTGATGTTGAAAGGCCCCGGATTCAGTATTGCCCAGAAACGGCTCTTGTCGGCCTTGGGAAGAGCTTTGTGCCATGCGACACCCATGACTGTAGCGAAGAAGAGTCGTCGTCAATACTCCCGGACGACCAAAAATCTGCGAGGCTCGTAGTGGGTTTGTAACGTACTATATGCGACAATTTGCACTGAGGGGAGTAGATAATTCACGTCAGGCGTGGTATTCGATTCAGTTCGAGGCCGGTCGTGACCTACGGAACAAGGCGGATACGTCCAATGCTTGAGGTCGAAATTTGAGGATTTCGCCCATCACTCCGCCAACTGTTGCAAAACGAAGTTAATTTAGTCTGGAAAGCTGGTGGTACTCTGTCGCACGGGGACGCTGCTCACAGACGGTCAGGGCGATGCCGATGGTCCACATTCGTACTGTGTGCACTTGCATCGATGGGTCGTCTTCCAGTGACATGAGACTAATCGAACATAGGATAATTTATAGGCGTTAGTACTTATTTGAACACGACGCATCATTCGCCTTATCCACAGTTGGGTCCGGACTCACCGAGTTGCAAAATCTTGAGCAGTCTCGATCGGACGCTGTGACACAATATGATCAGTCGTCAGATTATACCCATAAACAAGCAGTTATATTTGGTATTCTCTTCGTACTTCCTTCCCATTCTTATCTAGAAATTCGGGATCCAGATCGGCGGCGTCGAGAAAGGCATTGTTCTCCTGGATGTGTGGTGTACCCGAGTCGGTCCGAGACAAGGTCCGACCGGCATTCTTCTCCAGAGTGGGATGATTGTCCAATGGATCAGGTTGCTCGGATTCATCGAGCGACGACGAGTGTTTTATTCCGGTTTTGATCGATTGGGCGTCCGCGGTGGAGGCTGGGACCGATTCCGTAGAGGACGATCGGCGGAGCCAGTCTGACAGCCGAGAGGAGAGCTTGGCCGCCATGGCCGAGGGTAAGGACCTGTGCGTTTCGTCTTGTTCCATCTGGGGCAAAGTGTTCTGGGCGGAATATCGTGTAGTACGAATAAATCGTTCGCAGACGTGTGAGGGGACGGAAGTCGAAGGAAACTGGCCGTGGTTTCATGCCGATTGAGCTCGCAAGCAGGCACGCGGCAGCCTCGACACGACTTCGAATCGCGACAGGGTGCCGACCGGCCCCCGCGGCTGCCAGATGTTCGGTTTAGGTCGCTCGCGCGAAGCGGTCGCAGGGGCATTCTTCCCAATGTCGATCCAGACCTGGCAACCTTCTACAGCCGTGAGCGAGCGACAGCTCAAATGCTCACAGCGCGGCGCGTCCGAAGGGTGAGGCTCAAGAAAACTCCGAATGAGGCCCCACTGTGGCTCTTTGACCGAATCGGGCCGCGCGTCCGAGCTCGTCCGAGCCCTCGCGCCTGTGCTTACTCACCGCTTCAACCGAAAGCGGCAGGAGCGCATGTCTCCAACTGCTGCCATCTTCCAACGGGGGTATATTATGCGACTTTCGCTGTTGCACATGATCCTCAGCAAATTCCCTTCTTTTTCAAGCGAACAGATCATTTTTTATGATCAGCCATATTGTCGTAGACCGATGGTCTCCTAAGTCCGGCTCATAAAGCGGGTCAGCGCCGCCGACCGCCGATCTGTCAAGCGAGCCCGCGCACGCGGGCCTGCGCTGGCTGAGAACGAAGTGTGTGCCCAAAGAAGTGTGTGGCCCCTGTCTTGAACACTTTGCGCGAATCGAGCCAATCAAAATGATTTCCATTAAATTTCAGATAGATTCGGACTTGGTAATCGAATGGAGCCGTACGTGTGTTCTGGCAAGAATGGCAGAGACTATCATGCCTCACTAGCTGTGCGACGGTAGCATGGCACAATCTGCAAGAGCGGATTGACCCAGTCTGAGATTATCTGCTTTTGAAGTGATCCTTCCCTCAGACACTACTCACAATCGGCGTGTCCTTCAGGCTTGAGTGCCCAGTTCGGGAACTCGTGAACGGTCCCTGAACCGCCGTTGATCGAGAAGGTGGCGACGAAAACCATTAGTTGAGTCCCGCCCTGCAAAATAGAGTTTTATTCAGTAATTTTGTATATTCTCCGAGGCACTCTCTTCCGACGTACATCGAGTGCAGCAGCAAAGAGATAATTGTATTTGCGGAAGAGGGTCGGATGACGTTTGCGCAAGTAGAGTTAGGAAAACAGGGCGACGAAGAAGTAGGACATGAGCCTCGAGGTGATTCCAGCCTTTTAACGAGTCCAAGAGTGTTGGTTAGAATCTTCAGATCGAGATACTCTGCAGGACGATGGAGTGCAGCCTGATACATACCGAGAGGACGCCAATAGCCGCGCACAGCGCCGGAGTGACGATGCGGTTCAAGTGAAGCTTGGGGAATAGTCGATGACCGACGTAGAACGGCACCGGAACACAACAATAAAAGGGAAATGACCGATCAGAGTGGTGCAAGGCGAGATTAGGCTCTGTGAGGCGGCTTACCTGCGCGTTAAATGACTGCACGCCCATTCCAGTCCATTGAATCGTGCCTTCCACAGTGAGCAACACGTCAGAGTGCGTATCGACGATCCAGTTCATCTGATAAAGTAAAGCTGAACAATTTTAAGCTGACGCTTGGCAACTGAATTGCGGTAGGGTCAGACACCCACAATGGCGTAGGAGATGAACGAGCCGACGAAGGTGCCGACGAATTGAGCGGTCTGTAAGGAGTACACGGTCGGATCGTCGGTTTCCCGTGAGCACAGCTGTCTCCTTTTCGAAATGGTACTCCTTCGACTTACAAACATTGCACGTGGTGGGACCTGCAGCAATACCGATGAGGAGCGGAACTTCGTGGTCAGTTTTTGTAGTTCAGTGAGATCGTTCACGAATGCGACGTTACCTTTGTATACTGCCAGAGTAGATCAAATTCGGTTGATCAGTCACATCTGATAGGTTTGATAAAATCTGACGGAGCTGACTCACTTGGCCAAACTGCTCGTGGGATCGGACGAAGGGGTAGAAAGCAGCCAGTCACTACAGGAGCCTCCAAACGGCGCGAACCCGCTCAAATCCCGCTCAGGAGAATTTTGACTCACCTTGAGACTTCGAATCATCGTAGCACCCTGGATGACACTGTTGCTGCTATATAGCTGAAATCCGTCCCAGAGCGAAAAAGCCGTGAGCTCGTGCACTACGTCTTCTGCTTTTGCTAAACTGACGGCTACTCACACGGAAATAAAGATTCGCTCGAGCGTTGTGCGGGACCAGTGCAGCGCCGAGCCTGTTGTTGACCAATCATCGCGTTAATCGAATTTATAACATGAGTGGACGTTATGAAGAGTCCCGCCGCTTACATTTGTGTGAGAGCTCCACCCGAGATCCCGAATCCCGTAATGGACGCGAGGAGGCACATGACTGCGCAATGCTTTAAAAGATGCCAATCGGCATCGTTATTCCCAGCATCCATACCTGATCGGATGACAGCCAATAGAACTCACCAGGTGTGTAGATCAGAGCAAAGAGACATCCGACCACGAGCGCGTACCAAGGCATACCGGTCTTTGCAAGGTACAGCGAGATGAGGGCGAGAGCGAACGATAGGACAGCGGTCACGGAGTACCACCACGTAGGGCATTCTGGATCTGCAGGAGACGAGGTCTCGCATCAGTCGATTTGTGCATTTCTGAAAACAGTCAGGAGGGGGAGCTTACAGGCTTGCATCTTGATGTAATGAGCGTCATTTTGGACCTTGCCGCGCCACCTCCTTCAGGCTTCGAGGATCCTCGGGCGGTACCATCTGACCAGGCGCAAGTAGGCATTGGGTGAATTTTGGTCAGAGGCGACTTGAAAAATGTGTTATTTTGACGAGGACACTCACAATATGACGTGCATAATCGAGGCACTAATACTCAGGTTAACACCGATGCTCATCACTTGACGGGCGAAAAATGTTGCCAGGTCAGTGTCCGTGTGAGGTGGCGCTACACCTTGCCCGACGTACCAGCACGAGTCCACGTGAACGATGGAAGACCTATCCTCGTGGGTAACAAACAGTTATTGCGCTTTCTAAAATTGGTGCCACGTCAATGGCTTACCCTGGATTGCCAAGGCGGTTTGATTGAGTCGACTATGCGAGTCCAGAATGAGACTCTGGTTGTAAAGCCGGCCATCCTAGAAAGTCGTAGAATGAATACACAGCAGCGTCAACTAGAAGCTCGGGGGATGCCATCGAAACCTAAGGAATGTTGTAAACCATCCTGGTTGCCTAACCAGTACACCAATGTGAAGGCACCCCCGAATGGCATGCGTGGGCCCAGGGCTCGTTTAGCAGAATGCTTACCTCGTGGAAAAGTGTTTGGCCCATCAGGGGGAGCTTTCGAACGTTCCAGACGTTGCCATAGCTTTACAAGCAAACAGAGTGGTCTATCAGACATCCGTCCGGCTGGGCGGTATATTCCCGGAAGTATGGGAGGACACAACTCACTATCCGGCAATTGACACGATAGCAGCGAGCACCACTCCACCTCCTTCAGAAACGGTCGTGCCCCATGGTTGGAAGAGAGGGGCTGTCAGAAGATAAAGAGCAAGTCAGCCACTATTCTCATCCTTAAGCATGTTTCCCAAAACAACCTTGACTGACCCGAAGTGATTGAGAGCCAATCCAAGCTGACGGAGAAGAGTCCGAGACCCTCAGCTCCAGTCGTGCCTCCGAACAGTCGAGTAAAGTTGGAGTTGGTGCGATTCGCAAGGCTGTGCCCCGCCAAACAACGAATTCCTACATTGAGCGAAATACTCCTCGACTGACTCATCACACTCTGACGTACCAGAAAACACTGAAACCAGTCAAGGTCGGGGCAATAACCTGCGGAAACCATTCCCAAGCGAAGGCGATGGCCAAGACCTGTTGCAATGGAAACGGGCGAAAGAGCCAGCAATAAAACTGTAAGTGTGAGCTTTTTATTTGGTTCAGGCAGGTTGCTCACAATCCAGAAGACCTTGTATCGATGCTTTTGAACCGCCAGGTTTTGATCACGGCTGCGCGGATCAAGGTGGAATATCAGCTTCGTGATCCTTTGATTGCGCAGGGGATAGCTGGGTGGAGTGTATTCGCCTGAATCGGCTTACTTAAGTGTATCCACCAATGCCACAGTCGGGATCAACTCGGGCCAAACCGCATACGTGGGGTAAACCACGACCGATCGGAACAGGCCCGCGAGACCGTAGCCGAAGAATTGCGATGCTGCAGTCAAAAAAAACCCCGGATTAGAAGTTGCTTTTTCTTCCCAGGAAAATGAGGCCCTTCAATTTATATTACTTACAGAGCAGGGTCAAGATCGCCATTGCCTTGTTTGGCACGATATCATCTGCGAACCGGCGGATTTGTTGTCAGTCATCGAAGCGATGCGCTCGGGCCATTAGCTAAGAACCCACAATACATCCTCTCGGCAGCAAAGGCGGGGAGCGCAAGTGCTCCGATAGCTCCGGCACCGGCCATGACGGTGATGCAAACGTGTTCCTTGATGTTGAAGGGGCCAGGGTTGAGCACAGCCCAGAACTTGCCGCGCTCGGCTTTGGGGAGCAGCTTGTACCAGGCAACACCGAAAACTGTGCAAGGCGAGAGGGATGAGATGAGTCCTTCGGTGCTTCAAGCTTGGTTCATTTTGATAGATGGAAGGGTATTTCGTACTGTATGCGACAATTTGTGTAAAATGGCGTAGGAGGCGCCCAATTAGCCCCAGAGGCTCTTCGAGCATCACGATATTACATCGCAGAGACTCACGGAACAGTGCTGACACATCCAATCCTTGTGGCCGGAATTTGAAGACTTCTCCCAGAACTCCACCGACTTTTGGGAGGACGTGAAGTCTGCATGAGCAAGTGCTTCGACGATCGCATGATCTTGTCTGAACGTCTGAGTACTCACAGACGGTCAGAATAATCCCGATGGTCCACATTCGGACGGTGTGTACTTTGAGCGAAGTCTCATCCTCAAGTGACATGAGACTGCATATAGTGGAACGGGTGTCAGTACGACGGGCGCGATCGACTCTGATCGCCTGCGGCCAGCAGGACCCACCGAGTTGCAAAATCTTGAGGGGTCTCGATAGGACGCTGCAGTGAGACGATCGGATAAATGTGAGCAGCATAGACCGACAAAAAATATCTCAATTCATTTCATTCAGACCCATTCATTTACCTCTTTGCCGTTCTCATCGAGAAATTCGGGATCAAGATCGGCCTCGTCGAGGAAGGCATTGTTTTCCTGGATGTGGTGCACCCCCTCGGACTCGGATTTGACCTGGCCCGGGTTCTTCTCGAGATGGGGAGGACTCGACAATGGAGTAACCGGTTTGACCTCATCATCATCGTCGTACGAAGAGGAGTGGTTGAGTGCGATTCGAACTGGCTGGACGTCGTTTGACTCTGGGCTGAGCTGCTCTACCAGGGAGGGCTCGCGCTTGAGCCAACCTCGCAAGGAGGTGGTGATCGTGGCCGGCATGGTTATCGTGGCTCGGTTCTTGACGAGTCTTCTCGGGGCAATAATGAACGAATTGGTGTCGAATCAAGCTCGAGTCGTCGGGGACAACGCAAGTTCGAGTAGGTGTCAAGGAGATGAGAGGAAGGAAGCCTCCAGAGTCACTGTATCGCTGAGCCAAGTGACAGGTGTCCCCGATGGATCGGCGCACAGCTTGAAGTCGTCGAAGCACCGCGACGAGGCTCGTAGCGCATGCTGATTCTTGCCGAGAATGGCTGTCGTGCGATTCTTAACACCGATCCAAGCTTCTCGGCCAGAGGCATAAGCCGGCTTTGAGCGGCGGTGGCACGTTGAAGTCCGAGCGAGCGGCGCCATCTCCGCTGCTCCCAGCTTTCGCATCCGAGTCGCCGACCCAAATCAGGCGCGCGCGCGAGGCACCCGACATCGCCCATTCACAAGATCGACGAAAGCGGCTTGGCAAGGAGGATTGGCCGATTACAATCACCTTCCTAACGCTGATTCATAGCTTGGTCTATAATTCAGCAGGGAGTACCTAAGCAAAGCCTTGAAGGCCGAATTTGTTCGAAGTAATGGAAAGGAGGTCGGTTTCACGTGCTCCTCGACCCCCCTAAACTTAAATTCCCGCGCCGGCGCCGGCCGGCCGTTGGCGCGTCGTGCACTGACCCCTTTCGTGAGCGCGCTTCCCCACATGCACGCCAGATGGACGCGCTATCTCTCTTCGCACGCTCACTACTGACCCACGATGCCGCCGCACCCGTTTGAGCTGTTCGTTCCCTACACCACCACCGAGCACATTATGCGTGACCGGCCCGTGCGTCGATGCACGCTGCCACCACCACCTGTGTTCGACACGACCTCGTCACCACCACCAGCGTCAGCATCAGCAGCAGCGTTCCTGTCGCCTCCGCAACGAACGCGCGCGCGCAAGAAGCGCATACCGCTGCACCAGCTGCGTGCTTCTGGCTCGTCCAAGATGACCCGAGTGACGAAACCCTTCATCCACTACAAGCAATACTCGGAGACGTTCTACACATTGTGGCATTCATCTCGCGAATCCCCTGCGGATCGAGATGAGCGTGCCGAACCGGCGCATCCTGGTGGCAAGGAGAACGGTGCGGCAAGCCCACATATTCTTGCGCTCCCTCGATCACCAGCTCCACTGTGTCGGGCCCACAAGGAACAGCGCCACAATATGCTCACGTCTGCGTCGTCAACCCCCTGCACGTCGTATTCGTCGTCGTTGACCTCATGCACGTCATCTTCGCCATCCGCCGCCGGTTCGACCGCATCGAGGTCGAGATCTGCGTCGAACGAGTCGAACTTCTCCAGATTCGAGTGGCAAGATACGGATGCCCGAGCCTTTGACACTTCTTTGGGTCCACACCAACGTTCGAAGTCTCCCATGACGCCCCTCTCTTCCACAAGCTCGTCATCGCTTTCGTCCCTCCCCACCTCGATCGAAGGCGGCTCCGAAGAGGAGGATGAGGAGGAGAATGAGGAGGAAGACGAGGAAGACGAGGAGGAAAACGCGGAGGAAGACGAGGAGGAAGACGAGGAGGAAGACGAGGAGGAAGACGAGCGCCTGGACCAGTTCACCAACTTTGTCCTCGGAGGTTTGCGCGCGATCCGATACGAGGACATCTCGAAGCGAGCCAGAACAGTTGCTTCTCTGAAGAGGAAGCGAGGCGGATTTCTGGTGGGAGTGGAGGTTGCGTTGTCATGATCGAGGGCAGCAGGGCGTCAAGCTCGAGTTCTTGAACTTCTCTTGATGTGAGTGTTGAATACGGCTCGGTCGAGAGCAAGTTGTCGTGCTGCATCGTTGCCTGAACTGATCATAGTTCGAGGCCGCGTCCGATGCATACATTTACATCAGATGGCAGGATCCGAGCTGAATCGGCAAATGTGGGTCGGCTACACGTCTCCTCTCTGATCCGCGTTTTCGTGCATACGCCGAGCTGAAAGCGGTGCGGAGTCAACTCATAGAGCTTTCCTTCGAAGATATTGATGCTGCGCCTGCCGTTCAATATAAGTAGACCTATCGCAAGCACCGAAGCGATCCATCTACCGCAGCCTCTTGTTTTTGTAGGCTGCGCGGCGAACATCCCCGCGAGCCACGGCTTGTGAGACGGCGCCGAATCCCGATGAACCGGCTCGCCATCGCCGACTTTTGAAACGCCGATGATAGTTCGCTTCTCTAGGTAATTCGCTAGCTCGCTTTTGAATACGACCCCGGTTTGTGGCTTGATGATGAGATCGTCCACCGCGTCAGTCGTCGCGACGTCGACCGTCGAACGCGCCCCACCTTTTGGCGTCGATGACGAACGCACGCGCGTCACGATTTCCCCTCACGAAAAGTTGATTCACCATCTATCGCGCGAGTTGACCGAGGTCGCTGAAGATGAACGAGTGCGAAAGGTGAGTTGTAAGCGTTGCTTATGTCGTGCATAGAGAGCGAGGGAAGGAGAGAAAAAGTCTTTGACGAAGGAACAACAAGAAAGCTGGGCTTGCTGTACAGTAGTGCTACTTAGAGCTTCATTGAGATTACGAGCCCACACGTGATTCGGCTCCCGTCATTAGGGAACCGATCGTCGCCCGCCCTCGAAAGCCCGCGGAGCGCTGTAAAGGGGGAGCCCGCGCGGAGACCGCGAACGAGCCTTTGTTAGCGTCTGCGTTGTCTGTCCTCTTAAGCTGCGCCAGCATTGTACACTTCTCGCCTGCAGATTCCGATACCCTTCACTAGTCGCCAACCTTCGACTACGCCCACGTTCCTTACATCCGACGCTGGCTGTCGACACCTCTTGAGCGTCAAGCAACGGTCCTCATCGATCCCGTTCCGCCGCGCCCAAACACACCTTGACCACATCTCGATCCGACCCACGCCACGTCACGCCACACGACTCTACCCAACTTTTTCACCTTTCGTCTTTTTACACCATCATGAGGGCCACAAGCCTGATTGGTACCCTGCTCTGGGTCACGGCAACGATCCACTCGACCCTGGTCTCCGCGTCGACCTCACCCGAAGCACTGGCCCCTCTCGGCGTCATCGGTTCGGACGCACAGCACGCGGCCGCCAAACGCCACCTCGAACAGAGTAAATCTCACCATCGACGACTACGGATGTCGACTCCGCCGCATACCGAGCCGTTGAAGAGCCGGGATGCGGGTACGAGCGGGAATTCGACGACGGGCGCGAAAACGGAAATGCACTCGCTCGCCAAGCGAGGTTCCTTCTCCGGCAGGGCATCCTTCTTCGATCCTGGTCTCGGTGCTTGCGGTACACATTCAAAATCGAGTGATTTTGTAAGTGCTTCGTGAAGAGATGTCGTGGCCGAATATGTGGTTCATCATGCCGAGGAACTGATTTTTCATTGCTCGCTCCGGTCATCAGATGGTCGCGCTGAATCAGGCGCAGTACGGAGATCTCGGAGCCGTGTCATCGTGGTGCTTCCAGACTATTACCATCACATATGGTGCGTCGGATCCGCCTAATCGGACTTGGAACCAGATCACTGACTCGAAGTGGAAAATCTTATTTCTGTCTCCTCAGGTGGCAAGAGTACACAAGCTCAGGTCGTACGTCGCTAGGAACTGGGCAAACTTGGAGTGTATATCGTGTGAGAAAGAGCAAAGAAAGGGCACTGACCTCTCTTCACATAAACCCCTATCCTCCTGGTCCACAGCTTGACGCTTGCCCGTAAGTTCCACCTCTCCGTCCTGACGAGCCAACCGCTGACACGACTCTCTCTCTTCTCATGCTCCATCATCAGTGGATGTCCCTATGGCGGTCTCGACATGTCACCGGGTCTGTTCAACTACTTTGCGAACCCGTCCGTCGGTATCTTCTACATGAGTTGGTCGAGTGGCGGATCGGCACCCAAGTCGAAAACGACGACGACGACCACCACCATCACCACAACAACAACAACAACAACAGCCGTCAGGACGACGACGACCACCACCACCACAAGTGCGTACATTGGTTTCTTAAACGAGTAAGTCTGGGGCCGCAACTCACATGCGTCTCGTCTTTTGTGTGCAGCAACCACGACCACTACCACGACGACCCCTGTGCCGACTACGACACAAGCTTTCACAACGTCGGTCATTGCGTGAGTATTCCCGCCCGTCCACACGTCCCCAGGACATTGCACTGACGAGAAATCTGTTATTTCTTTTCTTTCTTCAGTCACAGCAACACCACAGTTGCAACAACGTACGTACCGGTTTCTTGCACGAACTTTTCAGACCGCTTCGCTAATCAGTCTTCTTCACCCAAGCAGATCACCGACAGCAAACTCGACCACATTAGCGGCCCCTTCAAGTGCAGCAAATGCAACCGTCGCAGCCACTTCAACATCTGCCTCGATCGACCCCAGTGCGACGGGTGCCTCCTCCACGTCTTCGGATGCGGATCCGACGTCGGAGCCAGCGACTTCGAACCTCGACACGATCTCGCAGCTCGTTTTGGCGATGGGCAACCTGGCCGCCGCTGCTGTGCAAGCGAACGCCTAGGCAAAACAAAATCTTCGTTGTCCAAACGCCGGGCCAAGAAAGCTGTCCGTAGCTGCCTTCTCGCCTTGTTCTCCCGTCGTTGCGCAGTCTCGCGTGGGCGCTCCTCCGAGCCGTCTCTTCTTAGCAAACAACCTTGCAACCCCTCAAAAAACAGACATTCGCGTGCATCACTCATTCGCAAAAAAATAAAATCCTGGCAACTTTCCACTCGTTCAAACACCCCTTCATCAACCACCCCTTTCCATCTTTCCTCTTTCTCTTTAAGAAGCATGACGCACGTCGAATCGACTCCTTTATTTTCTTACCCCCCACAACCACTTGTCTATACTACTCTGCCTTGATCTGGCTACCTACTCTGTCTGACTATGCGCGCTTTCCTAGGGTATTGTCGCTGCTTGCAATGGGGAGTTTCACCAAACCCTTTCACACGAACTGGTTCCGCTTGCCCGCTGCGTAATCTCGAGTTGAGATGCTTAGACGACGGACTGACTTGCTCAGGGTAGAGTTTCGAGAATTATCGCACAGAAGTCTTGAAGCCCACGAGTCAATGTACAGTCAGTTCAATTCATTGCACTGAGAGAAATGTACACAAAGTGGGCTTCTGTGTGGCATTGGAGAGGTCAAGCGCGGTCAAGGGTAAGAAATCTCTCGCTCTCGCTCAAGCATCCTCTTCTCTTCCGACCTTCCAACCATCCATGTCCGCCTCGTGGTCTTTGTTCACCGTTTCCTCGTCATCGTATTTGGCCTCCGCTGAAGTGACTTGAGTGATGTGTCTATTTCGAGGCAAAGGATCCCCTCTCTGGAACAGCGCAAGCTAGCGAGCGACTCGGTCGACCCCCTATCTGTCTCATCTCTTCCCGAATAATACCGTTCGCATTACTCACAACGACATAAATATCACCCAAATGCAATCTACGTCGCGAATCAAACATCTACCCACCAACAACCTCGGTACTAAGCCCCTCCTGCATACATCTACCGAGATAGGACCGTAGTACCCACACGAAACGACCTTCTACCTCCACCCCTACCCCGGCCCAATCCCACTTCCCACCCAAGCGACCAACGACTCCATCTCCGGCGCATTCCCCCAAACCCTCGGTAAATTTTCCCCCCTCCCCCTCCCCCTCCCCTTCCTACCCTCCCCCCAATCGAACAGCAATTTCTTGGGATTCAGACTACTTGATGTTGCGTAAGCGCGTTGGAGAAGTTGAAGCTTGGTTTGTTCGGGACGCTCGAGGTAGGGTAGGTAGTATTCTCGTGGGTTGAGGAAGAGCGTTGAGGGGATATTGGGGGAACGGGGTATGAAGGGTAGTTCTGCAAGGGGGGGAGGTTCGAGATGAGGTGTTCTAGGTAGGGGCAAGTTGTTCGGTCCTTCGATAGTCGGGTCAGCGGGGCCGGTGCAGGTGGTGCAGGTCGGCCTGGCAGGTGGTTTCGAAGTTTCGGCAGGTCGAACCAAGTTCGCAGAAGGCTGGTCTTGGGTACCTTTGATGGCGTCCACACTTCGCTTCCGTGTCATTCGATTGAGCTCGAGACCTCGAGCGACCGCACCCAAGAGGAGATCGTTGACGAGCGTGATCTGTATCGATCTGTTGCTCGGCACGTCTCGACGCATCGCTTCCCATTTCGCCTCGTGTAAAGTGATTGGTGAAAGAGGAGGGGAAGCCGACGACAGCTCTCGAGTACCAAGTTGACGACAACGAGCAACGACATCATCTGCCGGCCCTTTCCGCATCGCCCACTCGCAGTCCGGCGGCTCCTCCTCCCAATCAGGTGAAACCTTGACGACCTCGCCAGAAGCGTCGAGGATCCAACCGGGTTCGATTGGAGACGAGGGATTCATATCGTGATTGGAGGGTGTTGATTGCGTTGTTCGTTTTGTCGGTACTTGAGAAGATTCGGTCTGAACAGCGGCACGACTTGTGGGAAGCTCGAGGGCCGATCCCGCTCCGGGTTGTCGATCGCTCTTCGTCCGAGGCAAGGGAGAAGCTGCGAATACCTCATGGCACGACGAAGAGACTTGGACATTCTTGCGCCCGATCTCGATCCACCGTTCTTTGCCACGTTTTGTTTTCGTCGTAGGGTTCCTCGCACCATTTTGCAAATTGAGCTGTTTGAGCGGTTCGCGACGATCGCCCAGAGGAACCGATGCCCCTCCTTGGATGCATCGAACCCCCTTCATCGCACTACTTCCATCCCTCTTCCCTCGAACAGGTTCCAAGCCAAACTGATGATAATCCACTTCTTTACCTCCATCAACGCTCTCATCCTCATCCGAAAAGATCTCTCCCCTCCCTCTCGTACTCAAACTCGAAGCGTAGAACCGATCGACTCGACCCTCTCGATCCCAAGCCCGACCCGACCCTCGACTGGATCCTCAAATCATCTCCCTCCCCCTCCCGCTCACAACGTAAACCAACCCTCACGATCCCCTCCCTAACCCTATCCCAATTCCAATCCCCACCCCTAAACCCCTCATCATCATTCCTCCCTCCCCTTCGACCCCCGCCGGCGACGGCGTTCGCCGAAAGCTCCTTCATCGAAAAACGCTCGGCCCCCCTCCTGTTCTAATAGCCCCGGTTGGGGTCTTTTCATTGTTTGGGTCGGCAGGGATTTCTAGTAATTCAAAGGGTTGCAACAGGGTCATTTTGAATAAGTCGGATGGGGATGGGGGCTGGAAGGGTGAATTGGCGTGGTGTGGGGGGTGAGAGGGGGTGGGAAGCACAGAGAGAGAGAAAAAGAGAGGGAGAGAGTGCAATGTGGGGGAGAAGGGAAAGGCGCCTACATCGCTGGAACGATCTCAAGTGGGGAAAGACGCGCCGGTCCGGGCTCACTCAAAGGAGGAGCACCTCCCAAGGGACGCCGGGCATGTCGTTCGCACCAAGACCCCTCTCCCTCTCCTCCGTCCCCATGCTCTCCCAACGAATAGTCATAGTCCGGTCTCTGCAAGGGTTGAATGATCCCTCGTTTGTACGACTGAAGCCAACAGGGGATTGTGAGTTTGAAGGTAGAAATCCCTGTTTTTTTTTCAATTGCACGTGTACCCATTTCTCGGACCCAAAAGAGAGAGCTCTCCAAGAATAGGAGTAGTGAACCGTTGCATTTATTCGTAGGTCCAGATCTAAGTTGACCAAAACACAACGACGCGAACCGATCCCTTCAGTAAGGAAAGAACTTGTACGTATCGGTTAACGGGACGGGAAGGGCTTGACTTACCTCGTTGGCGAGCTTGTACTGGTTTAAGCCCTCGGGGAACCAGAGCGCGATTTCGGCCTTGGCGGACTCGACCGCATCGGACTGAAGAGAGGAAACGGGAACAGGAATGGATCAGTGGGAGGGACGGGGAAGGGATGGGGACCTCGTAGAGTCGGTAGCTTACGCCATGGCAGACGTTGCGTCCGACATCGATGGCAAAGTCGCCTCGGACTGCGAGTGGATTGTAAGGTCAGATCAGTACTCCTGTCTCATCTTTTGTCTGAACAGAACCTAATTTTGGAGAAACGCACTGGTACCAGGCGCGGAAGCCAAAGGGTTGGTCGCGCCGAGCAGGACACGTCCAGTCTTGACGGCGTCCTTGCCCTCCCAAACCATCGCGACGACGGGGCCGGAAGCCATGTACTTTACGAGTCCGGGGAAGAACGCCTTGGACTTGAGGTCCTCGTAGTGCTTCTCGAGGTGCTCGACCGAGGCGGTGACCATCTTCAAGGCGACGAGCTTGTAGCCGCGCTTCTCGAAGCGGGCGATGATTTCACCGACGAGGCCTGGGGGGGAAAGGGTGGGAAGGGGGTAAGAAGGGGTTTTCAGGTTTAGAGAGGAGACACTGCTGGTGTTGTGAATGGCTTGACGCACCTCGGTTAACACCGTCGGGCCTGAGGAGGAGGGTAGCAAACCATTTGGAGCAAAGTCAGTTATCAGAAAACCTTGACCAAAGAAAAGGGTATACGCACTTGATCATGATGTAGGTCTGCTCCATTTTTAAAGATACTGCGTCGACAAAAGACGGGATTAGGGGCAAGCAGTGAGAGTGGGTTAGTCGACGTGGCAATCTTTCCAGTGGCCGAGTGGGACCGTGAGGAGTTGGGAGAGGCGATCATGGTCCGCAAGAGAAGCGAGTAGCGATGAGGGTGTCGATCTCTTCAACAGTAACAAATTTCCGCTTGACCGAGTCCAGGGACGATTTCAAGCGGTCTATGCCAAGTCAAGTGATGACGACCTCGTGTACCCTGCGCGGATCCGCACGCCCCAGCTCGAGCTCCGCACGACGGATCCCTACGTGGAGGCGCAGTGACGATGATCCTCGCCGTGGATTCAACTTTGCTGGGACCAAAAGTACAAGTGTGCTCACAGTGTGTTTTTGTGAGCTTGACGTAAAGTGAGAGTGATGCGTGGCGGACAGAGGAGCGGTGCGGCGCGCTCGGCATTACTCCCAACTCGATCTGCGCCGCTGCGAATCGTTGCGGAATGCGCGCGTCGGGTCGGCGCATCGCAGGCGGGCTCGCCACACGCTGCCACACGCGGCCACGAGAGCGCACGAGCGGCCACGAGCGGCCACGAGCGCGCACGAGACGGCACAGGAGGACCCCCGAAAGCGCGACGTCAGCAGAGGTGCGAGCGAGCAGCAACAGCTTGACCCCATCCCAGCTCGAGCCCCACAAACGCATCATCTCCATGGCCCACGATGCGCTCTCACACAAGATCCTCGTCCCTCCACTCAACTTTGCCATGATACTCAAAGGTTCGTGCTCACACCACCGCACCGCACTCCTCGGAGCGCTCGGCGTCTCGAGTCCGCTGATGTGGGCGACTCCGCGCGCACAGGTGTGTATCGCTCGGGCCATCCGAATCTCAAGAATTTTGCCTTCATGGAGACGCTCAAGTTACGTTCCATCATGTGAGCCAGGTTCACTCTTTGAACGAGTGAATCCCGTGACGGACTCGGTCGCGTAATTGGAGCCCCACTTACACCCTCTCCCTTCCTCCCTCGTTGGCAATCGAAAGGTACCTCAGTGAAGACGACTACCGACCCGATACCCTTCATTGGGCCGAGAGGAACGGGTTAAACATCTTCCATCATCGTATCGAGGCGAGTAAAGAACCGTTCGTCGAACCGGACCAGGACAAGATCGTCGAAGCATTGGAACAAATTTTAGGTAAGGCAGGCGAGCAGGCGGGGGTCCTTTGATGGGGTGTGAATGCTGATGATGACCGCCTTGAAATCGGAAACAGATTCTCGGAACCTTCCCAGTGAGCTAGCTACCCAGCACCCTTTTCCAAACTTGGAAACCCGGAGAACTCATTCCTCCCGTCGACCCTAACCCCCCCCCCCCCCCCTGCAGTCCTGATCCACGACAACAAAGGTCGTCTACTCCCTTCCATACTCGGAGCACTGCTCCGCCTCTTACAACACTGGTCCTTTACCGCGACTTTGGCCGAATATCGCATGTTCTTACCCGACGAAAAGGTGTGGGCCGAGGGACAGGTCGGCAAACCGGAAAAGGGGAGAGAGAGGGTGGCTGATTTGGAGGTGAGTTGTAGGAGTGCGGTGCGCCTTTTTTTTCGTTTTGGTTGGAGATGAAACTGATGGGAGGTGTGTGTGTTGTGTTGTGTTGTGCGTGTGATGACGACGCAGTTCATCGACCGGTTCCCGCTGGAGAGGGTCAAGTATGATCCGAGGTATGGACCTGAATGGTTGATCAACTGACGCTGGGTAGAAATGTATTTTGGGAATCAAAATGGCTTGTTGTTGTAACACCTGAAATGTTGCCCATGTTCCGAGACACCGCGACAAAGCGATCTCGCGGGTGGTCCAAGCTCAGCTTTTTTTCATTTATGCGGCGGCCCAAAACTCCGTCGCAAGCGTGGACAAAATCCGCGCGGGAGGCCAGGCCCGTGAACTGAGCTGGCTCGCTCTGCTCACGCCCGCCGTCACTTTACGCCCGCCGTGCACCCGTTCTGTTCCTTGTAAACGCTACTACGACTAGACGGTGTGTGTTCCTTGGCCCGTTGCTACTCGACACGACTGCACCTCGTACGACGGACGACTTTGGAGGGAGGAAGGAGGAAGGAATTGGCCCAGCAGCGGGGAATCGAATTGGGCGATTTGCGTTCTCGCAGCGCTGGCTGTCTGGGGGTGCGATGATGGCCCGCGCTGGCCCGCGCTGGCTCGTGTGCTGGCTCGTCCCGCGACGGTTAGGCCACCCCGCACCATTCGCTACATCCTCGATCGAGCCGTTCGTTCGATCCGATCATGGACGACCAATACGACCATAGGCCTAAGAGATGATTGATAGGGTAGGAGAGTAGGGACACCGTATGCTGACGCGGACTTGCCTTTTTTTGCCCCTCGCCTCCCCGCCGTGGACCTGGCCGTGGCTGCTGCTGGCTGCTGGCTGCTGGCGCGTGTGTGTCTCTGCGCTGGTCGTTCACTTTCGTGCGCCATCTCTCCCCGCCCACGACGACGCCCTTCCCGCTCGCCCTACGCTTCGTCCTGGCTCGTTCTCAGTTCCGACAGGTCAGTCTTGGACGTGGTTCCCAGTGAATTCGCGTAGACCTGCGACCGGAAAGCTGATTCGAGTACACGCCTGTCGAACGGCATCTCCGTAACCCGCGCCTACGCGCCACCCACACCACTCGCTCCTCCCATTCATATTCATCAACGCGCTCCGCAACCCTTCCCACCCTCGGGCGATCCTCTCATCCGTCCCTTCTCGTTCCGGGAAACACTCAGCCATGGCCACCATCTCCGCGGCACCCATCGTCATCGACGGCAAGGGGCATCTCCTCGGTCGCCTCGCCTCCATCGTCGCCAAGCAGATCCTCACCGGTCAAGTGCGTGTACCCGCAGTCCCGGATCGAGGCACAACACACACCTGGCGAATGCTGACCGTCGTGATTGCTCGCGGGCTTTGTCTGAGCAGAAGGTCGTCGTCGTCCGCGCCGAATTGATCAACGCTTCCGGTTCCTTCTTCCGTGCCAAGGTGATTTTTGTGGAGAGCGCAAGGGCGTGATAAGAGGATAGGAAGACGTCGAGAGCACGGGAGGATCAGGATGGACAACCTGACGGTCGACGCGATGCAGGAAGGACGAGGGCGAACGAAACGTTCGGCGCTGACACCTGTTGTCTTCTTCTTCATATAGCTGCGCTACCACGAGTTCCTCAACAAGCGTCACTTGGTCAACCCTAAAAAGTCCGGTCCCTTCCACCACCGTGCGCCCAGCCGCATCTTCTACCGCACCGTCCGCGGCATGGTCCCCCACAAGGTGAGCGCGCCCGTGCCCCAAATCATCTTGATCTAGACCCCGCGAAGGTGCTGATCTTGCGCGAGATGATCCGTCTTTCAGACCGCGCGTGGTGCGGCCGCTTTGGAACGCCTGAAGATCTTTGAGGGTGTGCCGCCGCCGTACGACCGCAAGAAGAAGATGGTCGTTCCCTCGGCCCTGCGCGTGCTGCGCCTCAAGCCCGGCCGCAAGTACTGCACGATCAAGCGTCTCTCGCACGAGGTTGGGTGGTCCTACCGCGACGTCGTCGACCGCTTGGAGGAGAAGCGAAAAGTCAAGGCCGCCGCGTTCCACGAACGCAAGGTGCAGGGCGTCAAGGCCAAGGCCGAGGCGCTCAAGTCCGCCGGTTCGATCAACGAGAAGCTCGCCGTTTTCGGGTACGTTTTCTGATTCTAGCACGGCAGCTGTGGGGGAGACGAGAAGGGGAACTGACTCTTTTTGCGGGGGCTCGTTGTCACGCACAGTTACTAAACGTCGAAGGGAGGAGCAGCTTGTGTTGTTGGTGTTCTCTGTTGAGGCGGGAGTAACGATGTCCAAAAGGAGGAAGACGGGAGGCTCGTTTCCCTGTGCGCCGCTGCTGTGTTTTCTGCGTAGGAAGAAGCATGACTCGCTCCTCTTTTTCGTCTTCTTTGCAATGACGCACCATACGCGCAAGGGCGACTTGGGAAGTGACCCCCTTCGTGTTTTTCTCTCGCACATACTTGGGCCTTTCTGGTTTTGCCGGGCGTTACTTCGAGGTGTATTCTGGTTGCTTTTGACTGCTACGAGAGCCGATCAAGACGTGAGACGGAAATCCAGCTTGGCCGATTCATCCAGTTTTTGCAATGTCTACTCGGGACAGCTCAGGCCAGCAGCTCAGGCCAAGATGCGCCGCGCGGAAATCTTCACGAGACGAGTCAAAACGGCGAGTCTCCAAAATGGTCACCGTCAGAGCTTGGTCTCTCTCTGTCCGCATTGCTGCACCTCTGCTTGCTTCCGTAGCCTCGGTGCATGCCCTTGTTGATTCGTCAGCTACCTTTCCTCCGACCGACCATACTCCGCACTTGTCGAGCTCTACAGCTACCCCGTGCAGCACCCGGCAATCCTCCTGCACCAGACCGACATCCCTCCCCCATCTCGTCGTACTCAACCCGCCGCACCAGCCCCGTCAAAGGACGCAACAGCCCCCAAAAGATGGCCTCCGTCTCCCACCCCGACCAAGTCAACAAGACGAGCCATCCGTTCGAGAGGCAGGCGATCGAGACCCTGTTGTTGAGGAGGTTCTTCTTTTGTCCCGCTTTCGAGATTTATGGAGGTCCGTCAGTACTACGCGTGTGCGGTGGGATGGGGCCTTTGAGCTGATCGTTTGGGTCGTGTTCGGTTTTTTGCAGGTGTCAAGGGCCTGTACGATTATGTGAGTATCTACGGCTGGGCAGGCTGAGAACGAGCACCTCCTCTTCCACGTCCTCCTCAAGCTGACCGCTCTTTCCCCTCCAGGGTCCCCCCGGTGCGGCCCTACAAGCGAACATCCTCGACCTCTGGCGCAAGCACTTTATCATCGAAGAAGAGATGCTCGAAGTCGACACCACCATCATGACCCTCTCGGACGTACTCAAAACGTCCGGCCACGTCGATCGTTTCACCGACTGGATGGTTCGCGACCTCAAGACGAACGAAGTCTACCGCGCGGATCATCTCGTCGAAGGCGTCCTTCAAGCGAGGATCAAAGCCGATGCCGAAGCGAGGGGTCACGCTTTGAAACCTGTCGTGGAGGACCCGACCCAAAAGAAGAAGAAGAAGGTCGTTCAAGCCGTGACGCAAATCTTACCGGACGGCAAAGCCGAAGAATACGAAACCGTCTTGGCGCAGATTGATAACCTTGGTGGCAAGGAATTGGGCGAGCTGATTAGGAAGGAAGGGATCTTGGCACCGGATACGGGTAATGAGGTGTCGGAACCGGTCGAATTCAACCTCATGTTTGAGACGCAGATTGGTCCCACGGGCCAGATCCATGGGTGAGTGGTCGGCCGTGAGCTGCATCCCACAGGACTCGACCGGGGAGAGCTGACTCTGTCGCTGGCCCTCACAGTTACCTCCGTCCCGAAACGGCTCAAGGCCACTTTGTCAACTTCAACCGCCTGCTCGAATTCAACAACGGTCGCGTCCCTTTCGCCTCGGCTCAAATCGGTCGTTCGTTCCGTAACGAGATCTCACCCAAACAAGGCCTCTTGCGCGTACGAGAATTCACCATGGCCGAAATCGAACACTACGTCGACCCGCAGGACAAGGCCCATGATCGATTCGACTCGGTCAAGCACGTCGAGATGCAATTCCTCCCCAAGGGGGTGCAGGAATCGGGCAAGACGGATTTGACGACCACGACGATCGGTCAAGCCGTGGAAGACGGCATGGTCGATAATATGACGTTGGGTTACTTCATCGCGAGGATCTACCTCTTCCTCACCAAGATCGGCATCGATCCTAAACGCCTTCGATTCCGTCAACACATGGCCAATGAGATGGCTCACTACGCCGCGGATTGTTGGGATGCCGAGATTTTGAACTCGTACGGATGGATCGAATGCGTTGGGTGCGCCGATCGTTCGGCGTACGATTTGACCGTCCATGCGAATAGGACTCAGCAAAAGATGGTGGTGAGGAAGGCGTTGGAGGAAGTGCACGTGTACGACAAGCTCGTCATCAACCTCGAAAAGAAGTCGTTCGGTCCCATGTTCAAAAAGGATGCCAAGGCGTTGGAAGAAGGCTTGCTCAAGCTCACGCAGGAGCAAACGAGTGAGGCGCAAAAAGCTCTGACGGAGAAAGGCGAGTACCTCTTCCAAGGTCCCAACGGCCAGGAATTCAAGATCCCTTCGTCGGTCATGTCCATCAAATCGGTGACCGTTCGCGAACAAGTACGCGAATTCGTCCCCAACGTCATCGAACCTTCCTTCGGCATCGGTCGCATCCTCTACTCCCTCCTCGAACATTCCTACTGGGCTCGAGCAGAGGACGTCAACCGAGGCGTTTTGTCCCTCCCCCCTTCCGTGGCACCGGTCAAGGTCCTCATCGTTCCTCTTTCGAACAACGCCGAATTGAAACCCTTGTCCAAACAAGTGTCCAACCAATTACGATCGCTCGGCATCGCTTCCCGCGTCGACGACTCGGGCGCGTCGATCGGGAAACGTTATGCGCGAAACGATGAATTGGGTACCCCCTACGGCGTGACGATCGATTTCGCCTCCGTCAAGAACGGCACCATCACCTTGAGGGAAAGGGACACGACCTTCCAAGTCATCGGTAAGGTTGAAGAGGTTGTGGCGTTGTTGGTCGAGTTGTGCTCGGGGAGGTTGGAATGGGCCGAGGCCGCGACGAGGTTGCCGGCTTATACGGGCGAACAGGAGGTTTGAGGAAGGGGGATCCAGGCACCGCTTGCGAAGTTTTGTGATTGCAATTGACTTTTTCATGCGTGCTCTCAGTCGATCAGCGTTGTGGAAGATCGTGGCGCGAACTTTTCCCGACAATTTTGCCAGAAAATGAGCCAGAAAAGGGAGGGTCCCATGGCAAAAGTTAATTCGGCTTGAAAAGCGACCTTGAAGCCGTTGACTGAAACTTGGGTGAGCGGGCGGATGGAAGGAAAAGGGTGACTGGTGACCTCTGACCGGTGGGTTACATATGGCCTCTAGCGCCGCAGGCGTCGGTCACTTCGGTGGGTGCTTTTTCCGACAATCGCTATCGCTACCGCTACCGAATCGGCGACACCCCCGGAAAGCAAGTAGATTCCCTAGCCCGATCCATTCATAAAGTCTGTCCAAAAAACGTTGATTCCATCCCTGCCTCTAAACAAGCATCGAAAGTCACCGACGTCCTTTCGCTTCCGCCCGGGGAACCGTTCGACCGAGTCAAGACGAAAGGGAAAGTTGCCAGGCGAAGTCGCTTAAACCGTAACAACAATTACACTCAGAGTACACATGAAGAAAAGAGGCTGATCGGGGAGGGGAGCACCCTGTTCCTGCGTCACTTCTTACTTCTCCCCTTGGCTGCCCTCGCATCGATCGCCGCTCTGGCCTTGAGGAAATCCTCCTCACTCATCTCCTCCTCCACCACCTTCTTCTTCCCCTTTTTGTTCTTTCCCATATCACCCTCATCTTCATCGTCGTCCTCCTTGCTCGAGCGCTTCTTCCCTCCCTTCTTTTTCCCCGCTGCACCGGCGCCATACTTGGCCTCGAGGGATTTCATCAACGATTCCATCCGATTCGCTTGACGCCCCTGAATCAAAGCTTTCAACCCATCCAAATCACCATCGACCTCTTCCTCCCTCTGACTATTCCCCTTCCCCTTGGCGATCCCCTTCCCTTTCGTTGCACCCTCCTTCTTCCCCTTCCCACCCGCCGAATTGTACAACTGGTCGTGCACGCCCAATTCCTTAGCATACGCCTCGGCCTCATTCGCTTCCTTATTCGCCTTGTTGATCCTCGTCGTTCGAGCTTTAAGGTTCTTACTCGACGTAGTCCACTTTTTGCATGTTTTCAACCTTCCGTCTTGGATGGCTTCGTTGATGAGGGAGATGAAACGAGGTTCGTCTTCGACGGTCGAACACATGATGTGGTTCGAAATGGACTCGAGGTCACCGGAATGGACGTCGTAAGCTTCCAAAAGGTCGGAAAGTTCTTCTTCGGAACCTGCACACACAAGACCAAGAATGAATCCGAATCGGTGAGACGCCTTCGATCGTAATTTGAAACGAGACGAGGCAAGGTTTTTCCGGCCTTGCTGGGAAAGCCATCGTTTCCCACTACGCCGCATGGACCCTAAGACCCCCCAAGTAACCCACCTTGGTACTCCTTCTTGAACTGATCGATCGTCTCTGCATTGACCTGCCCCGTCCACAACTCCTTGAAGTACTCCCTCCACTCATCCTCACTCCGCTCGATCCCCCCACCCTCGTCCGTCCTCCCCGTATCATCGTACCTGTTCCTCCTCTTCTCGTCCTTCAACACGTTGTACGCGTAACTGATCCGTTGAAAACGGAGTTGGGAAGCCGAAATTTGAGCCTCGGTGGCCTTGGGGGGAAGCTTGTCCGGGTGCGAGAGGAGCGCACCGCGACGGTAGGCGGATTTGATCTCGGCTTCGGTCGCGGTGCGGCTGAGGTTGAGCGTCGCGTAGAGGTCGATCGAGTCGAGTTGAGTGTCGGGCCAACTGTGAATGAAAACAGAGGGGTGGTTATCAGTTATGCCCACCCCCCACCCCCCCCCCCCCCCCCCTTCGAGACGAGATCGGGGGGAGCGCGTCGACCGAGTCACGAGCAGGCGGGGGGGAGCCAGGAGTGGGTGGGTGTACGAGCCTTGGTCAGCGCTAACTCACAAGGCAAGAGCAGGGTCTGGATTAGACTCCATGTTGCTGTTGGTAGGGTTCGTGGCTGGTTGGAATGGGAGAGGAGGCAAAGGTAAATCCACGAACCGAAGCGCGAGTCGCGTCCGCGTCGAGGCCTCCTCCCAGCGGGGCAGACCGCGCGCCCGTATAACGCAGATCTCCGGCCCCGGCTCATCCCGAGTGCCGCCTTTCAGTCCTCTACCTCGCTCGTGCTACCACTCTTTTCAAAGGTGAAAGGCTTGTCCGCTACCTCTTCCGAGTATGGAACGTGATTTAGAAATTTCTTCTTTGTCAACAACGCTAGGCATATCACTAACCGAACAGTACCATGAGAGGAGATAAAAAATAGATCATATCATAGGAGGTGAGAGAGCGAGATACGAACAGACACAAGCGTAAAACCAAAACCCCTTGAGAATCAAACCAGAATCAAGAGAACGAAGGCACCACCCCTTCAGACCTTGGTGCTGTCGTCGATGATGGCCACACCTTGGGCATCGATGACGACCGTCTTCTTGGCCTTGGAAGCGCGAACCGGGTTGGGAGCGGCGAAGATCTCCTCGAGCTCTTCGAGTGTTCGGCCCTGGGTCTCGACGCACACAAAGTACCAGATGAGCGTCTCGATGCAGTCCCACCCGACGAAGATCCAGATCGTGTTGTACGAGATGTTTTGCAGCGCGATCGGGGTGGCGTAAGTGTTGATGAAGCCGATGCACGAGACGGTGAAGGCGTACGCGGCCATACCCTTGGCGCGCGTGTTGGTCTGCAGGCACTCGACGGGGTAGAGAGCTTGGAGAGGGCAATAGGCGAACGAGATGACGATGTTGAACATGAAGAACGATGCGATGGCGAAGCGACCAATGTTCAAGTTGTGATTGTTCGCATCCTCTTGGGCCCACTGTTGCGAAAGAACGAAGAGGTGGCGAAAGTGAGGTCAGTACAGAAGATGAGAAGGAGCAACGAGAAGACGTGAGAAGTGACTGACCAAGTGGGTGGCCATACCGTTCATGGCGAGCCAGAAGGCGCAGCCAAAGGTACCCCAGATGAGGATGGGGCGACGACCGACGCGATCAGCGATCGAGACACCGAGACCGGCACCGATGGCGGAGGTGATCGAGTTGACGAGGTTGAGCACAAACTGCATGAGCGAAGAGTAGCCGACGTAGGAGTAGATCTGGAAATTGAAGTAGCCGAGACCGTTGCCGGAGAATTGACCGAAAACACCCATGACGAGCACCATGAGCGACCTCCACCTCGCGGCCTTGGTCTTGAACAACTCAGAGTAATCCCACCAGCGCTTGTCCGAGGCGTCGACCTTGATGTCCTCAACCATCTCGGCCCATTCGAGTTCGACGATGGCCGAGTTGGGGTCGCCGTTGCCGTGGAACTTGACGAGGAAAGCACGAGCCTCGTCGTCGCGACCGTTGGCGATCAACCAACGAGGGGATTCGGGGAGGAACAGCACCGAGAGGATGACGACGCAGGCGGGAATACATTGACCGATCAGAGGGATGCGCCACCCCCAGTTGGAGCTCATGTAAGAGGTGCCGAGGGTGATCGCGGCGGCGGGGACACTTCCACCGAACCAACCGCAGTTGTAGAAGCCGGTGGCGCGACCTCGCCATGCGGGAGGAGCGATCTCGACGCAGTATGAAGGAGCAGCGGTGGTAACGATGGCGATACCGAAACCGAGGATGAAGCGACCGGCGATGAATTGTTCCTTCTTGTGCGAAGTCACGGCGACGAGCGTGCCCAAAACGATGACTGCGCACCCTGCTTGCATGCCGACACGGCGACCCCATCGATCGGCAATAGGCGCAGCGAACAAGGAACCGACCATGTTGCCAACGGTGTAGATAGCAAAGATGAGACCGGTGGTAGATCCGACGACACCGGAGTTGAACTGAGCTTGGTACGGCTTCATGTTGTTGATGGCACCCATAAGACTGCCGTCATATCCGTTGGCGCAACTGTGCCGTTCAAGGACCAGTACAAGCGGCAGAGTCAGCAAATACTGCCTGGATGGGTACAAGCAACCCGGACTGTGCCATGGTGACGGAAGAAGAAACAACTCACCTGCACAAGAACGAGACGAAGCTGCGGGTAGCGCAACAGGCAGGCAGAAGAAAATTCGTGATGGGGGAGGAGGGAGGAGGGAAAAAAAGGGCAAAAAAAAAAAAAAAAAAAAAAAAAAAAAAAAAAAGAGAGAAAGAAATGTAGGTTAGCACCGGTGAAGTCGGCTCTTACACTCCGATAGTGGCAAACTGTGACCTACATGGCACCGAGGAGAGTCCAGGTGGCTGTAGTGACAATGAAGAACAAGGCAACAAAAACCCGGAAGTGTGAGCGACAGGCAGACACGGAGCGTGGTGCAACCTCGCTGGGGCGGGCTCGCTGATCAGATCACGTGTAGCCGCACTCCCCAGAGGTGGGTGACCCGCAGCGCAGGAAGAGAACGCGAGCACGTACCTCGCGACGAGAAGTCGGTCTTGTTCGAAGCTTGCAGAGCAGCTGTCAGTGCAGCCGATCGCACCTCTTGTACGGGGGCGTCGGTGCCCTTGACGTTGTCGACATGTCGGACGCGAAGTCCCGGGGCGTAGTGATCGGCGGTGGCTGTCTTCTCGAGGTCGGTCTTGGACGAGATGTCGCTGGTCTGGTCGGAGAAGGACATGATGGGCAAAGCCAGCCGAGACGGTGGGGTAGTCAGTGGTTGAAGCGGAGTGATGGAAAGGAGCAAGAGATGGGGAGGAAGCGGGGATGTTCTCAAGGCTTCCCCAGGGCACATTTGCGGAGGCTAGCGGCTTTCGACAGATCCGACCGACCCCCGCCGGGGTATTTTAGTTCGACGAGCAGCGGGGACGGAAAATCCTCACGCGGGGATCACCCTCCCGCCGCTGGCCAGTCGCAAATTCACCTGCGATCTGTGCGCGCCTTGGGCTTGCTTGAGTTTCAATTGCCGTGGTCTCGTGCCGTGTCTCCGTGCGTCGGAAGGCGTCCAGGCTCCAAGCTTCCTCGGACCATGCTCTACGCGCGCGAAACGCCGTTTAAGCGACGGGCCGTTCAGGCCAGCTCACGACGCCGGCCCTTTTTTAATGCCGGTCCTTTACCGAGGACAGGCAATCTGCCCAGCTCGCGAGCGCAACAAGGCCAGCAATTGCCTTGCAACCGGTGGTCATCCGAAGGCGCAAGCCTGCGGTCGCTCAATTGCCGGCCCTGCCGCACATCCACAAGCCTGATTTCGAAAGGATCTTTTTTTGCACCTCTCGCCTGAGAAGCTTGAATTCGCTTTTCAATTTGCTGGCCTGTCCGGCTCAGCGTCGTCTAAATAACAGCCTCGGCTAAACACCCGAACGCCGGCGTATTCCTCTTCCTGCGCCATGACCCCTTTGCTGGGTCTTGATTGGCTCCCTGCTCCGTCTGCGACAAAGGTCAGGTGATCGACTATGCCAAACCCTACAGTTGTGTAGCCTCCTGTCTAGCATCGATCTTCCCCGCTCGATTCCCCACTCGTTTTCGCTCCGTGGCGCTACTCCCCAGATTTCCGTAGTCAAACCAAAATCGAGGCTTGTCTTGGATCGGATTTCGCACGCGGCTTGCATGGCGTCACATGGCCCGGAAAACAGAAAGACTTTTCTCTCGGCAATCGAATGACTACACTCTCCGGAATGCCACACCGACCTCACCGTAGGACGCCCGGACGCTGATTTTCATCGTGGCCGATGAGGGCAAAGTCGGTCGTAAGGGTTTACCCCCATTTCCGGGCGGCGGGGCCTAAACGGCCAAACGTCGTCGCGCTCTTCACGAATTGACATCGGTCGACCAGACCTCCGAAAATCGACAAGGACCGACGTCGCGAGACCTGTCACCCAGTTTCGGCGGTCCCTCGACCTCCAGGCCGAGGGCTTCCCTCGACGCCCGACGCCGATTGATCGGTCGGACTCCGATCCGACACGCGCGAGGTCTGCGCGACCGACGCAAAAGCTTGCCCCCGCCTGAGTGGCTCCCTCCCTGAGGTCATTTGCGCAAAGAAGAGGCCACCTCGAGTCCTCGGTTGATCTGCTTGCAGAAATCGGATCAGATGGTTCTGCCAGCTTTGCGATAGAATTTGCACTAGTAATACACCTTCGCTTAAACGAGCCCCTCATCTGTCGTTCAACAGAGAGGAGGCTACCTCGAGTCCTCGGTTGATCTCGTTGCGAAGATCAGATGGTTTTGCCAGCCTTGTGGAATTTGCACCGGAAATGCAACTTCGCTTAAATGAGCCCCGCACCTGTCGCTTAAATTTCTTGTGCCCAAATCCTGTACCTGACCAGACCCCCCTGGATGGCCGTGTTGTAACCCCACTTCCTTGATTTCTTCATCGGTCAAACGTTCTACTTTCTGGCCTTAGCCTCGTCCGGCTGCCGAGCTTGTATGCAGTCAATTGGCTTGGAACCCGTCACGAGCGCGCGCAACTTCGGGCCCCTTTCAAAAGAGCCTACGCACGCGTCCGGGCAAAGTCACGCGGATGGCTTTGTAGAGACCCATGAGCGACCTAGAGGAGCATCAACCAGCACATGGCATCCCCTGCAACGGAGCACCCTCACCCGTCCCAACTCCTTCCTCCGTCAAGCGGCTCCCAAGATGACTAGCGACACGATAGCTCGCTTTCGTTTTCCGACCACGACTCGAACGAGCCAAACTAATGCATTCGGTGCCTACCTGCCGTGTCACCTGATCCCAGACGCCTCCCGCCGTCGGACGAGGTTGAGCGGCGTTCCATGTGGGTGAGTCCTTAGCCCCCAGCAGCTGACCTGACCATGCCGCCTAGACCATGTACCCATGATCCATCTCACCATACGCCACGACGCACGAGCGACCTGCTCCCCGCTCTCGCCTATTCTCCGTACGATATAGACACCCTAGTCCAACTCACGTCGTAAGTGCACGAACAGAGCCATAGTACAGAAAGACAAATGGATGCATTGAGCATCATCCAAGTACAGCAAAAGGGACCACGTCTTCCACAAAGAGCCTCTATCGACGTCTCCAGTCATGACCCGCACCGCCGCTTCCGCTGGCGCCGGAGCGGCCCATCCCACCGTTCCCGCCATTGCTCCCTCCTCCGCCGCTCATAGGTTTACCCCATCCACCATGCCCTTGTTCCTGATCATGCAATGATTTTTTCGCCGCGTACCCTCGGTCATTGAGAGCGGATGAGTTGAAGCCGTGCGAAGAGGGAGGTCGAGAGTGACCCGGCGTCACATAGGGCGAGTCCCGAGGGGTCGAATACCTCGAGTCGCCACCGCCACTGCCACCGCCACCACCACCGCCCATTCGGCGACCTTGGTTCTGGCCTAAGCCACTGGGGGGTCGGGTGTTCATGGGGCTGTCGGGCCTCGAGCGGGCTGTAGCGGCCGTGCGTTCCAAACGAGCCTCCGCGAATCTATTCGAGGCCACAAGGAAGGCCCAGTCAGCCGTGGATCCAGAAGGGAAAGCGCACGACTCGATGAGACATACCGGTTGAGTACTTTGACGACATGACGCGTCAATTTATCCAAATCAGCGACTTCGGTGGCGCTCAGTTCCTGGTTCTGCGACTCGTAAGGATCTTGCTCGGGTTCGCCTTCGCTGTCCTCGTCGTCGTCGCGATCGTAGTCGCGGGCTCCTCCCGCACCAAGGGTAGGTCGAGCTGCGGGTCCTCTTCCACCCGATCCACTGATCTGTACCCCCAGTCCTTCGAACACCCTCAACAAAGAAAGATCCAACACGTCCTTGAGGCGTTCGACGTCGTCCAAGACGGCCACGTTCCCAACGATGGGCAACCAATCGTCGCATTCCAACCCACGATCCGTCACGGCCAACTTGTGCGCACCAAACAGCATGTACCCCAAAGGGTCCAACATCGTCGTCTGGCGCAAGAACATCTGCCCACCACCTGAAGGGTTCGCCAGACTACCCGTCTTGGATTTCTCGCCGAAAGCGTACAGTTGATCGGACGAGACGATCTCGTTGATGGCGACGTCAAGTTCTTGAGCGGCGACTTTTTCATTCTTGCGCGAGTTGACACTCGAAGGGTGGATCGCGCAGACCTGTTTGTCATTCCAAAGGCCAGTTAGTTAGCTACCAAGTCCTGAGCGACAATCTTGATCGCGAAAGCTCACCTTGTCCTGACTAGTCCTGAAAGTCTTCTCACTCGTGCGAATAGCGAAATTCGGCGCCGCCGCGGCGGCGATCAAACTCGACAACAACGGCATCGAATCGGCATTGACGTTCAGGCTCGGAGGCAGCGTAACGTTCCTCCCCCTCCTCCTAAAGCGATTGTTCATCCCTCCCCCTTGGCCGGCGGTTCCCAATTCCAGAACGCCGGCCTTGTCCAGCGCTTGAAGTAGATGTTGTTTGATCTTTTGGATGAGCAGCAACGTAGGGAACGAGAGGAAGTTCTCCCTTGTGAAGTCATACGCCCTGTTCATCCCCTGTCGAGAGAGGATGTGCTCCCATTCGTTGTAAGCCGCCAAGACGGTCAAAGGGTCCGAACGGAAATCCTTGGGTGTGAAGGTGTTTTTGCGCAAATCGGCTTGTTCTTTGACCGCGATCGGGGACATGAACGGATCCCGATTCGTTAGGATCGCGGCCAAGGTCAAGACGGGTTCGAGGCAACGGAAGAAGGATCCGAGGATGCACATCTTTCCAATTGCGACTTCGACGGGGATGTGCAACAAAACCCTGCCCAACGAGGTCAATTTTTCGTCGCGATCGATCGCGCCGACCATGTGGAGACTGTCCATCGCGGCATGGATACGCGCTTGTTCGGGCGGTTGGATCGTCTGCGAGAGCACTTGTTCGACGGAGAGGTCGGGCAATTGTAGACCCGTGATGTGCATGCACGTGTCGGCCAAATCAGTGCGAAGCATCTCGACAGTCTGATGGATATCGAGTTCGGCGTAGCGTGCATCCGAGACGATCGAGTAGTATTCTCCGGGCCGATGACGACCCGCACGACCGGCACGCTGGCGGAGGTTCGAGGTCCCCGTCCAGGCCGAAACGAGTTGCGACATGCGACGCTCGGGGTCATAGCGCTTCTCCTTGCACTTGGCCGAATCAATGACGTACACGACGTCAGGGATCGTGACCGAAGTTTCGGCGATGTTGGTCGAGATGACGACGCGTCTTACACCCTTGGAAGCGGGCTCGAACACACGCTGCTGATCCGCGATGGGGACCGACGAGTGCAAGACGTGCACTTCGTACCTGTTCGTATCGTTAAAGTTGATGCCGAGCAGAGGGTGTCGACCCGTGTCCGAGAGGATCGTCTGCACGTTCTTGATCTCATCCCAACCGGGCAAGAAGACGAGCACGTGACCTTCCTCGGACTTGGCGAGCACGTTCGCGATCATGAGCGCGATCAAGGGGAACGGCATGTCGAGGTCGTCGATCTCGCCGACGGGTCGACCGGTGTGAGGGTTTGTCGCGATTCGAGGCACGAGATCTCGTGCGAGGTACTGCACGACCGACTTTTCATTGAAGACCCATTCTCCTTCCTGCTGGGTCAGTCGAAGCGACCTCAGTTCTTCGATGACCGCATCGAGGCGATGTTCTTCCACGGGAAAGCTTCGTCCCGGTACCTTGACGATCGGCGCCAGTCGTCCCGTTCTCTCATCGGCAAAGTACGACGTGAACAACTTGGGGTCGATCGTAGCCGACATCAAGACGACGCGGATCTCGTCCTTGCCGGCCTGTCGACGTTGGTGGAGCAGCATACGGAGCACAAAGAGCAACAGATCGGTGTCGACGTCTCGTTCATGGACTTCGTCAACGCAGACGTGCGTGACACCATCGAGGAAGCCCTGGCCACTTGTGTTGTGCAGATCGGCCTGCATGCGTCGGAGGAAAAGTCCGGTCGTGCAGAAAAGGATCGAACCATCCGATTTGGGAGGCTTGGACTCGAAGCGGACCTGGTAACCGACCGAATCACCAATAGCTTCGCCGCGTTCCTTGGCGACACGTTCGGCGACCGAGATGGCGGCAATTCGACGAGGTTGCGTGCACACGACGTTGCACTTGGCGCCATCGCCACGCAAGATCCAGTCGTCCAAGATCAGCTGGGGTATCTGCGTCGTCTTTCCGGAACCGGTGGCGGCCAAGACGACAGTGACGGACGAAGTGGCGATCTTGGCGAGCACGGACGAAGCATGCGACGAGACGGGTAAGCTCGCCCGTTGCTCTCGCATCTTTTCGACCCTTTCATCAGTCTGGTAGTTCCTCAGACGCGACTTGAGATCGTCGCTCTTCTCCTTGAGCCTCGCCTCCTTGAGCTTGAGCCTCTGCTCATCTTGCTCGGAGCTCCCATTCAACGCCTCGGATGTCTGGGTCTCTGCGCCTTCGCGTCCTTCGACGTTCCTTCGCCTTTGCCTCATCAATTCGGCCCTCTTGGCTTGCTGATGTTCGATCATCGCCCTAGCCCTCTTGTACAGCCCACTCCCCCTCGCTCCATAAACGACCTCTTCCAAATCCTCGGCCGAGTCCTGATCTGCCTCAAACACGACCTGGGCCATTACATGCCCCTTGGCAATGACGTTGGACCTCTTCTTGTCCTGCCACATAGACCACAAGGTCGGATCGCTCGAATCGAGGTGACGCGCAAAATCGAGGTAGGCGCGGTTCGAAGCTTGCTTCTTGTTGCGCGCTTCGGCGACGCCGATCTTGCTCCCTTGTACGAGTAGCGTCGCTTGCCACCCCTCTTGGGCGACAGTTTTGGCTCGTTTGTTGTTGGCTCCTTTGACGGCGACTCGCGTGATCTGGAGGTCGGGTTTGCCAAAACCGAATTTTTGACCTGTCAAAAGAGAAGAGGGTCAGCAGCTAGGCCATCGCGAACCGAGGAACTGAACGATGGGAGAGACGAACAGTAAAAGTCCATGAACTCCCTCGCCTGTTCCAAATTAATGATTTGTCCTCCGGCCAACTCGATCGCATTGCCATCCTTCAAAGCGGCCAAATCCTGTGCCATCGTCGCAGCAGCGGTCGTCGCTCCACCCGTGCTCGACCCTGCCACCGCATTCTCGCCGTTCATGATCGCTCCACCACCATAATTGACCGAATAGGCCAGACGATCGGGAAGAGGTTGGTTCGACGGGGTGAAGAGGCCGCGGGCGGAGAGTTGAACGCAGGCGTGCAATGCGGCGAGTTTCTCGGCTTCTTTGCTGGTCGTCGCGTCCCCTGTGCCGACGAGAGGCTCGACGGATTGGGGGAGCGAAGGCGCACCGTAGACGGGTGGGGGTGGTAATGGATCGGCATCGGCGATCAGGGTTGCTCTGAAAGGCCGGCGGATAGGCAAGGGGCAGTTTCACGATGAGGAGTCAGCATTTCCGACCAGGAGCGAGCTTCGCAGCCGCGGGGCGTCGGGCCGACTTACCTGATAAGAGGCTTGCCCTCGATGACGACCTTCTTGGTCGTATACTTGGGTGGTGCGCCTAAAGACGAGATGTAGTTGGACACGATCGATTTGGGGTTGCTCAGGTACTTTTCGTTGATCTGACCTCTCCCACCGAGCCTTAGCCACAGCGAGACGATGTAGGCGCGGTCGTAGATCGGCGCCGGTGTCGTATCGGCTTTGACTTTGGGGGTGTTGCTGTTCGCCTTGACATTGCCCCTCCCCCTGGCGGGGTTGTTGGCGAGTGTACCACCTGGTTGGGCAGTCGCGGATGCGGGGGTTCTGCCCCCTGCTGCTCCACCACCACGTCGATTCATTCTGGTACTGCCGGTCTTGCCTGCCGCGCGATCCTGTTCACGTTGTTCGACCCTCTGCAGTGTCTTTTTCGAGTAGATGCGCGTTTCCTCGGGTGAAGGTCGACGGCTTCGAGGCGCTGTTGGGGTGGAGAACGACGGTGGTGCGACTGCTGGGGCGACGTGTTTCGCGCTGGCGCTGGTGGGAGGAGCGGCCGATGACGCAGACGCAGACGCAGAAGCAGACGCGGACGAGAGCGTAGAAGCCAGGCGACCGAAGAAACGACTATTCGCGGTCGCAGCCGTGCCAAACGACGACGGAGCGCGAGGACGACGCCTCGAACTGAGACTGGGACTGTGGCTGTGTCGATCGAGAACAGGGGACACGGACCTCTTGCGCTTCATCCAAAGCCACCCGATCGAGTTGGGCAATGGTGCTTGTGCAAGGCTAGGACGACTAGCCCCCGAGACGATCCGAGCGGTACGACTGACGGTTGCGCTGATGGTGCTCCGTAGTAACGCTCCGGCGAACATGGGTCAGAAACCAAACCGATGGTCGCGAACCTTTTCGCAGCTTTGCCCGCGCTCGAATCGCAAGAGATTGCGCGCGCAGGTCACGTTTTCTAACCGGACGGTTAACGCTGGCGACTCTTCTCGCAGATGGAATCGGGTCGTGTAAGGTCAACTACTCTGGGGATCAGAAATTACTTTTGGTCCTTGATCACTCACTGCCCGTGGCTCCATAGCCATGCCAGTCAAGTGAGACCGTGAAAAACGAAGCCAAGGAGACCACGCTCAATTGAGAGCACGATTCCCAATTGGAGTAGCGATGGGTTTGCCAGCTGATTAGGGAATCCTCTTCAGCCATTCGCGGGCGGCCAATCGGCTCACGCTGCCCTGCGCTGCCCATTCGAGCCCATTCGAGCCAAAGGAGGCCAAAGGTACTTCGAAGGAGGCTCCAAAGGTCTGTTTGGCTCAGTTTGGCGCGCGCCTCGACTCGTTCTGGCTCGTTCAGTGCTCGGTCTTGCGCTTGTCTGCGCTTGTTTCATCCGACCGTCACTTTCCCAAGCGCCACCTGATACTTGCACCTCTACCGCTCACCCACACCCAGCCTTTCCCAACCTCCCCATCTCCCCATCAACCCTTAACTCAACCATGGCCGCTCAAGTAAGTATCTCAACTGCTCAGCCCCTCCTCTACACTTTCACGTACCCGCCCTCGCGCTCTCGTTCGCCTACTGGGCGTCGTCCAACCCGCGCCGTCCAAGAATAGACTATCCACCTCTCTCATTCGTCGTTCGCAGACCCGACGGGGCACTCACCCGGAGAGCTGATCACATCCTTCCCACCCTGCCCCTTCCCTGCAGGACTACTACGGTGGACAACAGAACAAGGGGTACCCTCAGCAAGGTGGATGTACGTTGATGGTGGTCGTGTTTGTCAATGAAGGCGCTGGTCGGTTCCCCGAGGCGGTGTCCCCTGACCGATGATTCATTCGAGACACCCCGTCGGTCGTTCGCTCCGAGGTGTGCACAGCCACACTTCTTTGGGCGGCGAGACCTTCCAGCACGATCGAGCCAATACATGGACGGCTAGTTGTATCGATCATCCGGACTGACACACGATACCATCCCCGCCCCTCCTGAAACAATAGACCCGCAGCAACAACAGCAACAGTACCAACAAGGACCGCCTCAACAGGGCGTGCGTCATCACAGATCTCAACATCGGTCCAGCGTCGTTGATATCGCGGACTGACCTCTGTGTTCTTGACGTGCTTGCACAGTACTACCCCCCTCAACCCCCTCAGCAGTGAGTTGGCCCGCAGGAAAGCCCACGTTCGGTCAACGCAACGAACGACCTTGGGGAACGGCCGAACGGCGCAGTGAATCCGGCGCAATCGATCAGCTGGCGTCCTGCAGCGATGCTCATCACCCCGTGCTCTACCCTTTGAATCGAATAGAGCGTACTACCCCCAACAAGCTTACGGACAACAACCGATGCCTCAACAGTACGTCCCCCTTTCAACTCGGCCGACTCGGTTGGAGAGACTCGTCTGGCTCTCGATTCGGAATGAGAGCTAACAACATTGGTGGATTGGTGATTGTCCTTTGCAGGGTCTACGTGCAACCGAACCAGAAATCGGGCGTAGGAGCGGGAACGGGTTGCTGCGCTTGCTTGGCCGGTGCTTGCCTGTGTTGCTGGTCAGTTCGAAAAGTCGTACTTCCTCTAGTCGCGAATGCAACTGACCCATGAATGTTTCGTTCGCCCGACCAGCGCCGAGGAGATGTGCTGCGACATGTTGATGTAAACGAAAACGGTCAAACTACAGATCTGTTGCTTTCCCGGACCCACCATCTTCTTGTCGACGGGGTGGGGGTTTTTTTTTTCTTTTTTTTTCTTTTTGGAACGCGGGCAAGGTTCTTTTTTCTTCGTTCCTTTCTATACTTACTTAATTGCATGAACCATCTTTTCCTTTGTTGCAACCGCACCTCTTGCGTCCGGCTTGGACGTTTCGAAGTGGACGCAAGCGGGACCGGCTATTCTTCCTATTCTTGCAGAGGTTTCTTGATTATCTCGTCTGAATGCCTCTGACCAGGCGCCGGTTTGGGGGACCAAGAATGTCTCGTGTGTGCTTTGATTCTCCGTAAAATTGACACTGGGTGCAGCTGATCGGAACGGGCGCTGCAATTCGTCATTAGAAACCTTTGCTAATCCGTTCAGTGGCCCCCCATGTATCGGCTGGCTTCCCGTGCGCGACCCAAGAACACGCGCATCATTATCATCCATCACCCTCCGACACCCCGCAGAAGCGCTTCGTCGTATCTCCCCCGCGCAAACCCGCTAGACATCATGTTGGCCACCTCGATGCTCCGACCTACTTTATTGCGCTCTATCGTTCGTTCGACCGGTTCGGGGTTCGCGCAACGTCATATGGCTGTGAGGACGGTCGTTAGTGAGTTCGAGGAGGAGGGGAGAAGAGGGATAAGGGATGGGAAGGGAGGGTGTGGACAGTAGGAAGAGCGAGGGAACCACGCTGATGGAGAGGTAGTGCATAGCAACGAAAACTGATCTCTTTTCCCCGTGTTTGATTTTGTCAGCGACGCGCTACACGATCGAACACGAATGGATTCGCTTCGATAGCTCCTCCTCCGTCGGCACGATCGGCATCACGGACTATGCGCAGAAATCACTCGGCGACGTCGTCTACGTCGAACTGCCTACACCCGAAACCCAAGTCGAGAAAGGCGAACAGATCGGAGCGGTCGAGAGCGTCAAAGCGGCGTCGGATATTTATGCACCCGTTTCGGGACAGATTGAGGAAGTGAACGATGCGTTGGGCGACGAGCCCGGCTTGTTGAACAAGAGTGCTCAGGACGAAGGTCGGTCAGCTTCACTTTTGCCTGGTGGTGGTTTCGGATCATGAGATAGGCGGGAACTGATTGGTCGATCGTCGATCAGGCTGGCTCGCCAAGATCAAGTTGTCGAACCCGGCCGAATTCGAACAGCTGTTGAACGACGATGCGTACCAGGCGTTCTGCGCCGGAGCAGGTGATGCTCATTAGATTCACCACTCTCATCAGGGGTGAACTCTTGGTCACGATTCAGAAGGGACGGGAGAGGAGATTGTTTTTGACAACTGGGATAGGAGAGGGTTGCTCATCGATGGAAGGGTTTGCGAAGCGTCGTTCTCGGGGAGGCGGAGGAGGTTCAGTGTTTAGTGTATTCAACTACGGCAAAAGGTCATCATCATCAAAGAAGATTGCACTGGACTATGGAGAGAGTCCAGAGAGGGCAGAGAGGGCAGAGAAGACCCAAAGGCGATGCCACTACTTTTAGTAAAGGGTGGGGTGGTCGAAAAAGTCAATCCCACACCTGTTGTGCCCAAGGTCATCAAATGCTCATTAGCGTCTCATCGTATCCTAAACGAGTCCAATACTCGATTTCGGTCAGTGACGTCGCGCCCGGAAGCGCCCGGAAGCGCCCGGATGGCCTGCTCCGGCCTGCCTCGCGCGCGCGGTTGTCTGCGGTTGTTGCTTGTCTGTTCCCCTTTCCCACCCCACCCACTCGCACCTGCCCCAGCTCTCTTCCTCACCTCAGCCGTCCCCGAGACGGAGAGCATGGTGAAAAAGTCTTCCCACAAGACGCATGTCCGTCCGACGCCTTTACAACAAGTCTGGCACCGCGTCCAGGAGGAGAATGCCCGGGCTCTGACGATGAAGGAGGACCGTGCGATGGCGAGGATCAGCACGTGGAGTTTGGGCGGGTCCAGTGAGTACGATTTGGACGAGCGCATGATGAGGCTCGCCTATGGGATGGAGATGGCGAGTCGGGCCGGGCAAGTGACGGATGATGAAAGAGGATACCCGGGGCCTTGCACGTCTCGATGGAGCCACGACGCGATCACCAGCAACGGCCAAGTGGGGGTGCAGCCCGACTCCGACTCCCCAGTGTCCCCACTCGTGCACACCGAACAATCACGCTCGTCTGGGGCCGCCCAAACTGTCAAAGCAGGCACGATCGTCATCGACACCACGACCGACGATGACCAAGACGAACGCAGAGCCGTCGGCGTCCAGAAACCGGCCTCCAGGAAGGGCAAGGGGAACGCGACAGCCAAGGACCCGCTCAAGTGCTCATCCGAGAATTGTTCGACCGATCCCAAGTGCTTGAAATGGTTGGGTCAACAAGAGTGGGAGAATACAGGTCAGCCATCATTCCCCCCCGAGCGTGTGGAGAGCGGTTTCGCGTTCCCTGACCTTCGTTATGAGCTCATAGAGAAAGCGCTGGAAACATTTGCTTCGTCAAGAGGGGTCGGCGAAGATCCGGGCCTGAATCTGCGCGAACCGGGCGTACCGGTCGGACTCAAGGTGGGCAGCCCACTCGCTTCAGACGGCTGGAATATACTAAGCAGAGCGACATGCAATGCCCCACAGAACCTTGGCGCAACCTGCTACGCCAACAGTTTTCTCCAGGTGCGCATTCGAACCCCCGCGGTGGGCTTTCGGACCTCGGACTGACCATCCGTTTCTTCTGTACCATCACAGGTCTGGTTCCGCGATCCCGTCTTCCGCAACGGTATCCACGCCTGCAAACCCGTCTCGCCGACCTCTCCAACACCCATCACCCACTCCCCGCTCTACCACCTCCAAGTGCTCTTCACATTTCTCCAAACCTCCGTCCAGGCCGTCTACGACCCCACACCTTTGATCCGGTCCCTCAAATTGGATACGGGCGAACAGCAGGATGCGACCGAGTTTCAGAAGCTGTTTATGAGCTTGTTGGATCATGAGGTGAGGAAGGCGGGGAAGGCTAAGGGCGGGTCTGAAGGGGAGGAGGTGGGGGGGTTGATCGCTAGCAGGGTAAGTGCGAGCGATGGGCGCTGAATCGATCGTCTGACTGAAGCATGGGATGAGGCTGACTACTGGTGGCTATGAGTGTGCAGTTCGAGGGGAAGATCTTCTACGGCACCCGATGCACGGGCTGCAACAACACGTCCGAACGGAGCTCGACCTTCAACGAACTCGAAGTGACGCTCAAGGTAAGCAGTTGCCAGAACCGTCCCATGCGACATTGAACTTCTCCTATGGAAGGATGTTGACTTTGGGAAGTTTTTGACGTTCAACAGGCGAATTGTGAGCTCGAGGCTAGGATCGCGGAAAGTCTGGGTGATGAGAGGATGGAAAAGGAGAATCAGTAAGTGAGTATTCTCTCCATCAGTCTGGCCAGCGCGATTGATGAAGTGTGCCCTTTTGCAGGTACTACTGCGACAATTGTCAGAAGAAATGCGATGCGATTCGTTATACCCGACTGCATTCACTACCACCTGTCAGTCAAACTAGCCCGATCGAACGCAGCAGAAGAATTTATCACGCCTCCCCCTGGAACACAGGTCCTTCATTTCTCCCTCCTGCGCTTCGTCTACTCCCTCAAACAAGGCCAGCGCAAAAAATCGCAGCACTCCATCTCGTACCCCCCATCGATCGACATGAGTCAATTCGTTGAAGCGAGTCAGAGGGAGGAGGAAATGTGGTACGATTTGAAGGGTGTTTTGTTGCATAAGGGCGTCAGCGCGCATCATGGACATTATGTCGCGCAGGTGTTTGATGATAGGTACGGGTTTCTTTTTCTTTTTCTTTTGGCTTAGGTGTCTTTAGAGGGGGGTAGCCTTCGAAGCCCGAGCTGACCTGATGCGAGCTTTATTTCGACAGTTCGAATCAGTGGTATCTCTTCGACGACGAAGTCGTCACCCCCATCGAGGACCTCGACACCTCTCGGGTATACAAGGACGAAGAGGAAGATGGAGAAGAAGGAGACGATGAGGACGTCGATGAGATTGTTGTATCCTCGGATGATGAGTACCAGGAGGGCGGCTCGAAAGGAAGGAGGAAGCCCAAGTCGAAGGTGCAAGGGAGGGGGAAAGCGAAGGTCAAGGGGAAGGGGAAGGTGCAGGTTCAGAATGGGGGTGGGAAGACGGATGGGACTAGGTGAGTTGCGGGGGAAGGTAGAAGCTTCGATGTGCGAGGTTGACTGACGTTCTGGGGATGTTGTGTCGGGTCCCGCAGCAGACGTCCTAAATCGAAAGATGCTTGTAAGTGGCAACTTTTCGTCCCGCTTCCCGCTTGTCGAGGCGCTGTATTGACACCATCACGATCGTCTGAACGGACAGACATGCTCGTTTACAAGCGTCGAAGCGAATCTGCCCCTAGAGGCCAATACAAAGTCATCGGCACGTCCGAAATGGCTCCCGTCCCCATCACCGTCGACCCGATCCCTCCTTTACTCGCCTTGGCCGAAGTTCAACGCCTTGATGATGCCCATGGGAAGATGGTGGACGAGTATCATGCGAGGTGAGTTGGAAAGATGTGGGGCTGGGAGAAGCATTGATGTCTGAACCCTACCCTTGTGTTATTGCTCTCACCAGGGTCGCCTCGGTCAAAAAAGACTTTGATCGCCTACGCGAGGCGAAAAGATCCGTCTATCGCGTTTGGCAAGTCGAGGAGACGAGAGAGGTGGATGAACCGAGTTATGCGGTTGATAAGCGCGAGTTGGTGAGATGGCTTGGGCAGGGGCTCAAGAAGACGTCGAGGAAGCAGGATTCGAAAGGGGCTGGCGGAGATGAGAGGGATGGTGGAACGGAGGAGGTGGAGGAGGAGCTGAAGAAGGAGATTGCGAATGGTGTCGACGGAGGGAATGAGCCTCACTCGTCGATCACGGAAGTTCAGAGCTCGAGCGAAGGAGGACAAGCCATGGAGGATGTGGAAGCAGGACCCGTGGAAGGTGTCGCGGACGTGAAGGTGGATTCGAGCTCGAACAAGCTGTCTTCGACGGCTATCATGTGCGAGCATGGCAAGATTGATCCTCACAAGGCGGATCTCATGAAGCGCGTTTCCAAGGTACGCCTCACTCTTGATTGCGATCCTTCCTTGGATCGTCGCTGATTCTGTTCGCATAACTTAACTCACAGGCCGGAATCGAAGCCCTCTCCTCCCTTGGCGTCACCCTCGACCCCGAACTTCAGATCCCGCGTGATTTTTGCCGCGATTGCGTTTGGTCCCATGTTGTCGAGGAGCTCTACGTGCTCGAGCATTCTGAACATACGCAGGCGATGAATGGGGCTGACACGGGTCGTGACGTGGCGATTTCTAAACCTTGGTTCAAAGGTGAGCTTGAACAACACAAGCAAAACCCGTGGATCTAGATCGTTAGCTGATGATGGACGGAGTTCGCATAAGATTGGTTACGTACCCCCAAACCCAAGATGCACGTCCCCGGATCAGCGACGGACCCTTCACCCCAGAGCGAACCTTATCTCTCCGACGTGAAGTGCGAACACGGACTCACGCGCCACGATCCCAAACGCGTCGAGCAACTGTCCTTCGAGGTGCGTGTTTCCCATCCTCAAGTAACCCTTATTCAGTGAGAGAAAGAACTGATGGCTACTCTGAAGAACTTGAACTAGGAGTCCGCGATCTTGCAATCCCTTTTTCCCGATTGGGAACCGATGCGCTTGGAGCAGTCCCAGGCGTGTCCTCAATGCGCTAAAGCAGAGGCCAAGGAGTCCAAGGAGAATGATCGCATGGTCGCGTTGGCTAAGAAGGAGAAGGTGAGTTTTGGGCCAGAAGAGTGAGGTACTCTCGGGACATTGGCGGAAATTTGACTTGGTTCTGTCGATAGGGCGTGCTCAAGAGCTTCACGAATGATACGCGGTTGGGCGGGACGCAGATCTTGTTGACCGGTACAGGGGAACATCTCCTCGTCCCTTATGGTGAGTTTGAGATTCGAAAATGAGAGAATGGATCTAGACTCATCACATCCTCTTTCGTGCCCCCAGCCTTCAAGAGACAATGGTTCGAGTGGAACCATTCGGTCTCGCACCGCTCCGTCACGAGCGAACGACCGGGTGAATTGGACAACTCCCAACTTCTTTGTGAACACCAACGCCTGCTCGCAGATCTGGAAGCCGAGAACAAAAAACTTCGTACGATTCACCCAGTGACGAGTCAAGAATGGAAACTGCTGCAGGAGAAGTAAGTGATCGGACACGCTGCGTTTTGGACGGACCGTGGGCCAGACTGACGTTTTCCAACTGCGCTGGTTCGTGAAAGTTATAACGCTGGTCCGCAGATCAAGGTGTGGCAGGATTATCAGACGTTGCAGTTCTTGAGCTCGCCTGCTTCGTGTGAAGAATGCCTTCAACGACAGTGAGTGCACGCGACACGGGAAGTGCGACACCACTGCGGCTTTTCTTGGGCTGATGCTGTGTCCCTGGCTTGAGCTCTACAGGCGCGAGAATTTTGCGACGACGACGATCAAGGTCGTCACGATTGGTGAAGACAAGTTCGACAAGGACGGAAACTACAGAAAAGGTGCCTTTCCGAGCGCGCCCAGGATACGGTGCATGAGATCTGAACTCAGAGCTGACCCGTTCTTTTGTCGTCCGGGTGCACAGCTCGCGTCGACAGTTCCGATAGCGACGAAATAACGGTCCTTTCCTCGCCGCCCCCTGCTACGAATGGAAAGCGCATGCCTCTGAAGGCGCAGAAGACATACGGTCAGAAACCGGTCGTCGTTCGTTTTCCTGCGGTCGGTGCGACGCGTACTTCGGCCCGCGTAAGGAACCAAGGAATGCTGTACGAGAACCGATCGGCGACGTTCATTGAGGTGAACAAGACGGACACCGTCAAGGCACTCAAAATTTCGGTAAGTCCTTCTCCGTCTCTGTTCATTGCTTGTTGGGAAGCAAGAGTTCCTGAACCTTTCCCGGCAAAAACGCTGTATACAGATCGACCACAAGCTGTCGATTCCTACCATCTGCCAGCGGCTCTTCTTCAAAGGTGAAGAGCTGGACGATTCGTCGGCCACGGTCGAGAAATTGGGTATGTTGCCCGATATGGTGCTCGAGTTGTTCGAAGTCAAGGAAGGCGCGTTGGGGTTGTCCAAGTTGGAGGATGTGGGGGATGAGATTCGGTCCAAGGGGAAGGCGAGGAGGGAGGAAGGGTTTGGAGGGACGGGGTTGTCCGGGTGGGAACATGCCGGTGGCGCAGAGAAGATGGTCGTGGATGAAGCGAGTGTTGTGGAGGAGGTACCTACGGGTATCGAGGCGTCGAGGAAGCGAAAGGCCGAGGACGCGGTCGCCTCATCATCATCCGCCTCGCCGGCCGCGGAGGTAGCGGTACCGATCGCCTCGCGGAAGAAGGGCCGCCAAGTTATCATCGAAACCGTCGAAGAGGAGGAGGAAAAGGCCGAGACAATGCTCATGTCCGAAGAGGGGGTGACCTGTCCTCAGTGCACGTTTCATAATGCGTCGGGTATGACCCAGTGCGAGATGTGCGATTTGCCTTTCAAGTAGACGCGGGACGATAACGGTGGAGCTTTCTGCACGTGCAAGGTTTAGAATGGTGGATAATTCTTCCTTAGACTGTTGACTGTGTATGCTTGTAGCTTGATATGCAAATGCCCTGTACGCTTCTTCGCTTTCCGCCTCCCTACCTGGTGGACGACTACCACTTACCGACTACGACAGGGCCAATCTTTGTCTCGTCGGTCGTCGATCGTCGATCGTTGCGATGATGCCTGCTGGTGGGCCCCGGGTGGAGCGGCCGAGCCTAAATAGAGGGGCTTGAGGTGATCATAAGTGGACAGCTCGAAATTGGTACGAAACACAAAATGAAATCAATTAATCTCTTTGCGGCACAAAGTTCACGGCCTTGGGCTGCTTCCCTTAGCAAAAGGTAATTTGTTCGACTACAGAGGCGAGCCAATCCGAGGTGGGGGTCGACGCGACGCGTGGACTCTCGTGATGGCCGGCGCGGGTTTGGGATCGAGCCCACCCACGCTCGGTGGCCACGCTCCTTCTCGTTCGCCAGACGAGTCGAAGAGCACGAGCAAGTAGGAGCTCGTTCCTGTTGGCCATGGCATCTTCGTCTTCTGCTACCCGAGCGAACCGACTGTCGATCTCTTCGGATGCGACTGCGGTCGACGCCAGTCGCTCGATGCTGATGGCCTCGTCGTCCTCGGCTGCGGTCGGACTCGGCTTGGGATCAGCGTCCTCGGTAGGGCCGCAGCCTATGACGACGATCCCTCCTCCTCCACCAATTGGTTCCAACGAGACGGGTCAATACCGTAAGCCAGGCAACTGGGATCCCATCACCGTGGCGGCCAGAGCTGACGCTGTTTCCGTCAACATCCCCTCTTCCGTCTCCGTCGTCGTTCCACGCGTGGGATGACGTGACGTGCTTGCCTGCTCGGTACCCAACTCCCACAGACATCTCGAGCATCATCAATGACGGATCCACCACCGCCAGTCTCGGATCGAGCATCAGCTCCGGGACACGGCTACCTGCCTTGTCGCTCGCCCAGAACCCGTACCTGCCTTCGTCCATCTCGTCGCTCGGCACGACCTTCACCTCGGCCGGCACGATGCCCAAAGCCTCGGCCACCTCAAAGTCGGTCGCCCAACGTCGTAGCCAGGCACCGCCGATCGTCATTGGTGGTGGCGAACTACGCCAAGTGCACATCGACGAGTTTGACGCCTATCTCAAAGAGATCGCACCCGCGTTCGAGAGGTGGCAGCAGGAGAGTCGGCTCGGAAGAGACGGCACCGCCGACGTGAGCAACTCGCCCGTCGTAACCCGCGACGACGGCACTTTCGGCGTCACGATCGACGACAAGCACGCCGTCGTCATCAACACGCCCCGGTTGGGGAGGGAGGAACCGTTACCGCCGTTGGAGCAGGTGCCGCAGATCTTTTTCGACCCGGCCTTCAACCTCTCCAATCCGCGCACCTTTGATCTCGTCACCGAGCGCATCAAATCCTCCCCTCCGAGTTCACCAACGAGGACCTCGGATTTCGACGATGCACCCGGATCAGCACCAAGAACACTTTTCACCTCCACGGGCCTAGCTACAGAACCGATCGATGGATTGGGGCCACTCACCCTCGCCGATCTCGCGACCGATCAAGTCTTGCAGGAGAAGCTCTCGCACTACACCGCCGTCATCGAATCCCACCTCGTGCGTGAGATCGGTCGACGTTCCTCCTCCTTCTTCTCTGCCCTCTCGAACTTGCAGTCCCTGCATCATCGAGGCGACATGACGCTAGCCAAAATCGCTGAACTACAGACCGCTCTCGCACCCGATCGTTCGGGTGTCGGCGGTGCGGCGAAGCGAGGTCTCAGCATATTGCGCGCCCAGGCACGACGCAGGGGACTTGAGGCGATTGAGCGAGGGGTACGAGACGTTGAAGAGATGTGGAATGGGGTTGAAGCCGTCAAGGAGCTCGTTGAGAATGGAGAGTGGATCGGTGCGCTCGAAGTGAGCGAGCAGATTGAGGCCGAGTACTACGGGACTCATAACGGTGGAGGCGCGGAGCAAAACGGTCGCTCCAGAAGCTCGACAACAGGGAACCACGATTACACCTCTGCGACACCCTCGACTCCCAACGCAAAGCGGAAACATTCGAACAGCAGCGAGGCATCCACGCGGCTACGGTACACGCGCGTCAATGCATTGGACGGGCTACCACGCAAACTCGGTCTCTTACGAACACAAGTCGCCAAGTCGCTCGAAACGGAGCTCGTTACGGTCTTGAACCACGAGATGGATGTCGGGATCGCCGATTACCAACGACTCGTGGCTGTTGGACGATGGATCCGAGCGAACTCCTCATCAACGACGACGACCGCATCGGCTCCGATGTCAGGGTCCAGCGTCACTCCGCTGTCGCCTGCTTTCACGAGCGCTTTCGGTGTCTCCCTTTCGGATGCGACGGATGAGACGAGTGAGGTTGGACAGGAGCAGACGAGGGAGAGGGCGAGAGATCGGACCCAGCCTATTGTGACTGCGCTTGTGCGAGCGGACGGGATGGACGGCGCGGTAGCGGCTTGGAGGGAGAATGTGCTGAAAGATGTGCGGAGATTGGTCAGAGAGGTGAGCTTCACGAAATGATCTGTGCGATGTCACATACACATCCCTGACCTGTGCTACAAACCGTTCAGCATCTGCCCTTCTCAGATGCGACAGACTCGCCCATGGGAGAGCCAGATGATCCCCTGGCTCTGGCCTCCGTACGCGCCTCACCAGCGGGCAAACTCGGCACTTCGGAGCTCTCGGACAAGAGCGCGACCCTGGCCAAACGATTACGCGCCCTGTCCCACGAGGACTTTATGCGTCTCGCTCGAGCTACGTACCTCGGTATGCTAGGCGCTCTTGAAATCGTCGACGTTCATGCCCATGTCCTCAACGAAGTGGCAAGGGCCAGTTACGATGATGAGCGAGCGAGCCGAGCGAGGCGCACCAGCTTGGACGGCGACGCTGCGCCTAATCCGCCACGTACGTCGTCTTTGAACGTCCCCGGGGCTGAATTCGAGCCGATATCAGCGAAAGGCAACAGCGCGGGAAGTAACGATCGATCAAGCGTGTCGGACGAAGCCGCACTCTACTCGGACATCACCGACGTCGTCCACGCCGTGGCCGAATTAGCGAACTTGCGTTTCTCGAAAGTGATCGGCGTGCGCACGGAGCAACACGCGCACTTACCCCTCGAATCATTTATCGAGATCTTTGATACGTCATGGGCGTTTGTCCTGCGGTGCGAGACGATCTGTCAACGCATGATCGTCGGCTTGCGTGGTGTGATGGTTGGTCAAGCGAAGACGTTCTTACAGACGCTCCATCAGAGGCGGTTGACGGATTCGGCTAAATACGTCGAGGAGGAACAGTGGGCTGCGGCTGACGTCCCGGCTTCAACGCAACACATCGTCAATCTCGTTATCGAAACTGCGACGAATGATCCACCCGAGTTGCTCCTGGGTCAACGGGTCGTAGAAGCCAGATTAGAGTCCAAGAATGGAACCCCCTCTTCGACCTTGATCGCCGATGCCACACCCGAAGCAAGCGTGGCCAAGTCCGCTAAACAAGTCGACATCGAAGGGCGCAAATACTTCGCTGTCTCGGCCGGTGTATTGGCCCTCGACGTATTGGCCGACTATCTCAAAGTCGTCATCAATTGTCCGTTGTTGACCACGGACGCGATGAGCAAAGTCGTCGAATTTCTGAAGGTACGAGTGATGATTGGGAAAGACTTTTTGCGAAAGTGACGAAGCTGACTTGTCTTCCGCCATTCCATCATTTCTGCAGTCTTACAACTCTCGCACGTGTCAAGTCGTGCTTGGGGCTGGGGCGATGCGCTCAGCCGGTCTAAAGAACATTACCGCTAAGCATCTCGGTGAGTCTGATCGCTGTTCAGGTTGAGCGCTCATTTGTGCTGAGACGCTGACGGCTGCTCTTATTGCACGTCGGACCCTTTGCAGCTCTCGCATCGCAGGCGCTCTCAATCATGATCTCGCTCGTGCCCTACATCCGAGAATGCCTACGCCGCCACCTCAATCCTAAGCAAGCAATCATGCTCGTCGAATTCGACAAAGTCAAGCGCGACTACCAAGAACACCAAAGCGAGATTCACTCCAAGCTCGTAGCCATCATGAGTGATCGTCTCGAAGTCCATGCGAAGACGCTCAAGTCGCTCAATTGGGCCGCAGAGGATACGAGCAACCAAGGTGCGAACGCTTACATGGAATCGTTGGTCAAGGAACATATCACGTTGCACAAAGTTTTGTCGCGCTTTCTGCACACCGAAACGGTCATCTTCATCATGCGGCAGGTCTTTACGGCTTTGGAACAACGGCTCAAGTCGGAGTTTGCGGCGATCGAGTTAGCGAACGAGGGGGGCAAACGAAGAATGTTGGGCGACGTGGCACATTTGAGGATGAGATTTGGCGAGCTAAGGGGTTTGGAGGAGTTGGTACCAGGGAAAGAATTGGAGACACTCGTCGCCGCCAAGGACGTACCCAAACCGGTGGCTCCCAAGCCAAAATCGGCCCCCGTGCCGGCGCCCGTACCTGCACCTGCACCCGCACCCGCGCCTACGCCACTCATTCCTGTCGTCGAACAGCCGGTCGTCTCGGTCGCTCCTGCCCCTCCCACTCGCACCTCTACGGAAAGTGTCGAGCCAACTGTAGCCGATCCAGTTCCAGACACACCCGCTACAGCACCTACTTCTGAAGCCCCTACCACGTCCGCACCCTCGACTTCCATCCCTGCTCCGAGCGACAACGTTACCTCGACCCCAACCTTCACTTCCCCCCGCGAATCCCTCGACTCCAACCGTCCCCCCCTCGACTCACCGCCTATAATCTCCTCAAGTACCAACTCCCCCATACTCAATCGTGCTCCACCGACCGACGTACCTCTAAGCACGGACCCCCCGAAACGCAAGTCCGTGGCCGAACGTTTGGCCGAAATGGCGCGGAGGGGAAGTAATTCTGCCGCGAGCAAGGCGTCGAGTTTGTTGCCTCCTTCGGTCAAGTCGTCGCCAAAATTGGGACTGGGATTGGCTCAGGTGCCTGAGACTCTTGAGAAGGATGGGAAGATCGAGGATGTTGTCGCTGCTGCGCAGCCGCAGGAAGCGGTCGGCGTTGCGCAGGAGGAGGTCGTTCAGGCAGCAGCTCCTGACGCTGAGTCGACGGTGATTGCGGATAAGCTGGACACGGTGGAGATAAAGGTAGTACCGATCGTTGAAGGCACTCCTGAGGAAGCCAAGGCGGAGCACGTCGACCCGGTCGTCGTCCCAGACGCCACCCCACCCAAGGAGGAAGCTCAAGAGCATGCTGCCGATGAGGCGCCCGCTTCGGAAACCATCGTCGACCCGATTTCGAGCACCATGGCGTCGACATCACCCCCACCTCCTGCAGTCGACGAGGTCGTAACCTCAATGCAGCTCGAATCTGCAGAGGCTCGTGTCGAACCCCGATTACCAGAAGAGGTGGTCGATTCGGTGACGCCCCCGGAGATCTCCGACTTTATCCCAGACCACGCGTCGGAAGTTGTAGCAGACCCGACAGTGAATATCGACGAAGCGATCGCGGATCTTGCTCAAGAAGCATCTTTTCCTGTGCCTGAACCAATCATAAAGACAGAGCCCGAGTCGGTCCCGAACACTAACGATGATGATACTCCCTCGGACGTGGCGGACACGTCCCCTTCGCCCGTCACTCCCGCTCCTGAACCTACCAAACCCGAGATCGAGGACGTCGAGGACGTCGAAGAAGTAGAAGAGGCGTCGTTCCTGTAGTGATCAGTTCCTTTGCCTTCTCGACCTTCTCGGTAGACCCCGAACGTTGGTTTGAGCAAGTACAGCATGCTCTTTTCGTCACACTCTGCGGGGTCCGAGGCAGTAACTCGAATGACTGGATGAGAATAAACAAAGACTTTATTGTGTTTCAAGTACAAAGAGCGATTATGTGGCAACAAGCTGCGGGATTGTATACGGGATGATATGCAAAAAATCTACGGGATGAAGAACGAGGACGGAACAATGCTCAAAAAATTACGTGAAAGAGATTGACCAGGCGTCGGCCCGTGAGGCGGCGTAGGGATTGGGCTCGAGGACAATGGATCGTTCCGATTGATAGCCGATCCCATCTTTCCGGATGAAGAGGAGAGGCAAAGAGATGGCCGACCTTGAAAGCGATGCGGTCTGCGAAGCATTGGACACTTCGGCCGCTTCGCCCACACTTCTCGCTCGCAATTGTTCGGACAAAGCCTGCACGTCCCGATGGACTGCCTGGGTGGACATGGGGACGAGTAAAGAGGTGCCAGAGGTGCCGGCCGTAGCAGGTGATTCGCGCGACGCAGCCAAAGGCGAACACGAGATCGCTAGGATCGCCTCAATGGAAGGGAGCTCGAACGAGATGACAGAAGACTTGACTTGGCGAGTGATGAGTGGATTCGATGGGATTTTGGTACGCTCGGCCTTGGTTCCTGTGGCTACGTTTGGAAATCCGGGCTCGAGGGGCGTAGGCTGAGCAGCAAACTCGCCAGCTTGAATGATTTTGGTCGCAAGCGGCCCCAAGGGCCCGAGCCAAAGCTCCATAGGCGAGCGCTCCACTTCGTTGTTGAAGAAGTCGGATACCGCAAACGAACATGTGTGGGTGTGCGGATCAAAGGCCGGTCGGGATTGAACGAGCGGGAAAGGCGTGATGGGTCTCAGACTCGACAACCGTAGAGGACTGTTCGCCTCGGGGGAGGTGTCAAAGTACGAGTACGAGAACGAATCGATACCGACGACCGTCCAGGTCATGAAGTCCGTCACGATGTGGTAGCCCAGGTTGTCCTGATCGTCAGCTGGTAGCGAGCCGACGGGAGGCTGGTAGGAGAGAAATTTCTTCGCGCCCGCCGAGTCGTCGTCGCTCGGGTACCCATCCGGATCGTGCTCGGTCCCGTAAGTGTACGACTCCGAATGCTGCGACAAGCCATCTTTGTCTATCCCATCCGATGACGGGCTCAGATAGATCGAATAGCCACAGTCATTGACGCGAGCAAGCGCCAGCTTCTGCAATTGCGCTACCGGACCCCTAGCCCCAAGAAAGACGTGCCCCTTCTCGACCTTGCGAACGATCATGGGTTCGCTCGTGACGCCCGTCATCAAGTCCGTCAATACGATCTCGCTGCCGTACGTGACCGCCTCGGGACCACCGTCAGCTTGGTGACGGAAAAACGTCTCGCCTACGTCCTGATCCGCATCTTCGCCACCTTCGGCACGCTTGGTGACATGAATCTTGAACGCTGTCCACTGATACGCGCGAGAGCTCAACCGGCCTTCCTCGGTGACAGCAAAGGTCGTGCGCACTGTCTGCGCATTAATGCGATTGAAAAGGGCGATTGTCGACTCGGCAAACAGGCAAGAGCCCGTGTTGCGCGCACGCACCGTCTTCTTGCTCGGCTTGGAGATGATCTGCATTTCTGCAGAAGAAAAGGACGCTAGCGCCTCGTTCAACGTCTCCATCGTCTCCATCGGTTCAGCCTTGCGCACACTCCCGTTTTGGAACAGCGGCTTTGGTGGTGCCGGTCGGTCGCAAGGGTGAAGCGAGAGCTCAAGACGAAACGTCTTGGCCTTGCCCGCCTTCCCAATGTGCAACGACCGAAGGTAGTAGCGAGCGTCCGGATCGGCCGTGGTGCCATCCTCGCTTTCGATCGCGCTGTGTTCACGCGAGCAGTAGATCCCGTTGTCACTGACAACTTCGACCACGAGTCGAGGGTAGCTTGAGAGGCGGTGCAGTGGGCCCGTGACGCGGACCATGGGGGGCGGGTTGAGGAACCGTTTTTCGTTGCCATACGATTTTTGACCCACCGAAGCATGTAGGCACGTGATCGTCGTCAGAGGAAATTTGGAGGGAGGGGTCAACGCTACCGTCAAGGATGAACATCGCATTGAGTCGAGCAGAGCAACTTCCGGGTACTCCCGCGTCCTGTGGTGTCGTGCCAGATCTTCGCCGAGCATGGAGGTACGCTTGCGCTTTTGACAGAGGGTGGGCGAAGCTGGCGCATGGGCAGGCAGCGCCGCGTCGAAGCCCTGAGAGAGCGAATGCGGCATGTCGGAGTGCGTTCTATGGATATGAGATGCGCTGTATACTTCACCCTGCCTTTCATTCGTAACAAAGTTCGGGATTGGGTGGGGCTGGTGGCCGTTCAGCCCGGAGCTCGAACATGGGTTGAGTGGATACGAGCGTTCCGTGGGAAAAGCGAGGCTGTCGGTCGACATCGGGAAAGCACCTAGCACAGGCGAGGATTTGTGCTTGTATGGGTCGATCGGCGGTAGTGAGGTCTGCGTCGATGTCGAGGCCGCTTCCGCGCATCTGGGTGACCCCTGAGCGCCACCGGTTGTCGAGGACGCCGAGTTCCGTCTCGAATGGTCGGTCGTGTTCGGGTACGCCGCCGCGCTGAAATCGATGTTACGCCCCGCTGCACCCCTGATCGCTCCGAGTGCGGTGTCGAAGGTCTTCCACGCCTGATGTACCGGTAATGTTGGAGAGTCAAAGCCGGATCGAGAGGCGTGAACCGGAGGCATGCTCGACGAGAGCGACGACGACGACGACGACGACGACGACGGGGGCTGGTGTGCCATCGTGTCTCGAGCCGGTTCAGGATGTAAAGTATGAGCCAGGAAAGCGGTGTCTCGGGAGGCGGCAACGAAGCTATCTGGTGCGGGATAGGAGACATGGCCCAGACCGTTCGGTGCACACGCGAGCGAAAACGCTGCCGGTCCCGGGAGTGGTTGCGAGAGCGGTAGCGAAAGGTGTGGTCGCGCACCGGCAAGCGGAGCGATCCCCTCCGAGCCACCAAACGCCGAAGCCAATGGAGAAAAGCTGAGAGGAGCGGGCATGGACGAGTGTGACATGTGCCCTGAAGATAGGTTCAGGCACACCACAGGGTCAGCACCGTTACTCCGGGAAAAACACCACGGCCAGCCTGCCTGCGAGGACGGCGCACGAGCATAGACCCAGACCTACCGGGCTTGAGAAACGCCGAGTACGGTGTTGAGGACGACGGAGCGGATGCAGAAGCATGCGCTGCAGAAGTACCCTACTTCGACAGACCAACAAAGCTTCAGTACGGTGTGACAGGATGACAACTACTGTTGCGAGCACCGAGGAGAGGGCCAGCAATCGGCGGGACTGACGGAGATACAGTGCATAAGGATCCCTAACGGTGGGGCCGGCGCCGGGTCAAAGCCATACACGGCCGTCATCGACGGCGACGAGCTCGTGCTTGTGCTCGGACGTCGTCCCGCGTTCGACCCGCTGGCAGTCGCAGGCGAAACCATCGGGTATCACTCCGCTTCGCCTGCTGTGGCGCCCGATCACGCACACACACCCGCCGATATGCCAGTCGTCGTAATTTGACACGGTTTGGGAGCAACCGACTCAAGAGGCTTTGCGAGACACGCGCGAACCCCGAGTTGCCTGTCAGCGCTGTCAGCTTTCCAAGCGCTAGCCCAGGCACATCCAAGCCTCGAATGGTGACGTAGTGTGTGTGTCTCAGCCAGCGTCGAGTTATAAATCCCGAAGCTCCGAGGACCTAGGCACTACTACTAGTGACCAGCTGTAATGCGTTCGCACTCTTTATAAAGGTTGGTGCAACGGCGGTATCGACTTGGTCGGATGAGGGAGTGCACAATATCGAATGTAATGGGCTGCTCGGAACAGGAGCAGAAGAGTAGGAGAACAGCTGCGCCTCCCAGTTCACGCACTTTTGCGAGGACAGAACAACTGTAAACAAGCCGGGGCAAGCTTAACAAAAACACCGACAAAGACCGCGGCATTTTAGTTCTCGATCCTGGTAGCTGGCCAGCCGCGCCGATCCTCTTTTCCACCCCTTTCATGGTTTCAGGGGCTAGCGTGGCGGCTGGGCCGTCTCCCTTTCTTCCAGTCTCCTTATTCGGGGTTATGGGAGGGGTGAACTTAAGGCCGATGTCTTTGAGACATCTCGTGGGCCCATCAAAAATATCGTGGAACACTCCACAACGTGTTCAATGCACAGCCTCGCGCCAAGGACCGGTCGAGTCGGTGCGCCTAATACGGTCCGAGGAGGCATGCGACACCGAAAAGAAGCTAAAACGCATTCACGAGATATAAGAGGGGTTAGTAAGTCGTCCATCCACGGAAAAGTCCTGTTCGACGTGGTGACATCAACTTTGCGGAGCACTTCAGTGCGACCAGGAGAGGACCAGCAAAAGTTGTCGAGTTCTTAATGTTGTTTGGGGAGGTCGTGGCAAAAACGTGGGCGACACCTTTTCCCTCCGAATCGAAAGGATTATCAGCATCACCTTCATCGACGTCATCGCTCATGGTGGGTCGGTAGTACGTCTTGTCACCGTTGAGCAACGCCGCGTGATAGGAGACTTGTTCGTCCTAGGCTTGCGCGTCGAACGTATGTTAGATTCTGTCTTTGAACAGGACTAGCTGGCACTTAAGACTTAAAACTTAAAACAAGCCGTTGTGATCCTCGGTTTGGGTCTGGGTACATATCTCCGAATTCCTCGATCCTAGGAGGTATCGGCTTCTTGCTGTCGCACGAGCCGGCTCTGATTGACTTGGAGTGACCGCTCTGTTGAAACCAAAGAAGCGAGTCCCACGGCTCTGGTCATTTCTGCTGGAGACTTCTACCTACTCGGATCATTACAGGACCGAACCCTGGCCGCGAGTATACCTGAAAGTCAAAGCGGTACAAAGGGAGGGAAGCCGCTGGCACCCGTGATCTTGCAATAGCCGGATACCGGGACTCGACAGACAGCACCTTCGCGCGGATCACCGCCGTCAACTGAACGTTAACTACCGTCGCACCGGATTTCCCGTAGGGAGCCACCGGCCAAAGCTTGCCGGGGTCATCAGATGACCGGTCTGGCGATAAAGTGATGACCAGATATATAAACCACGCTATATTCAAGTGAGAATTGAAGAACGAAGATGGTATACAAAGTGCCGTACAATCACTGTTGCTTGACTCGAGCAGACAAAATATGTACATTCACCCCCTGCTTCCCCATCGACCCCTGTGTGTCCTCCTCACCAACCGACCATCACTCTCAATCCGTCTCGACAGCGACAAGAGGACCCGCAACGGTATTCGAATCTTCGAGATTATTCGACGAAGTCGTGACCATGATGTAAACAACCCCTTTCAACTTCTTCGGCAGGTTGACACGATAATAAACCGATGGCGGGCCTCCCTTCATCGGTTCGTAGGTCGTCACCTTCTTCATCGGTTCGTAAATCGTCGTCCCCGCGTTGAGGAAAGCGGCGTAGTACTTCTTGGCGGGGAAAGCGGGTTCGGTGAAGTTCAGACCCATGCTGTATTTGGTTTGCGAGTCTGGGCTGGTGTATAAGGCAGGGAAGATCTGGAGAGGTGGGAGGGGTTTCTTGGGACCGCACGAACCGGGGACGATGAAGTCGGCCATAGCGCTGTGCCGTCAAGAGAGAGGGTGTAAAACCATATCGAATGAGCACAATTTAACCTTTGAATGTCTATAAGCAGACTCACGTATAGGCCTGGGAATATGTCAGCGCGGTCTCAAAGGGCACGGGGAAGCCACTCTGACCCTGCAGCTCGGCGTGATAGGCCGCATGGCGAGCCTCGACAGCCATAATAGCACTATAGGCATAGGTCAAACGCTCGTTGGAAAGCTCCCGAATGGCAGTCTGGTACGCGCCGACGCCGATCCCCTCGATGAACTCTGCACTACGAGCGAACCAAGCTGCAGTGGACATCCTGATCGAGGAGGAGAAAGTGTATTTGCAAGGCGAGACTGCATTATCGCCGAGTACACCTTCGAAGGCGCGAGAGTGGACCTTTTCTTCTTTTGCTATTTGTTCGAATCGTTGACGATCACGGTGGTCGAGGCCGGCTTTGGCAAAGTCTTCGGCGCTGAACCTTTTGAGACCCTCAAAGCTGTGAACATGATTGGAGAGGCGGGTGGTCGGATGACGCCCCGAGTCAGTACAAGACCTCTCGAAGGCCACCTTCTGTTGAATTAAAACCTCGAGAGGCACGACTCAACATACTAGAAGGCTTTTTCGAAGTGCTGAGAAGGGATTTGACCCGAAAGAAGCGAGTAGGTTGAAGTATGACCGAAGGAGCATCAGTCAACGGAAAGCATGATCGGCTTTAGAACTGGGAGCTAAGCGCTGGGTAAACACCTGCCTGGAAGGTGAGACCTATTCAAGGAGCGAACAAGAGCAGGAGTTAATTCAGATGCATCTATCGAGGGCGATCATCGGTTAGATCTATAATGGACCCTTGAAGCTGGTCACGACAAGCTCAAGTCGGATGCCGGATCGACACCATCCAGCCGCCGATTGACAAATCCAAACAAGCTTGTACGACCATACCGTCCTGCTTACGTCATAGTGAGAAGGAGGTGACTCACCAAAGTTGAGAATCTCGATATCTTTCGCGGTGGGCGTGATAGCGCGCTTGATGTATCGAACCATGTGATCGTTCGTGCCTGCCGCGAAGACAGGGGACGCGAGCGCCGTCGCGACCAAACCGAAGACGATTCCCGTTCGCATGTCGAATAAGGGGCGTGGTCAGTGAGAACGAATGTGGTGATGAAGCTCGCTATCAAAGAGCCTGTGAACAAGGAAGCAAAGTGACGGAAATAAGGAAGAAAGGCATCTTGAGCTGACAGTCGATGGCAAGCAAGAACTGAATTTGACCTCAGAGTTGAGCGATCTCGTGCGTTTCATTCCCGAGGCCTCGGCGTCTCGGCATTCTATTGAGCCTGCAGACATTGGCGGCAATCGGCGCGCGGGTCGAGCTCGTTCCTTGGCCCGCTCAGGCGAAAGGTCATTTGTGATCGACTCGATCAGCTCTGAGCGAGCTCGTGACGAATTGAACCTAGGGGTTGAAACCCGAGCAATCGCGCATGAAGTCATAGGTATGTAGATACACTGAAGCGTGCTAGACCTTGACCGCTGCCAATGGCAGCACGGCCGAGTAACAGGGTACGCAGATCTTTTGAGGCTTTTTAGGTCGGCGCGACTGCTCATCGAGATCACGTAATGAGGATACTGCTTCGCAAGCCGGCAGAAGGCTCACAATATAGAATGACTCGGGTTCAAAAATAAAATAAAAATCTAAATGGTCGAGACTCTTACCTCGGCAATGTGAGCTGCTGCGAGTCCCACCGAGCTCGCGGAAGATTCTGAATTTGGGTCGTGAAAATTGTTCGAGCTCGGACGTCTTGAAACCCCAGCGCTTACCCAGCTAGATTGGACAGGGGAGCAGTCATAACGTGTTCCCATTTTCGTCTGGGCGCGGTCGGAAACACTTTGGTTCAAAGACGCGTCAGTGGTGGTCTGTAGTGATCGAAGCCTGGATCGCGCCGCTCGGTCGTTGACTAGCCGGGTCGCCCGCCAGCGCAGTGCAGGGCTGGCCTCTTCCACTTCCCCCACCCCACTTGTGCTGCTGAGCTGACCCGGAGCCGGACTTGCCACGCCACACGAACCACCCCACCCTCCTTGCCAAGACGACGGCTTCAGCTGCGACGGTGACGGTGACGCCGACGACGTCGCGTCGCGTCCGCGCTCGTTCGAGTAGCAGTAGTAGCAGCGGTAGTGCCCTTGGACCTGCACCTTCCCGTGCCGCTCTCGGCGCTGACGATAACGGCGACGGTCAGAACGGCGACGAGGGCGACGACGACGCGAGTCGGCCGACCAAACGCACCCGGCTTGAACCACCCAGCGCATCTACGACTACGACGACGATGCCGCAGCTGATCGAGGAGTTGGTCTCGAACGGCCACAGCGCCACGACGAATGGCAACGGCTTGAGCAACGGCGAAGGACCGTCGTCGTCGAGCAGCAGCCTCAGCCTCAGCCTCAGCCTCCGCTCCGCCGCCGCCGCTGCCGCCGTCAGCAGCAGCAGCACCGCGTCGACCGAGCCACATGACGCCGCCGCCGCCGCCGCGCTCGCCAGCACCGCCGGGGGCTCTTCGTCGTCGTCGGCCTCGCCTGACCACCACCGGGATGCGAACGACTACGAACACAGCTCGTTCAAGCCGCTGTGGCCAGGCAGTGACATCGACCGCCGGGAATGGGTCAGGCTCGCCCTGCAGACTTTCAAGGAGATGGGCTACGCGTACGTTCCCGACCGAGCGGCGGTCCCCCCACTTGGAGACCTCGACCGCTGACCACACACCACTTCCCCGCTCATCTCGTCGTCGACAGGGGAACGGCGCAGGCCCTGACCCGTGAATCGGGCTTTGAGCTCGAAATCGATGACGTGACCACCTTTAGGAACGGCGTGCTGCAAGGCCAATGGGACCTCGTCGAGGCGATGCTGGTGCAGCTCCCCGCCCACCAAGTTAAAGATCACACCGTCAGTTTCGCCTGTGTTCATCTGCGAGGTGGCGGCGACAGCAAACCGGTCTGACAGACGTTCCATTCGTTGCTCGCCCTTTAGACCGTTCGGTTCAAGATTAGACAGCAAAAGTTCCTCGAGGCGCTCGAGGCCAAAGAGACCAAAAAGGCTCTCTTCACCCTTAGGAACGAGCTTGCACCCCTCGGTCATGATTCGGATCGGCTGCACTTCCTTTCAAGGTGCGTTGATGGATGTATCGCTCTCGTCCTGCGAGCGTATGACTGACTCTGGATGCACATCACAGCTTGATCATGTGTGCCTCGGCCGAAGATCTTCGAGCTCGGTCCTCGTGGGATGGCGTTCACGGCGAATCGAGGAAGAACCTGTTACTGCAACTGCAAGGTAGGGCAGAGGATGACCGTATCCTCCTCTTCATACATCACCTACTTAAGTCCTCTGCTCCCCACCAGATTATATCTCCCCAGACCTCATGATACCCCAACGGCGCCTCGAGACCTTATTCGAGCAAGCCAAAATTCATCAGCAACGCCAATGCGTCTTCCACATCCACAACGACTCCTTCACCTCCCTCCTCGCCGACTGCAAATGTGACCCACACGCGTTCCCCTCGACGACGACCCACATCCTGCACGAGCACACGGACGAGATCTGGCGACTCGAGTTCTCCCACTCGGGAGAATATCTCGCGACCGCGGGACGGGATCGCTTGGCCGTCATCTGGAAAGTGTCGACCGGGTTTACGCTTGACAAGGTCTTCCGCGAGCACTCGGACCCCGTATCGTGCATCGCGTGGTCACCGGATGATACGATCCTTCTCACCGCTGCGGAGAGCGTCATCAAGATGTGGAACACGGAGAAGGGCCACTGCATCGCGACGTTGAACCAGCACGCGTACCAGATCGGCGCTCTGGCTTGGTTCCCTGACGGCAAAGGTTTTGCTTCTGGAGGGATGGATTCAAAGATCTACTTTTGGGATCTGGCGGGTAACATTACCGAGAGCTTGCAGAACTCGCCTTCGAGAGTCATCGATCTCGCCATCACCCCCGACGGCTCGAGATTGGTCGCCGTCGGACGAGTCGACACGAGCCCTTCGGTCCTAGCTTCGCGTGATCAGAGCAGAACGCAGAGTGGTGCCGATACACCGGCGCAGCTTGCGTCGAATCTAAGAGTCCCGATCGAGCCCAAGCATGACAATCGGATCTCGATCTATACTTTGGCCGACCGCAAACTCGACTTCGAAAGCACACAACCGCACGAGTTGACGTCGGCCAACATCTCGGATGACTCACGGTTTGCCATCATCGGCCATGCGCCGGATGAGATCCTTTACCTTGACCTGCGGGATTGCACCGTGGTTCGACGGTATCAGGGCCATAACCAGGGGACCTTTGTCCTTCAGGCATGCTTCGGTGGCCCATTGCAGAACCTGATCCTGAGCGGCAGTGACAAGGGGGAGATCTACATTTGGCATCGTGACACGGGGGTATTGATTAAACAATTGACGGGCCACAGCGTCGAAGGCTCGGTCAACGCCGTCTCGTGGAATCCCAAGAATCCTACGATGTTCGCTTCAGCCTCGGACGACAACACCGTGCGGATATGGGGCGTTCGGGCCGGTCCGACGCCGACCCCCATCGTCGTTAATGGCAACAACGGCAAGCGTTCGGCTTAGAACCTCTTGCCTCCTGTCTGTGAACCCAGCTTTCTTGTCGTCCGTCTTCCATCGTTGCATATCTTCTCTCGTTTTTGATTTTCGAGCGACCTCTACACCCTGTTTTGTTGTATCTTCGATCGCTCCTGTTTGCGTCTCTCGCCACGCGCCCTTCTTGATCCGAGCTTATCCTCTCCTGCGATATTTCTGACAAGGCTGATCTCAAATTTGCAAATCACATGTATTGCATCATCATAATTATACAACGGAGAGGGCATTCTTTATTACGTCCACTCACAAAATGGCGATCGCTAGGTTGATCCAACAACCGTGGGTGACCTGATTTTCAGATTTGACTCCTGGAGCCCTTCGCTTATCCTCGGCACCTGTGTTTGCCTCATCCCAAGGGACGAGGACGGATTGATGATGCCTCTCCCGGCATTGCACACTCGAGAGTTATCGAGCTCCAGGCCTTTGCCTGTGAGTTTGAGTTTCAAGTTGGAGAGGTTCGGGGGGGGGGGGGGGAACGGAAAACCCGAGGATCCTTCACTGCAAGGGCAAATCCGGGCGACCTCACCGAGTCCCGAAAGCGGGCAAGGACCATGGATGCGAGGCAGAGTAGTCTTAGCTCGATTATACCGAATTTTATGGTATCTCCGCTGGAATGTTGGGCTTTAATGAAGGAAAGCCAGACTTGATTGGCTGAATCCCATAAGCACCGCGGCGGCCACTGCGGCCCCGTTGCCTCCGAGTAAATCGCTGCACAAGCAGGCCGTTCGCGACTCCATGTTGGGTGCCGATAGAGGCATCATGATATTTTGACTTTTTTGAAATAGCTTCATCACCAACGACATACCCAGGATATAGAGCGAAGAAACACAGAATGGTTGCCTCACTTGAATAATTAATTCCTCTTGACCCAGCGCGCCCGAATGACCCCGACGCACGACGAGGCGACCCCCTCGTCCTCTTCTCCAGTTTACTCCGCCCGTCCCCACTTGATGAGAACCGCGGTGTGATCTCTCAGATCACACATCCATGCGGACCTCCCACAACACAAGACCCGATCCTGATCGTACGAAACACCATCGTCGTTCGGGGTCCAAAGGTACGGGCTAGAACAACCTAGCAAAACCAAGCGTCACGTATCTCGCCGTCCGTTGTGTCTCGTAGTTCAAATGAGGTGAAGGCGTCGTTTTAATGGCGCGACATTCTTTTCTTCTCCGGTCCAGTTTGGTATCTGTTGTATCTCGTGAGGCTGTACTGGTGCTTCGTCGGGCAAGGAAGCCCGACTCTGATCATCACGCGAAAGCGGCTGCTGCGAAGCTGGCGCTGAGCCACGCCACTTTTCCTCGTCGGACTGTGGAACACTCATTCCAAAGTGCGAGAGGGAGAGAACCGTTCAGTGTGGTTTGGAGGTGGCCTTGGATCTATCGTCTTACCATGGCCCAGAGGTAGCCTGTGATGGGCTCTGAATGTAGCCTGGCTCTCACTTCCACCGCCGGCTCTCTGCCCGTTCGTGGCTCGAGCTCTGCGCTGGGCCCTCGGCGAGTCCGGATCCGACCGAGCACAACTCTCCCGGTTCTCTCTCGCATCCCAAAGTCGATGACCAAATCCTGAACAGATCTAATGATAGACTCCAAAAACTCGGGAGAAGAAAAGTGGTTTTCCAATCAAGACTACAGCGTGTACGACGTCCACTTTCGCAGCGACTTGAACGCTATGAGGAACGAACGCAAGAAACCCCCCCCCCCCCCCCATGCCGACTTTCTCGACTCTTCACGGCCCTTGATTCGGTTGGTTCGGGACCTTGTTCGAGTTGAACAGATCTACAACAAACCCAAACAACACAATCAGTCCGATGCAATTCGGGTAATAACCACGTGACGATGGGGAGTGTTGCTTACATGCTTTGAGGCCGTACATGGAGATCTCCTGCTTGGCCTCGGAGAAGGTGTGGCCCTGCTCGCCCGCCGAATGGGCGTAGACCTGCCGTGAACATCGAATCATCAATCGTGGAGACCTCGAAAAGAATGAATGTAGAGTTCGCGAGTCCCCTCACCTGCTTGTACATCCACAAACTGCCTAAACCCTGCAGGACCCAGCACGCCGTCGCGAGCGCGCAGAAGATTCCGGCGACAAGATGACCCGTCGCGAAACGTGCTGAGCAAGCAAAGTACAAAATCCATCCGTCAGCTCGAGCCATGAGCCCATAGCGTTTTCTTGCTCGCCTCGGGACGTACAGATGAGGTTGATGATGCCGGCCGAGCCCGAGCTAGGAATACCAATGATCATGTCTGCACCTCGTCGACGGTCACAAGGTCAGAACACGCTCTAGCGCGGCGTTGAGAATGGTTCGACGTACATGCACTGAACGCGAGATGGAAACCAGCAAAGAGGAAGTACATGTCTGCGAAGCCGAGACACGTTTTGAAGTTAGGTCCGAATTCCTCCCCTGACATGGACGACGGGCGCGCAAGGACGTACAAAAGAACATGGCCGAGCCTTTCATGTAGGCGTTGTAGGCCGGTCGGTACCAAAGAAAGAACGAGAGGGCCTGTGTATGGGGAAACGTTCGGAGGAGGTTAGACTCCTTGTAGGGCGAAGAAGATTCTGTCCGAGTGACGGCAGAACGTACGCCAATGACGGGCAAGTACATGATTCCGGCGGCGAGATCTGCTCCCCCGTTGTTAGCTGATGGGCGGGGTACACGAACGACGGCCGAAAGAGTGAGCTTGGTGTGACTACATTTCCTGGAGTTTCAAAAGCGGTGCGCGGTCAAGAACCCACCTTGGGAGATGAGCAAGAGGATCGCGGCGACGAGGTTGACGGTAAGCGTGAGGATGAGGAACATCCACAGTCGGTACTGGATGCACAGAGGTGGTGATGGATCAGCCTCCGAAGTTTCCCCCTCCCAGCCACGCGCTCAACTGACGAGGGTCAATACGGTCGATTGGTGCTCGGCGGGAATCTCTTCGTTGATGTCGTGGTAGATGAGCGGGAACGGTCCTGGTGGCCAGTTGTTTCGACCATGCTGTTCACATCCAAGCATATCATGTCAGTCTCACTCTCTTGCCCGCGCCCTCGTCCGAACCTATTCCGAAGCAAGCCACGTCCCCGTCTCCCCGTCTCCCCGTCTCCCCGTCTCCCCGTCTCCCCGTTCGTCCGTCTCGTGAACCCATCTCGCGATCCCAGAATCCCCAACTGACCTTCCGGATGTGTTCCGCCTTTGCGGTCAGCTGCGCCTCCCTGGACCGCAACTCCTGTTCCCTCCTCTCCAAATCCTGGAACCTACTCTGCATATCGACGGGCGCGGAACCGGTCGCTGCAGCGGGTGTCTTGGTCGTCGCCGCTTCATAGTCGGCATCTTCGCCGTACTCGTGGGCGGAGGAATGAAGCCCCTGTTGGACCGTTGGGTCTGCGAAGGGGTTCTGGTGATGCACGACAGATCTGCGATCAGCGATCCGTCACTTGCCGCCCTGCTCTGGCGCGAGTCATTTCGACACGCGAACCACCGGCGACATGCTCAGCCGAACCGAAAGGGGTGCTACTGACCGAGTCCATCCCCTGTTGGTGGTGGGGATCGGCGAAAGGGTTCGACATGATCGTGGAGGGTGGCTGTGCGTGCGATGGGCCGCGTCGAGGTTGGGTGTATGCGCGCAGAAAGGGAGACGAGCCTGCATCCAAAGTGAACAAAGTCGACCGAGCCCCACGTCAACGCCTCACCGCCGCCTCCTCTCGTCCGAGACACAAGGCCACACCAAAGCGCGCGTCGAGGACAAGTCCACGCTCAAACCTCAGCCCGCCGGCACCGGTGCAGGATGCAAAAAGCGTCGTTGACCCATCAGAATGTGTGCATCGTTAGCAAGAAAGATTGGCGAACGAAAAAAGAGTAATGGTGGGAGAAAGAAAAAAAAGGCATACACAAACTAACGTAGTAGCTCGAGTGGGACAATGAGGAAAAGGAAAAGGGCCGAGCCGGACAGAGAAAAACAGAAGATGCATGCTGCGTTTTTGACGTGACGGGGGAACCGAGCAGAGCATTTCTTTTACATTGGTATCGAAGAGAATTTCTGTGCATGTGCGTGTTGCGTTCAAAGTGGGGCCAGTGATGGATATGCGACGGCTGAGACGACAAGAAAAAGAAAAAGAGTTGGAACAGGCCTTTCGATTCGGTGTCCACATGGAGCGGGTGTGGTACCTAGACACCGACATCAGAGCGACCAAACGCCGAACCTGTCGGCGAAAAAGGGTGGAAATTGATATCACGCAGCCCCGGCGACAACGAAGGCGGCGTGACGGGCTGTGAAACGACATGTGGCGGAGAGGGCGCAGGAGCCGCAAGCGAGGTCGTCAACGTCGGTTGTCCGACCGTACTCGAAGAACTCGAGCTGTACTGGTAAGCGTTCGGCGCCGGTGGTGGCATGTGGTAGTAGTTGGGATACTGCGAGGGATAGGAGGGACCAGATGGCGGCTGCATCGGCATCGCCGAAGTTTGGAAACTCGCGCTGGTTCCGCGAGGGTATGGCTGAGAGTGACCATATGGCGAAGTCGAGGCTGGGGACCCGTAGCTGCGCATCGGGGGTTCATAATACGGTGCTTGGGGGTACCGAGGAGGGTGACCCGATTGCCCATGATCCCACTGACCCGAAGGTGGGTACTGTCCCCGATTCGCACTGCCGTACCCATGGGACTTGCCCATCGTCGACGGGGGCCCTGGCTTGGCTCCTCCTGATGTCCCACCCTCGTTTACCGGTGGCGACGATCCCACAGGCGACGAAGCGATGATCCCCAAATCCTCCTGCAACTTTCGATACGCCGGAATGGTTGTAACGCGCAGCGACAGCAGGACGGCTCGTATACGGTCGACCACTTTTTTGCGCGCAAGCTCGTCCGAGATGGAGGCGTTGAGGATCTTGCTCATGCAAGCCGCGCCATGTGCTTGATCGGCGAGGATTTCTTCGACGACCTTGGTCTTGGGGTCGAGCAAAGCGTCGAGGATGATCTGGGACGCCACCGGATCCGCTCGCTGGTTAATGATTTTGAGCACGGCCGTCGATGCGAGCTTGTGCGCGCACAGATGAGGAAGGTGGGGTGCAAACCGAGCGGCCAACACGCGGTATCGACCCGGCAGATCGGACGTGTCAAGCAGCCAAGTGATAAGCAACGCCCCATTGGCGCTTGTGGCGAGAGGGATCGAGTTGAGCGCCAACGCAGCCGCTACACGTGCGATGTTGAACCGACTCGTTTGGGGACTCTCGAGCGTCTGCCTCGTGCTCCTCGCTCCGTATCGACCCGAACCAATCTCCCAGCATCGGTCGATCATCGCGTCAAAAACAAAGTCACTCAACGGCGACCCAAAGCGGAGCGCGCCTTGGACGACGTAATTGCCGACTGTCAAAAGTAGGTCAGCACGAAGCGCCTCCGCCGTGGAAACACAATTTTGCGGAATTGGTACTGACAGTCGTTTAGCAACAGCGGCGGAGTATACGGCGCCAGATTTTGCTGGATGATCGCCATCTCCTCCGGCTCCTGAACGCACTGCACAATCTTCTGCACCGCCCAAGTCCCATTCTTGTGCGTGCCGATCGCCGCCAAAAAGGGGCCTACACGTTCGAGCATAGCCATTCGAGCCGCGAGCGAGCATCGCTCAAACAGTTTCTGTACGATCGTATTACCGATGTAGTCGCTCGCGAGGGCAGCGCATTCGTCAAGAATCTCAAAGGCGATGGTATCGACCTCATCCGTCGAGGTCTGAGGCGAGTCGAGACGCTTGCGCAGATCACGCAACCTCGGTGCATCCACGTTCGAGTACCGACGACCGTAGCGCGGGTCGTTGAGGACCTGCAGGGGTATCGATGTATGGTACGTCGGGGCAGGTCGGGGAGTGGCCAATTGCGCGATGTGTGCTTCAACGTCGGGCGAGTCGTCGCTCAACTCGCGCACAAGCAGCTGCAGGTCCGTCACCGAACCGAAGTGGGCCGTCTCTATACTCTCGTCGTTCGAGCTATCTTGGCCATCATACGCGTTCACAGGTGAATTCAAAGCACCCGTGGACTTTTGAGCGTTGATGAACTGCGGGTTCGAAACCGCGGCCATGACGAGGTTGCTGCGGAAGTCGCTCATAGGGCTATCTGCGACTTGCTGCTCCAGTGAGACACCATTCGCGCCGCCAAGGTGCTGTAACGTCGTGTAGGACATGGGAGGCATGTTGTTGAAGCCGCCAGAGCCGCAAAAGTCGCTGCCGTTGATGATCTTGGTCGGCACCTTGGCGAAGCCGATGCGCACGCCTCCGACTCCGACGCCGAGGATCTCCCGACCATTGAGCGCCTTACGAGCCGAAATGGCGTCGTCCAATCGTTCGTAGTTGATGAACTGTTCACAAAGTATCGTCACATCAGAGATGAGTTTTCCATACCCACCAAGCTACCTGCCCACGCGGACTTACTCCGCAAGACTTGTGCGTCAGAACGCGTGCGGACTCGATGGGACCGAACGCAGCAAAGACGTTGAGTAGTTGATTCGGCGTCGTCGTCGAGGGAATGCTGCCGATCCACAGAGCTCGCGTCGGCGTCATTTGAGGATTGAGCTCCTCCGGACCATTGTACGTCCCGCTCGCCAACCCGCCAAGCCCTCCAGTATGGCCCGGGTGGGAATTCTGATGATGCTGTGGCGGTGCGTGGCCAGAGAGTAAGATGGGGCCAGAGGCGGTCCTCATTTGCGTCATTGAGGACATGTTGCCCGCTAGGGAGATATCCTTGCCATACCCGATTCGAACGAGGTTGCTCGAATTGTTCAACTGGCCACCGAGGCGGTTTGAGACGTCCTCCTTGGCGCGGACGGCATCGCCAATGGACACGAAATTGACAAACCCACACTCCTGTACACGGGCCGCAAGAACTCACGCGTCAGCGGACGATCACTGCAAGGATACCGAGCCGAATGCGCGCCATACTTTTTCCGGGATCAAACGCAAGCTTTCGATCGCTCCATAGGGGGCGAACACGTTCTGTAGTTCGGCAGGTGTCGTGCGCGGATCGAGATTGCCTATCCAGAGACTGCGAGTCGGCTGTTGCGCCGGCGGGGTGATCGACGCCGCAGCGACACCTTCCGGGGTGCGTGGTCTTGTGGAGTTCCACACGTTCTGTAATTACAAGTACACCGCCTCGACTGTCAGCAACCTCGTCATCCGTCTCGCATTTGCCCTAGGGTACTCACCTCGTCCATCTGGCCCAGGTTCATTCCCCTCATGCCCATCATCATCGAATCCACCGGGGAACCCTCGACATCATGATCTGGCCCTCCCCTCCCATTATACATACCCATAGAAACGACATGCGGTGTAAGTCCGATCGTCGTTCCCGCTCGAGCACGCTGACGCGACATGGTTACCTCGCGTGACTCATCCAGGATGCCAATCGTTGCTGCTCTTGCCCTGCCGCCCGGTGACAAAGGTCTCGCCGCAGCGCTGCCGGGCATACTCACTTCGTTTTCAGCGATCGAGTTGAGCGCGTCGGTCCCTTCCTGTTCGTCCTGAGCACCCGAAGTCGCGTACAACAACCGAGTCGAGTCGATCGAACCATCCGAACCATGGGCTCCGCTGCCCGTGCTCGAGCTAAAGACGTCCGTATCGACCGTCACCGGCGAGCGATTACTTGCGCCTCCTACAGCCGCCGACGAGCCGAGCAGACCAAAGTTGGACGCAGCTTGGGACCGCGGGAAGGCAGCGACGGTGTTGCTTCTCAGTCGAGTGTGGGCGTGCGACAGTTCGGTGTTGTTGGAAGAATTTGAGGGCCCGCCGATAGTCGCTAGCCTCTGCGTCATGCCGGCGGGAGCAGCAGCATCCCCACGCATCGTCGACTCGCCAGGACTGGGCGACGTTGCCTCACCAAACCCACTCATTGCGGCATCGCCATCGAGGCCGAGATAATCGAGCGTTCTGACATGCGAGTCGCCGTCCCCGTAGGCCGAACTGTCCGGCGAGCGTAACCCACTCGACCCCGACATTGGGGGTACGTTGACGTCGACGGGTCGAGGGGCCCAGTCTCCACTCGCAAAAACGGTCGGTCCAAATGCATTTGAAAGGCCCGAGCTGGGAAGAGTCAGGGACCCTGATCGAATGCGTGAGGTGGCAGCACTGGGGTTCGATTCACCACCGGCGGATGCTGAGGCGCCGAGCGGTGGACTCGGGTTCGTTTGGGCGATCGAGCCATTATGGAGGAGCGGTGACGAAAAGGCAAATTCGGACCCGAGGGGTGTCGCATGTCCACTTGCGGGTAGTGACACACTTGCGCCATACGAAGTCCCCGGTACGTTGAGCATCAGGGACGGAGGCGTCATCTTCCTGCCGAGCACATTCGCATAATTTGAGCTGAGCGAAGAGGTGCCGCCGAGGTGCAAGGTCGAGGGCATCGTGCCTGCCCTCGGACGACCGGGGCTGGTTCTGTCGACGTGAGCGAACTGCGCATCCACAGCAGATGGACTCGAAGGCAGCGGCGTGGCCGGAGTAAAGATTTGGGCTGGAACGAGGCCGGCGAGCGTTGCAGAGGAGGCGAGTGGTGTTAAGCTAAGTGAGGGGCCTGGGCTTGATGATTGGTGGGATCCAGTTGATTCAGGTGGATGGGCGTCATTCAAAGGTCTGTGGATGGTCGGAGTGGATGGATAGTTATGAGCATGCGTGCACTGGACGCGCCTGACAGGGGTGCCAGTCTGCCGATTCCGTTGCACTGGTCGCGATGAGGCCAGCAGCTCCTCGTGGCGCGAACGAACCGACGAGGGCAGGTGCAGCGTTCCGGGAGAGTCGCACGGTAGAAGAGCCAACTCACATCTGCGTGTTGCTCGTTCGTACTCCTTCCCCTTCGATCGAAGCCAAGAGTTCGTGCGACATGGCCGTCTGTCTCGTGTCAGCGCCGGAAGTTACTCTTAGCAGCAGTCGGGCCGTTCGTGTTCCTTCTCCCGAAAGTAGCGCGCTTCGAGTATCCTCCGAGCAGTCCGTTACACGGGGCCAGTTGTCCGTGTGGATCCGTTCCGGTCAAGTTCGAATCAACGAGTTGGTTGTTGTGCTTGTTGCGTTCGCAGCGCGCGACGCTCGAAGCGCTCGAAGCGACGTCCGTCGTGAGGCGCGTGTGCAGCAGCTGCGATGACGATGTCGATCACTGGCAGCTGGCTCGGTCCGGCTCGAAGTTGTCGAGGTCGACGACTCACGACTCACGAGGTCGGGCTCGCAGCTCGCAGCTCGTGACGTAGTCCCGGCAGGCTACTCGAGAGCCTGTACTACTGGTATGTCGACGAGGCACTCGACTGTACCCTCGAGCAGATGGGCGCAGGGTATGCGAGAGGCGTAGATGAGATGGGGGTTTGGAAGATTCCAGCGAGTGGGGGGAGAAGCGCACCCAAGGGAAGCGGGTGGTAAAATACGTCGTCCCCCCGCCCCACCCCCCGCACGACGAAAATGACGGTCTAAAGCGGTGCTTCCGAGATTCTGACGTGGAGTATGGCAGCCTCAGTCGACACGTGGTTGAACGTAGTAGTGATTGATCGGCACCGATGTACTCTGACTGAGCCAAGATGATGCCGATGAATCACAAATCCTGCGCACTCAGGAGTCATTCATCAAGTCGTACGATGCCGAACTTGGTGGACAGGAGCTGTCAGCGCAGGCAGTGGTGGGGCCCAAACGGTGCAGGCGAGAGATCCGTGACAACCCGTTTTCAATCACAAACAAAGGTCACATGAGGTTAGTGCAACCTCCCAAACAGTTTCGAGCTTCCGTTTGTTAGAGTGAGTCGAGCCACATCACCTGTATTTCGTCGGACTCGACTTAAGTTTAAAGTTTTCTTTCCGAGCGCAGTAAATTCACCTCCTCTCCACGAGCCGGCTTTCGCCCTCTCTCTCTCACTTTCAGTCGAACAACTTGTCCCATCACCTCACATAACATTCATGAGGTCGCAACGCTCTTTGTCGTCTCCACCCCAGCTGCAGCACCCCCACCACAGCATGGCTCCAGCTTCGGCTGGGCCCTCCTCCTGCTCCTGACGCCCTGATTCTCACTCGGGACCTCCCTCGGTGGTCTTAAAGGTCTGGCCTCGCTTGCTGAAGGTGCTCTGATGGTCGAGTTGTCGCCTCGTTCTGTTTCTTCCGTGAAGCGAAGTGCTGTGCGAAGAGAGTAACCACCACGGGCGCGATCAGATGCAGGCCCTATGAAAGTCGGCCCTCATCTCGACTGAAACCCAAGAGTGGCCCATAACAGTACACTTGGAAACGCACTATAATTTCCCTCCTCATTCTTGATCCCTTGCACCACATTCTTCCGAAGATAAGCAGCGATTTCATGAGCCGATTGGATGTGCTCGTCGATCTCGGTCGAGGACAAGGACGGTCGTTCCAAGGAAGGTCCGGCTTGATTTTGTAGTGCCGAGGCGGAGGGTATGAACTTGTTGAAGAGGACGCGGGTTTGTTGGTGCGCTTCTGTGAGGTGGTGGATGCAATGATGGGGAGGGGAAAATGAGATGAAGCAGGGTTCGCCGCATAGACGGCGGGGAAGGAACAGAGGAATTGTGGTTAGCCCAAGTGCACGTTGATGCACTGGGAACCAAATGAACTGACTGTTCAATGCATATTCGTCGCCCTTGAATGTTATGCGCTGGGCTCGCAATAAAGCCTGGTGCCGGGAGCCGAGGAGTGGGGATCGAAACGAGCGTCAGCTCGAGATCGAGAGATCGAGATCGAATACGAGTACACAACAGTGGCCAAAGCCATACACATACCCGGTAAGCCGAAGCCGCCCGTGTGAGCTGAGCTGTCGTCATGAGGGACATGGTGGGTGGATCGATCGAGCAGGTAAGGTGCGAAGGAAAGAGGACGACGGTCAAGACGGTGCAGGCTCTCAGGCTGGTGCGAATCGACCCGAGGCACGGACCTCTCGTTCGAGCCGCGCGCCTCGGCCTCGGCGCCTTCAGCTTATCGTCTCTTGCCTCGCTTCCTCCACCTTCTCCCCCGGCGTAACCTCTCGGTACGCTTCTTCGAACGTTTCCGGGCGGCAGATTCAGCCTGTCTTACAACCTTACTCGACCCAGGACCCTTCAGCACGCGGGTCACGGCCAGCATCGGCCCAGTGGCTGTACTAGTAGCCTGCCTCCCGACTCGTACCACGTGATCCGTGTTCGTCTACGCGCCGCGTCCGCTCTGACCGCGTCGGACGACCGGGACCGTGCCACTGCTCAGAGTGCACTCGAAAACACGATCCATCGACCACTCCAATACCTATCAACCCAGACGCCTATCACCAGAGTCACGACTCGAAACGACCCTTGGCGCTAGACACGAAAGCACGCGTCCCTCAGCAGCCCGCGCATCGGTATCATTTCGGCAGTCCGCTCATTCGGCAAAGCCAGGCAAAGCCCCGCGCAGCCCCGCGCAGCCCCGCGCTCGAGCAACTTCGAGCAATTACTGTAGCCTCGACGCCCCTCCCTCCTCCGCATCCACCTCCAATCTCCGCATCTGCCTTCATTCGGCGCTGCTTTGCACGTCTCTCTACACGCGGAAACACGCTCATCTTGCATACACTCCGAAAGCGGACACTCGTTTACGCCCTTGGTTGATAATAGCTCGCTACTACCTCTGCATCACAATCCGGTTTTCCGACCCGGAAGGATCATTCCACCGTCTCGCTCGATTGACCTATTTTCCTCGACCCCATACCCGCTTCCGTGCACGCCTCTACGCCCTTCTTGCTTCTCTCAACAACCTCAGGGTCTTGACCGACCATCTCCGCCAGAATGGTCTCAGCACCCAAACCACCGACTGCTCTGCAGGTCAGTTCCCGCAAGCCCGGCTGTGTTTGGCTCTTACAGCTTGTTGCCCGTGGACTCGCTCTCGCTTCAGCTTTGGGTCTTCCGAGCCCCGGAATGGCGGCAGTGGTCGACAGACTGAAAGCGGTGTACTGAGGCCTCACGTTCTTCTCTTTCGATCTATTCAGATTGCAGTATTGGTGGCCGTCATGCTCGTTGCAGGTGCGTGCAACGTGCCGCTCTTCTCCTTTTTTCCACTCGTCGCTCACGACGTCATCGAAGAGCGCCATCGCACAACTCGTCACTGTTACTGATCCACTTTTGGGCGAATCCCTTCCCATCATACCCCATTCCTCACAGGTACATCCAATAGCGTCTTCTCAAAATGGCAAGACATGCAATGCGTAGCCAACTGCGACGACCCTGCGCGCAAAAAGGTGTACGAGCAACCCGTCTGGCAAACAGCAACCATGTTCCTCGGCGAAACCCTCTGCCTCGTCGCCTTCAAAATCATCAACTCGAAATACAACCCTTACAACCCCTCCCGGCGAAGAGTCGCTTCCGCCTCTGCACGAGTAGCCGCGAGTCATTCCCAATCGGCTCGACTCGCTTCGGCGCCACTTTCGAGGCCGGACGAGTCGGCGTTCAACTTCAACGAGTCGGCTATCAGTTTGCGAGGTGATGAGGAAGAGGAAGGGATCAAGGCTGCTCAGATGGCGGCGAAGCAGGCGGAGGAGAACCCGTTCGCCTGGGAGAGGGCGATCTTGTTCTGGGGACCGGCTTGCTGCGATATCTGTGGAACGACGGCGAGTGAGTGGAGCCTATCATGCTGGATGTGCCGAGTCGATCGGATTGACTGATTACCGTCTACCCCTATGCAGTGAATGTGGGGCTGCTGTTTGTTCCCGTCTCGATCTACCAAATGCTCCGAGGCGCCTTGGTGCTGTGGGTCGGCGTGTTGTCGCTGCTCTTCCTCGGCCGCAAGATGACAACGTCACAATGGTCCTCGCTCGCGACGGTCATGGCCGGTGTAGCCGTAGTCGGCTGCTCGTCCCTGCTCGACGCGCCGAAGAAAGAGGTGCAGTCGACCGCCGCGGACGAGCCCGCCGTGAGCCCGCTCGTGGGCGTCTGCCTCATCCTCGTCGCACAAGTCTTCACGGCTTCGCAGTTCGTCCTGGAGGAAAAGATCATGGAACATCAAGCCGTCGAGCCTTTGCTCGCGGCCGGTTTCGAAGGCTTCTTCGGTCTATCGACGACGATCACCGGTCTGCTCATTCTACACGTCTTCATTGGATCAAAACCTTCTGGCCAAGGCGGCTACTTTGACGCGCCTGAAGGCTGGCATCAGATCGTGTCTAATCCTTCGATTTGGAGTTCTAGTATCGCCATCGCCATCTCGATTGCTTTGTTCAACTTTTGCGGACTCGCCGTCACGCGCACTCTGTCCGCGACGTCTCGCTCGACTATCGATACCTCCCGGACCTTGCTTATTTGGCTCGTGTCCATGTCGCTAGGGTGGGAACACTTCAAGTGGCTGCAAGTCATTGGCTTCGGCCTACTCGTCTACGGCACCTTCGTCTTCAACGGGATCACGCAGTTCCCCAAGTGGACCGGATTACGAGATACACCTCAACCCATCACCGTCATCCTCCCCGCTTCGGACGACGAGCTCTCAGACGGCGACGACGACGAAGATGTGGACGATCACCTCTCGCATTCGAATAGCTCTTTGGGGAGGTCACGTTCCGTCGATACGAGTGGTCGTCCGGTGACGAAGCGGTCGGGATCAGGGAGGAGAGGAGAGGTCAGCCCACTGCTCAAGAACATTGACGAGTCGTGATTTCTTCTTCTTGTTGTGGTGTCACTCGCCAGTCCTTGCTATCTTTCCGTCGATACCCCCTTCCTTGTTTCGTTTGCATCCCACTCACGTCTTGTCGTAACCCTGTCTAATTTATCTTGGCCGTATGTTGTCCGGGCTCGAGCTGAAACGATCCGTGTCTTCTCGCCTCGACGTCATGACATCCGTTGCTCAGCATCTATATCATTCGCATATGTACCCTTGTAATCCGAAGCTCGCTCTCACTGACGACTGTACAACGCGTTGCCTTACCCAGCTAGACACCGCCAAAATGGCAATCGGACTGAAAAGGCACTAGCGTGACTAAAATGGACCCGGGATCGGCGCGTCTGGCGCGTGGGGCTCTAAATGCTGAATCGAGCTCGTGCGGTTTCGGAAGCCGTCCCCGGCCACCGACCAGAGCTTGGGCACCGTCTCCAGGTTTCCCTTTTGACCTCCTTCCCATTCCAACCGCCACCCAAAATCCTTCCACAAGAGCATCATGTCGACCCAAAAAACCCTGACCGTCCTCCTCGGAGCCGGACCCGGAACAGGTGCCGCCTTAGGCCACGCCTTCGCGAAAGAGACCGGTGCTGTGGCTTTGCTGGCTCGTCGTCCGGATAGCTTACAAGCTCTTGCGCAGGAGATTCGTGAGAAGGGTGGGGTGGTGAGTTCTCTTTAGCAGCCCGGTTGTCGCTTTCTGTGCTTGGATGGCTGATGACTGGGTACGACCGACTCCATCACTGTCGGACAGGCCGAGCCTTTCGCATGCGATGCCTCGAACCCCGAGTCGTTGACGAAGGCTTTTGGTCAGATCAAGGAGAAGTGGCCGGATCATCAGCTCAAGGTGTGAGTCTGGGGCTCGACCGTGCTGCGTGTTCTGACCTCCAGCCCGAGGCGGGTTGGGTGGTGGCTCCCTCAATGGGAGGTGAGCGTGTGGGGCGCCATCTGCTCTCACGCCCCTCTCGCCAGCAAACCTCGGACCGAGTTCGCCAACGACGAACACCAACTGACTCCACGAATCTTCATGCCTGTCATATCTTTTCAGGGCCATCTTCTCCGTCAATAACCCCTTCGTGCGCAAACCTTTCCTCGAGTTGACGACCAAGGACATGCAAACCGGGCTCGACATCGCCGTGCTCGGCGCGTTTCACTTCTCGCAACAAGTCATCCCTCTCTTGCTGGAAACTGGTGGGGGAACGCTTTTGTTCTCGGGTAGGTTAAATGGAGCTTAACGATGCTGTTGAACGACGGGTGCTGACTGGTCAAGTGTGCTGACGATAGATTCTTTGGGGGACTGCTTGATATAGGGGCCACCGCTGCGTTGAAGGGAGGCGCTCAGATGTCGTCCTTCGCTGTGCCCAAGTTTGGTCTTCGCTGCTTGAGTAAGCGTCCTCATCCAATGGACCTGATTTGCAAACTGGCAGAAAAGCACGCCTCGATCTTCTCAAGCTGAAGCGACACCGAAATTTCTTCCTTCCCGCTTCACCCACCCCTGTTCCTCGCAGGTCAATCCCTCGCGCGAGAATTCCAACCCAAGGACATCCACGTCGCTCACGTCATCCTCGACGGCTTCATCAACACCGAGAACTTAACTCGCATGTTTGGTGAGATGAAAGCGCCCGATACGAGGTTGGAACCGACCGCGATTGCGCAGGAGTATGTCAACTTGCATAGGCAGCATCGCTCGGTGAGTCCGAAAGCTGGCGTGGCGAAAGGCGTGATGTTGGTTCGAGAAGTGTGCTGATGAAGATTGGTTCCACCACTGTGTTTTTCTTCATCACTCCTCTCTTGAGTATTCAGGCCTGGACTCTCGGTCAGTTCCGGCTTTCAGACAGAGGTCGTAGCGACCTTGAGACAAGGGATTCAGTGCTGACCGATGCTACGATCCGCCTCTTCAACACAGAACTTGACTTGCGTCCTTTCTCGGAGACGTTCTAAATTTTGGGTTTTCGAAAGGTGATCTCGACTGGATTCATGCCGTATAGTTTAGCTGGTATGGATTCCGCCGCCTTCCTCCGCGCGACCCATGCCGAAAACTCTGCTCGCTTCGCTCCCCTTCTCCTGAGGTCATTGCAATACGAAAGCCATTCTTGATCCACTCCCGTTCGTGAAGGATAAAATGAAAAGATAGTCTCTCCATATGCGGACCGCGACGAGCAATTTCAAGCATAAGAAAGGGGCTCGATCGGATCGAACCGTGCTGGCAATGTTTGAGGTGAAGAATGGTCTGGAAGATTCCTCGAAGGCCGTGTGCAGCCGGATTTTTATGCGTACATTAGAAGTAAGCTATCTCGTGCGACAGGCTTAGGATATATGCATCCCTCGTTGATGACGAAGGTACCGTGAACCTCCTTCTATCCGAATGTGAGATCGGCCTTGAGCGTCGACTCGGGATGACGGAAGAGTGGGGCTAGTGTGGAGACTGAAGGCGAGCGAGGATCGTCGAATCGTCAGCTCCTTGCGGGAATTGCCTCGCCCTGATCCATAACGAGCAGGCCGAAGCTTTTGAACAAGGGAAAAAGGCATCCATCACCGCTGTCTCGAATGGGTTCAGGGTGCGGTCCTAGGCGGCACCACATGAAGACCTTTCGAAAGTCTTGCGATTTGCGTAGTGCGCCGACTCGGATCCGCCACAACCCCCAGGCTCTCGTGCACTAAGCTCCTCCACCGAACCTCTGCCCCGCCTTTCCATGCCTCTCGAGCATTTAAAATTCCGAGCTTCCAAGGCTCGACGGCGTCAAACCGAGCAGCCGGCCCGTATCCTCCTTCCAAGTCAGCCTTCTGCCGCCGAGCGCGAGGCGTCGACGACGGATTCGACTCCTCTTCACGCGGATACGCTGATCAACTGAGCGGTCGTTCTCACGGTCACATAAAACAGTGAAGTGCACGGTTGTGACATTGTTTTGCTTTGCTTTGGTAAGAAGTGTACGAAATCAAAAAGCTACTCGTATCGGACTGCTTCGAGTCGGCGGAAGTGAACCGGCCTCGAGCTCGGCGTAGGAACTTGCAAGTGCGATTGGGAGATCATCGCGTCATCCCAGTAGTGACTAAGCATTCTCCTTGCTGCTGCTACACCAAATTAGCGTCGCTGCGCGCCCCGAGTGTTCCATTTCTCAGCGATCTCAGCCGCCGTTGCCGCCCTCACCTTTGTCGAGCTCGGTCGCGCTAGGTCGCGCCTGGTCGCGCTGCGCTGGAATTTGGTGTGAGGGTCTTCCTTGTGAAACCACTCTCAGTCTCCGTCGCTCAGCATCGCTCAGCTTTCGTGCGACCGAGCCAACTCGCAAACTCGCAAACTCGCAGTTGCAACCGGCTTCCCCGCGTCCTCTCTCCCGCCTTACCCACGTTCGACTGCTGCATCGATGGGTAACAACCAATCTTCGGGATCGTCGTCGCAGCACTCGTCGCCATCGGGCCACTTTCCCCGTTCGCGATCGACGACGGCGTCGAGCGTGAATGGGTCGGCTCACAGCGCGGCCGCTCACGGTCACGGCGCCGTCTCTTCGAACGCGCAGCATGGCCACGCCAGCGCCGACGTGCCTCTGAGCGACAAGACCGTCGACGGCGGCACGCTCGAACCTTCGAGTCACTTGTTCGCCTCGAGTGTGCAGGACTACTCTCGACCGGTCGTGCACCGCTTGATCCTCGAGCGCCGCTTGGCGCCGTTCCACCTCGGCCTCGACGATTACGAGGACGAGTGGACCGTCGAGCAGATCGTCGAGGCGCTCGATGAGGCCGAACGGCAGGCCGCTCGCAAGCTGCAGGATGCGCACGCCTCGGCCGTCGAAGCCGTGATCGAGGCCGAAGCGACGATGCAGACGACCCCGTTGGGATCGACGAGGAAGAGCAAGGACTCGCAAGTGGCCGTGGCGCACGCGACGATCCATCGGGAACGACTGGCCGAGCTCATCAAGCATCGCGAACGACGGGCGGCGGCGACCTCGAACCGACCCGACCGCGAGGTCGCACGCCAGGATCTCGCCAAACAATACCTCGGGAAAGCCGTCGAGTGTCCCATCTGCTTCCTGTGAGTCGCCGTCGCGGCTCAGTTCATGCTGCGCCGAGGCGTCCGTCGCTTAGTCAGGCGCGAGCTCTCGTTTACTGTGGACCCGGGCCGTTCCCTCGGAGCCTGAGCCCGAGCCCGAGCCTGAGCCTAAGCCTGATTGTGGGGCTCGGTTGACTCGTTCGTGGCGCCCGTCACGTTATCAGCTCTAGCACCTCCCAGCGAACCTGCAGCGATCATTATGAGCTGACGTTGCGTATGTTCAACATGCAGGTACTACCCTCCGCCGATGGTTCATACACGCTGTTGCGACCAGCCCATCTGCACCGAGTGCTTTGTGCAAATCAAGCGTGCCGAACCGACCACGACCCACCTCGAATCCGAACCGGCGGCATGTCCGTTTTGCATGGAACCCAATTTTGGATGCGTCTACACAAAGGAGATGGTAAGCCTTTTGTCGTACCGAATCGTGCTGCGTGCGACACGCTTTGGCGCTTCGGAGCGACCCGTGCTGACTCGGAAACGCTTCTTTCGAATTCGACAGGCACCGGCGAGACCGACGGTCGCTCAGAACGATAGTAATGGCTCGGAAAGCAGTTTCTCGATCGTTGCGGGGGTCGCGGATGAACAAAAACGGCGGCGAAAGTCGTTCGCACATACGGAGAAGGAGGTCGTCACCACTGGTAAGCTCTCGCGAATCCGGTCTGTGTCCGTTTCCGCCTCGCGCTCCTCTAATTCAACGTGCTTTTATCTGCTATATCTAGATCAAGTCCACCCGGATTGGGAAGCCAAAGTCGAAGCGATGCGTGCGACGGTCGCACGTCGGGCCAACCGTCGAATCGTGTTCCGTCAGGTCGGCGAAAGGCTCATTCCCGTCGGAGTCACCTCAGGGCGTGCGGGCGACGGTTCGAATCCGACGATGAGCTCGATGCAACTCCCACCTGGATTCGCTGCACAGGTTGCGGCCGCGATGGACTCGAGCGCAACGGGTCGATCGAGTCGATCGTCGCGAAGGCGGAATCAGGAGATGGCGGAGATGCTGGCGGGTTTAGGGGGACAGGATCTGGAGGAGTTGATGATTGAGGAGGCGATGCGGATCTCGATGTTGGAGGATGAAGCGCGTCAACGCAAGGAAAGGGAAGATCGTGACAAGGCGGCCGCAGCCGCCGCTCAAACCGCTGGCAATGCGACACCCGTGGAACGAAGCTCGCTCGACACAACCCGCCCGTCTGATGTTTCTGCTCCCGGGCCCCCCTCGACACGAACGATGGTGTCCGAGGCGATCAATGCACCAATGGGTAATCTGTCATTGGGATCGAACACGACATCATCGACAACACCGACCGGCAGTCTCCTCCCCGCATCTGCTCACGCTGCACCTCCGACACTCTCGGCGAAACCGACCTCATCGACCGATACCTCCGCCCCTTCATCCCTGTCCCCCTCTCGAACATCACTACCCCCTTCGGCCCCTCCCGCCGTGACGCCCTCGACTCTACAAGGCGGGAGTGCGCTCACGCCGGCCATCTCGACGGCATCGTCCGTGTCGTCGATCAGTGAGTTATCGTCGACTGCTGGGTTCGAGCCGCTGGGCGATGGGAGCGAAGACGACACGGACGATCGATTAGAGGAAGATGGTCAACGTCGACAAGAATCGTCATCTGATGCGGGACGCTTGATTGATGTTTGAAGTCGCCGAGTCGATTTTGCCCTCCGTCACTGCGCCCTCCGCGCGCGCCCGCACCAGCACACAGAGCGTCTTCTTTCGCTTCGTTCCACTCCTCTTCATTCCACTTTTCTCCCTTTTGTGCTCTGACCGATCGTGTTATTTGTAGCATCACCTATCCGCATTTTTTGGGTCCGGATTCTCTCTTCGGGCGGGTCTGTCGTCGCTTCAGCTGCTTTTTTTGTAACGCTTACACTTTGGTAAAATGTCTGCTACACTCCTTTGACGATTTTTCTGTTCATTCTTTTTTCGTTGAGTGGACGGAAAGAAGGTATTTGCAATAAGTCGCATACACGGCCCGTCTCAAAACATGTTGTTGGCACGTCACACGTCGTTGCTGGGGCGGTGGTGGCGGTGCTCGCGAAGACCGAGCCCGATCACCCGATCACCCGATCACTTGTCGTCCGGCCGGCGAACGGCGCCTGCAACTGAACCACTCGAGTGGATGCTCGTCACCGCGCCGTTCTCCCTGAGTCAACGACTGGGCTTCTCGGTCATCTTTCTCGTACTCACGATGGGTCTCTTATCGAACCTCAAGCTCAAACAGGCGAGCGCCACGGACAAGACGCAGGTCTTCCTCAACTCTGGCTGGTCCACGTCCTCGACAGCGCGTGGTGATCAGGGGGGAAGTAGGGATGGATCAGAATGGACGAGCGTAGATCCCCGTGATCACTTCGTGCGCGTACACAACGGTCAACTTGTCCTTGCGGGTCACCCTTTCAGATTCGCTGGGTGAGTACTAACTAGCCACGACGGTGGTGTAAGCACAAACCTGTGCAACATTCGTCCGTCTGTCTCTCCCCGTGAGCAATGTGGGGGGGGGGGGGGGGGGGAGCGAGCGCTGACCTGACTCTCTCTCCACCGCCCAACGACTCATCATCCCAGCCTCAACGCGCCCGAGTTACTCGATGGGAACGTCAGTGGACCTTTCGAGATTGGGCATACGTTCCAGACCTTGTCCATGCGAGGCTCGTTCGCTAGGGCGGTCACGAGGACCTATACTCTGCAGGTGAGCAAGTCAGACACTCTCTCTCCTGTCTCAGTCACCGCGCGGAGTGCCGCCGGGGCGACCCAATGCGGAGCCAAAGTCATCGTTGATGCAAGTGACGTTGATGCTTTGGTATTTCGTGAACCCCTCAAGATCAACTCGAGAAATATCGGCCGAGGCCACATCAAAAGCTGGCATCGCGAGTGGAAAGACTGGGAATGGGACGAGGGGCGACTGAAGGAGATTGATCGCGTCTTGGCCGAGGCGCGCAAGTATGGCGTCAAATTGATCATTCCGATCATCAACCAGGACACGGGAGAGGAGTGAGTACTCGCGAGCTTCAGAGGCGGCGACAATTCGTTGGGATCTGATTCTAGTTGGCTCCTAGCTCGAATTGGGTCGGGTCTTATGCCGATTTGATCCGCATGGTAAGCACGCGGAACGTTCATCGTAGATTCTTGATCACTAACGGCGCCTTCCGGGACTTACAGCGCAAGGGTCTCTCGACCTACGAAGAATCGACCAAGGTCGACTGGTGGACCGACCACGAGATGATTGAATCGCAAGTTTACTCTGATCCGACAAAGCTTCCCGGGCTTGACCAGATCTGACCCTCGACGAGTTTTCGCTTCCATGCAGATTCAAGCTCATCATTGACAAGCTTCTTAATCGAGTCAATCACATCAACGGGATCCGGATAGGTGACGATGCGACCATCTTGGCTTTCGAGACGGGTGGGTGCTGATCTTCAGGCTCGAGCAGCCGGTCCGCGGATCCCACAAACTGACGGACTCTTGCTCGGGCAGGCAACGAGATGAACTGCAACGGCATGCGCCCCGCTCCAGCCTCGTGGACCTTGAAAATAGCCAAGTGAGTACTTTGTCTGCGCTACTCCGCGTACAGTCGCTGATGAAAAGCATTCGCGCAATAGGCATTTCAAATCACGAGCACCGCAGATCCTGGTGATGGATGGCTCGTTTGCTCGAACGGAGAGTATCACGGGGTCTTACCCGATTGAGGTGCTCCAATCAAAGTCAGTCCTTAGCAGATATTACACCTATGGTTCTGAAGGTGCCATCAGGCTGACGAGACCTCGATGCTGTTTTCGGTACAGCGACGTCGACATCCTCTCTTACCACTACTACGGCTCCGGCGATTCGTATCGCGTCAAAAAGGACTGTGAATACGTCTTCGGAAAACACGGCAAAGCCTTCGTCGCAGGCGAGATGGGCTTTTTCGCCGAACCCTCAATGTACGATTCGTTCTTGAAAGATTTGCACAAGTATGGGGGGAGCGGGGCCTTGGTGTGGAGTTTGAGACCCGCCAGTGCGGGGGGTGGGTACAAGACGCATGGGGAAGGAAACGGGAATTTTGCGATGCGTGAGTCGGTTCAAAGACGACTTTGAAAGCCCTTAGTTTCACTCGACTGACATCTCCAGCCTTTTTCGATCGTCCAGACATCCCGGGATGGGCGACCTGCTCACACCCCGAATTCGACCCCCGCGAACGTCAAATCATTTCGATCCTACGTCACCATTCATATACAATGAACCACCAAAAAACTCCCGCGCAACATCCCGTACCACCCGCTCCCTCCAAAGTATGGCTAGACCCTTCCTCCCCCGACCAAACTCACCTCCTTTGGACCTCGGCGCCGTGGGCGCATTCGTACGAATTGATCTTGCGCGATCTAAGTACGGGGCATGAGTATGGGAGAAGGCAGGTGTGGGATTGTACGAAGGAGGGGGAGAGTCGACTGGAATTGTCGAGGGAGTTGGGCGCGGCGCCGAGGAGACAGTTGGGCGTCTGCTTGAGGGGTATCAGTTTGGATGGCACGCCGGGGCCCGAGTCGGAGATGTTGAGGTTGGATTCCAGCATCGGCAATGATCTCGCGATTTAATAGAGTTTGATTCCCTCGATAAAGCATTCGCATCACGCATCAAGGTTTATCCGATTAGAATTCATTTCGATTTATAGTTCTTCAAATTTGTATCAAAAGAACACCACACACACACAAGTCACACAAAAAAGACATAAAAGTATACAGCAAAAAGGGGGAAAGGAATAGGGAGGTGGAAAGAAAAAAAATGTTTTAGCTACAGAGTGTGTGGTGAACAGACCCCCGAAAAAATGAGAGAAAAAGAGATGGTGGTTGCGTGAAGAGGAAGAAAAGCCGAAGGCCGTTTTGGGAAAAGATCGTTCGACGAGTGGTGATTGGGTAAAAAGGGCCGCGATTCGGCGCGTCGTGTCTGTATCGACAGCTATGTACAAATCCATTTGTTTTCGTGAGGGTTTGATCGAGGGTCGTGAAAGATCATACGGCGGCGCGCGAAGGCGCTCAGTCATTCTGACTGATTTCAGAGTGGTGCAATTGCTAAAGGGGGGTGGGGGTCGAAATGAACGCCTAGAGATCTTCGTCGGAGCCTTCGCTATCGGCAATGATATCGCAAGGACGCAACGGCTCGCGCTTAGCCGAGGTACGCGGTGGCGGAGGTCCCGCGTCATCCTCGTCATCATCGGCGTGCAATGCTGCGCGAAGCGCGGCGGGAGTCGGCGATGATGCTTTGGAGATGTGGGACCGACTACGCGGCGTCGAGGGGCGGCAACCAGTGAGAAACGTCGGCGTCGAGGCAACCTTCTCCATCATGCGAGTTTTGAGTCGTTGTTCGCATCGGAGCTTGAACTGCTCGTCCGTCTCGAACTCGGCTTGTTCCTCGTCTTCGCCGCCCCATGCAAGGTCGAGCTCTTCGAGTCCAACAGCCTCGGGACCGAGGAAGTCGGCCGAGTGGCTAATGTCGAGTTCGAATTCGTCAGGGTCAAGCTGCAGTCCCCAGTCGGTCGTCTCGGGTGGGCTCGGCGCTTGTTGGGGCACAGGTAGACCGGTGGCGAGCATCGACTTGCTGACGACGGTAGGGGTCAGATCGCAAAACATATCGCCGTTCTCCGAACTGCCCGAACTCGATGGCGAGTTGCGGAGAGCATGCATGCGTCGACTCAGCGAGTCAAAGTAGGGGAAGGTCGAAGACGATCGAGAGGAGGCGGATGACGACCCTGTGTCGGCAAAGATGGATCCGCCGTCTTCGAGCTTGACGGTGACGAGGTCATCGTCTTCATCCTCCTCTTCGTCATCGGCGTTGTCCTCATACGCAGAGTTCGCGCCAAAAGGGGCATGCTGCTCCTCCTCGTGACCGACAAAATCGTATTCGACGGAAGGCGTCAATGCGAGCATGGGCGGCAGATCGAGGGCCAGAGGCGAAGGAAGCGGGACGGCCAGAGCCGATTCGTCGACAGTACGGGCTGCAACGACGGGCGTTTCGGGCTCGGCCGACATGGCCTCGTCCACGAGCGAAGTCAAAGAGTCGGTCGAGCGGACACGTTCTGCACCAATAAGAAAGCAAGAGGTAAGCGACTGTGGCAACTATGCTTGGGTCGTCACAAAAATTTCACCCGACTCACCATTCTCAGTGTCCTCCACTTTAATCTCAATGGTTTGGCTGCCGGAATAGTCATCCGTCTTGCCAGCATATGCTCCGCAGAGCGTCTCCTCCATACCCATCTTGCCTAGACCGTCGATGGAAGCGGCAGCGGCAGAAGCTGGTCCAAGTTCGGGTTCCTCACTGCCCGCAGGTGATCGAGGCGTGGTCGCCGGGGTCGAAGCCGCATCGTCGATTTCGTCCTTCAAGTCAAAGGCACCCTCGGGCAGGGATGGTGACATCTCACGCGAGCGAGACTTGGACGAGAACGGCGGCAATGTGATGTTGGACGTATACGACTCGGAGCTCCACTCAAAATCGAAATCGTCGCCTCGAAGCATCGCCTCGTGAAAATCGTCCTCGTCCGCCGAGTCGAGTCGATCGGCATCTGGGAGGGCTCTCTGGGGAATTCCCATGTTATCATCGATCTCCATAACCATTTCAGGGGACCGAGCGGACAAGAAGGGTGAGACGAGGGAGGGGGCGGACATTGAGAGGTGGTGGCGACGGTGCGGGCGGAAAGAGGCACCGCCAGCCGGGCTGGCGTACGGGAGTTGCAGCGAATCGGGGGAGACGGCATCTTGTCTAGGGCCATCGGAGATGAGAGGCATAGGCGAAGAGGTTGAAGCGGCAAGCAGACTTTGGGCAAGGAGAGCGGACGAAGAGGCCGACGAGTATTTTCCTGAAGATCGCGACATGTCTCGAGCGATCATGAGGTCCTCCACGTCATCGTCTTCACTCGAGGAGTGCCCAGCCCGGTTAGCGTCGATGAGTTCTGATTCGACACTGACGGATCGGCCGCCACTGGCCTCGGATGCTCCAGCACTCGTACCACGTCGCGACTTTTTCTTGCTGGCCCGTCGGCGGCGAGCTGCGTCACTCGTGAAACCGTCGGAGTCGTTTTCGACCTCCTCGAGGCAGGTCAGTCGTAACCTCAGCTTTGGCAGGCCCGATTTGGCGGGGGCTGATGATAATAAGGGTGCGGTGGGCTGGTTGCGCCGATGGTGCGAGGATTGCAGTGCCGCAGCGCCTCGGTGGCCGGTAAGAAGCATTGCAGGCCGTGTATTCATCGCGACCGAGGTCGAGTCAATGTCGGTCGTAAGAGCAGCCAGCATCGCACTTGAAGCTCGACGCTTTCGCTTTCCTCGACCCATGCCTCCGTCATCACCGTCGTCGTCGTCGGTCTGCAAGGTCGACAGGGGCACCAGCCCGCGGGCGCGGAGCGAAGCCGGGCCGGCAGTGCTCATGCCGGCGGCTCGACGACACCGGACGAAGGGATCCTCCACACCGAGACCCGATCCAAACAGGGCTTCGTTGAGATACCACAACGTGCCCCTCTTAACCGCGGGGCGTTCCTCTGCCACCAAGCCGACGGCAGTGACCTCGTGCGGGGAGAGCGCTCCGACGAGCTCGAAGGGGACGAGCAGCGGTTGATATGGTGGGTCGGCGATTTGTGCACGTCTTGTATGTGATCGAATGCATGTCGAGATGTGGGCAAAAGGTGTGGTACCACTGCATGTATCGCATTTTGAAAGATGGGCAGATTGGGAGAGAGTTTAGTTTAGTTTTTTTCGCCGTCCCGGATAAGGAGATCGAGAGGCCGGGCGATCGACGGAATGACGAGGTGCGAAGGCGGGGTTCGAAAGGATAAAAAAGAGAGCGGGTCAGTGACGCGTTACAAACTCGGTGGGTCATGTACCATTGTATCAGGCCCAAAAAATATGATTTTTTTTTGAAAGACGATGGCAGCATGAAAGTGATGTTCACCCAACATCGAGTGAAAGGAGGAAGGGAGAAAAAAACCCTCAAGAGTAAGATTAAGCGACTCACGCGGACTTGAGCCAGTCGCGAGCGAACATGACCTCGGCGATCTCCTTGGGGCACAGTGCGCGGTTGTCATGCGAGAGTAGGACGTCGCAGATGGCCATGAGGAGCTTGTCGTCGGCGTCTTGCTGGCGCACCTTGGCAGCCATCGCGGGCGGAGGAAAGTCGAGCTCCGGCGGGATGAAATCTCGCGGGTGGCCAGTTGCCGCGTTGGGCACGTAGCTATCATTGTGGGGGAACGTTGGCGCCCGGCGGGGAGGGCCGGCGTGGGAAGCGGAGTTAGACTGGGTCGGGGTAGAGTGCGAAGAGGAAGAAGAAGAGGACGCGGTTGTGGTTGTAGTTGTTGTTGCTGTTGATGGTGTTGATGTAGTGGTTGTGTGGCTCGGAACGGCGTGCGACGGTGATCCTGAGGCCGAGGCGAAAGTGGCGCTGGCGAGCCTCGTGCCGTGTCGATGTGTCGTGCTCGACGTGCTGCTGCTCGTCGTCGCGGCCGCGCCTGCAGCGCCTCCGCCTGCGCCCGCGCGAGTCACCGCGGACGAGCGTGATTGAGCCCCGGCTGCGGCACTCGCGCCAGTCGACATCGACGACGTGCGATCAGGCGAGGGCGAGTCGAGCCGACGAGGAGGTCGGATCACGCTGTTGGTCCGTCGTCGCGTCAGGTGATGCACAACCGCAGCACCAGCTGCGGGGGCCTCGTTCCGTCGTCCAATGTCGCCGCCGTGGTTCGCGCCTGGTGAGGGCGAGGCCGTCTTTGTCAAGGGCTGGCCGCCGCTGCCGCTGCCATTCCGGCGGGTGAGCATCCGAGCGAACGCCTTGCCCAAACCGCGCTACGGCCGGCCGTCGCTTTCGTCCGCGAGTCAAGTCCGGTGGGTATCGAAACGAATCGAACCCGATGAGGAGGAAAGGAGAAGGGGAGGGGGAGGTAGGGGGGAGAGAGAGTGGGAAACTCTTGACAATTCAAGAGCGTCACACGGAATGGAAAGCCCGATCGTTGGTGGCGTGGTGCGGTATGGAGGAGGTGCAAGGAGCAATCGGGCGATTGAGTAATGTGGTCAGCGCGGGCGAGCACTTGGAGGGCAATTTTTGGTGAGCCGGGCTCGCGCGCGGCAGCTCGGCGCACGTCGCTCGAATCAGTGGGCTCTAGCTGTGCCGGCAGGCACACACCAAGCAGTCAGCAGCATGGAGCAAGCTAGCCCAGAGCTTGCGCTTGGGCCGTGTCTCGTTTTTTCCTCTTCGTGCTCTCTTTTATTCGTAGGCCCCGACGCTGATTTTCCCAACGCTTTGTACAAGCTTGGGTCTTCAAGCAAACACTACTTTTGCTTTGCGCACGTCTGCATCGTAGCACACTGATCGTAGCACACTTTTTTTTTCCCGAGTCAGCAATGGGCGAAGGGTCGGCCTTGCCGAAAGTCGCCGTCTCGCCGTCGCACAGTTTGAACCGCTTGACGTCCCACCCCAATCGAGAAAGGGGACGTGTCAGCATGCAGAGGCCAGGCCCACCCGTTGACTTGCCCAAGCGGTCTTAATCCTGCTAGCGGTTCCAAAAGTATCCGGAACGCTTCCAAGAACCGAAACGAACAAAGAGACAAACCAGATCAAGTTCCGGCGTGTGTGGATGTATGCACCCCGGCGAAAGTCCAGAACAGCCCCAATTAGGTGACCCCTTATCAGTCTCAAAGCGGATCGGCGGCGGCGGTCGCAGCGGCGAACTTCGCCCCGCACGGTCGGAGCGATCGGCCGATACCCTGCGCATCCAAGAGCTGGTCTCTCAAATTTCCACATCTGACTCTCAAGAAACGGCAATCAGCAGTTGTGGCCTAAGTTTGGTAGGGAGAGTTACAGCTCCCTGTGTGCACTCATAAAGTACCTAACAACACGCCAAAGACAATAGCAGGGCTTTCGACGTACTACTGGGCAAGAAGGACCAGAGTGAGTTGGCGGCAAAAAAGATTGCTGACCCCGAGAGCGGCTGCCGGGCCTCGCTACAGCTCGTAGTGACGCGATATGAAATGGAAACGAAGAGCATAGCTAAATATACTGAACGCTTCAGTAAGCTAAAGAAGACATCGTGTGTTCCTACCTCTGAAGTAGCTTCATGGCAACAAAGTGAAACAGCCGAGTCAGCGGGGCAAGCGAGCCAGGTAAGCAGGCGGGTCTTGAAAATCAGCCGAATCGATAGTGGAAATGATCTCGGCTTACCTGTCCCTCCGCGTCCTTTCATCCGAACGCTAAGCGTGTTGACATGCTATGGATATTGAGTTGAATCTCTACAGGTCGGGCGTTTAAACACTTCAGGTTTTGTGAAGATGGTGTCAGTTGCGATTGATCAAGTGCGGCTGGGCCGGCCGCTCTCGAGTCATTCAGGGGTCCGGACCCTCGGGCAGCGATCGCTAAGTCCACCCTACGTCAAAGCGTCGATAACTCGGGGTAATAAAAGCCAAGTTTTGCTGAGCGAGTGAAGCAGACTTGCCCTGTCCAAGTGGTCACCGCCTCTTTCTTCGTCGACACGAATGACTCGACGGCACTGCATAGCCTTGGCCTGAGTGCAGAGCCGCCACCCAAATAGAACCCAACGAGGTACAGCGACCAAACTTCATTACGTCATCCTGCAGCTCAATACGGTCGACCCCGACCTCCTCCACCGCCTCTCCCACCGCCCCGCCCTCTTCCCCGCCCTCGTCCTTGCCCGTCCCCACCACCTCGGCCTCCGTACCGGTCCAGCGCATCCTGCTGAGAAGGCAACGCATTGCCTCTCCGAATACCTTGGCCTCCACCGTATCCACCGTATCCGTTCTGTACCTGGCCATAATTGCGTTGATACCCTCCCCCACCCGCGTTTGGAGGTGGTCCACCGAAGCCCGGTACCGCATCGCCTCCGAACCCGGGGATCGATCCCATCATCCCGTCTCCCAAACCCGCCGGGTTGTTGAACATGGGTTGCGGTGGCCTGATACCACCCCCTTGCTGATACCCTCCGCCTCCACCTCCTCCCCCGTACCCTGCCCCACCTCCATTCCGATTGTTGGAGAAGCCAGGGAGGAAATCGTCATCGTCCTGTTCCTCCTGCTCAGCCTGGCCCATCTCCCTCGCCTTATCCCTTCCAACATGGAACCGATCATTCGCAATCTTGAGCGCCGGTCGTCCGCGGGACCAGAAACGAGTCGTGTGATCGTTGCCGGCACTGACGAGGATGTGGCCGAGGGGGTGGAATGCGAGGCCCCAGACGTTTGAGTCATGTGCGAACTCGACGACATCTTTGGGTGTGGCATCGGGCATGCACCAATGAATGATCGAGCCTTCCGAACCACCCGAAACGAGGAGGTCATCATGAACGGGGTGCCATGCGAGGGCTGCGTAGACGGGACCGGATTCCATGCGAACTCAGCTTCGAGTGCAAAGGAAACCTCGTGCTCGAACGCAGCCTTAACTCACAGCAAACCTCCTTCTTGTGCCCTCGCAATGTGACAAGCTCTTTCATCATACGAATATCGAATACCTTGACGAGCTGGTCGCGCGATGCTGTCGCAACGTAATTCCCGTTCGGACTCCATGCCAGGGCCTGGACCGTGTTCTTGTGTCCATGTCTGTTGATGGAAGATCGTGGAAGTTGGTCAGCACTTGAACAGTGTAAGTTTTGCTATACAGGTCTCAAACTGACAAGGTCGTCAAGACCTGCGACGATCTCGGATCCCAAAACTTGACGAGATTGTCCTTGCTGCCCGAGACGATCAACCCCTTGGTCGGATGCCACTTGACGCACTTGACGTCCCAGCCGTGACCGGTAAGCGTCTTTTCCTCCTTCATCATTTCAAAGTTCCACAATTTGATCGTTCCGTCATCGGCGCCGGTCGCGAAGCGCAAGTCGTTCGGTGCCCAGGAAATGTCGCGGATCGATTCGTTGTGGCCCTGGAAGACTTGGAGGTTGTTCATGTTGGCTTGGAAGTACTTGATGATACCGTTGTTGTCGGTGGAGACGAGCCATTGGCCTGAATGTGACCATTCCATGGCTCGGACAGCCGAGTCGTGTGCCTACGGACAAGTTAGGGTCCCTATGGTGTCAGCGTTGCCGTCTGCAAGAGTGCTTGCTCGTTTGTGAAATGAGATGTTGCACACCTGCAAGATGGTCTCAAAGTTGAATGTGAGACCATTCCATAAGGTAAATTCGCCCGAGGTCGAGCCGGTGAGAATTCGTCTTGCATCAGGTGTCCACTGCACACGGAGCGTTTGTTAGCAACACGGTCCCATCCCGGCGCGTCATTTGAAGATGCCGCTCACCTTGACGACGTTGACAGGACACCTGATCTTGTTGGTCGAGGTGTGGGAGTAGCGTGTGCAGTACGAGTACGAGTAGTTCGAGTAGGCTTGCGGTGGGAGAAGCTGAGAGACAAGCGCGGCCGAGTCAGTTCATGGCTCGCCGCTACGGGGTTCGCCGGGCATGGAGCTGGGCTCACGTTGATGAGGAATGCAGGACTCTGTCGAATGACGAGTTGGTCGTTTTGGGAAGTAGCCATCGTACGGAACTGCGAGGGAGAACTGCCGGAGTCAGTCATGAAACGTGCGAGACTCACCGCGCTCTGCACAGAGACTGCCGCCGCTCCATCAGCAACTGACCATTTTCCACCTCTCCAGACCACCAAACGGATCAACCGTCCGCCTCGCCCTGAGTCGTTGTCGTTTGCCATCGTGACCAAGCTTCTCCTGCGCGGCGAGAGCAGCGAGTTCGGCTTCGCGCGTGTCCGGGGGCGGTGGTACAGGCTCGTCAAGCATGTGCAGCGGTTCCCACGCGTTGGCAACCATCCTGGACCGCCGCGGTGGAAGGAGGTCCAGGATATTGTCGCTGGGGTGCCCATTGAGGGCGGCCATGGTATTGAGAGGGCGGCGAGGTGGGGCAGACGATGGGCACAGAAGGAGGGAACGAGCGCGGCGCGGGCGCCAGTGGGGGGCTCCGCTCGCTCGCCCAATTCTCGGCCATAATTTTCGACCTCAGCTTCGGAGTCTCGAGGTTGACTGCAAAGAGTAGCCAAGGCTAGGGTAAGTATGACCACCAGGCCTTTCCGTTCGGTTGGTAAGGTAAGTGCATCGCATTCCCGAGCAGCATTTCCTCCTCTGGTGTTACAGCAGACTTCCTGGCTGGTTTTGCACCGATCGACCTCTGACTGGACCAAATCGTGTCGCTGGGCTGGTAGGCTGTGTAAATACTACAGACAGGTGGAAATGAGACGCTCCTTGCTTTCCCACTGATCTCTGAAATATCACAAACTGTTCACCTGGAGAATAAACTTCGAACGTGTAGCGTAGGCCCTGGTCAGCTCGGTTTCATTGCACCAATTTCATTAGCCGCCGACTCGAGCGATTACGCCGAGCATTAGCTCGCTTGCAAACCGGAGCAGCTTATATAAGAGCTGAGCTTGCCGTGCTCCCGCCGTGGGGCCGGCTCACTCAGCTGTTCCTTCCGCGCCATCCCTATCCTCAGAGGCTGCGGTCCCCGATCACGCACCCCACCCGCAGCCCATCCCCCCACCATGGCCAAAAAGGCGGGTCTCACAGCTGATCGCTGGCACTATCGTCGTGAGGACTAACCAAAGCTGTACTCACCCTCTCTGCAGGCGACATCAGGGGCGTCGTCGTCCTCGGCCGTAGCAACCGCCTCGCCAGCGGACACACCAGCTCGTCGGCCTCGAACAGATGAGAACATCTTTCTCTTTGTACCCAATCTCATTGGTACGTTCCGCACCAACCACCACGTACGAGGTCGTACACTCTGCCGCACGCCCAGCCACGCATCCACTTGAGCGGTGCGGGCAGCCGAGCGGTGTGTGACGTCGTATCGGCCAACATGTGGCTCCTCCGCGAACAACGACGACCACATCCCACACCCTCGGCACTCACAGTCGCAGTCGACTGACCCGTCTTTCGTCTCTACAGGTTACACAAGAGTCATCCTCGCAGCGGCGTCATTGACCTACATGCCAACGCACCCCAAATTCTGCACGGTCGCCTACTCCATCTCGTGCTTGCTCGATGCCGTCGACGGTCAGGCCGCACGCGCGCTCGGGCAGACATCTCGCTTCGGGGCCATCCTCGACATGGTCACAGATAGGTGCGTTGGATCGTAGGCTGGAGTGGAGAGCGCCGGAGGCAATACTAGGCACTGATTCGACCCCGTTCTATGGCTTCCTATCGCTCGCACAGGTGCACGACCAGTTGCTTGCTCACTTTCCTCGCCTCCACCTACGATCAATACGCCCTCTTGTTCCAGTTCCTCATTTCTCTCGATTTTGCTAGTCACTACATCCACATGTATGCGTAAGTTTGAGACGATGCTCGCCCTCGCCGCCCCCGGTGCGTCCCGCTTTGGCAACTGATCCAGTCCACTTCCCCGGCCACCTCCCTCCTCGATGCAGCTCGCTCGTGTCAGGATCAGCAAGCCACAAGTCCGTCACCAAGAAACAGAGCTGGATCTTGCATTCCTACTACAACAACAGCGTCAGTCGTGATCTAGTTGGCCTCTCCCACTCACCCCCACTTTTTAGACTGAACCTTTGCCGAGCTACCGTCCTCCTCAGCGAACGCTCTTCTTCTTCTGCGCCGGAAACGAGCTCTTCTTCGTCGCGCTCTACGTCATGAATGCTTACAAGGTCCCTCTTGGCCTGGCACGCTACACCGGGTACCTCCCCTTGGCGGTGTGGAAGACGATCCCCGGGCCGGTGCTGTCTCGCATCGGCCTGCTCACCTGGCCTGAACTGGTCGCGCTGTTGACACTCCCCGTCATGGCGATCAAGCAAATCATCAACGTCGTACAGTTCTGGAAGGCGAGCAAAGTGCTCGTCGAGACCGACCAGGAGGATCGATGGGCCGCACAAAACAAGAAGCAGTGATACGGTACTCTTTCGGCGAGTCTCACCTATCGCCGAAATTCCCGCAAGCTTCGGCGACTTTTGGGCGAAGGGTTCTCGGGGACAGGCCACACGCTACATACCTGGCTGTAGCTTTCTCATTTGTTCTTTACTTTTTCCATCTTCTTGTTTTGATGGTACCTGCGTAGATGGACGTACGAAGTGGTTGTCCATATCGCGCCCTTCTCTGCCGACCGCATGACGATGACCTGTTCCCACCCCCACGTCCATTATCCTCTCTCGACTGCGAGTGTAACAGGTTGCGTAGACCCTGCTCCCTTTCTGCCGCGTCCTGTCGCTGTCATTTTTATTAATTACCACTACGAATACGAAGGCAATCATCTACAACCGAGTCCTAATCACACCCATCTTTCACTGCTGCACTTGGTGAAAGTCTTGAGGCACGTGCCTTGCCCCCTGGGTGCGGGATCGACGTACGGGCACGATGCGCGTCCCCAGACTCCCCACCCGCTGGGCCGCTGGGCGCTAGCGCTTGAGCGCTTGAGATGAAGGAGGGCCGAGATGCGAGCGCCGTCTCTCCTCTTCGTTCGTCTTCCGGCGGCCCACACCCCACATACGTGTCCGTCCCTTGGTCCCTGTCCATCTTCTTGGTTTGCCATCTCACTCCATCCACCCGTTCCAACCGGGATTTGTCTCTCTTTCCTCTTCCTTCTCCCATCCCTTTTACCAACCATGTCGGCGTCGTCGTCGCGCACGGCTTCACCGGTCCGCGCGGCACCACGTGAGGCGCGACCTCCACCACCGGTCGATGCGACACGTCTACTCGACGATTCCTTTGGCCTCTCCGAACCCGTGAGTTACCCCTTCTAGGCCGTCCTCGAAGATGCAAGACTTAACGTGATCTGAATTCCTCTCGCGAATTTGATTACCTTGCCCACCGTTCCGCTCACGACGACGCTCGTCTACGGCGCGCTCAACGCTCTTTTACCGCTCGGCCCCGTCCCCTTCCTCAAGCCCAGTTCTGCCAAGTGCTCTCCCAAGTATTCCGCAAATACGCATCCATGACCTCCCTCCCCCCTGCCCCCTTGACCGAAGGCGTTTCCTTGCCGGACCCTGAAGAACCCGAACAAGCGACGCTCAAGGGTCAACCGACTTTGGGGAGGGCGCAGTTGAACGCGTTCGCCAAGGATACGAATGGGCAGGTCATGGATGATGAGACGTACAAGGAGATTGCGTGCGTTATGTCGGGCTGGTATTTCCGTTGCAAGGTGTCAGATACTGATCCGAGATTAAGATGGGTTCGTTTGCAGAGAATTCTTGACTTGCACGACCGGCGTTGATGGAGCGCCGGCTTTGACCTTTAAAGGTTTCGTCCAGCTCTACCAATTGCAAACAGGTACGCCCTCTCGGCGCGTCGGCTTTCAGTGTTATTCGGATTGATCTGATTTGTTCCTTTTCGTGATGGAATCAATCACAGAGAATGACATCAACGAGACGTGGAACGATCTGACGCGTGTGTTCAACCCCCCAAAACCCTTCTCGTTTCTTCCGAAAGCAGCGAGCTGACCCTGTTTTTCCCTTCTCGGACCGGATCCAGAATGGGGCTACGACCGAGACCTTCAGCTCGTAGGAAACAATACCCCAGCAGCAGCAGCAGCAACAGCGACAGAAACCCCCGCTGCGACGAGTGGGACAACGCCGACTTTGGATGAAGGTGTGGCGAAGAAGAAGAAGAAGAATAAGAAGAAGAAGAGCAAGGCGTCTTTGATGCTTGAGGGCACTTTGGAGGGCCAGAATGGGGAGGATGGGAAGTCGTCGACGAGTGGTGGGGAGAGTACAGAGTGAAATGTAGATTCAGGGCGGGGGGGGTTTCTTGGAGATCAAAGGGCGGACGTCTGGGGGTTGACCCTCGAGAGGAGAGTCAAGCCAAGTCAACGAGAGCCGAAAGATGCATTTGGATCATCTCGACAAGCTGAAACCAGTGAACATATTGAGACGTGAAGCCTCGATGCCCTGGCACGAGCATGGTAGTGGTGCGGAGCTGTCAACTTCTCACGAATATCCCGAGCGGCACACTGCAGCCCCTCTCACCGACCGCAAGTCGAGACTCGGACAAGAGCTTCGGAGTGGTGACGTGGCAATTTCCAGTTTTTCCCAGCGCACATCGAAAAGACGTCAGAGGTGGGGTATCCTTAACTCGTCTTTGCATAAGAGCCACCTCCTAATCCGAAACAAGACGTGCGCTTATCTCGCGCGCAGGTACTACATGTATTATACTGCGGGCCCAACCGCATCGAAACAGGTGACCGAGTACTCAGTAAATTTTCCGGTATTTTTCAGACGCATTTAAGACCCTCGGCTTGGAGTGTCTAGTCACCACGCACTGCAGCGCCACAGCGTTAGTCAATGCTCAAGCTCTCAAGCGGGGTCGCGAGGGTGACGCGGTGACGCGAGCCGGCGTATGTCTCAGTTGTCAGGCCGGTGCAACGAGGTGCAACGCGTTCGGCAATCAAGCCGTTTCCCGCCAGTCGCCTCCCTCTGTCTTCACCTTCTCTTCCGCCGACCCGACTCTCTCGCGGCGAGTAGACTCCCGTGTGTGTGCAAGTGGGTATATAGACTTGACCAACCACCCTCCTCTCGATCCGACCATGGCCACCCGAACGAGTACGGGCGTCAAGAGGATCCTCAAAGAGGCGTCCGAGCTAGAGGCCGATGACTCGTGCGACTACAGCGCCGGCCCGCTCGAGGACGATCTGTTCAACTGGCACTTCACCATCAAGGGTCCTTCGGGTACCGACTTTGAAGGTCAGTCTTTGTGATGTTATGGGTCGTGATCCGGCTGCTGGCTGCTGGCCGCTGGCTGGCCCTCGCCACCGATCGAGCACTGCTGCCAGCTGCTGCGAGTGCGTCGACGTCGTGCCTATCATCACCACCACCGCCCCGGCTGGCTGGGCAGTCGGCGGCCAAGCCCCTGTTGCGATTGACGTGGCATGTACTGACGCCTCTTTCGTGCCTCTACCCTGCGCGTACCTCGTGCCGGTTAGGTGGTGTCTACCATGGACGAATGATCGTAAGTTTTCATATCCTCTGTCCCCTCGTTGCAGCCCCATTACCCACCCCCCGGTCCATGGTCCATCGCGGCCCAATCGAGCCTCGAGCGTGCAAGCTGACCCCGCGTTCGAATTCGGTCTTGTCTCCCGTCCCGCTCCCACCACGACATGATCCCCCTCCCCTCCACTTGCCATTTCCTACCACAGCTCCCCTCCGAATACCCATTCAAGCCTCCAGAAATCTACATGGCCACCCCTTCGGGCCGGTTCGAAACCAACAAGAAGATCTGCCTCTCGATTTCGAGCTTCCACCCCGAGACGTGGCAACCGTCGTGGGGGATCCGTACCGCGTTGCTCGCTCTCATGGCCTTTTTCGAGACTGAGGTGGGTTTTGGCGATTTCGGCAAACATGACCTGTATATTGACGACTGTCACGTTTCATGTTTCGTCGTGCAGGCCGCTGGAGCTGTGGGGTCACTCGAAGTGCCTCCGGCCGAACGTCGGCGACTAGCTCAGGCGTAAGTCCCGGTTTTGGCTAGTTTCACCCGGCAGAGGGCCAACGGCTGACCGTTCTCTCCTCGTAGATCCCGGACATTCCACTGTGTGACGTGCGATTTCCACGCGAGCAAGTTCTTGACCCTCACCACGACCACGCCCTCGTCCGACACCGAGGACGGTGAAGCTGTCGACGAGGAGGATGAGGAAGACGAGGAAGTCGCCGCCGTCGCGTCCAGTACCGATCGATCCGATGAAGCGACCGCCATCTTTCCCTCGTCGCGCGGACCAGGTGTCGGTGCCGCTGATGTTGGAGGCCATGCCGTCACGACGCCGAACCACGTTTCGGGAACAGCCGATCGTGTCACGAATGCCTCGGCGCCGCATCCCAGACATCACCACATCCCCACTGCCGCTGCTACTCTGGACGCGATTCCTGCTCCTCAACTCCGAGTTGTCCAACACCGTCCTGCACCCGCTCATGAACCTAGATCGGCCGCACCCCCACCGTCGAACCCGAGTTCGGCCTCGAGTGTGGCTGCGGTTGCTTCGACCTCATCCGCACCAGCGGCAGCGGCAGCCCCGCCGGCTGCTACGCCCGAAACTGCGGCTCTCCCTGCCGATTTGATGATGATCGGTGGTCAACCGACGGCCGTTGATCGGCTGATCCTCGTCGTCCTCGTCGCGATCCTCGCTCTCGTCGTTCGTAAAGTCGCATAGACGGACCGACCCGCATTCTACGCAAAACTCGGTCCCCCTCGATCCGATCCCTCTCGTTAAGGAGTTGTAGGAGCCGTCGATTTCCGGCACCTTGCTCTCTGTTTGATGTACAAACTCCGCTCTGCATCGTTTCTCTGTTTTTCCATCTTCCTTTGTTTGCTTTCGTGTTCCTATCACACTATAGTCGTCAACAACCCCAAGTCCCAGGTTCCCGTTCCTTTGCCACTGCTAGCTTTCTCGTTTTTTTTCTTTCTGCTTCGTAGATGGATCGTCGTGGATTGTAACCATTCGCATCGTATTCCACTCTTGCGTAACAGAGAGTGATCCTATAAGGAACTCGTGTGGGCTGTCGGGTCGGAAAAATGACGAAATGGAAGCAAGGCGCCAAGTTGACTTGACCCCGGTCACCCATGACATGCATGACACACGCTCCGCAACATGGCGTACCGCGCGCGCCCTTGCGCTCCGACCACGTCCCACACCTTGATACAAGCCCGACGAAACAACTCTCCGATCTCATCTTGATCGATCATGCTCCCGACCACGACATGTCGATGCTTTGCGAGTACGACTCGTCGAGTGATCGTCGCTTCAACCTCCACCTCCTCGAGCATACAACGGTCGGGCACACGAGCGACACCGGCCTCCTCATCGATCGCATGGACACTTGCTACAGGTGGACACCCATCTTCAAGCAGGTCCTTGACGACGGGGAGATCAAGGTCCAAAAGGATGACGAGATCGGAGAGTGAGCGTGCGACGGCGGCGGAAGAGGAGCAAGAGGTTGAGGACGAAGGGGAGGAGCGATCGAATGCGGAGACGAGGGAGGACTCGCATGGTGATCCGACAGCAGGAAAGTATGGCAAGATACAGAGTCAGTTACTGCACAAGGTGTGCTGCATTGGGCTGAGCACGGCCAAGCCTGACCCTCTCTTCCCGCGTCTCGCAGCGATCCCCTTCCACCTCCCCGGATGGAAAGCCTCCGAGTACTGCTCCGTCGGCGCGCATTCCGCTTTTGGGTTCGGCACTTTCCTACGCATGACCCTCAACCGGGTTTTCGGCAACATCTTTGAGACCGGTGTCGAGAGGCTCGCTTTTCGGGGCGTGCTCTTGCCGGTGTGGAAGATCGATTTGGCGATCAAGGGGACGGCGTGGCTGGATGCACAGATGAGCATGTCGGGTCAGTTTGAGCGTTCGAGCGACTCATAATTCAAGTGGAGACGGTTAGCTGAAGTGAGAGTGGATCCCGCGCACAGTCTCGGCGAGCAACGCCACCATTCCGGGCTACAAAATGAGCCCCCTCGACCAATTGACCGTCGACAGTACATGGGACTCTGAACCCGTCCCCTTCTCGCCGTCCCACCATGCCGGTCGTCAAGTCGTCGTCCGTGACCCCGAAGATGGGTCCGTGGTCGAACTTCGGCACGGAGAGGAGTCGGTGCCGTTGACGGTCGTTCCTTTTACGCATCATCCGCTGAATTTGTTGAGAAAGATCACGGGGTTGCCGAGGACGACGGAGAGTCAGCATGGGATCGGATTGGGTTAGTCCGAGAGGAAATGGGGGGTGAAGACTCGCTAGGCTCATTCATCTTTGTCCGATCGCAGATCCTTCGGGCATCAAAGCCTCCTTGTTCGGCGCCTACCCCCTCTACATCCCCGTTTACCTCGCCGAATACGCCAAAGGCGACGAACGAGCGACCACAGTCGCCTTCGGTGCGAGCGAAAAGATCAATTTCGCCCTCTACGCTTCCAGCAAACCCGAGCCGAGGTGGGAACCCAACGGCGATGCGTGTGAACTGACCGTCGGCGGCTCCCCCCTCGATTTCACCCAACGTCCTAAACCGAACGCTTTACAGGTGCTCAAACCCAAATTGGACGAATGGTTCGCGAACCTCCAGACGCAAACGGAGAGCTCTTCTTTCTTGCTCACCGATCCGATCAAACCTTATACGTGGTCGGGCGCGATCGCGAATCATCCGCGGGTATTGGAGTACTCTGAACATTCTCAAGCGTCCAAAGCCTACATCCAGAAGCTGGCGGAATTGGATCGGGTGGAAGCATTGATGAAGAACTTTGAGGTGATGGATGAGAATGTCAAGGGGTTGATGATTGGGCCGAAAGGGGTGCCGAAGCTCATGGGTAGGGATGGTATGATGGAGGATGTCAAGAAGAGGTTGTCCAAGGCCAAAAAGGAAGTCGAGTTGGCGATGCCGAGATGGGTCAGGGACATTGATGCGCAGACGCAGAAGTAGGGGTCCGAGTCCAGGACCTAGCGCAGTTGCAGTTCCAAGTGGGGATAGAGAAGATGCTGTACATGAAGGATTTCTATTCCCGAACCAAGAAACCTATCAAACATCCGTCGAGCATGAGATCGTAAGAAACCCAGGCATGGGTTTTCATGAATAGTTCGGTGCCTGCCAGATCGGCCAAGAATGGGATGAGCCCGGGATGCTCGTACGACCCTACCAGGACAGCACTGACCATCTTTTGCTGCAGCGCGCATTATCTCGCCCACTCCACCAGGATGAAACTTGAGGAAGCGTGTGACGTCGTAGACTTTGCCCCCGTAGGCCTGCCAACAATCGTCTCGGGTCTTGTGCTCGGCCAACATCGCCGGTGTGATGCGCATCAGTTGTGTGACACCGTTCTGTGTCGTGAAAAGAAAAGAAAACCCCTAGTCTCAACAGTTTGTGCAGAGCTCTTGTCGTACGTCTAAGCGTATCATGAACCGACCCTCAGATCCTCGCCACTCCTCTGCAGCCTCGCCCAATCCAACTGGGAATACCCCTTCTCGATCAAGACCTTGACCCTCTTGCCCTTCTTGACAGTACTCGTAGGGGCCTTCAACGAGTCCTGCTCGATCCTCAAAGGTGGGAGGGCGTTCCCTCGTCCATCTTCTTCGTCGTCGTCGTCGTAAAGGTCGCGTTCGTCATCGGATTCGGGGGCATCGACGTGGAAGAGTGGTGGAGGAGGGGGTCGGGTCTTGTGGGTCAATGATGTGGTGGTAGAGGAGGAGGACGAGGATTTGAGACGTTGTTGAGGGTTGAGGGCGGGGAATGGAGGTGGCGGGGACGAAGAACTGGATCGTGTCGAGGTGGAAGTGGACGCGACGGGCTCCGTGCTTGGGGCGTTCAGTCCGATCACTCGCTGGAGAAGAGGGTAAAGGGGGAGATGATCAGTGGGTGTGGGTGTGGGTGTGGGTCGGAGATAGATCGTAGCTTACTCCGAAGGCGGAAAGCATGGTGGGTGATGAGCTGCAACGAAGCGAAGGAAGGAGATCGAATGCCAATCCGATCGCCGAACGAGACCCACCGAACTGACCGCCAGCCCGAGTGTAGCGGACTGTCGCGCTTGGCCATGGGCTCCACTCTCACACCCACCTCCGTTAAACACTCCGCGTTCCCTTTCAAGTTAAGACCCGTATCTGTCTCGGAGGAAACGCAACTCCCCGATGGGCATGGGTCCGGACTGGGGTGCCGATACGGCGCTCGACCCTTCCTTCGGGTTCACGACCGAACTCGACGAGGCGCCGTCGCTCTACGGTGCCATGTGGGCCCTGTCACCACCTCCACGACGCCCGGTTCCTTCTTTGCGGATATGCGCCGAGAGTATTCTCAAATTGCACGTGTCGGGTGAGTTTCGACGGCTGGCAGGCGTATCGACAGGGTGGCTCTTGCTGATTCCAATACCAAACCCCGTCGTCAACGGAATCAGGCATCACCGATATCGGCGACTGCAACTACGATCTCATCAAAAATATACTCGCCCTCTTCCCTGCCGAACAACTTCACCTCATTGAGACTAGATCACCTCATATTTCCGAGCATACAGGGCGTGAGTCACTCGGAGGGGGGGGGGGGGCTAAGCAAATTCTTCCGATCGATTAAAAAAATGCTCGGAGGCTCATTGTTTCATCTAATCTGGTATTTCACAGCACTATGGAAAAAGCTTTGCGTCAAAGACTTTGTCAACATCCGTATTCAAGTCGAGGATGGTACGATGAAGCATGAGCCTGCGAGTTGGCGGGATTTACACGTAGAAGAGACCAAGCGACGAGACGTGAGTTCTACCGCAGTTCGTATTCTGCCGTGTTCATACTCCCACCTCTGACACCTTTGTCAATCGCGCTGGGTGTGTTTTGCTAGGCCAAGATGGAGGCTGTACAAGCTCGTATGCGCACGCAGTACAAGGGCTACAGCGAGGGCCGAGCGACGACCAATGTCGTCGATGGCGTCCAGATGGCTAAAAGGCGCAAGATCGCAGCCAACATGACTCATCAAGGTCAGTGATGAAAACGGACACAGCTTTGTTCGTGTCTCAGATGGCTAACTCTCTCTGTACGCTTGAAATTCCAGGCTCCCGACCCAAGTCCTTGATGCAGAAAGCGAGAGCGCAGACCGCGCAGATTCGCTCCATCTACACCACACCTAGGCATCAGCTTCCTCCGTCCAAATCATCCTCTTCCTCCTCGACCACATCATCGTCCAAGAAAGAACCGGCTCCAGCTCTGGCTCCTTCGAAAGCTTTCGCGATCAAAGCGCCATCTCGGAAAGCGCAGAATAATGTCAAATTAACAACGACGACCAAGACAGTCAAGTGGGTCCTGCCGGGCGACTCAACCTCGGGTGGTGAATCGCTCGATGAACCACGGCCGAATCCAAGTTCGAACAAAGGGAAAGCGTGTTCCCCTCCTCCGATTTCAGCCATGGCGTCTCGGCCGATTGCTCGGTTGCCGAGTCGACCTCAGACGATCTCGCCAGCCGGCAGCCCTCCTCCACCCGCCAAGATCTTTCATCCTACGTCTCCAATGATCGATCTGACCAAGCCAAGATCGGTTTCTGCCTTGTCACCTCCTCCCATCTCATCGCGATCAACCGTGGTACCACCGACGCACCCACCTAGTGTCGCCTCTCAAACCTCGCTCAACTCGTTGTTCCTCAAGCCCAGGCCGAAACGCAAATGAATTCGCATATCAGGGTCTCTTCGACACGTTGTTTGTATTATCTTGTTCTTTTTGCTTGGCATTTTATTGACTTTGTTGTCTCGCAGTCGCATGCTTGCTATCGCAATCGCTTTTCATCTCACTAGCGGCGGCGGCCCAGGCTGGTACGACCGATCGAATTTGTTGCAGGGCGCGGGGGAGGCTCCCTCCGCCGAGGCCGCATTCGCCTCCTCTTTCTCTTTCTTCTCACCGAGATTACCCCTCACTTGAACAGCTCAAGAGGATCAGTATGCCAGCATGGACCAGTCTCGAGAGGTTCCGCTATAACCATAGTTCGTCCCCGATTGCTTCCAACGTCGGTGCTTCGACGTCGTGCGACAGCTCCCGAGCTCGACCCCATGTAGATGATCCCCTGGCTCGTCAGGAGATTCCTGGTGACAGTGGACAAGAGGATGCCGTCGTCGATGCGTTCGGGTTCAGACACCACCTAGGGACTTTGCACTCTTCTTCGGTCTATGATGATGAGGAGGTTGAACAAGTGATGCAGGAGATCGATCGTGATCGGGCGCGTGAGCAGCCGCACGAGTCAGCGTGGGGTGATGAAAACTCGGAGGAGCGGGGTCGGTCGTACGATGCGACGCAGCAGTGGGGTGGTACGACGCAAGCGCGTGAACAGGTGAGGGGAATGATGATGCATGGTATGCGTGAGTCATATTACGTCCTGTTACGTCTTCTCGTCCGCGTGGAAGTGATTGATATTGACGCGCGACGTTGCAGCAGACGGCGGTGACCCCACCTCCCCCAGCCCTCCTGCGTTGCGCACCCGTCGACGAAGTCAGCACGTCGATTCGCTACCATCGGCCCGCCCAACTCCACCAACCTTTCGATCGCAGAGTCAGATTTCGTTCTCACAACCTCGTGAGACTCGTCCAACACCAGCGCAACAACAATGGTCTCGGCCTCCAGGGATGTCGAATGTCAATCGCGCGCCACCATTCCGACCCGCCGACGCATCATTCATCCCGCCGCTCCGCCCGATACCTCAACGTCCAGTTTCACAAGTCGTTCAAGAAGTGCGAAATTACTCTGCATTGACGACTGCTAACATCCATGAGAGTACGACGCGTCGCCCGCTCGCACCGATGGGTGGGCCACCACCCAAGCGCGCCAATTCCGAAGAGGAGTACTTTGGTGGTGGCGAGGACGAACAGGAGTTTGAGAGGCAATTGATGGTCGATGATCGAGCTCGTGGGTATCCAGCTTGTCCTTTGGCGACTGGGAGAGGAAGCTGACTCCGGCCGTTGTGGTCGTTCTGCCCAGTGGTACCTCAAGCTCTCCTGCCCCAAAGGCAGCCTCAAGGTTTTCGCTCGGCTCCCCTGCAGCAGTTCGGGTTCGGTAGTGGTCAAGATTTATCGATTTCCCAGAGCTCTGGACCCCAGAATGCGAGTGCATGCCCCCAGACCAGCTCCACAAGACCTCGTGCGGCTGGGACGAGGCTTCGAGCCGTCAGTGATCTTCGTTAGTCCGCCGATTCATCCTTACCGCTGATTACGCACTCTGACCTCATTTGCAATCGGACATGTGCAGCGGACGTCTTTCGAGGACTGTGGAAGTTCGGCGTCTTCAACGCCATTCAGAGTACTTGTTTCGATGCTATCTACCACTCGGATCGCAATGTTGTCGTCTCAGCCCCAACCTCGTCGGGGAAGACCGTTCTTTTTGAGCTCGCGATCCTGCGCCTCTTTTCAAGCGCCGACTCGAACGACGCTAAAGCCGTTTACATGGCACCGACCAAGTCGCTGTGCGCCGAAAGAGCTGCGGACTGGAAGACCAAATTCGAACGCTCTGGCCTGGGTTGGGCCGTCGTCGAGTTGACCGGTGACACAGCGATGGAGGGGCCAGGGTTATGGATGGAGATTGGCAAGGCTCGTATCATCATCACCACACCCGAAAAATGGGACTCGATCACGCGCAAATGGCACGACCATCATCGCGCTTTGGCGCTGCTGCGTCTATTCTGCATCGACGAGTGTCACTCGGTCGGGACCGATGTGCGAGGTGCGACGCTCGAGGTCGTGGTCAGTCGCATGAAGACGTTGGGAACCGATACGCGCTTCATCGCCCTGTCAGCTACTGTCCCCAATGCCGACGACGTCGCGACGTGGCTTCAGCACTCGGATACGTCGCCCGCCGACACCTTCACGTTCGGTGACGAGTATCGACCCTGCCCTTTGCAAAAGATCGTGGTTGGCTTTCCGGCGCGTGACAACGACTTTGCTTTCGATTCTTCGCTCGACTACAAGGTGTTTGAGCTCATTCAGAGGTACTCGAGCGGCAAGCCGTGAGTTTGCCTTTGTCTTCTCGTCCGGTCCCATGGAAGAGGATTTTCGACTAATCCATCCATACTTGCAGGGTTCTGGTGTTCTCAAACACGCGCAAGGGGTGTTTGAAGCTCGCCGAGCATCTTGCAAAGGAATACCGTCAAGTGGCCGAAAAGCCTGCGCAGCGAAACAACCTACCTTGGCCAAAGCCTTCTCGTCTCGTGGCCCGTCCGAACGACAAGAAGCTCGCGGGTTTGCTCGAGTGCGGCGTTGCTTACCATCACGCTGGCCTCGACATGGATGACCGAAAGCTCATCGAGCAGCTCTTCATCGCCGGCTCGATCTCGGTCGTCTGCTCCACTTCGACCCTCGCCGTGGGCGTCAACTTGCCGGCACGGATGGTCATCGTCAAAGGAACGAAGCAGTTTCGGGATGGAAGAATGTACGAACTCGACGACACCGAGTTGCTTCAGATGCTCGGTAGGGCTGGTCGTCCGCAATACGACACAATGGGCGTGGCCTGCATCATGACCGAGCGTGATCAAATTCGTCACTACGAGTTATTGGCGAACTCGAGCACGGTACTCGAGTCAAGCCTGCACAAAAATCTAACCGAACACATCAATTCGGAGATCATCCTTCGTACGATCCGCAGTGTTCCGTCGGCTCTGAAGTGGCTGCACTCGACGTTCCTCTACGTGCGCATTTCCAAGAACCCCTCGCATTACGCCCTTGCCAAGGAACCGAACAAGCCCGCCGACGCTCGCCTCGAGGAAATCTGTGTCGAAGCCGTCGCCGAACTCACCAAGAATGGCATCGTCGAGAAGCATGACGAGCTGATTATTGCCACGCCCTACAGCGAGATGATGTCCAAGTTCTTCCTCTGTCAGGCCACCTTTGTCGCTTTGAAGAATCTGCCACTCAAATCCAGCATGCGTACTCTACTCGAGGCCATGTCGAAGGCGGGCGAATTCTCAAGCCTTCGTATTCGTGCGGGTGGAGAAAAGGCAATGCTGATGAAGGCGAACAAGATGATCCGGTATCCCGCGGCCAAGATCGTCAGCTCGGCGGACAAGATTTTCGTGCTGATCCAAGTCGTGCTCGAGGGCCTCGCTGGTGAGCTCAAATCCTCCGACGTCAGCAACCCACTGTCGGAGGAAAGTCTCATCGTTCCGAGTGCGCTGCGGATCGCCAAGTGTATGGTCGACCTTGCGCTCGAGCGTCGGGATGGAGGCATCAAGGCGGCTCTCGAGTTGATGCGTGCGATCTCGGCTCGAGCCTGGGATGACTCGGCGGCGTCTTTGAGGCAGATCGAAGGTGTCGGCGAGAAGTACTCGCAAGCCCTGTCGAGCAAGGGGATCAAGACGATCGCGGACCTTCGTGAAACCGAGGCTTCGAGGATCGAATTGCTCACCAACCGCCATCCACCCTTCGGCCGAAAGATCCTCGCTCAGGCGCGTTCGCTACCTCAATTCACGATCTCATTGCAAGCTAGAGAGGAAGAAGTTGTTGATACGGGCGTCAAAGTCCACGTGCACGTCGAGATTGGCCTCAAGGCTACCCAACCGGCGCCGATCGTCAAGAAAGGTGGCGTACTCCTCTGGGCCATGGTCACACTCACAACCTCGGACCATGAATTCATCGAGTTCCGCAAGATGCGTCTCGACAAATTGTTCGCGACCAAGAAGCAAGCTTTCTTAGTCGCTGTCATCCTCGTCAAGCCTTCACAGCGGATCATCGGCACCGTCTCGGCCGATGCGATCGCTGGATCGGAAACGAAAGCGCAGCTTAAGCCTTCGACGATCGCTAGCGAGTATCCTTTGCCGGTTTTGGCCCCGTCGTCGGACGAACGCGTGGGGGCAGAGGTAGAGGATGGTCTGGTGGATGAATTCGAGCAAGACTTCGATGAGGAGGAACTGGATGAAGTGGAAGAGCAGGAAATCCCTCGCGCCGATGAAGCTCACGCGAACGTCAAAGGCAACTCTGTAGCAAAGCCCGTTGTGGCGTCTCATTCCGGCAGTGGTGAGTCGCATCGTGTACTCGCTTGTGTTTTCACCGGCTGAAACGACCTGTTCTTTGTCTCAGCTGTGGCTGTAAAGGAAGTCGTTCGCAATCGTCGAGCTGACGGCAAGTATGAATGCGGTCACTCGTGCAACGACAAGACCAAATGTCGACACCTGTGGTAAGCAACTTCGCCTCGCGCAATTCGCAATTCGACATCTCCTGACCCGTAATTCGAGCTATTGCCAGCTGCCGTGAAGGCGTTGACAAACCACCTCGTCCAGCGCGCAAAAAGAGCACAACCGACCACGACCAAGTTGAGGGGACTTACGAGGCACCGGTCAAACTCATCAAGTCGCAGCAAGGGAAGAACACCAAGTTTTCTTCGGTCAAAGTTCCCGTCGCCTCTGCTCCGGCCCATACCAAGAAAGATACCCTGTTCGACTTTTTCTCTTCGAGCTCGACGTCTCGCAAGTCTGCTTCAAGGGAAGAGGACGAGATTGAAACCGAATCAGAGGATGAGTTGTTGCACCCTGGCCAGGTTGCGAGAGCCACCCAGGCCCGCCTGGCCGCCTCACACCGAAATCAGAAGAAGCCGAACCTGGGAAAGAAAGCCAGCCACGCCGCCAAGGCGCCAATCCAGCTCGAGATACCTTCGTCTGACGAGGATGACGACTTGTCGGACAATCAAATTTCTGCGGTACCCTCCCGAAGGCCTGCTTCTGGCTCAACGAACATGCATCGAATCCCGCTGAAGCAGCAACTCGCGAGACAGAAGAGTGCGGACAAGCTTTTTGGTGAGGTCGATGAGCTTGCGGACGATTCGGATCTCAACTCGGAACTTCCGGATCCCACTGGCAAGAGTCAGGCGACGAAACGCAAACGTGTTGACTCTGACGATGAAGCGGATGAAGAAAAGCCCACTGCTGCGGCTCACAGCAATCGCTCGCGCTACCAGACACCGCCGATGCGCGATGACGAAACGATGGATCACTCCTCGAGCTCGCCCGCCTTCGCTTTTCGACGCGACTCCCCTCTCTTCCTGACTCCGCACTCATCGTCGCCGCGCGTACCCGATGAGCCTCAAAGTTCTCCAGTCGAAGTCGTTGAACACGACGTGAAAAAAAGCTTTCACGAGTCGCCCAGCTTGACTGCGATCCCAAGCGAGAAGGACCTTCCGATGGCCTCTGAAGTCAATGAGGTGGAGGAAGTGGACTCGGCCGACGAGATGGACAAGTGGCTCGAAGCGAATGTGACCATCATACCCTCGTAGCAGAAAACACAATTACCCGCCATTACCTGTAGCTTACAAATTAGTCACTGCCTGTCTATTCAACACTATGCAAAGGCGCGATTTCTAACCATCCCGTGAGCTACGCCTGCTTCCTCACGAGCAGTTTCGACTTGCTCCTTCGCTTGAGACACCAGACCTCGACGCCGTCCCAGCCCAGCTCATCCCATGCAGCCGCCCTCATCAGTTTGTTCAAGATGAGCTGATCAACTTTGGAGCACTTCCACCCCTCCTCTTTAGCTCGTACAAAGAAGCCCGAGATCAATTCGGGGTCCCTGACTTCGACGGCGATGTAGGTCGTTGACTGAGGGGAAAGGTCGGAGAGAGATCGTAGGGTGTTGAGGAGGGGCTCGACGAGGGCAGAAGAGTAAATGACGTCGGATAAGACGATGAGATCGAAGGGAGGGTCGATAGGGGATTCGGGAGGGGTCCAATTCTCCTTCTCAGGATCGGCACCGGACTGGCTGGGTCCTCTAGTCGAGGCGACGTCCCTCGGATCGTTGAAAGACCATTCCGAAGAAGAGACGGACCAATCCAGTCCCTTTGCATGAAACCTCGGAGGAACGATCGACGGATCACACACGGTCAAATTCGAGGTCAGACCCGGGTTATGGTCAAAGTTGGCCTTTAGACAGGAGTGGGCGATGAAGGGCATGTCGGTTGACAGGACGTCGTATCCTTGGGAGTGGAGGTACATGGACATTAGGCCTGAGAAAAAGAAAGTTGTTCCTCAGTTTCAGCCTGCTGGGCTTCGCGTGGAGGAGGTGACAGGAGTCATTTTGAAACCACGTGGCCGTACGTACCTGTCCCTGCCCCAAGCTCAATAGCTCTTCTCCGTTTCCACCCGCCATCCTTCCCCTTCGTCAACACCTTGACCTTGTGCAACGCCGAATGCAAGTACAACACGAGCAACTGCGCACCAAGCCAAAGGGATCGTCCCGTCGAATCGCCTAGAGTGTCATCCTGCAAGAGCTCGATCACCCGACCATCCGGTAAAGTGTAAGGGAGTGCTTTGATGTGCTTGGTATCGCTTGCGGGTTGGTTCATCGTGGCATTTTTGGGTCCCCCAGTGAGGCCGAGTTGAAGTCGGAAGGTCACGTGATCCTGCGAGATGCGGAGGAGGGCAAGGAGGGGCAAGGAGGCACGAGCGAAGTTGTTCGCTACCTGGCTCTTCCTCGCGCCTCTTTCTTCATCGCACAGCCAACTTCAACGACGCTCATGGACGAATTCGCGGATCTGGACATCTCTGATTACGAGGATGACTCGGCAACACTGGCCCGACGAGCGAGGATCGAAGCGGCTCGGCTCCAGGCGAGGGACTATTCGGCCAAGTTGGACGAACCCGAGGTGCGTGAGAGCGCGTGGGACTTGCATGCATACTTCGCAAGTTGCTGAACTGAACGCTTGATCGTAGTGGTACCTTACCTCTGAAACTCAATCCAGCACCCTCTCCACAACCCCACCGCAAGAGGACCATGGATCCACCTCGCAGCTCAAAGACCTTCACCGCCGGAAGATCTTCGCGATCCAGCACCACTACCTCCAACGTTCTTATCTCACCAGCCTGAATCTCGCCCTCACTCTTTTGAACGGCAACTATTACATCCGTGGTGACGGGTCCGAAGACGTCGAAGTGCTCGATTTGATCCTCAGATCTTTCCTCAAGCTTTGGGAAGAGGATCGAGAGGGCCTCGTAGGAGCTGGAGCATGGAAAGAGCAAGGACCGATGATTGTTGAGATGGCGAGAAAGTGGTCGAGTTATGTGCGTACGATCTTCAACGGCAAAGGCACGCCACCAATCTCACACCAGCTGATTTGGAACACCCTTTCTCGGACCACAGCGAGGCGTCCCAACCTTTTCCTTCACAGCCTCCAAAGTCCTCTTCCTTCTATCCACCGATCCCTCCCCACCAGTCTCCATCGAAAACCTCCAAGAAAACCTCGCCCCAATTCTCAACGCGCTCAAGCTCCACTCGACCCAAATTCGATACCTCGCGCAGCTCGAACGAGTTCTTCAATTTCTCGATCGACCCGTCCTGGCTAAGGCGTTGACGAATCCGAATGGACCCGAGGTGATGATGGAAGATAAAAGGAAAGCTTTTGAAGGGTTGACTTTAACTGAGGAAGAACGGTCGACGTTGGAGAAAGTCACGGGTTTGCGAGGGGAGGTCAAGGATGAGCCGCAGGAGGATCACCTCAGGGACGTTAGAAGTTTATGAGGTGCACTTATTTCTTGATTTTCTATCCTTCCTGTTTAGCAATCTTGTTGTTATGCTGTATCCTATCGCATTCACACCAACGGCACATGATCGAAGCGAGATAGAGCACAATAAGTTTGAGGGATGCATTGCAAGCGTTGAGGAGCTCTGAGGAATGCATCATAGCGAGGGGGCGTTCTCGCTCGGTCCCTTTGCAGAAAAGAAAGAGGGAGAGAGAAGTGAGGAGACAGAGACAGAGAGAGAGCCCATCGGGGTATAAATGTCGACGACAAGGAATATGCATTAGTCGTACAAACAGGCGAGGCGGAGCGAGGCACGAAGGGGGGGGGGGGGGGGGGGGGAGGGAAGAGCAAGAGAGAGAGAGGGAGAGGGAGAGGGAGAGAGAGAGGAGAAAGAAACCCCCTCCGTCTGTTGACCAGAAGTGTAGTGCGATGAAGGGTTCTTGTTCAAACGCCGAGAGAGTTGGTCAATTTCCGAGATATTTTTTTGCCAACCTTGTGGGTGCCTGTTAGATAGAGAGCATGGTACAATTACGCGTTAGAACCCCACCAGGGATAAGCTCCAACTCGAAAGACCAGACGCACCGAACTTCATCTCGAGCTTAAATCCATCCCAACTTCGCTTCATCCCATGCACACCTGCGTCGAGTGCGGTCCCTTCCATATTTGGTGGCCGTGTACTTGCTTCCTTCAATGCATACTTGTTGTACCCATTGCCGACCGGATCGACCGAGCCTTCGGCCGAACTCGACAAGGATAGTCGGGCCGTCGACCCTAGGAGGGACCTCGCGTCGGCGGAGGAAACGGCGCGCGCTGTGACACTCAATTGGGAAAGTGGGTCAAAGTCTGGTGGCCGCGAGGAGAACGTTGGTGCCGGTGGTTGAAAGGAGGAGGTCGTCTGCCGTCTCAGATCGCCGTTCGTCGAGGATATGGCCTTATTTTTCCCCATCGGTGCCCCCAGCCCGATCCCACTGGCAGAGGAACCATAGACGCTCCCACCTGCACTACGATCATAGCCCGATGTCGCCATACGGTACACGGAAGGGTTGTAGTCGCCGCTCTTACGCCGTGGGGAAGGTGCGCGTGGAACAGCGAGCGAGGTTGTCCGATCGAGACTTATCCGATGCGGTTGGGGTGCGAGGTAGCTTGGGATCGCGGACACGGTGGACCCCATAGGTGCGGCATAGTGATGCGTCGACGCCGAAGTCCGTCTTGTCGTCGCTTGGTAGCTATAAGGTGTTGGGCCGAAGCGAGATGCGCCCGAGTCTTCGGTCGAGGACGAGGTGGAGGCCGAAGATTCGGACGCTGAGCCATCATCGTCGTGTTCGCGTCCGGGGCCAAGTTGATTCCGTTGCGAGTGGACATGGACTGGTGTTGCCGTCCTGAATTGAACATCTGGTGACGGAAAAGGGGGAAGGTGGGAAACACATGGCGTATCAGGGGTTGTGCTCGGGCCGACTGCCCCACTTTAACATTCGCCTAGACGGTTTGACCCGGTCTCGCAACCGCAAAGGGGACCACCCGTCGCTGAGCCCAATACTGAACTGACACTCTGAATCATGAGCGACGCCATGGTCATCGACGGGCATGTTTCTCCGCATGACGCCGTCGCCGTTCCTCCGTTCCTTGCGCTGCTGCCTGCGCTCCTTGGCGTACTGCACGGTCGCCTGTATCCTCGGTGCGACGCCGCCCTTCTCCATGCCGTTACTGACGACGCCTTCCTTGGTCGTTTGGCCATAGCCTGTGCCTGATCCTGGTGGTAAGACATTGCCACCTCGGTCGCGACGGTCCTCTTTCCGGAGTCGGCTACGAGCCGGCGCGGCGGCGGAAGGGTCGGAGGTCGACACGACGCTTCGTGCATACGCTGGCAGCGGGAGACTCGACAGGGGCGGTGCGAGAGCGACCGGTTGGGAGCCATTGCCGAGGTAGGCGGTGCGGTGGGTCCGGGACGAGCTCATGACCGGGCGTGTTGCAGCGCTTTCAGAACGGGGGGCGGGGCTTTCGGGGCGGGAGGGCGCGCCTCTTGATGACAGAAGAGCGACCGAGCGACCGAGCGACCTAGCAACCGAGCGAGCTGGAACGCGTCGAAAGTCGGGTCGGAGCTACGATGCGATAGATACAGGCTCTTGGCGCGTCCAGACTCGGGCACGATGAAAGAAAGAAAAAAAAACTGCGACTACCTGGAGCCAAGCAGCCTTGAAACCCTCGCCGTCGAGGGCTGGGGCGATTGGGTTCGAAGGCCAGAGCTCAAGCTGAAGCCAAGCTCAAGCGCTCAACGCCGGCAGTCACTCGCCGGCGCGGCAACACACAGACACACACACGCGGCGCGCGCATCCTCGCGCATCGGCGCTCTTCCCTTCCACGCCCTTCAGCTCGCGCGAAAGAGTACCCTAAGGCTATTTGGCATTCGATCGAGACGATCCAATGGAATAAGGCCGAACCACGTCGCAGGCGCTGTTGTTCCTACACCACATCTTGCCGGACAAACAGCACGTCACCTGGCTGGAGAGAAGGTTGATCGATGACTCCGACGTCATCCTCGTATAGGCTAGCTGACCACCGACAGGCGTCGGAGCCGGGGTAACGGCGCGCGCCGGTTTAAGCACTTTGGCCATCGCGGGGCCGGCCCACATCGCGGTCTCAGAAAAGCAGTAAACAGGTACGTTCCTGGTGTCAGAAACGTAGGATACAGCATTTAGTATCATAATCGATCATCGAGCTGAGATTATCGTGGCTGGACATTCTATAAAGCCCATTAGACGGGAACTCCGAGTGGAAGCTGCCGAGGGCGGACCCCCACTTTGCCCTTCGCACGCTTCCCCTACCTGCCCGGCCGTTCACGCCGCCCTACAACTTTCTTGGCACATCCCCATCCTACTGGCGTAACTTTGTCGTACTTCAACTGCCCTCAGTGATGCCCGAGCTTCCCGAAGTCGAGCGAGCGCGTCGGCGACTCGAAAGGTGAGTCGCCCATTCCCCACACGTCGTCGAGTCCAGTCCGACACACCGCTCCATCCAGCAGCTGACGTCACTTGCCCATCGGATATGATGACTCTCATAGGCTAGCAGTAGGAAGAAAGATAGTATCCGTGATCGCCTTGGAAGACACGATCGTGTTTGGCGGCACGACGGCTGCCGCTTTCGCAACCGCTTGTCAGGGGCGGGTCGTTCAGGAGGTGCGGAGGAAGGGCAAGAATTTTTATGTGAGTCGTAGGAGGTGCAACTGAGCTCTAAAGAGACTTTGACTCTGGTTTGGTTCTTACATCTGATCGACCAGCCGTATGCACGATGGTGCAACGTGGGAACCGTGACGCGATGTCAAACCACTTGACGCGACACGCAGCTGACATTCTGAAATCATCTCCTCCCAGCTCATCTTGGATGCCCCAATCACTCCAATCTTCCACTTTGGCATGTCGGGAACATCCGTCGTACGAGGCGAATCGGGTCCCGTCTATCGAGCACCGAGGGCCAAGACGGATCCGAACGTGTGGCCACCAAAGTATGCCAAGGCTTGCTTCAAGTTCGATGATGGTCAGTAGATCGCGGATGTCTGGATCTGAAACACTTCTCTGATCAATCTAAAAGGGATTCGGCAGGGTCCGAATGGGCATTCTGTGATTCGAGACGATTCGGAAGGATCAAATTGATCGAAGGTGTCGCCGAGGAGCAGGAACCTCTGGTTTCACTAGGTAGGTACACGCATCTCCGCAAGGCAGTCTCCCAGCGTAAAAGCTGACTGTAGTCCTTTGTATTTCTAGGTGCTGATCCGTTCTTGGCTATGCCATCCGTCGAGGTGCTCGCCGAGGCTTTGCGCAAAAGAAACGCCCCTGTCAAAGCCGTGTTGCTGGATCAGAATGGGCCTCTCTGTGGCATCGGGAGTGAGTCTGAAGCTAGAGCACCTCAGGTCGAAAATAATCTGATGGGGATTTCTTTGAGCAGACTGGATGATTGATGAGATCCTCTATCAAGCCAAACTGGTAGCTATTACGGACCGGTCGCTACATGTCCTGGAACGTCGTCGCTAACACCCTTCATCGACTCGCCATCTTCAGCACCCTTCCCATCCCGCGTCCGCTCTGACACCAGAAGACGTCATTAGACTACATGCCGAAATCATCAACGTCACCAACACGGCATGCGCGGTCGATGCCGAATCGCGCCAGTTCCCCAGTCATTGGCTTTTCGGTGCGAGGTGGAGCAAGGGCAAAAGTAAGGGCAAGACCTTTGTTTTGGTGAGTCTTGAAACTATATTTCTCTTGAAGGAAAAGATATATCTATATTGAGATTGTACTCGACTTGCATTGCATTCAAATCCCCGCAGCCGAATGGAGAGACCACGACCGTGACCTACATCACCGTGGGAGGACGGACCTCAGCGGTCATCTCTTCGGTACAGAAATTGCCGCCGGGACTCTTACAAAAGGTCAAGAAAGAGTCAACAGTCAAGAAGGGGAAACATAAAGCGAAAGATGACGATGAAGAGGAGGACGAGGAGGAAGAACCGGTCTCTAGGGAAGACGAAGACGAAGCTCCGGGCTCGCTCAAGGTTGAGCTGAAAGAGGAACTGATTGTGAGTCCGATGACAGGAATTGTCTGCCAATTTTCGAGCTATTGCTCAACTTAATCCCTATCTCGTCTGAACGCAGACTTCGCCTCACTTCAAACGCAGTCGGAAGGTCGCCGTGAAGTCTGCAGCCCCTCCGAAACGAAAGCTGGATCCCGATCCTGTGCCAGCAAAGCGCCCAAGACGGTCTACGCGCACCTCGAATGAACACAGATAGAAGCGGTCCCTCGAAATAATAGATCGCGGATGTTAGTGTAGCCGAAAGCTCTTGTGCGGGACTGGGATCGTCGATCCCACTGCTCTTTATCCTTCTTCTTCGAAGTAGCGATGTAAAACATAACCAATCCGAGAACTTATGTATGCTACTGGGATAATTTTTTCTTCATCGCAACCCAGGACCACAAGTTCTTGAAGGAGTACAATAGGGGCCACCTTGCCGCGTTCGGCAAGGTATCATTATGGACCCCTCTACCCCATATCGGTAGACCACGTGACTGATCACTCGGGCCTAATTAATGAGCACAGAAGGGAGTCGGTCTGATAGGTTCTCATTATTCCTGGCTGTGAGTCTCTCCCAGTCCATCAAGCACGGCAGGGTGACGTGCTGATGGCAATGTTTTGGGCTCTCAAGTGAAGGGGTCGCTGCTCGGACTTTCTTTTGCTGCCACTCGCAGTGGGGAGGCTTTATCGCTCACTGCGTCGGATAATCCCTCGTTGAGTAACCCTAAGCAGCTTCAGTAAAATTATAAAAGTGTGCAGATCCATTCCTCCTCGCTCAGCATTCTTCCTCTCGTAGCTCATCGACTCGGTCGACACGACTCGTCGACTGCGACCTTGGCTACCATTCCAGATCCCTGACCCACACGCCAGCGTTGGCCATGCCCGCCACATGCTCGCCGGACCCATGGTCGGCGAGTCTGCCACCACTCGGGGTAACTATTCTGAGTTCTGAAGCACCTGTCGCTCCTACCGATCGACAGTTGTCGCCCTGTACCTGTTGACCCACGATTCGGCGAAGGAGCTTAAACGGGGATGAATGTTCAAGCGATCTCTGTCACGGTGTCAAGAGTCTCTGTCGGCTTGTAGCAAAGGAGAAGATCGTCCAAAATACGGAGTCTTCCCGAAGTTGTTCGAAATTCGTTGCCAATGCAATTGTTTATCGCCGATAGCGCCGAAGAGATCGAGTGTCAGGGGTCCGAAGGAGCAAGTCCGCGGCGTTCGGTCGCGGGACGAAGGGCTCGAAACCCGCGTTGATTCGACCATTGCAGAAGACACACAGTGTTGTGGTTGCACGCATAGGTAACACGAATGTATTTGTGCGGGTGAGCGAGGTACGCTGGTCGAAGGGTAGTTGGAACCGTACTATTGGAGGCGCCATATTGATCGGACCCGTGACGTTGAACAATTCGTGCTCGCCTGCCGAGAGGACTCGAGTCGGCCCGCTCCGAATCGACCTGGTGGGGTGTTCGAGGAGACAGAGAAGTCATCATGAGAACCTGCCTCCGTAGTCCGTACACCGGGCCCTCATCAAATTCGAAAACCATTTCTTCCGCAAGGACTGCGATGGGCTCGACTACAGAACGCGTCAACGCGCCGTTGCGAGTCGCATTTCACACCCGAGATGATGCGCGCCCGATCGCGGCAGGGTCGGCGCTGGCGCTGGCGTGGCGTGGCGTGGCGAGAATATGACGTCGTCGTCACCGCCGCTCGCAATTTCACGGAAGCGCGCTCGCTGGCGTGGCACCGGCTCAGGCTGCTTCTCCCTCTCTCTCCTTCCCTCCCCTCACCCACCTTTCACCAAAGCCCTCTTCACCGTTTTCCACCCACTCAACCACCACCCAAGGTCAGTTCGCCCCCATGTCCTTCATCGAACATCGTGCCCGGCACTGACTCTCTTCTCGCCTGCTTCTCTCTCTCGCTGTCGGTCATCGCGCCCCGCACGTTCACTCGATGGAATCCGATCGATCCTGTCACTCGCTCACCCCCACCACCCTTGGCCCGCCTGCTCCCTCGCCTTGGCTTGTTCTCCTCCAACAGCACCACCCTATAAAACATGTCTGGCTTCTCCTCCCCCGGATCGCTTTTGACCGTCAACGCGTCGAGCACGCCCATTCAGGTCTTGTCCGTTGCCAGGGTAAGTGGCTCGATTTCAGTTCACGTTCCGACGGCCGACGACGGGCTGGCGCTCGCTCGGCTCGCCGCGCCGCCTCGTCAGCGATTTACGGCAACGCTCTCCTCAGCCGCGCTCCGATGACAAGCCGAGTGCGAGCCCATCATCGTCGCCCATCATCGACTCGTACATCCTCATCGACTGACCTCCTTCCGTTATTGTATCGTATGAACCCCTTTCCAGATCGCCGCCGGTCTTGCCGCCTTCATTGCCCCCGCTTGTGAGTTTCTCTTCTTTGTACCTCGCTGAGCTCTGAGGGGCTGACTGGGAATTGCCCCCCACCACACAACACAGTCTTCACCACCCGTGCCTTTGGCTTCTCGGCCAACAAGGGCCCCAATGGCGTCTCCGTCGGCGGCTCGGTCGGTTCCAACACCACCAACCCCGGCAACGAGTCCGAGATGTCGGTTGGTGAGTTGCTTCTGTAGCTGTTGACTGCGTGTGACACGAGACTGACGACTTCCTCCGCTCTTCAGCCGTCCGATTGTTCGGTGCCCGTGACATCGCCCTCGGTCTCCTGTTGAGGGATTCCACCTCCGCTGTCGTCGTCCGTGCCCTCCAGGTCGGTGTCATTGCCGACTCGCTCGACATCCTCGCCGCTGGTCTCGGCTGGATCGAGGGCAACCTTTCGCCCGAGGTCGCCACCGCCGTCGGTTCGATCGGTGCCGTCCTCTCGGCTTACCAGCTCTGGATCCTCAACCGAGTTTAAAGCCTCTCATAAACCATGGCTCTCCTCTCCCACTCCCCCTCTCTCTCCGACCCCGTGTCTTGCTGTGCGCTCGCAGCTGTAGCGCTTTGTCCTTCTGATGAGTAATACTTGAAATTGAAGTCACCCAAAAGACGTTGCTCCGATCTTCTCGAGAGGGCATGGCTCGAGTTTGCCGGTTTCTCATTCGTTGGGCTCATCATGCCATACAAAAAGTCGCGACAGGCTGTGTGCATGGCGCAGAAAGGCCTTTTGATCATTGTAATGCAAATGGAACAGCTCTACGAAAGTACGAATGGCGAGACTTAGCGACACGGGTGGTAGCTGTGGAGAGAAAGAAGGATTACAGTCAGGTTCCAATCTCCGTGTGTAGCAATCGCCCGAGACCATTAGGAATGCCACCAGAGATGAAGCGACACTCACTCATCGATCCTCAACAACAACCCGACGGTCTCGGTCGCCAACTCGATCGCGCTCGTCGAGACCAAAAGCGGTTGCAGCACATTCTCCTCCAGAATGTTCGAGATCACGCCCTTCCTGACGTTGATCCCGGCCGTTCGTTCACCCAGAGCATGTCGATTTCTCAACTCGGTGACCATGGCAATCGGGTTCAAGCCCGCGTTCTCCGCCAACGTCGTCGGGATCACTTCGAGCGCCTCGGCGTACGCGGCGAAACAGTACGCTTCCATTCCTTTCAACGATTGCGCGTATTGCGACAACAACCTCGACACGTGAATTTCGGGTGCTCCTCCTCCGGCGATGAGGTACCTTTTCTTGACCAAGCAACGTACGACGCACAACGCGTCGTGCAACGAACGTTCCGACTCTTCGAGCACCAAACCGTTCGCTCCCGTGCAGAGCACCGAAACGGTTTTACCCGAGGCGTTCTTGATCCCGGTGATCTTGACGAACTTGGCGCCGTTCTTGCTCGTCTCTTCGACGAGATCGGCTTCGCCCAATTTATCGGCCGTCATTTGTTCAACGTCGGAAATGGGTTTGCACCCCAACGCCCTCGACAGGAATTCAATCTCGTCGCGTTCGACGTCCCTCACGGCCAGGATCTTGAGTTTCTGCAAGTAGGCCAGCGACAACTCGTTCGTCGCGTCGCGTAGGATCGATTTTTGGATCAGGAGGACGTTGCAGCCCGATTTCTTGATCGCCTTGCACAGGTTGAGGATGTAGAGACGTTCCTCTTTGAGGATCTTGTCCATCTGTCGGTAGTCGTTGACGACGATTTGGTTGTCCATCTGGAAGGGACGTGGAGGGGACGAGTTGCGATCAGTCAATGAACGATCTTTTACTTGTTCAAGAGCAAGACTTGGGGCCCCCAACTCACATCGGGTTTGGGAGGGGAGAGTTGGAATTGGATGATGCCGATCTTGGCCTTTTCGATCCTGGTCGGCCCTCCGGCGGAGGTGATGACATTCTGGTTGAGCAGAACGCCGTCGATGAGTTCGGTGTCGTCGATCGTTCCGCCGACTTTTTTGACGAGGCGCACGTCGCGCAGGTCGACGTTGGTCGAAGCGGGGGTCACGAGGCGCAGGACCGAATCGACGGCGATGGGGGACAGGATCGACGAGTATTGCGAGACGATCTGGTGGAGGGACAACGCGAGGTGAACACCTGTTCGTTCGGACAGGACGTGGGATGCTCTCGCTCGGTTCGACCCACCTTTGAGCTGAGACTGGTCGAGGCTGCTCGGAGCAGCGATTCGCGGTCCGAGAGATCGACGGGGGTCGACATCTCGGTGAGGTACTCGACGACCTTGCTCGCCGCTCGGGCGAAACTATCGGCGATCACGGTCGGGTGAATGCCCTTGGCGAGGAGCTTCTCCGCCGCGCCCAAGAGCGAACCGGCGAGTACGACGACCGAGGTGGTGCCGTCGCCGGCTTCGATGTCCTGCGCGGCGGAGAGGTCGACGAGCATACGAGCGGCGGGGTGCATGACCGACATGTGCTTGAGGATGGTCGCGCCGTCGTTGGTGATGACGACCTCTCCCGACGAGGTCTGGATCATCTTGTCCATCCCCCTCGGACCCAACGAGGTGCGTACGGCATCGGCGACGGCTGGTGGGTGTGGGTGTGGGTGTGGGTGTGGGTGTTCGTGCATGGTGTCAGCGGGAGGGGAGCGTACGAGGGGAGCGATAGAGCGGAAGACGTGTACCCTTTGCGGCTGTCATGTTGCTGAGCCTGACTTCCATGGGCTTCTCCGTGTTCTGTCGGGTGCTCGGTCGGGGAGAGGGTGTGAGCTGGCCCATGAGGGGTGACTGACCGACGGCTGACGGCGAGCAGAGGAGCCAGCGCGTGTGCGAGCACGAGCGGAGAGAGAGCACGGCGGGCACTGACCTGGAAGTTGCGACGCTGCACCGGCACTTGCGAGGACGAGCCCGCTGCTGCGCCTGCCGAGGGCGCTGCTGCGACTGCTGCGGATGCCATCGTGTGGATTGTGTGTGTCGGATGGAGAGGCAGGTGAGGCAGGTGAGGCAGGTGAGGCGCGGAGGGTGAGCACACTGTGAGCACGTTGAAGACGTCGGACGCGCGCGCGCATGCGAATTTGGGTCGATTGCCCCTGACACAGCCCGACACAGCCTGACGCCTGCAGGACGCTGCCTGACAAGGCGCTGACAAGCGAGCTGGACCGAGCTGGACGCTGTTGGCGCCTTTCTTGGCTCTCGACCCCCCACCTACCCCCACACTGTCCACAAGCATGGTAAGCAGCCAAGCACCGCATGGGCTCTGATGCTGCACCTCACTCAACCCCCCTCACTCCATCTCTTCTCAGGCGGACATCAACGCGATCGCGTACGTTCCAACACCGCGAGAGCTGCCCACGCGATCCAGCACACACCGCCGACGCACCACCGCCGGCGTAGCATCCTGCTGATCTTGTCTTGCTCCTCTCCTCCACTTCACGCACCTACCCAACCAACAGCAAGCAGGTCAGTCGTCCGTCGCCGTCTCCACGGTCTGCATGACCCAACCTTCCTTCGCGACGGCATGCAAGACTAGCCTCCCCATTCTCATCTTCTCTCCCTCTCCCACAGTTTACGGACTTTTACTACCAGACCTTTGACTCGAACCGCAGTGGTCTCGCACCGCTTTACGTACGTCACCGTCCGAAATGTGGCTCCCTCCCCGTCAAAACGCCAAAGTGAAGCCGCGGACGGAGCCATTCCTCGCTTGCAGGCCCACCTTTCGGAAACGAAAACTCAATCATCACCTTTCACTCTTCCAGAGGGACCACTCGATGCTCTCGTTCGAAGGTCAACCCACCTCGGGCGCCACCGCCATCGTCGAAAAACTCGTCGTCAGTTTCCCTTTTTCAACGATCCGAGAAAAACCTCCCCTCCCCCGTCGGATTTCTGACGTCCCCTCGTGGTTGCATTCTCCTTTCTTCCAGGGCCTCCCTTTCCAAACCGTCCAACACCGAGTCACGACCATGGACGCCCAGCCCGCGTCCCAGACCGAGGCGTCCATGATCGTACTCGTCACCGGCCAATTGATCGTAAGAAGTCGACATTTTTCGCTGCCAGATGCGAGTGTTCAATCCTGACGATGTTTCATCGAATCAACAGACCGGAGACGAAGCCAACGCCCTGTCCTTCTCGCAGACGTTCCACCTCAAGCCCGCCGGTGCGTCCCCACCCCCCGCAGGCCTGATCAAGTCCTTTCTTAGAGCCGCAAGAGAACTGACAACGCCTCGAGTGCTTCTTCTGAAATCAGACGGCAGTTATTACGTCTACAACGACGTCTTCCGGCTCGTGTACGGTTGATCGATTCCCCTCTCTGCTTTTTCCCTTTCTCGGGGATGCTTCTTCCAATCGTGTGTGCAATCAGAGTTGGGGTGCCTCTATTCATGAAGAAGCCGTCCAAAGACTGGCATGATCTTTCCCCTCGAACGAAAGAACTGGCATTCCACGAGCCCAGAGAAAGTTTACTCCTACAAAGCTGGGACTTTGTCCGAGCAAACCGATCCATGATCCGTAAAGGGAATGGGAATGGGAAAGCGACAAGGAAGTTCGAAAAAAAGCTACTGTATCCTAAGCCTCCAACAGAGTAAAGCGTGTCGTCGACGAGTATTGGGGGACGACCGGCGGGTCGAGCGTCGAAGTGAAGCGAATGCCACTAAACTCGACAAGCCGCTTGCCCGCCAAAGGAAAGTCGACGGTGCGCAAGCGCCTCTGACGTGGTGCATAGCGTAGGCGGGCACGGCGATGCGTGGTCTACCTCCACCCGATACGAGCGGACAAAAAGAGAAGGTGAGGTGCCGACCGAAGGCGTGGCATACATACGCTTCCGCGCCGAACGCGAAGGACGGGTCCAGTAGTGCCTCGAGCAAAAAGCTGCGTCCGAAGCCCTTAGTACTCCGTCGTTCCCGCGGCGGACACGGTATACTGCGAACTCGCATCATCATCATCTCCATGTGAGCTCCAAGCCCTCTCCCCCAAACTCTTGTACGCGCTCGACGCCTCAAACTCCTCATCCCTCCTCAAGCGATCGGCTTGCGAAAAGGCCAGACTTCCTGCGGTGCCTCCGTTGATGGAGGAGACGTCGTCGCGAACGGAGGCCGTGTCCGAGGCGTGCGAATGCAAGTCTTGCGAAAGCGTCGACGAGGCGTAGGATGATGCACCGCGTTTGATCGAACCGGGGTAGGCCGAACCGGCTTGTGAGAACGTCGGCATACCTGAAGAATAGGTCGCTTGCGAACGAACGGATTGCGCATCCGAAGGGATCGAACTCAAGGCGTCGTGAGTACGGAAGAAGGACGAGTCGAACCGAGAAGGGACGCCGAGACCATTACGATCACCGTTGAGCATGTCCCTTGCGCTGTGTTCGAAGCGCTTCGAGTTCTCGCTTGCTTTGTAGGGTCGACGAGGCTTGGAGAATTGGATCATGCTCGGTTGGAGGTTGTTCAGCGGTCCTTCGACGAGGCAGCCTTTCTCCTTGTAGTGCGTCAACAGATAGTGCCACAGAGCGTGCTGCGTAGGGAAGAGGCTTTCGGGGTCAGCCTACGAGCAGCGCGGCCATAGTGGAGACCATCCAAGTCTCACCTTGCTCAACACCTTGGGGTTCCCCAAAATGACACACCCATACTTGGCTCGCGTCAAAGCGACGTTGAGACGCCTCGGATCATCCAAGAACCCAATACCCTGATGTTCGTTACTTCGCACGCACGAAACGATGATGTAATCCTTCTCTCGCCCTTGGAACGCATCGACAGAAGCGACTTCGACGTCCTTGTACAACTCCTTCTTGAGCGAGCCGTTGAACTGCATGTACGAGACGACGTAGGATCGTTGGCCTTCGTAAGGGGTGATGACGCCGATTTGGGAAGGAAGAACGCCCGATTTGAAGAAACGCGTGACGATCTTTTCGACGTTCGAGGCCTCCGTGCTGTGCGGATGGGTGAAAAGCCCGAGTGTCAGCATCCAGTGCGTGGGGTGCTGCCCCTCGCAGATCCTAGAATGAACCTACCGATTGAGGAAGGACGTTCCACTCGACGAGATCTCCTCCTGCCCAAGATTCTGGTGGAAGTACATCGGCGTCGATGGTTGAGGCCACGGGAAATCGACGTTCTTGCGCAACCGTTCCGGCGCAGTCACACCGTTCTGCAGAGTACCCTCGTAGAACATGTTGGAAGGGAACTCGGACAGGCAAGGATGCATGCGGTACTGGACTTGAAGACGGATTGGTCGGTTGCCGAGGAGGACGAGGCGTTCGAATAATGATTGGGCTAGGCCAGCACGAGCAGCCTTCTTGTTCATGATCGTCGGACCGAGCTGCGAATGATCGCCGACCATGACGAGTTGCTTGACGCCGAACGTCAGGGGAATCATGCACTCCGGCTCGGTCTGAGTGATGCGGATCAATCGGTCAGCGCACATCGAAAACCACGCTCTGATGTCGGTGAACTTACAGCTTGAGTAGCCTCATCGATCAGGACGGTCCTAAACTTGAACTTGGCCAACCTCGGATCACCACAACCCACGCAGGTACAGCAAATGACATCCGCACTCCCCAGAATCTCCTTCTCGCACGCCCTCGTCAAAGCTTTAAACTTGCGTTCATCGCTCGAGCTCAACTCGCCTTGACTCTCCTTCAATTGGATGAGCTTTTGCAGTTCGACGTGAGTGTCTGAGTTGGCAACCTGGGCGTGCAGCGTCAAGAAGGACACGGACGACTCGAGCGCCTCTCGAGATTTGGCCGTCACTCGAACGACCTTGAGGCCGGTCTGGTGGATCTTCTCCGTCAGTTGATCGACGGCGACGTTTGACGGGGCACAGACGAGCACTTGGCCGGGGTTCATCTTGGCGAGGTGGTAGACGATCGAAGCCGACGTCACGGTCTTTCCGGTTCCAGGAGGACCCTGAGAGGAGAATGTGCACAAGGATCAGCAGGCAACCTAATTTCTGATGCATCCAAAGCGAACTTACTTGAATCAAACTGAGCGGCTTTTGCAGCACACTCTTGACGGCGAAAATTTGCGAGTGGTTGAGGTCAGGCAAAGTCGGAGCGGAAACCCTAAGTGGTGGTGAGGCATCGTCAGATCAGCTGCAGGAACAGCTCTTCAGCTTCGATTGATTGCTTCGCTTCACCTTTTGGGCATCTGCGCCCTCAATACCTGAGGTGGTGCCGCCTCGTGACCCATCAACTTGTGGTAGATGTATCCACTGACGGACTGCTCGTCGACGGCAAAGGTCTTCATCGCAAGCTGCATGCGGTCGAATGAAGTCGACTTCCAAATAAAGTCGGCGGAAAAGTTGTGGGTGCAATCGATTGGTACGCCGTCGTTGCGCCTCAGCTCGAGAGCGATCTCGTCAGAGACGTCTGCAGAGACTGGGTCAGCCTCCGGATCCTACATCAAGGCTTACAGAGGCTTGTAACTCACTATTGGGCACCTTGATGACATGACCGACCCCTTCCCACGCCTTGTGCAACTCGCCATGGTACCTCAACCTCAACTCGTCGCCGACGGCCAAGCGCACCTCACCCGATTCGAGTTTGGGGAGGTTGAACCAGGCGATGCGCTTCTGGTTGAGACCCATGTCCCAGCGCACGACGAGCCCTTCCTGCGTTTGCGATTCCTTGAGTCGCTTGTCGTAGTCGGCTTCGATTTTGACGAGCGGACCAAAGATGTTCTGGTACAAATACGCGTCCTCGTATCTGATGGGTGGTTCGAGTTGATGGATCAGCTTGGAGCAGGAACGTGAAAACTCCAGTCACAGTGCGCCCTACTTGAGCAATATCGGTTGTGGCTCATCATCAACCCCCGGCTTCTCCAAATCTTCCAGCGTCGCTTCGGCGTTGTCCCTCCACAGCTCTTCGAGCTTGTTGATCTGGTGGAAGGTGATCTGCCTCGCTCGGAGCTGTTCCTGCTCGGACGGGATCTTGACGAGCCACGAGAGGAACGAGCGATCCTCGATCAGGGGTGACCATTGCGTCGTGTCCCAGACGATATTCTTTGAGGACTGCATCGCTGCACAGGGTTGGCTGAAGGCAGGAATACACGTCGGTCAGGGAAAAGAAAGGAGGTTCGCCGTCGCCGAACTGGAGAACTGGAGTGCAACCAACTCAGAGCGGGGCCACGTACCGACAGAGCAAGACGACGACGGTGTCGCTCTTGGCGGGGATGAATCCGAGAATGAACACGTTCTTGGCACCGCACGCATAGCATTCAGGGGTGGTCTCTCCTAGAGGAGATTCGGCGTGGAGGGTGACCTCCCTGTGCTTGGCGCGCACGAGGTGGTTGACGATGTGGGACCCGGACGTCGATCCGCGCGAGTTGCAGAACCACTTGTTGCAAATGAGGCACTTGACGACGCAGGCTGGGTTGTGGATGCCGCAGTAACTATGGATGGATTCGGACATTCGTACGTTCATTCGCCATTCGCCGTTCGCCGTTCGCCGTTCGCCGTTCGCCGTTCGCGGTCAGCTCCAAGTCAAGAAGTTGGCTCTGGTCCAGACGGCCACTACTCACGAGCATGCATGGGGGGCCAGTTCCCTGTTGAGATCGTCCAGCATACCGGCAAAGTCATCGTCGTACAAGTTCGCAACCGCGTTGGGGTCGAGGTCGTTCGTGTCGCCGCCGGACGAGCTCGCTTCTCCCGTCGCAGCCCCGTTCAAGTCATCGAGTGTGAGATTGTGGAAGTCCAGCTCGAGTGGCTGGTCATGTCCGTTCGGTCCTGGGTGATGGTGACCATGGTTTCGCGCGGTGTTTGCACCCGAAGCGACGGCTTCGCTACTTGCTGACGGGTGCTGCCGCTGCTGAGCCTGAGCCTGAGACTGAGACTGAGACTGAGCTGTATGCTCGGTCAGCGCGGACGAGTGCACGGATGTGGTGTCGTCGTTGGGGTTGAACGAGTAGGCCGATGCGCCATCGAGATGTGAGAAGCCGTACGCCGACATGAGCGCTCGCAGTTGGCCCGGGGACGAATGCAGCAGTAGTGGATGGGCAGTAGTGGGCAGTGAGCGAGTCAGGATCAGCATGCAGCAGAGCGCGAACGGTGGCGACCACAAGTCGGGCGCTCAGGCTGCAAATCTCTGCAAATCGCAATTTCAACTTCACCGCTCGCTGCCTTTCCGGCCTCTGCACTAATCAGTAATGCGCTTGCCCGGGCCAGCAACCTCAACAATATCCAAACTAACCCTGCGTCGAGGCACCGGATTTGATTCAACACGCATTCCCTGTGAGCTCGGCGAGTGCCTTAATCCGACATCCGGCGCAGGCGAAACCGGCAGTCAAGTGCAGTGGACACGGTCCAAATTGCTCGCGGACGGGACTGACCACCCGGCGCTGACAGTGACCCCTTTTTGAATCTCCTCTCCAACGTCGCCACAACAGCCCATTTCCTGGCTGTTGTCTCGGCATGACTAAATCACAACCCTACGTCCAAACTCTAGTTTCCTTGCCCGTCTACGTGGAAGGAAAAAAAAACTTTAACGCGTCACGACTCTCTGTGCCCTGAAACCCGGTTCCCGGTTCCCTCTCACCCCCACTTTGACCGGTCACTCCCCTCGCTCCCGACCCCACGCACTCATCAGCTCCCCTCCATCCACGCTGACCCTTCCGCCTAACCAAATCTGAATCGTCTCAAACGACTCGTCACCTTGATCGGACAAGGTATGGCCAAGCCGGGGTTCTACGCCGGTACGTACATCATCCTCGACACTTTGACGTCATGCTTCGCAGACCACCGCTGACCACCGCTGACCGACCCCCCTCTTTGTCGCGCACAGTGAGAAGAGGTCGACAACCTGGCGTCTATGCGACGTGGTCCGAGGCCGAAGCCCAAGTCAAAGGTTTCACTGGAGCGGTGCATAAGAAATTTGCCGATCGGCAATCCGCAGAACACTACGTCAACGGACTCGCTTCGTCGTCGTCAACCACAGCTACCTCCTCTTTAGCGGCAACTCAAGCAGTGCAGCGACCCAAGAGGGAGAGCCCACAGGACGCGAGCAAGGATACCAGACCTACCAAATTGGCCAAAGTGACCGCAAGCAGCGGTCAAGCGCGCAAAGACGAGACGAGAATCGTCTATTGCGATGGATCGTCGAGGGGGAACGGGCAAAAGGGCGCCGTCGCGGGAATAGGGGTCGTTTGGCAACAGGGTGTCGACGCTTCGTCAGTGATCTCATAGGGATTCTACCTTTTAGATCCTGCTAAACTGACCAAAGCAAACTTGGGTGATGACTCCGTCCGGATCTTCGCCTCAGGAACCTCTCGGAGCGACTACCCGGCAAGCTACAGACCAACAACCGGGCCGAGATGTATGCAAGTCCAAGGTCAAGTACCATGATGCAGCATGTGCATATACTGACTCTACTCTGTTCATCCACCCTCACCTGCAGGCCGTAGCCCGGATCCTCGAAGAAGACCCCCACCCGGAGCTTCCCCTCACCATCTGCTCCGACTCGCAATACACCATTTCCGTATTCTCGCAATGGATACCTTCCTGGCGTGCACGCAACTGGAAGACTTCCAGCGGCGGTCCCGTCATGAACAAAGATTTGATCCTCTACATCCTCTCCCTCATCGCGTCTCGACCCAGCCCCGATCCGAACTCCCTCACTTCGAATATCTCGTTCCGCAAAGTGAAAGCCCACGTGGGAATCGAAGCGAATGAAGAAGCGGATCGGTTGGCGAATCTGGGGGCGTTCAAACCTGTGACTAAGGATCGGGACTTCGCGAAAGAGGCTAAGGATATGGAGGATAAGGTCAAGAGGGAGAACAAGGGGATCAGGAGGGCCGATTCGGTCGAGGTTGAGGTCGAGGTTGATGCAGGCGATCTGCTTACAGAGGTGAGCAATACTTCTGGATCGACGTGGCATGTGCTTGATTGGCTCACAAAAACCTGGGATCATACGCATGTGCTGCCCATCGATCGCAGGAGGAGTTGAGAGAACTCGACGAACAGCAAAACTTTTGATTGGTCGGCGCGCGCCTGCCAAACGCGAAGAGCATCAACGTTGGCCCCACATATTCGCATCTCGCAATGATTCGGCCATGTATCATATTTTGAAGTTTATGGTTATGTGCAATGCATACGTTGGTAGATGGGCGCCGGTTGCCCGAAGGTAATCGTCTTTTATGTCAGCGTTCCGAGCGGGCACAGCCCAAGTTGCCCGATCGAGCCAGAACGCGAGGCGTGGCGCGGCTGGGGCGATCCCGACTCGGCATCGGGGTCCTTCGGCATTTTTTTGGAACATGCGACTATTGCTAACGAGTGATGATCGTGTTTCTCTGACTGGTGACCACGGGGGTCGTAGCTCAATTTGGCTCATCGACCCACTGCTTCTGTGCCTTCCCTTCTTCTTCTCCCATCCCAAGACGGGCGCGGGCGCTCCACTCGACTCGAAGCCACCTGTGCGTTCCAACCCGGCGTCGACTTCCATCGCGAGCGATCTCAATTCTTCGAGCCCACAATGAAGCTCCTACTCCTCCTCGGCGTCGTGTCATCAGCGCTGCATTTGGTTCTGGCACTGACGGTCAAGCAAAGGCCACTAATCGTTGCTCGAGGAAGTGAGTGGTTTTTACGTAACAGTGTGTCTCACTCACGATCGAGCATCACCACGGACTCGGCTGATCCCGATTTGCGCTACCCCCTGCCAGTGAGCGCAACGGCGGATTGTGCAGGAGTGAGCACAGTCGTTTGCTCGGTACCCGAGAGGAGTTCTCCAGAGAGTAGTGAGTCAATCGGACACCTCTAGGTCCCTTCACACAGCATCAGAGATGCCTCCCGCAGCCTTGAGCACATGAGCAGCGAGCTTCAGAGCTATCAAGTAATTTCCGCTTGTGCTCGGAGCTGATGTCAAGCTCTCGTTCTCACCCCACCCCTTCACAGAAACCTACCGCCAATTCATGAAAGTCCAATCCATCGCCTCCCAACTAAGTTGGCCCAACGGGCTCCTTAAACCCACCTACGAAGAAGTCCTCACCTTCTACGCGCTTCAACAACAAGGAACGATCGGTGACGTCGACATCTCCCGACCCTGGAGCATCTTTTCCTCCGCTTTGGCGAAATATAATGCGTGGAAGGAGGATGAGGGTGTTTCCTGCGATGAAGCGAGGTCGAGATATGTGAGAATGTTTGTCAAGCTTTTGGAGAGGGCCAGGGATCAACAGGAGTCGTCGGGGCATGGGGATCTGGCAAAGACGCTCGCGATGTTTATGAATAAGATTGTGTCGATTTAAGGATTGCAATGAAAGCAGCTGTCTGAGAAATTAAACACAGCTCGGTTATAGCTAAGACGAATATAAGAGTGGGGCGCTGCGAGATGCGCTCAATTTTTCTACTGGGAAACGTGCAGCTAAAGCCCCTGTCGCCGACGAGCTCCTGTCCCCTCTCGAGGCTCCCGACCCAATGGTCGTGGATCCCATTTCCCAACGCAAGGAATTGTGTTTCCCGTCCACGCAATCTCGACCATGACATTGTCGACGTCCTGCTGGGTGACCTCCGACCGAACCGACGTCACGGTTGCGACGGCGGACGCGGACACCGCGGGCCGGGGCCGATTCCTCTCTGTGTCAAAGAGTGGAGTGCTTCTACATTTTGCAAAAGACATTCTGGAAATTATACCCATGTCCGTATTCAAGAAAGAGACCCTATCGTTCCGGCTACAAATTTCCTTGGTGCATCCCCCCAAAACCCTCAATTAAGCCCCGCGACGATGTCGACGGGGGACGCGCCAGCCCGCGCCGGGGCCCGCTCGTCCTCTACCGTCACCCCACACAACTTCCACGTCGCCTTTCAGCCCGGATCTGGTCCCGACCAAAGCATACAGAAACACGTGCACCACAACCCACTTCTCACCGTGGTCATGAGCCCCGCTCCACCGGACGATGATCACGTCTTCTTCACTGGTGAGTTCCCGTGTCTGCAAGCGGGTGTCATGACACGGGGCCACGAGACCTCGAGGCGATGCGCCACATCACGTGTTTTGGTGGGCTGATCAGCTGAGCATCGGTTGTCGATGATCGACGAACCCGCAGTGACGGGGTGTTACTCCCCTCGACTATTCCGAGATCGGTGAGTCCACCAAGCACACACGATGCACTGTCTCCTTCATGATACTGATCTCCCATCATTCCCACCAGCGCCCAATCCGAACTCTTCGCGCAAAAGCACGGCGGTCAAGTTGATTCCTTCCGCACGCGAGCCGAGGCGTTGCTCAAGCTCTCTACGGTCGGCGTCTCGGCAGGCGCTCGAAGATCAACGAGTAAAGACTCCTGCAACGCTTCCTCTTCACAATCGAATGGTCAGGACGCGGGTGCAGCACAAGTTCAGGTCTACGAAGACGATTTGGACGACTCGGAGACGGATACGCCGGCGATCGTCATTTCGACCAGCGATTGATCGGGGAGGCGTCGATTTGACATGCGGTCACGCCGGAGAAGCTCGGTTCGAAGCGGAGTCCGTCAGATGCGTTCGTAAAAGGAGGGGCGTTGCAGTGGGGAAAGAACGAATGAGTCGAGCTTTCCAGTCCGAAAGACACTTTGTTGTAGTAGATAAATTGTATGGCTTCACTAAATTTGGTTTGTATCGAAGGACACTTGTTATTGGACATGATCAGATTCTGCGCTCAGGGCGTGAGGCATGCGCCTTTGATGTGCATAAAGTACAATCTGTCCCTGTTGAGCGCTGGAAATGCAAGTGGTACCCGAAAGCTAAAGCTGTTAAGAGGCTACTTATAGCGCTGTTCTGTAAGGCATCCCCTTACAGTCGGACTTTGACACCACTGAGCGACTCTTCGCTTCTCCCGTACATGCAGATGGACATCAGCGGATTCTATCACACTAATCTGAGCATATCAGAGGATATATACAGCTGTATTGACGGGTTGCTGCGTTTGTCTTTCACGACTCTTCGGCGATGTCGAGCTCCTTGTACTGCCTAAAGATTCCGTACTCCGAGTAAGGCTGTCTGCGATCTGAAGCGAGGTACTGAGCGATCCTCGGAGATGTCTGAATACGCTCGTGCAACTCAAAAAGCTTGGGGTATTCGGGCTTGATCTTGGCGAGCCAGTTTGGGAACGCGAATTGGAGCTGTGCAAGGATCGAAGAAGAGGAGCAATGTCTCAAGCCACAGTCCGCAATTTCTCGAGTGGAGAAAGCAGTGCAGGCATGCTCGAGAGCGGACTGACCCCATCGACCAGTTGAAACGCCGCCAAATCCACATAGGACACACCCGACTTGAGCAGGTACCCATTTCCCGCCTTTTCAATCGCCGTCTCGAGATACTTGAAGTAGCGAGGGAGGCGCGCTTCGCGGAATTCTTTCGCCGTTTGGAGCGCTGCCTCTTTTTGGTCGTGGTAGAACATGGAGGTCGAGATGGGATGATGCGTATTGTGCGCCTTCGAACAGACTCGATTGCTGGTCAGTAGGACTCTTTCGAGTTGACAGTCCGCCCCAGGTCCCAGGACGTGGCTCCGACCGGCCGAATTTTCAAGCTCACCTCGTTGACGACGTCGAGAATCGTCAGCAGCAATTCTTGTTGATGGAAGTGGCTGACATCGTCCAAAGAAGCCTTCGTGTGCTTGAGCCTTTTGGTTTCAGGTTGTTGGTTCTCCTGCTCAGCGCTCGCGTCCGAGGCAGCGGCGGGACTTTCAGAGTCGAGGTCGATGGGCGCCACACGCGCCGAGAGGAACGAGATGATGTTGGGCGTTTGTGAGATGACGGCCTCGACTTTGTCGGATCCACTGGACTTGACGACAAGAATGGGAGGGGCGAAGGGAGTAGGGTTGTCCTCTGGATTGGAGGTGATAACCAAGGACATCAGTTGAGAGATGTTCTCTCCGAGTACCGTGTCGGACTCGGACTTGATGCTACACTTGAGTGACGCGCAATTCGTGGGACTGACCACAGCCTTCGAATCTGCCCTGGACGTAGGGTTGAATGGCTTTCTGGCCTTCTTCGGTCGCGGTGTCGTGGTACGGGGTAGCAGTCGCTTCGAGGTACAAGCGAATGAACTGCGAGAGTCGGGGGGTGGGGCGGGGGGGGCACGCCGTCATGTCAGAACGGCGGCGACAGCTGCTACCGTACCGTGTCGATGTACAACTCACTTCAGCACGTCCGGGCAGACCTGGTTATCGATCGACCAGATGTGGTACGGTAGGGCGAGACTTGGTCAAATGAGCGTCCTGAGGCATGGATGACCGTTGCTCCTCTCCGCGACCATGTGGGGGTCGAACTCGGCCCCGGAGGCAGTTGCTCACTCACCAGCGTGGTAGACAATGGTGTAAGCCGACATTGAAGTGAACTCAGAGAGATAAAGGTTTATTGACTGGTACTCGGTGTTGCTGGATGCGTAGAGAGAATGGAGCAGGGCGAGAAGGAGATCGTCACTTTGCTCACTGCAGAGGAACCTCCCTCGGAGGACCCGCGCAGACCCGCGCGGCCAATCCCGACAGATCCCGACGGAACCTCGGCTTTACACCATACAAGGTCCGGCTAATATTACGGGTTTTTGCCGCCATTATCAGGGGTCCCTTTCTTTCTCATCTTTCTCAGTTTTTTGTTTTATCTTCGAAATGCTCATGGTTCTTCCAACAGCAACCACTGTCGTGCAGTGGATGGCTAGTACTAGCGCGCAGGGACACACGACGGAGTGTTCCATATTGACCCGTCCAGATTACTCTGCGTTCTCCGGATGAACTTAGCAACGTCGTGACATTCCAATTCCCGCTGCGCCACTGTGCCTCACTATAGCTCGATGTCAGTGGCGGCGGCATCGTGAACCTTGCCGGCGCCACTTCCTCCAATCATCCGGGCCGCTTGAATCCGACGTCTCATATTACGCCGCCAGAATAAGCGCAATGTCTTCTCGTCCCAATTCTTCATCGGAATCCCTCAAAATCCGCAAGAAAAGCGCAACATACTGTATCCTCGCCTCGTCGCAGGGCATTCCTTCCAGTCGCTTCCATGCGGTGTATTTGGCTTTGCCAGCCAAGTCGAAGTATCCCGGTTTCTCGATATTGAGGTCCCCAATCACGCCTTGCTTGATTAACGCGTACAACACGAGCATTTCCTCAGCCGAACTTTCAAACGGCGATTTTGAGAACAAGCCGCTCTTCCGAGGGAGGCGTGCTTGCAGCTCGCGAGCCGTCACGAACTTTCGATAGGTATCTAATTTTGTTCCGCGCCGTAGTCAGTCAATCGTTGCTTCCCATAAACAACTTTGCAGCGTATTGGAATGTCCACCCACCGTCCAGAGTGAGGTTCTTGGGCACCGAACATTCGATGGGGCCGCTCGATCCAGCGCAGTCGGCGGTCGCGCTCACTGCAGAAAGTTCGAGGCGACTTTGCACGGTCAGCTCCTCTCGTGTCCTTTCTTGTAAGACCGCATACGAGGTCCTCTTTGGTGACTCACTACCACGGGCAGCGAGGGTGTTTCTGATACCGTCCACCCGATCCACAGCGATCGCCACTGTCGATGACAGTGCCAAGGCGAGGAGGACTGAAAACGTGAGCAGCAGCTTCATCGTGATCACAATGGTAAGTGACGTCGAGGCAGCGCTAAGGTTCGTGTAAACGACCCTCCACTGATTTAGAAGGAGGAGTGGATAATAGGAAGACAAGAAAGAAACACCAAAACTGCGTGCTCTGTTCTCGGCAGCCTATGCGGACCCCGCCCCGTTCCTTGCTGTTTCCAAAAGGGGATCGGCATTCCAGTGCCTCGCGCCGTTTTAGGATGAATCGAGGCGCGCCTCGCGCGGCCGCGCAGCTGTCGTGGCGCTCCCTGGCATAGCCACCTGTTGGCCGATAATAATATTGACACTGACTTGGTCGCCAGATTTGCTCCAAACTACTGACTTCCAGTCCAGCGGCTCAATGTCAGTCTAGCGACTGAATGTTTCTCAATCGCGGCCACATCGAATACCACCGCATACCGAGACATAGCGCGAGATGCACAGATCCGAGAGTACACCGTTTGTAGCGACAGCGTCATGATGATATTATATGCCTTGCATTCAGAGTAGATTCTGAGCACTCTGACCAAACTCATTCAATGCCTCCGCCCTCAACTGGACCCATTCGTCCTCACTGGCCCCCGAGCAGCTTCTCAACAAGTCAATGAGATAGCCCACATCTCTCAGCTCCTTCGTGGCTACCCGCTCCGGCGTCTTGCCGGAAGCGACGTTGATCTTCTCGTCACCAGCTTCCTCGTCCCACGATACGGCCTCTTTATCCCAAGCAGCGTGCTTCTCCCTCCTCTTTTGCAAGATCCTGGCAATGAGCTGCATCCCATTGGTTGACTGCCGTTGCGCCTTGAGCGTCCTTTCCCGATTGTCCCACGTCAGCTGGCCACGGTCCATCGCGTCCTCCTCCTCAATTATCCCTACCACATTTCCCTTCTCCCACAGCTTGACGAGACCGACAACAACCTGGCCGTGCGTTCGTTCGTTCGGATCGAGGCCGTAGACTTTGAACGCCTCTAAGACGTGCGCCACGGCGACCCAATCTTGCCTTTGCAGGAATAGCTTGAGGAACGTGTTGAGCGTGATGGTGGACATGATCGGCTTCAGTAATCCCGGCAAGACCAAGAGTCGCTTGCCACCCGTAGCTTCCCGATGAGCATCGAGGAACGATCGGTACAGCGCTCGAGCAGTCGGTGGATCTTGGGATGGGTAGCCTGCCTCGCGCTGCAAGGGGCTCGCACGGTGGGCCTCGACACGATTCGGACGATGAGCAGTACGCAAGCCTCGACTTGAGCTCGCACGTAGCATCGAACTTTCGCGCCGTACTTGCGGTTGGATCAAGGCTTGGATGCAGAGCCGCCAAGTCATGTGGTCGCGCTGCCACCCACCCTGCATCATTCTGGCGAGCAAACCCCAAAACGAGGTGAAATGAGCTCGCTGCAGTTCGACACGCAGCAGGGCGTTGAAGACAGGCGTCGAGAGTCGGACACGATCCTGGTGTAGCAGAGAAACGATCGAGTAGGCCGCGTCGCGTTCGGCTGGGCGTCGATACGTCGCGATCGCCAGGAAGTTGAGGAGGGCGAGGTATGGTTCCGCAGGTGGAGACTCAAGGATCGTCAAATCCTGCCCGCCCGTATGAGTCATCAGCCCTTTGCTTCGTCTATGTAGCGAGGATTCAGTCGTTTCGAGGACGGGGAGAGTTTCCGAGACTCGAGACTCGAACCAAAGAGTACGCCACTGAAAGAAGAGCTCCTGCGCGCCGTCAATGTCGCGATCGGAGGCCTTGCACCGAATTGCCTCGGCCCACATCTCGGGCCGACCAATGTCGCCTTCATGAGCCGAGTCGATATGATTGGCAAAGATCTCGAGAGCCGCATCGCTTTGGCCAACTCTCTTGAGAGCATCCATCGCCGCAAGAGCAAAGTGTGCACCGAGCTTCCTGTCCTCAGCCGATCGCTCCATCTCGTCCTCGGTCGGCTCCTGCAATTGCTTAACCCATTCTACGAGAGTCTCAAGGTAGGCTGGGTTCGAGACGATTTGGCTTGCGGAGTTGGTAATGACGAGCTTGGCTATCGAAGCCGGGATGGCCCACCCCTTGCGACGCGAGGCCTTGAGCGCCTCGAGCGCACAAGAGATCTGGCCATATTCGATGAAAAGGCGCAGCAGCGAGACGAAGTTTTCCGAGCTGACGAAAGACGGGGAACGGCTGAGTTCGGTGAGGTACACATGCAACGCGTATTTGGGTTGACGCCCTCGTAGCAGGTGCGCGAGGTTGAAGGCGAGCTCGGCCGGGCTCGCGGCGAGCATTCGCCGTGAAGGACCCTTTGGTGCTGGTACGGATAGCCTTCGTCCCATTTGAGCGTTTTCTCGAGCTCCATGTGGCTGGTCAGGTCGCGCAAGCGATGCGCCGTCTATCGAATAACTCGCACCGGGCATCCGTGACGTCGAGGCTATCGGTGCGAAGCTCGTCGGGGCGTTCGTCACAGGGACTCGTATGGTAGCAGAGGTCGACAAGGTACGAGCAGCCTGTCGCTTCGTGGATGCGGTGAGACAGGCGCAACAAGGCGCCAAAGGCGTCATGTTGCTGGAGTGTGAGGTCCAGCTGTGGCCGAGAAGATGAAGCCGGTTCCCAAGCCGCCACTCGAGGTTCGGCGGCCTCAAGGCCTTCATCCGGCGCACCATGCCAGTCTATGCAAGTGTAGGCTCAAATGAGACTCTGGCGGAGAGCTGTGGTAGTTGAAAGGTGGGACAGGATGGGACATCGGTACATCTCACCCGAAAACCTGCTAAAGTGCAAGATCACCTACTGATCAGACTTCACCCGTCTTCTAGTACGCTGTCAGGAGTTCATGTTGGCCAGGGTCGATGCAACGCCAAAGGCTATTATCACGTGACCGTCGAAGGCGTTCGGTCGATGCCGATCGCCATCTACGACCGCGTTTGTCAGCAAATGCAAAAATATCTCCCATCTTAAGTGGGCTGACGTAACATCCACTCAAGGTGCACATGATATTCGAATTTGTTTCTGTTTCCTTTTACAATCGGCCCGTGTGGGCACTGCAGATGAAGGCCCGTCCGTCGCCCGAACCGATCGACGAACCGACGAACCGCGCGACCGTCACTCTTCACGAAAACACTTCAGGTTCTGTTTCGAACCGATCTGTGACTTGGAAGAAAAATAAAATAAAATAAAAAAATAAAAATAAAAAATAGTCTGACGCTGGTACCAAATCTGCGGGTACCTACCCTACCCAGCACAGCATGAGAGAAGCCTTGTCGAATTTTGCCGGCGATAGCTCTCGGTGGCTCGGTGAATCGCGCGGCCTCGTATCCGCGCCCGGTCACCTCGAGAGTGGGCCCCCGTGCGGACAGGGTATTACAGGTGATGTAGGGCCTTTATGGGCGTCTCTGCTGGCTCTATCATGCTCTACTAGCCTCAAAAAGTATGCATACGGCAAGGGAAGACGATACATGCAGATTAGCGGAAGCTGTAGCAATTTCATTTTTTTCAGGGCGTACCGCACATTTGTTGGCGCAGAGTACGCCCTAAATAGCTCACGCTCCGCCTAATGGGGCGTACTTGGTCCGAGGCCGGTACGCCTGGGGCCTACGTGAATTGGCACACGTACGCCCCAAAACTTTAGATCGCATTTGTGGTGAAACGCTTGAGTTGAGTTGCAGGGGATATGCAACTACAGTCGATAAATAAGATGTGTACGAGGCGGATCGGTAACTAGGCGAGGGGTTGAGTCCAGTTAACGATGGGGGAAAAGGCTAAGGTAGATCACTTCACGAAGAATCAGGCCATACGGTTGGTGCTGGTTAGATCTCACAGTTTCATTGTTGGGAATTTGAGTGTGCGTGTGTGTGTGTTCAAGTGTTCAAGTGTTCAAGCGCCCAAGTCTCCAAGTCTTTCGTCCCCGTTCAAACTCTCTCGCCTCCCCTTTTTCCCAGGGCACTGAGACTTAGGGCAGTAACTGAGACTTGAAATCGGCTGCCGAGCCTCCGGCGCTTTTGCTTTCCACTCCTTCGAGCGAGACGAGCGCCGGGACTCCTGATCACGTTTACCCAGTCCAGCTGTCGAGCATGTTGGATTGATAGGTCAACCAGCCATGCGTGAGCTCAACACGTTGCCAATGGAGTGTCTGAACCCTTGCCCTGTAAACGAATGGTTCCCTCGAGGTGGAAGGCCCGGATTCCGGAAGTCCGAGCAACTCCGTAAGACGGGTGTTGAATTCTCTCTTGGCCCATGAAATCCCAAGATGAGATCAGAGTTTTGAGTCCAAGACAAATCGCGGGACTGACTCGAGTCAAGTTCGAACAGCCGTGCCGGGGGACGCGGTCACGTGATATGTCTTGGCCAAGCACGTGCTTTCGATCGTGAGATTGATTCGACGCCTCTGTCGACTTCGTGGCTCTAGCTCTTGAACACATCGAGTGCGTTCGCGCAGCAGCAGAACCGAGGACCGCATCTGTCACAGTGGATGCACACATCACCCGTGTGAGATCATCGTACGTGGCCCAACACAGATCGCCGACACCGGCTTCAAAGTTCAAGGACGTGATCATCATGTCAGTCACCGCGACGCCGAGGCGGTCCTTGACCGCTCGCTTGGTCGAGACCGTTCGATTCTATGGACCTCTCGGATTTGTATCTTTCGGTGGACCATCAGCAAATTGTAAGCAAGCTTTGGATGACCTCTACGGAAGGTACCGGCTGCCAACGTGCGCCGGCGCCGACGATACCTACGCGCCTTCAAGTCTTGAATATGTGCCCCGCCTGGCTCCAGGTCCGAGGCCCGTGCTGATAGATTCGGGACCGCCCGCTCAATCGCAGTGATCTTGCTCCGCAAAATCTTCGTCATTCGCGAGAAGTGGATCGATGACTCGACGTTCCAAGATTTGCTTGCATTGGGGAACGCCCTGCCCGGTCCGGCCTTCTCTCAAATCGCCTCAAATCGCCTTCTCCATCTCGGCGATTCGAGGCAACCCGGCGGCCGTCCTCTCATTCCTTCTCTTGACCGGCCCGGGCATGTTTGCCATGATCGGTATCGCATTTGGAGTCAAGAGGATCCCCAATACGCTTCCAGACATTGCGTTCGCACTTTTCACCGGGCTCAACTCGGCGGCTATTGGACTCGTTTCGCTTGCGGCGTACCAGCTGAGTCTGAAGGTCATCACGGACGACATCACTCGTCTGTTGGTCTTTTTGATGGGTGCAATTGCGGCTTGCTACGAGTCGCAATGGCTCTACCCCGTAATGATGGCTGCGAGCGGAATTTCTACTTACTCGTTCGACAAGGCGACCGAGTACCGAGACACGCGCAGAACTGGACGCGAGCGAATTGCAGGACTCCCCGTCGTGCCTGAACAAGCCGAGGACATCGAGATGCACATCGCTCGGCCGATACCAGCCGTCACGAGGGATTTTGTCGAGGCAGAAACACTGCACAAAAGATCGGCCGTCACTCGGCGTGACAGTCATCGCGAGTCGCGGGGACGCTACCCGACTCCGCCTCCTGAAGCATCCTCCTCTCAGCCCAGCCGGGGTAACACGAGCGACGACGCGGGCGCCGAAGTTCAAGAGGAGGAGCGACCGTACTTCACCATCACGGTCAAGCAAGGCTTGATGATCTGCGCCGGCTTCTTCGCTCTTCTGATCTCCTTGATCGTCTCGCGCGCCTTGACGCCTCGAGCACGGATCCTCGACTTCGTGACCAACCTCATGCTTGCCGGCACGCTCATCTTTGGTGGTGGGCCCGTCGTAATCCCTCTCTTGCGATCATACACCGTCGATCCAGGGTGGGTCGCCCCGCGCGATTTCCTCCTCGGTTTCGCGTTGCTGCAAGCCCTGCCCGGCCCTCAATTCAACTTTGCCGCGTTCTTAGGAGTTCTTGTGATCCCATCCCAGCCATTCTTGGGCGGCCTCTTGGCGCGATGGCGATTTTCACCCCAGGAATATTGCTCAAATTGGGTGCTCTACCTTTGTATCAAAGGTTCAAGACCAACGGTCCGGTCCGAAGCGTCTTGAGGGGTTTCAATGCGGGGGCTATCGGACTGGTAGGTCTCGGCGTGACCGTGTTCGCAGTTGGACTCTGGAGCGAACAGCTTCCTGATAGCGTCATCGTCCTTCCCTCCTCAGATCTACTCGGCCGTCTATCGCCTCTTCCGAGTCGGCTTCGTCCAAGGATCGACCCTCGACCCCGGCGTCCCAGCAGCCTTCCGATCTCTCGATCAGGATGGCTTCTGGGTTTCGATCGTCGCGGCGACTTTTGTCGCGTGTGGCTGGTTCAACGTTCCGACACCGGTTGCGATCTTGGGTGGAGCGGTTGGAGGGTTGGCTTGGTATGGTGTTCAGCAAGCTTAGTCATGTTTTGAGGGTACACAGAATACTGTCTGTAGCATCTGGCCCCGGTCAAGATGCGATCGCCGGGGGTGGAGTGGAATGAGAAATTGAATGACTATGATTACAAGACCACCGAAGCCGACAGCTAGACCACCCCCCAAAACATACAGCGTCCAAAAGCGCAGCCACAGAGATAGTACGTGAGGCAAAGTCTACTGTACGGGCCACAGAACAAAGACCAGAGATAGGCTCTTCTCCCGAAACTCCCAAGCCGTGCTATCGCTGCTGGCATGGACACAGACTACTTTCAACAGCGCGTGTAGGGGTGTATCGCTTCTTGGGAGCTTGATGATGTTTACGACGGACAGACTACTCGTGTAGCGGTGAACATGGACCTCGCAGTGGTTGTAGACGGCTGTCGGTTCGTGATGATGGGACTAGCTTGCTTGTTGGCCTACTGCTGCACCGAAGCTTGGTATTCGTAACCGTCACCTGTTGCTGTTGCTGGACGGGGGGCAAAGTCTAATTTGTCTTCTTTCTACGACCATTTGACGAGGCCTTGTGCTCGACATGATTCGTGCGCTGTTCCCGCCCCGGACATTGATTCGCCATATGTTCGCGGCTGAAGCAAAACTGGCAAGGCGTGTCGAGGTGACGGCGGAGGGACCAGAGCAAATCCTCAAACGAAGGAAGTCGTTTCTGACCAGGTTCGAGCCGGCGTATGACAGCCGATCGCCAAGGCTCAAGTGCTGGGGGTACGTTGGCGAGGAGTCGAGCTGCCATGAGCTGTTCGACGTCGATTTCGTTCTTCCTTATGTGGGTCGCCAAGTTTAGGGTTCGCTTGGACCATTCGAGGAAACCTGCGTGATCGGAGGGCATACCGGGCATGTTGCAAAATTTGTCGACGAGGGAAATTGTGGCGAGGGCGTCGTTGGGTGCGTATCGTTCCCGAAAGGCGACCCACCAGTCGTGAGCCGTTGCGTCGGGATCCATGGCAAGGAGCATATGGAGCGCTGGGTCGGTTATGGATGCTAGGATGATCATGCGTGCGTAATGCTCCCACTTGGCGCGAACGTCTTGAGTCCAGGTATCAGGGATCGTGCCGTGTTTGGTAAAGGTGTAAACCTCTCTAGGGGCCAAATACAACATGTTGCGATCCCATTCCCAGAAGTTTTCGCTCCCCTTCAGTTTGCAGTGGTTGGGGATTTCGGGGATCACGTAGGATGGGAGGTTCAAGACGTCGAGCTTTACGCACTAGTTCGTCGTATTCCTTCTTTGTCAATGTCACCGTCGAGGACTCTCCATCCGGTTTAAGGGGCTGCGAACTCGTGGCGTTGTCCCCACGCAGGGCTGGTGACGTGGAGTCATCGAGCTGGGTTGTCATGGCCTATCAGAATTTGGGGGCGTGGGACCAAGTATCGCAGGAGGTTGACACAAGCACAGCCATGATCAGGTCGTTTCCGTTCATATCGAACTTACCTGGTCTCAAAGGTTCGATCAGGAACGCGGCGATGGCGAGGGACATGACTAGGGAAGCAAGCGAATGAGCGCTCGCGCGAGTCTCATATCTTCCACGAGTTTCCAGAAACTCGGCTGGCAATTCGCCGACAGGTGTCGGTCACGTGATGCCATCATGAAAGCCGAGCCAGCTTCGCCTACTTGTCACATTTCGGTCAATCCCCTCATTCAGAGACCCCTTAGCCTACTTGAACATCGTAGTCCTCTGAAGAAATACCCAAAGCTATGAAAGTAATCTCGATAGGGGTCTCGCCAGTGTGGGACGGTTTTCTGGCCCGTGCCCGAACTCTGCAAGGACTCTGAAACGGCAGAAGGCCCCCCAACAAGACAAGAGAGCAAAGAAATGAAACGCAAAGAAAATCTATCACTGGATATGCACTCGATTGCAGTGAGAGAACGAATTCAGGACGTCCATGAGCCTCAGGCGTAGGGCCTTCTGACAAACCTGACAGACTCTCAATCCCGACATTCACTGATAACGCACGTCCGTCATCGACTGGTCTTGCTGCTTCTCGAACGAGTGGCACGAGCAACAACACGAACTTGAAGCTAAGTTCTGCGATGCCTGTTAGAAATATATGGTTGTATCGTCCTTCATCTGATTCTTGCTCCTATTATGGTACTTGGGATTGAGCCTAGCGACGCTTCATGAACTCCCTAGTCACTCATTCTCCCTGCTTTACTAGTCTCTAATCCCTCTTCCCTATTAGCATTACGCTTCACTTTCTAGCCTTCCGCGAGTCTGTCCCTTAGTCTCTGGCCACTCTGTTCTCGTCCCTGTTCATTGGACTGAGTCGTGGTCATCATCAGTTACCACTCGAGAACATTTCTGCAACAATGCCGAGCTTTGATATCCCACCAGGGTCCCGGATGGAAGAGGGTCACTGCGGTCTGCGGCAACGTACTCTTGAGCCGAGCGAAGGTCCGGAAACTTCTTGTATTTTGCGCCGGAGAAACCCTTTACTTGCACTTCGGCCTCGGCCCAAGTGGTGTAGATACCCTCCACGCGGCCACGTCGAACTACAATCAGGGAAGTCGATATCAGGTGATTAGGGGCTAGTTCCGCCTCGGCATCTGCTGTAAGGCCGAAGGAACTTGCCTGCATAGTACCCCGGTACTTGGGTTCCTTGTCTAGCCATTGTTGGTCGTTGGGAGTTTGGTTGCGCGAATTCACAGCCGAGGCCGACGAGTTTCTTCTGGTCGCTTTCTTTAAAAGCTCGTCAGTCGGGTTCGTGTATTGGCTCGCTATCCCTGTCGCGCAAGCGCTCAGCCTTGTCAGCGAGCCGGGCGAGGAGGTGGGCGGATCGAATCAATCGCTGTGTTCAGTTCAATGGCCTACCTAGAAGATCAAACACGAGGGATGTGGATAGGGTGAGTAGGATGAAGAAAGCTAACAGGTGCGGACCGTTGATCAGCCCGGTGTACATAGGACGAGCTGCGATTAGCCGGAATGACCAGTAGTGCTCAAACAGCCGGTTGTTGGGGAAAAAATGCCGAGCTCCCGCAAGGGGGTTTGTGGTCCTCGGGATCCCGTGGGAATCGAAATTGACAAGGTGAACAGCAGCTGTAACGGCAGCAAGTTTTCAAATTGGGAGCCTCGACGGCGATTCAATTACGGCGGTCGTCCGAGGTCAGCGGCAGCGGTGGCAGAAATCGGATTAGGGCACAAGTCACCTCGGGGGATCGTCAGGTCAATGACAACGGCTTCGGCAGATACCTCGTCGATAAAACGCTTTTGGGTAAATTTCAGATCAACTGACAACGACAATACGCACGGAGGACCGACCCGGAAGGAAGAAAGGCGGCTAAAGGCGACTGAATGGAGAGAGAGGAGGTTATTCTGAACGGTGTTTTCGCTTTTTCGCCACGAAGACTTGGAGATTAATGAGCGACAGAAGCGTATAGTTGCGCGGGATTCGGATGGAGGGCCGAGAAAGACGAGGAAAAGCGGGAAGAACGGCTGAATGAGCGGATGAGGCAGTCGAAAGGGATAAAAGCGTGGGACGGTTTGAATGGATAGGAGGTCTCGGAAAGTTCGCTTCTTGTTGGTGGTAGACCATTTCGAGGATCCGATAGAACGTCTCACCCGGCTTCAATCTTTTACGTGTCTTAAGTCTCGTTCGGTATCGTTCTCCAGTCTGCAGTCTCAGCGTCTTGTTCTCGTTCTGGATCCCGTCTCTCGGTTCTACCGTTCTCTCCTGTCTCTAGGCCGTTCGGGTCACCCTCCGTCTCTCTCACCTGTGGCCTCTGAGAAGCTTTTACTCACGTCTCCACCTTTGTTTTGATTCATTATATTGATTGCCCTATCCTACAGGCGCACGTTGAAGTCTCCTAAGGACAAATTTTCAACTGTTGTCTCGGAGCTTGGAATGGCGCGCCATCAAGTCAAAAGCGCCTTCGGAGGGAGCGAAGTGCCCGAATAGAATTTGATAGGCTTGATCCCGCGAACCCGAATTTGGGTCTTTTCCTCATCTTTGGCTCTACATCCGATCAGGTGTGTACTCCGGTTATTCATGTCTCATGGTGTCCAATGATCAACCCTGACGATTGGCTCTGCATCGGCTCAGTCCATTGTTCAACTTGGATGCGTCTGTCCCCTCCTTCCAACTTCGATCAGACGGACACGTTGCGTATGGAGTACAACATCATCGACTTCAAGGCGCAGCTTCGAAATCTTGAACCGGTGATTTGGGTCGATTTAAATGATGTGTATGATCCTCAGGCTCAGGAGTCAGATCCTCAGGAGGCGGTAGTTCAGGAGTCGGACGTTCAGGGATTGGACCACGAGGAGGGTTGATCGAATTGCCTCTTCTTTTCATCACTGGGATTGCTTCATGTCCCATCTACAAGTTCCTTCCAGCTCTATTACCAAGCGCTTCTCCCGGTCCGCTTCCGAGAGAACCTCAGAACCTAAACCCAAACTCCCTCTCCAACACCTTCCGAATCGGTCCCGTTTCGAACGGAATAAACTCCACGTTCTCCTCCTCCCCCTTAACCCCATCCTTGGTGTACAGTTTGGCTTTAATCAGGTTGTCGTCGCCGTCTTTGAGATCGATCGGGGGTGCGCCGTAGGAGAGGGTTTTGCGAGCACCGGTGGGAAGTAGTATGGAGACGACCTACCCGCGAGGGGATCTTCAGTGAACGTTCGATCAAACGCAAGTGAGTAGACTTACGAAAAAGACCATGAACGGTGCCGCCGGAGCATGCGAGTTATAATACTCGGCCATGATGACATCACTCGGCAAGATCGACTCGAGCGTAAAATGAACACAAGGGGACCAATACCCTGGACTCGGATCCAAATTCGTCACATCCTCGACGATGCTTCCACGGGGAAGGACACGACGGTACAACGTCCAGCCGGACGGTGGGTCATGAATCTCTTCGAAAGAGTTGATGCCCATGGCTTGTTTGCGCAAGAGGAAGGATTCGTTGCGGGTTAAAGAACGTGACGTCGCTCCGTCTTCGAGGACGATGGGGTAAGGACATCCCCCGCCGCCGAATCCGGCGTCGAGGACGTAGCGCTTCGAGTCGGAACCGGCCCAGTCGACGATGAGCAGTTCGTGGGTGATGCAGGACCAGTTGTAGCCTTCGACGACGGGGTCCTTGCCTCGGAAAAGGTAGACGCGGGCACCGACTTCGGTCACTCGGTAGCCGAAACCTGAGGGGGGACGGGTCACGTGACGTTCTTCAGTCGTCGCAAGTTGTCGGATGCGAGTACCTGAGATGAACGCACCTCGTAGGAAAGCGGCACAAAGTGTGTTTTGGGCATAGCAATAGCCCCCTGTACCGCGAGCGATCGCACACGAGACGAAAATAGATTCCCGATCGAGGAGAAGCGGGGCCGGGCCTTCACGTCAGCCACGCCTTCCCATCCCTAGGTAACCTTCCAAAACCCCAGCATCTCTCTAACACACCCGTATACCTCTTGGAAATCCTCTCAAAGTTGCCCACGCCCAACTCCATCCCGTCCCCGGTCCCCAATACGATCGGTCGACTCTCCTCCATCGCGCTGTCCCAATCCTCCCTCTTGACATGCAAGCTACTCGAGTCATAAGGGATATGCGTATGCCAAGCCATCAAGATTTGAGAGAGTAGGTCCAGGGAAGGTTCGGAGTCGGCTAGAGTGGTGGGGAGGTCTAGACGGGCTAGGAGGGATTCGGTGTCGGACAGGGAGAGGATCGCGTGCTGGATTCTGGGTGAAGTTTTGCCGATGTAGAGCGACGTCGCGGGACGGCGAGACATGGGGTCTGGGAGGGCTGTGCTCGCCATCGTGGACGCTCGATGATGGATGGGGTAGAAGAGGAAGGCCGAGCGGTGGAGCACAAGGTGTCGTGGTGATTGACAAGCTTGGAGCTGGGCGCGCGAAGCGATGAGAGGCGACGATCATCGAGCATCGATCACCCCCACTTCGAGTCAATTTGCTCTCGTTGACTCGGCCTGGTTATTTACGAGAGAGCCGAGCCTATCGGATAAGAACGTCCGCTCCCAAGAACAAGATCCTTTCGATGAGTGTTTCATCATCTAGTCCATTATATCCGGTACAAAAGTAGCAATCACCTCGAGTGAGTCAACCGTCATACTCGCCGAATTTGACATGCCCCGTCTCGCTCGCATGTGCGCGAGCCTCCTTTTCACCGACGATCGCCTTGCCGCATTGTTCGCACTTCAAGCTGCACCAGGCAAAGAAGGCAAACATCACTTGTCAACCTTAAGGTATTGAGCGAATAGTGTCGAGAGCTACCCATGACTCACGTAAACGTTGCCGCGTCCGTGAACTGATGGGTTTTCCTCAACGTGGTGACAAGCTCCTGGGCGGCGATCAACATGACCGAAGCTTGGTCGTACCCGGACGTTCGAGAGAATAGTCGGGTGTCAAAGTCGAGGTTTGGGAAGGGGTAGACATCGGCGGACGAGGGTTCGGCGTAGGAGAAAGTCACGGCGTCGTAGTCTGGTCCTCCGCGGAAAACGATCCTAGTCAGAAGACGTTCCTCCAGTCCGCGAGGTAATGAAAGGCATACTCACGTATTCCGCTATACACCAACACGGCAACATTCTCGTACCCCTCTCCTTCCCCAAACTCATCGACTCGACCCGTCTTGACATCAATCGAGGCGATTGCGGTGTTGAAGTAGGAGGCAAAGATGGCCAGTTCGATCGCGCCTCCCCACGAGTTGGGTTTGAGGATCGTATTGATATAGCTTTCTTGCGGTTGGCTAGGATAAACATAATCTGGCCGTGTCAGTGAAGAGAGATTATGTTCGATTCCGAATGAACACTCGAAACCTGAGCTTACCCCAGCACGGCTTCGGACCAAGTCTCTGGGTTATTCCGAATCACATCGGCAACGACTGCGATGTGGCGAGGAGCGGTGGGTGCACGATGTCATCAATACCCACTGTCTAGTACACAATCGGTGGAGCATTAAGGCCTACTCACGCTGCCGCAAATCTCCTCTGTCAGGCGCCAACAGCAACCCGACGGCTCTGAAGAGGCACGAATTATCGTCGGGCACGGTCTGTGGGGAGGCCAAAGCGCGATACCTCGGCTTGGGTGTCAATTACGGCTTGAAAATCGTCGCAAGGTATATAGTACTGACCCTGAGGCACAGATACCCTCCATCGAATTGGACGTATCTGCCAGCGCCTGCCGAGGATGTCGAAGTCGATGCCGAAGTCGCGCTAACCCGATGGTTCGTCGCGAGGGGAGAAGTCGATGACGAAGCTATGGCATCGAGATGTGTAGAGGTATTCCCAACGGAGGTCGAAGCGGCTGATCCCGTGGAAGCTGTCTCGGCAGCTGAGGTGTTGGCAGTGACTTGAACGGACTCGCCCGATCGAAGACCGAGTTGGGATAGCGTGGTCGTAGAAGGGGATGAGGTTGGGATGGGCTTGGGAGGGAAGCCTGTTCGTACTGTAGGTTGAAAGAGGGAAGGATTAGTGATGAATCGCGGAGTGCTGGTGTGGGTTGGGGATGGCGTGTCGTGTCCCGTCAGTAAGGTCGGACCCAAGGCGGGGCACCACCACCCTTCAAGTTGGCGATTCGCTCCAGCGCCGAGTCCGACCAGAGGCCTGCCAGGGGTCCAGCCCAACCCAAAAGCGTGGGAGGATAAGAGGACTTGCACTCCTGTTGATGAAGCGGTATCGAGGTGGTCTCTGTGACTTTCTGCATAAGATGCTCGAGTGAGGCCTCGGCAGGGACCGAGACCGAATGAGCTCCGTTCGGGCCTCTACACAGTTGTGGACGGTCAGCACCCAGTAGGCTAGAGCACAGATGAGAGCTTGCGAGGGAGCTGACCTTATCCGGAGTGCGATGGTGGTCATGCTTGAGATGGACTGGAGTGTGGGACGCGGTCAGAGTGCGCCCCGCGAGTCACCGCGGCTCGACTGATGACAGCCGATCAAGTGCTGAAGAGTGCTGATCTGTGCTGATGACGACGCGCCGATGACGCGATGACGCGTCGGCTTTTGACTTTGGACACACGCGTTTCGGCCAGCCCGTTCCCGATAGCCCCTGTCTCAGGCAGCCACCGCACTGGGCTGTCGGCGATCCGAGTCCACAGCCATCCAACACCTCTTCCTTTCCCCACACCGTGAGTCACTGCGTACTGAACCCTCTGCTGCGACCCCGACCACGTGGCCAAGTGACCGACCCCCACATTCGACTGCTCCCACTCTGCCAGTCTGCCCGGCCCGTCTCCCAGCTCCCAGTCTGCCCGTCTCGGCGTCTCCCAGGCTCTGAGTCTCCCAGTCTCCCAGTTCGGCCATCCCATCGCAGCGCGTGAGCCGTCCTCTCCGCCTCTACGATGCAACCCCACAACCCATGGACCGACCCAGCCCCTACCTCGCTCTCCAACTGCACCCCAACCTCCGCCACCTGCACCGGCTCGACCTCTGATCCGGCCCTGCCGCCGCACCAGGCCGCTCTGCTCGCAGCCGAAGCCAGAGCCCAAGCCCAAGCTCTCGCCGCTACCCCACCCGCTCAACCGACCGATGCCTATCGACAACAACACGTCCCCTTCGACCCTTCGACCTTCCAGGCTGGTGCCAAGGACAAGTTGCCGTTCCACAGGATCTTGGATACTCAGGTGCGTTCAAAAGGGAGAGAGGGAGGACGTGATTAGGTCTGATTCGGTCCTCATTCAGACGCTGAACGCTGACCTGAATTGCATTCCGTGCACCTCATCACAGCTTTTACCAAAGTGCTCCAAATCTCAAGCTGTGCAGACGTTGCAACTCATGCAGACCATACTGGGGTGAGCCTCGAGCAACCTCGAGCTCGAACCTCGGCGAATTCGGGCAACCAAATCGACCCTGACTTTTTCACTTCCTCTGACCCGACAGCAACCTGCTCGAACCGCCCAATCCGGCCCAAGCGATGAAGTACCGTCAACTACGCAAGTCGAACGCGCAGATCCAACGTCACCTCGTCGACGTGTCCTCCGCCGCCGCGATCGACTTTCTCCTCCTGTGTTCGTTCCGCATCCAAATCATCGACTTTACCGAATACCTCGTTTACCCACCCTGTCCCTCGGCGAAACAATTGCATCAACTCAAGCTGGGCGCCCATGTCGTCGCGGTTGTACTTGGTCGGGCAAAGGAGGCCGAAGAGAGGGAGGGGAGGTATCGCCAGAGTGAGAAGGACGTGCAGGAGGAGAGGAAGAAGAAGGCGCTGTTGCAGTTCGAAGAGGATCGCAGGCTCAAGATGGAAAAGGACGAGAGGGGTCAGTTTGAAATGGGTTAGACTCAGGCTTTGAGCTCACTACTCAAACACTATTCGTCTTCTTCACGCAGACCGCATCGTCCGCACCGAGAAAGCTCGTCAAGCCTCCGAAGCCGAAGCCAAAGCCGAACTCGAACGCCTACGCCTCCAAGCCGACGATGCGTCGGACCACCCCGTCTTCACAGGTTCCACGTCCGCAGCAAGGTCCATGACGATCCAACAGAATGATGACGACGATGACGATAGGGATCGACCGCCTAGTTATGGGAGCGTGACGGGTCGGGTCTTGGGCACCGGCGACCCCGTTGTGGATCATGATGGGTTCGTGCAGAATCAGGATTTGGAAGACAGTGATGAGGAGCAGGAATACGAGGATGCGTAGAGCCGGTCTTCTTTCCGAAAGGCCAAAGAGTCCTCAATATTCTCAAAAGTTTCGGCCATCGGTCTTTCGCACGCAAGGTCTCTCCACTCGCTCGTGGGCTCATTGTAATCATTATGCAACTCGTCCCGTTCTGTCCATGTCGCGATCGCCGATTGCTTGATGAGAGACACACCAGGCTTAGATTGTAGAACACAAGTTGAGAGAAGTAAAAGAACCAAAAAAAAAAGAAGAAAAGAGACCTATGAAAAGGAGAAGAGAAAAAGAGAGCCCATGTTGCGCTCCTCCAACTGGGGGTGACTTCTAAGCCAGCGAAGCGATCGATCCCCTCCGACTATTCGACAACGTGGTACTTCTGACTCCTCAACTTGATCCCGCCCGAAGCGACGGGCAAATCAAAGTATGAACTGCACAAGTAGAGCGAGTGCAAGTGATGAAAGCAAAGTCAGCGCTGCTCCAATCACTTGCCCGCTCCCCACCCCATCTGACGACAACTCACCTCGAACGATACCTCCTCAAATAAACGATCGCCACGTCCTCCAACACGTCCGGTTCGATGCCCAAATCCTTGAACCCCTTCAACCCTTGCTCAATCTGCACATCATCAATGAACCTCCTCGTCACTTCATCGGGGCTCAGCGTAGGCCACCAGACGAGATCCCACAGACGAGCGGCGAGCGCCAAGATGGGTTTGGGGAAGTTGGGGCCCGAGAGTTTTTGTAGAGTCAGGGCTTCGACGAAGTGCAAGAGTTGTTCAAAGGTGTAGGTTTGGGGGCCGGAGAAGGCGAACGTCGAGGACGCGGTCGAAGGAGCGGTCAGCATAATCGAGAGCGCTTGGGCAACGTCCATAACCTGGTGGAAGGTAGATCAGATTTAGGGGTTGGTTCCTATTTCAAACATGCTCGTTCGCTCGCACTCACATGAACAGGCGCGATCCTCGTCTCCCCATGGTTGACCCTGAACACACTCGGACTAACGGCGATCGTGTTGAGCAAGCGATCCTCGTGGCCGTACATCCACCCCGGTCGCACGATCGTCGCCTCGGGGAACGCGTCCTTGACGGCCTGCTCGCCGTGGAACTTGGTGCGGTAGAACTGCGACGCCGAGTCGGGCGCGGCGTTGAGGTGCGAGAGGTGAATGAAGCGCGACACACCCGAGATGTGGGCGATGCGGGCCAAGCGGCGCGCACCCGAGACGTGCACATCGTCAAAGGAGAAGTTCCTGGGGAGTAGTGATCGATAAAGGCTGTGTCAGTCCCGAAACCGCACAGGTAGGTGCCCGCGCTGATGGTACGGCTACCCCAACATACTTGGTCGTGTAATCCCGCCCGACAAGGTTGTAGACTGTGTCCGAGTGTCGCAGGCATTCCTCGATCTGGGTGTCGTTCTTCAAATCCCATTCCTATACACGGGAGGGGAATATGATGATCATGTCAGATGATTGCACTTCCTGCGGAGGCATAGAGGTCGGCGCGCGGGCGGGATGTGGGTGGTGGGAGACTTGCCATGGGGACGACCTGACCGAGATCACCGCAGACCTTGAGGTGGCGACTGCCCGATGAGATGGCGCCGAACATTAGCTTCAATAAGTTGAACGGACATCGTTGTACGAGCCTCAGAATCCCAACGTACGCCTCGTCCTGGTCACGGTACGGCACGACGACCTGCGTGCCCGCCTTGGCCAGCTTGGACACGAGGTAACGACCCAAGAAGCCGGTCGCTCCGAACACGGTTGCGACATGGCCCGTTGACGAGTGCCTAGATGTGGAAGTGGAGAGATGGAGAGAGGAGGAGGGAGGAGGGGGAGGAGTCAGTCTCGACCCATTGGCGTCGGCCGGCGTCGCAGCTCCTGCCCGCTCTGCCTCTTGACTCACCTTCCTCCGGGCCCCTTGGGTGTAAAGACCTTCTTGGTCTGCGTCGCAGGGACAACGACACTGGAGGGGACCGAGCTGACCGAGCTGACCGAGCGCTGTAGGAAGGGAGGAAGGGTCCAGTGTGAGGGTCAGAGGGTCAGCCTCGTCGCTGGAGAGCACGACAGAGCGGCATCTCGCTCGGACTGACCGTCGACGCCGGTGTGGACCGAGCCAGCTGAGCTGCTGAGGAGACTGCGTGGGTTCAGAGTACAGAGTCAGTGCCAGTGCGCGACCCAAGTGTGGCGTGGGGTGTGTACTCACACACTCGCGAAGCCATTGTCGATCCTTCGATGCGGGAAGCGGCAGAGCAAAGGCTCGACCAGCCGCTCGGCCGGCCGGGGCCGCACCGACTCCACTGATAGCCACTAATCCGCCCAATTACAGCCGATTACGGTGACCCTAATCCCTGATAAATGTGGCAGCCACAAATATGAAATATCACAATGCCCATGCATAGCCAAAGGAAAAACCGAAACAAAGACCAATCTATGATTAGGAAAATGATCGGAACGCACTCGACTACGCAAGAAAACATGTACTTGGGCCCGCACGGATTGGTTGCGTAGGCAGCACATCAAGATGGAACCCCTGCCGTTCGGAATAGACATCGACTGAGTTAACACAAGGCAGGTCGAAGACAAACAAGACAACAGTGCTGAGACCAGCATGAAAAGTCAAGTCCCCTTCGTTATTGTAAGCGTATACGCCGCCCCACCGCAAAACCTGATCACCCAGTGCTTCCCCTCGGTCCCGCGTGGGCCCGGGCAATTTATGATCGAGTCCCCGAGAAAGCCGCCACACCCGCCCCCAAAGGACTTGTAGGCGTCTGCTTAGACGAAACACCCTTGGGTGGCGTCGACTGGTACGGCGACACCGTCCCCCCTCGCTGCGGCGAACCGGGCGTCCCGTTCGTGAGACCCAGATTTGTATAGTCCCCGTTGCTCTGACCGAACCCGGGCAAGGTGATGTCCGGCGTCGTGGGCCCCGAGATCGAACCTTGTTGTTGGTGTGATCTTCTGTACGTCGCAGGATGCACTCCGGGCGTGTACGAAACTTGCGAGCCGGCCGAACCCGAATCGGAAGATCGGTGCGTCTCAATTCGTGGCGCAGGGCGACTCCCCACTGCCTGGTTTGCCGGAAGGATGCCGAAATTTTTGGCCGACACGTTGGACCCGGCATGAACGTGGGCTAGTGGGAAATTATTGACGGCACCCGGTTGGCGCGGCTTGGGGTCGGGCTGGTTGTACAAGTACGTCGCGCCAACGACGATGCAAGTGCCGACGAGGAAGGCAGGTGTCACGCGGAAGTTGAACAAGATCATGCCCGCGATGAATGAGAGAATGATGGCGAGCGAAGTCGCAAACCCCTTCATGATGTTGTCACTGCGAGCAGAATGATAAGACGAGGATGGGTGAGCAAAGGAGTGCTAGGGGAAGCAGATCGGCGTCTTTCTCACTGCACGGACACCAGAACTCACCTGAACTTGATGACTAGAGCCGTCACAAGACCTCCAACGACCTGAATCAGAACGACGGCCCAAGCCCACAGCCCAAAGTAGGCAAACAGTGGTCTTGATTCCGCGACGACCGACGTCGTGACGGAGGAGCCGCCACCAAAGAGGGTAAAGTCGGGAAAGAAGACGGGGAGGAGCGCGGGAAGGAGGGAGAAGAAAGACAGCTGTACGTTGCGGACCCATAGGTCGACTTTGGATCCTTTGAGAACAAGCTCAAAATAGACACCGGCCAACCCACTCGTCATGCAGGCCGCTCCGACGGCGACGAGTCCCTTGAACCGATCGAGTTGCGCATGCCCAGCCACTTCTCCCGAGCCTCCCTTGGCAGCCGTGGACTGGAGCTGTACGACACCGACTCCTGCGGCGAGGAAGAACAGAGCGAGCCATTTCTTGGCCGACAAACGTTTTCGGAGCAGGATAACCGAGAAGAGAGCGGTCGTCAGGATTTTGAGGTTCTGTCATCACCAGAGTTGTGGGTTTTGATTAGATGAGTGCGGGTCCGTCAGCAGAATGAAACTCGCTCGCCCAGACTCACGTAGGTGACCTGGAATGTCGGAACGTCCAAGTTACTCGCAGCAACGAACTGAAGCTGTAATGGATTAAAACTTTGGGAGTGAGCTCCAGTGCGAGTGGGCTGGCCTTCCATGCGATTGCGCATACTCACGTTGTTCTGAATGACGTAAAGGCAGGCCGGGATCGAGAGCTTCCAGCAGTCGGATCTACATCACACCCAGGTACAGCTCATCAAGTTAGCCTCAAGAGACCCTACTCGAGAGATAGTCATGCTCAGGAAGTACTCACGAGAAGATATCGCGCCCCGTCTGTTGCGCCGCGTTGAGGATCTTGGGAACCGCGCACAGTTCTTGCCAAGTCGGCGCGTGCTGCTGATGGAACTCCTTTGAAGCCGCAACGTCCGAGAAGCTGTCTTCGTCGGTGGTGGCGACGGGCGAGTAGGCCCCGGCACGTGACGAGGACAGCGGTTGAGAGCGCAAGGTGTTGTACAGCGCGATCGAGAAGGAGATGGACCCCTTGAGCAGTTCGTTGAGCAGGACCGCCTCGGCGGCCGAGTACATCCTATCCGCAGGGACGCGGATCCTTGACTGTGGGAAGATGTGCACATTTCCGGAATCGAAAGAGGTAGTTCATGGATCGTGAAATGCGGAGTAGCGAATCGTCGAGATGAGCGCGGACCGTCGGGGTCAAACAGTCGGAGATGGACAAGCCACGAGCCACGTTGTCGAGGTATCGCAGCGGAGCCCAATCGGCAACGCGAGGCCAGCGCAGTCCACCAACGCGGTGATGTGAGAGCGATTGCACGCGCCGGTGCGGGAGACAGAAGGAACGATTAGATGTCAGCAGCACCAAACAAGACTTTGGACAAGACAGAGACAACTGACGTAGTGCAATACGATGGTCAAGGCCGAGTTTTGGCACGTCAAAGTCACGAGCGAGATGAGGCCCAACGGCACGCCGAACAGACTCGCCGGCGCGATATCCTTGGAGGGGGGCGCGGCTGACATGGTGCGAGTGGGCCCAGGGGAGGACAACGAGCGGTATTGGGCGAAAGTGGACCCAGCTGGGAATCTAAGACACGTTCTCCTCGAGCCAAATGTTGCGACGTGCCCGGTTGTGCTCGGTGTGTCTGTTTTGCGAGAGGCAGAGGCCGGGGCGGTACCGGCGGTGGGTGCCCGCGCCGCGCCGAGAGTCCCGCCACTGTCCCGCCTCAATACGTCCTTTCACTGCGGAAGCCACCGTTCAGGCTCGCAATTCAGGCTTCGGCCGGGGGTCCCTCGAAGGGGTCAAGGATTGGGTAGGTAGGTCGGAAGTTTCATCAATGTTGCTTCGCAAAGTTTCTTCTTTTCTGGTGGCTCTCGCCTTTGTTGCCTGAAAATTGATGTCGGTTGTTACGCTCAAGTCCAAAATCAAGTGTTCTAACCCCCGACTAGTCCCGCCGGTCTGATCGTTTATTCGCTGGACGTCCACCCCATTCTTGATGCCCCGCACCTTATTCCTATCGTGGTTAAAGGCGCGCCGGGCGACCGACCAACCACCCTGCATGTCTTCTACCATAAGATTTGCCTAGGCCTCGAAATAGGAAGGCACACTGCAGAGTGAGCTGCTCGTGCCTTTTGACACATGCCAGAATAAAAGCGACGAGCCTTCTTTGATCGATCGAGCTCGAGGCGCCGTGCCTGGGCGGAAGCTCAAAGCCAATTCGGGGCGATCGTCCGATCACCCACATCGCTCCCATGCAGGCAGTGCTCAGCTAGGGCTGGGTCACTAATACATAGGTGACATTAGTGACGTGACATTAGTGACGAATTAGTGACGGATTAGTGACAAGGGGGTCCCAGAAATCGTTGTCACTAATGTCACTAAGTACCTAGGTAGGTACTAGGTACCGGTCTAGACCCGGTCTACTTGCTTGTACCTGATGGCCACCCTGGACCAACACGAAAATGCCGGGTCACGACTCCGGCCCAGCTGGATATCTTCGAGTGGGTCGATTTCCAGATCCTGACCAAGCATCTGAGGAGCGAACAAACATCGCTTCCGCTCCCAGCAGTGGTGCCTTGGACGACGAGGAAGACGAGGCGATGGATCTTTGGTCACCTGATGACGAGATGACGATGTAATGATAGTATCTCTAGCTTGTTATGTTGAGTGCTAGAGCTTGCCTCCGACAGTGCAATGTACATCGTTTCCATTCAGTTACTTTAGTGACCAAATATTGGACTTAGTGACATTAGTGACAGCATTTGAGTGCTGGTGACCCAGGTGACAGGCGAAAAGCTGGTGACATAGTGACAGTGACAATAATAAGTGACCGAGGGTCCGACTTTTGTCACCTATTAGTGACGGGACCAAAACAATTAGTGACCAGCCCTAGCAGGCACACAGCCAGGTACCTGGGTAGATATCGTGGATTCATCGACAGTTACCTGCCAAAATGAACAAGCCGTAATCCGCCGAGCTGTACGCCAAAAATACCCCAAGAATACAAACAAGACTCCGAAAGAAGTCGGAAAGATAAATCGAGCAAATTCACGAAGGTCAAAGGGGTCATGACACGAGAAGATGCCGGGGGTATATGGGAGTTACCGGGGTATTTGCGTAGATAATGTTCTTCTTCTCGATCCTCATATCAAATTCCGGACCTCAGGTTCTTGATGAGATCGCCCTACAGAGTGAGCAGCGCGATTCGTATCAGCTTTTCCGTCCACAGCATTCGCTCTGAAGTGACATCAACTTCGGATTACTGACTCGAAATTTCCTCATCATCGTAGCAACCATAGATGGACTCGGTCGTAGATCGATACCGTTGATCGTACGACGCGTTCTGCTGCGCCAGCGGCATGAATCCGTCTGGCTCCACGATCGTCGGAATGACCATCCGACTCGGTGCGACGATCGAAGGCGTGTTGAACGGCGGGGTAGCTTCGCTCATCGCAGACAGGGCAGGACTCGGCAGACCCATTTCCGAGACCAAGCGTTGCTCGGCAGCGGATCGTGCGTGAAGGTTGTTACCGGCCGCAGCAGGTTCGGTCGATGATGAGGAAGGGTTGAGCGCTGGAGGCGGGTTCGCTCGCTTGATCGAGTTGTTGCGAGTCGCGAGGGACGCAAAGGTCTCTTCGAGGTCTCGCAGGGGTTTCGAGTCGACTCGAGCACCGGACTCTTTCGGCTCTCGGCGCGTCGTTGGTGGAGGCCCGCGGGAAGGACCAGACGTGGACTTGGCCAGGACCGAGCCGTTGCGCTGAGGAAGGTGAACATCATCTACGCAGTCAAGGTCAAACATTAGTGATCGAGCGCGAATCGTTTCGAACAGATTTGAACTTACCCCACTCCTCTTCAACAAACTCGTCCAGTTCACCGCCGTAGGCATCCGAGTAATCAACGACCGTCTCGGGTCGCGACTGGACGATCGTCGGCAGTGTTGAAGGCGCTGCAGCGGCTAACATCAACCGGTTCTCGAGGCGTTGATCGCCGACACGAGTCGACATACGTTGACCAGCCTCGTCGGCAGAGTAGACGGAGAGGTTCGACGCCGAACCTGGGGGTCCGCCGCCACTTGCACGAGTACCCTCGTTCCATCGACCGAGGGCTTGCGGTGGCACGTGCATCGGCATTTCGGGGTAGTCGGAGAAGCCAATGATGTGGTTCGCGGGCAAGGAGTGCATCGAAGTCGCAATCGACATATGTTCAGGTCCATGCGGTGCCATATCCGTTCGAGCCATCGCGTCATTGGCACCATTAGGGCCGAGCACGGATGGGGTATCGGTCTGGCGCATGCCGAACTGCTGGTGCTGCCCCTGGTTCACGTCCCACGTCTCGTTGAATCGACCCCCGGACTGGCTCATCACCGGCTCCGTTGGAGCCCTCGGTTTAGTCGGCGAGTAATGAACTCCAGCGTGTTCATCTTGCACGTCGTGCCAATCGTGCTTTTCGTCCAAGAGGGCCTCGCTGCCCGTTGGGCTTCCCCTCGGTCGTCCCACTGCGGCGGGTGCAGCTCGGACCGGTGTGCTCGGTGCCGAGCTGCTGTAACCTTCATTAAGTTTCTTCCATGCCGCTGCTCCACTCCGTTTCTTCGCTCGTCGGCAGCAGAACCAGGTTAACAGCGAGATGAGGATCAAGCCCGCCGCTCCTGCCCCGGCGATGACGGCGTAGAGTGTAGTGCCGTGGAGACCAGACTGAGCCGAGACGGACGAGCTGTCGGCACCGGCGGCATTAGCGACGACTCCACCATTGGAAGCTGTGGACGTGGGCGCGACTGCTGGATGGGTCGTGACAGCGGCGAGAGCAGGAGAGGTGGTCGCACCAGCTGATGCCGGTGCTGCTGTCGCTGCGGCGGCTTTGCCCGCGGACATGGACGTGTACTGCACTCCCGAATAGATGGGTGTGTAAACGCCGACGTTGGCAAAGCTGAAGCCATACGAAGAGAGGTCGACCGATGTATCGACTGTTCGATGAGGTGGTGTCAAAGCGGCTGCAAGGAAGGAGTAATCGGTCGCTATGCGTCAGGCGTCGGGTTCGGCTAGGGGAGGAACAGGGGCCTCTGACTCAACTCACCCGGGTGACGATGGCTACGAGTATCGGCCACACCTGCCCTTCCAGGCGTTGTTGATACGGCCGCAGCAGTAGCTGAAGTGGCGATGGGGGGCGTCGAAGAGCGAATGTGGGTCAGTGCGACGTCATAGGTGGTTGAACGAACCAAGTCGAGCATGCACAAAGGGCTAGTTCGCGAGCCACGGCGCGGCGGGGTGCGTGCACGCCCGGACGCCGGCGCGCGAAAGAGGATTGCGGACGCGCAAACTCTCAACCACGAGCAACAGCTGGAGGGAGTAGAGACTGACCATGATGCTTGGCCTTTTTGACGAGTTCGAATCGATGACTCGAGCCGTCCATGACTGAGCAAGCGAAGCGACGCAGAAGCGGTGGCGAAAGCGGAAGTCGGGTGTTTGGGGGTTCGAGCGCGATGCGTTGTCGTTCGTCGACGGAGAGATGATGGGTGAACAGGAAGAAGTCTGCCTACACACGAGTGCGACAAGGTACTGAGGCGTGGGAGCAGTCTTAATTGTCACGGAACAGGGTATGACGCGTCTCCACCGGGTTGGTCGGTAAGGTATCGATGTATATCGATGCTGTCGGGCTCGGTTGACGGCGCGGTTCGATGATCGCGTGCAACGGCGGCGAGTTCGAGTGAGGTATGGCGGCGCCGCCGCGGGGGGCACTGACGAAAAGGGCAACAAGACGAGGCGAGGGAGTGAAACGAAGGTCCTGTACGGCAAACGAGGGGGTTGAAGTGGTCGAAGAAGGCCAACAGTGGGTTGTGAGAGACAAGGCAGCAAGGGAGGTCACGCGGAATTGCAGTGAGTTGCTAGCGGGTCAACAACGCGGAGCCTAGCGGAGCACGCGCATCTTGGTGCACGCGTCTCGGGCGGGCCCCGCTTCGGAAGCGAGAAATTCCGAATCCTACATTCTGGTCGAATCATCGGGATCTTCTTTTCGTAGAGCACAGGGGTCCACGGTCGACCATTCATCACACACCCGCAGGTCAAGTCGCCAGGGGGAAGAGATTCAACTGCATACCTGTTACACCTTGTAATCTCGGTCTTTCGCAAATTTCAACGCTCACGGTTGCACTTGAGGTTTTTCGGCATTTACAAGTTGAGGTGACCCAAGCGCGAAACGTTGCGCGTGGGGGTAGTACTGCAGACCCTCATCGACATCGAGTCGCGAACCTAATAGTACGTCTTCTCCTTCTCAAGGTTGTCTCTGACTCTAAAACACGAAGGTCAATGCATGCTCGTCACAGTTCCACTTGGTATTGTCTTTATTGATACAACATTCTAGTCCACCGCGCCATTCCTACCAGTACACATCCTCGGGTCGGACTTCATAGTCCCTGCCATCAAGTATGCCGTTCGGAATTTTGATCGACTTATGTTGTCGATCCCGGGACATCGGTTTTCTCATGTCTAAAATGAGTCGTGTGGAAAGCCAGAATCAGCACAGAAAAGCAATGAGGTGTTCTTCGGACCGAGGACGGAGAGAAGGGAAAATTCACCGAACCCGTCCTCATCGGCTTGGCCCGGCCCTCCGCCGTAATACTCCTTGACTCTGCGGTACACGATATACCCTAGAGTTTCATACAATCCAATGGCGAGGTTGTTGGAGACTCGCACGAACAAGTCGACACTGCGAATGTCACCAGAGGTGAAATCAGAGAAGACCGTCAGATCTTTTCTTCCTCTTCATACTCTTCAACCAGCCCACGCTGAAGAGCCGTGTAGTGACCGTACAAGAATGCGTGTTGCTGATCCGAAACACGCTCAAGCAGCTCCATCATCATCGACGCGAGTCCCAGTCGTCGATGCGCCGGTGAAACAGTGATGGCCGACACGTGACCACTAGGCAACGAGTAAGTACCGCAAGGAGGACAGATCAGGAGATGTAAGCGGACGGATGCGATTGGCCAACAGAATGAGAGCACACGTCTGTTATGTCACTCACTGCCATTCCTCTCCCCTTCCCTCCGTCTTGCCCATCACTGCAGCACACATCCAGAACGAATCGCGGTCAGCTTCGCATAAGCTTGCCAGAGCTCTGCCCCGCATCCTCCTCCCTTCTGCGTTGTATAGGGATATGAAGTATCCACTCACCATAACCCATCAATCCACCGCCCTCACCACCTATCCCTCTCGACGCATCTCTCCTCCCCTTTCCCCCAGCCGATTCGACGACACTGCTCACGTTCAAATCACGCTCCAGCACTCATCAGCTCCCATCTGAGGCCCAAGCATTCGGAATATCAACGATTCACTGACGTGAATAAATCAGGCCAAGTACTAAGGTAATGCCCGTAGTACCCTACGCCATAAGTCTCCGTCCAGAGGTCCAGATTGATCGCGTTGAAGGCGAACTGGTCGCACGCTGAGAAGGGGCGCAGGAGGGACATGCTGTGCCGAACCAACACGCACACACAGGATGATTGGTCCTAGACTGGGTGGCCCTTGTGAGATGGGCGAGTCGCGATGCGATGAGTGGAAGGGAAGCTCAAGAAAGCGCGAGAGAGCAGGGTCCCTTTCATCAAGCGCTGTCTCAGATTCCCGCGAACTTCCGTGAAGAGCAATAGCTGACGATCTTTGCTGGCATGGTAGAATCCCCGCAGATATCTCTAAGGAATCCATGAAGCCGCAAAGGCTACATTTCCGACATTACTGACCCACCGGATCTACCCCAAGGAGCAGAAAAAATTACACCCGCCGAAATTACATTATTTCTCAATCCTCCTCACCGAGAGCTTTCCGTTCCTCGATTACTGAACGATCCCTCCTCACACCCATCCAAATCGCTAACCCCAAAGCGAAACAAGACAACGCCGTTGTGACCTGGAACGCTTCATGGAAGCAGGCCTGACCTAACGAACAGAGGGGTCCGGCGGCTTCCGACAGTGCTTCGGCCGAAGGGGCTCCGTCTTCGATCGTGTGGGGGAGGGTCGGGGCAGGGTGGGAATGGGAGTCGTAGATGGCGCCGAAGAGGAGATTGAGGATGTTTCCTGATGAGGTAAAAAAGTATTCAGGAAACAGCAGTGTCAAAATGGAGCGTGCGTGGACACTCATACAGAAGAGGAAAGCACTGACCAAAGATCGCGGGTGAAGTTCCCAATAATCCAAGATTGGTCGAAAATGACGCCAGTCCAAACCAATCGATACAAAGCACGGGTGTACTCCCCGCCATTGACCCATACGCGAACCCGACCAACGCCGTCGGCCCCTCCAATCCCAAGAACCCATCCCGAGAACTCTTTGACCCGACCCAGAGATTCGCGAGCACGAAGGTCGCGGCGATGGGAATGGCGAACCATGTTCGGTCAATACGGTAGTTGCGTGTCACATAGTCCGTTACGGGGCCGTAGCAGAGTCGTCCGAGACAGTTGGTGATGGAGAGCAATGCGACAAGACGGTGTTGCGCCTCCTTGAGAGCAATCGCGCTGGAAGCGAAGGAAGTTGATGGAAGGGAAAAGAGGATGGTGCCGACATTATTGATATCTGTCGAACGGTAGAAAGCATGAGGAAAAGGAGCCAAAGAACGGAGAGCAAAAGATATGCCGCATGGACTCACACATCAGACCACAACCGCACAAGACTCCCAGATACAAGAACAATGCCCAGAAATTGATCGAGCACAGCAACGCCTTCCCGCTCAAATTCTTCTCCGGTACCCGGATCGACGTAAGGGGCAGCTCACTCCTTGCCCTTTCCACTTCGGTCCGATCAACAGTGAACACGATATCGCGAGTTAGTAAGGTGATCGAGCTCTCGTCCGGCGAGCCTGGTCTCAGCTCCGGAATACTTAGATGCGAGTCGCTTGCATCGAGGGCATCGGCCCCACTCAGAGTTTCGGCGGCATCGGTCGACGACGGTACTTCTGCGTAGTCGTGTACGAAGCTTCGAGGTTGAATGGCGAAGGAAGCGAGAAGGATGGACCCTCCTGTGCCAAAGGCCAATAGGCAGAGGAACGAAGAAGTTGCATCGATGCCGGGGATCAGATGGGTGCCGATGTAGGAGGCAGCCAAGGTTGAATAGACGAAAGCCGAGAGACCGAGGCAGGCAATGCAAATTGACAAAACCGTAGCTCGCTGTGAGAAGATGAAAAGAGTTGACAGCGGTTAATATGGATGCTGCGAACCGGTGATCGCTGCGGAAACGTACGCGCTGATGCGAAAAAGCTTTTGCACAGCCATTCGTAAAGCCCGCATAACTGCTGGATGAGCCTGCGCCGACCAAACCTTGACAGAGTACGAGCGGGATTAAACCGAACTGCGAGTACAGACCGTCGGCACCACTATCATAGAAAGCTTTGAGAGTGTAGTCTGCCAGGAGGCTGCGAGTGTCAGAGCACGTGACTTTGGGATCCTCCGACCGCATGTGGCTACTCACATCCCAGGAACACTCCGACAGAGCCTAGCAAAAGTGTCAATCTTGGACCTCGAGCGTCGACGAGTAGTCCAGTGAACGGTCCCTGCAGCGCAAAAGCGAACGCGAGGAAGCAACTCGGATCACGTGATGAGCAATCTGGCGAAAAGATGTCGCTCACCACCTGGGGCTGAACCCCCTCGGCAAGTGGTGACGGAACTTGAGTACTTACGGCTAGGTAACCACCCGAGTTGGCGCTCATCATGATGGCGTTGGTCTGCTTCGAAGTGAGGCCCAGCTGCTGCGCGAGCTGCGGTGCACTGCGCAGAAGAAGAGCCGGAACAGGAGCAGCGCCACGAGCCACGAGCCACGAGCCACCGGGGTCGTCAGCTCAGCACTCAGAGGCAAACAGCACACAAGACCAGCCAGGATAGTATCCACAGTATCTTCCGGAGTGAAAGGTACTGACTAGCTACTGCAGACATAGGGGGTGCCCGTGCTGAAGGCGGCGAGACACGCGGCGCCGAGCGTGATCCCTTTGAGCTGCTTCGTCCACACTTTCGTTGAACGCCCGTCCTTCGGCGACATCATGGTCCCAACTCGGATGGGGCCTTAGCACGTCAGTACGTTCGACCGCGACGTGTTGTGTCCAATCTTGCGAGACCACTGACTCGAGGCGTCGTCTCGTGGTCCGACAGTTGGGGCCCGGTGCACGTTGAACGAGGCTGGACTCGAGAAGGGGGACACATGCAATCCAATCCGCATACAATCAGCCTCCGATCCGGCCAACACAGCCGGCAGTCAGCCGGCACCGGGCGGCGATCCCGATCAGGGCCTATCAATGCGGCACATCGCAAATTAGGCAGCCTAAACCACCTGCATGCCTGCAACGCCAGGTCAAAACAGTTCGATAAACGCTCTACCAAATCAGAATTACTAAATATGGACTGATAATTGAAGTACTGCATGCAAACTGTCACAGACAAACATGAAAACTGAGGTAAAAATAGACCGAGACGCAATTATGAGACCGAATACTTGTATAAGCTCCGATAAAGCGGTCACCCACACACCCACACCGTCTATGGTAATAAAGGCCTGTTCCTCACTTCATTCCAGATGAGGACAAGATCGAGTACGACCTCGTCCCTCTTCTCCTCGGCGCGTTCCCTTTCGACCTCGGCTCGACGCAATCGTTGGCCCGCCTCCCTTCGCTCCATCGAGAGCAACGCGAGCTTGTTCGTCGACTCGACCGAGATGGTGTGCAGTCGGAGCAGCTCGGAGCGAGTGACCGACGCCGTCGAGGAAGAGGAAACGAGCGTCAACTTGCGCTTGAGAAGGTGTTCCGAGTTGAGCGTGGCGTGATGAAGGTAGTAGAGCTGAAGGGGCGAGTCGGGTCAGAAGTCAAAGCTCCACTACTCCTCGAAAAACTGAGCCAAAGTTCTGCGCCTACCTGTCTCTTGTACAACTCGGCCCTCTCTTCATTCCCGTCCCGGTTCGTTGTCTCGGATAACGGCGACGACGTGGACGAGTGTCTTCTGACTTGAGAAAGATCGAGGACGTCGACCATGGCCGGTAATGCTTCGATCCCTTTGACGCTTAGGTCCCCTTCGACGTTCTCATTGAGCAATTGCGGAGGGCCGGTGACGTCCAGTCCTTCGTCTGCAGCTCGATCGAGGATGATCTGGATCTCGGACGACCATCTCGACTGGAGGGTGATCTCCCTTCGCGCCTCGACCAGAACGGCTCTTGACCTTTGCTGGGCTGCAAGAGGCGGCGTGGCAACCTTTCATCAGTTTATCTTTCAACATTGCCCATCTGAAACGGTTGACCGGTGACTGACCCATCTGTTCCTCCCTGATAGTGCGCTCCCTCACGTCTCGCAAGCCGTTGAGCTGATGCACCAACTCGACCCTTCTCTGCGCGTTCGTCAGCATGTTCCTCAACAGCGTCGAGATGTATTGAGTCGTATGATCAATCTCGTCCTCGTACTTGACGAAGTCGTGCGCGAGGGAGAGGGTTGTCGTCGTCATCGCAGTCACGGTGCCAGTCTGAGTCGCCGTCGTCCGTCCGCTCGGATCGCCGTCGCTGGTCGACATGTGGGGGCACGCGTCGCCACAGCCTGCAAGCTGGCGGCGTTTGGGACGGGGACCACGGGGTGAGGGCTCTGAGAAGCTCGTACTTGATCCTGAAGAGCGGTGACGTTGTTCGACGCGTCGTAAAACGTGAGCAAGGGCCTTTGCGACGAGGGTCGTACCGAGGCACGGCCCTGGCGAGGCGCGTCGCTCAGGAGGTACATAGAAGGAAGCTGAGCAAGAGCTAAACCGAGTCTCATTTGCCCGCGCCGTAAAATCGCTTTCAGGATGAAGCGGCCACTAGGCTCGATCAACCAAACGGGCCTTGTTCATTGTCGACGCACGCGGCCGGATTGCCCTTCGAGCTCTGACTCTGTAGCGCTGCTGTGTGGCAGGCGAGTCGTCCTTGATTAGCCTAAAACCCCAGATCTAACTCCTCCCTTGAGCCTCCCTCGTGGATCCTTTACTTCTCATTTGTGTTTTGTACTTTCTAGTGTACGCATCGGGGTGCTCATGCACCACGGCATGCGAATTCTGCACAGGAAAGAGAACCCCTGAAAACCAGATAAGTCGAAGGTATAGTCGGTTTTTAGATGCATTAGCCGATTCCTCCGAGCCCTGAAACAGGGGTCACCGCCGGCGGCCAGCACACAGGCTTTAAATTTCGAAATTTTTCTTCTTTCAGCCGCTCTTCCCCATACTACGACAACAGGGGTCACCTCTAAGCCTTGTGCACTCTATACTTTGTTAAGATTTCTTCTCTATCGTTTGAAGCCGGGGCAATGAAAACATTTGATCCCCTTTATTTACTTCTGGTCACCGCAGTCGAGACCGAGACCTTCGGCGATCATGAACGCGATGTCGGGTGAGTTGTGGACACCACGGAACTGTGGGAATTTCGTATTGCGTAGTATGATCAGTCCCTGGTCGTATCATCGGCGTCTTGGAAGAATCGTGCGGCTTACCTGCTCGGACGAAGGACCCCATGCGTAGATGGGCACTGCGAGACGCGCAAGTGAAGTACCTCTCATGATCAGCTCCTCCATCCCCAAAAGATAGCTGAAGACGAGACCATAAGCGTACCATCGGTCAAACTGTGGACACCTTGGTCCTCGTTGACGGGCATATTCCCTAGCAAAGGAAGAGAATGGTGTCGTGTTAGAGGCTGTCCGGTGATACTCAGCGCGGTCTAGCTCTTTCACTCACCCGAGAGCCAGAAACCCCCAGGCGTCGTACCGTTCGGGTTGGCCCGGTAGATGGGAGCCGCTTTGGTCGAGGCAGGGTCAAGAACTGTTGAGTTGCGAGGCGAGGGAGACGTCACAAAGTTCTCGTACTTGTCGACGACGGAGGCCAAACCGTAAGCGGCGGCGTAGCGGGGAGTCCACCTGTTCAGAGTTTGGAAAGGAAGACAGATTTCAAAGTCGGTTTCAACAAGGGGAAGGAAAGATCAAGTACACTCACTGAGTAGGGAAGCCATCGCCTTGGGGGCCGGGAACGACGGAAAAGTTTTGAGGGTTTGAGCCGGGAATCACCTGGTAGCCCGAGAGACCGCTGTTTACGTAAACGCCGACGGCATCGCGCTTCGTGTCGTTGGTGGTTTGGGCAGCGAGGTAGGCAGTGTCGGCGCCACCGTAGACGTCGAAACTAGAACAAAGGGTACGTAAAGCACATCAGAGAATGTCCCATGGAAACTCCGAGGGTTCCAGAGCCTGACGTGACAGGACTCACCCATGGCCGTGATCGGCGGTAACAACGATGAGCGTGTTCTCAAGCTCACCAAGCTTGTCGAGGTGGTTAATGGTGGCCTTGACGGTGTTGTCGAGCTCGAGCAACTCGCCGAGAGCGCGGTCGTCTAGTGGCGCGGGGTTGGGTGGCAAAGCACAAGGATCAGCATTAGGGGCTGTAGGATCCCTGCTCATGCTGGTCGGGCCGACGAAGGAAGCACAACTTACAGTCGGCGATATGCATCTGCTTATCGATCGAAGCGGCCTCGGACATGAGCATGAACCCAGTGTTGTTGACCTTGGAACGGGTGACGAGGATGTCGAGCGCCTTGAGGGTCATGTCCTTCAAGCCGGGCTGATTCTTGGCGCCGACGGTGCCGTTGTACATGGGCCACGTGTCGAGGTTCTTCTGATACTGCACGACGTTGCGGTCCAGCCAAGTAGCCATGTTGATACTTGCGTACAAGCCCAGCATGCGCTTCGAGTTGTCCAGCTTGTGCAGCGTCGTGTTGTCATACGCGAACTGGTAGCCACGCGATTGGAACCGGGCGACCTTGTCGGTGTTGTTGTTGGCGGCGGAGGCGATGAAGTTGGATCCACCACCACCCATGATGACGTCAGGGCCATTCCAGGCGTTCCAGGTGTAGTTGGGCCCGACACCATCCAAGAATTGATCGACGATAGTGTTGGATTGACTGCGCTGCGAGGTGTGCGCGCAGACCGCGGCAGGAGTCGCATCGGCGAGGTAGGCGGTCGTGACGATACCGATCTGCTTGTTCTTGATGCGACGACCCATCTCGAAGACCTGAGGGAATCAAGAGAATGGAGAAATGAAATGCTTAGCTTGGTCGAAGGAGACCATCCATTGGCCCCGAGAAGATACGCACACTCTCAAACTTGGGGTCACCGAACGCCTTGCCCGTCGAGTCGGTGTAAGCGTTGAGCGCGTTGACGGTGCTCTTCTTGCCCGAATAGAGCGCCGTCGCCGAGTTCGCCGAGTCGGTGATGAACGAGTCCAACGAGTGCGTCATCTGACTTCCGTAGGCGTACGCCTTATCGAATTGGAGCTTGGTCAGGTACTTGCCGTTGATCGACTTGTGGCCAAGCAAGCGAGCGGCGGTGATCATCGAAGTGGTCATACCGTCACCGATGAAGAGGACGACGCTGCAGACCGACAAGTCGACAAGGAATCAGCCCTGGTGCGCTGCAGGAGATGCATGCAGGTCGTGTTGACTCACTTCTTGGCCTTCTTGATGTTGACCGGCTTGCGGACGGTCCAGATGGCCTTGGTCTCCATCGTGTTATTGTGATACTTGAACGAGACGACGTAGTCCCCGGGGTGGTCGAGAGAAACATATCGGTACGACTTGGCAATGACGTTGACGAGGGACGCCGAGTTGTTCTTTTGGTAGAAGAGATCCTCGTACCAGGTGAAGCTGAGGAGAGAGATTGGGGAAGGACGAAGAAGGAGCGAGAATTGAGTTACATCTGCGGACGCACGTGGGGCGAGGTCGCCGACACAAGGCGCAAGACAGGGGGCCGTCGCGGAACTTTACACTCACTTGTACACCTCATCCTTCGGTTGATCCAGCTTGAAGTACTTGATGAGTGGGGTCACCGATCCGCCCGGCGGCGTGATGGTCAACGTAAAGTCGGGGCTAACGACACCATTGTTGAACGCCTGCGAGCCGTTGACCGGCGCCTGGATCTCTTGGCGGATGTCGAACTTTTGGCCGACCAAAAAGTCGGTATGGGTAGGAGGGAACAAGCACCCCAATTCGGGGCAGGCAGCCGTCCGCCTGAAGGTTTGGGCATCGACGGACCCGGCCAAAGCGACCAGGCTGACGAGGAGCGAAGAAGCGCCGATCATAAGGGCCTTCGTCGGAGTGGGGGGAAAGGAGGCGCGCGGGTAGTGTGGGGGTCGAGGGTGGTGATCCTGTAAGAGCTCCCAAACGGGGGTCAGCAACAGCTCAAAGGGCGATGTAGATAGTATGCGTGGTCCAACAAGTCGAATGACCGAAGAAAAGCAAGGGGCGTCACAGAGCTCTTCGCAAAGGGGCACGAAAGACGGGGCCGAGAATGCTAAGAGGAAACTCGGGCCGGCCATGACTTCAAAAGCGTGCGTCAGGCGTTAGGACTCAGCTAGTACGCGGCAGCCCAAATGTCTCAGACGGGCAGCAGGCCCGAAAGTGATGCTTGAGCTTCACGTGGAGGTGGACTGTCGGGTCAGCTTTCGGCACCTGCGCATCGTTCTTAGGGCTGCATGTTCCGCCCTAAAGAGTTCGAATGCTGACTCTGGTCGGTGGTTGGCCAGAGTCCGAGTCGACGCGCACCCGAACACGTGCTTGGCCGTCCAGACGGCGCGCGCATCAGTTTGCCCGCGGCCAACTCGGATTCCCAGCGTCATATACTTGATCGGACGGCAGGCACCACATCGAATATCTCGTTTAGCCGATTGCACTCGGTTTTGTAATTTGTCCTACCGCCCGTCCCGCCTTCAACTTCCGGTACAGCAGTGGAACGTGGCCGGCCAGTGAGACTCGGAGTTTTGACGAAGTCGAGGTTTCCCCGAGCGCGCACGTTCCGAAATTAAGCGCCGATCGCAATAATCAATTCTACAGCCTCATCCCGCCACTCGACTCGAGGGGAGCACCAAAGGGATTCATGCCTGTCGATCTCGGTCTTGGTATATCTATTTTGGTCTTTGCCAAGACCAAACTCAATCTCCGCTCAGCGCTGCTTGTCGTGGCGATGATCCACCAGGCGCGTGGTCAGATCCCCCGTGCTGCCGTTTGGTCAAACATGTCGCACTGAGACCGATGTCAGGATCCCTTTTTTCCAATTCAACTCATATTGCTGGTTTTAGTAATTACAAATTCGCAAAGAAGAGACTGTAAAAAATGAGTGGTGTACAGCGGAGAGGGCTTCTTCAAGTCACCCGATCACAGGATCTGGCCTATGCTCAGAAGGTGTGGTTGAACACTGTCTCAACAAATAAATAAAAGTATACTATCAGTTCATAAATACCCCTGATACCCAAGTCAAGGACACTCACAGTCCCCATCGCCTTGACTCGAAGCTGGCTTCGAAGCCGGCTCCTCTCTTCGCGCGGGGGTGTTGGACGGTCTCGAGCTTGCCCAGGCCTGCTCCGGTCCTTCACTTTCAAACGAATCAAACCTCGCCGTCGGAGCACTCGCGTTCGTCGTCGCCTTGCTCCTCGCTGGGACGCCGTTGATCTCGCGTTCAAAGTCATCCTGGTAGTCGTCGGCAGCTTGCGTGCGCTTGCCCCTCAGAGGGTCACCGCCAGCGGAGGGGCGACTGGCGTTCATGCGGTCGAAGCGATCGTCCCGTCCACCACCTCCACCACCACCGGAAGATGACGACGCGTTCTCGTAGCGGCTGCGGCTCTTGCCCAAGAAGCCCCTGCCTTTGAGTTTCTTCGGTCCACTCGACGCCGACGAGGCGGGCATCGCATCGGCCCCACTCGTAGAAGGGAAGAACTCTTCGTTGTCCAAGGGGTCATAAGGCCGGCTGGAAGCAGGTGCACGCCCATCATCATCATCAGGTCTTCGCGGGTTGCCCTGCACTTCCTCCTCCTCGACGAGATCGTCCCACGGCGAGGTGATGTGGAAGCCGCGATGCTGCTTCTTGCCACCGGTGCTAAGGTTGGGGTTGCCCGAGAAACGAGGTCGATTCGCAGGTTCGGGTCCACGTCCATCCCAATCGGCCGCCCCACCGGGTTGGCCAGACTCGACCGAGTCAGCATCGGCGTATTCGTTCCGGGCCGAGTCCGGGAGTCGTTCTGCGAGAAAGGCCAAGGAGTGATGTCAGCTCGGGGTTGCAGCAATGATGCAGAGTTGCATGGTGTGAACGTACCGTCGTAGCGACCTGCCCAGGCGTGCTTGCCACCTCGCTTGTCCTTGACATGGACGAGGCCAAACTTGACGGCCCACTTTGGGGTGCGAGCTGCGGTTCGGTTGTTGCGGATCGATTGACAGTACTATTTGCAGAGCGTGCCCTTGTGTCAGCTTACGGGACTTGTCAAGCCAAGGCCTTGAATGCACTCACAAAGCTGTAACGTGACCAAAGTGGGGCCCGGACAGAGCGAGCACAGTCAGAGACGCGGGGAGAGGACCGAGTGTCAGCCGCAACGGTGCACAATATCGGAAAGAAGCGGAAGGAACGAGAGACCGACTTGTGACCATGGCCGGGGAAGTAGCCACAGATGGTGCAGAGCACGTTGATGAAAAAGTCGCGTCCGATGCCGAACCGGACCGCGACGGCGAGGGGTGGGGCGAGCCAGCCGCTGAGGAGCGCGCTCGCCGGACGCTGAGTGAGTGCCACACGCTCGATCCCGACTGCGAAGCCCACATGCACTTACCAGATGAGAACGAGCACGTAGAAGAAGTGGTGCGTCTTGGCCTGTGCGCGGTGGGATGTGGTGCGGGTGCGGATGCGTGTGCGTGAGCGTGTGGGTTGGTGATCGTCTCTTCAAGCCGACCCCGTTCGTCATCGTCGGATCCTCGCGGGGTTTGTCGTGTCTCACTCGGCCTCGGGGAGCCAGCAGCACATCGAAGCAGCCGGAAAGAGACTGCAGCGGGGACTGACCTTGACACCCTTTTTGCGCATGCGCGAGCCCTTGGCAGAGATTTTGGCGGCGGTGGCGTCCATGAGTGCTGGCTTGCTTGCGGCTTGTTGTAGCACGAGTGGGGGGGTTAGGTGGACCTGTGTTGACGGGAGGAGCGACGCCTTGAGTGAGCTCAGGCTGCGCACAGCCACACCAGCGCCGAGGCCACGCCAGCTCCAGTGCGGGCCACACCTCGCGCGGCTGACTAATAATACCCCGCCCGTAATAGCTCATTAGCCCCCGAATGACTCTGTGTTGTATGCTCGCACGCGTAACTTGTAATGTGCAGTAGTGCCGGCCTTCTGCGAACATCTCTCATCCCAACGCGTTACGCGAACTCCCGTCCTGACCGTCACCGACGGCTCGACATCACGGACAGCTTGTTTGTGTGAAGCGTAGCCTCACGCGAGCTATGAGCTTGCGCCTACGATGAGCCACCAATACCATTACGTCAGATCCGACTCGGACCATCTGCAGCACCACGACGCTCGTTCACCACCAGCGCCCCTGTCGCCGCTGGGTCAGACGCCAGTCATCTTTCACACCACCTCGACCGTTGTCGCACCGTCAGCCGCGACCATCCCGGCCCCCCATCCCTCGCATTCGGGGCATCCAAGCAGCAGCATCGCTGTCGCCCACGACTTTCCCCCTCTTCCCCTGTCGCACGACGACAAGGGAGGCGACTCGAGGCGGTATGCAGCACCAGCCGTCCGCGCACCGTCGCGGAACCTGTTTCAGCACCCCGCAGTCGCGGTGGATGCTGCTGCGCTGCCGACGACAGCAAATCCCGGCTTCCCTTCTTCCTCCAAGGACGAGCTCGACAACCATGCACATCTCATCTCGTCCAAACCCCACTCGCCGAATATTGTCGACTCCAAGCCCAAGACGAGCGCGCTTGACACGATCAAGACCTTTTTCCGAGCCTTCAACACCCCGAACCAGGTCAGTTGGCGGCCTCGGCGCCCAGAGTTCCCATGACGGACCGGACCCGAACTCCGAACAATACATCGCCGCGGCTGACAAGATTTGGGCACGGTAAATCTTTCTCAGCTCGCGCTATTGGCATTGATCGGCATCCAAGCCATCTGTGCTCTCTCGATGATCGCACTCATCTATGCGACCGTCAACGACGCCATCGGCGATCTCTCGTTCCAGGACACCTTCCTTGTCGCGCCCAAGCTCGAGTTCGTCGCGACATATCTCGGCGTCTTCATCTTGGCAGTGTGAGTCGTGGGTGTCGACTCTGTGTCTCACTGTCATGGAATTCCCCGTAATCTAACCGTGTGGCTGGACGAATTCGCAGCATCTTCGAAATCTTGGTCGCGCTCGACGCGCTGCAGCAGAAAAACATCATCTCCATCTACCTCATCACGTTTTTCCAAATCGCCATGCTCGTCTACTCCGCCGTGCTTCCGAACCAGCTCGACGTCGCATTGCGAGGCTCGTCGGCCGACACCCACTTTGTGCACAACCACGTCAAGGGCTACGCCATCGCAATCCCTTGCGTCGTCGCCCTAGTCACCGCCGGCCTCGGATTCTTGTCGTGGCGGCTGAACGACGAGTTCAACTGGGAGCTGTTCCGCCGCGTCGTCGGACCCGAAGTGCACCTCCGACGCATGTACCTCGTCTACCAAATTTTTGTCGGCGTGCTCAAGTTCGATGCATTCTTTTTCATCGGTTTCTCGATTCAATTCCTCGTCCTGGTCACGGGCGTGCCCGTCGGCGAATTGGCCGTCACGATCGCCGCACTGCCCATCATCTGCGTCTTCCTCTTCCTGTCGTCGCTATTCGTCAAGCACGAGTTTCGGCCCGGAGTTTATTTGACCTTGGTCATCGACCTGGCCGGTATGGCCTACTTCGTATACAAACTTTACCGCGTCTACGTGCCGAGTGAATACGCCCGTTACGCCGGCGCCAGAAAGACTTTGACCATCTTTTCGGTCCTCTCGCTCGTCTTTCTCGTCGTAACGTTTTGTCTCAACGCCTTGTGCTTGAGCAACTTCGACAGAGGGCTAAAGGAACGAAGTAAGCCCCGCGCGTCACTGAGTTCCTGATCCGAGTGGACCTAGGCGCTGATCCATGCCTTATCTTTGAACCTGTTTCAGTTCCTCGTTTCGCCTGGGCCGGACGAACCCATGCCTTGTCGAGCCATCGACGAAGACCGCACCAGTCGAAGCGCATGTCCATTGGCCCCGATGGATCCAAGATCGTCGACGTCGTCGACCAGGCGCCACAGCAGCCGAATTTGGCGTTGGAGAGGTCGCGCACGAGGATGAGTTTGGATTGAACGACGTGCGACAAAGCTCGTATTCGACTCGAGTCGATGGACGTGCGACAAAGCTCGTATTCGACTCGAGTCGATGGACGTGCGACAAAGCTCGTATTCGACTCGAGTCGATGGACGTGCGACAAAGCTCGTATTCGACTCGAGTCGATGGACGTGCGGGGTGGAAAGGACGCCCTTTTTCAGACACTCTTACTCATCTTTCAGGGGGCTTTTGGCAAGGATGTCTCTTCCGCATTACTGACATTCCTTTTCTATTATTCTTAATCTCTTCATTCTTGTCTTCAGGTCTTTCACTCGGGCGGGCATCGTTCACTTGTTTCCTTATGGTATGTTGTAATTCGAGCCGTTGTTATTAAGTCGTTGCCAGACGCGGGTGGAGAGAAAAACAGCACCCAGGACTCGTTCGAAGTCAAAGAAAGAAATGGACCGGACGCGCTACAGTAGTACACAAGAGAACCAGTCTTAAGAGCTGGCAAGACCGTGAATGAAGATTATTCCCTAGTTCGGACTCTCCACGCTCTCTGTCAGAATGGGGGGGCCTTGATGAGGGCTGCTCGGGATATCCAAGGCACCTTCTTCACTCGGTTCGCCCGAGGCCTTTGAAGAAGAGCCATTCGATAATCCGACGGCTTGGAGTGCGGCACTGATATCGGTGCCTAGATCCCCACCATCTTCCCCCTCGTCATCCATCAATTTGGGTATACTCTTCCTCTTGGGTTTCGTCGGCGTAGTCGTCGACGCGACTCCGTTCGCCCCATTCCCATTCGCTAGGGGGGACAACGTAGGATCCACCCCCGTCGCACCGAAAGCAAGTGACTTCTTCCTCGGTGTACTCGGACTAGGTGAGCCCAAGTCCCCGGTATCATGATCGAGACTGACGTCGGAATCGGGATCGTCGTCGTTGTGGCGATCGCTACCGTCGGGTTCGCCCTCGGCGGGATGTTCTTCCTCCATCGCTTCGAGGACGTCTTGTTCGGCGTTGGAGAAGGGTGTTGTCCCGCTGGGTTCGGTTGGAGTCCCTGCAATCGAGCCGGAATCTCGTGCAAAGGTGGCCAAGGAAGGTGATGAAAGGGGCTTGGTGAACTGTGAGAAAAGCAAGGGAAGGTGTCGGATGCCAACGATGAGACCAAATCGACGGCCAAAAATGACTCACCTTTTCCAACTCAACCCACCACGCGTTTAGCTCTTCCCAACTCTTGGCTCTGAACACATGCTTCGTCCCCTCCCCATCCTGAACCGTGAACAGCGCCTCCAGAGCCTTCCCTTTGGTCGGAACATCCGGGATTGGCATCGGGCCTAAACTGCACAGCGTCAGGTTCATCGAATTGACGGGAGAAGCAAAGTTCGCTCCCGAGTTGGCGTATGAGTGCAGGTTGCCGGAAGGGGTTAGGATGTAGAAGGAAGGTTTCCACGATTTGAGGATTCGTGATTGACGATCCAGTAGCCCTTCTTTGACGAGCTCGGTCAAGGCATCGTCCCGTCCGACGTAGGTGACTTCGTCGGGCGAACGTAAGGGCGTTTCCGGTGGGATGGTGAAGTTGGAACGTTGGAAGTAGTTCCATTCCGTCTGGTCGCCGGACTCTTGATCAGCCGGACTGTATTTCGGCTGTGGTACTCGACCGGCAAGGACTCACCTCGGGTGCAACACCGTCCACACCAGCAGAGAGCATCATTGATCGTTGCTGGTTCGTCAACAGCAGGTTAGAGCTGGCAGAGTCAGGGGGCAGACGGTTCGTTAGTCGGCCTCATAGGTCAAGCTCGTCGAAGACATTCTCGGCTTACTTTGCTGTTTCCCAAATCGACCAACACCGATTGATTTCTCTCCAAACGTCCTTCTCCTTGGCTTCGGTCTTTTCGGTCCAACTCAACACAGCGGCCAAGAGTTCGTTCTCCTTGATGACTTGCTGTTTGATCTGCGTCGCTGCGGCTGCTTTGAGGATGACAGGGTCTTGGGAAGGGTCCGAAGCATTCATCGAAAGGGGTAGACCAGCCGAGGTGATGGCTGTCGATAGTGATGTGAGGATTGTCGTCGAGGATTCCCTACAGAGTCCCGAACCCAGACGTTTCGTGAGGGGCGGATCATGTGCGGTGGCAAAGTCGCAAGTGGCTCACCTTTCTTTGATCACGGCCTCGATCAGTTTGTTCACCTCCTTCTCCAAAGCTGCAATGTGGCTCTTCATATCCGGCCTCTGTCGTCCGCGCATGAGGTCCAGTCGCATATCAGCCGAGCTCCCCGTGTATCGAAAACCTGATGAATGAGAAAATACTGACGATCTTCTTCAAAGGGATGACAACGTTCTTGTTCAGGTTCTTGGCCAATGCGGCATGTTCCTCGGCGACCAAAGTGTTCGTCTCCTTGGTCTGCTGCAGTAGATCGGCCCATCCACCTCCGGCACCTCCTATCGGAGTGTTGCCTCCCGACGTGGACGAGTTGAGCGAGCTTGAGGTCGCTGACGCGGCGGGGATGAAGAGCGTCGATTCGGCCAAGGGCGTTTGGATCAGTTTGGGGTCGGAGAGCTTGAGCAGCGTTGCCGAGTGGGATTGATGGGCGACGGAAAGACCTGTGATGGGCCAAATAAATAATGAGAACGGGGTGAGTACTCGCTCGCAGGTCACGTTGGTCTTTTTTGATATCTCCAACTGCGAATAGTTCGCGGGTTCTCCGCAAAGGATTCGACAGGCCGATTCTCGGAGATGGTGGGTGGTGCGCACGACCGTCGCGTGGGCAACGGCCGATGCATACCGTCGTTCGTCTGAGCAAGCTGATCAGGCCCGCCCGAGTCTTCAAACGTCGTGGAGCTCACCTTCGAAGTAGGCGACGAGCATCTTGCTAATTCTCTTGATCTCGTGACACCTCGCGACGAGGACATCGCTGGGTCTTGAACCAATGCTCGGGAACGGGTCAACGGGCGCGGCGCGCGGTGGGACGGCGCCCGAAGAGGTCAACGTCGCGCCAGAGGAGAGCGGTGGTGGGGTCGAAAAGGAGAAGGAGGAGGAGGAGGGTGACTTTGCGGCGGGTGGTGTTGGCGAGGACGAGGAAGAGTAGCGGCCAAACATGGAGCGGCTGGGTCACGGGGTAGATGAGTTGTTCGGTTGGGTCGGGCGAGGAGCAACGCTGCGCCGGGGCTGAGCGCTGAGCGCTGAGAATCGGGGTCCGGAGCCAACGAAGATCCGCGTTGATACCCGCGGTTAGGTTGCTGGGTCCGGGACTGGGGTGTTGGGGTGGGCTGATAAAGCAAAGAGCGAAGATAGACCGGGTACGATATCTACCCTACACGGGTTTCCAGATCTCGAGATGCGCAGGAAGCTGAGCGCCACGTCGGCGTCGGGCGCGCCTCGGTGGAAATGGGCCTCGATTCGCGAGTTTGGGCCTGTTGGAGTTGTTTGCGCGTGACCGAGGCTGCTCGTCCCACGGGCCAAGTGGCAAGCTGCAGTCAGTGCAGTGCACTGTACGGGCTTGCTTCAAATTAGTGATGCATCGAGAATGGGAGTAGACCGTTCCAGCTGACCAGGAGGGTAGTATTCCCTTGGATAGATTCAGTGCTGCCTAACTTTTGTGATTGTCCCTCAAAGCTTCGCCGAAAACTCCAGCAGGTTTGGGTGCGCGCGAGTCGACGATTTTGGCAGTTTTTGGCCTGTTTTGGCGCGGCCCAAGCGCGACGCGTCGGCAGAGGAGCGTGAGCCGCGGTGTCTCCTTTGCGCATCCCTCAACACTTCGCCAATCGAGTCCACATCCGCATTTGCATTCCGCATTTGCATCCGCATCCGCATCCGCATCCGCATCCGCTCGCCGCCGTTCTAGACGCCGTCGGAAACAACGACTCAACCATGGATGGCGCGCCTCCACCCGAGGAGAACTTTGAGGCTCAGCCGATACAGGATCGCTTGGTGTCCAAGGCGAGTTCCCCCTCGGCGGTTGTTTGACACTCGAGCCTCGACGCGGCGTGTGTTGCGCGAGGTTGGCGGGGCACCAGTATCCGACGTCGCACCTTGCACGGTCAACACCTCTCCGATCGTAGCCGAGCTGATTCTTCTGTCATGACTCGCCCCCGCAGTTGTGGAAGGCACGCGTCTCGGCGTACACGGCCTTGATCACGACCTTCAAGCAGACCGTCTCCGACACCGATCCGGCCTTCCGACCTTACGTCTCGGACCCTGCCTCGGTCAAGGAATGGGTCAGGGACAACAATGCGATGGCCCAAGAGATGGGTGTCGCCGCAGCGTGTAGTCTGTTGGAATGGGGGGGGAAGAATGCCGCGAGGTTGGTCCACATTAGGCCCAGTCCGAGACAAGCAGAGCGGGCGAGGGGGGTGCGGATCACGCTGATGCACGACAGTTCATGACAATGTTGTACAGGACAAGAGCAGAGGTCGTACCTTCGCTCGTCGAAAAGTGTTTAGGAGCAGCGAGGGTAAGCATCGGCATTGGGCCCGAGCCGGGAAGTCGGGTAGTGTCGCAGACGATAGCTGTCTCACGCTCTTGCACTGCGTCGATGTTGATCTGAACAGGCAGGTACCAAGACCAAAGCGATCGAACTGTGTCTACTTTACGTTGCAGCAGAAGAGGATCAAGCAGAGGGTGTTCTCGTGAGTCTCAGAACGACAATTCGGGAACACGCGGCTAACACTACCATTTGCATCGGTGATCGTTCCTGCAGAGCGATCTCACACCGGGACTGGACGTCAAACAACCCAAAGTTGTGGCAGGATGTGTGACCGTGCTCAAGGAGATTGTCAGGTGCGCCACTCATATTGAACACATCACGTCGACGCGCGATACTGACCTGCTCGCCTGTGCACACAGAGGGTTCGGGCCGAAAACAATCAACGTTAAACCGATCCTCAAGCTCTTGCCCAAAATCTTTGCCCACGCTGACAAGGCCGTCCGACTCGAAGGCACCGCTCTGGTTATGGCATTGCACGCTTATCTCGGACCCGCCCTCGACCCGCACTTGTCATCGCTCAAACCCGTTCAGGTCAAGGAGCTGAACGAGGCTTTCGCTGATGCCGATGCCAAAGGCGAAGAAGGGTTCGGACATCTCAAGCCGTCACGATTCACGCTCACGCAGCAGAGGGAAAGGGAGGTCAAACAAGCCGAGGGGGCATTGGAAGGCACGAACCCGGAGGAAGCGGAGGAGGAAAAAAGCGCCGCCGAAGGTGGGGCCGAGGATGGGCCACCCGATGCTTTCGATTTCGCCGAACCGGTCGACGTGCTCAACAAGCTCCCTCCTGATTTCTATACCCACGTTGGCTCGACGAAATGGAAGGACCGCAAGGAATTGGCGCTCGAACCCTTGCTCGCCGTGGTCAAAGTCCCGCGGATCAAAAACGACAATTACGACGAACTGCTGCGATCGTTGGGCGGGATGATCCCGAGCTACTCGAACGTACTGTGCATTATGCTCGCGGCGAACTGCATCGAAGCGATGGCATTGGGTCTAAGGGATGACTTTGCCAAGTATCGGAGTCTGGTCATTGCGCCGATCTTGTCGAGGACCAAGGAGAAGAAGGCCAATGTTTTGGAGGCCTTTGCTGGTGCTTTGGATGCGACGTTCGCCTCGGTACGTTCGTTCGTGAGGGGACAAAAGTTTAAAGTCCGAATCGCTGATGTAGGTTCCGTGCAGATCCTATCGATGAACGAAATCGTGGAGGATATTGTCACTTTCGCCAAAGACAAGAACCCGTCTGTCAAAGAACAAACGATCAAGTGGTGTACGCGAAGCCTCAAAGTCGTTCCCTCCCCACCTCAACGCTCCGATATCGATCAGCTCATTGCCGTCTTATCGCTCGCCCTGGCCGATTCCGCGGAACCCGTTCGAATCGTTGCGGCGGAAGCTTTGGGATATCTAATGAAAGTCTGCGGAGAACGCGCGATGGGAGGCAAGATTGAGGAACTGGACGATTTGAGAAAGGCCAAGGTCAAGGAGGCGTATGAAAAAGCCGAGACAAAGTGCACGAATGGTGGTGGTCGAGGAGGCGCTGTTCGTACGGCACCTGCGGCCGGTGGTTCTTCGATGCCGGCAGCGAACAAGTCCAAGCCCAAGCCGATGGTGGCGAACAAGGAGAATGCCCCACTCGCTGCACGTCCTGCCGCATTCGCACCCACCCCCAGTGCAGCTCTCAAGATTGCAGCTGATCCAGCTGCTAGACCTCCGATCGTGGCCAAGAAACCCCCTGTTGCTTCGACTTCTTCGGCGCCAATCGCGGCGAAGAAACCGGTGATCGCAGCTGTGAGCGCATCCTCCTCCAAATCGGCCGGACCTGCCAAGACCGCCGAACCGTTGAAGTACAAGATGTCGCAAGAGGACGCCGAGGCTCAGGTCGAAGCGGGCGCGATTCCGGCCAACTTGGTCGCTCAGATCTCGGACGCGAACTGGAAGACACGGTTGGAAGGGATCACGGCGCTGCATGATTGGTTGAGCGGGGGTGAGATTGAGACCGTCGAGAGTGAACTGGTCGTTCGCTACTTGGGAAAGAAGCCGGGGTGGAAGGAGAGCAATTTCCAGGTCAGCAACTTAACGTCCGATTCTCCGATTTCAAGGTTCATCACGTTTCCTAGTAGGAAGCTGATCTTGTCCGGCATTCCATATATCAGGTTAGCACCAAGATGTTTGGCATCTTGCACCTTTTGGCGGAAAGGTCTCCCTCGTTTGGCAAATCGTCAGCGGCCCTTTCTGTCCCCGGTCTGTCGGACAAGCTCGGCGATATTAAGCTGAAGAAACCAGCCGGCGACGCGCTGACCGCTTTCGCGGAAAAGTCATCGCTCGGCTTCGTGCTCAGCCTCGCGTACGAACCAATGACGAAGCAAAAAGCACCGAAAGCTCAGGCCGATTCGCTGCTCTGGGTCGAACAGGCGCTGCGCGACTTTGGCATTATCGGCGTATCGATCCGCGACCTGATCGAGTTCCTCAAGACGGGGCTGAAGAGTTCCAACGCTTCTGTGAGGACGAATGCGACCAAGACACTTGTCACGCTCAAGCTCTACGTCGGCGCCGATATTGTTACCTTCTTACAAGACTTGAACCCACAACTACTCACAACGATCGAGTCGGAATTCGCCAAGGTTGCGGGGGAGGCACCACCGGAGCCGACGCGAGTTGGAGCCGACACCGCCGTTGCTGCTTCGGCCGCTGCGGCAGGCCCAGGTGCGAAAGGGAAAGGAGCGATCAGTGGAAGCGACGATCCTCTCGACGACCTCTTCCCGCGCGTCGAGCTGGATCGACTTATCCCCAGTTCAGCGATCAGTGGCCTCGGCGACAGCCTGTGGAAGACCAGGAAAGAAGCGCTGGAAACGATTCAGTCGATTCTCGAAGGCAACAAACGACTCAAGCCCTCGCCGCTCAACGATCTCTCAACGCCGTTGAAGCAGCGCCTTGTGGATGCCAACAAAATTGTGCAGGTGCTCGCGCTCGACGTCATCGCCAGGATTGCTACAGGAATGGGCAAGCCTTTCGAACGGCATTGTCGACTATTCGTCGCTGCGATCGCGGGCGTTCTCGGAGATCAAAAAGCGCCGATTCGAGCGGCCGCGACGGCCTGTCTGACTGCCATCGCCGATGCTGCTAGTCTCGATGCGATGATCACCTCGTTCGACAAGGCACTCGAGACGGGCAGTCCTGTTCTGCGCAAGGACCTGCTCGCCTGGCTCGAGCCTCGCTTCCAGGACGAGGACGTCGTCGCCACACTCGAGCTGCGGGATCTCGCCGGGCCCGTCATCGCTTGCCTCGAGGATAAGACGGCCGAGGTTCGCAAATCAGCGCAGGCGTTGCTACCCGGCATCATCTCACGTGTGGGGTACCAGACCGTGCTGGACAAGACTGGCAAACTCAAGCCGGCCAGCAAAGCGACCGTCTTGCCCCTGCTTGAGGCCGCCCGGGGTCAAGCGAACCTGGTTCCGAGTAGTAAAGCCCCCACCGTCGCATTGTCTTCCGCAACCCCTCAGGCGAACAGAACATCGCAGCCCCCGTCCCGCCCCGCTTCTGCCGCTTCTGGGCCGATTGCGGCCACCTCCAAGCTCGCTCCTGGTGGGTTGACTCGGCCGACGGCCGTCAACAAGTCCTTACGGGCTGGAGCCTCGATTTCGACGCAGTCCGCCAACGACGATGCCCCTGCCTCCCGGCTGGGTGCGCCTCGACCTCGTGTCTCCCTTGGGAGCAAACCGCTCGGTGCGTCGCGACCCTTCCCGAACGCTGCGACATCCGGTTTCGCATCCGTGAGCGAGGGCAAGGAAGCACCATTCCGCGACGCCGACCCGAGGCCCAAGACGCTCCGAGCGTCGAAAGAGACGGGCTCGCTCAAGTGGGTTGTCGATGGAACCCCACGCGCCGATCAGGTCGAGACTCTGCTGCAGCAAATGACGCCGTACACCTCGCCCGACCTACTCGCACAACTCTTTAGCAAGGACCACAATGCGGAACGGGACTACATCGCCGCTTTGACCGCGCTCGACGACTGCGCGCGAGACCCTGCCTCCGCCGCTGACGCGTTCGGTCTGCTACCCAAGGAATTTCGGGCACGATTGGTCGTCAACGTCGACGTCATCTTCAAGTACATTACTCTGCGTATCGGTATGACGAGTACGACCATCACCGTCAAATGTCTCGACCTGATCGACGACTTGCTCGTCGTTCTCGGCGAAGAAGGCCACAACCTGTCCGACTACGAGGCCTGGGCCTTGCTCATCAGTCTCATCGCCAAGGTCGGCGATGGCAAAGAGACGATTCGAGGTCGTGTACGAGCCATCTTCAAGGCTCTGTGTAGCGTCTATCCTTACAGCAAGGTCTTTGCGGCTCTCGTCGAATACGGTCTCGTGTCCAAGAACGCTCGGGTCCGCGCGGAAACGGCCGAGGAGTTGGGCAGCCTGTTCCAACGCCACGGTGCGAGCGCGCTTCCGACGGGCAAAGCCCTTCCTCTCATCGCCAAACTTATCAGCGATCGAGACGCCGCGGTACGCACGCCTGCACTCTACGCCATCGGTCACGTCTATTCTTCGCTGGGAGCTGATGCGACGTGGAAATTGGTCGGCCGCATACCGGACAAGGAGCGAGCAATGTTGGAGGAGCGTTTAAAGCGCACAGTGACGACGGGAGATACAGGTGCCTCTGCTGCCGCGGTGTACGCGTCGCCTCAGGCCACACGGTCCATGACGCCAGTGCAGAGAGCCAACACGCCGTCCAGAGTACCCGGACCCGGACCCGCGTCCCCGACACCCAACAACGCAGCGAGAGGGATCGCCAAACCGGGCATCTCCCGGCTCGCTCGACCCAGCGGTCGAGCGGCCCCGACCGCATCCTCATCCGCACTCGGCGGTGGCGATGGCACAAGAAGAGCTTCTGGTGCTGGTCTCCCCGCCCCAGGTTTTGTTCGACCACTTTCCGCGACCGCGACCGCGACATCTCGATTGCCACCGTCAGCTCTGCCCTCCGCCTCGTTTGCGATGGGCCCCTCGAGTTCGAACGGCTCTCGAGGTCAAGCCGCTGAACGACCGCCGTCGCCAATCGACATCGCTCTGCTCATCGATGCCATCGAGACCGAAGACCTCGCAAAGTGCGCCAACGTGCTCAAGCGGGTGCAGACCGAGATCGCCACCAACTACGACGCTTTGCTGCCACAAGCCGACGCGCTCATCGATGCTATCACGCTGCAAATGGCGCTAGGCTTCGAGGACTTGCACAAGGACTCGTCGCATGCCAAGCTAAGACTATGCAAGCATCTGATGCAGACGCTCTCGTCCTTTTTCGACCATCGCACCCTCGGCCAAGCGATTTCAACGCCGGCGCTGACCAGTCTTTTGGCCGAACTTACGGGACGTCTCCTCGATACGGCCGATAGCTCGGGCTCGGATGCGATCGCCAGTCTGTCCAAGGTGCTCAACATGGTCTTGATTCGCATCTTCCATCATTCCGACCAGACGGTCTGCGTCAGGTGAGTTTGCTGGCTTTGGTTCACGGCAAGGACTCCCAGAGGAAATAAGCCTGACGAGTTCGACATCGCCTGCACAGTTCACTATTCACGGTACTACAAGACGCCACGATCGATCTCCGTGAACTCAAGGGCAATGAACTGGAAGCGCGGGCCAAGTATGCCGAGCTGGTCATGAAGGTGAGCAGCAAGGCAAATTCGTTGCGCAGTCAACAGCGCGCGCAGGGCTGACACCGGCCGGTTGGAAATACCTCCGAACAGTGCTTGTGGAAAGTGTCCAAGACGGTCAAGGAAAGCCTCGAGTCTCGAGCCCTCTCGGCGCCTCGTCTACTGCGAGACATCAACCAGTTTCTCACCACAACCCCACCGGCTGAATGGCGTCGACGGGCTGCAGACAACATCCCCCTGGCCGACATGCCGCTGCGAACGGTCAAGACCATTCTTCAGCAAGTCGTGTCGGTCTTTGGCGAGGCCGTCTTTGACGAGCTCGAGGAAATCGACTCGGCCGAGGATTCGTTCGTTTATCAGTATCTGTTCCGCCTAGCCAGTAGCCCCTCCAGCAAGAGAAATGGTTCCGCTGCACGAGGTCAAAGTGGCGATCGAGCGAGTGCTTCCTCGATGAACCGGCAAAGCTCGACTGGGTCGTTCTCGTCGGTACAGCGCGAGTCGCTGCCCGCGAGACAGACTGCTGCCACCCCATCCATTGAGTCCGAGCCTCCGTCGACACCGAAGATAGCAACGAGAACGGCTGGCGCATCGCTCGGAGCTCGGGCATCAATCTCGGCGGCCAACTCTCCCGGCGGCGCGGATATTGAGTTGAACCAGCAGCTAAAGGCCATCTTTGACCTGATCGGTGACCCCGTTCGGTCTCGCGAGGTAAGCGCGGCGATTCGGCACCCGAGGTTTTCGGTGCACAAGTTCCCCGAGCTGACGGCGACCACTCTGTCTCTTCCATCGTCACCAGGGAATCGAGGCGCTGTATATATTCCAAAAGACTCGCCCCGAAGCAGCGCCGCGGATTGCCTCGTGGTACGTCAGCCCTTCACCTGCTCATCCGGCCCTGAGGCGCTTACGGCTCGACGATCTTTCGCGTCACTTTATACTTCTTTCGATTTGCAGGATGGCGAACACGGGCAATTACTTTCAAACTTATCTGAAACGTGCGCTGCGCAATCTAGAGATGGCCGATCAGGAACAGGAATATCAACGCAATTCTCCGGCCGTAGAGTCGGCGGTGTCGGCCGCAACCGGTGAGTCGAAACGTAAACCGATCACTAGTCCCCCAAGGCTAAGCAGAGCCCAAACCATCACACCCTTCATTGCCTCGTCAGCCTCGTCCGCGCGACCAGTCTCGGCCTCCATCACCGCGTCATCAAGGCCGACGTCGACCGCGACGACGCTCAGTCCTCGCCACTCGCGCGCCTCCCTCGGGGCTAGCGGTGGCGCCGCAACGGGTGGCGCAAACTGCGAACGACTCAGCCAACTGCAGGAGATCTTTGGGTTCAACAGCGCGGCTGCAGGTGGTGGTGGAAAAGAGCCTTGATCGTTTCGTCGCATCTCTCATTTTCGTTTCAAGAGTTTTGTATTCCTAGATCAGCTTTTGTCTTGCGTCGCATTGTGCCAACAGTCACCCTGTGGATAGTCTTCGTAATACTGTAAAAACGGGGCTTCTTCTTCAAATCTAGTGCACACTTAGTCGAGAGGAATTTTTTTTTTTTTTTGTAGAAACCGTTCATCATATTGCCTCCAATTCCTGTTCCCCCTGATTGGCCTACGGAAAAACTAGATTGAAGTCGACGATGATAACACAAACCGCCCGCAAGATGCGAGAAACGGGCCAAGTCCACCAATCCGATACTTCGGATTCAAGTGCCCCAGCCAAGCGGTTGCTCCCCCCCAGGAGACGAATGAGAGAGAGAAGGAGAGAGAGAAAGAGAGAAAGGAAAACAACTAGCGTACTAACGACAAGAGGCCCACCCTGCCGCCACTTCCCAACTCGGTCGAGACAAAGACAAGAGAGCGACTGCGCAGCTACCCTGACCCGCGAAATCCCAAGTCTATGCTCGGTCACAACAAGACGCGGTGGAGGCCCCTCAAAACCTCCACCTCAGCAGTCCCTGGCTCCTCAAAGCCGACTTTCTGCCTGTGTCTGCTGATCCCTCCCTTAAACTCAGAACTCCGAAGCCAGAGAGCGCGAGCCACCGTCGAGTCAATATGCAAGAAGCTATCAAAGCCTTTATTATTGCCAGTGCCAAGTAGAAGACCACCAGAAGAGAAAACGAAGCTACGCACTGAACGGAGAAAGGTTTGCAAAACGCGATAAAAGGGAGCACGAGTAGAATATGAATCAACTACAAAATGAACGGCAGACAAATGCAATCACGAGAATAAAGAACATGGGAAAACGTTTACTATATAATAAAACAGGGGGTCAAGGGAAGCACAGTCGCGCGGAGGAACAAGAGTCTTTGATGAAGGGAAAATTCTCAGGAAAACTTAGCAAGAGTTGAACGGCGATGACCAAGAGAAAACCGAAGAAGGTGCTTTTGTGCTAGACGTAGGATGCCTCGGGGAGAGCCGAGGTCGACGAATCATCATGGTGGGCGACGTAAGAAGAGAAACCACCAAAGCCCATCCCGAGCGACCCGCGCCGAGGAAATTGCGGGGGCATTTGGTGGGCGTGCTGAATCTGCGACGAATAATGGGTCGCATATTCGGGAATGGGCGAGCCGCCCGAGAACTGTGCTTCCGAGTCCGAATGATGCGAAGGCGCCGCGCCGATGGCCCCAGCTCCGGAAGTGCTTGCGCCAGCGGGGGAGAACTCGTTGTACCGACGGAACGGGGAGGGTTGGGAATCTGACCCTAGGGAAAAGTCGTTTGAGTCGTTTGGTAGGCCAAAGACGAGCCCTGCGCTACATTGGCCCGAGGAGGAGCTGTGCGGGGTCTGCACCGAGGCGAGCGGGTAGAGGTTGTCGATGGCGGAGACAGATGAGGCACGACGTCGATGTGACTTGAACGGCGACGGGGTATGCGCAGCAGACGGTGAGGCATGGTAGTATCCGCTTAGCTGGCTCCCATAGGGGCTGAACTCGGCCGACGGGAGCGGAGCGGACCAGGAGGCCTCAAGGGGGTGCGACTGCGGATAGTTCATCTGTGACGACGATGACGAGGTAGAGTAAACCGATGGCGCCGGCGTCATGGGGTAGCTGTTGTATCCTTGACGATTTGTACCTTCGTCGAACGGTTGGTGCGAGTGCTGGGGCGGTAGTGCTTGTTGCGGCGGGACATGGCGGCCTTGGCTTTGCTGGTTGAGCTGCTGCGCCGCCTGATCGTAGCTGTACATGCAAGCCTCCTCGACGGGCTCGTAAGACTGGTCCCGCATATGCCGAGGGTGTTGAGGGGGAGGAGTCGCATATACCCCTCGAGGATGCTTGGTCGGGTACTTTTGACGCTGCTTGCGATCCTGTCGCTCGAGGTGTTGCCGAATCGCATTCGGCCCAAGCGCACCGGTGTTGTTCGACAGCATCGACAGGTTCGAATGTGCGGGAGCGGCCCATTCGAGATGAGCGTTACCCTCATCGTCGTCGGCGGGAAGATCCGGAAGCGGAGGGAGGGGCAAAGGGTAATACCCGGGGGCGTCCCCTGTCTCTGATGCATCGTCGTCGTAGTCTTGGTCGTCGCCGTAGCCGTCGTCATAGACCGAGTGGGGTGTCACCGATGCCGAAGATCCACCAGAGTAGTCTCCATCATCGTAGTGCTGCGGGTGACGACGTGTCGAATATACCCGGCGACTAGCGCCCGCAGAGGGGCGGGGTAGCGCACCTCCCGCGGTGTGGTAGCTGCCGTGCGAAAACGCCGGGGAGTCGGGGTGGTTGCGCTTGATGTGTTTGGTGAGGGTCGTCTTGCGGCAGAAACTGTTTTGAAATGTGATCGCGCACGTGGTGGTCAGTACTCCTGAGAAGACGCGCGGATGCGTCAAAGTGGCGCTAGCGGAAATGCAAGAAGGCCAAGCGACAGGGGACCTTGCCATGTTGTGTTGTTCGCAAGCGCCCCCCCCCCCCCCCCCCCCACCTTCTAGGCGCCGTCCCGGGATCGTGCACGAGCACTCGGGAGGGGACCGTGGCGTCACGCGAGGCCTGCACCGCGCGCGCACAGCCCCTCGAGACGCCACCACGATTCGGACCCGGGCTCGGCAATCCGAGATGGGGGGGGTCTCCTGACGAGCAGGACCTGCGGGAGCTGGACGGCGGCAGGGGGCACGTAGGATAGGATGAACGAGACCGACGCAGCGAGGTCACTCACGTCTTGCCACATATGGGTTCAGGGCACTTGTAGGGTCTCTTTCCGGTGTGGATCTGCAACAGAGTCAGTGTGGCGTGTTAGCAATGTTTTCGGCCGTATAGGCAGCGACAGAAGACCGGCGCGACTCACTCGGCGGTGGCGAGCTAACGAACTCGAATCACTAAACGCCTTGTCGCAGCCGACGTACTCGCAACAATGCGGGCGTTCTCCAGTGCTATGAGAGGGATGGAGGGGAATGGAGGGGAATGGAGGGAAACGGTGGGAGATCAGACGCGATTAAACTTGGATGTAGGTAGAGTGGCGAGAAGGACGACTGACTGGACGCGGTAGTGAACGGTAAGGGCGCTGCGCTGGATGAAATCGCGCGAGCAGCCGGGCCAGTCGCAGATCCAGGGTCTGCTCACCCGCGCCAGAGTCAGCTCTTGCGAGTGCGAGTGAAACATTGGCACTGTGGTACGATGCAAAAGGAAGAGGATCTCACCTTTCGTTCGAGTGGATGCGCATGTGTCGTACCAAATCACTGCGACGAGCGAACGCCTTGGGACAACCAGGAGCGCTGCAGCCGAAAGGTCGCGAAGCAGCCGAGCGGTCTTCATGAACGAGCTCCATGATATCCATCTTCCGAAGGTTGGCAAGGGGTTACACGAGTCGGGTTAAACGAGGATGGAGGACGGAGTAGAGATGTAGGCGTGTGTCGACGAGTGAATAAGGGAGTGGAAGAGACGATGTAAGTGGGCTAAGATGGAAGCCAAGCGCGGTCGACTTGGGCAGATGGGAAGAAGGGGAGTTGGGGAGAAAGAGAGGTGACCTCAAGTTGAGCGCGAGATGAAAGGGACAGGCCGCGCGCCTAAGCACTGTCGGCGGGCACGGCTGGGAGTCGCGCTCCCGATCGCTTTATAAAGTCACCCCTTCACCCAGTAATCAAGTCTCGCAAAGAAGGAACTTCTCCGAAGGATTGTTCGCTTTGCAAGCTCAACTGAGACCTAATCTTTCCCCGCTTGATTCAATTGACATCTCTGAGGTGCCCCCTGCACGCACGCCCGCACCAGCAGCTGCAGTGGCACAGCGAGCGCAGCACAGACGTGGGCCCGGCTTCTACTACCGTTCGTCGACCTGAACGGCTCGGAAATCGGCAAAGGCGCAGACTTCAATTCAGCTTCCCCGTTGCGGGGAATGGTTAACTGGGACGAGGTAGTTCCTATTTCACTGAAACCCTCCACTAGAGCATCGGGTGGCATAGACAGACCCTTTGGTGGTGTGGCGCCGTCATTTAGAATTGCACCATCATGCGAGGCTAAACTCGGCGTTCGGCGGCGCTTCCGAAGGCTTCATCACGTCGTCGTAGTCAGGGAAGAATCTTCCACTCACCAACGAACGTCCGTTGCGACGAACGGCTACCAGCGAGATTCCCGATAGACCGCACTTCGGTGAATCACTTGAGGCCGTGCTTTCCACCGAGCCATTGAAGGCAGGGGGCCGTGTGGAACCGTGCTAATACGTTCTTGGGCGCTGATGAGCTGGTGAAAGGGGCAAACGTCCTGCCCGCGCGCCCAGGAATGTCGGAGATCAAGTACAGCCAAGCCTTTTAGGCTAAGGTCTGGCGGGGAAGATGCAAAGAGGATTTTTGTTGAGTAGGTTGATCACGGAACTCTGTGATTCGCTGATTCACCGATAAAAAGCCGTTGATGAAGCGCTGATGGACCCCTCCGAAAGAAATCTTCCCTTTCCAAGCAGGCCGTAATCCCCAGTACTAGCTCCGACTGTTATTAGCGCCAAATTCACCCTGCTACGAGATCACCCGATTCAACTGAGAAAGCAGGAGAGTGATCTTTTGCAGCGAGATGTCTCCAGTGTGTAGATAAGGCCATTTTGGGTGTCATTGGGCGCAACTTTCACGTGCTGCGCCGATAGGGCCGAGCAGCTGAGCCGAGCATGATCTGGGGGGTAAACTTCGTCGTCGATAACAGCTCCGAGCCAGTCCGTTTGCCTGCTGAGCGCTGAGCGCTGAGGATCTGAGGTCATCAGCAAAATGGGCACTCGGCGCGCACCGCTTAAAGGCGCTTAAGCCCCGGACGCTTAACAAGACGCTGGGCTTAAGACGTCCTTAAGCCCAGCGTCTTGTTAAGCGTCCTTAAGCGGGGCTTAAGCGCCTTTAAGCGGTGCGCGCCGAGTGCCCATTTTGCTGATGGTCAAAGTTGTACTTCGCACAAGTGCTTCAATACCTTGAATGTTTCACCGAGAAACCCATTGCTATGATTGAGAGACATTCACACAGGAAACACACGTCTATAAAGTTTGATCTTCACGGCACTAGAATGAAAAGGTACGGCAACTTGCTGAGTGAACAATCAAGTACGTGCCGACGCTGCTTCCCTTTCTCCAGCGCTGGGCTGCGGCGGCGGGAACCGATGAGGGAACCTTTCAACGCGATTCGAGCAGATCGGCTCGAAAGGTGGAACAAAGAGGAGTATGGTAAGCTCGAATACACGGCCCGTTACTCCAGACTCTGAGACTCTCTGGTTTCCGTACATTATTGGCAGCACCGTAGATCAAGTATCGGGTGCAGGCTGCGAGCGAGCACTTCGGAAGGTAGAGCGACGATAAGAATGTACGCTAGTTGGAAGTGACCGTGGAGCTGCCTACGAGATCAAATATACGTATTACAGTTACTTCCATCGTGATCGATCACAACATGCGCATACATCTTACACCAGACACTTTCGGATCTGATCCGGCCGTTCCGCATTCTCCAGCATCGCGGTCCAGGTCCTCACGATCTCTCGATCCATCTGGAAGTACTTGCCCAGCCGGTCGATCGGCTTGGGATCTAGATCAATCGCTTTGATCGTACGCTCGAAGCGAGGCTCGCTTGGACTCCCTTCTGGAAGTCGACGTAGACGCATCATGATGGAGCAGTCTTTGAACGTCGCCGAGAGGAGATAGGCCAGAATCTCTGATCTCAGCTCGTCGGCTTCATTTGAACAGCCGCTGGAGGGCGAGCCTCGGGACGAAGCAAGCCAATCGACCCATTCGTCTTGTGTGGGTTGCGGACCGAGTGGGGAGAGGTCGACGTCCGTCGAGAAGAGTGATACGCCATGGACTTGTTCAATTCGTGATGCGAGGCCTTCTATATCGAGACGGTCGAGGGAGGACTGTAGACAGCCAAGCTTTTCGAGAACTGCAGAGTCCATCAGAAAGTCCGTAACAACCTCTTCCAAGCCGTCTTCCTGCGCTTCGAAGAAGCTGTCGACAGCTCGTCTGTTTTCATCGGCGACGCCTGGAGTCTGATCAAGGAGATCCAAAAGTCAGCATCGAAGTACTCATCCAGCGACGCCACGCATGATACCTCATTCACCAATGAGGTGTCTAGCTTCCGTCCCCCAACGAATATGCGCATGTTCCCTGCCAATGCTCCTTTCGACTCGCTCGCTCGCAGCGGGTTCAGAGCGTGTACGGCACGTTCGACACGACTCCTATCTCGGCTGTAGAGATCGAGGGGGCAATATCCTCCCTGGTGCGTCTTGATCTCAGATTCTCGGTCCTCTGATTTGTAGTACCGATGCATGCAGAATCGACAATAGGTCTGTTTGATGTGCTTGGACTCGGAGCTGAGGTGGGTCGGCGAAGGCAGGAAGCCCCACTTTGGCTGTCTCGGCAGGCAGGAAACGAAGCTGTCGTGTTAGCTCCTGATGTCCGTCCCTGGTCTTTATATTTGATCGTATATAACTGGCCTTTATCTCCACGGTCAAGACATCATCCCCATACAGCATGTCATCCGCGAGGACCACCATTCCGACCTGATCGTCAATCTCGTCCTCCCTACTTCGATGTGGTGGCCTTACACCACTTTCCTCGAGGGCCATCGCCATATTAGACAACCATCGTCCATTGACCTCGTGTATCCGCGCCTCGACGACAAAGTCGCTTCCCAACAAAGGCGTGATGATCCTCTCCCCGAACTCGACCTGCACCTCGCTGGGGATCGCCGATCCACCGACCTGCGAAGCGCAGCATTTCCTCTTGCGCAGCCGAAGTAGCTTGCCCTGAAGTCGAGAATCTCGTCCGATGTAGGACATTACAAGGTTGGCTCCTCCCTCAGCGGCATACCGCCACTCTTGGTTCGGACCGGCTTGCGAAGTCGACGTCGACCCGAGATAGATATTATCCGTCATGGTGAGGCGGGTACGTCACGAGCCGACCCTCGAAAGTCCAAGATGTAGAGCGCCGTCTATGATGAGAGTCGTAAGATGTGAAAGCCCTGCGGGAGATTTGAGCGAGGTAGAAGGACGAGTTGCAATCCGAACTTCCTTGTCTCGCGCCAAAGTCACGTGATTATCGGGCGATCAATTCAGATTTCTGAGAGCGTTTCTACTTGTTTACGTAGCGCTTTCATCTTTCTTTGTGGGTCCACATTTGGGTAGTTACAACTTTGCCGGGAGATCGGGCAAAACGTTCGAACTCCTTTCTCTTCACCGCCCGCGCCGCGCCCGCTTCAAAAGCGGCAAAAGAGCGAGTCACGGTACACTAGTTTTATTCACATAGGTTTACAAATCTTTAAAACTGATACTCCCCTCTGAAAGCCGAAGCCGGTACGGACTGTGTCCTGCCCAATACCCTCCGATTGCCCGCCGTCGGTCTGGCCTTGGGCAACGCCGATGGCATCTCGTCATCCTCGACGTCGGTCAAGGCCATCTCTTCGTCCTCTGCTTCACCCATCCCCTCCTCTGTCTCAAAGAACCCCCTTTTGATCCCTTGTGTGACCGTCCGTTGCGAATCATCGTCGATGGAGATCGCTGCACCGAGTTGATGGTCCCCCCCACTTGGCCCAAAGACTTCATCGAGATCGAAACCATCGCCTCCATCGTCGCCTCCCCCAGGCCCAGTCGCCGCCGGTGTCGAGAAGGCCGACATGGCTGCCGTTGCTGCTCCAGCTCCACCCGAAGGTGCAGGCCACACCATACTAGTGCTTGCACTCCCCGCCGAAGGGTGTCGTCTCAACCCACGTCCTTGGGAAGAAGCGGGGGAAGGTGGGGTCGCCCACATAGGTTGCACCTCCCTCGTTCGGTATTCGGTCACATGCCCATCACCGAACGTTGCGTTGAGGACGTCGTTGGAGGTACGGAAGACCGAGTCTTGTTGGGCGAAGGAGAGTACGGGCATCGACTGGGTCTGCGTCAAGGGTCTGCCACTGCCGCCGCCGCTACGGGGAGGTTGGACGCCTTGGCCGAGTCCATAGCCTCGGTTCACGTCTGCCGTGAAAACATTTGTTGTTGTCAGTAAAAGAGAACAAGGTCGAGTCAATGTTAGTGGACTGACTATGGCGGGAATCGACGGCACGTTGTCGAATCACATCCTCGAAGCCGGTGCTCGCCTCGCGCTGGAACGACTTGCGGAAATCGCCCGGTTGGGTGGGCGCCGGGGATGCAGAAGGCTGCATCGCCTTTTTCGAAGGGGAAGGAGTCGTCGCCATGGTCAAATGGGGTGGATGGTACTTGAGAGCGAGCGGAGATGTGGATGATGCGCTGGCCGGAGAAGGAAGCGTCACTCATGTCACTTCCCCGAGTCCAACGACTGACTCAAATCGCTGGCGGTGGCTCTGAACAAGCGCGTCGCGACGCGTCGAGATCAGACTGGTCCAGCGTCTTGGAAAGTCTGCTGCGACCTCACCCAGTTATGAAAAGAATCAGAGTGATTTGGCAAGACAATGTACGACAGAGACTGAGCAAATCAAAAATATACTATAAGAGGTACGAATCCACAGAAGGAGTCCCCGAATACAAAACCAGAGGAACCGATAAGAACCGAGAAAGTGAAACAAGTTTACACCCACGCAGTCAAGTTATGAACACCGAGATAGGAACGAGAAGTGGCCGCGCTCGCACAGCAAGTTCGAGCAGCTCAGAACGCATTCATCTCGGACAAGGCCCTCTTGCCATCATTGACAAAGCTCATGACCGTCGAAGGCCTCGAAGGCACATGGCGCGCGACAGTCTTGGGCGTCGAGTTCCACCCCGCGCGATTGACGTTCTCCCCACGAGGTGGCGAGCGTTGGCTTTGAGACGAAGCGCGCAATGCGGCGGACTTGTCCATACGAGGGGCGATGATGGGCGATTGAGCGCAGGCCATGCGAACGCCCGACATGGCTGTGCTGGATTTATGACCGCTGCGGGCGAGCGAGCTCGTGTTGGACAAAGAAGAGCCGGGACGGGGCATGCCAGAGATACCAAGCGAGGATCGTGGTCGGATGGGCGACATGGCGCCGTCAGGGTTGGCTCGGAGCATGGCTGAGCGATTCAGACGAGGAGTGATCGAGGGGGCCCGGACCACGGCCGGTACGACGATGCTTTGCCGTCGGGGTGGGCCTAGAACTGCGCGAAAAGGGTGGGCACATGAATCAGTCATCCTGAGCATCCAGCTCATCGCTCGTCACTGATCACTACTCACGCCCGACGTGGTCGGAAGAGCTCATCGATTGCCTTCTCATGGCACTCGGTGACGGTTCAATGCCCAACCCAGCTCGCAAGCGAGCCGCTTTCGTCATCTTGGGCTCGATGGCGGGCCTCGCAGTCGACGCCACAGCAACCGATTGACGTCGCTTGTGGCCCAGTCCGCCATCTCCAAGCCTCGAGTCATCCGAGACGACGGATGAGGATCGATCGCGTCGAGGCACGGGAGCAAGATCGACCCCAGTGCGCAGTGCCGCCGTTTTGGACATCCGAGGAACGATCTTGGGCGGCGCCGTCGAGCTGACCGAGACGGACGGACGAGGCCGATCGCCTCCCAGCGAGGATGCTGGTCGTTTAATGGCACCAGCCTCCTCTTGAAGGTCCTCCAGAATGACGATCGCTCGGTCCCTGGATGTGGAAGGACTCTCGGGGCTGCTGACGAGATTGCTCCGTCGTCGCGCAGTCGATCCGGGTGTCGAAGGCGGCGCAGGAACGACCCCTGTGCGCAGGGCTGCGGTCTTGCTCAAGCGCACTTCGAATTTGGGCTTATTGATAAGGCTGGCAACAGTCGGTTGGGCGGACAGGCTTTCACGACGGGACATGGCCGCACGCTCGGCTGTGCCGACGGCTTCTCGGCGAATCGAGGTAGGGGCCACGAAGGAAGCACCGAGGGACGGACGTCCAGAAAGGCTGGTGCTGCCAACTCGAAGGACCGACGACTTGGTTGCACGAGGAGTGATAGAAGGCGCACCCAGAGATTTGGGCATTTCGACCACTCGAGCAGGCTGCGGAGTCGACAAATCGGCGACGAGGGAGGCTCGAGGTGCCGGGGCCGGCAACTCGATCCCAAGTCGGAGCGCTGCTGCTTTGGTCATGCGAGGTTGGATCTTGGGAGCGTGGTGCGTTGTCGAGGCGACGGGTTGGGCTCGGAAGACCCGACTGGGCGACGTCAACGATTCTAAGCTGTAGGTCGTGTCCTCTCTACGGACTCGGACGGGCGAGTTCTCATCGCCAAAGTCGGACCTAATCGAGACGGGCGACATGGGGTACTCACCGTCGAAGATGGACTCGGGGGCGATCACAGACTCGGCATCATCGAAGTCGCATTCCACTTGAGCATGATCGACATCGGCGTTGTCATCGAACTGCTGTTGTTCAGCTTCGATGACTTCATCCTCGTAGTCCTCTTCGGTGCCCTCTTCTTGCAGGATCAAATCCGCTTCGTCAACCTCCTCCTCGTGCGTAGCACAGTCCTCCTCAATCGTCCCGTCTTGGGAAGTAGCCTCAAATCGATCTTCGGGCTCGGGCCCGTCAGTCTCGGCCTCAAGCTCGTCCTGCTGGAACTCGCTTGCAAGCGAAGAAGCAGAAGAGCCGTCGAAGCTCGTCTTCTCCGACGACGAGTCCTCAAAACCATTCGTGGCCGTCTGCATGCTCCCAAGGCTGGATCCTGCAGCCGCGCGCTGGTGTTGCTGCTGTTTTTGCAGCGCTTCCCTCTGATCGACCTCTCTCAGCGCTCGTTCGATCCTCGGCGAAAGCTTGATCGTGTCCGATTTCACGATCCGTTCGGGGATCTGATAGGCCGCGTTGGAGAGCGCAAATGGTTTGGGCGTGGCGTTCACGGCGGACGCGGCCGTAGCTCCGAAAGAAGGTGATGCAGGGATCGGGGTCGTCTTGTCCGCCGGCGAAGGGGTGTAGATCGCGTCGAGGTTCGGGAACAGCGCTTCGATCGTCAGCTGGGCAGCCGAGACGGTGGGCGAGCAGTGCAGCTTGAGATCGGGGTACGTGTACGAGAGGCTGTTGAGAGAAGTACAACACTCGTTAGCCTTACGAAATCCCTCGCAAACCCCAGAAACGATGTAACGTAACGTACGCATTCTTATTCAACGCACCCGAGCCCTCACCAGCCAACTCCTTCATTCTCCTGACCGCATTCTCGCACTCGAGCACGAGCACCTCATGCAGCGTAGCACCATCGGCATCATCCAGTCCTTGTCCATTCGCTTCGCCCGTGCCTAGCCCGAGCTCAAGGCCAGCTTCCTCTAGCTCCTCGCCGACGCACGATTGATGCGCGACGCGACGAAAGCCGTGATTTATCAACAGAGATCGAATCGCGTCCAAGGGGGCTTGAGGACCGAACAAGACCAGCAGCGTCCGTTCCATGTTTTTGTTTGGTGTCGGGGCTACGTGTTTCAAGTTGGAGGGAGGCGAGACGGGCGCTGTGGGGCTCGGTGTTTGTCGTTCAACTCGCTGTTCGATGAGCGCTCGCAGGCACCTGGCCTAAACGCGCGAGTTGGGGTAGCAGAAGGCGAGCAAGATGCACTTCTGGTACGTGGCCGCACAATACCGAGTCCAAGAAAGGCTCGATGGTAAGGTGACCGTTGAGATAGGGGGCGAGGTTGAACGGAATGAGCGGAGAAACACAAAGAGGCACGGGAGGCCCGAGCTCTGCAACATGGAACACCGAGACACGCGCGCGCGCGCGCTCGGACCCGTTCACCGCGGACGGGGCACATCAGCCACAGATCACGCAAGTGAGAGTTAGGTGTGATTGTTACAATTCCTGTTCTATACCAATGAATAGATAGTAGTGGTTGACACGAGTTTTCGCTCAGCCTTCGACGACATCCTCCTTTTTGAGTTTGGGCTGCTTGTCCTTCTTCTTGGACGACGACGACGACGACGACGACGACGAAGACGACGAATCACTACTTGCTCCGCTCGAGGCATCCTTCGAGGACGAAGACGAAGCATCCGTTGTCGATGCAGCCGGCTGGCTCCTCCAGTCCCGAGCTTCGCTTCGTGCAGCACTGGCATCACTCTTCAACTCGCTCGCCGCCGTGTCCTCACTGACCACGATACCCAACCCTTCCCCTTCACTCAGCGCGACAATCTCATCAATCGGAACGAATCGATCCTCATCAACGTCGAGCTTCTTGAGGAGGATCTCGATCGCCTCGTCCGTCGGTCGATGCGCAATGACCTCCAAAGCCTTGCGCAGATCCTTAACCGCGATCTTGCCCTCGTAATCAGCCTCGAACATGTTGAGCCTCGAGCCGACCTCGTTGTCGAACGCCTCGAGTTGTTGGTCGATCTTGGCGAGGACACCCTTGAGCCTCTTGGCGAGTGGGTTCGGCTTGGCCCCATCGGCTTCGGCCTGCTTGTTCTCCTCGACCAATTTCTTCAACTCTTCGCGTTCCTTCATGACTGACGACTTCGCCGACAAGATCTCGAGTGCCTGGCCCAACTCGGTAACCTGCTCGCTCGTCATCCTCACGTCTTCGGGATTCGTCACCTCGACCTCTGGCTCCGTCACGAGGTGTTCCGCATCGGCCTTGGTCGCAGCTTCGACCTCGCCCTGCGGCAACATGTCACTCGCTTGCTCCTTCTCCTCGCCAATCTTGACCTTCTCCTTCCCCTCAGCCTCGAGCCTCTTTCTCTCTGCCTCTTCTTGCTTGGCCTGCTCCTTGGCCGCCTCCTCGGCCTCCTTCTTCAACTTCCTCGCCTCCGTCTCCTTCGTTTCCTGCTCCTCCTCATCCTCGATCAGCTCCTCTTGTTGTTGCAGTACCTCCAACCGTTGCTTATACGACGCCGAATCGCTCGAGACCTCCAATTCGGCCTCGTTGAGCAAGTTGTCGGGCAAACTCGCGAGCGTGTCCTTGAGTGAGCGCATGATCTCATCGGCCTCGGCGTCCTTGTCGACGCCAGCGGTCTCGCGGATACCGCGGTTGAAGGCGAACGCTTTGGACAGGATCAGGAGCGTGCCGGAGAGACCGCGATTGACGTGTAGATCGACCCATTGGCTCAACTCGGAGCGAAGGTGCTCTTCGCTGACGCCGATGGTTCGGATACCGCGGGATTGGCACGCGTGTTGCAATTCCGAGAACGAGAGGACAGAGATACCTTCGGCCGCGATGGACTGATTTCAAGCAAACCTCAGTACTAAGGCCACTGTCACGAATATGATACCTGGACTGACCGTGTCGTCTTCCTTGATTTGACGCATGCGCGATCGGATCGTGTATCGCAAAAAGTTGTCGGTCCCGAAGGCGTTGATGTTCATATAGCTGTGACCACGCTCCCACACATTGTTAAATCATTTTGAGATACCATGTAGGCAGGATAGGCACAGACGCACCGGCACATGGAAACAAGTTGAGGCCTGGACAAGTTGTCGAGCGTGAGGTCGTCCTCGAAGAGCTCTGCGACCTTGACGACTTCGTCCGTGGTAGGTGATTCACCGGTACTTCGAACCTGTGCCACAGGAATCCCTCCGAATCAGTGAGCATGCCCCCATCGCCTTTTGGTGGTTGAAGTATCTTCGCGTACCTTGCGGAAGAACTCCTTGAACGTTTCGGACTCCTTGATCTTGTCGGCACTCTTGACACCGGTCTCTCGGATCGTCTCTTGCAAGAACTTGGCCATTTCCAGTCGAACTTTAAGCAACTTGCGCTTCTTCTCGTCCTGATGAGCACGAAGAATGGGAGACCGTCGGCGCACGTGCGGTCGGAGGGGAAGCAAAGAGAGGACCTCGGTCAGCAGGCACCTTCTCGGGGGACCTTTCCGGATGTGAGTGCACAGCGTAACGTACCTCCTTGAACTTGTCGGTGAATGTGGATGGGAGCATGTTGGGGAAGAGCTTGAGTGCGACGGGCAGGAGCAGTTCCATGAAGGGGACGATCAGGAACACGGAAAAGGGGATCAGGCGCAGCAAATCTTGGGTCGTGCGTTTGAGCTGTGGGAAGTGCACAAGATGTGTTTAGCAACATGAAAGAAGTGTAGACCGTCGTAACATGGCGCCGGCCTCGACTGACCTGACGCCTCTCCCGTCGAGTGAGCTTCTTGCCGCCGAGGAGCTTGCCCTGGATCCTCGCCGAGATGCGAATCTCCTTGCCCAACAACTTGGTGCCGTGCCAATAATGGCTGGCCTCCTTCTTGATGCTGGCCCAGATCCTCTGCAGGCGGGTCCCCTTGGGCGGGGCATCTTCCTTGGGTGCGACGGCCTTTTCCGACGAAGCCGAACCGGACGTCGACGTCGTTGCGACCTCTTTCGAGGCTGACGAAGCAGGTAGAGCGACGGAACGAGTGGACGAGAATGGCCTAGACTGGAGAGGCTGAGCAAGAACGAAGGACAACGGTCGGGGTGAGAGTCTAGGGCATAGGTAAGGCTGTAGTCGCGTCGCACGGATCGGGCTTGAAGCTGCCGCAGACGACGGCGCAACGGTCGATGCACGAGCACCGTGGGAGGAGAGCAACAGCCAGTGGCGTTGCATCGACCGAGTGCTCAGCAGAGCGGTGGGAGAGACCATGGCTCTACGACTGGCGCGTCGTCGGTCACCTGTTGTGGGGGCGAGATCGGTAGATCGGTAACGAAGCGTTCGCAAGAGAGCAAGCACGTCTGACGTTTGGCCCGGGCCGACGCCTGCCAGCCTGCCGACGCCTGCCGACTCGACGCGAAGCGCGGCGGCAGCACCGGGACCCCGGAGCGACGGTTGCAAAGGCAGTCGTCACCAGTGAGACTCGGAGCTGATTTGATCGCGAGCCTGAGTGAGCCCCATCACCCGAAAAGCGTCTTGAATACTCGAAATAGCAGGAGAAGGAGATAGTTCTCGAGTCAACGTCTTCACCCCAACCAACTTAAGTTGAGTCGCGAGAACTGCAGCGACAGACTCAGAGGAGAGCGTCAACTTGAAGGTTTTAAACCGGGCCACTGCCGACCGCTTGACGTGCCGACGAAAAAGTTACCAGAATGTCCGCGTCGGTACCGGCAGCACGTCAGTCAATGCACTTGAGAATTCATCAAGGCATCCGGGTAAGAATAACGTTGGATTGAAGGCGTTCGTCGTCTCGTCGCCTCGACTTCATCATCACTGAATGCGCAGCGACTGTGATGGTCGTTGCCCGAGTTCCTCGACGAAAGCGTTCCTGAATCGGACACTGGTACCCACCAACTGATATCATACCGCATCCACGCCCTTGAGGCAGGCCTATCACTTCAGATTGCGGACATAGATAAGGACAGATGCTGTCGCTCTCCGAAGAGGAACGATCCAGGGGCGACACTTACTAGCAACGTACACGAGGAGAAAACTGGCAGGATCATGAAACTGAAAACAGAGCTAACGTGTCCGAGGAAAACGGGAACACTAGGAGCTTACCCCGAGACACAACACCATACTTTCACATCTTGTTCCTTACTGGGAAGAATGAGGGCCCAACGAATATAAAAGTCATTTTGAATCACACAACATTGTCTATCGTGAACGCAAAATGAGGGGACATGGAGTAAGAGCGTTCTGAGGAGGAGTTAGAAAAGTTTGCTCGAAATTTGGTACGCAAAAATCGATGGTTGCACGGTCTAGGAAGGGGCTACAGAACGAAATTGTTTGAGGTAGTACCAGAAAGGGTAGGGGGTAGACAGGCTACGGCAGAATTGGCATCAGGAGCTTATTAAAGGGACAGCGAGAATATGGGGGGGAGGCGACAGAGAGCGCGCAACGCAAGGCAGAGGGAAAGCAGGTATAGGCGTAGGAGGGGCCACTCAACATAGCGGGTGGCGGATTGGGGGTGAAAAGAGTACAATTCGGTACAGGCAGGTACAAGTCTCAATCGGATTACTTGTTTGTGCGTTATCTGCTCAATTGAGGTCCAGCGCTCTACTAGTAGAGTCTTCTATTTTCGTAGGGACGGACAACTTGGCCGGACTAGTATTAGTAGTGGCAGCCGTATTAGTAGCCCGCCGTCGTCGCGTGCACCGAGCTGTACCGAGTCGCCAAGCCAGCTAGGCACTTACAAGTTTGGAGCGGACTCTTTCCTGGGTTTCAGACTCGTATGAGCGATCAGTACCTAGTTACCTGCCAGGGACAACTTGCGGACGCCAGGTTTTCTCTCTCGCTTCACTCACATGATCGTACCGCCGCCTCTCTCTCTACTACGTAACGTTGACTCACTAGTACTCAGCATCTTCAGATCGGAGATCTAGCTTCCTCTCCCACTTTCCTACCCTTTTACTTACTTTCCCAACGTGCGCATCATCCCCTTCGATAGGAGCCATGTCGCGAACCTCGGCTCGAAGTCAATGGTCAAGTTTTGCTGCGCTTGGTACTGCTTTCTGCTGCTTTGAGGCTCTTTGAGGTGTGGCGGCTCGGCGCCGCGCTCGGCGAGGAATCGGTCTAGGCCTTTCGGTTCGTTCCCCCACCTGCCAGCCCTGGCTAGAGTAGTTCCTTCCGGCCCTTACCGAATCCCAGCGTCGCATCACCCCCATCGTCGAGGAACCTCTGGTCTGGTGGACGCTTTGGCCCCCAAGTTCCAGTTGCAACACTTGTCGCGGCGCCACGACTTGTCTGCCAACCAGTCCCGGCCGTGAGCGGCGTCGTCAAGCTTGGAGCTGGGCGATCAGTCGATCCGTCGACGAAAGAACGCGCGTGGCTCGTGCATTCGTGCAGCCCGCCATAGCGCACGGCTGCCACACCAGAGGCTCGGAGGTAGGTCTACGCTCAGCGCAGTGTCGCTCTGGGTAACCGAGACTGACTGACTGCTCCCCCACCTGCTGTTGGTCGATGCGGCTTCGATCGCGCTTCGATCAGGTCGTCCAGCCCGAGTGGTGGCCGACACAAGGGGCCCACCGAGTCCCATGTCTCGCCGACTGGCCGACCCTGCGAGGCCGGGCATGACCGCTCCGGTCCACTCGGTCGTCGAATCTGTCAACACGACCTCGCTCTTTGCGCCAGACCCGACCCTTCCATCGCATACTTCCGTAGAGGGCGGCCAGAGCAGCGGCAGTGGTGGTGGCCTGACGAATGCCAGCGTGGCATCCACACAAGCTGCCCAGGCCGGCAGCACTCGACGACGGACCCACACCGATCCAACACGACCTGGGCTGCTGTCTCGTCCTTCTCACAACAAGCGGGTCATCTCGACGGCATCAGCGACCGTGGACCCGCATGTGGCGCTCGCCTCGGCGTACTCGGAGCTCCACCTCGCCCCGGCGACGCGCACGTCGGTCGTCACCACGACGACGACGACGACCGTCCATTTCGCGCCGATCCTGATACCGCGGACGCAGCAGATCCGACCAGTGCAATCGTCCTTTTCGGCAGGTCCCCGACGAGGCTCCGTCGGCTCGGCAGCCCCACTCACGCCGAGTTCGACCTTTGCCGCCCTGCTCAATTCCGAGGAATGTCGAGCCGCCGCCGAGGCTCCGACCGGATCGGAACCGCTCCGGCTCGACCCCAAGATGTACCCTCTCAGTCAGGCGCCTTACCCTGGTGGACTTACACGATTCAAGATGCACGTCGGCGCCCAAAAAGCCGTATTTTACGAAGGCGGCGAGGCGGGCCAGACGAACGATTTTGGACTGCAAGGCGAGTTCGAGTCGTACGACGGCGACGGCACGGCTAGGTTGGGCAGGAGCACGTCGACCGTCCCATTCGCGCCAGAATCTGTCTCGCTCAAGGGAAAAGAGAGGTTCACTGCCAGCACCAACTCTTTTGCGCAATCGGCGAACACGCCGTCGTACCTTTCTCTGTCCAAGACGGAGCGAGGACCGCTGCACCAACGTAGACTCTTGCGGAGACCTCGCAACTCGATTGGCGGTCACGGCACGGGGGGAGTCGATGGCTTGCCGACGGAAGACGACACGATCGAGGAAGATGACGAAGACTTTGGTGGGTCCCACCCTCCTCTTCACTCCGAGTCGGCACCCATGCATGTCGACGGCGAGGAAATCGGACCACCCCGTAAACGGCCGCGCGCGACCAGCATCGCCCACCAACGCAGCGAGAGTGTCGATTCCGAAGCAGCACAGAGTCACGCTCCGACGCCTCACGTCGTTCCCACCGTCGTGACAACGCACAACAGCAACAACAACGCCAGCACGAGGAGAAGCAGCGTTGGTGGCCAAAGTCATCAGTCCAACACCGGTGCCATGGGTGGATCGTTGCCCTCTCCGAACCTGAGCCCTCCGAGCCCCGTGCCCACTTTTGCCGAGGACGATTGCCGAGACGACGAATCAGAGGACCGACCCGAGAGTCCAACCCAGGGTCAGTCCTTGCGCGTGTACGGCCGAGCAAAGCCAGCGGCCTAGGTCTTCTGACCCTCTGTCACAATTCACTGTTTGCAGCCATGCGGGACAGCGCTGCCGATGACGCCACGGCTCTGCAGTTCGACCTCGGTTCGGGCTATGCGCTCAGTGGTCTACTCTCCCTGCCCGACTTTGTGCGCCAATTCGACGCTCTCCCGTCTTCATTGCAGTCCTATTTCATCTTCACGTTCCTCAAGCGCTCGCCGATTCCGGTGCTGCAGACGATCAACAACATCATCGCCCCCGCTTTGCGTCGTGACTTTCTCACCGACCTCCCTCCCGAACTTGGTGTCCATGTGCTGGGCTTCCTTGACGCGCGATCGCTTTGTCAAGCTTCGGTCGTGTGCAAAGGCTGGCGACGGCTCGTCGACGGCGACTGGCGCGTGTGGAAGCAACGGCTCGTGCGCGACGAACTCTGGATAGGCGACGGCTCGGAGGAGATCGAGGCCAAGGAGATCATCACCGGCACCCGCGAGAACCTCTTCCTCAAGCGCTGGCGAGCCGGCGTGTGGGACAATGAGGCGGGCGTCTCGGCCGCCGAGGCCTGGGCCGGAGAGGACTTTGTCATGCACATCGAAGGTCTGCGCGCACAGATCGACTCGGACGAGTACCTGGCCGCCGGTTCTGCTTCAGCGGCACGCCGACCGTCGCAAGCGTTTCGGCTGGCGTCACCGCAGTCGTCGCGCGAGGCGTCACCCTTTTCGCAAGGTCACTTCGTGCATCCATTCAAAAAGCTTTACCAGCGACGATTTGAAGCGCGCGGCAACTGGATGCACCGGACGCCCAAGAGCATCAGCTTCGCTTGCAACGCCAATAACGTCGTCACGTGCCTGCAGTTCGACAAGGACAAGATCGTGTCGGCGTCGGACGACCACTCGATTCACGTCTGGAACACGCGCACGGGGGAAGCCAAGGCCCAGCTGCAAGGCCACGAGGGCGAAGTGTGGGCTCTGCAGTACGTCGGCAACGTCCTCGTCTCGGGCTCGACGGACCGCACCGTCCGCGTGTGGGACCTCGACCAAGGGCGGTGCACCCACACCTTTGTCGGCCACACCTCGACCGTGCGCTGCCTCCAGATCATCGAGCCGCAAAACGTCAATCCCGACCCGAGCGGCGTCCCCATCTGGGAACCTCCATTCCCGCTCATCGTCACGGGCTCTCGCGACTGGTCGTTGCGCGTTTGGAAGCTGCCGACGCCGGGCAAGGACGCCGACTACCAGCCGACGGTCCCGCAGTCGCCGACGGAGGAGAATACGGATCCGGGCGAGAACCCATACCACTTGCGTCACCTCGCTGGTCATCGACACGCTGTGCGGGCGCTAGCGGCGCACGGACGCATCGTCGTCTCGGGCTCGTACGACTGCCACGTCCGAGTCTGGGACGTTATGACGGGCCAGTCCCTGCATCGCCTGACAGGCCACACCCAAAAAGTATACTCGGTCGTGTACGACCATCGTCGCGACCACTGCGCTTCGGGGTCGATGGACGGCACCGTGCGCCTCTGGTCGACCAAGACCGGCCAATGCCTCGCGACCCTGAACGGCCATTCTTCGCTCGTCGGTCTCCTCGGCCTCTCGCACCGCAACCTGGTCTCGGCGGCCGCGGATTCGACCCTGCGCATCTGGGATCCGACCACGGGCGAGTGTCGGCACACACTCGCAGCGCATTCAGGCGCCATCACGTGCTTCCAGCACGACGAGTACAAGGTCGTTTCTGGCTCTGACGGCACACTGAAGATGTGGGACGTGCGCGATGGCTCGTTCACGCGGGATCTCCTGACGGGGCTGACGGGCGTGTGGCAGGTCGCGTTCGATCGACGGTTCTGCGTCGCAGCGATTCAACGCAACGGCCAAAGCGAGTTTGAGGTGCTCGATTTTTTCCCCGAGGAGAACGACGACGACGATCCCGATGAGGATAGCCACTCGGCTTCGGCCGGCGACGACGGGATGGGGGGAACCAAGGCGCGCAGACGCTCGCGCAGAAAGGAACAACGAGGCGAGGGTACGGCGGCGACAACGGGACAAAGCATGGACGACCTTATCATCGGCTCGGATCAAGAAGACGACGACTCGGAAGGAGGCTCGGATGGAATGGAGGTCGGGCCCGACACGACGCAAGGCACCGGCGGGTTCAGCGCCCATCGTTTCCCTGCGCGTCGCCTCGACGGTCCGCAGGGTGCTCCACCAAGAGCAACATCCGACGCACTCTTTGGGGCTCCGGTGCTCGACAACACGATTGTGACGCCACAGAATGGTTTGACTCTGGCGTCCAGTGCGACGAACCCGCACCCGAATCGATCGCCGTCGCCGACGACGAGCCAGCGTCGCTCGTTCCCGGTCATGCTGCGAGCCGAAGAGTTCCCTCGACGCTCTTTTGGCGATGCCGTCGCGCCCATCGCGTCCTTGGCGACGACGCAGACGACCCCCGTCGCCTCAACGTCTTCGAACAGTGCGCGGCAGATCCGTCGCGTCGCCTCGGCGAACCGACTGCACTCGGCCTTCTCCACGCCCCACAACCACCAGGCCCCGAACGTAGGAGCCCACCTGGCCTCTGGTGCGAGCACAGGGCCAGAGGGGGGGCCAGAGGACATGGATGTTGAAGCGGGCGAGCAACGGGGTCGGATGTAAGGGTTTCGGAGAGGAAGGGGTTTCTCTTTTTCAGGGGTAGGCCTGAAGTCAGGTTTTTGCCCACGATGTAGCGCAGTCTGTCCCTTGAAGTTGTGTTGTATTTTAAGACTTGACTTTCGGATATGTAAGAACACCTCTTGGATGTGCGAGACTGTTTGCAGGTCGAGGCGGGCACGCTACTGCGAGGACTCGAGGCTGAAGGAGGCGCGTCGCTTCGAGACCCCCACTTGCCTTCGGTCGCCGGGAGCTCATCACGCGCGAGCACGCGCGTCACGTGGTGCGGAAGCGCTCGAGCCTTTACCGGCATCCTGTCAGTGCACGCTCTTGCCTTGCTTCGGCCGAGCAGCAACCCCACTACGGCGAGCCCACACGGAAACAAACAGACTCACTCGGGTCACCCGGTGATTCGTCGGCCCAAAGTTTGCGACGATTGAATCGTTACTCCTCGCGGATCGCCCCTCTGCACGGGCTCACGGTTCGACCCACGCCACGGCAGGCGACCGGTGGGGCCAAAGACAGAGCTGCCCCTATCTAAGCTAGACAGGAGATATGGCGCGACGACCTTCCCCTTCCCTTTCTGCCACGATCACCTCGCCACGTCCTGGAGCAAACGATTGTCCTTCCTCGAGTCGGGACACGACCACAGCATCCGAGACACCCCCTTCGCCGCTGTCGTCGTCGTCGCCGTCGTCACACACACGGCCCTTGCTTCAACTCGACGTCGACGACCACTCCCCTCGATTTACGACTAATTCAGGGGCACTCGAAGTACCCACACCACCCGCCCCAAGAACGGCAGCGACCGCCGCACCATTCGTCGTCGATCCGTCACCGGCTCATCTCGCCGTTGCGCAGGTGCGATCCTACTCCCACAACCGCTCCCAGTCGCTGTCCGAGCCTGTGCGCAACAACTCGAACAGCTCCGACACGCCGTCCTCGACCGACTCGAGCGGTCCCAGCCACGGTGAGGGTCCCGGTTTGTCGTTGGGCTCGACACGGATGGCTTCGCAAGCGGAACTCGTGAGGCGGCATCACACCCTGTCGACGTCGTCCTCGCGGCTCGTTCGGCTCGAGCGATCCCGCGCTCGGCTAGCTTTGTGAGTACTGGAGGCACGGGTTATCTCTCTAGCCTGTCTTTAAATGTACAAACGCTGTGAGGAAAAAGTAAATCACTACTCACATCGAAGAGAACGTTTACGTCTCTCTACTTCGCACAGACAAGGCGTAGGTCTCAGTGAGGAGGATCAGGAGTACTACGTCCCGCCCTCGCCGATCAGGGGGTCGCTTTGGTCCGACGTCGGACACGACAGCAGCGATGCAGGTGGTTTCCCCACCTTCTTTTCTCCCCCTTCCTCCTCGTCATCGACAGCGACCACCTTTGGTGCCGTCGGATCCAGACACACCGTGGCTAGCGGCGACCTGAGTTATGCCGCATCACACCTCGTCGACCAAGCACACTCCGACGAGCCGACAGCGAATACCCGAACGGCGCCCAGGGGGCAGGGTCAGGACCAGTGGATCAGCGATCCCGCGGGTTCCTTTCCAGCAACAACAGAATCCTTATCGCCACCCTCGACATCGACTTCGACCGCGTACGTGCCTCCGCTCGCAGTCAAGCCCTCCGTCGTCACTAAAAAGTCGTCGTTCGTGGTGCTGCGAGGCGCCAAGGGGGACGCCGCGCTGAGCGAGCGAAGAACCGTCTCCGCCGCCGCCCTGCCGCCAGCGTCCCCGATCGCCCAGTCGACTCGGCATAACGTCGCAGCACACACCGATTCAGGATCAAGCGAACTAAAGCACCGAAATTCCCTCAAGGCCTTTCTCGATGCCGAAGGCACGGGAGGCCAGGAGGACTGGGAGCGGGGCCTCCAGGACGAGAGGGACCGCGAGGAGAGGCAATTGAGGACCGGCGCAATGCAGGTGAGCCTTGACTCGGCACGTTTTCTTCTCTGCCTAGGTAGCAACGGTCTGATGCTATGAGTTACAATTTTGTCTGCAGCACGACGCTGCTCCATCGGCGTCGTTGGCAAATTTTACCCCCCTCGACTCCGGTGATTTCAATCCGCACTCGCGCGCCAACACGTACCATCAGCCTTCGTCGACCTTTTGGCCCACGTCCGAGACCGACGCCATCGGTGCGCTCCGACGCCATCAGAGCCTCAGCAACTTTCATCGCCAGGCCAGCGAAGCAGAGCTCGGCTCCAGCGCTGCTCCGTCCGAAGAGTGGGCCACAACGCAGCCGCACACCCGGCTCGTTAGTGCAAGCAGCGGGGACGAGACGCTGTACGGATCCATCGCACTCGCCTCGGCTGCGCCGATTACTAGCGGGACCACGCTCGGTCGCTCGCGGTCGAGCACGAGCCCGGCACCGCATCACCATTTGCACCACACCTCTTCGCTGCGGTCGCAGGCGGGGGCCAACTCGCCTCGGTCACCGCTCAGCCACTCCAACTCGGTATCGTCGCACCACTCGCTGCGGCATTCGAACTCGATCGGGCGGGAGCGGGGTACGCTGAGCCCCGTTGGAGGGTTTTCGCGGAGCCCATGGAGCCCCACGGTCGAGGAAACCAAGGCGCTTGGGTCCATGAGCGGCGTCGTCGGGGCGACGGGGCTGCACCGACGCGGGAGTGGAAGCTCACGAGAGAGTGCCCACGCCGCCGCCCGAGCAGGACGCCTCGACGGCAACGGACCGAGCGGAGCGTTCGTCGAAGAATTTGCCCAGCTCGAGCTCGCCTCTTCCTCCGCGCCTTACCCCTTGTCCAAGACCCCACCGTCGTACCACGACGACGCCCATCCTTCGTGGAGCCATGCGAGCTCGCCTCGATTACCAGGAGCCACGGCCGTGAACCGCTCTATGACAGCTCCCCAGGTCGTACCGCGGCGACTACCCCCGCTCTCAACGAACCTCGAGCAGGCTACGCAAGCGCTGCAGCAGTCGGCGGCCGCTCGCCATGGTCCCGTTTCGGCAGCAGCTTTTGTGCCCCCGATCGGGCATTCCCACGGCGGCAGCAGCGGCATCAAGGCCTCACCTGACGAGTACGGCAGCGGTGGTGCCACCGCGGTACCTGGAGGTGATGTCGGATCGTCATCGTACGAATGGCAGCGGCAGAAGGAACTGCTGATGGGCGTCGCGCCACCCGCGAACCCGAACTCGGCTGGGTGGTCGAACGGAGCCGCTGCGGTTCCCCTCCTGGCGGCCGCCAACTACGGCGTCACAATCGCGATGCAACAGCAGCAGCAACAGATTCAAATCCTGCAGTCACAAATGCAGCAAGCGACCGAAGCCTTGAACTTGATGCGACAGCAAAGTCAGGTGCCTCTACAGGGGTCGGTGCCGACGCAGACACTGCCCTTTGCGGCGCCCTACCCAATGCGTACGCCACCGACTTCCTCTTCGGCTGGTCGGTCACCGTCTTTGCAACACAGCTCGACGCCGGACCCTTCCCACCCCCCGGGCCAGGCCCCGCCTGTCGTCGACATCGCCGTTTTGGTCGCCAAAAAGGGATACAACCCCGTCGACTTTGACCTCCGGCCCACAGCTGCGCGCTTCTTCGTCATCAAGTCGTACACCGAAGAGGACGTGCACAAGTCGCTCAAGTACGAGATCTGGGCCTCGACGGACCTCGGAAACAAGCGCCTTGACCGGGCGTTCCGCGAGTCGCACGAGCGCGGTCCCATCTACCTCTTCTTCAGCGTTAACGCGAGCGGGCATTTCGCCGGCGTCGCGGAGATGTTGACCCCTGTCGACTATTCGACGACGAGCAACGTCTGGGCGTCGGACAAATGGAAGGGCGTGCTCAAGGTGCGCTGGATCTACATCAAGGACGTGCCGCTGAGTGCGCTGCGGCACATTCGGTTGAGCAACACGAGCGAGAACAAGCCCGTCACCTCGTCCAGGGATACGCAGGAGGTGCCGTTCGACGCTGGACTCGAAGTTTTGCGTGTCATCGCTACCTACCCTTCGCGAACAACTCTGTTGCAGGATTATGGCTACTACGAAGCGCGCACGGTCGCCGGTCCAGGCGGCCTTGGGGTGTCAGCGCCATCGTCCTCGGGGGGCGACCCGCATGTCGGCGGCGACGATCCCGCAGCTGCCAAGAACCCGCACTACGCACGCATGGCCGCCCACAACCAACAGCCTGCGGGCAACGGGCAGCACCTGCAGTACCCTCAGAATCTACCTGCTGGCTCGAGCCCGGGGCCCTACGGCCCGCCGTCCCAACCGCAACCGCAACTGCAGCTACCACCATTGGGCCACTATCCGACGACCGGTCCGGGTGCCTCGTTCCACCCCACACCGGGCTTTCACGGACATCCCTCGGTGCCGCCGCAGTACGGCGGCCACCCTTCGGCATATCAGCCTCTCTCTATGCTGATGTATAATCAAGCTTCATTACCGGCGCATCGTCACGAACACCCTCAGCTCTCGGATGATGGCAGTCGTGGACGACGCTCGTCGTTCCAACCCAATGCTTCGGGACCCGGTGTTCCGCACTATTGAGTCCCTCCGCCAATTCATTACTATCGATGGCCCGTATCGTGCCGTCCCGTACAACCCCTCTGTTCATGATCGCCTTTCCGCCCCTACTTTATTCACTGTCATGACCTGTTCTTGTTCGGACATCTTGTTCCCCCTTCTTTCTTCTTGCTTCTCTTTGTTAGCATCGTAACGACAGTGTACCCTTGCATATCGCCCTACGCCGGCTTCCCTTTTCCTACCCATCCCCCTTTATCTGGAAATCTGAACCCGGCCCCATCCTCTGTAAAAAGGCTGCAGTTCCAGCGTACTAAAGACAGTGGGAGCACCTAGTTACATGTGGTGACACCCCTTCAATTGCGAATCTACTCCTACAACAACCAGAGAGCGCCCTCCTTGCCCATCTCTGCCTGAATGCTCGTCTTGAACCACTTGCCGGCATCGTCCTCAACGGTCGCTTTCTTGGCGTCGGGATACGGTGGCAAGGCCGGCAGTTCATCGTCCGTGATCATGTGTATGGTGGGCAGCGTCTTGGGGTGAGGTAGCACCGGGGTACGAACGACGATCTCGCCCTTGAAGCGTTGTTCGTGCTGGATCTGCGCTTCGTCGCAGCCAATCAGTTTGAGCTCGACCCCGACCGAAGGCGCGCCGACGTGGGTCCTATCCGAGGCTTCGTCCTGCGTCCCGACGGGGCTGGGTAATCGCTGGGCGTCATAGTAGATCGAGTTCGCGATGGGCCCACAGATCGCCGAGTGCGCCAGCACGGACACGACGGGGATCCCCAACGTCGCCTTGAACATCTCGGCTCGAGCCTGTTCCAATGGCAGACCCATCTCGTTGTCCGCCCCCGCGGAGCAAGTGAAGAAGACGGCGCGGAGTCGCGTGAGGTGCGCGTCCTTGCGCACGCCCTTGAAGAGGAGCGAATCCCACACGGAATCGCGCGTGATGACGCCTTCGCGCAGCAGCCGGATCTTGCTGTTGCGCGACTGTCGGATGATGGCCGCCGAGTCGCCGAGCATCCTGCTCAGCAGCAGGCGGTACAGCGGGAACGAGAGGCGCGAGGTCGGCCCAAACACGAGCGTGGCGGGAGGACCGTTCGATCGGGTCGGCGCGAGGAGTTGCTCGAGGTCCTCGTGCGTCGCTTCCTCCGGCAACGTGCGGAGCGCGAGGGAGCACGACGTGTAGACGGTGAAGAGTGCGAGCCCGAAGCCGTAGGGCGTGCTAGGGTGGTGTAGAGACAGCAGCGAGTCGTAAATGGTGGGGCGCAACGGTTTCGGGGAGGAAAGGAAGAGCGTCGAAAACGAAACGATCGAGGCGGTAAGGTTCTGTGGGTGTTTGAGGGATGGTGGCTCAGACGAGGGCGACACCGCGGGTTTTGGCACCAATATTGGAGCACTCACGATGTGGGTCAAAGGCAAGGCGACGCCGTCAGAGACGATCGTCAGCGCGACGTCTTTGGGATCAACCTCGTCCTCCTCCGAAAGCCTTTCGGGGGACTTGTCGGCCGCTTCTTTGGCCTCGGCGAGGAGACTGCGCCCCGTGATCAAGAGTTCTGCAGCGACGGTCGGAGGGTCGTACTCGGCATCGCCGCGATCCTCCTCTTCGTCACTCGCGCCGAGCACGATCGTCTTGGCTTCAGAGGAGCCCGGAATGAACTGTACGGTCGAGAGGAACGACGCTGAGTAGATGATGGCCCCGACCGGCTCGAGGTCGGCGGGGATCTTGCTCCCAGGCGCAATGACGATCGGTCGATGGGCCGTCAACGACAGGGCCAGGGTGGCGACGAAAGCGTCTGGGTGTGCAGGCACCAAAGGATGCGTCAGCACCAAAGGATGCGACAAAGGCTAGGTAGCAAGAGACGGGGTGGTACCTACCTGCAGGATGCTCAATGACAACCGCGACCGGTTCATCCCCTTTCCCGAGGGTCGACAGAAGGCCGTGCTTGACGGCGAGGACGACGTCGAGCAGCTTGTCGCCGCGGTGAATCCACACGCTGCCTTGTTCGCCGCCTTCGAAGCAGGACTTTGACCGCTCGAGCACGTCGCGCAGTCGCTTCACGCTCTTGTCCGGTCGAATCGGGGCTCGGACGCCTCCCGTCGACGAACTGCCGTAGACGGGCGACTCGCTCGGCTTGCGCGTCGGGGCCGAGGTCGACTGGCGACCGAGCAAGAACGGGTGCGTCTGCGGCGGGGGAGGGCGAAGGAACACGGCGAGACCGATCAACACGACCGCGACCACGCCCAACAGGACGGTCGTGCGGTCAACTTTCATCGCAGCGGACAGTGGCGAAGACATGGTGGTGGGGTGGGGTGCGATGGGACGACACTCAAACGGTGACGGCACCGCAAGAGCGAGAGCAGAGGCGAGAGAGCCTCAGCTCGCAAGTGGAGCTAGTGGAGCGCCGAATGCACGCCTTCAACTTACCTTCAAGCCTTGGAAACGGTCACCGTGGAGATTCGACTGCGAATGAAAGCGAGTGCCATCTGATGCATTCACTTGACAATGACGGCTCTAATTTATCGAGCTAAGTAAATGCTTTGCTTGATCGATGACGAGGCCCATTTGTTGTGCAGCAGGTCAACCTTTTTTTTTTTTTTGACGGCTTCTGACTAAAGGGACAGCAAGGATCTGGGGTAATCGCCAAAAAGCGTGGGCGGAAACCCGTAGGAGAAGTCTAAGACAGTGAGAGTCAACGGAGAAGGGATGGATAGAGTGCATCTCAAAGGAGCAGTGTAGGTTGCAGTATTGAACAGGGTAAGGGGAGCGGTTCAAGTAGCTGCGGTTGGAAGTCGTACATCAGCAACTTTACCACGCGCGCTTCAGAACAATTCAGAGCAATTCAGAGCCGATCTAGAACAATTCAGCCGTAAAGCGCGTAAAGCGCATTCAGCCCTGCGCTGCTAGATTGCTCTAGATTTTGTCTGGAAATTCAGGCATTCAGAGCGCTTCCAGAGCTTTCAGAGCATTTCCAGTGGATTTCCAGAGCATTTCCAGTGCCATTTCAGACCATTTATGACATATTCAGGTAGGGTTATGTGCAATGGTATGATATCATTGCATTTACATGCAATTAAGATGTAAGCACTACTGCCTGCCGTGTGGTACAAGACTCTGACTAGTGTGTATAAGACCGTGACAGCGACGACAATTCATTGCACAAGTTGCTACTTCAGTACTAAGTGTGACGAAGTGGTGGATCTAGACACTTTCCAGAACGATTCAGAACGATTCAGACGATCCGGTCATTTTGTGAGCGGTAAAGTCATTTCAGACAGATCTAGCCGATTTAGACAGATCTAGCCGCGCATCGGGAAGTGGTAAAGTTGCTGATGTAGGTCACGGGTCAGAGGCGATAGCCCAGTTAATGTGGTCCAGCGCCCGATAAGGGTCGTCTCTGTAGACTAGCTGGAATTCAAATTCTCATTCTCATTCCAACCGCACTCCGGCCTGTCGTCGGCGCGCTGCTCCTCCCTCGTCTCGTCGAGGATACAGTCGCCCGCACCCCGAGATCCTTCGGGCAGAGTGATTTCTCTCGTCCACTCTGTGTTGACAAACTTTCGGGCCCTTGAGTTAAGCACGTTCTCCAAGCATGCTCGCGCCAAAAAAAAAACCAAAAGTTGTAAGGTATGCGCCCCTGAAAAATGCATGGACAGTCTGTCGTTCTTGACCACTAGACCAAAGCAAGTGGTAACTAGACTCGAAAGTTCTCGATACTCAACGATTACAGGATCTGGCCAAGAGACCGATTCCCGCATTATATGCTACTACTGATTCAGAATTACACAAGATCTACACACGCTAAGAACAGCTTCGATCTTATATGCTTTCAGATCTTATCTTTGAATCGAGGGAAAACATTTTCTTCAGAGGCTACAGTGCAACAGGAATTAATGACACAATGAAAAGGCTAATTTTGGAGGTGTAAGACCTTCCCCCCCGTCGAAAACAAAAACAAAAATTGGTGGTCTTGAAGACCAGAAAAAAATGAAAACTGTGCCCGCTGAGAGGATCGAACTCTCGACCTCCAGATTTCCCCCCAACCGGGGGTCACAGCTTAATACTATGAGACTAGCGTCATAACCAACTAGACCAAGCAGGCGGTAATGCGTATTGCCATAACAAGTTGTGTTTACTGATTTTTGTAAGCATTTTTACAAGGGGGCGGCCTTCACTTCACTTCACTTTACTTCACATTCGCCCTACTGCAGCCTTCGATACTCGAGTTAACAAGTGATACACCGACAAGATGTCTACCGGAGACCCTGGGTCCCCACTGCCGGCACCGCCACCACCGGTATCCGCCACCAGCGTCCAGCCCCCCCGCGACCGGATCCCGATAAGCTCGAAGAAGACGCAAGTCACGGGCCCCGCCACCGCCGCACCCAACTATGCTGCCGCTGCGAGTCAGATGGCGACTCAAACACCTGAACAACAGCAACAACAACAACAGCGTGCCAAGGCTCTGGGCAGCCTCCTACAAGCCATGGGTGCTGTACCCGGAAACCGCATGGATCGCTGGGTCCAGGCCATCTACTTCGCCGAACTCTACCCCGTCGCCACCGCCACATCGCTGAAATTTTCGGCCTTGAACGCGAACCGGTCCGTCGAGAACATCTTCGATTACGCCCTTGAAGTGACTCTGTCTCACCAGAGCGCCTCGCGAGCGACTCATGCCGACAAGATCGATCTCGTGGCCTGCGTCACGAGGCTGCTATCGCCCATCTCTCCTATCTGCTTTGAGCCTGGAGTTCCTCTGCCGGACCATCTTGCGGCTTATCAACCACAGATCTTAGGCGTACAACATTCATCAATCCTGCGTAATGGGGCGGCTCACCATCGCGTTACGGTTGGGTTCGTCACCGGCGAGGCACGTGACGCGGCGCTCACGACGCCCCCCGCTCTCACTTGGCGATCGGCGAAGGCCCGCTTCGCGAAGTCTCACAGGTTCCACCATAACATGGTCGAGCTTCGAATCAACGTCGGTGTTCAAGGAGTGCCCTCCATGGATGCCATCATCAAATCGTTCCAATCACTTGTGCAAGACCTGTCAGGCAAGGGACATTCATGCCAACTTGTGCAGGTTCTGCGCGTTATCAGCGTGGACAACGCCTCGGCCTTCGCCCACGTTGCCGGAGACTACTCGGCTTTCCTACACTTCGATGACGACTCCCTATTTCAACGCCCCAACACGACCTTGAAGGAGATTCTACCTTCGAGGATCGACCTTCCCACTCGAGGCATCCCGGTTACCGCCCTTCGCCATGACTATGAGAAGGAGGCGGCTTGCGGTAGGTGCCACTTTGTGGGTCACGTGGGAACCTGCGGACTGGATCAGGAGAGGAAGCGGAAGGAGGCTCACAACGGCATCATCAACAGCAACAAAAACACCATCACCCACAACACCAACATCGCGGAGGCCGAGGCCCCCATTCCTGTGCTGGTTGTTAACAGGATCGCATCACAGAATCACTTCGCCGGGCTCGAGGTCGAGGAGGGACAGGAGGAAGAGGTAACTGGCCAGGGCGAACAGGGACCGGAGGAATCGGGGGAGGAAGACGCTGGTGATAAGGCGGATGACGAGGACTCGGAGGACTCGGAGATGGAATCGGAGGCGGCCGCGAAAACGGAGGTCATCAAAATTGAAAGCGAGGACGAGTCGGTCTTGGAGGACTGCAGCGGATCCGATGGAGAGGTGATTGATGAGAATGAGGTGATGGCGGATGAAAGAGGTGAAACGGAAGGAGAGGTGGCTACGGAGATGGAGGAAGAGGAGGTGGCGACGGAGGTGGGCGATGTGGACGAAGCGAGGGGATCGACGAAAGCGGAGAATGCGGAAGCGACGGACTTAGGGGAAACGAACAGGCTGGACAATGACGACGACAGCGACGCCACAGCAACCGCCGCCACCGCTTCCCGCGAATCGACGCCGCATGAACCAACCCCACCTCTGTCACCCGAAACTCTCGCCAAGTCGCTACGCGAGGGGGAGGAGTGGGACAGGATCAGAGCTAACTGGGTTGAGCAGGCACGACTTGAGCGGGACCAAAGCATCGAGAGGAGGCTCAACGCTGAAACCCCTCTGGTGCGTCACAACTTTGCCACGTGGGACGAGGACGGTGAGATACGCTCCATCAACATCAGGGGGACCGCTGCGAAGTTCAAGAAGCAGGTGATGAAGAGGTCGCAGACTGCGGCGGACCTCAGTGACCCAAGTGACGAACCGACCGACGCCAAGCGAGTCATCATCAAAGGGAAGAGCCGCGTCGTGGTGAAGGATGGAATAGAGGGGCGGAGGGTGACGAGGTCGATGTCGGCGGCAGCGGCGATGCAGGTCGAGGTGACGAAGGTGGACAGAGGGAAAGGAAGAGGGGTAGCTGAGGAAAAACGATGGTCCGACCACGAGCCCGAGGACGATGTCCTGCCCGCCCTTCCCCTCTTTGAGGACGTCACCACCGCCAAGAGCGCCTCGACCTCGACTACCCATTAATGATCAAGCACACCATCATCACCTGGAACGTAAGAAGGGGCATGGGGGTCCCGGAAAAACGACGTAATATCTACACCTACCTTTCCACATTCAAAGCTTCCGCGATTCTCTTACAAGAGCATTTCATCAGACCACAATTCTGGCAGCTCATCAAGGACGAGTACGAGGGCAAGCTCTTCATCAACCAGCACTGCCTGACCCTGATCCCGGCCGACTCGCCCCTGATCGACGCCGAGCTCTTGCGCACCCACTCGGCACTCGACGGCCGGCTCCTCGTCACCTCCTTTCGTCTGCGGGGCGACATCAAAATTCTAGAAATCAATAACCTCTACGCGCCCGTTGACCCAAAACAACGAGCAAAATTCTTCGACAAACTGATCCTCCACAAAACACAGAAATCCCACCTCCGACTCCTTGGCGGCGATCTCAACGACTGCCCGCGCCCAGAAGTCGATCGGCGGAACCAAAGTCGGCGCGGCCACCACTGGCCGATTCTGATGGGCAAGCTCGACTCGGCCTACACGGACTGCATCCGCTACAAGCACCCCATCACCCCATCTTTCACTCGACCTAATCCCAATCGCAAGCGACCCAACTCCTTCTCCCGGCTTGACTACTTTCTCCTACAAAGAGCTCACCAAAAAAGGCTCGACCAGGCCTCGACGATCTACGACTATCCCAAGGATCTTTCCGATCACCGACCGGTCTTGATCGTACTAGCTCTCTCAGACGATCTTGATGCGGCTCTCCCACAGCTCAGCCTACCTACCACATCCGACCAACTACATCGAATCAATACCACAACCTTCAAGACGGTGGAATTTCAGCGGATGATGGAAGGATGGTTGGAAGGGGCAAGCGGGGAGGATCCGGTGCGAGAGCTTGAGGAGGTTCTGGAGGCGTGCAGGGACAGGGGTGGGGAGATGGCGAGGAGGCTGCATCGGGAGCGGACGGAACGGATGGAGTATTTGGTGGGGAGGGTGCAGGATCTGGAGGCGTTACCGGTATGGGGGGAGGCGGAAACGGCAGAATGGACAAGGACGTCCGAGGAACTCAAGCGGGCGGTCGAGGAGCGCGCGCGCCTACTCCGGATCCGAGCCCACGTCCCCGAGATCGCTTCCGAGGAACGACTGTCGCGGCCGGTCCACGCCAAGCTCGCGGCGCGGAACTCGGACTCCAAGATCACAGCACTGCGCTTGGGCAACGGAGAGCTAACGCATGACATTGATGTCGCTCTTGACCACACGCAGGCGCATTTCCAGCGCCTCTACCACATCGAGCCTCGTGATCCGGAACGCGTCGACCGACTTCGGGACGAACTCCTCGTGCCGATCAGGGCGGCACGGACTTGCGACGACCCGCGCTCAGATCCGCTCTTTCTGCGCCGACTCTCGGAAGCGCAGATTGATCTCCTCCAGCAACCCATCACCGAGGACGAGGTCGTGGCCGCGATCGGGACGACGCACCCGGGGCGATCGCCGGGCCCGTCGGGCGTGCCTTACGAACTCTATCAGACCGCACCGGAGGCGTGGTCCAAGGTGCTGACCAAGGCCTACAACGCGATGATCGAGCGCGGTTCACTCTCTCCCAAGCAGGGCCAGGGACTCGTGCGCCTCATCTTCAAGCGCCACAAGAAGAATGCCGATCGCGCCGAACTCTCGTCGTATCGCCCCATCACCCTGCGCGAGTGCGATTACAAGATTTTTACCAAGGTCTACGTCGCCCGATTGAACCAAATTCTGCCCGATCTCCTCCCGCCGCAGCAGCACGGCTTCGTCAAGGACCGCCGATCGGCCGACGCTGCACTACACCTTCGTCTCCTGATCGAGGAACTTGGCGCGCGCAGGACCGAGTTCCCCGCGGCCGCGCTCTTGTCTCTTGACCAATCATCCGCCTACGACCTCGTCGAGCATGACTGGATCTTTGCCATCTTCGACGCTCTGGGCGCTCCTACCACCTTTCTTCGCGTGCTGAGGATGCTCTACTCGGGTGACTCGACCTCGGCGCGCTACATCATCAATGGGTTCCTGACGGCGCCGGTGCGACTGACGTGTGGGCTCGGCCAAGGGGACCCGGCGTCATCGTCGGTCTGGGACATCGTGTTTCAGCCGTTCCTGGATGCTCTACACCGTCGAAACATCGCGCTGAATCTCTCCATACCTGCACTTCATCCGTACCCACAGAGCCGCGCCATTACATCACTTGCATTTGCCGATGACGTTGTCGTCGCCGTCGCGGGCTTGGAGTCACTCAACTTGCTCGATGACCTGGCGCTCGACTGGAGGCATGCAACGAATGGCCGGCTCAACACGGACAAGACGGTCGTCCTACCGATTGGACGTCGCTGGGACCCTGGGGAACGGCCAATCGTCGTCAAGGCCGCAGGCGAGTCGCTCGAGTGGATCGGCCTCCCCTTCGACCCCAGCGGCGACACCGAACTCGCCTACGCGAATCTCATCGAACGGCTCGAGGCGACGCTGGAAGCGGTTCAGCATCGCTGGCTCACGCACCACACCCGTGCCTTTTACGTCAATCGGTACGCCATTCCCAAGATCCTGCATTTCCTTGCAGCCGACATCCCGCCGCCCGAAGTCGTCAAGAAGCTCGATGACATGCTCGTCGATTTCGTCCGTGGGGGCAAGGGCAGGACCAGCTACGGCAGAGACATTGTGTTCACCGCCAAGAACAAGGGGGGACTCGGGGTGATAAGGATGCGGGACGTTGTGGACGCGGTTGCGGCACGGCTCTGGGACGTTCTTCTCGGCGGTTCCGGCGCGATTTGGCAAGGACTTGCGCGCGCATCACTCCAGCGAGCTCAGCCCGACCTCGACCTGGCCACCGATCTCTGGCCACATCCATCCACTCCCATCCCCAACGACCTTCATCCCCGATGGCACGCCGCACTGGGCGTTCCGAAACTTCACGACGCGCAGGTCAACCCGAGGGCCTTGACCACCGCGAACTTGCTCGCGCTGCCCACCCTGCTCGGCAGCCTCCACACCCCCATCAGAGGGAGACAGACCATCGACGCGGTTCATGTACCTGACTACCTTCGTCTCCAGGGCTACCCGAAGGTGGCGGATCTCTATCGACGCGAGTTGTATGCGGGTGGGGGGTTTCACCTCTGGACGCCGCCGGCGGATGTGCTTGGCGACAACAGCGAGTACGATCGACGCGGGCTCCCGCAGCGACTGGCAATCGCGGCCTGGTACCGGTTCACTGTCGATCGACACAAGAACACCCCCTTGGCGGCGGCGGTGGCGGCGGGACGACTCAACGTGCCTCCCCGGATCGGCACCAGCGCACCGCTCGAGGCGATCATCCCCAAGCCCGTGGCCCGCTTCGCAATGGAGCAGCGCCTTCCGGACCCGGTGCTTCCACAACAGGCGAGCCAGTATACGCTGCTGAACATGGCTCGCCCCTACACAGTCCGTCGCATCCGCCGGGTCCTGAACGCGAAGGCATTTACCAACATGCTCGGGCTCAAGGGACCACCGCAGCCGGACGACCTCAGGAGCTTCTGGAAGGCAGTCAACTCGAAGGCACTGACAGCGAGGGAGAGGGAAGTTTGGTTCAAGCTGATCCTCCGCTTCACCCCGACGCGCAAGCTCCAGCACGAGCAAAAGCACGACACTTCTCCCGCGTGCCTCGTCTGCGAAGCGCCGGTGGACGACACCGATCACTACTTCTTCGGCTGCTTCGACTCGCGAAACGTCTGGATCGCGGCGAGGGGCGTGCTCTGCGACGCGCTCGGATGCGACACGATCGAGGACGCCGAGTACACGACGCTTCAACGACTCTTTGGCCTCCCCAAGCTCAAGGCCAAGCTCAGCGCACAGGAAGGCGCGGGCAGGACGATCGAGATCTTCACGGGGATGGTTTTGGAGATGATCAGCAGTGGGAGATGGAGGATGCAGAAGCACGGGACGAGGATGGAAAGCCTGGAGCGGAGGAGGGTGGTACTGGAGGAGAGGATGAAGTTGAGGGCGGGGGGAGCAAGGGGCGGGCGAGGGCAGTAGAGGCTGGGTTCGATTTCCCCCCACCCGATCCCACACTCACACACCCCACATCACACATCCTCTTACAAAAACTGTATACTAAATATATTTTCTTCATCTTTCTTTCTTTTATTACAGGTCTGCCTCCGTTGCTCATGGACCGGCTCGCGATTTGGGATTGACTCGACGGTGGCTCGCGCTCTTTGGCTTCGGGGTTCTGAGTCAAGGGAGGGATCAGCAGACACAGGCAGAAAGTCGGCTTTGAGGGGCCAGGGACTGCTGAGGTGGAGGTTTTGAGGGGCCTCCACCGCGTCTTGTTGTGACCGAGCATAGACTTGGGGACTTCGCGGGTCGGGGTGGTGTCGCTGTCGCTCTCCTGTCTTTGTCTCGACCGAGTCGGGAAGTGGGTCCGGGATGGGCCTCCTGTCGTTCGTACCTTATCTTCTTCTCTCTCTCTCTCTCTCTCTCATTAGTCTCCTGAGGGGGAGCGACAGGGGCACTTGAATTCCTTTATTGGATTGGTGGACACCGGCCCGTATCTTGCACCTTCGCAGGCGGTTTGTGTTTTCATCGTCGACTTCCATCTAGTTTTTCTGTAGGCCAATTAGGAGAAACAGGAATTGGAGGCGATATGATGAACAGTAATCACCGAAACCCAGCGGCTTCTACGGAAGAGTTGTACGTGTCCTCTTTGTTTCTGGGTGCTCCCTAATTGCGTGTCTTCGCTTACGATCTTGTGTCAAGCGGCAGCAGACTCGCCGCTCGTTGGACTCCGAGTTAGGTGCTCGGCGAGTTATAATCTACGCAGCACTCTTTGCGCGCAGTAGTTTCCCATTCACCCATTTTTTTGTCGTCATTGCTCTACAGCACCACTAACGTACTAATAACCATATTGTTCTATGAGCTAGGAAACAAGCCATATGACTTGCTACCTCCGCTCAGTGCGTTGCTAGACCAACAAGATCGCGAGCTATGGGGCCCAAAGTACGACTCCGACGTCCTCACCGGACTTGCTCCACTGCAGGGTTCCGAAATTAGAGCAACTTTGATATAACAATGCTGAAGAGACTACCGGGCTTGAGATGATTGGAGTCGGGATGGAGTCGGGATATCTAATACCAAAGCAACTCTGGCGACCGATCCAGTCGCGCATGCAATACCATACCGGCTCGGCGTGGAGAGGAGATACCTTGCAATGACGTCAGTCTTCCCCCATGGTGATGTCCACACGAGAGTGGCCCGCCCATCACAATCCGAGCTCGTGGATGGACATCGATTAGTGCATCGAGTCCATACTTGTGACGCAGCCATCAAATTATCGTCGTCGCCGTACCATGCAAGCACGCGCCGCTGATCGGGCCGAGGATGTCAGCAGTCGCGCCAGTGGCAGTGTGCGCAGCGGACACGTTCAACGCGGGATGATTAACGGCACTGGCGGCAGCACGCTCGCCCACCCTCCGCTCGAGTGGGTCGCCTGTCTAGGTTGCTTGAAGAGCCATCCAGTCCTCTTCCCCTCCACCGAACCATGGGATAACCTCTACATCACGACGTGCTGCCATGTTCTGTGTGCGCGCTGTGCGTTCAGCGGATACGCCAGCGAGATTGCGACGGCCACGGCCAGCGCTCATCACCAGCCCGCCCCGAGGGATCCTCCATCGACCGCAACGCTCGAAACCCTTTTTTTAGGCTGTGCAATCTGCTCGTTGGATACTCAGTTCATGCTCCTCGACGAGAACGTTCCTGATGAGCTCGCCCCTTGCTTCCGACCGCTCGTCCGCACGCTCGAAGAACTTTCCGCTGCGACGAATTGGCAAGTCGACCACCTCGCGCTGCAGGTAGCTTGGCTCCGACACAAATGCGAGAGGCAGAAGGGAAACTTGACCAAGCTGGTTCAAGAGCTCAAGAGAATCAAGGGGGAGCTAGGGTCAGTGTTCATACGCCAGGGACATGTTAATCTGCCACAATGAGGAAAAATGCTGACTCGAGCGATCCGAACGTGCAGAAAATTTCGAGAGCTGGAACAAGAGAATGAGCGGTTACGGGCTCTAGTGGACTCGCGCGAGCCGCGACACGAACACGAATTTCGCCTACCCCACAGGCCCATGGGGCTTCATCCTCCATCTGATCCGAGATACGATCAATTGACTCTCCACGACGCCCAGCCTGATCATGCCATCACTCGCCGCGAAGCCCCCGACAGTCCTGCCCGGCCCCCATCGGTAGCCGCTCTCCCAGCTGCTCCGTCACGATATTCCCTCCCGGCGACTCTCAAAAAGCAAAGCCACGAGTGGTCGGGACCGCGCTCGAGAACTCCATCCATCGCAGCCCGATCCCCTCTACATCGCTCGGCTTCCGTTAGCACCAAGTCCCCACGCCAACGACCTTACCCTCGACCCCAGACGTCACCCCATCAAACCCTCGCAACTCGCCCCGCTTCTGCGCAGTCGACACTTCGCACATCGCCGTGGCTACATCCTGCGGCGACACCTCCACCTCTGCGTGCTTCGACCGCACAGGGGCATCGACAACACTTTGAACCCCTTCACGCTGCTCAGTACCGTGCTCGACAGGAACAAGCCGGCTTGGGCAAAATCGACGAGGAAAATACAGGCTTGAGAGCGACCGAGCCGCAGTGGGAACGGTTCCGCCCCCCACCCCCACCGTTCAGCGGAACGAGGAGTGGATCAGTTATATTGCCACACATCGAGACGGGCACTGTGAGGGTGTCAACACCAAGACAACCGTTCGTACCATGTCCCGCGAGTGCATCCCGGAGAACCGATAATGGGGATACAAGGGTGCAGAGTCTGCCCAGGGGTTTCCAGACAGCGAGGGATCTGCATCGGTTAGGTTGAGGCGTTCGTGGTGCAATGGACAACGACCGATCCTCTCTCGGGGCTTAATGAGATATCCATAGAGCAGTCGAGAGCCCATTTGGGGCGTTGCGGAGGAACACTCTGCTCGGCCGTGTCTACAGAGCGACGATGTTACAACAGGGTATTCGTTCAAGCTACTCAGACATACAAAAGGACCAATCGGTCGCCGTAGTCGGAGCCACTGTGCAAGCTCTCGTCGTCCCGCCTCCTCCTGAGATCGTCGTCGTCATCTTCCTCCTCTTCACCCCGTTCCTCCTCTTCGAGCGACCCCTCGTATTTCCCACCTCGCCCCTTTCCCAGTGTCCTGAAGATGACTTCGAGCTGCTTAAAGCTGATCGAGTATTTGACGCAAATCTCGTCCGTGTGATAGGTTCCGTCCATCATCATCGGCAGAGAAGGCGGGAAGCGAGAAATGGGTGGCACGTTCGTCGTGGCCGGTGATCCAGCACTTCTACCTTTTCTAGCACTCTGCCTTACCTCGGGCCTGGTCTTTGCAGGCGTCGTTGATGGGTGAAACGTTGTCTTGGATCGATTCGGCGCTGACAGGATGCCACTGCTTAGAGGATCGGGGAGGGAAGCATCATTCGTCTCCATCCTGGACAGGGTCGAAATGGCGGAATGCAAAGGCGTTTCATTGCTCGGGGTCGGTAGGGAGAATGAAGTGGTCCCTTCGTCACCCTCGACATCATCCCCGTTGCGCCCCCTGTTCCGGTGCTTGAGGAACTTGGGATGGTCCAACCAGACGGGGTAGGCGTAGACCCGCCGCAGGAAGCCTTTAATGCAGCCAAACTGAACCAGCCGTCGCACATCGATCGGCATACCGTCCAGGCCGAGTCGCTCACACCACTGCGTGACCGTCACGCCAGGTCGGAGTTGTGCATAGTAGCCCAACAGATTCGCGAACGGCACGGGCGCGCTTGAAGGGGATGGATGGTTCGGGAGCGAGCCGACCGAGGAGCCTTCCAAGTTCGTCGTCGCCATTGGAGGGGTCGCGCTCGCGAGCATGGGGTTGATCATGGCACCTGTGTAGACGTACGCCTGGCATTCTGAATCGAGGTCCTGGATCCCTTCATCTTCTTCGGCCTCGTCCATGGTGTGCACGACGTCGGCGATCAAGGGCAAGGTCGCGTACGAGTTGGTGTACTGGAACAGGTCGACAATGATGACGGCACCGTAAAAGACGAGGTGCTGAATGGAGAGACGGGCGAGGTGGAGGTCGACCTGGGCGAGCTCAGCAATACTCTTGACGTGGTTGATACCGTTAATGAAGCTGCAGATCTGTGGAGGGTGGACGGCGAGGCGGGTAAGCTCAGGAGGAATGGGTAGGAGCAGAGACGCACGAACCTTGTAAAGGGTGACATCCCAACTCGGATGCTTCATCTGCTCGAGCGCACACACCGCCAGGGGAACATCGCTGTTCTTGATCGGTTTAGGATTTGCATAAAAGGGGGAAAGGAAGAGCTCGAGCTCAAAGTCGCCGATGCGGATCGAGGCTTCGGAGAAGTTGTTGAGGTCCATGTAAAGTTGTTCGAGCAAGTTGCTCATGGAGAAGTGAGGTGGCGGGTCCGAGAGCAAGGACGAGGATTCCTGACGGTGGGAAGCAACGTCAGCAGTTCATTATCTCGACAAGGCTCGAATCGGGTCGACTGACCTCGAGAATCCTGAGCGTGCGAGCGACCTTGCGCACAACTGGTTCAAACACGGACAGCTCGGCGTCGCGCTCAAAGATGAAGCACACGTTGAAGATGAAGGCGTTGCGATTGTAGATGGACCTTTTCGAGTTGTACTTTTCGTCGTCGACGATTCTGTGGATCGAAAGATTGGGGACAAGGGGCGCATGGGTGGGATGGTACGAGTGACCGAGGTCAGCTTTGTGGGGCTCCATGTGCGCAAGCTAGAGCGAGCCCCCGATCGTTTCGCGACGGCGGCGGTGGGAAACAGACCTGATGGGGAAGCCGAGTATCTTGCACGTCCTCGTCGCCTTGGTGATGAGATGACCGCACAGTTCGGATTTGGGTATGACGAACTCTCGGATCGGGCTGAAGTCGAACAGGACCGGGGTCGCGGTGAGGCGTTGCTTCGAGGTGGAGCGCACGACCGCGTCGGTGGCGGTACCGCCCAACGTCGATGATCGCGCGCTCGTGGTCGAGCGTTGTCGGTTGAGCAGCGCTGCCCGTTCCATCGATGTTTCAGCACGAGGACGGCTGGATGAGGTCGAGGTCGGGGCGGCGGTGGGGAACGTCGACAGCGCGGTTGCGACCGACCCCTCGGGCACTTGCTCGACCACAGTCGGACCGGCGATGGGGTCAAACACGCAGTACATGGCCGCGATCAAGCGAGGAAGGTACTGTATGGGCCGGTCATGGATCGATCAGACCAGTGGCCGGTCAGGTTCCCCCCTCTGTGCCCCGCGCGTCCAGGGGCCACCGCAGCCGCAGCGGGTGCTCACCTCGCCCGATTGCCCTTGGAGGCGTTCCTTCATCAAGAGCGGCATCTTGGGGCCGTGCGCCGTCCGGAGCTCGAGCCCCGATCTGGTTCGAATACTACTCGTTGTCTTGTGTGTGTTGTAGTCGGAGGGAGGTCGTGTGAGCAGGCCAAGGCGCGCCGAGCCGCGCGTTTGGACTGCGTTTGGACTGCGTTTGGACTTGTGTGCGCGATCGTGTGCAATCGTGTGCGATTGTCGGCGATCGTCGTCACAAAGTGTCGTCACCCCGGCGGCGGAGCAGATGCCCGGTGCGGAGCAGATGCTGCCCGGTTCACTCGCTGACGCTCCATGCTCGCTTCCCGTCCGAACACGAACACGAACACGAACACGAACACGAACACGATGCTGAGATCGTTGTTGCCTCGCTCGAAACTGGCCTCGAACGTCGTCTCTCACCATCATGTCGCACCATCGACCGTCATCCGTCGCGCCTCGTCGTGCTTGAGCCGATCGGCGACCACTTCGCACCCGCTCCTCGTCGCGGCCACCGTCGCGATGGGCACTTCTTCGCGCTCTTTCCACGCCGCAAGACGTGCGTTCACTCGTACTGCACATCCTCGTGATCTCGGCTCTCTGCGCTAACAAGCGGATCTGATCCTCACAGCAACCTCGCATGGAGGAAAGGGCCGACCCAAGGATGGGCAAGGGCAAGTCACACCATGCTCGTCCGCTTCATGCATTGTGTTTTCCTGCCCGGAAACTTACGTTGTCTTCTCATCGCCACGACCGCAGCATCACGTTGCACTTCAAGAAGCCCAACGGAGAGATCGAGACCGTGCAAGCCAATGAGGGCGACGACATTGTCGACATATCGTGGGAATACGATCTCGACATCGAAGGTACATTCTGAGCGCGCATGTACGCATCACGCTACACTATAGGATGGCTGACCCCATTCTCACCCGTCCGTCTTCCCCACAAAATTTGTTCACCGACTCCCTCGCGAATCAACCTCATGGCACTGACAGCTGCCTGCGAGAAATCGGTTGCCTGTTCGACATGTCACGTCATACTCGAGGACGACGTCTACGACAAGCTCGAGGAGCCCTCTGACGACGAGGTACGCCTGCGAACGCTTCTTCTGTCTATGCAGGAACCAACGTGCTGACCACATGCGTTCGATCATTTCCGGCGAACAGAATGACATGCTGGATCTCGCTTTCGGCCTGACAGATACGTACGTTGCTTACAAGCCGACAGGGCAGACTTCGCGGTGCCCGAGGATCCAGCTTGGCATCTGACCTAGCCTTCTTCTATTCGGTTCTCTCACAGATCACGCCTGGGATGTCAGATCAAAGTGACCAAGGACTTTGACGGCACAACCATCACGTTGCCGAGCGCAACGAGGAATCTCCGAGTCGATGGTCAGTCCCTGAACGCCTGCCCCATTCTAAACCATCTCCAGAAAGCTGATCATATGGTGCATCCACAGGCTCCAAACCGACACCTCATTGATCCAGCGCCTACTGCTCTGTTGTAGAATCAAGAACAAAACGGAAACGGTCGAATGGTTCCCCGCTACAGGATCACGCGTTGCATTTGCTATTCGATCGAGACATCTGCTTTGCATAACGACAGTCCCTATTGCTTGTCTTCAAAGTCTTTTTCGCACTCCTCAATGCTCCACTTTGCGATCGGCATGACTTCCAACGGATCGAGTCGGCCACGCCGTAAGCGGGACAAGCCAACGTTAGCGATCATGGCCGCGTTGTCTAGAGTGTGAAGCCAACGACACCGCAGTAGGGTTTTTTCGGGTTTCATCAGCGTCTGAAGCAGAAAAACAAGGTTCATGGCATCGAGTCCGGACTGACCCGTGCATAAGCTAGGGGGCGGAAAGACGAGTTCGATATCTTGGCGATCCAAATCGTCCAGTCTCTCTCGCAACCTGTCAAGATCCCAAGAAAAGACTTATCAGCACACAGACTGCACAACATCTTCTGTGCGCAGTTGACTGACTTTGTCCGGAGATACGAATTACTCGCGACTCCGCCGCTCACGACCAAGTGCTTCACGTCGCGCATCCCCCGGGGCTCTTGCATGCCCAAAGCCAAGGCGACCTTGTCTTCGACTTGTTTGACCGTGGCTTGCATGAACGACCTGGCCAAGAGCCTCTTCCTCCCTTCTTCCATACCCGGATCCTCGGCGATGATGCGATCCAGTTGCGAGCGAGCACCGGAGAAGGAGAAGGCCAGTTGGCGGGGAAAAGGCTGCGAGAAATGAGGCACCACACCCGGAGTGGGGCCTAGATCTTGGTCTGGTGACGTCGTCAGTTCAGTTCTTGTTGATATTGTTGGATGTGGTCGGGGAGAGAATGCAAAAGCTTCTAGAGCGGCACCGGGAGACCCGGCACCCAAAGACCATGGGATCTCCAAGTCTCGAGCAGCTTTATCGAACGAAGCTCTGAGAAGCCGAGGAAAAAAGTCGATCAGACTCCCATCGCTTGTCACTGGACATTCTCAAACTTGGTGTGGGACCTACCCGATCGACTCGTCATGCGTGGTTGCCAAAATCTTGAACTCGGTTTCCGAAGATGCGAACAACAAAAGTGTGTGCCCACCGGAAAGTAGGAGCGTGAGGAAAGGGAACTTGGGTGGGATCGCCGAGGTCAAGAAAGGGGTCAGAGCATGGGCTTGCTGTGCAAAGTAGACAAAGACAAAGCTTAGTATATTTGCTTGTAAGCCTGATGAAGTTTTACTGAGAGCCAAGCAGTGCCAATGCGACGTACCATATGATGCACCCCAATCAACGGTTTGGCTGTTGCAGCACCGAGCGCTTTGGCCGAGTGACAAGCGACGCTCAAACAGCCCATCATCCCTGGACCCCTCGTGAACGCAATGCCATCCAAATCCTCCAGTGTGACAAGTGCTTCCTTGAGCGCTCGCTGGATCGCTGTAGGCATGTTGCGGGCATGGGCATGTTGGGCATGAAGTGGGTGGATCCCGCCGAACCGCTCGTGACTGGGCTGGCGGATAACGATGTTGGACAAGAGGCGCGGTTGCGTCGATGCAGAGTCGGAGGAGATGACGGCTGCACAGGTATCGTCGGCCGATGACTCGAGGCCCAGGATCAGCAAGGGTCGCTCAAGAGGGGCTGAGGAAGACGGCGTCGTTGCTTGCGATGGGGACGTTGTTCCTCTCCTGCACGTCGAATGCAAGGCTCGGTGCGGCGATGATGTGAGAACATTACGAATAGAGTGATGTCCTTGAGATCTGAAGAGGTGGTTCATCACCAGCCGGTGAGTCTCGGTCGGTACCATTGCGTCTCAGGGTCGAGTAGTGCTGCCGCAGAAGCGTCAGTTGGCGAGTTGACGCTTCTCTTGAGATCGCTCACGGCGTGACCCGAAAGTCACGTGAACTGGCGGCCTTCGTCAGGCGCTTTCGCGGTCGGCAAATCCCTCGGACTGGGCCGGAGCGCAGGAGTGGAGAGAGCCACTGAGCACTGCGGTTAGTACTTGCTCTGACCGTACGGGCCACTGCACAGCTTACTAGAGCGTTATCCTGACTATCGAACGAGTATACAGAGGAACGTGAAATATGAATCATGTGTATACCCATCTGTGGCATGCCCCGAGCACGCAGGAATCCGGATCCATCATGGGATCCGACAAAGTTGCCAACTCCCACGCGGTGGACGGCAACTTGATCCGGTAGTGTGGCAGAGGGTGGGGACGGTGGCTGAACTTGGGAATCGGCCATGTTTGAGTTGGGTTGGCGGGGTTTGCGTGGTGGGAAAATCTGCGTCGAGTGATCAATCAGCTCTACAGATTCGGGCGTGCTCCGGCTACTTCTGAAGAGGCTGCTATAGTAGAACAGTGACTCTCGACATTCGAGTGTATCTTGCCTGTGTAGCGGCAGGTAGAACCCTGCACTATGTTTTACAGCAGCTGAGGGCTCTCTCGCAGGTTTACACGGGTTTGCACCGGCAATCTTTGTGCTTGTTTTACCGGGGCTTATAGGCTGCAGTCGTTGAAGATGGCTGAGACAGGTCACGTGATTTTTTTTGTTTTGTTTTGTATGAAACTCATCGCTAATTTGCAAGACGAGAAAACCCCCTACGGAACTAAAGGAGATGCTGCCCAGTATGCACGATGATGACCACAACCGCCGCTCGATGCGTTGTAACTAGCAGAACAGACCAACCCGATACATCCGAGTTCAAGTCCCCCCCACCCACGGTTGCTCCCTCCCAGAGACGAATGAAAGGAAGATTGAAGATAATACACAAGGAATCGGGAAACGATGGAGGAATTGTTGGTGGTGGTACATGTGTTGTACAGGCGAATCCGACCATAGTTGTACAGTTGAACCTTCTTCGATCTTTTGACTTCAGACCCCCCTGAGACCGCCATACTCCTTGAGGCCCCTTAATTCTTTGACACGCGTCGAACAAGGCCTCCGATGGCACAAACATCCCGCTCAATCCGAATGATTCACGTGGTCCAAAGGGGGGATGTAACCCCCTGCGACCGCAGCAATCACATACCCCTTGTACCCAACTGCGCTGGATCTGCACCGCGGATTCCAAACCCCTTTTCGGTTACCAAAGTCGGCCCCCCCTCGCGACCGCACGACCCCAGATCACCCCCATTCCAATGACTGCAACTGCGAAACAGGCCTACTTCGCACAAAAACACACAATCCAGAGATTTCCGGGGAAAGTCACGGAGCATGTGACAGTCCATTGGACACGCCTCGGTCTGCAGCGCGGGCGGGTGGCCGTCAACACCGGCGCGCGGCCGGAGACAAGAGGCGGAGTATACCTTCCACAGGGGCCTCGCTTCCCTGCGGCGTACTCCCAATCTCGGAACGCACACTTGAGTCCCGTGGTACGTGCAGGTGGTTCCCAGTCACCGCAGATACTGGGGAAAGAAGGAGCATGAGGCCCACGACGGTGATGTCATTGGGTGGGACCTCGCTCGAGTGTGGATGTGTATGGCGGTTCGGTACCCGAGTCACCCGCCGCGCGGCCGCGACTCCGAGCGAGCAGCAAAGCAAGGAGAGGCGAGCCACGCAGGCAGTTTGTGCCGGCCATGAACAGGAGATCGCGGAGTCGCTCGACCGAAAGAGAAAACAGACCCGGCCCTTGAGAGGAGTAGAAAACTCACGGCGGAGTCCAGGAGAGGGCCGAGGGGATCCGCTTTCGCTGTGTGTCATCGTGATGTGGCAGAAGCTCGAACCAAGGGCGACGATGCCCGCCGGCGCAAAGTGTGAGAAGTATGGAGGACTGGATCCCGACTCAAGGGGTTGAGTACGAGCGCAAGATCGAGGATGGAAGATGGATGAAGAAGGAAGAGAGACGAGTGCCCGCGAGGCGCGCGACTTCAACCCAAGCCAACGTGTCAACCGAGTCTCGATCAGGCGCTGGGATCCGGCGTAGAGGGTAATAGGCTAAAGAAGGAGTGCAAAGTAGGAGTGGAATAGTGGCATGAGAAGTAAATAGAATTAGAAGAGAATCAGTATGATTGGGTTCTGACACAAAGAACCCGAGGCTCCTGGGGAGTACGGAAGCCTATGAGGAGGAATGGCAAAAAGAGCGAGAGAGAACGGGTTCAGTATGCTGGCGTTTTTGGGAGACATTGGAGAGATTGAGAAAGAGAAAAAGGGGACTTGTGATTTTTATTTTTTTATTTTGGTTTTTGCTTGAGTAGGGAGGGAGCGCCGTCTACTTCATCGTGCCAATCTGAGCTCCAACCTCTCCTTCAGTCCGGCCATCTCCTTGTCCATGCTCGACATCGCTCTGGCGTGGCGATGGAGATCCCAGCGTCGGTTGCTGAGAGTGTCGAGCGCCAGCGCAATGAAGGCGCGGATTGCGCGCTTTTTCGACGCCGGAAGGCGAGCGCGCAGTCGAGAGGCCGTGCTCGATCTGAAGTGCCGTGTAGTCGAGGTCGAGGATCGACACGACCCCCAGCGCGTCGCAGAGAATGGACTTAGCTGCTTGCCAAAATTGAGAAGAGTCAGGGCAATCATGCCAAAAGTGAGTAAAGTCATCCTCCACCCCTGCCAGGCTGCATGCCTGCACAAGGCAGCAGGCTGAGTCGCCATGCCGCTGCACAAACTGGCGCTTCCGCGTTGGCGTGAAGTGGTACGCCAGCTTGAAGTGCACCTCGCGCTCGCGAGCCGTGGCGGGCCCGGTGTTGAACCACCCCCAGAAGAGTCGCCTTTCTTTGGGTGTGGCGAGTGATCCAGGGCGTTGTGTGTCGTCGAAACGTCGATGGTTGATGACGCGTCGAAGTCGCGCAATGGTGTAAGGTCTGTCCAAGCTCAACATTCTCCACTGATCAGCACGCAATGGGGCGGAGGGGAGGGGAAATTTTTGATCAGGCATGCCGACCGGAGTCGCTCTGGGCAAGATGTGCTCGAGAGGACCGCCGGACCGGGCTCCAGGTGCTCCAACGACACGAATGACGGGTGGTCGACGTGCGAGGACGGGAACAGGAGGCGGAAGCGGCGGGATGAAGCGATCGCCTGCGACCTGGATCCACGCCTGGACTTGATCGCGCTTCCATTGCCAAAGGTTGGACAGCTCCGAGCCGTCGCCTTGGGGATGCTTCTCAGGGGTCCAGGGCACCGTTGGAGCTGCGGGGTATTGGGCTCGAGCATAGATGTCAGCGATGGTGCGTTCGAAACTGAAATGCTTCGCCAAACGCTTATCCTGCTCCGAGAACGCCCGCGAGTCATGCAGACCCGGTTGGAGGGGGGAAAGAGAAAGAAGATTGGAGACCGAAAGTTTGGCAGGATCGACGACGGCAGGGTAGCGTTCAGCGACCGAGAGCACCGCTCGCCAGCGGGGATGTAGCTCCCGGGGTGCGTCGGCGTTCCTCCACGTCCACAGATCCGCTGCAAAGTCAAAGGTCGGAAGCGCTCGCCGGATGGAACTCCGAGCCAGATCGCCCCAAATCACAGTTGACCCGCCGGCCAGCACGTCCCAGATCCGTTCCGAGACTGAATCCACCACATCTTGGATGCTCACGACGCTGAGACCACCTCGCGCCCGTGCCGTGAAGACGACCGATTGCTTGTAGTCGCTGCGCCGCGGTCCTCCCTTCACAAAGTCGGCAAGCTTGCGCTCGATCGCCTTGATCACGTCGGATGGCGGTATGTCGGCGGAGAGAGAGTGCAGCACCTTGGAGATGCCGTAGCGGTTGAGATAGAAAGCCCGGGTATGGTGCGTCATCCATCGGTCGCGCACCGATAGAATCACTCGATCGACCCTTCGCTCAAGATCATGGAATCCCAGCCTGTTGTTGCCGTCAGGCGCAAACTGGAGACCGATCCAGGGAAGAGACTCGTCCGGTGCCACGAACGACAGTTTGGACAAGTCCGCGCGATCCCACAACGTCGCGCCCAATGGCATCACCACGGTTTTGTCGGTGTTTAGACGTCCGTTCGTCGCGAGTCGCCAATCCCGAGCTAACGCCTCGAGCGAAGCAATAGCTTCCGGTCCAGCGACAGCGACGACGGCGTCATCCGCGAACGCCAAATTGGTGATGCATCGAGTCTGCGGACGAGGAGCCAGCTCCGGAAGAGTGATAGTCAGCGCAATGTTGCGCCGACTGAGAGAATCAAGGAAGGGTTGGAACACCACATCCCAGACAGAAGAAGAGAGAGGATCGCCCTGGCCAAGACCGCACAGGAGTCGTACCGTCTCGGTGAGGAAACCGTTGACAATATACCGCGCTGTGGACGTCTCGCCGTTGTAGAGCATCCGCAAGACGCGCTGGAAGGATTCCGGCGCGCCGAGAGCCTCAAACACCGCAAAGACCCAAACGTGCTCGACCATGTCGTAAGCCGAGCTCTGATCCAGGGAGAGGAGCGCTGCTGTCGGGAACTCTGCCCCACGACCCCTAATCTCGTCGATCAGGAGCCTCAGATGCAAAGCCGCGTCCGCTGGTCTTCGCCCCTTGACGAACCCATGCTGTCCGGCCGGAAGAACATCGGGGAGGATCCGGTTCAGACGAGCCACGTAGACCTTGGTGAAGATCTTGTAGTCGCATTCCCGCAAGGTGATCGGACGATACGATTTGAGGTCGCACCGCGCGATTTTTTTGTTTGTATGAAACTCATCGCTAATTTGCAAGACGAGAAAACCCCCTACGGAACTAAAGGAGATGCTGCCCAGTATGCACGATGATGACCACAACCGCCGCTCGATGCGTTGTAACTAGCAGAACAGACCAACCCGATACATCCGAGTTCAAGTCCCCCCCACCCACGGTTGCTCCCTCCCAGAGACGAATGAAAGGAAGATTGAAGATAATACACAAGGAATCGGGAAACGATGGAGGAATTGTTGGTGGTGGTACATGTGTTGTACAGGCGAATCCGACCATAGTTGTACAGTTGAACCTTCTTCGATCTTTTTGACTTCAGACCCCCCTGAGACCGCCAGATGTTTTTTTTTATTTTTTACTGGGGCTCATAAATTGCAATCCTTTGGGTTGGCTGGGACCGCTAGAAAAAGAGCTAAAAGAGGTTATAAAGCAACGACGGCAAGCAATTGGGTGAAAGTCAAACCCCTGCGCGCAAAGAGCGCTGCGCAGATCAAAACTCGCCGAGCACCTAACGCGGACTCCAACGGGCGGTGAGTACTGCTGCCGCTTCACGTCCCAAGAGCGGGAGCGAAGATACTCGAAAACCAGGCAAGAGCGCCTAGAGAAAGAAAAGGGGAGAATATACAAAAATTCACGACTGGAAACACGGAGAACCAGGAATACTAAGACAGAGAGGAGGGGAGGAGGAGGGGAACACACCCGAGGGGCCAAGGGAGGGGGTCGAAGCCAGAGCTAGAGGTCCCCAGGGACTGACAGGCCGCAGCCAAGCCCCAGCTACTCGTCACCCCGACAGCGCCTGATGTCCTCCCTTGGCTGAGTCTCGAGTGCTGGCTGTTGAGCCGTCGGGGCCGAGCGAAAACGATCCAATACAACGAAACGAGCCTCGCCTTGACGCGAGGATATTGACCAAAAAAACGAGCGACCTTTCTTCCCGATCCATGCCGTAGATCTTGACCAACGCGAACGAACGATCTATTCGACGGAATCCAACACACGGCTTAGGAATAAAAGGAGAAGTGGCTGAAGCGTAGTCAACAACCGAGCAACAGGAACGAGATGAGGAAGAGAAGGGAGAAAGGGGGGGAAAGAGAGGGGAGAACTTCACAAAGCCTCCAACGCAACGACGATCGACCCGGCTTGCAGATCCATCCAAGAACGAAAACCGCTACTGCACAAAGTAGAGAGAGGGAGAGGTGCGCAGCCTTCCACTGCGCAACAAGTTTCAAGACAGTCAGCTTCTGACCGGAAAGGAAGGGAGGAAAGGAAGGGAGGAAAATGGGAAGGAAGGACTTAACTCGGTCATCACACCTCCCAATCTCGAACCCCAGGCACAAAACCCGCTCGAGAGAGAAAATCTCGCTCGAACGCTCTGAGCGCACTGGGAAGCGAGGGAGGGGCCACGACGTTGTCCAGCTCGAACCGCTGATGAACGCGCCAGCGGAGCAGGTGCAGCCGCTGGAAACCGATCGCGCAGGCCAGCCGAACCCACATCCATTTCGAGGTCGTTCTCCCACGACCCCGCAAAAGGGGGAGCCCCATAGTCAGCTGCTCCGGAGTGAACGTCGACGGATCGACGTCGGTATCCTCGATGCCGAGCTTGTCAAGCAGAATGCGTAGCACCCCACCCCAGAAGCTGGTCGAGTACGCGCACTCGAAAAAGTAGTGGGACACCGTCTCGATGACCGCTGCATCGTTGCCACAGAACAGACACGTCGGCGAAGAGGCATGACCCTGAGTATGCTGCCTCTTGCGCGTCGGCGTCACGTCGTACATGAGCCGCCAGTGGGTGTCCTGCTCGACAGCAGACGCGAACCGGTCACGAAGCCATCTCCAGAAGCGCTTCCTATCGCTCTGAGAAGTCCCATCAGGGAAACGCTTGACACGGTCCTCCCTCCCTGGGAACCGCACCTTGTTCACAAGCCGACGAAGCTTGCGAATCGTAAAAGGTCGGGAGAGCCCAAAGAAGTTGAAGCACCGAGGACGGGGAGCCTCCTTGAGAGGTATCCGAGCAGGTCGCAACGCGGTCTTGGGCAGCAACGCTTTCGCCTTGAGCAACTGACCCACGCGCGACCACACGTGCTCGTGCTGTAGGGCGGGTTCCTTAGAGTGCTGCCAGAACCCGCGTCGATGACCAACCAGAGCCCATCCCTTCCCTTCGTCCCTCCAGTACAGGTCCGCGATCTGCGCAAACTTCGCCACCGCGTCCGCATCGTCATATGCGTGCTGGGCACCTTCAGCATAGAGTGAAGGGAGGCGAGGCGGAAGCGAGAGCAATTCGGGAAGCGTAAGGAGTTCGGACTTGATGGTTGGAACTGTGACCCTGGCCGCTGCAACGACTGCCCCCCAGCGCGTCGAGTCGCGATACAGCTTCTCGACCCGAGCCGTGCTGCTGAAGAACCCCCACGGACTGAAATCGCGGGTCGCAGCGACGAGGGACCTCCAGCTCTCGCGAGCTAGGGGCGCCCAGATCGCCTCGTCCGAGCCCGCCACAGCATCCCAAAATCGAAGCGCCACCGAATGAACGATGTCGCCAATCGAAATCAAACCCAAACCACCGTCCTCCCGAGCCTGGAACACGAAATCGCGAGCGACGGTATTTCGCCCTGCTCCTCCCCAGACAAAGTCCGTAAGTGCCGTCTCCGCCGCCTTAATGAACCATTGAGGCGGTATGTCGAAGGACAGCACGTGGAGGACCGTCGAGATGATGTGAGCGTTGGCATAGAAAACCTTCCCACTCGGCGAAAGTGTCCGGTCTCGAGCGGCGCGGGTCTTGGCCTTGATCCTGTCAAGAACATGGGTCCAAAACAGTTTCGAGTCACCGTGGCGAAAGAAGGCATAACCGCACCACTTGAAGCTCTCCCCCTCCTGCACCGTTGGCAGCGCCTGCGCAGTCTCGTCCCGAAGCCAGTTCGGTCCGAGTGGTAGCACCAGCGTCTTGTCCGTGTTGGTCTTCCCGTTGGTAGCCTCGTACCACGTCTGCGACAGCGTTTGCAGCTTCGACAATGCCGCCGGTGACTCCACCACCACCACAGCATCGTCGGCAAACGCCAGATGCGTAAGCTGCGCACGCGGCCCCCCTGGCCACACCTTCTGCAGGTCGAGCGCGATCCCGCGCCGAACGAGGGCGTCGAGGAAGGGCTGGAACGTGATGTTCCAAACCGGGCACGAGAGGGGATCCCCCTGACCGAGACCACACAGCAACCGCACCAAGTCCGTGGGGAACCCATTGACAAGGTAGCGCACCCCCAGAGTCTCGGGATCGTAGAGAGCGCGCAGCAGCGAGATGAAACGCTCACCGAACCCAAAGGCCTCAAAGACCTCGAAGATCCAGGCGTGATCGACCCGATCGTACGCGCTCTGCTGATCCAAAGACAAGAGGGCGCCCTCGGGGAAAACATCAGTGCCTAGCGACTTGAGTTTTTCGAGAAGGAGAGTGAGATGACTTCCCGCGTCCGCTGAACGTCTTGATGGCATGAAACCGTGTTGCGCCGGCGGCAAAAGCTCGCCGAGCACCCCATTGAGTCGCGCCACCAAGACCTTGCTGAGGACCTTGTAGGTCGTCTCGCGCAATGTGATCGGTCGGTATGCCCCCAGTGATTTCAGATTGGCCCCCGGTTTATTCTTGGGCAAGAGCCGCACCAGCCCCTCTGCCAAGGACGCCGTCATTTTGCCGCCCTCCCAAATCGAGTTGAACAAGTCCAACAGCTTGGGAGCAAAGTAGGTTGGCAGCGCCTTGAAGAGCTCGTACGGAATGCCCGAGGGCCCCGGTGATCGCCCCGAATCCGTCTTCTTCAACGCCGCTTCAACCTCGAGGAGGGTGAAGGGCTCGTCAAGCGCCACTCTCGCTTGACGAGGCAGCCGACGACCGAACGTAGGGTCCGAGCGGTCGTCATCGTAGCATTTCGCTGCGCGAATAGGGTCGAGCAGGGACCGGCGTGCGTTCGTCGGGTCGCCACGAGCTGGGTCCGGCGTGAAGAGCGACTGCGCGTGCCGTGAAGCAATACCCAGCGCCTCCTGCATGTCAACGGTCTCGGTGCCATCCACATCCTCCAGCGAGACGATGCTCGTCTGGCGACTCCGGCGGTTGAGGCGCGTGCGAATGCTTGCCGATTGACCTTCCCTCGAGTCGACTGACGGCACATGCGCACGAATGCGCAGCCACTGAGCCTCCTTTACCGCCAACTGGTCCAACCGCGACTTGGCAAGAGCATACACATCGCGCTCGGCCTCATTCATGTGCTCACCGCGTGCCTCCAAAGCCTCCATGACGGATTGGCTCTCGGCCCGCAGTCGGCGCATGTCGGCACGAGTCGAGCGGTATCGTGCATGGCCAGCGACTGCAACCGCCCGCAGAGCGGCGTCATAGACGTCGCCGAGCGGAGCGGTCCCCTCGAGCCTTCGATAGACCTCGTCGACGACGCCGGGAATCGATGCGACAAAGTCTTGATCGTCAAAGACCATTGGGTTGAGCCTCGAAATGAAATCGCTCGTGGAGGGAAGAGAAAGGGGGGGTTCGGCATCAGCGTTCGATGTAGGCAAAGCGAAAGTCGCAACTACAGGTCTGTGGTCCGAACAGGGCGCATCGAAGAGCGTAGAAGCGCTCAACAACCGGTTCGCCCAACTGCATTGGACAAGAATATAGTCGATCCGCGACCACGAGCAAATCTTTCGCTTTTCCCCTCTACCACGGTAGTGAGGACGAGTGAATGCAGGGGTGCAAGGATGGACATGTCGGACCGTGTCGAGTGCCTTGAACGCGATCTTTGACAGCAAGGTCTGCCAGTGCGATACAGGAGTCCAAGCGCGATCGGTGATGGACACTCGGTCGACCGATACATCCGGACAATCGTTGAGATCGCCGGCCAAGATCCGAAGAGTCTTGGGTCTCGGGGCGTTGAAGTGCAGAAGCCCGAAAAAGTCGCGACGATCGTCCTCCTGCACCGGCGCGTACATGTTGATGATCTCGACATCGAGCTCCTCAAGACGAAACACCGAGCGCAGAATCCGACCGTCGAAACGAGGAGCTCCTGCAAAGACGACCGGGGTAGAGGAAAGGAGATGGCCCGCCAAAGGTGAGCCATCGGGTATGAGGGTAAGGACATGAGGAGTGAAACGAATACAAGCCCCCGGCCAAGCACTCTCGAAGCCTTCGCGCGACGCGTTGTAGCTGAGGTGGTGCTCTTGCAGGAGGATGGCCGCAGGGGCCGGCCGAAGGGTTTTGAGATAACGGATGATTTTGACTTGGTTGACTGCGTTCTTCATCGATCGGACGTTGAACGTCAACACGGTGAGTGACTCAATCATGATTAAATCAGTTCAGCGCCGCCCCCCTCGAATTCGGTCACCTCGGACCTGTGACCCCCTGAACTGTTGCCCCCTGAGCCATCACCCCCTGATGCACCGAGGATCATGGCGGATCCTGCCCGGGTGACACGTCGGTTGCCGGGTGCCGAGCTCGAACGAAGGCGTCGAGGACTCGTCGAGGCTATCGAGGTTGTCGAGGTTGCCGATGATCCCGACGTGCCACCGGACAAAGGCGAAGGAGAGGTCGGGGTCGAAACGGGCGCCGCCGTCGTCGTCTGCGTCTCCTTTGTTGAGCCCAGGGTCGCACGCGTCGACGTCTCTTCCCCAGTGTCGCCGCCCTCCGGTTCGGTCGAAACGACCGACTCGTCGTCGCCGTCGTTCGCGTCGTCCTTGTTGGCGGTTACTGCACCTGCGGGGTTAGCACGAGGTCCCAGCTGGATCATGTTCGCGCCAGAGACACGAGAGTTCAATGCGGCAGGCCCACCGTGCTTCCCATTCTTTCCAGCAACTCGGAAGCCGGTGGTCGAAGTCGAAGTCGAAGTCGAGGTCGAGGCCCCCGGAACAGGGGCGGCGGTGGCCGGAGTCGAAACCGGCTTCCTGCAAGCGCCCCACTGGTGTCCGGCGCGATCGCACACCGCGCAGTAGTGCGTCTCGAATTCGTGTCGCAAGCCGTACTTGGCGCCCAGGATCTCGATCTCTTGTGGCAAAGCGGCGTTGAGCGCACCCTTCTGCGTCTCGATGGAGCCTTGGAAAAGATCAGCATGTAAGCGAAGGTACGCGCAGTGGAACCCGTCTTCGGTCATGGCCATCGGATCGCCATTCGGATCGACCGCGAGGCCCCGCTGTAATTGCATCAGGGTATAACCTTGCGTGCGACCTGCGCGGCCGAACGAAAGGGTGATAGCATCATCGAGAGATTTTCGGAGCACGGAAGCGGGGATCGCGCTGGAGGAGGAGGGCAAGGTGAATCGCACCTGCACGACGTGGTTAAGGGGAGAGGCGCTGGGGAGCTCGGTAACCATCTCCTTGCCGTGGTAGGGGAATGGGCCCACTGAAGCGGCTTCAAGACAAGCTTGCTCGGATTCGAATACAAGCTCGTACATGTGACGAGCGATCGGGAACCTCTTCGTGGCTTTCGTCACAATCGGGTTCAGCTTCACGCATTTCGAGAAAAGCTTCTCGACCTCGGGGTCAAGCACGACGCCCTCGGGCCGCGCGAACATGAACGGCGTCTCGGCCAATCCAAAGTGCTTGCGCAGCGCGGTCTGTACAGGACCTCTGGGTGATCCAGGACCATCCATAATGACTCGAATCACATTGGAGGCCGGGGCTGCGTCGTTTCGCACCGCTCTTTGGGCGGCTCGTGCGAGCGCTGGCGCCTGCGAAGGCGGGGTCGAGGCGTCGTGCATCAGGACCATCAGTCGGCGGGTCGACTTGCTGGAGGGAACAATCCCGAGCACTTGGAAGGTCTTCTTCATCAGCTTCTCATGGTCCAACCGGACCTGAGTTGCCTCGGGCGACCAAGCTGGAGGATTCGCGGTTCCTCCAGTGACCGCTTCACGCGTTTGCGTGTTGAGTGATGAATCACTCGCGCCATTACCACCCAATAGGTCCTCGGGCGGGGGCGCATCGGCGCCGGGCGGATCCGGCATCGCGTGTTTGTGTTGACCTGTAAAGCTTAACGGGCTTGGAGGTCAACTACTCACTCTACACCACAGAAACTCACTTGTGTGTGTGTGTGTGTGTGTGTGTGTGTGTGTGTGTGTGATTTTTTTTTTTTGTTTGTAGAAACCGTTCATCATATTGCCCCCAATTCCTGTTCCCCCTGATTGGCCTACGGAAAAACTAGATGGAAGTCGACGATGATAACACAAACCGCCCGCAAGATGCGAGAAACGGGCCAAGTCCACCAATCCGATACTTCGGATTCAAGTGCCCCAGCCAAGCGGTTGCTCCCCCCCAGGAGACGAATGAGAGAGAGAAGAGAAAGAGAGAAAATGAAAAAGAACTGGCGTACTAACGACAGGAGGCCCATCCCGGACCCACTTCCCGACTCGGTCGAGACAAAGACAGGAGAGCGACAGCGACACCACCCCGACCCGCGAAGTCCCCAAGTCTATGCTCGGTCACAACAAGACGCGGTGGAGGCCCCTCAAAACCTCCACCTCAGCAGTCCCTGGCCCCTCAAAGCCGACTTTCTGCCTGTGTCTGCTGATCCCTCCCTTGACTCAGAACCCCGAAGCCAAAGAGCGCGAGCCACCGTCGAGTCAATCCCAAATCGCGAGCCGGTCCATGAGCAACGGAGGCAGACCTGTAATAAAAGAAAGAAAGATGAAGAAAATATATTTAGTATACAGTTTTTGTAAGAGGATGTGTGATGTGGGGTGTGTGAGTGTGGGATCGGGTGGGGGGAAATCGAACCCAGCCTCTACTGCCCTCGCCCGCCCCTTGCTCCCCCCGCCCTCAACTTCATCCTCTCCTCCAGTACCACCCTCCTCCGCTCCAGGCTTTCCATCCTCGTCCCGTGCTTCTGCATCCTCCATCTCCCACTGCTGATCATCTCCAAAACCATCCCCGTGAAGATCTCGATCGTCCTGCCCGCGCCTTCCTGTGCGCTGAGCTTGGCCTTGAGCTTGGGGAGGCCAAAGAGTCGTTGAAGCGTCGTGTACTCGGCGTCCTCGATCGTGTCGCATCCGAGCGCGTCGCAGAGCACGCCCCTCGCCGCGATCCAGACGTTTCGCGAGTCGAAGCAGCCGAAGAAGTAGTGATCGGTGTCGTCCACCGGCGCTTCGCAGACGAGGCACGCGGGAGAAGTGTCGTGCTTTTGCTCGTGCTGGAGCTTGCGCGTCGGGGTGAAGCGGAGGATCAGCTTGAACCAAACTTCCCTCTCCCTCGCTGTCAGTGCCTTCGAGTTGACTGCCTTCCAGAAGCTCCTGAGGTCGTCCGGCTGCGGTGGTCCCTTGAGCCCGAGCATGTTGGTAAATGCCTTCGCGTTCAGGACCCGGCGGATGCGACGGACTGTGTAGGGGCGAGCCATGTTCAGCAGCGTATACTGGCTCGCCTGTTGTGGAAGCACCGGGTCCGGAAGGCGCTGCTCCATTGCGAAGCGGGCCACGGGCTTGGGGATGATCGCCTCGAGCGGTGCGCTGGTGCCGATCCGGGGAGGCACGTTGAGTCGTCCCGCCGCCACCGCCGCCGCCAAGGGGGTGTTCTTGTGTCGATCGACAGTGAACCGGTACCAGGCCGCGATTGCCAGTCGCTGCGGGAGCCCGCGTCGATCGTACTCGCTGTTGTCGCCAAGCACATCCGCCGGCGGCGTCCAGAGGTGAAACCCCCCACCCGCATACAACTCGCGTCGATAGAGATCCGCCACCTTCGGGTAGCCCTGGAGACGAAGGTAGTCAGGTACATGAACCGCGTCGATGGTCTGTCTCCCTCTGATGGGGGTGTGGAGGCTGCCGAGCAGGGTGGGCAGCGCGAGCAAGTTCGCGGTGGTCAAGGCCCTCGGGTTGACCTGCGCGTCGTGAAGTTTCGGAACGCCCAGTGCGGCGTGCCATCGGGGATGAAGGTCGTTGGGGATGGGAGTGGATGGATGTGGCCAGAGATCGGTGGCCAGGTCGAGGTCGGGCTGAGCTCGCTGGAGTGATGCGCGCGCAAGTCCTTGCCAAATCGCGCCGGAACCGCCGAGAAGAACGTCCCAGAGCCGTGCCGCAACCGCGTCCACAACGTCCCGCATCCTTATCACCCCGAGTCCCCCCTTGTTCTTGGCGGTGAACACAATGTCTCTGCCGTAGCTGGTCCTGCCCTTGCCCCCACGGACGAAATCGACGAGCATGTCATCGAGCTTCTTGACGACTTCGGGCGGCGGGATGTCGGCTGCAAGGAAATGCAGGATCTTGGGAATGGCGTACCGATTGACGTAAAAGGCACGGGTGTGGTGCGTGAGCCAGCGATGCTGAACCGCTTCCAGCGTCGCCTCGAGCCGTTCGATGAGATTCGCGTAGGCGAGTTCGGTGTCGCCGCTGGGGTCGAAGGGGAGGCCGATCCACTCGAGCGACTCGCCTGCGGCCTTGACGACGATTGGCCGTTCCCCAGGGTCCCAGCGACGTCCAATCGGTAGGACGACCGTCTTGTCCGTGTTGAGCCGGCCATTCGTTGCATGCCTCCAGTCGAGCGCCAGGTCATCGAGCAAGTTGAGTGACTCCAAGCCCGCGACGGCGACGACAACGTCATCGGCAAATGCAAGTGATGTAATGGCGCGGCTCTGTGGGTACGGATGAAGTGCAGGTATGGAGAGATTCAGCGCGATGTTTCGACGGTGTAGAGCATCCAGGAACGGCTGAAACACGATGTCCCAGACCGACGATGACGCCGGGTCCCCTTGGCCGAGCCCACACGTCAGTCGCACCGGCGCCGTCAGGAACCCATTGATGATGTAGCGCGCCGAGGTCGAGTCACCCGAGTAGAGCATCCTCAGCACGCGAAGAAAGGTGGTAGGAGCGCCCAGAGCGTCGAAAATGGCAAAGATCCAGTCATGCTCGACGAGGTCGTAGGCGGATGATTGGTCAAGAGACAAGAGCGCGGCCGCGGGGAACTCGGTCCTGCGCGCGCCAAGTTCCTCGATCAGGAGACGAAGGTGTAGTGCAGCGTCGGCCGATCGGCGGTCCTTGACGAAGCCGTGCTGCTGCGGCGGGAGGAGATCGGGCAGAATTTGGTTCAATCGGGCGACGTAGACCTTGGTAAAAATCTTGTAATCGCACTCGCGCAGGGTGATGGGGCGATACGACGAGAGTTCGGCGCGATCGGCATTCTTCTTGTGGCGCTTGAAGATGAGGCGCACGAGTCCCTGGCCCTGCTTGGGAGAGAGTGAACCGCGCTCGATCATCGCGTTGTAGGCCTTGGTCAGCACCTTGGACCACGCCTCCGGTGCGGTCTGATAGAGTTCGTAAGGCACGCCCGACGGGCCCGGCGATCGCCCCGGGTGCGTCGTCCCGATCGCGGCCACGACCTCGTCCTCGGTGATGGGTTGCTGGAGGAGATCAATCTGCGCTTCCGAGAGTCGGCGCAGAAAGAGCGGATCTGAGCGCGGGTCGTCGCAAGTCCGTGCCGCCCTGATCGGCACGAGGAGTTCGTCCCGAAGTCGGTCGACGCGTTCCGGATCACGAGGCTCGATGTGGTAGAGGCGCTGGAAATGCGCCTGCGTGTGGTCAAGAGCGACATCAATGTCATGCGTTAGCTCTCCGTTGCCCAAGCGCAGTGCTGTGATCTTGGAGTCCGAGTTCCGCGCCGCGAGCTTGGCGTGGACCGGCCGCGACAGTCGTTCCTCGGAAGCGATCTCGGGGACGTGGGCTCGGATCCGGAGTAGGCGCGCGCGCTCCTCGACCGCCCGCTTGAGTTCCTCGGACGTCCTTGTCCATTCTGCCGTTTCCGCCTCCCCCCATACCGGTAACGCCTCCAGATCCTGCACCCTCCCCACCAAATACTCCATCCGTTCCGTCCGCTCCCGATGCAGCCTCCTCGCCATCTCCCCACCCCTGTCCCTGCACGCCTCCAGAACCTCCTCAAGCTCTCGCACCGGATCCTCCCCGCTTGCCCCTTCCAACCATCCTTCCATCATCCGCTGAAATTCCACCGTCTTGAAGGTTGTGGTATTGATTCGATGTAGTTGGTCGGATGTGGTAGGTAGGCTGAGCTGTGGGAGAGCCGCATCAAGATCGTCTGAGAGAGCTAGTACGATCAAGACCGGTCGGTGATCGGAAAGATCCTTGGGATAGTCGTAGATCGTCGAGGCTTTTTTTTTTTTTTTTTTATTTTATTACTGGGGCTCATAAATTGCAATCCTTCGGGTTGGCTGGGACCGCTAGAAAAAGAGCTAAAAGAGGTTATAAAGCAACGACGGCAAGCAATTGGGTGAAAGTCAAACCCCTGCGCGCAAAGAGCGCTGCGCAGATCAAAACCCGCCGAGCACCTAACGCGGACTCCAACGGGCGGTGAGTACTGCTGCCGCTTCACGTCCCAAGAGCGGGAGCGAAGATACTCGAAAACCAGGCAAGAGCGCCTAGAGAAAGAAAAGGGGAGAATAAACAAAAATTCACGACTGGAAACACGGAGAACCAGGAATACTAAGACAGAGAGGAGGGGAGGAGGAGGGGAACACACCCGAGGGGCCAAGGGAGGGGGTCGAAGCCAGAGCTAGAGGTCCCCAGGGACTGACAGGCCGCAGCCAAGCCCCAGCTACTCGTCACCCCGACAGCGCCTGATGTCCTCCCTTGGCTGAGTCTCGAGTGCTGGCTGTTGAGCCGTCAGGGCCGAGCGAAAACGATCCAATACAACGAAACGAGCCTCGCCTTGACGCGAGGATATTGACCAAAAAAACGAGCGACCTTTCTTCCCGATCCATGCCGTAGATCTTGACCAACGCGAACGAACGATCTATTCGACGGAATCCAACACACGGCTTAGGAATAAAAGGAGAAGTGGCTGAAGCGTAGTCAACAACCGAGCAACAGGAACGAGATGAGGAAGAGAAGGGAGAAAGGGGGGGAAAGAGAGGGGAGAACTTCACAAAGCCTCCAACGCAACGACGATCGACCCGGCTTGCCGATCCATCCAAGAACGAAAACCGCTACTGCACAAAGTAGAGAGAGGGAGAGGTGCGCAGCCTTCCACTGCGCAACAAGTTTCAAGACAGTCAGCTTCTGAAAGAAAAGTCGACCTCCGAAAAGGAAGGGAGGAAAGGAGGGGAGAGAGAGCAGGGGAGGAAAATGGGAAGGAAGGACTTAACTCGGTCATCACACCTCCCAATCTCGAGCCCCAGGCACAAAGCCCGCTCGAGAGAGAAAATCTCGCTCGAACGCTCTGAGCGCACTGGGAAGCGAGGGAGAGGCCACGACGTTGTCCAGCTCGAACCGCTGATGAACGCGCCAGCGGAGCAGGTGCAGCCGCTGGAAACCGATCGCGCAGGCCAGCCGAACCCACATCCATTTCGAGGTCGTTCTCCCACGACCCCGCAAAAGGGGGAGCCCCATAGTCAGCTGCTCCGGAGTGAACGTCGACGGATCGACGTCGGTATCCTCGATGCCGAGCTTGTCAAGCAGAATGCGTAGCACCCCACCCCAGAAGCTGGTCGAGTACGCGCACTCGAAAAAGTAGTGGGACACCGTCTCGATGACCGCTGCATCGTTGCCACAGAACAGACACGTCGGCGAAGAGGCATGACCCTGAGTATGCTGCCTCTTGCGCGTCGGCGTCACGTCATACATGAGCCGCCAGTGGGTGTCCTGCTCGACAGCAGATGCGAACCGGTCATGAAGCCATCTCCAGAAGCGCTTCCTATCGCTCTGAGAAGTCCCATCAGGGAAACGCTTGACACGGTCCTCCCTCCCTGGGAACCGCACCTTGTTCACAAGCCGACGAAGCTTGCGAATCGTAAAAGGTCGGGAGAGCCCAAAGAAGTTGAAGCACCGAGGACGGGGAGCCTCCTTGAGAGGTATCCGAGCAGGTCGCAACGCGGTCTTGGGCAGCAACGCTTTCGCCTTGAGCAACTGACCCACGCGCGACCACACGTGCTCGTGCTGTAGGGCGGGTTCCTTAGAGTGCTGCCAGAACCCGCGTCGATGACCAACCAGAGCCCATCCCTTCCCTTCGTCCCTCCAGTACAGGTCCGCGATCTGCGCAAACTTCGCCACCGCGTCCGCATCGTCATATGCGTGCTGGGCACCTTCAGCATAGAGTGAAGGGAGGCGAGGCGGAAGCGAGAGCAATTCGGGAAGCGTAAGGAGTTCGGACTTGATGGTTGGAACTGTGACCCTGGCCGCTGCAACGACTGCCCCCCAGCGCGTCGAGTCGCGATACAGCTTCTCGACCCGAGCCGTGCTGCTGAAGAACCCCCACGGACTGAAATCGCGGGTCGCAGCGACGAGGGACCTCCAGCTCTCGCGAGCTAGGGGCGCCCAGATCGCCTCGTCCGAGCCCGCCACAGCATCCCAAAATCGAAGCGCCACCGAATGAACGATGTCGCCAATCGAAATCAAACCCAAGCCACCGTCCTCCCGAGCCTGGAACACGAAATCGCGAGCGACGGTATTTCGCCCTGCTCCTCCCCAGACAAAGTCCGTAAGTGCCGTCTCCGCCGCCTTAATGAACCATTGAGGCGGTATGTCGAAGGACAGCACGTGGAGGACCGTCGAGATGATGTGAGCGTTGGCATAGAAAACCTTCCCACTCGGCGAAAGTGTCCGGTCTCGAGCGGTGCGGGCCTTGGCCTTGATCCTGTCAAGAACATGGGTCCAAAACAGTTTCGAGTCACCGTGGCGAAAGAAGGCATAGCCGCACCACTTGAAGCTCTCCCCCTCCTGCACCGTTGGCAGCGCCTGCGCAGTCTCGTCCCGAAGCCAGTTCGGTCCGAGTGGTAGCACCAGCGTCTTGTCCGTGTTGGTCTTCCCGTTGGTAGCCTCGTACCACGTCTGCGACAGCGTTTGCAGCTTCGACAATGCCGCCGGTGACTCCACCACCACCACAGCATCGTCGGCAAACGCCAGATGCGTAAGCTGCGCACGCGGCCCCCCTGGCCACACCTTCTGCAGGTCGAGCGCGATCCCGCGCCGAACGAGGGCGTCGAGGAAGGGCTGGAACGTGATGTTCCAAACCGGGCACGAGAGGGGATCCCCCTGACCGAGACCACACAGCAACCGCACCAAGTCCGTGGGGAACCCATTGACAAGGTAGCGCACCCCCAGAGTCTCGGGATCGTAGAGAGCGCGCAGCAGCGAGATGAAACGCTCACCGAACCCAAAGGCCTCAAAGACCTCGAAGATCCAGGCGTGATCGACCCGATCGTACGCGCTCTGCTGATCCAAAGACAAGAGGGCGCCCTCGGGGAAAACATCAGTGCCTAGCGACTTGAGTTTTTCGAGAAGGAGAGTGAGATGACTTCCCGCGTCCGCTGAACGTCTTGATGGCATGAAACCGTGTTGCGCCGGCGGCAAAAGCTCGCCGAGCACCCCATTGAGTCGCGCCACCAAGACCTTGCTGAGGACCTTGTAGGTCGTCTCGCGCAATGTGATCGGTCGGTATGCCCCCAGTGATTTCAGATTGGCCCCCGGTTTATTCTTGGGCAAGAGCCGCACCAGCCCCTCTGCCAAGGACGCCGTCATTTTGCCGCCCTCCCAAATCGAGTTGAACAAGTCCAACAGCTTGGGAGCAAAGTAGGTTGGCAGCGCCTTGAAGAGCTCGTACGGAATGCCCGAGGGCCCCGGTGATCGCCCCGAATCCGTCTTCTTCAACGCCGCTTCAACCTCGAGGAGGGTGAAGGGCTCGTCAAGCGCCACTCTCGCTTGACGAGGCAGCCGACGACCGAACGTAGGGTCCGAGCGGTCGTCATCGTAGCATTTCGCTGCGCGAATAGGGTCGAGCAGGGACCGGCGTGCGTTCGTCGGGTCGCCACGAGCTGGGTCCGGCGTGAAGAGCGACTGCGCGTGCCGTGAAGCAATACCCAGCGCCTCCTGCATGTCAACGGTCTCGGTGCCATCCACATCCTCCAGCGAGACGATGCTCGTCTGGCGACTCCGGCGGTTGAGGCGCGTGCGAATGCTTGCCGATTGACCTTCCCTCGAGTCGACTGACGGCACATGCGCACGAATGCGCAGCCACTGAGCCTCCTTTACCGCCAACTGGTCCAACCGCGACTTGGCAAGAGCATACACATCGCGCTCGGCCTCATTCATGTGCTCACCGCGTGCCTCCAAAGCCTCCATGACGGATTGGCTCTCGGCCCGCAGTCGGCGCATGTCGGCACGAGTCGAGCGGTATCGTGCATGGCCAGCGACTGCAACCGCCCGCAGAGCGGCGTCATAGACGTCGCCGAGCGGAGCGGTCCCCTCGAGCCTTCGATAGACCTCGTCGACGACGCCGGGAATCGATGCGACAAAGTCTTGATCGTCAAAGACCATTGGGTTGAGCCTCGAAATGAAATCGCTCGTGGAGGGAAGAGAAAGGGGGGGTTCGGCATCAGCGTTCGATGTAGGCAAAGCGAAAGTCGCAACTACAGGTCTGTGGTCCGAACAGGGCGCATCGAAGAGCGTAGAAGCGCTCAACAACCGGTTCGCCCAACTGCATTGGACAAGAATATAGTCGATCCGCGACCACGAGCAAATCTTTCGCTCTTCCCCTCTACCACGGTAGTGAGGACGAGTGAATGCAGGGGTGCAAGAATGGACATGTCGGACCGTGTCGAGTGCCTTGAACGCGATCTTTGACAGCAAGGTCTGCCAGTGCGATACAGGAGTCCAAGCGCGATCGGTGATGGACACTCGGTCGACCGATACATCCGGACAATCGTTGAGATCGCCGGCCAAGATCCGAAGAGTCTTGGGTCTCGGGGCGCTGAAGTGCAGAAGCCCGAAAAAGTCGCGACGATCGTCCTCCTGCACCGGCGCGTACATGTTGATGATCTCGACATCGAGCTCCTCAAGACGAAACACCGAGCGCAGAATCCGACCGTCGAAACGAGGAGCTCCTGCAAAGACGACCGGGGTAGAGGAAAGGAGATGGCCCGCCAAAGGTGAGCCATCGGGTATGAGGGTAAGGACATGAGGAGTGAAACGAATACAAGCCCCCGGCCAAGCACTCTCGAAGCCTTCGCGCGACGCGTTGTAGCTGAGGTGGTGCTCTTGCAGGAGGATGGCCGCAGGGGCCGGCCGAAGGGTTTTGAGATAACGGATGATTTTGACTTGGTTGACTGCGTTCTTCATCGATCGGACGTTGAACGTCAACACGGTGAGTGACTCAATCATGATTAAATCAGTTCAGCGCCGCCCCCCTCGAATTCGGTCACCTCGGACCTGTGACCCCCTGAACTGTTGCCCCCTGAGCCATCACCCCCTGATGCACCGAGGATCATGGCGGATCCCGCCCGGGTGACACGTCGGTTGCCGGGTGCCGAGCTCGAACGAAGGCGTCGAGGACTCGTCGAGGCTATCGAGGTTGTCGAGGTTGCCGATGATCCCGACGTGCCACCGGACAAAGGCGAAGGAGAGGTCGGGGTCGAAACGGGCGCCGCCATCGTCGTCTGCGTCTCCTTTGTTGAGCCCAGGGTCGCACGCGTCGACGTCTCTTCCCCAGTGTCGCCGCCCTCCGGTTCGGTCGAAACGACCGACTCGTCGTCGCCGTCGTTCGCGTCGTCCTTGTTGGCGGTTACTGCACCTGCGGGGTTAGCACGAGGTCCCAGCTGGATCATGTTCGCGCCAGAGACACGAGAGTTCAATGCGGCAGGCCCACCGTGCTTCCCATTCTTTCCAGCAACTCGGAAGCCGGTGGTCGAAGTCGAAGTCGAAGTCGAGGTCGAGGCCCCCGGAACAGGGGCGGCGGTGGCCGGAGTCGAAACCGGCTTCCTGCAAGCACCCCACTGGTGTCCGGCGCGATCGCACACCGCGCAGTAGTGCGTCTCGAATTCGTGTCGCAAGCCGTACTTGGCGCCCAGGATCTCGATCTCTTGTGGCAAAGCGGCGTTGAGCGCGGCCTTCTGCGTCTCGATGGAGCCTTGGAAAAGATCAGCATGTAAGCGAAGGTACGCGCAGTGGAACCCGTCTTCGGTCATGGCCATCGGATCGCCATTCGGATCGACCGCGAGGCCCCGCTGTAATTGCATCAGGGTATAACCTTGCGTGCGACCTGCGCGGCCGAACGAAAGGGTGATAGCATCATCGAGAGATTTTCGGAGCACGGAAGCGGGGATCGCGCTGGAGGAGGAGGGCAAGGTGAATCGCACCTGCACGACGTGGTTAAGGGGAGAGGCGCTGGGGAGCTCGGTAACCATCTCCTTGCCGTGGTAGGGGAATGGGCCCACTGAAGCGGCTTCAAGACAAGCTTGCTCGGATTCGAATACAAGCTCGTATATGTGACGAGCGATCGGGAACCTCTTCGTGGCTTTCGTCACAATCGGGTTCAGCTTCACGCATTTCGAGAAAAGCTTCTCGACCTCGGGGTCAAGCACGACGCCCTCGGGCCGCGCGAACATGAACGGCGTCTCGGCCAATCCAAAGTGCTTGCGCAGCGCGGTCTGTACAGGACCTCTGGGTGATCCAGGACCATCCATAATGACTCGAATCACATTGGAGGCCGGGGCTGCGTCGTTTCGCACCGCTCTTTGGGCGGCTCGTGCGAGCGCTGGCGCCTGCGAAGGCGGGGTCGAGGCGTCGTGCATCAGGACCATCAGTCGGCGGGTCGACTTGCTGGAGGGAACAATCCCGAGCACTTGGAAGGTCTTCTTCATCAGCTTCTCATGGTCCAACCGGACCTGAGTTGCCTCGGGCGACCAAGCTGGAGGATTCGCGGTTCCTCCAGTGACCGCTTCACGCGTTTGCGTGTTGAGTGATGAATCACTCGCGCCATTACCACCCAATAGGTCCTCGGGCGGGGGCGCATCGGCGCCGGGCGGATCCGGCATCGCGTGTTTGTGTTGACCTGTAAAGCTTAACGGGCTTGGAGGTCAACTACTCACTCTACACCACAGAAACTCACTTGTGTGTGTGTGTGTGTGTGTGTGTGTGTTGAGGCATTTTTTTTTTTGTAGAAACTGTTCATCATATTGCCCCCAAGTCCTGTTCCCCCTGATTGGCCTACGGAAAAACTAGATGGAAGTCGACGATGATAACACAAACCGCCCGCAAGATGCGAGAAACGGGCCAAGTCCACCAATCCGATACTTCGGATTCAAGTGCCCCAGCCAAGCGGTTGCTCCCCCCCAGGAGACGAATGAGAGAGAGAAGAGAAAGAGAGAAAATGAAAAAGAACTGGCGTACTAACGACAAGAGGCCCACCCCGCACCCACTTCCCAACTCGGTCGAGACAAAGACAGGAGAGCGACTGCGCAGCTACCCTGACCCGCGAAGTCCCCAAGTCTATGCTCGGTCACAACAAGACGCGGTGGAGGCCCCTCAAAACCTCCACCTCAGCAGTCCCTGGCCCCTCAAAGCCGACTTTCTGCCTGTGTCTGCTGATCCCTCCCTTGACTCAGAACCCCGAAGCCAAAGAGCGCGAGCCACCGTCGAGTCAATCCCAAATCGCGAGCCGGTCCATGAGCAACGGAGGCAGACCTGTAATAAAAGAAAGAAAGATGAAGAAAATATATTTAGTATACAGTTTTTGTAAGAGGATGTGTGATGTGGGGTGTGTGAGTGTGGGATCGGGTGGGGGGAAATCGAACCCAGCCTCTACTGCCCTCGCCCGCCCCTTGCTCCCCCCGCCCTCAACTTCATCCTCTCCTCCAGTACCACCCTCCTCCGCTCCAGGCTTTCCATCCTCGTCCCGTGCTTCTGCATCCTCCATCTCCCACTGCTGATCATCTCCAAGACCATCCCCGTGAAGATCTCGATCGTCCTGCCTGCGCCTTCCTGTTCGCTGAGCTTGGCCTTGAGCTTGGGGAGGCCAAAGAGTCGTTGTAGTGTCGTGTACTCGGCGTCCTCGATCGTGTCGCATCCGAGCGCGTCGCAGAGCACGCCCCTTGCCGCGGTCCAGATGTTCCGCGAGTCGACGCAGCCGAAGAAGTAGTGATCGGTGTCGTCCACCGGCGCTTCGCACACGAGGCACGCGGGAGAAGTGTCGTGCTTTTGCTCGTGCTGGAGTTTGCGCGTCGGGGTGAAGCGGAGGATCAGCTTGAACCAAACTTCCCTCTCCCTCGCCGTCAGTGCCTTCGAGTTGACTGCCTTCCAGAAGCTCCTGAGGTCGTCCGGCTGCGGTGGTCCCTTGAGCCCGAGCATGTTGGTAAATGCCTTCGCGTTCAGGACCCGGCGGATGCGACGGACTGTGTAGGGGCGAGCCATGTTCAGCAGCGTATACTGGCTCGCCTGTTGTGGAAGCACCGGGTCCGGAAGGCGCTGCTCCATTGCGAAGCGGGCCACGGGCTTGGGGATGATCGCCTCGAGTGGTGCGCTGGTGCCGATCCGGGGAGGCACGTTGAGTCGTCCCGCCGCCACCGCCGCCGCCAAGGGGGTGTTCTTGTGTCGATCGACAGTGAACCGGTACCAGGCCGCGATTGCCAGTCGCTGCGGGAGCCCGCGTCGATCGTACTCGCTGTTGTCGCCGAGCACATCCGCCGGCGGCGTCCAGAGGTGAAACCCCCCACCCGCATACAACTCGCGTCGATAGAGATCCGCCACCTTCGGGTAGCCCTGGAGACGAAGGTAGTCAGGTACATGAACCGCGTCGATGGTCTGTCTCCCTCTGATGGGGGTGTGGAGGCTGCCGAGCAGGGTGGGCAGCGCGAGCAAGTTCGCGGTGGTCAAGGCCCTCGGGTTGACCTGCGCGTCGTGAAGTTTCGGAACGCCCAGTGCGGCGTGCCATCGGGGATGAAGGTCGTTGGGGATGGGAGTGGATGGATGTGGCCAGAGATCGGTGGCCAGGTCGAGGTCGGGCTGAGCTCGCTGGAGTGATGCGCGCGCAAGTCCTTGCCAAATCGCGCCGGAACCGCCGAGAAGAACGTCCCAGAGCCGTGCCGCAACCGCGTCCACAACGTCCCGCATCCTTATCACCCCGAGTCCCCCCTTGTTCTTGGCGGTGAACACAATGTCTCTGCCGTAGCTGGTCCTGCCCTTGCCCCCACGGACGAAATCGACGAGCATGTCATCGAGCTTCTTGACGACTTTGGGCGGCGGGATGTCGGCTGCAAGGAAATGCAGGATCTTGGGAATGGCGTACCGATTGACGTAAAAGGCACGGGTGTGGTGCGTGAGCCAGCGATGCTGAACCGCTTCCAGCGTCGCCTCGAGCCGTTCGATGAGATTCGCGTAGGCGAGTTCGGTGTCGCCGCTGGGGTCGAAGGGGAGGCCGATCCACTCGAGCGACTCGCCTGCGGCCTTGACGACGATTGGCCGTTCCCCAGGGTCCCAGCGACGTCCAATCGGTAGGACGACCGTCTTGTCCGTGTTGAGCCGGCCATTCGTTGCATGCCTCCAGTCGAGCGCCAGGTCATCGAGCAAGTTGAGTGACTCCAAGCCCGCGACGGCGACGACAACGTCATCGGCAAATGCAAGTGATGTAATGGCGCGGCTCTGTGGGTACGGATGAAGTGCAGGTATGGAGAGATTCAGCGCGATGTTTCGACGGTGTAGAGCATCCAGGAACGGCTGAAACACGATGTCCCAGACCGACGATGACGCCGGGTCCCCTTGGCCGAGCCCACACGTCAGTCGCACCGGCGCCGTCAGGAACCCATTGATGATGTAGCGCGCCGAGGTCGAGTCACCCGAGTAGAGCATCCTCAGCACGCGAAGAAAGGTGGTAGGAGCGCCCAGAGCGTCGAAGATGGCAAAGATCCAGTCATGCTCGACGAGGTCGTAGGCGGATGATTGGTCAAGAGACAAGAGCGCGGCCGCGGGGAACTCGGTCCTGCGCGCGCCAAGTTCCTCGATCAGGAGACGAAGGTGTAGTGCAGCGTCGGCCGATCGGCGGTCCTTGACGAAGCCGTGCTGCTGCGGCGGGAGGAGATCGGGCAGAATTTGGTTCAATCGGGCGACGTAGACCTTGGTAAAAATCTTGTAATCGCACTCGCGCAGGGTGATGGGGCGATACGACGAGAGTTCGGCGCGATCGGCATTCTTCTTGTGGCGCTTGAAGATGAGGCGCACGAGTCCCTGGCCCTGCTTGGGAGAGAGTGAACCGCGCTCGATCATCGCGTTGTAGGCCTTGGTCAGCACCTTGGACCACGCCTCCGGTGCGGTCTGATAGAGTTCGTAAGGCACGCCCGACGGGCCCGGCGATCGCCCCGGGTGCGTCGTCCCGATCGCGGCCACGACCTCGTCCTCGGTGATGGGTTGCTGGAGGAGATCAATCTGCGCTTCCGAGAGTCGGCGCAGAAAGAGCGGATCTGAGCGCGGGTCGTCGCAAGTCCGTGCCGCCCTGATCGGCACGAGGAGTTCGTCCCGAAGTCGGTCGACGCGTTCCGGATCACGAGGCTCGATGTGGTAGAGGCGCTGGAAATGCGCCTGCGTGTGGTCAAGAGCGACATCAATGTCATGCGTTAGCTCTCCGTTGCCCAAGCGCAGTGCTGTGATCTTGGAGTCCGAGTTCCGCGCCGCGAGCTTGGCGTGGACCGGCCGCGACAGTCGTTCCTCGGAAGCGATCTCGGGGACGTGGGCTCGGATCCGGAGTAGGCGCGCGCGCTCCTCGACCGCCCGCTTGAGTTCCTCGGACGTCCTTGTCCATTCTGCCGTTTCCGCCTCCCCCCATACCGGTAACGCCTCCAGATCCTGCACCCTCCCCACCAAATACTCCATCCGTTCCGTCCGCTCCCGATGCAGCCTCCTCGCCATCTCCCCACCCCTGTCCCTGCACGCCTCCAGAACCTCCTCAAGCTCTCGCACCGGATCCTCCCCGCTTGCCCCTTCCAACCATCCTTCCATCATCCGCTGAAATTCCACCGTCTTGAAGGTTGTGGTATTGATTCGATGTAGTTGTCGGATGTGGTAGGTAGGCTGAGCTGTGGGAGAGCCGCATCAAGATCGTCTGAGAGAGCTAGTACGATCAAGACCGGTCGGTGATCGGAAAGATCCTTGGGATAGTCGTAGATCGTCGAGGCCTGGTCGAGCCTTTTTTGGTGAGCTCTTTGTAGGAGAAAGTAGTCAAGCCGGGAGAAGGAGTTGGGTCGCTTGCGATTGGGATTAGGTCGAGTGAAAGATGGGGTGATGGGGTGCTTGTAGCGGATGCAGTCCGTGTAGGCCGAGTCGAGCTTGCCCATCAGAATCGGCCAGTGGTGGCCGCGCCGACTTTGGTTCCGCCGATCGACTTCTGGGCGCGGGCAGTCGTTGAGATCGCCGCCAAGGAGTCGGAGGTGGGATTTCTGTGTTTTGTGGAGGATCAGTTTGTCGAAGAATTTTGCTCGTTGTTTGGGTCAACGGGCGCGTAGAGGTTATTGATTTCTAGAATTTTGATGTCGCCCCGCAGACGAAAGGAGGTGACGAGGAGCCGGCCGTCGAGTGCCGAGTGGGTGCGCAAGAGCTCGGCGTCGATCAGGGGCGAGTCGGCCGGGATCAGGTCAGGCAGTGCTGGTTGATGAAGAGCTTGCCCTCGTACTCGTCCTTGATGAGCTGCCAGAATTGTGGTCTGATGAAATGCTCTGTAAGAGAATCGCGGAAGCTTTGAATGTGGAAAGGTAGGTGTAGATATTACGTCGTTTTTCCGGGACCCCCATGCCCCTTCTTACGTTCCAGGTGATGATGGTGTGCTTGATCATTAATGGGTAGTCGAGGTCGAGGCGCTCTTGGCGGTGGTGACGTCCTCAAAGAGGGGAAGGGCGGGCAGGACATCGTCCTCGGGCTCGTGGTCGGACCATCGTTTTTCCTCAGCTACCCCTCTTCCTTTCCCTCTGTCCACCTTCGTCACCTCGACCTGCATCGCCGCTGCCGCCGACATCGACCTCGTCACCCTCCGCCCCTCTATTCCATCCTTCACCACGACGCGGCTCTTCCCTTTGATGATGACTCGCTTGGCGTCGGTCGGTTCGTCACTTGGGTCACTGAGGTCCGCCGCAGTCTGCGACCTCTTCATCACCTGCTTCTTGAACTTCGCAGCGGTCCCCCTGATGTTGATGGAGCGTATCTCACCGTCCTCGTCCCACGTGGCAAAGTTGTGACGCACCAGAGGGGTTTCAGCGTTGAGCCTCCTCTCGATGCTTTGGTCCCCGCTCAAGTCGGCCTGCTCAACCCAGTTAGCTCTGATCCTGTCCCACTCCTCCCCCTCGCGTAGCGACTTGGCGAGAGTTTCGGGTGACAGAGGTGGGGTTGGTTCATGCGGCGTCGATTCGCGGGAAGCGGTGGGGCGGTTGCTGTGGCGTCGCTGTCGTCGTCATTGTCCAGCCTGTTCGTTCCCCTAAGTCCGTCGCTTCCGCATTCTCCGCTTTCGGTCGATCCCCTCGCTTCGTCCACATCGCCCACCTCCGTCGCCACCTCCTCTCCTCCATCTCCGTAGCCACCTCTCCTCCGTTTCACCTCTTTCATCCGCCATCACTCATTCTCATCAATCACCTCTCCATCGGATCCGCTGCAGTCCTCCAAGACCGACTCGTCCTCGCTTTCAATTTTGATGACCTCCGTTTTCGCGGCCGCCTCCGATTCCATCTCCGAGTCCTCCGAGTCCTCGTCATCCGCCTTATCACCAGCGTCTTCCTCCCCCGATTCCTCCGGTCCCTGTTCGCCCTGGCCAGTTACCTCTTCCTCCTGTCCCTCTCGACCTCGAGCCCGGCGAAGTGATTCTGTGATGCGATCCTGTTAACAACCAGCACAGGAATGGGGGCCTCGGCCTCCGCGATGTTGGTGTTGTGGGTGATGGTGTTTTTGTTGCTGTTGATGATGCCGTTGTGAGCCTCCTTCCGCTTCCTCTCCTGATCCAGTCCGCAGGTTCCCACGTGACCCACAAAGTGGCACCTACCGCAAGCCGCCTCCTTCTCATAGTCATGGCGAAGGGCGGTAACCGGGATGCCTCGAGTGGGAAGGTCGATCCTCGAAGGTAGAATCTCCTTCAAGGTCGTGTTGGGCGTTGGAATAGGGAGTCGTCATCGAAGTGTAGGAAAGCCGAGTAGTCTCCGGCAACGTGGGCGAAGGCCGAGGCGTTGTCCACGCTGATAACGCGCAGAACCTGCAAGTTGGCATGAATGTCCCTTGCCTGACAGGTCTTGCACAAGTGATTGGAACGATTTGATGATGGCATCCATGGAGGGCACTCCTTGAACACCGACGTTGATTCGAAGCTCGACCATGTTATGGTGGAACCTGTGAGACTTCGCGAAGCGGGCCTTCGCCGATCGCCAAGTGAGAGCGGGGGGCGTCGTGAGCGCCGCGTCACGTGCCTCGCCGGTGACGAACCCAACCGTAACGCGATGGTGAGCCGCCCCATTACGCAGGATTGATGAATGTTGTACGCCTAAGATCTGTGGTTGATAAGCCGCAAGATGGTCCGGCAGAGGAACTCCAGGCTCAAAGCAGATAGGAGAGATGGGCGATAGCAGCCTCGTGACGCAGGCCACGAGATCGATCTTGTCGGCATGAGTCGCTCGCGAGGCGCTCTGGTGAGACAGAGTCACTTCAAGGGCGTAATCGAAGATGTTCTCGACGGACCGGTTCGCGTTCAAGGCCGAAAATTTCAGCGATGTGGCGGTGGCGACGGGGTAGAGTTCGGCGAAGTAGATGGCCTGGACCCAGCGATCCATGCGGTTTCCGGGTACAGCACCCATGGCTTGTAGGAGGCTGCCCAGAGCCTTGGCACGCTGTTGTTGTTGTTGCTGTTGTTCAGGTGTTTGAGTCGCCATCTGACTCGCAGCGGCAGCATAGTTGGGTGCGGCGGTGGCGGGCCCGTGACTTGCGTCTTCTTCGAGCTTATCGGGATCCGGTCGCGGGGGGGCTGGACGCTGGTGGCGGATACCGGTGGTGGCGGTGCCGGCAGTGGGGACCCAGGGTCTCCGGTAGACATCTTGTCGGTGTATCACTTGTTAACTCGAGTATCGAAGGCTGCAGTAGGGCGATTGTGAAAGTGAAGTGAAGTGAAGG